TTTTATTATTAAAAATTTTTTTTTTTTATTTTTTTTTCCAAAAAAAACCCTTTTTTAAAAAAAAAAAAAAAAAAAAAAAAAAAAAAAAAAAAAAAAAAAAAAAACAGAAACCCTTACCTAACTCCTTTTAAATTCATGTCTGTGAATAATTATCAGAAGGAGTAAGGAAAATTAGCATCCAAAATCTTTCGACGTATTTTCCTCTACCTGTTCTATACCGACCACGCCATGCTTCAACAAATAAAAAATAATCACATCGTATATCCTCAAGTCCGAACTTACTGCAATACATTACCAAATTCAAATTTTGATAGACCACTATTTATAAAGTGGTATGATAGTGATGACGATGATCTTGTCTTCTTCAACGTCTTTTGGGCTGTGTACACTATAGGTATAATTTACACAAGGTCCACCCAGAGCCGCATCATGGGCATCGTTTAACGTCTAGAGTATCTCCTTCAAGGGAGGACAGAGCTGGAATCTTGCATGACATGAGAAACCCTTCACTCCTGCCTATAGAATTCCGTTCCCACCTGCTCTTGCTAACTTGGTATTACGTTTTGAGACTTTTCGAGGTTTTGATTTGTTGAGATAAGTGAGAAAAGGACTCTAGCAAGTTCGCACGCACAAGAGGACTCATGGGCAGTCTTTTATCAGTTAATATCGATCCGTCAACTCCCATGTGCTGTTTTGTTATGTTCTTATTATCTCATAAGCTTTGGAAATTAAGGGATGTCTTAATTCCCCAATTTCTTGTGACGCTTTTAATTATGCGTCATTCTAAGTATGAATATGTATTTGAGGTTCCATATCTATTAACTACAGCAAGTACTTCTATACAATCGCCGAGTATAACAAGCACATCCACATAGTTGCCGAATATAACAAGTATATACCTTTATACGATTGCCGACTATACCTAGGAAGTAATTCTACACAGTTGTTGAGTTGTCATGACTTTGACAAGTGTGCTCTTATCCTATCGGCGACTATAGAGAATACTTCTATACATTTGTTGACTATGGCAAATACTTCTTTAGAAACGCCGAGTATAGTTTGGGCAGTTTTATAGTCGTCGACTATAACACGCCGTATTCTATAGTCCTCACTTGTAAGATGTACAATTTAAACTTGTCAACACTCGCCCGACGTTTTCTATAGTCGTCAAGTATAAGCTGCCGCCACTTATAATCGGCATCAACAACATATCGTCTATCATGTCGTCGACTATGATACGTACCTCTTGACAGTTACCAACTGTAGCATGTACATACCTTCCTAACTCAGTTTTTCTGTCAAACAGTACCCGCCCTACATTCACTTATCATATATTCTCCTTAGCCAGTGTGTACCCGCCTTGCGAGAAGTCACCTTGTGTACTTGCCTGGTATAACCCCTCTCCTAGTGGTTGATGATAGCCTGTGCCCGCCTTTTGAAATAAATCAACCAGCCTAAGTTACGCAAGTTTCCCGTGCACCTCCCTAGCAAGTCCTCTAAACCCTCTGACATTGGCCACGATATGTAACCTGACCTGGGTTGCTACCGCAGTAACTGTTCTGTCCCTACCTTCCAGTTTCTTCTCAACCCCAAGGCACACTCTTCTCTGGTTTTCTATTTAAACACCCAGACTTTTCCTTTCTCCCACATTTTTTCTTCCCATCTCCAAAGTTCCAACACTAGATTCTGGTATGCAATCAAGTTTTTCAAAGCCTAAAACATCATTGCCTAGGTAGCCATTCTTTCTTCTAAGATCAGTTGGTCCAGCCTTTTGTCAAGCGGTTTCAGCCTTGATATCAATTTGATCAAGCCTCATATCTGGTTTTCAAAGGTTAGTATCTCCCTATCTCCCCATGACTCTTCGCTTGCTCTGTGACCTTCGCCTCTTCTATGAATCGTCCCCCTTCTACATGCCTATCACCTTTTCGCCTCCCCTGAAAGCACATATCATACAAATGCGATGAAGGATACCTATCAACGCTACTGAAAAGACATTACTCTCTTCCATACTGACTTGTTCCCCCCTCCCCCAACTTATCATCTTATACAACATCCCCGACCATATAAGCCTTCATCATTTATACTCTTACCATCTTCCAAGCTATCATTGACCCCTAACCCGACTCTCTTCTGGTCTATCTAGGTCTTTTCCCTTACCAGCCACCATCATGCCGAAGCTCAAGTCAGTAGAACTTCAGGCCGATACTGTCATTTGGGGATTGGTCTACCGAGACCAGTATAAGAACGATGTAGAGAATAAAGATCTGCATCAACTGCATCAGGAGGCTCGAAACACAAAGAAGAAGCCCCAGAAAAGAAAAGCCGCCAAGGAAGAGAAGGATGACGATTCCGATGATGCCGACAAAGATAAGAACGATGACGACGACAGCAATGCCGGCCCTAGCGGCAGCAACAACAACGATAATCCAAATATTCTCCCTGGAGAGGAACTGAGCCGAGCTATTAGAGTTCAGGATGGTATGCATGTCACGGGACTGCTATGTGCGGACGGATCACGAGTCAACGTCAACGCCGGCGAACCCGGTAGATACCAACTAATCTTAGGCTCGGGACGCCACGTCGCACCGGATCGTTATCAGCAGAGAACAAGCCTCCTCCGAGACATCCACTGGGATATGGTTTATATCACCGGACAGTCTTACTCCAAGGCCTCCGATCGAGAGGGAGTTGATGACCACATGATGGGCCCAGCCAGGGCCAGTCAGTCGATAATGTGTAATCTTGAAAAAGATATATTTATCATCGACAGATCGGCTTTGGCGTGCATCGACAGGCCGAGAGACGGGGGCGGTGCGTCCGAGGACGCAGATTCGACCCGGGCCAAGAGGGCTCGAACCCGCATCGAGGATTGGCCGCTCCGACCACGCAACCTCGCCTTTAACCTTAACGACCCCGCAAGCTTGTACATCTACTCCTACTTCGTCGACAAAGCGGCTCGACACGGCGACGCAGAGATCAGGGCCCTCCTGGAGGAGAAGAAGACTGTTACTTTTTTTTCTGGTCCGGAAAACTGTGACCACAACGATTGTAATGCCTGGCGCGCGAAGCAGAACACCAAGATGCGCCCACCGGCCACGAAGAAGGTCCTGAGAAGCTCCTGGTGGGCGTTTGCGGACTTCTGCCCCCTGCACACATCGGGCAACTCATTCACTGTCTGGCCCCACGCCCAGGACCTCATTCAGACCAAGGGTGTGGGCGGCGAGGCCGCGAACCGTCTGCGCGCCTGGGCCCACGCGATGCTTAATCACTCGTTTCTGGCCGGCGGCTACAGGGTTGACCGCTACCGAGAAAATACACTCGACGCCCTCGTCCGCTGCCGAAACGAATGCCTGGTGGTTGGTCACTTGCGCGGGGGCGGCGGCCAGATCGACCAGATCGTGAGCCAGATCGCGAGCGGCGGTCCGTGCTACAGCTGCGGAGAGCAGCACCCGCAGGCGAAGCAGTTCGGGCACTTGGCCATCGACAAGCACCAAGTAACGGGTCTGATCTACCTCCACTTCGGCGGAGCCCGCGGAGAGGCGAGCTCGAGCGAGGATTCGAGCGGGGGTTCTGGCGGCGACGACACCGGCGAGGGAAAGAACGAGAGCGGCGATCAGGACGAGAGCTCCAAGCCCGATTCGTGTTCCGGAGAAGACGGAGAAGAAGATAGTGCCGAGGATGAGGAAGCCGGACGCAAGAAGAAGGACAAAGGCAAGGGTAAGGCCACGGCAGAAAATGATCAGGGCCGTAAGGAAGGAAGTGAGACGGATGGAGATGAGGAAGGACACGAAGCTGAAGGTGACGGAACCGGAGACGCCACTACTTCGACGGCTGATAGTGACTGATCATGATGATGATGCTGCTGCCAATACCACACCTGCCGCCAGAAAGTTTCATTCCCTTTCTGTGCCTCTTCGATTCAGCTCTACGGCGACTCTCATCGGTGCATTTTGCTCTTGGTTTCATTTCGCTTCGTTCGATCACAGCAAGTCACATTCATATCACGGGATCATCATCGACCCAAGTGACCAGAGCTGCAACAGAGCCGGTGGCCTTTTTTTTTTTTCTCTCTGATCTTCATTACAAATACCCATGGCAGCATTTGCAGGTTTCAGGGTAAAAATGTTGATTATGAGCAAGGAGTTAGGAAAACAATCCAAAACCTAGGGTTTTATAGGCAGTTGTTATTTAGCCTTAGGCAGATAATTCCAAGCACTCCCTGATAGTTTTTCTTCTTTTCCCTTTTCTTATAAGTCTTGCAATGGCGTAGCAGTGTATAAAGCAACTAATTACCTACCTCCTAACCCAATAAAAGCAGCTGCACACGTGGCATCCCTTGAGATTCATTGGTTAACATGCCGGCCTTGTTCCGGCCTTTGTTCGGCAGTCACCATCAGGACCCGGCCCGGTTACCGGCCCCATTCGGCACCGCAACAGGAGGGGCTGTGGTTGGAGACGGGGCACCCCGCACCCGGGACGGCAACAGCGGCTCGGAGGACCCAGAGCCCTAGCCACTAGGAAGCTTTGACAGGCCTGGTAAAGCCCCCGATTTGGGCAACAGCCTGATCAATACATTACTGACCATACTTGGAACAGTGACTACACTCCAACTTATAAGAAAGTCTAGGGGTCACTTCAATTTACCTTATGTATATAAGTTCCACAACATACATCTCTTACCAGTTAAATATCTTTAAAAGGATAGCGATAAATAGAATTACTTCCACACACGTAATTAAGTAGAAGTAGAGATAAAAGCTCTTCACCCGAAAAGGGGTTGAATTCATATTCAGTACGTAGTACTAATTACGAGGACGCAATCACTCATTATCATAAAAATAGCATGAATCACATCGTATGTATTAATCATTAAGAAATCAATTACCGCGAGGGAAAAGAACACGTTTCTGCTAAGAACTAGCTCTAAAGTACTAGTAGACAACGGGAGGGTGTTGTGTCTTGGCCGTTGCGGATCGTTCGCAAACAAACCAATCTAATAAAACACATGTCCCGAGCCGTGAATATCAAGGCAATATGAATTCCGTAGCCCAGTATAGTCGTGAGCTATGTTCCTTTCCTGTTGCTGCATCTGCTGCGGCGGCGGCGCCATCATCATCTACTTCATCCACTATGAGTCCTCGATGAACTCGATCATAACCGTGCCCTGCTTCAAGCCGGCCTCTTCGATAGTCTTTCCTATCTCCTCGATCAGGTCTCTGCCTGCCGGCATTGCCTTGAGCTCAAATGGGATGTTCTCCTTGCCCTCGAGAGGCTCGGCCTTTAACCATTCGTAGATACGACGAACGGGGTCTGTAATCGAGAATCTTCGAATAATACGACCGCCGGCATGGCGGAATTGTATTCTGGTCGTGGTTGCAGGGTTGTTCTCAGGTTCCACGTGAGGATTAGTCGATAAAATCTGAGCAAATGCTAACGACGTAGGAGATTGAGTAGAGTCATCAGCTAAGTCGTTAGACCCAGCAACCGCTTTGCCTTTGCCTTTTCCAATATCTGGGTTTGACTTAGTAAGGGCGTCAGGATCTTGAATGCTAGGTTCCGACGATCCGCCATTCTCGTCAAGACTGTTCTGTAAGGCAATTCTAAGCATCTCCTCTTCTGACAGCCGGCTAATATCCACGGGTTTCGTCTTCGGCTTTGACTTGACAACGGGATTCTTGCTGTTGGCTGCTAAGCTGTATCGGTCGAGAAACTCGACGAGATCCGAATGGAACTCGGTCACAGAGGGAAATGATTCTCCTGACCAGACTTTAACCTGCTCTCCGGTACGTGGATCGATAATAGAAACGTGAGGATAGTTATTTTCATCCTCGTGAGCTTGGTTGGCAAAGTAGAATGTGGTGTATGATTGAGCGAGCGGGTCGTCTAACGTGTATTGTAAGAAGATAAAATGCTCGCGGATCAGAGACGCGATATCTTCATTCTTCCAGTGGTCTCTGTTAAGGACTTGGCATCCAAAGTCGTCCAGCTTCTGAAGGTTAACAAGTATCCACTTCTTCTCCTCCTTTCCGAGGTCTCTTGCGGCATCTAACGGCAGACGAGTAATCAAAGTCGTTGGAGGTGCGAATAGATCTCTTAGTCTCCGCGATGTATTACTGGAAGTGGGTTGCATGTTTCGCGGTCGAATGTCATCGCCATCTTCGCGGTCGAACCAATCAACCGATGATTGATTGAAGGGATTTGCACTAATACCTATGAAAAGAAGTTGGTTAGGAAAGTAAACGAGAAGAGAGACAGTAGCCAAAAAGGCTCAAAGCTCACCTGGTGCTGCTCTCCGTCGACGTATTTGTTCCATAACAGCAGCATTTCGGTCTTCATCCAAACCCCAAGAGAGATTGGGCGCTGCGAGGGTCTCGGTTGTTTGTGCTATGGGTGCTCTTACTCCATCCAGCGGTCCGTGATTCTCTGAGTACATTTCTTCTTGTAGCCGTCTCGCCATCGCGGCATCTTCTTCCTCTTGCGCGGTTCTTGCTATCGCCGTGACATCGTCCGCGTCATCAAGTATGTCAAAGTCATCATTCACCATTTGCACATCGTCGTCGTCGGAATCTATGTGGATGATGCCGCTGGTATCTTCGCGACCTGTAAAAGCCCGGTTTCGAGTCGCAGAAGACGACGTAGGCTGTCTGGCTGAAGTGGAAGTTGAAACGGCAGGCCGGTTGAAGCTAGCTTGTAACTCCGGATTTTCGTAGAAGAGCTGGATAGCTTGCATAGGGTCGCCGCCCGAGATTTCGAGGTAGCCGCGAGCTACATGCTCGGCTGAGATGCCAGTTATGGCCATGAACTGGACTACGTCCTCATCCATCTTGGAAGAACTAGTATAATTATGAAGGATAAGGTGTATATGTCGAGTATTATTATATGCGCGCGGTTACTTAATTTGATGACTTTTTGTGCGGCGAGAAGCTGATAGTATCAAGCTAGGGTAAGGTGGTGAGGTGGTAAGGTGGTAAGGCGGTAAGGCTTGTATGGCTGAAAGGCTATAAATTTGTGAAGTTGCGAAGTTGTCAAGGTTTAGGTACCAGACGCCACGCACTCGATGCTTGTAGCTCGTAGCCCGAGAACCAATAGAAAAAAACGTGAATGGCGGATCTAAGTTCACAACTTGGCTACCAGGTAGCTTCTTAGCTTAAATACCTCCCTGTTGGAATTTCGTCTGTATTGAAATAATCCATCCACATCTCCTCGGGAAAGGTAACGAGAGTGAGTATTTACCGCCCGAGGCAAACAAAAATGAGATTGAAGTTGTTTGTACGAGAAATGATGTTTTGTAGCAGGTGACTGTGCTGTACTAGTAATGTGAGAAGTGCGAAGTTTAGGTAATGGCCTTTGAAGGCGGCTATTGTGACGCAACAACTATCTTGTGGAGCCAGGCCAGTGCAGATAAGCCGATAAGCCGATAAGCGACCAAAAATAGTTGGAGCCTCTGTTATCCTTCAGTCCCTTCCCGACCTTTCTCCGCTTATAACCCCGCGGTAGGTACAAACTACTTAAGTACCTGGGTACTCAGATACCTATGTACTTTGGCTATGGAGTAGGTACCTAACATACATGCATACATGTAGGTGATCCACAGTTACTAACGTACTCATCGTGCTAAAGTTAGTCAGGGGATACAATGCATACTTTACACCAACTTCGTTCTTTAAATAATAAAGAAACCTCAGATATTATACGTATTGGAATAACAACAGATGATTATTTCTTCTCATAGGCATTACGTATTACCAAACAGATCATACCAAGAAAGAAATCAAAGAAAAATTCTATTCGGTGTCTTATCCCTAACTCATCGCTTACACACAACTACATTTCCTCACATCTCCTAGAACATCTCATCTCTTAGACAGCAAGCTGTTGAGCGACATGCTCTAGAAGCTTCTGCACATCTAACGACCTTTCCGCTTCTGTCATGGACTTCAACTTCTTCTCCATCTCGTCAAGCAACGGCCCCTGCTCGCTAACTGCGCCAAAGACGCCCTTCTTTAATGCCTTCGCGAAAGCTCCGAGTGCTTTTGCGCGGTTGGATCGTTGATTTTCAAGGATTGCGTTGCTCTCATCTGCTACTAGCAGTCTGAACCATCGAGTAGCCACCGTACCGGCTGAAGAACCCGGAGAACCTTCAGAAGCTGCGGCCTGGTTCAAGATATCAGCGGCGCTGGTGAACCACGTATCTCTAGCTAACGAAATTGCTGCCTTTACTCCTTCTACAGTAGTCACTATAGTATCCAGCACAGCAAGCGGTGTTTCCCGCATTTGTCGACGATTGTAGGCTGTCAGGGTAGCTTTGAGTGCTGCATCCGTTGTCTTTTGCTCCAATTCCGTAACCTTGTGTGCTTCGTCAGGTTTCAAGTAATTTGACACGATGCCAACTACCTCCGCATACATATATAAATCCTCTCGGGCGCGAGCAAACTCCGCGAGGGCTTGGAATGCATGAGGGCGATATGTATCATTATTTCGTTTCGCTTCGCGGATAGCTATCTTCTTCAGTTGCGTTGCGAGAGCTGAATCCGTGCTCCAAAATTTCTTGCCGTGGAGTACGAAGAGAGGATATGCCGTCACTACTTTCTCTTTGCCGCTAAATGTTTTGAGCGATAGAGCCTTTTCTAGCGCAGGCCAGATTTTCTGTAGGTCCGCGTCGGCGAATTGACCGTCTTTCCCGGCGGCACTGCTGAGTGCAGTGATCATAGACGCCACAGTTATAGCACCACCGTGTTGAAGAGCCCACTTCGACGTATCGAGGCCTTTCAGCGCAAACTGTGTAATCTCATCGACGAAACGTTTAACACTATGGCTTCCACCCGCATGTTGATTCCAGACAGCTTCAAATTCCTCAGATACGTAGTCATCGGTGTCATGTTTGGCTAAGTATGAGAAAGGCAAGAGACGGGCCTCGAGGTCGGAAAACGCATCAGGGGAGACCTTCGCTATGGCTAGAACAACATCAGCAACCTTCTGCCGCCGAGTATCATCCTCGGCTCCAAAATACAAGTCTACAAGTCGCGATGTAAATCGGTCTCGAGACTCCAGGGTCGCCGATCTCAGCAGATATGCAGAACTTCTGGCATACGCCTTGTTCACTTCATGATTCCTATCCAGGATCTGCGTCTCCATTGTCTTTAGAAACTGCGCATTATACGGAGGTAGCAGGATGCTATGTCGAAGTGCCAGAGTACTGAGAAGTTCGGCGCAACCGATCTTGGTTTGCATTCCAATAGCCGATTTGATAGTTGAGACTAGCTGAGGGGCGAGTTCCTTCATGGCGTCCTCGTCAACAAACCGCAAACAATCAACGATGCATTCGAACATGGGCGATCGGGTAGCAAATGTGCCTCGTAGCTTGTCCAGGCTTTCGCGATCTTCTTCACTAAATCGTTGGTACGCGAAATTGACCTCGTCTGGCTCTACCGTACTTAGTAAACCAAGGAAATGTGTGATGATAGCCGGAATAAATGGCTTCAATGCATCACCTCCGTTTTTGACAACATCTAAGACGATTTTGATGCAGAAATACTTGATTTCCTTGACAGAATTCTCGACTCCCTTGTCAGACAACAAGAACGGGAGAACCTGAGCCATCATGGCTCTGGCTGAAGCGGAAGAGTTGTTCTCCTGGAGCTGAGTGACAAGCGTCTTCGATAGTCCCATGCATAGTTTCAGGGCAGCGGTCCTGACAGATTCTTTCTTGTCGTCTAGGACTCTAAATGCGAGCTTCCAGATCTCAGCGTAGTACTTTTCGTACTTGGTAAATGGCTGTCCATATATGAGTTCGGCAATCGCCGCGCAGCTTGCCTCTCGTACACGCCATTCCCTTCCGTCTAATATACTTTTTAACAGGTCCTCCATTATGGCATCGAAGTATTTATCGGTCGTCGCTGTCTGGTCTTTGACAACCGCTTTCCAAATATCTTCCATTGATCTTTGCACGTTGGAATTTGGATCAAACCGGTACCGATACAGCTTTGGATAAATCTTTGGATCTAACTCCGCGTCTGAGAGAATATTGCTTAATCCAAAGCGACCAAAAGCGGAACGAGCAGTCCACGTCGCGGCATTCGTGGCTAAAGCCATGAATTTATATATCAAACTTTGATCGCCAACTTCGTTAGCAAGACTAACGATGTCCTTGTAAGATGTGATCGACTTTCCCTCTCCGGTTGGCAAGGCGCCAGCGTCGAACAGTTCGGTATCTTCGTCGACCTTCAACTGTGTTTTAGTCCCGGTGAAACTGGACACCAAATCCTTCACAAGCTCTGTCTTGAGAGATGGGTCTCCTTTTTCATACACCAGAGCAAGTCCACGCGAGGCCGTTTCTTGGACAAGTTCATCTCGGGCAGAAAGCAGTCTCATGAAAGCAACCTGGCACTGGCGCAGACGAGATTGGATCTCAGGAAGGTTTGAGCAATATTGGATAATGCAGAAAAGCCATATACCCGACGATTTCAGAACGGAAGGCTTGGTGGTTTTGCAGCCATCAATGAGTTTACTTATTGTGGCGTCAATTCTAAGAGGTCGCTTTCCGAGGCCGTCGACGATGTCGGATTTACCTGATCCAGAAGGTTCCACATCCAACCCGAGTTGTACGGCTTGGGAATCCCAACGAGCGATTGCACATGCAATTGCCTCGCCGGTTGTGAAATGTACTTCCGTTCGCTTGATATCAGATAACGCGAATAATTTATCCAGGATCTTTGCTACCGGCTCTGTCTCATCGCCCGAGAGGTCAGCCGACGAAGGAATTGCTAGCTTTCCCAAGGTACTAATCGCTTTTTCATTTCCTGAAAGCGAGAGCTTGGCTAATGCGTCAATTGTCTCCGTAAGATCCTGGTCCTTCTGGGGGAAGTAAATATTCACAGTCCAAAGTTGCGAGATGCATTCCAGAGTAGAGTTTAGGATATCTGCGCTCCCCTTTCGCAATGACGATATCAGCCTTTGGTAGATAAATTGGGCATGCTCGGATACATCGTCGGGCTTGATCTTGCCATAGTAAGCGGCACGGGAAAAATAGCTACCAAGGCAAAGAAGCGAACCTTGATACTCAGCAGACTGAGAAGCAGAGGGCTCCGGGCATGACGTGATAAAATCCCGTAGACGAGAAATTAGGGCGGCAGACTGACTGCTCCATGGCACTAGTATACCGAAGACTTTCGACGCCAACTGCCTAACTTTCAGGTTATTGGACTTGATTATGGGGAGCAGTTCTTGGGTTCTTGCAGACAATGTGGATATAACAGTTGTTGAGGGTGCGAACGATAATATCTCGGCAAGACACCCAATATGCTCCTCGATGCCAAGGTCGGGATGATCTCGAAGCCCATCAAAAGCTGCATTGAGGATTTTCAATAGAGATTCCACGTTTGCGACCGCAAGATATTCTCTAATCTGGTTGCGGCTCTCCAGATCATTTTGCAGCTTTCGCTCTAGTTGTGACTCCCAATCTACCTCAAACTTGTCCTCGCCTAGTGCAGTGAGGAATATGATCTGCTTAACATATTGTAATGCTATTGGGAAAGCTCGAAGAATATTGTTAGGAAATAACGTGTATTTCGATGTCTGATCGACATCCATACGGCTTCCATCGGTTTCACGGTCGGTGTTGAAAAGCATCTCTGTCAATTTCGTCCAATCAGGCAGGATTAATGCACTCTCAGGATGGAATTTAGTAGCCCACCACGGATCGAGCCCCCGTTGTCCTTCTTCGAGCACATCCCGTCGTTCAGAAGTCCCACCACCTAAGGCGAGAATATCGATCCATCGAGCTTGAATGTTGCTGTAAGGAAGACAGTTATTCGCAAAGCGCGCTGCGACGTGCCGTGCCGTTCTTCTTCCTTGCCCTTGGGGTAAAGTCATATATTCTAAGAGCAATATTTCCAGATCTCGTATCTCCGTTGGGTTTGTTGGCTTGAAAAGGCCCATCATGCTTGACAAGGAACTTTCGATATAGACCACAATATCCGGGCTGGGGTCAGAGACTAGGGAATCAAAGAGCCACTTCAGCAGCAAATCTTTCGCCTTATACTCGAAATGGCCCCCCCTTGCGAGGGTACCAATGGTTTCATACGCATTGGCTCGTAGTCTCTGTTCGTCTTGAGCTTGCGACTGCTTTCCTCGAGGTGTGGGTTCCGGCCATCCTTGTTTCAGAATGTAGTCCTTTAGCATAAGAACGAGGGGCGGCCCAATATCATCACTGGTGTCCCTAGAAACGGATTTGTTTCGAGCAACCCAGCCCAGAAATGCCAATAATGCTTTGCTAAGCCGCAATCCTTCGAGACCGAGGGCAGATGCATCATCGCCAGATACAATACTGAAATCCTGCTTAACTGCTTCTAGCATATCTTGCTTAAAATTGCACGCGGTGACTGATTTGGAGAGCAACTTAAGAACTTGTATCCGATGGGCGGCCGGAAACCTTTTATGAGCGTCGTAAAGTGATCGAATTATATCTCTATTTTCAAGGTCAACATTAGACCGTTTGAGGACATCGTCAGCAATCGACGTGATTCGCGAATCTGCGGAACCAGCCGCGCATATCATGGGTACATATCGCTCGTCGTCTGTGAATGCACCACTGGCTAAGAAATTGGCAGCCTTAGTTTTACATTCCGGTAAGCTCAGACTAACTGGGCTACCTGGTTTCCATGTTTGAGGGCTGTTGTTCCTTAGGAACGTAATATCCTCACGAGTGAGGCCTGATAGTGAAACGAGGAGTTTCCCATCGAGTTCTTCGTCAGTCGTCAAGGCCAAATCCTGTCTCAAGAGGAACAGTTTCCCAAGCCACTGTGATATGTAGCTAGCATCTCCCGCATCCGAAAGGCCGATTCGCTCTCGAAGGGCAATATCTTCATTACTGCCTCGCCCAGGGATTTTAATCTCCAAAAGCAGACGTAAAAATATGTTGAAAAATCCAGCGGCACCGGTTAAGTTAGTTTCCTTGGAGATTCCTCGCAGTACCAGCGGAAGTAGCTCTCGGCGCTCATGCTGGCCAAGTCTCAAAATGCCTTGTTTTATAAGACTTAGGTCGAGCTGCTTGACCATAGGCGAGCTAGTCCTTTTGTATTGTTCGACAAGAGCTGCGACGGGTAAGACGACGCTGGCGTGAGGGTCAGTAAGAAGTATGATTATTGGTAGAGCATGGCACATACCCTGCAGGCTTGACGAAATTGTTGACATTTATGAACCCTTGAAATGCCTGTCCAGACAGTTTAGTGATGCACCGATTTCAGGAATATGTGGAAAATAAGACACGTACAACATCTCTTACAGCTTTATGCTGACTACCCGCCCTTTCAAGGAGGGGAACAAGTTGTGAGTGAAGGGCATCACTGAGTTTCTTCTCATCGGTGGAGACACTGGCGATCTTATAACGTATTGAGGAGATCAGCTTTAGGTCAGCGCCTCCATCGGATGAAGCCATTATGGAATAGAACGAAGATGACCGAAGTATGCAGGAGGATACGTATGGGGGGAAAGGTAGCGCTTCGTCTTTTAAATGGAAAGATAGAAGTCGAATATTATAAGGACTTTATTAAAAATTGCTGAGAGTACTATCCGCGTAGTCTTTTCTGCCTGGGCTTCCTGGGCTGGGCTGTTTCTTGCTAGTGATTCCCTAAGGCAGTCAGGTACACGACAAATTCAGATTGATGATTGACGGTTCATGTTTTTAGCTGCATCTCAATTAATTAAACGTACAGAGACTTCAGCATCGCCGCTCAAAGTCACTGGAGTCTACTACGTTCTTAACCTAAGTTTTATCGCATTCTGGTGACCGACGCTCGTTAGCCAGCAAGATGCGCACGTCAACAATAAAAAGGTAAAAGCGGGAAGCGGGAAGTGGGAAGAATGTGGCGGTACAGATCACAGCCACAGTCATACCACAAGTGGCTGCTACATCTAGGTACTATTTTTATCTTCACCTTATCCGAGTGTCTTTATCAATTGTTTTTAGGGCTTTGATGGTTTTGAGCACATCCCGTCAAATTGTTGCTTTCCGTTCCAACACATTTTTATATGAATCAATGTAGCTTACTAAAGAAGTAATAAATCGAGCATGATATACTATTGAAGTCAAATAAGCAATTCTCCATAAATTTTGTGGACTTTCAAAGCTGCTAGATATCTATCGATGCTGCTTATGAGTTTGTATAAGATGAGGGTTCATTTTTTAATGAATAATATCATATCATATGATTATTAGGAAACGACACAAGATACGGCTAAAGGAAAATATCAAAACTTCATTTATACGGAATACCTAGTAGAAATATGTCGTCACGTTATTAAGCATAGATTCTTCTTAGGTTATACTCGACATCCTAGATAAAACTTTACTTTCAATACGCAATTCATATTCGCATATACCCGGACAGAGTTTATCTGTCTACTTCAAGATTTCAGATGTCCACCCTCAATTCCCAGTCGTTCAACTAGGTAATAGATAACTCAAGTTGAGATAGGTCGAGGTAATATCATTAGTGCTACTTACAACCGTAACCTTGGTCACTGTAGCTAACCGACCCAAATGGCCCATTCTTGCCTAGGCAATTTGGAAAAGAGTTTTTGTCTCTTGACACGACGATGTTCGCTCCGACGTAGCGCCACCCTCAACTAGGGTTTTGACCTTACTTTAAGGGTGCTAACTACGGAGCGGTACCGAGCTCGGCTTGAACCTTCATCGCGCGTTAAGTTTTATGACAGAAACTCAAATACCCCGTAGATCCATGCTCTGGAAGAACCCGTATTGCGGAAACTGACTAGTTGACAAGCTTTTGCCTTCACATAAAAGCCTCAAGTTAACTCACTCTAAAACTGCCGGCATACCTGGAGTCGTATGAACTCTATCAAAAAGTAGAACTGGGAATATTTATCTACTCTAATACGGGAAATACAAAGACAGTTTGGATAGAGTAGTTTCATACACTACTAGCTCATTGGCGCGATTCAGTGAGCCCGTTCAGATCGCGAACGAGAGATCGGAAGGCCGGAAGATCCGTTGTGCACAGACGGAGCTGGGGTCTGCTGTCAGCTTTGGCCTTAGCGCAGTTACACTACACTACTCAGTACCAAACGACGAGATGACGTAGAAACTTGCCCAGAAGAGCTTTTTGAAAGATAAAATAGGATTAAATACCTACCTGACATATGTATGCTAGGTACTGCACGAAACTTGTATCGTGCCTGGATAGATCGTGCTGCCGTGTGACTCGAAACGAAAATCACCCCGTTTTCGAAGAAAATTTGTTTTCCGCGTTTGCTGAGTTTTACCAAAGACCTGAGGCATCTGTGCGTAGTGTACATTAGTTCGGTGGGTTATAATAGTTATAATACCTCTGGTGGGTACGTAAAGGTTTAGGTTAGGTAGGGTAGGATCTTGTGCCTTGCAGCCGGTGTCTTATATATGTACTATACAAATTTGGTTAACTTGGTACTTCGGAGGTAAAGGGAAAAGAAAAAAGGTAGAACTTGTATTGGGTCCCGATTGCGATTGCGGATGGAGTGGTTAGTTGCATGCGCGTAATTGCTCGCCAGCCGAGAAACTAAACTAAGTGGAAGAGGGAAAAAAGAAAAAAAAAGTTTGCTAGTCTAAAATACTAGAACAGCTGCTTACATACACCATGGAAATAAATGGACGCACAGGGAGGCGCTCTCTGCCTCCATACATGTAGTACGCAGTACTATAGTACCTACATCATGTTCATCATGTTCCTAGCTTTGATGTAGCTCATGTACCTAGGTAGATACTGTAAAGTATCGATACACATGTCTGTGTATTTGCTAATGGAAGTATCCCAGAATGGCAGCCCTAAGGAAGCCAAGACCCATCGGATCGTTCTCTTTTTTTTTCTTCGCATCTAGCAGAAAGGAATATTGATATCTACCTCCTATTTCTGATTTAAAATATAATAATATTGTGCAATGGACTCCGGTAGTATAATTCTTTCCCCCCGTTTCTAGGCCGCGCCATCCAAATAAATATGAAATTATTCCCCTCACGCCGGCGGCCCAGCGGCCGTAAGATCAGGTATCTTAACACAAAGTGCACTGTCTACAGTAAGAAAAATACTGTACTTTGAAATAATGCTTGTCATTTCTCAATCTGCATTTAGGCCGCCAACCAGGCAGGGATCTTGCAGATCGTCGCATTTCCCGGGGTGAGAGCCATTTTATGATTCGAGATCCGGTCCCAGATTTCATCGCCCTCCCCCTCGCACACACGTGCTATTGCGCCGTCACACAACCAATCTCAATTTGTTTGTGGTAGTGTCCGGATGTCGCTACATACGTCGTAGAGGCTGGTGTAAGTAGACGAACGCCCCCTTAGGGATGTATTTCAAGTGCTAGGTACTTAACCTAAAAGTCGGGTATATCTAATGGGGAGCTTGGGGATATCACCAAGCTACTGTACCTACGACCTAAGCATTTCTTCTGCTGATAATCAATATGCCATCTCAGGTCTGGATAAAGCTATTTCAGATCTACGTAAGCAGGTAGTCAAATGAATTGACTACTTACCCAATCCTTTAGACTAAATAAAAATGCAGCTTTTATAAACGTTTGAAGCACAAATCGAAACCGTCGACGGACTGCGATAGGTACAATACATGTAAACACGTCCCTGATAAAGAAATTACACTGAAGAGACGGGTTTCAAAACAAGACCTACAGGACAATGTTGAGTTGTCAACACCTGACAGTCAAGTTAAATTCTGCGAAATTCTTTAGGAATAGTAAAGTTGCACGCATAGGTACCTAAATACCAGGTAAATAAACGAGATACATCGTAGAATGTAAGACATCGTATTCCTCGCTGGTAGAGATTTTATACAACTTTAGGAATGTTCAGCATAAATCCTTATTAAGAACATAAATACATATTACATTAATAATGTTTTTAAAAGCTATAGGTTAATCTAACTTTTGGCTTACGATGTTGACGTTCTATTACGGAATTTTGCAGGACGAGCTTTAAAGTCACATCTATACCTACCTACCTAGATGCGTTAAGGCTAGGTTAATGCTAAATTCATGTCGGATCCCAACATAGCGCACTACCCTACAAAGCTGGCTGCTGGACAGATAGGCAAATTGAAACATTGAAATCTCTACAGATTCGTAACGATGGTCGCCGAACAAGATGTATCTTTAAGATGTGTATGACAGTATTTGACATTAATATACTAACCCTATTGACGCCTTCAAGGAAACTATCCTTCTCTTCTCGGTTCGTGCAGGGAGGAAATGTCAAGCTCTTGACATATCGTGCACAGACTGACAGAATGGATACCTCATTATACCCGAGACTAGTATTTTTTGTATTTCTGCTAGATTCCGTTCCATCGTTCTGTACCTAACATGTAGCCACCTAGGTGAGGATGGAAAGGCATGTACCATGTACCCACTTGGAAAGTATCTTGCAGTACTATTACGTATGCATGCAGCTTAAGTTGCACTATGAGGTGGGGTGCACTGACCTCAATTGAATACTTTGAACCCTAGTACAGTGCGTCAGGTACATCAGGAACTTTGCTGCTGCTCTACTGCTTCAGCTGCTCAGAAGCTTTCCACCAGCTTATTCTGCGGCCTGATAGGGCAAGTTCTTGAGTCCTAACGCTCGCCTGCATGGAGCTACCCGTAGAGCAAGGAAAGCACACAACCAATATATGTCGAACATTCTCCTGCAATCTGAGCTACCTTAGGTACCTATGAGAATGATATTAAAGCTCTGTCAATTTCCAAGCAACTAGTGACCTAGTATATTAATACCTCTCTTTAAAGAGCCAAATATATTAAGGTAATTATCTACCACTTTTATCATAAGCAATTGGGCACTGGAGGAAATATACATACTTTAGGTAGGTAATGAATTATTTTGTAGGTATGACTAGTGTAAGTCAATATACACACCCATAGGTATTCAAACATGGATGCGGGTGTCAGAATTTGTATTGGGGTCCAGGTCTGAAATCTTGAAGCCGTACTGTACATAGTACAGTACAGTACTTCCCACGCCCGAAGATAAACATAGAAGCTTGCTTAGGTAGGTTAGGTTAAGTTAGGTAGGAGGTAGTTCATGTAGGTAGTTACTAGTTGCAACTAACATGTAGTAAGTTACCACAAGTACTTGGACGGTTCAAGTCATTAGCGGCACCTTTTTTTTTTTTTTTCCTTTTAAGTTTGAAGTCGCAGGTGCGCTTTGGTCTGGCAAGCTCCACTTTGGCAACTGATGGAAGAAGATTTTGGCGGCCATGGCTCCGTTGGAGACTCGTCTCTCCTCCACCCGAAGGGCCCCAGCCCAGTCCAATTCCACCTTTTTTCCCACTCACACACTACGCGCAAACCAAACCAGCACTATCGTTGTTCTGTTTTTGTGTTTCTTGCTTGCTGTTTTAATTCTTCTTCTTCTTCTTCTCTCTCTCTCTCTTGCTCCCTCACTCTCCACCCTCACATTCATTTCCTTCGATTCCTCTCTTCTCTCTCAACCCTAATTAACGTCGCGAGCCCAATCCTTTTCGCCTGCTACGTGAATTCGTTGGTTGCGTGCGTTTTGGCAAAAAAGCGTTTTCTGTGTGCGCGCGGCCTGCTCGGTATCCCATCCTTCGTCTATCGCATCGTCGCAACGGTTCAGTGCGGGTTTTATTTCCCAATTATCACGGTTCCCCCAATTCTTGTTGCGGCGCAATTCGATATCTAGGAGTCTAAAAAAAGGATCGATCCTGTTATTTTTCAACAACGAAAATAAAAGTCTCCCGGTACCCTCGGATCTTGCTGGAGTTCGCGAAGGTGCTACATTTCTGCTGCTTTACTCGGAACTAAAAGTGTCATTCGGTGTCTAAAAGTAAGTGCATATTCTCTTTTGTTAAAATATTATTGCGCCTTTGGGTGCTCTTCAGCATTTGGACTCCCTCGGACCCTCTGGATACTTGCGATTCATCAACTTATAAGGCTCTGCAATCGCGGGGTGTCTTGGTTGGTGCTGCCTAGCCGCGAGAATTGGCTAGGCTACACATTTTTTGTTGTAACAGCTGGATTGGCCGACCCTCGGATCCTACGTTGCCGAACCGAAGCTGCGTCATTGAACCCCAGCTCTCACCAAACGAATGGAAGACCCTAAATTCGCATTGGTCGTGGTTGTATCATGGATGATGCGCACTTCTGAAATTTGCTGAGCATCATGCCACGATTTCGAAGCGCACAATGCCCCGCATCGCGTAGTAACTAGGTAGTTGCGCGCAGATGCTGGATCGGCTTGAGCTCTAGAAAATCCTAGACGATCCACCCCACCTCTTGCTAGGCTAGCTTCTAAGCAACCACTGAGCCTCTTTTGTGATGCACAACGTCTTGATGAGATGTTCTCACTACAGAAATATACCGCCGCCGAAACAGCATTCCACTATTATATTCATTCGAGGAGCCTATTCTATACGATTTTTATCCCAATCACGATCTATCTCTAGATACTTGGTCTCACTCAAATTCGACTGGGAGTTTACCGCACATGAACGCAAACCATCGATAGCTTAAATAAACCATCTGTTCTTGCCAATCGCCGCGCCGAATTTCTCGTATCAGTATACACTACAAGATTTTCGCAAATATGTGAAGGGGATAGATCACACAGGCTTGTTGAAAGATACGGCCGGCTGAAATTCGCATCTTATCGCGAGTGCGCCCATCTAACCTCGGCGGCTATATTTTTATTCGAGACGTGCTCAGCTCCGCCAAGCTGGCTTATCATGGCCTCTTTGCATATAACGTACGAATAACTCCAGCGCCCTCCGCTTTGTGGTTCAGTCTCTATATCTAAGAGCACGCCTTGACTATGAAAGGATATATATTCTCCTATTTACGGAGCCAACCCTTCATGGCTATTAGAAGCAATCTCCAGATATTGCTACTTGGTCTAGGCAAGGATTTGGCATCCTCGATCATTCTGGTATATGGGGTTGGCCTCCAGCGGAGAACTTGGCTACGAACTATGGGTTTTCTGGCATGATAGGAATCATTGATCGTTCGGGATGGTTCTGCAATCTATTGCTCACAACAACAAAATTCGAGCTTGAAAATTGAGGCTCGTCATCCTCGGCATAAAGAGCTGCAAGCATGAATACACGAGTTATTTGTACATGCAAGATTCCAACAAGACGGCACAAGTCGATGTTGATTGCCAAATGGACCAAAAAAATTCAAATCCAAGTAAGTCAAATCTCCTTACCTCGCCCAACACCATTATCAACTCTGCAATTATGATTCATTATTGAGTCCATGGCGTGGGTTTTTCTTGAGTATTTTCGGTTTGGGCATTATAGTATCTTCCAACGATGATTATTTTTTTATACTAACCAAACATCTTCGCAGGGCTTGCTCAGGGGGTCGTCAACCCTGTTGTCAATGGCACATTCTTCTAGTCATGTTTGAAAGAAACTGGTTATAACCCAATTTTCCTTGTGGTTCATTCACACGTCGGTTCATGGGCTCGCACATCCATCTTTTCAGCATTCGGTTTCACTATAGCAAATTTATTGAAGGAATCCATTGGGCTGCATCCTGATACACCTAGTCGGCGGTACCTCATCGGAATGGATTTTCATATATAAATATGCCCTTTGATTTGTTATGGAAACTCTTTGCTTTATGTCAAGAATTGCTATCGTGGGCAGCTTGGAGTTCAAATGCTGAAGACATCGATACATTCATTATAAGCCTATTCATCTTTTAGTCTTCTATGTAGCTAACTGTTCAAAAGGTTTTCCAGAATCTTGGCCCTATCGTCATTAGAACTTGTCACACGACCTGAAAGGTTGATTCTATCCTTTCAGTTGATCAAGCGTCTTCTAATATTCCGGTCATCGAAGCGCAATTCAGGGACATACCTTTACATTTTAACGCTTGCATTCCCGCTTGCATCCGGACAAGAAGCTTGAGGCGTTGGCGTTTGGTTCCTAGTCTCTGACTTACGGGATCTAGATATTAATCGGGTGTTTCTCCTGGTAAGTTGCATTTCGTGGTTGCTTAATCAATTTGCAATATCCTCTTCCTGATTTCAGCGTCATAACCATTTTTTACACTTGATATTCATCATTTTAACATTGCTACTTTTCACCTTTCGGCTCTTGCTTTCGAACCACGCGCCGATCAGGGGCTATTAATCTTTTTACCTATAGCCCTTATTCCTAATTAACCAGTTGACACGGGATGTTGTGATATAGACGATACTCATGTCTTATGTCACAATGTTCCTTGCTCATTACTGGTCTTATTCTTACTCTTTGATATTGACTGCAATTTTTGTTTTGCATATTTCTTTCTATCCTCGTTATTTCAAAATATGCTTCACTAAGAAGCCCAATTACCATAAGGACTCATTTCAATTATCTTGCATATTCAATCTCCGACCGATTATGTATACAGTATGTCTTGTACACATACTACACAAATCAATATGTTCTAACAGTGCCCTTCACTGTGACATTTCTCAAGCTTCTTAAACCACCTTTTTTTTTTTTTTTTCGCATTGCACATTGATACTGTTTTCAAACGGTGCTGTCTTCAAATCTGAGTGCTGACATGTTGTTCTCTAGGAAATCTGCATTTAGCCACGCAGAACTTTTATTGATACCAATAAGCTTCTTAGGTGAGTCATTTAACAGTGTTTATCGTATACCTCGTCGTCCATTCTGCATGACATACTGTGCAGCTACTACACTGCCTGCATTTTCCTCGTTCGTCCCTGCACTGTTTCTTTCCCATACCTGAGTCTTCAACCACTTACAGTTTCCTTACTACTTCCTCGTATCACCACCCACATTTCTATCGTTATTGCCAAACTTCCCAAGTACATCCCACGACTTCCTTAGGATGGTAAAATAAACCTGAAGCAATCTATTTCGTGGTTGCCGATTCCGCATATCGCACATTTAGGCCCGTGTCCAGGCAATCTCCTTCCGTTTACCCTAGATTTTCTACTTGATCTTATTGAACTAAATATTAATGTATAATCGCCTGTGCTAGCGGTATCCTAACTATCGTCTCATAATTCGAGGGATAAACATTAGCAAGCTTGCGACAGAATCCTCATTTGGTATGTTCATTCCCCTAGCCTGCTTATATCGTCCCACATCATTCCATTACTCGGTTTATACTCCCAACACCAATACGATTATCGCAACACAATAAACTTTCAAATAAAAGCGGAATTTAACGCCTTTTAATAGTTAACATGGACGGATTTAACCCCTATAATGGCAAGCCTCCGTCTAACGGTTCCGGCTCTCAGGGCGATGCGGGCTCTCAAGGCGCTAGCGGTGCGCCTGGTGTACCCCAGCCAGGCCTTGCTCTAGCCGCAACTAACGGCCAAGCTGGTGGAGATATCAACCAGCCTTTCCCTTCTGATTCTGCCCGTCAGACTCTTTGGTATGGAGCAAGCTTTTTCTTAGTCAGCCATCGAACTGTGCTAATTAGTTTAATAGGATGGGAGAACTTGCTGGTTGGATGGACGAGGGTTTTATTCGAACGCTATTCCAATCGACACTCAATGAAAATGTCCAAGTTAAGATCATCCGAGATCGTCACTCAGGGTATGAAGAACCTGTCTATTATCATATTCCTCACCCGAACCCGAGTGGGTTCCATAACTCTCCCCGCCCTTCCAAGTGGCAACAGCCCATGATTGCGAATCCTATGAATTCGATTAATCCTTCACACCCCAAGACCAATAGTTTCTCACATGAGTACAGGAGTGCCGGTTATTGCTTCGTCGAGTTCGCCACCCCGGAGGCTGCTCAGAAGGCTCTGCAGCTGAACGGCACGCCCATCCCCAACACTGATCGTGCTTTCCGACTTAACTGGGCTTCAGGCGGAGGCCTCATCGATCGACGAGACGACAGGACCCCTGAATTTTCGATTTTTGTTGGAGATCTAGGTCATGAGGTCAACGAGTTTGTCTTGGTCGCCCTATTCCAAGCGCGATTCCCCAGCTGTAAGTCGGCTAAGATCATGACCGACCAACAAACAGGACAGTCGCGAGGGTACGGTTTCGTCAGGTTTTCCGATGAAAAGGACCAGCAGCGTGCGCTCGTGGAGATGCAGGGTGTCTATTGCGGTAACAGACCAATGAGAGTTTCGCCTGCAACGCCTAAGAATCGGTAAGGAAAAATATTCTAGATTTGTTGTGTCAACTGACACGATGATTAGTAGTCACCAGGGAGGACAATACAACCCCTATGGCCATCAGATGGTCCAACCTCCTCAAGTTCCCCACCACGCTGGCGGCATGGGTGGCCAGTGGGTACAGCAGCAGCCTCCTAACTACGGCTACCAACAACCGGGAACATTCAACCCTTTGACAATGAACCAATTCACAGACCCGAACAACACAACCGTTTTCGTTGGAGGTCTTTCTGGTTATGTGACAGAGGACGAACTAAGATCGTTTTTCCAGGGTTTTGGTGAGATCACCTATGTCAAGATTCCTCCTGGAAAGGGCTGTGGATTTGTTCAGTTTGTCCACCGCCACGCTGCAGAGATGGCCATCAACCAGATGCAAGGTTACCCAATTGGTAACTCACGGGTTCGTTTGTCTTGGGGCCGCTCTCAGAACAATTCTGGTGTAGGTACTCCGTACCGTCCTGCCCCACCCCCGCCTCATTACTTCCCCCCTGGACCTCCCGGTCCGCCTGGACCCGGTCCGTTTGCTGGACCTAGTTTTGGGGGCAACGCCCACCAGGGTCCTCCCCCTGGAGGCCTTGGTCCTCAGGTAGGTCTTGTACAGTAGTCAAGTCCGGTTCCATTGTCGGTGAAGCTAATCGTCTTTGTCTTAGTAAACCCCGTTCGCAACGATTCAGTACCCGGTATGGCTTGTCATACTTGGCATGATGTAGCATAACCGGCGTCTCGCGTTCCTGGCGTTTCGGCATGCTTCTCAGTCTCTCGTATCGCTCTCTGGTTTCGGCTCTTCGGTCTTCCCCATATTCGTTTTCCCTACCGTGTGGTACACCATTTACACGCGGTTATTCGACCATCCTTCTCCTCGTTATGACATGCAGGCGTTGGCGAGTTCGATACGACAAAATGGACGGTGCGCACGGGGTTTGGGGGTCTTGGGCAGTTGGTTCCCTTGCTTTGCATTGACTTTATGGCGTTCGTCAAAAGTGGATGTTTCAACAGGGAGAACTGTGTACCATTTGCATTATCTGCTACGACGTTGATTTTACTTGACGATTTCCTTGGTTTTCACCTTATTCAACCTGAGCGACACGAGTCTTCCTTCATGGCAATTTCGTGGCATATAGTTTTCGACATGTCTCTCACATTGGCGATCGCAACTGCTTCTTTTTTCTGCAATTGCTTTGCGTCCTGATGCCTTGACATTTTGAACACATATGCCTTGTTCGCAGATAGCCCAATCAATTTCGTTCGCCTTGGCACCTGTTCGTTGAAGAATAACTCTACTTCCCTCAGGTCATCTCAATATCTCCCTCAAGGTTGTGATAATCAGTCATCAGCAATTTGGGCGGCGCTTGATCTAATCGTTCGCAAAGTGCTTCTTATCATGAATTCGACAATATCGAGATTAGTTCTACATGCTTATGCGATTATGGTTCTACATTGCAGGCTCAACACAATGCAAAAGACTATAATCTCGGCTCGATTCCTGTGCGTTTGCCTTAGCTGATGAGATAACTTTAGCCAATCAAGGCATCTTCAAATATGAATATTATCATGGCACAAGAAGAGTTATTGAGATTCATCGCCGATTACGCTCTGTCCTGGAAGTAATTGAACGGGGTTCTACTTGGAATCGCCTTAGTGAAAGTTCGTTTAGTCTTCACAAGCATAAAGGGTGCTTCATAGGCACTCAGATTTCCTTTAGTCAATATAGCAAAATTCAAATAACTAACTGTTCGAGAACATGTGACATGCCTTTAGTAATGAGGGCTTTGGCCGTCCCATTCGCCCGTAGCAATTAACCACCCTTAAAGATATCTGGTAAGATATTAAAGTTGTTGGTGTCCGTAGTATATAGAGGTACTCTTTATGCCCATAAACTTTCTGAGCAGAGACCGTTCACATCACCAACTAGATAACAATGGTAATAAACTTAATACATTCACGAGGTACGCCACGTTGAAATGCCAATCTCAAAGGAGATAGTAAACATCATAGAAGTCATTTCAGATGGTTTTCATTTCTGCTTCCCCGCTTTTCTTCTTCTTTTTTTCTTCATCTGTCATAAGTCAAAGCCACGTGGTGATGTCTTTTCATAGGGCGTGTTTATGCAATCCTCCCCTTGATTTTCTCGTTTTTGGAAAGCCTTATGGGGGGTATGGGGGTACATAGGTGGGCGGGGGGGGGGGGGGGGGGTAAGGGGGAGGGGGCAGTTGGAACTTGGAAGTGAAGTACAATACATAATAGAGATGGACATACCTTAGCCTTTAGTTAGGTAGTAAGAGAAAGTTCAAAACGAACTGACGTAATGGTGACCCGTTAGGGACGGGGGGCTTAACTCAGATAGATTATCGTTTATATCGTTTATTGGACGCGGGATGTAACAGCGTTCCGAGGAGGGGAGGCGCTTGGTTGGCTGCTGGTTTTATTGTTGACATTCGCTCGGTCCCGAAGCCTTTTTTTATATATTTCTTTTTATTTAATTTTTCTTTTATCGTGTCTTATCTGTTTTTTTGGTGGATGGACGGTATGTCCCCAGGCCGAGATCCGAGAATTGGATTGGGTGTAACTACCTAACTTAACCTAAGGTACAAATACACAGGGTGTAACATGAGGTAAGGTATGGTATGGTGAGGTGGCTTAGGTCCCCCGCCTTGTTTTTCTGACGGGCGAGCCGCGCGTTACTTGGAGGCGGAGACGCAAGGCGGAGGACGGGGGGTGGGGGGGGGACAGAGAGAGAGAGAGAGCATTGTACAGCACATACCTCATAGATACCTCCTACATACATCAAGTTGGGTATGGAGAGATGGTAGGACAGAGTATGGTAGAAATATGTATAGCAGGTATGTAGAAGAAGACGGACGTCCTCTCCTGTTCCTGTTCCTGTCAGTAGAAGGAGACTAATAGAACTTACCTCCTCCGAAGGCAACGACTAGCTTTTACATCCTACATAAACTAAGACAGAGAGAGAGAGGGCTGAATCTAGATTGGATTCGTTTACTTTACTTTATTTTCCCGAGCTATATGCCAATATGGAGACGGCTACTTTTCTAATCTTTTGTCTCGCTTTATTGGGTAAGTTATTGGCTACCTACCTACTATTCTCCTTCTTTATACTTTATACTATCGGTCTACGAGTATTGGAGGGTAGCTGATTATGGCCACATAGCGAGAAATGTACAGGCTCAGGATTCATCCAACAGCGACAACAATGGCGGTAGCGGCAGCGGCCGTGGGTGGTCCTGGGCAGGTTATCCTGGGGCCGACGGCGGCGCTTTTGGGGGCAACCCGTACAATTCGGGGTCGGCGGGGGGCGGTCTAAGTGTGTTCGCGAACTTCGACATCGACACGGCGGTTCGATACCGGACGGCCCACGGTATCATCGCCGCGATATGTTTCGTCGTGATATTTCCCTGCGGCGCTATCATCGTACGGCTGCTTCCTAGTCGGCACACGTGGCTCGTCCACGCCGTGGTCCAGTGCGTCGGGTTTCTTGCGTACGTTGCTGCCGCTGCGCTGGCGATAAGGCTTATACAGATGGTTAGGATCCCCCCTGACGGATCTAGCCTGGTAAGCATACCCCATTCCTCATGCTCCTAGATTTCTATCCTTGCCCTCTTTACTTGTAACCACGTCAAAAAAGAGAGGTAATCCATTAACAAGCAGGACAGTTGGAAATATCATCTACCAACGCGCACCCGATCATAGGCATCATCCTCCTCGTCCTAATGTTCCTCCAACCAGCGCTCGGCTTCGTCCACCACGCCAAGTTCAAGCGCCTCCGCCGGCGGACCTTCTTCTCGCACGCGCACCTGTGGCTCGGCCGGACAGCCATCACCCTGGGCATCATCAACGGCGGGCTGGGGCTGAAGCTAGCCAACGCGTCGCAGGACCTGGTCATCGCCTACTCCGTCGTGGCCGCGTTCGTCTGGCTGGTGTGGCTGATAGCCGCCGTCTTTGGAGAAATGCGCCGTCGCCGGGGCGATGGTAACAACATTAACGATAGGAATAAGAACAATTCTCCTTCTTCGAATGAATACATGGCCCCGAATCACACCTCCATGCGATTTAATAGGGACGGCCGCCGTCGTTCTATCAGCCTCTCACTTGACCCCAGTCCCCCGTACACGCCGGGGCCTATATATGGCGGGCCACCGGTCGACGGGAGAGGACAGACGGTGGAGATGATGCCTGCGAGGAACGTGGCTGGGAGACAGAGATCTATATCTCCGCTCTCGTCCGAGTTGACGCCGGTGGATGGAAGAAGGAGGTCATCGCAAGAAAGGTAACGCGGGTACGCGGTTGCTATTTATGAATATTGTTAGGATATTATGAACGATGGAAGGGATGGGGGGTGAATATCATAGAAATGCGGAGAAAGTAAATGGAGCTTCAGTTATGGTATTGAATGGAGATATCCCTAAGGGCTCGAAGAAGCCCCAAGGAGGGGATAGTAGTCAGATTCATTATTCCGGTGCTGCTATTTAGAATGAGGCTACGCGGCCATAACCACCACCACAGAATAACACAAGACATTGAGCTAGGCCTTTTGACCATGACAAACTTACTTATGGAGCCTAGATAAGTTCAACGCATACATCCACCGAAGCTTTCTTAAGCTGGATTGAGCGTCAGTACCTAAGATATCCCATGTCTTTGAAGCGAGGACCACGATGGCCACAGTCTAGATGTGTGTTTGGGGCAGTTTAGGCCAAGAAAACACGATTAAGCGATGTTCCAAAGGTAGGCCATCTAAATTTTTTTTTTTTAAAAAAAATGATGCACGCATACGGAAGATAGTGAGACTGGTTACCTTTAAAAGGTGAATGTGATTGCTTAACGGTCCAGTGCTCTGTAAGCCATATCCAGTAGCTGTAAGCTATGTCCGGTAGCTCAAGATGGCTCGTCTATAGCTATCTAGGTTAGCTCACTCAATTGTCTGCATAAATCTTTGCCAACCATCAAATGACAGTAGCCTTCCTAGTATCACCCGTACCCTTAAACCGACTCCATTTACAAGTCGACACACTAAGCTAGACCAAACTCCACCAACCCAGTCAGTGGCTTCGCCGGCAACCTTTCCCAGAATCAAATAGAAATAATTGCGAATCTCAGTATTGTCGATCGATTTAAAGCCCAACAGTGGCTTTGAATATTTCCAGGGAGAATCATCCGATTAGGCAAGTTACTCGCACTCTGCGCTTTGGCTCTGCGCTCGAATTTGTTGCTGCATTAATTCATCAGCTTCAGCCAGCGCTGGGTCATACTTCATGCCTGGCATGGCTTGAATTTTTTCATCTTTGTCGGGGATATCAAAGCAGGCTTCGGCATCTGCTTCGGCTCCAGTGTGGGCTTCTAATTTGATAGATTTCCCCATCTAAACTATTCTCGTTCTGACCTTTTACCAGTTGATTCGCTCCGGACTCCTGAGTCTTGCGTGTTGTTTCCATATGTTCATCAACGTCAGTGTCACCTAAAACGGGGAGGAACATGGAATCGCAATGCTGCAAAAAGTCGTCAACATTTGCTCGCATGGCGAGTTCTTGGGGTGGCAGCTTCGCATGACGGTCGACTGTGGTGCCCACTATAATGGCGTTAGTATTGGATATAGACAATGACAGTCAAGTACTCACCAAGAACCTTCATGTAATCGCGGAAGATGGAACTGAACATGTCTTCTATCTCGTCACTGATCTTCTTTTGGACAGCACGACACATCGCTTCTAGCTGTGCCTTCACTGTGTCGGTACCCTCATCGAACATAGTGTAACGCGCAGTTTCAACATGGCTCGCCATTGCTGCTTTCATACGATTGTAAGAACCGGGGCCGCGCTCCTCTGTGCAAACATGATAGGCATATTGCATGGCGCTGCAGATAGCGGGGGTGAATTGTCGACTGGCCTCTCTTTGAAGATCGGTGATGATAGCCCGCATAGTGACTGGCAGCTGCTCTATTGTGCGTATATGAGCCAGTATTTGACTAGACAAGGTAACTATTCCAGATACGTTGGTGCGTCGCTGTTGAGCGCGAGCTTGGGCAGCTTCGTGAAATGCTTTTAGCTGCTTTTTGGTCTTAGCAGCAAACTCATCGAGGACAGCCGGTAACCGACGCTGGAACGCACGTTCCCACCCGGTTGCTAGATTACGAGCGATTGGCTCAAATAGCTCGGCGTTGAAGTCGTGAGGTCCGGAGGCGCCGGTGTAAACGCCACTTCGTCGAACAGTTGCTTTGTAAGTAGCCCAGACCATACCCCCGAACTGCTTGGGTGCTGACCAACCGCTTGCGGTGGTAGGGGCTGCGGAAATAGCCGCTGGAATAGACGAGGTGAAGACAGAATAAACATGGTCTCGAAGGGATTCCTTCAGCAACTTTATTGACTCCTTAATAGACGTCTCGAATCCCTATGGAAAGTTAGTCTGGGTTAGGACTGATAAGTAATAATTGAAGTTGTTCAGCTGCGAAAGGTAGGTAGGAATAGCCAGACCCCTTATACTAGTAATAGGTAGGAGGTTATGAGGAAAATTATAGCATGAAAATGACTAGATAGCTACGTACCGTCTCTAGATCGTTCAAGAGTTTGCGCAAATGCATCTCCTCGCGTCGCTTCTCCACATCCGTAAGTGTGGATTGGGTTCCATCATTACTGGTCCAAAGCTTCATGGAGTTGATCAATTGGGTTAACTCATTAAGGAATCTACGGCAGTTGCTCGCTCGTCCTTCCTCTGTTAGTTTTCTCGCATGCGATTGAAGCTGCGGAATTTCTGTGTCCTCCAGAGACATAAAGCCATGACCTTGAAAGTCGTCTTTTTTGAGTTTTCCAGATAGCTTCTGATAAGCGCGACTGCTCACACAGAACACGGGTAGAGAGTACGAGCAACCTCGTCATAATCGCGAAGATCTTGATCAGGGTCGAATGTCGTGTCATCTTCTTCTACAGCGTTTTCTTGGTCAAGCCTAGTTGTTTTTGTTAATAAATAACGACGTTGACATGGCTGGTATGGGCATGGCAGGAGGTTTATATTCGAGAAGTGCGAACTTACTCTTTGATCCCCATAGCAAAGTCCAGCTTAATCGCGCCGCGAGCATATTCATTTCGTCCCTGGATGCACTTCACTTTGATCTTATCAAGAATTTGCTGTCGCTCGGATTTTGCTCCCCGCATCTGCTTGCGGACGTCCGCAATTTGTGCATCAAGACCTCGCCTTTCGTCACGTATTTCCCTCTTCTCAGCCCTAAGAGTTGCAAGCTTCTCGTTAATATCATCCTCGGTGAGAGGCTGACTCTTTTCAATTGACTGGGAGTTTTCTTTATCGCTCAAGTCGTCAGTCTTCATCATCGTCATCATCGATATCGTGAGCATCACTAGCATCAGATCCATACGGGCTGCGGGCCTTGAGACTCCGAAAGGACTTGGAGGACCTTTTTCTCTTCTTGGATCCTTCAGAGGGTGCGTAGACCGTCTCTCCACTCGCCAATTTGCTTTGTAGGTCCTCCCATATATCTAGACGAGCTTCAATTTCATCAACCCGGTCGCCCAATATATCCTTCTTTTCCGTCAATTCGTTTAAGAGTGATTCGGAAGACTTCGCTGAAGTCTCTAGTTCTTTAGCTCTTTCCCAGGATTCGGCAAATTCCCCTTCAAGATCAAGGCTTTCCACAGCTTCGGTGATAGATATATCATCTGTCTTAGAACAAATGAAGCTAACAGCAGAATATGTGCCGTCATGTTTCAATTGTCGCTTGAAAGAATCGCCTAGAAGTGACTTTGCTGTTTTGTCGTCGACAGCTCTGGTAATAGGTGCGACAATCCACAAACCGGTACATGACTTCATGTACTTTTCTGCTACCGCTGCTCGGGCGGCATTGGAATCTTGCACACCGGGCTAAATCTTTTGTCAATATGAAACTATTTTCTCTCCAGAATGAGACAACAAGACAAATTCCAATTTCGTGAGGGTTGAGAAACTTACTAAGTCGACCACCACGGCTCCCGTGGACAGCGCCTTTGCCTTGGTATAAATTCGGACAACCTTGATCAAAGGCCAATATTCCATAGGCGCATTCCGCTTTTTATTCTCATGTCCGGTGATCTTTTCCTTGCTGTCGATATAATGCTGTAACCGGCTATATAAACTCTTCGCCGAACTTTATTTGAGAATCTTGGTACTGCCGAGCACCCCTCGAACAGCCGGTTCGTTGGCAAACTCCTTTGGAGTTCCTTCGGCGATCGTTTCTTTTGTCTTATGGGGATAAACGGCTTTCAGCTTCGCATAAGCAACACCGGCCTCGCTATCAGCATTAGTACAGTCCCGCGAAACCGCGCCACTCCCGTCTATCAGATCATTGAATAGTATCTGAAGTTCCTTGATCCAATCTTCGGCTATGATGAATTCAATATCAGCCCGATATAATTCGGAGGGATCATCTGAGTGGTTATACGAAATCTCTGTAGGCGACGCAGTACATGCACGTATGCAGTTTGTAGGAAGTAATCTGGACACATTTGAGTATACGTCCACATATCATGCAAGTTAAAACTATGCGATGTAAAAGAAAAGGGAAAAATGTAAGAAAGCCATAGTAACCGAATCGGGTTCTTACCGTTCTTCATCTAGAAGTGCGTTGATCACGGAGCTTTTTCCAGCTCCTGTATTGCCAACCACACCTACGACTGTGCGAGTTGGCCTTGCACTCTCCTGCAATGTATTGATTGAATCCCACCACACATCAACATCTGCATTTTTGTAAGTGCTCAGCTCAACTTTCAGTTTATTCAAGAGGTCAACGCCAATTTTCACTCCGGCCTCCAGGGTTTCTGGAACATTGACGCTAATTAATCAATTGTTCGAGATAGTTCGTGCTGTTTGGTTCTTGTGTTGATTCTTCTGTGCCAGGCGATGTTGAGCTCTTTTCTTGCTCTATCTCCGGGTCGGGTTTAATGTGAAGATTCAGAGATTTAAACGTTCCTGTTTCAAATGGAGTGGAAACAGAAGGATCCCGTGACAGGGAGTCACCGGAAGCCGATGGGCGCGTACTTGGGGCATCGAAAGAATGCGTGGATGCAACCCCAGACATAGAAGGCGCCACGAATGGGTCATCTAATGGTTCCGGCTTAATGAAAGAGATCTCAGAACCCGAACGGTCTGGTTTGATAGGAGGATCTGAATCCATTGTGCGGCTGTATTTCTTGGAGCACTAATGGATTCTAGATAATAGCCAGTTACTATGCCACACTCAATATTTGATGCTAAGCATTAAACAACGTGAATATTAGGCAGCCTCACGTACGGTTTAAAAAAGTGAAAGGCTAGAAAAACTTGAGGAAACCGAATAGAATGAAAATGTTTCTGCGGGGAAAAAGTTACGAGGCAACAGCAGGTTACCTAAAATGTCGATAAGGCAAGTAATAGGGCATGGGGAGTCGCGTTGTGACGATCCGTAAACGCGTCTAGCTTCAAACGCGCTATCACCTGCCTGTCACTTAAACAAACTAGGTAGACAGGCAGAAATCTGGACCTAGGAAGGTGCACAAACCAGCAATTATCGTGTGGTTGCCCAGAGTCTGAATTGCTTTTTACGTACCTAGGTACCTCTTATAACCTACCCTGTATTTTTACTGGCTAAACCCTGCAGGAGCCAATAGAATATTACTTTCCTTAGCCCGCTCCTGAAAAAATACCGACAGGTTTTCCACACTAAATCTAGACTTCAATTCTTCACCATTACTACTATTTTAGGGGCTGTAGGGTGGTTACGTATTGTACTTAAGCAGTGGGTATTATTAACTTTTGGTGGGAGGAACCCACTCATTGGAAAACATTACCAATACAACATCAAATTACCCACATCTTCAGTGCCTTACATAGTACATATATTCCACAAATATACCTAGTGATTTCTCCCCAATAAAGCTTCCAGTAAAGCGTTATATTAGATACCTGGTATTCAATCGATTAGCATTCATGTCATAGTTGTCAAGCTTATCATTTTTACTCGTTTAAGTTATTTGAATGCCTTATAACCACCTATTGTAGATTATAAGAAACGAAAATCAAATGGCGACATTGCCAAGCAAACCTCTCGTGAGGACCGATGTAATGAATGGAAACGGCAAGTCTGCATACGAATTCAGCCGGTACATAACCCAACATCTACTTTGATCTTCCGAATGGACAAGGACTCTTCCAAGTAAGTAAGCTTCCATCATAACATCAAGCAACCCGTTTGCTTTTCATTTCTATTTTAGCTGCAAACTGGGATATAAGCTATCCAGATCAACCATATTAGGTCCTTTTCGTTTAATACCTTATTAGTTCCTTCGGTCATGAGATGAATCATCCATCATCAAACGTCCAAGACTTTAATTAATTGACCAAGAGGTCATAGTCCTACAGAAGGTATTTATGCCTCGTTTTCTTTTACGTAACTGATGAAATATCGATATTAACTTCGGCAGGTAGAGACAGAGCATAGCCTCGACGATGCTATAGTCGGCTGTTACCAACGCTAGCTCGTCGTGTAGCAGTAGCATCGCGCCACTGCACCTTTCTTCAAAGATGATGGAGTGGTGTTATTCATGGCCGTATTGGCTTGTATCGTTGCCGTGTGGTAGCATCCAAAACGCCATCGTCCTCGCATCTTGACACATGTCCGCCGAGTGGCAGGGCTCGCCATTTTTATATTAACTTCGCTGCTCAAATTTTGGAGAAATTATGTTCGGCAACACTATCCTCACGTTGCGAATTATGCAGAGAAACCCCTTACGAGAGAGGCGAGAAATGCCGTCCGCGTCTCTAATATTAATACGATGGCATTAAAGGCTCCCGAGTTGGTACAATTTACCCGAACCATTCTACTTCTTTCCCTTCCCCTGACGATGATCCGGATCTGGCTATTCCCCGCAAGCGATTCCCTGCAGGAAAAGCTTATTTTCATCATCACTAAGTTCATTATGCATTTGAACTGCCCTATAGCCGCGCCGTCTAATGCGGTAGAAGACGTTTTACCGGCCAGTTCTAGATCTCCCTGAGCCATGATCCTGTTCGTCGGCCTCATATCGAACGTTCCACCGGTGAGCAACCTATAGCTGGGCTCGGCATGAAGGTCTCCAGCATGGGTGCATCTTCGTTTCCCTGTTTCTGTATTATATTTTGGGTTATGCGTGTACGTCTCTCTATTCTGAGCTAGTATTTTAATCACTCGTGGCCTCGCTTGCGGGCGACCTTCGCGACATGTTTCTCCTTTTTGAAAACTTAGTCTTAGAATAGGAAACTTGAGTGTCTAAGTAACAAAGCCCGGTTAGCTCTAAGCCTTAAGTATGGCTGATAATTGGGGACTCGCTACTTCGTTGGTAGCAATACTCTCAGCGATCGCTGTTGTCAACGCACAAAACTACCCCTTGGTAACCGATTCAAGATGTAACTGCTACAGAACCAACACGACGACTGCTCATTACTTCACTCATCATCGCTTCTTCGACTTTAGGGAACAGACTCAACATGTACGTGTGCCGGCGCCGATTAATGATCCCCAAGGTAGCGCCGATGCTCCCGTGTCAAATAATTACTTCAACGACCCTGCTTGGACGAGTATGTGGTCGATCCAGACATGGAACAATAGTGCTCTCATGAACGGAAGCTCAGACGTCACTGGAAGTGATGCAACTGTATTGATGGTGAACTCGGCCAGCAACATCTACTTCGATAGGAACTCAGATCTCCGAGCATCGTCTAAGACATACCTAGTAATGCGAACGATGCGTCACGATAACTTCCAGTCAGCCTCAGAGATTGAGTCCGTGTCCCTAGGATATCGGTACTTGTCGATCCGCATGTACGCTCGGACGAGGGGTGCACCAGGAGCTGTTACGGCTATGTTCACTTTCCGCGAAGCGCCACAGCTTGCTCAGGTGCAAGAGGCAGATCTCGAGGTTAGAACCGTCGATCCACGATACTCGATCCAGTATACGAACCAGCCGTCGTGGAACGAGGCCGGCGATATCCCTCAGGCAACGCGCAATGTATCTCTTCCAAGTCGTATAGACTGGTCTGATTGGCAATACCATCGAATGGACTGGACTCCAGGCTCTACAACCTGGTTCGTTGACGGGCAACTCATGTCCTCCATACAATTTCAAGCACCCCGCGACGCGAGCCGTATAATGTTCAACAGCTGGAGCGACGGCGGAAGTTGGAGTGGCAACATGACTGTTGGCCAGTCAGCGGAGATGCAGATTCAGTGGATCGATATTGTTTACAATAGCACAGACCCGGTTCCTGGGAACCCATGGACAAATCCCGGAGCTGGGGGATCTTGTGCAAATACCTGCAGTATCGACCTAACATCAAAGACCGGTACCCCTGTGTTGATATCTGGACCCCAAGGTGAATATATCGCCATTTCTAACATCAATCCCTTCCTCGTCATATCATTGCTAACACTCTATCTTAACTACCAGGTGGGCAACCCGGACAACCACCCGCTCCTGGCGGTGGCAACGCGTGTACGTCAGCTAAGTACGGACAATGTGCCGGCAAGACTTGGAATGGATGCACTGCCTGCGCTGCCGGAACAACATGCAGGTTCCAGAACGATTACTATTCGCAGTGCCTATGATGGATATTTGGTTCTGTTAGCTTTGATTTTATCTAATATATCCCTTTCTTAGTTAATACCGTAGTTACCTGATACATACCTAATCTATAACCCATTTTCGTGAGGAATAGATTACTGTTACCGTGAGAGATGCCTACTTGAACTACAAGATATAACATTCAAATTCAGTGTTACCGATGCATTCCCTGCAGCGTACTTTAGTATCAAGAGGCAATAGACTAGGTACCTATTCCTTACAGTAGCTTCTATATACTAGGTCTATATAAGGAGGGCCTCTCCCACGATATGGGTAAAGGCCAACAAATGTCATCAATATAACCCCTATATTTCACTTTCATGTTTAAAATGTGATAAAATGGTATCTAGAGGAATGTATTAGTTTAGGTAAGTATGAGCATTGGGTAAGTATAAAGGTAAAATAACGTCCCGACCCGGAAAAGGGGGCGAAAATCTCCATAAGGTACGGTTTAAGTATAACTTGAACGATAGCTTCTCGCGTGACACCAAAATAATTAGCTATCAACACAGGCTGAGACCTATGTACATAATTGCATACTTGATTAATGTTATCAAAGAGATATAACTTCCCCTTGGAATCTCATAGATGTATTAAATTTACTCGTGCCTCTTTTAGAATTAGCTTGCATATAGTTAGGTCTTCATGGTAGCTCGACCACACCGAGTTGCCAATATAAAAGCACAAATTATCCAGTCGGGTCTAAGGAGTCCGGCCATATCCCCATGTCCCGTCTTACTCCTTGCGCAACTTCAGAGCTTCGTCGTTGACACGAGCCAATGGCGGACCTAGTCGGCACTTTACCTACTACACTGTACCTATCTCCTTTTTCAATCTTACCTACCTAGGTACCTAAACTACCTAGCATCGTCATGATGGGGGTCACCGATGTGCTGCCGTTTTGCATACAGGCAATGTCTCTCGTGTGGTCCAGACGCGCTTACCTGCATCGGGATATGATGCTTATCCCAATCAATGTATTACGGCCTTTCTCAACGAGCGTCAAAGTTGGGCTCTATCTACCTATGTACCCTCCCTTTCCCAAGTTTAGGTAGTGACATCATGAAATCATACGTTTCAAAGGTCCTGAGATACGAGAAGATGAGAGAGCCTATCTGATTCCTGTTGCTGGCTATCATGCTTGCTGTCCGCGTAAGTGGAAACGTTATCATTCCTTACCTAACCTAAGGCTACCTTCAGTACGGAGAGCTATTTTATACCTATTTACCTACCTAAGGTAGTGAACATTTAAGAAGGTACCTAGGTTAGGTATCTAGGCATTACGCAAGCAGCTCGCGTCGTTGGGCTCTGCTGGAGAACTGAGCCACTCAGGGCAGAGAGAAGGCGTTCGGAATGCGGGTAGATATCACGTTTAGTGAGACAGGGCATGAATGATGTATCAGAATTAGGCTACCTAAGATCATGCATGTCTCATATGACCAGAAATGCGCACGTTTCCTAAGCAAGGGTTAGGTATGTAGGCCATCGTGTCTTGGGTATATCAGCGCGGAGCCGGTCTTGCGAATCCGCGCCCGCGCGCCCGTGGCCACCGTCAGATCGTACCAGGTATTCAAACGACTCGGACGATCCCCGATATACCTATTTGGAAAGAAGGTTATTGGCTTGATCCTGACCGCTTGCTACACGCAGGGCACAGTCTAGGTAATCTGAATCTTGCATGAGCATAGAGCGGCCTAGATTTGAAAGGACCACAGTATAAGTATTATGTTTAGCAATGCTGAAGCTACCTTGAGCTTTGTGGTACCTAATTTCTACTCTATCGTAAGCACAGCCAGTGATATTTGGTGCCAATAACCGTAGCGATATGAGTTCTTATGCTACCTGCTTCTTCTTCTCATACTTCGGGGATGTTAGACTTCGTTATGAATTTATTGGGATAGAGATGGTCCGCCGCCTTCAGATTTGTTGGGCTAGGTACACCGTTTCGGCATTGAGCTTGTAGAATAATACAACCAACGTACCACCAGCCTCAGACAAGGCTACGAAGGACAGGTTCCTTATTGGCTAATCATTCCGCAAGGAGTGAACTCCGAGAGGAAGGTCACGAAGATATAGTAGTTCTTGTACAAGCCAAAGGTACGGTCTTCAGGTAGATATTTAACTAGCAAATCAGCATCACGATATCATTCGTGCCCCGGTATGTGGTTCCCGTGTTAGTGTAATCGCTAGACCTGTCACTGCAGATCAAGTATGACCAAATGGGAACATAAGGTGACCTGGCGTGGGGGTTTCTTCCCTCGTTCTGTAAGGATCCTCTGCGGCCGAAAGGTGAACACACACCACTCTGGGCGGAAGCCAGGAAAAGAAAAAAAAGAAAAGAAGAGCCACATGGAGCCCCTGGCTCTCAGGCGTTCCTGTCAGCAGCAGCACAGATGCGGCTTTTCTTGTGCCCCTTCTTTGTCTTTTTATTATTATTATTATCCCTTGACGAGATAGCCGTGATCACAGTTCTGATTTGCTGGCATAGCAAAAAACCATAAGCCGGAGATATCCAATGGTCGCCGCTGCAGCTCGCAGCCTGACCCTGACGAAGCTCTTTGCTGCTTGCAACACCCACGCGGGAGCATCCGCTCTCTCGACTTGTGTAAAACCCGGTCTCTGGCCGTCCGGATTCCTATTCCGGTATCAGGGGTTGCCAATCTTGGCGATGTGCTCTAGGTACCTACCAATCTTCGTCGGCGCCAGTGGTACGGAACAGAAGAGGATGGGAAGGGGACCCTGCCGCTATAACCGAACAGCTATCTAGGTATCTATGTGGCTGGTGGTTGGTTCATTCTAGTACGCCTGATATGTCGTGTCTGGCGATGTTATGACGAGGATCTTTAACGCCTTTACCTTTCTAAATTTTCCGCTCCTTGCCTTTCGGCTATATAAATGAAACAAATCGTGTTGTCACTCTCATATAAATTCCAAATATAAAAATGGCAGCAAGACACTGAGTACATGCGCGGTGCGCGGCAATCCCACACCCAGGAAAGAGTTCTCTCTTGGTTATTTTAGACAAGAAATATGAAGAGAGGGATTATCCCACACATTTGCGGGAGAAGTTCTGCGCGGGTCTTTCGTAGAATTTCGGACGAACAGAATACCATAATTATCATCATTGCCCCAGGTTGGACTCAACGCTTTTCATTCTAATAAACATTTCCATGGTTGAACGAAACTATTAGCTAGGTAACCGCCCGCAGCAGTCCCCCTTGTGGATTGTAGGTAGTCCAACAACCCCTTTTCAGTGCTGACTGCATATTGATTGCATCGGCGCCCTGCGTGCCACGCAGCCCGAGGGGTCCAAATACCAAAGAAACTTTTTTTTTTTTGGAAAATAAAAATAAAAATAAAGAGACGGAGAATGGAAGCCAACCCCACGCCCCATTTCATTCTTTGCATATCTGATCAGGCCGTCTGCCGGGTGCCGGCATACCTTGCGTTGCATTGCCTGTCCCCTAACGTGCAGCGTATCTCATGTAGTACTATGTGTTCATCATTTTAGGTATCAGCTTAGACACCATATCTCGCGTTTGCATGTGAGCGCTTTGGACAGGCAAGAAAGGTGGGAAAGTTGGGGGATCAGATGGGCCGAGGCTGTGAGTACCTAAGGTAACTTTTTTGTCATTTAATAGTAGGTACCTAGATATACTACCGTGAAAGGGCCTCTTATATGTACTGGGAAACATGTTAAGGGAGAGAGGGAAGGGGAATAACCTCATATCCCTTTTCCGCTGTGGGGGTCAAGGGTCATCTTGTCAATGTGTTCGGATTCGGGGTATGCGATCTTTCTCCGCATGATAATCTGATATCCCGGAGAGGGCTTACGAAACTATGAGGGAAGAACTAGATGGTCTGGTGAGGCTTTTTCTTTCTTCTTCTCTTATATTTCCTTGACATAACAGGTGTAAGCCCTAATTCCTACTGTTGCCTGTTCCGGACTTCTCCAGGTCTCTGTCCAATGCCATCACGCGACCAAACCGAGTGCCCGGATGTATGATGGTATTTGATCCCCTCAGCATCACATAATCTTAAGTCGTCATAACGGCGGCCATTTATTCCCCGCTTGGAGCTTTCGAAATGTGAGCCTGAAATAGTTACCTTAGGTTAGGTAGGTACCTAAGGTAAGGTAAGCAGACAGAAGAGCTAGATAGAAGAGGGGCAAAATGCCCGAAGTTGGAGTCCCTTACTTCACTTCACCTCTTGCCACTCTTTTTGTTTTACGCGATAGCCTCCGCAATCGCAACACGCGGGTGTCACTTTTGATGGATACTGATCCCTAAGATGCCGTCCTATTACTAAACTACGTTGCAGCAATGCGAGGCTTGTAAGACGGGAAGTCCAGCAGGATAGCAGAGGAACCAGGTCACGAACGAGTTTGGCTGGGGTCTTGGATGGACTGAAAGACCAAGTCGCGGAGAACGGCTGCCGAGGGATCCTTTAACCACATGGCTGCGGTAGGCAATGTGTGTGGTGGTAGCAATGGTGGCGCCGGCGGCGTTTATCAGACCGTCTGTTGGTACCCAACAGTAGCGAGGTGTCGTTGGCGATGAAAATTGCCTAGGTACCTTAGACATTATATAGGTAACCTACCTACATACCCGAGGCACGGTGACAGAATACTACCTACTGCTTGATGCATGACATTCGCCAACTCGGGCAAATACTATCTATACCTATAGGTTAGTCGGTAGTAGGGAGGGCATCGTGCGAATAATAGCGCAACAAACGCTGACGGAGGGTTATATCGTGCGTTATTCTTTGCATCCAGCTTCGTACCTAAACCCCCAAAAGTCCCCCCTCCCTCCAAGGGATACCGGTTCATAGGATTAGCGCGGCATGGCCTGCAAGGTCCGAACTGCGGGGTACAGGGTTAGCAAGAAGGCTTGGGTGATCTGCAACGTCTGCATTTTATGACAGGACGGAGTGGTGATCGGCTGAGGATTTTGCTTGGTATATGATGCAGAAGGGTCTTGTGTTCCTGTCCTCTATTGCAACTGTCTCGGGTGATGGACGTGTTTCCAATGGATGTGGGCTGCGAAGATCGGCGAGGTAATACATGCTATGCGACGTGCCGTCATGAATGTGAAGCTGGGTTGGGGTAATGTGGCAGCGTGGATCATGCGTGATGCTGTGGCATAGAAGAATTGGTGGCGCTGCTGCCCGTTGGAAATCATGGGGCAGCGGTAGCCGATATCCTAACCGCCATGGTCGACGCCGTTTGAGCTTCGGAGGTGCTTCAATTGTGCAAATTTTAAGAGAACCTCGCAGTTAGGTTCGCTAGAGACGCTTAAGTTTAAAATTGACCAACCTACCTTGTCGAATTGCCGATCATTATAACCTATAGCGTTTGCCATAGGTATCATTACCTAAAGTAGTGAAGCTATATTGATGAAATAAGTGAAAAGGAACATTATTAATTACACACTAGGCGAGTCTTAAGATGTGGCTATGAGAACTCTCACGGATCATATTCACAGGTACCTAGCTTATGGAAGCTCTAGATTTTAGTCTCTCGACGTTAACTGAGGGTGACTCGTACTCGGGCATCCATTTTAAATGCTTTTCATAATGTTATTTCATACCAAGATTCAGGGTAACTGGTAGTAGGTCTTTTGGATGCCATCAATTTTGCGCTATTCCGTCCATGTAACGCCGTTCAATCTCATAACGCCAAGCGTGTGGCCCACCCCCGGAGTGAGAACCCAATTGAGCCCCATGATGTTTAGTATAACCTAAATCCACCCCCCAGAGTATCCCCTAGGCCAAGCTCTGTTCCAGAATAATTGCCTCCTGAAATCCATTTGTAATCATTTCCATCTGCTCGCCGCTTGGTAGCCCACATGGCTTTCGCGGTTCCCCGCCGTATCCCTGAAAGTGCTGCAAGGCAGCCTTCACTCCTGCAAACCCGGTCTGGATGGCAATCCAGTCTGCCTTGGCAACGATCGCTTGCAGCCTTCTGGCTTCCTTCAACTCACCCGCATGGAAGAGCTCGCAGATACGAACACAGGCTCGGGGAAGCAAATTGGCAGTCCCAGCAATGGTACCATGTCCGCCCACGACAAGCCCTTGCAGAATGAAGTCTGCGCTACCTCCGGCAACAAAAAAGCCAGACTTGGCCCCGTCTACGATCCGAGCCAATTTCCCTGTGTTCCCACAGGTAAGTTTGACACCGTAGACGTTGGGGTGCCTAGCGATCTGGAGGATGGCATCGGAGGAAAGGTCTAGACCAGAACAAGCTCCAGGGTAGTTGTAGATTATGACTGGAATTGGACTGCCGTCGGCAACATCGTGAAAATGCTGGACGATCTTGTGCGTGTTGAGGAGTCCACCGTAGTAGGCCGGCGGGAGTATGATGACGTAGTTAGCGCCGGCGTTTGCTGCATCCTGGCATAGCTGAATCGTCTCGCGAGTGGACTGAGAGCCACATCCAGCGATAATTGGCATTAAATGGTAGTCTGCCTCGTCTAGAGCCGCCCTTGTAGTCTTAATAACAAGGCTGCGCTCCTTCCTACTCAAATGGACTGCTTCTCCATTGGAGCCATGTACGACAAGGCCTGCAACACCGGCATCAGCTAGATGAATAGCGTGGCGTTGGGTTGCTTCTATATCTATGTCGTCATCTTGGTTAAAGAAAGCCACGGTGGGAACGTAGACCCCATGGGGGAGAGGAAGAGCTGGAACTGGAGATTCCGTCATCGGTTCGTTTAGGTACAGCAAAAAGTTTCTTGTAGAGTTGAGAATAGATAAACGTAGTAGTACGTGGAAACAGTAATGGAATTGCAAGAGAATTCACGAAGACTTTGAAGATTCAGAAATGCTGAAGTAGGAGGAGATAGTTCAACCTAAGGGGGGAGGGGAAGGGGAAGGGGAAGGGATTCCTTTTGATTTATATAATGAAATGTGGGTAGGATAAGACGGGACCTTTAAGAGGAGAAAAAGCTTAAAGACTAAAGAATGTGAGTTAAGGGGAATGACTATGGGAGCACATATGGACCTCACCCTCGATTGTAGGGTGGGAAGGTACGGCTTAAATACCCTTAACATTTCTCTCCTGTTGGCGACAAGGTGTACGTTTAGTTGTACAGCTAGGTGTTTGCTTCGCTCAAGCCGATGACAGGTAGGTACTTACCTTACCACCTTAGTAGGTATAAGACGAAGGAGGACTAAACACGGGACTTGACTGGCTAGCTATCCAAATCATCCTTTCATCGAGGTAGACCAATGAGCTTTCGGAATGGTCAAGCAACGACCGAACAGAGCCGCTAAGAGTTCATCAAACTCGAGATATCATTGGTAGGCCTCACCTGACTGGGCAATGACAATGAAAAGGCTACGCCATGCCGTGCCGAAGTGCGTGGGGGTGTCAGGTGCTTTGTTGAACTTTTTCCCCTGACAAGCTTCCAAGTTGAGGCGAGACTAGACGAGACTAGAAAAGAAGCATGATTGAATGTACCATCTGGGACTTGTCGGTGGCTTAGATGCAGCTCTGACAACAGAGGCCACTTCAAGTGCATACCCTAAGCGTTACTTACTGAGGTATACCATCATGATTGGTTCCTTTGGTATAATTTAGGCAGGCAGACATGAGGAATTGGGATGCAGGGCGTAGAAACGCAGGCCTGACGCTTTGACCTAGGGTCTTGTTGTATTCTGTATCTCTCTGTCTGTATTTCCATGGATAGGGTGTATGTACGCGCGGGAAGCATTTTTCAGGGTCATGATCAAACCTGGGGGCGGGCAGAAAGGATGCCAGGGTGTGTATTGGGTGTGTATTGTTGGGCGAATACCTAATCCATGTTCGACGAAATGCGGTGAAGCAGGTTGCTGCTGTGAATCGAAGCAGTGGACCAAAAGAATTCAAAAAAAAAAAAAAAAAAAAAAAGGTGAAGAATGAGGGGCGGTTCTAGGTGAGTGGGGAAGATTAAAAGTGGAAACCTATCCCATTCACTGTGGGACTGTGGGGGGAAAGTGTAAGCGTCAGGGCTCTCCAGGATTTAGGTCAGGATCTTAAGTATATATCTAGGTACTTGTCAGGTACGATAGGTACGTACCCGTTATCTCACAGTTACCTCTACCCAAGCTACACTAGGTAGGTACCTCATAAGGTATTTCCTCCATTTAGCGTGCTCCTACACCTGCACCTTCTCCTTGTTGTGTTACCTAGGTACTCCTGAGTACATTATTACTAACACAAAAAACCCCCACGTCCCACATTTGTAAGAATGAACCTAAAACTCTGGGCTCCGTTTTTTATTCCGGGTTTTTTGGAACCGGGGGCGGGGACTAGGTTTTAAGTAGTATTTACAGAGGTACCTAGTTAGAACATAGCTAGCTTGGTTAGACTCGACCATTCTCCGTTAAATATCTAGAGTGTTGTGCTTCAAACCCCCCAACTTATTTGCTGGGCTGCTGGGAACGTTTGGGGACGAGCCCCAGAATCCTGGTTTATACCTTTGCCAGCTCTGCCCCGGATCCATTTGAGTGGGAGGAAAAAGGAGGGGCGAACACCGCCGGCCATCAACCTCGTGCTCTTATACCGCACATACGCACACTAAGACTCCCAAGTCTATTAGTCTAATGTAAAACTCTCCTTCTTCGGCAGTATGTCCGGTACATCTGTTGGCCCCCCGGAGAGGAGCTAAGGGATCTATAAGCCAGAATTAGTACGCATCAGGCCATCCAATACATCGTATCAGACAACGGCCACTTAAGTTATCGGCTGGCACTCGGGAAGAACTTGACTTCGTCGTCGGTGTTCCCACTACAACTATTCTCATACCCGGGCATTCGATTTGGTAAGCCGAACAGCCCGGCCTAGATTCTCAAAAGGCTCGCTAAGAGTTTCCTCGCCATGCGTGTTCCTCCCGAGTACGAGAACACGCGGACTGCGATAAAACCCAGCGGTCTGGCACATTTTTGGGGGGTACAAGCGCGTGCTGATGGATATTGGCGATCTATTCGTCGATATCATGCCTTACGCCCGTCGACGCCCTTTTCTGACACCGACAGCCTCGTATCTTCGATATTACCGGTGCCAAGCTACCTGCTTTGACTGCATCGAAACCGCATTAATCACAGCGCGGTATAGGATAATATAGCATAGTAGCAATTATCTGCGGAGGGGAAAGACCGGCCATTTTTACCCTTTCTCTTAGCATCATATGTAAGTTACTGCAAACTAGGGCAAAATCCCAGAAACAAGACTCACGTGCGGCTTGAGAAGGCTTCGAGTGGGGGTCAGAAGCTAGTATCGGTAGGATCGACACAGGGGGTAAGGTGGCTTATTCCCGGGCTGTGGGAGGGCATGATCATTGGTTCGGTTTTTTTTTGTAACATATCAGATCTCTTTTGCGTAAAGCAATGCCTCTCACCATTATGCAATCACCTAGGTACACTGGCCTTAGACACGTACCAGGTAGGTACCTCTATTCCTGCAGGCTGGATAATCCATCAACTCTATCACATGTGGGGCCCGAAGGAATATCATAACACGGACCCCAAACATGGAAACTAAACAAGTGGATCACATGTCTGTTATTGTTGGTTTCTATAAATCAACTCCAATTCCATATTTTTACTATAAATTAGTTCAATTTGCCTCCGGTCCCGGTACGCACCGGTGGAGGTCTAGGGCAATCCGGAAGTACCGGAAAGAGCCCGTCATGTACGGCGTTGCGGACTAGTCATGGGAACCGTTGTCCGTCGCAGAGCAAGATTCCATTATATAACACGACGTAATTGGGTGTCTAATTTAGATCGGACTATACATCAATACGCTATGTAGTAAGCAGATATAGATTGGAACTTTTTCTAAGTGGTACAACGGTTGAAGTGTTGTCATCAAAATCTACCAAGATACTAACGGGCGTAATAATCGGAATCTGTAATGCGATGAAGATTGTAATGGCAGTAGTTGCACAATATAGACAACCTCTTCGTTACATACATCCCTATATGTCAATCAGCAATGCAAATAAAACCACCCTAATTTTGCCCGAGTATCAACATCATAATTCCCTGTGAATACTAGACGAAACCACAGCCAATCGGAATCTTATTGAATGTGGTTAGCAAACTTGTAACTATTATCTAACCTACCTACCTAAACAGTATCCTTGACAGACACCTGCATGGGATCCGAGGGAGGTCTCTTGGCCGCTAGGGCGATACTACAACGGGCTGTAACGTTCAACGCTCACCGGTTCCCTATATGTACGTAGTGATGTTTTTGGAATGTCATGAGACCTATCTAGGTATGTATGAATCGATTTAGGGAGATGTGTTGGCATAATTCGTTTCCTGGTTGTGGATATCTTTACGTTGTCCTGCCCGTGCTTCTTTCTATAACCTAACAAAGGTTACAACGGTCTATTTTCTCCACTTAATTAATGGTTAGTATATTATTATATTGTTACGGAAGGTTTTTGGAGAACCTGGTGACGTTTCCATAAGTAGGTAGGATAAGGTATTGTGACCCGCCGTGTTATGGAAACCAATCCGGTACCTAATCTTCAGTGATCAGCTCAGAAGCCTGGTAGGCGGGTCTGTACCTAAATAGACATTGTATAATAGTCTCGACCGCGATCCGTTTTGGATAATGGGAAACTTCCACGACAGATTCAAGACTTGAACGCCAGGCTCCCTCCCTATCATGCTGTGTAACCAAGCTCCAGGTAAATAGCCTCATTATCCAGCAGAAAAGTCTAAACCAGATATGAGAGCATGTGGCTACCTAACATGGTATCTACCCTTCTTGTCTTGTCCAAAGTCTTGATGTTCTCATCGACAAATATTATATTTACCCAGCCCGCGTACTCACCATAGGCCTATGTTTCTCCTCCAACCCATCAAGCAGGTATTCAAAATTCGCAATAACTACCTAACGCTCTATGTAGTTCATGGTTGTAACTCCCTGTCGAGGAAATAAGAAATATTCCAATTTTCCTAGTAACATCAGTTAACGAGAATAAGAAAACTTCAGCTCGCATTGGTGCCATCATCACTAGATACCTAACCTAGGGCGTATAATGAGAACCAAGAACAAATCATATCACTCTGAGATTCTTGAAATTACTGACCCAAGGATATATTGGCGACCTTTGGTGCCCAAATAAGATTTATGGCAGGAGGAACTACTCTGCATCCATATTAGGTAGGTGTAAGTAATTTACCTAGGTGGGAGGTAGGTACAAGTCTGTCGACAGCTTGCTCAGTGTACCTGTAGACATCAAGGAAGGTAATGAGCTCTGCTCCTTCTCGTTATCAACTGAAAGGTATACTTATACAGTACCTAAAGTTCCACTGCCTTGTGCCTGTACTGAAGAGGTATGGAGGAGACATGAGTCATAGTAAGTATCCCCTGTGTAATAGTTTGAACATACCAGCTGCTGCTCCTCGGACTGTGTTGCTGGAAACTGACGTCTTAGGGATAGGAAAACTCAGTCTTGTTAGTATGGTTTGTTCTTGGTTACCAAAATAAATTTAGAAGAATATTTACCTATTTTTTTGTGGGAGATATAAGGTACGTTAGGGTCCCAGGCCGAAGTATCTATGCAATCTAGATACCTGACGAAGACCTGCACGTGGCGCTCGGGCCACTACAATATAAGGGGTCGATGTCCTTCAAGATAGAAGGTTCGGCCGTAGGTACCTACATTCGAAGCTGTATAAACTTGGAAACTGCCCTGTACATTCCATATTTCGCCTGTAATTATATCTATATAGATAAGGAAGTCGCGAAATTCAACAGAAGTTACATTATGTACCTCCTAGCTATCTGTCTCTTCATCTTCTACCTCCTACACCTGTTACCATTTCCTGTCCACCTTGATTAGAATTCCTTCTGATTTCTTTGTCCTGATAACGCGCCAATAGTGATAAAATATCATTTAATTCACCCTGTAGCGATCACAAGTTGTGCTTGTACGCTTAATTCAAGGTGAGTCTTTCGCACAACACGCGTCGCGTTACAGTTCCAGGTTCTCTTCCACCAAAGCCACTCTTACCTCGCTTCTTTCACTTAGTCACTTCTTCCCTCCTACTACTTGAGGTTCTGGAGCTTCTGGTTCTTGCATGACATTCATGGTTTATACAATTCTTGTTCACCTTTATAATCCCCTGCTCTTGACTACATGACCTACCCTCCCCTGATCTTCATCCACATCTAGTACTTTCCCATCTTCGAAACTTACACTTAACAAGATCTGTCGCATAGAAATTGCCACCACCTAGGAAATTACCAAACCCAAATGAATATTCCCTGTGGTAGCCTCGATCTAATTGATTCTGAGGTGGAAAGCATGGAAAGCCAGCTCCCCGAGACCAATAGCAATTCCGAGGATTATGTATACACATGTCCATTCGCATCGTACGAATGTACTTTTAAAGTGTGCATGATCCATGGAAAACATACAGAACAGGAGATAGCAGCCAGGATAGCAGCTAAATGGAGCCGTTATGACCCAGCCAACCCGCTGGAGTTACGGGAATTGAAGACTTGTCTAGGTCAAGACATAACCTGGGAAGCACCGCAAGAATTCCATGCTGATACGATTGTTATCCCTCCCGCTCCTGCCCCTACAGTATTTCTAATAGATAATATGAATGGAGGAAATATCGACACATCGGCAATAGCAACTACCAGTGAGGGCAACTGCTCAAAATCTCAGATCACCCCTGAAAACCCATCAAAACTTTCAGAACACCACCACGAGACTGAAGATATGGATCTCCTTGCCGATGGACTTTGGAAACCATCCAAGAAATATGTGCTAGAAGGGAATAAGGGCGGTTATGTGTCGTTCTCGACCATCCCGGATGATAACGATTATGTCGACCCAGTATTTGCCAACGAGGCTAAGCGCCACAGGGAAATTCTTGCCAACCATTCACACACGAAAGCTCGTAAAAGCAGTAGGGTGCCACTTATGTTCCAATACGGTATCCGATATGCGCCAGACCCGTACCCAGCATCCATCCCAGTATCGCGGACCATCACTATGACCGGATTTGCAGATGATATACCAATCAGTGATATCATGGCGCGAATCCGTGGCGGACAAGTAATATCAGTCACCGAAGCTTGGAGCCCTGAGCCCGTAGGACGTACCGTAGTTGTCAAGTTTCGAGACAGCACTGCGGCTTCGGAGTATGTCAACTATGTACTAAGAAACATAGCATCCATCTTTGACGACGGCATTCGGGTCTCGCTGGTCAAGGCGAATACCTATCCTACGGAGCCGGAATTAATTCGAGACATCTCAAACGGATTTACAAGGCTAATCGTGTTCCTAGATTTCGCGGAACACTGCCCGCTTAGCTTCCTTGACGATCTTGAGTCCATGTATGCGGACCCAGAGGACGTGTTGGAGGACCTATGGGTCCAAAAGGGGTCTTTATATCTCCTATTCAAGAGCACGGCATTCGCAAGCAAGTTCTACAAAGATTTCGTCTGGGAGAGAGAGCAAGCCGAACCCGGTTCGTACGATAACGGATCATACCGATTTGCCCAGGATCCATGTAGCCAACCTCTACGCGGTCTGCAGAAGCCTTTCCGACCGGCGAGGTACCCAAATCAAAGCTGGCTACAGAAATGGATAGAAAGGAGATGTCAGTCAACTACCTCCCTAAACGTCCAATATCATGGCGTCAATAGCGTGCAAGTCACATCTCGCGGCGACGGAGATGATGATAGAGAAATTATGGAATACGAAGTCCCTATCCCAGCTGAGGAATTAGATGAACCGAGCCCACAGCCCACGAGCCTACTAGACTCGCCCATCGACGAGATCACGTACGAGAAGTTCCCTGCCATGACCGAATACCAGACCGAATTCGCGCTTATCGACTTCTCTACGGACGAGGATGAAGACGAAAAGGACATTCCGAAATCCAAACTCCCTCAGGATGACCCGGCTTACTTCGACTCGCTGAGCCGCGACAGCTTCGATATGGTCAGCGTATCCGAAGTTGGTCACTCATTCTCCAAAGAATAAATGCGAGATCGATATTCCGGCTCCGGTGTCTTCTAGTTTTAGACTAGGCGGATAACTAGAGGGACTTATCGACGTATTAAGTTCACATTCCCTGGTCTAGCGACAGAATGTTGCTGTTCTTACCATTCTCCGTTTATCGCCAGATCTTTTACGTACCCTACAAGACAAACTATAACGGTCCCGTGTGATGGCCTGCTCGCACTCGTCCTATTTACTCTTGCGAGTCAGATGTTTTCGCAAACTTTTCCACATGTCTTTTTATCTACTTGCGTTGTTTTCCTCCAGTTCTCGAATTTGAGGCGTTTCAAACCAGTCACACATTTTCGAAGTCTCACTTTCCTCTTATTTTTATCCTTGAAGCGTCCGCGCCATCTCTCGGCGTCAAGGCTACTTACTGTGCATTTCAATTTTCCTTCAGTGCGACATGGTTTTTTCTTCCGTCACCAATTTCCACTTCATCGCAACAAGAGTTTCACACCGCGTGGCTTTTCTTTTACGAATCGGATTTTCTTAATTTTCTCAATCAGCAGGCGGCTGTCTAAAAAGGAGTACAAAATGTCTTAAGTACCTAAACCTACAGGATGGGGGGGGGGAGAGAAAAAGGAGATCGGTGGTAATACTGCTTACATGCATTTACTCGGCGCTAGTACGTACTTGAAGCATCTACGTGGATAGATGGATGGAGGATGGATGCAGACCTGGCTAGATACTGGAGTAACCTAGAAGCTCAGGGCTACTCAAAGTTGTTGAATGTGCTTTCATAAATTCGAATTCGTTTGCGTTTCTACATTTTCATGGCTTATCTTCTTCGAGTGGTTTAAGTATCGGGTATATATAACCCTTGTAGATCGTTGTGAACGAGAAACAGTACGTAAAACACAACAATTAGGACGCTGACGGCGCGACGTGTTTTGGATTACCAGAAAAGCTCCTCAGCTAGAAGCTATTGCTTTAATATATAGACAGGTAGGTGTCTTGGGTATCTAGAGTATATAAAGGTGTAGCTACCTCGTGCGCGGGGGATGCATTGGTGCCCGCATTTTGTTGCAATTATTAATTAGCCTGCATAGCCTTCTTACAACCATCATCTCCTTTACCATCAGGTAGCCAGAATTTAGAAACCGCGTTCTAACCTAGACCGAGGTCAACGCGAACCCCCTTTCTCGTCGCCGAGACGAATAGCCGCGGCGAGATCTCGCATAAAGACCGCACCTAAGTCTTCGGGTCGGGGTCTTAACCTAGGACCTTTCCTACTATAGCCTATTTCCTGGTCTGCTGCCACGACGAGCATTTCTCCCTCTTCGCCGTCTTCCCCACCGTCGTTGTTATCGTCTTCTTCCTTATACGTATGCCGTTTTTCGTTCTGGCCTCGACTGCTCCCCGCCTCGCCCGGGTCGTCGTCCTCTTCCCCGGCGAATGCTTCTGCCACGCTTGAATATTTCCTCTTGAGAGTCGGTGGGTATAACGGAGGTACGGCCCTCGAGATACTGCTGCTATTGCTTTTGTTCGGGGGCTTCGCCGCGTGGCGCGCGGCTTTCTTCTTCAGATACGCTTTCACGAGCGCCGGGGTTATGTTCTCCTCGGGCTCCCAAGTCGGGTTTTGGTCCGGCGGCCAATCGCCCGCCCATCGCACCTTGAAATAATGCACGTGCTTGCCGCCCACATTCATTACCCTGTCGCCTTCTAGCCGTTCCACTACCCATACCTTAGCCTGCTCATCCTCCTTTTGAGGTGCTGACTTAGGTTTATATGGCTTCCTCCTCTGCGGGGACTCTGTATGGTTTGCGCCTTGAATTTGCTGCGTGGTAAGTGGAGAGGTCTGTGTGGGTATGTCACCTGAGTGGGATTGTGCCGACGGCCACCTGCCAGAACTGCGCCCTGCTGGTGTGAAGCCACGATATTGCGGCGAGTCTGGCGAATCTTGTGAGATAGGAGCTTGGGTGTCGTTTTTATTCGCTAAACGTGGCCAAGACGGGACTGGCACAGGCGTGATAGGATGCTTGGCATCAGGGGGTTTTGGCTGTGGTGCTTCTTTGTTCGACCTAAGCGGCGTGGGGACTGGAACTGGTGTGATAGAGTGCTTTGGATTGTGTAATTGAGGCGCGGTTGTGCTTCTATCTATATTATATGGTGGAGGAATCGGGACGGGTATTATGGACGGATAGGTCTCGGTTCGTGGTGGTGATGGTTGCAGTGGGGGCTGCGTATTGGATCGGAGCACTTCGGGTACGGGAACATGACTTGTCGATGACTTCAATGCAAGACTACCATTAGTACGTTTGAACAACGTCGAATCCTTGTTCAGCCAGAGTGTTCTGGCATACGATCTGAATTCAGAACTTGACGACATGGTCTCGGGGAGATTATCTAGTGGTATATCCCCGTCTCTCCTGTCGTCATCTATATCCATGTCCTCAAAGGGGTCATCATTGTACCCACATAGTTGTCTGTATATTGCATCCTCCGGATCCGCTTCATCGGCCTCCTCCTCCAAATCTGTCGCAATCTCCCCAACGAGCTTCTTTTGCGGCGTGGAAAGGGACGGACCAGATGTATTGGCTGGGGGAAGCGCTGCCTCAATACTCTGGGAAATGTTGAAGCTTGACTGTTGCGCCAGCTGGCGCGACTGGAGCTCGGCTTTGCTTGGTCGGCCACGTCTTCTCTGTCCAGATATGGGTATGGCTGGGTTACTCGGTGCTGTTGAGGTAGAAGTAACTAGTTTCCTCTTTGCTTCCAATTCCATTCTTCGCTTCTCTTCTGCTTCCCGTCTTTCCTCCTCTTCGTCCCTTTCGAGTAGCGCCTTATATTCGAAGTCCTCCACGGCGCGAGGTGAGACATAATTGTATATATCGGTCGCAAGGACAGAGACGCGCGCGGCTGGTAAATCTGGCCATCCTACAATATAGTACATGTACAGCTTCAGCTCGCCATTGGGCGCAGTGCCTGGAAGAACGCGTTTGTCAACGATAAACGCGTCTGTGTCATGTTCGGGCAGGATTCTAAGAGGCGCTAAAGGTGGACCGTCGCCAGGCCGATATGGTGGGGGTTTGGAGGGTAAGGGTATTTCAATTCGCCATTTTTCTATTTGTTCTCCGTCCATAAGTACGGCTTGGATGTTGTTCCACCGGGGAACAGCTCCAATTGACTTGGGTACCAGTTATTCTGGTGGTGAATGAAGGTTATGGGGTAGGTTTTGGGTAGGTAGCTGTTATGCGTAGGTGTTAAGTCCAGGGTAGCTGTGGCTAATAACTTTGGCTGCTTTCAATGTTGGCTTCCGGCCAGTACCTTAGTAGGTACCTAGGTAACCTAGTGTATTAGTGACAATGTCTTGGCATAGCTGGCGTGGGTCTTACAAGTCGAGTTCATGCTAAGTTAAAATGAATAAGAACGTATTATAATTTTGTTCTTGAAATGTTCGTAATCATTACCGTGCAATGTTGTGCTTTGTTTTAATTAATGTCATTGAAAGTTGAGCAAGCCTTTTGTTTAAGTTGGGCACTTTGTTAAAGGTATGAATTTTGATTTGTCAATAAAGAATGCTTCTGTAGGTACATAATGAACGTTGAACCCGTAGGAACGGTACCTACATGTAAGCTAAACTTACTTCGTAATAACCAAATCTAACGCTTACGGGTTTGACAAATTAACCTAATACTAAGGTACATAATCTGTACCTAAGTACCTGAGCTACGTCTTACCGCCTTCTATTTCCGTTATCGCTCTTACCCTTTCTCTTTCTGCCCATTGCCCATCTTGTGTCATTTTTGTGACTCAGTTGCCCCTCCCCCTCCATTGAGGAAATTATAGTTGATCTAGTTAACAGAGCTTCGCTACTTTTTTTTTTTTTAACACTAGAAGTTCTATTAACAAACACATACCCAACCCAATTCATCTCTGCGGCAAGGATTGCGATTATGAGTGACTCAAATCAAAAGCCCTCCCTGCTCCCTGAAGCGGGAAAACGAAATATTTTAATCACCAGCGCTCTACCATACGCCAACAACGTCCCACATCTTGGCAATATCATTGGTAGCGTCCTTGTAAGTGAAGCCCCGTCGCAACCTTTGCAACCCTCTTAACCCCTGGTATAACGTTTATAAAGTTATATACATATATATATGTATAGTAATATTGCGGCTAACACGTCTTAACCCTCACAAGTCTGCAGACGTCTTTGCTCGTTTCTGCAGAGCACGCGGTTTACCAACGTTATACATCTGCGGTACTGACGAATATGGTACGGCCACCGAAACACAAGCGTTGGCAGAAGGTGTAGATCCAGCGACATTATGTTCCAAGTACAATGCTATCCATCGTGAAATATACGCCTGGTTCAAGATCGACTTTGACCACTTCGGTCGTACTCCAACTCCTCAGCACACTGAGATCGTCCAAGAGATGTTCACTCGACTTTGGGAAAATGGCTTCATTGAGCAACGAGAAACCGAACAGGCTTACTGCCCCGCCCACTCCTCCTTTCTGGCTGATCGCTTCGTCGAGGGCGAATGCAGCCTGTGTCATGCAGCAGGTGCTCGTGGAGATCAGGTATACTAAACTCATTACTTCCCCGTGATCCTCTCCGTAGTTCTAATACATTGATTTAGTGCGATGCCTGCGGAAACCTCCTGGACCCCCTGGAACCGGTCGAGGATACTAAAGCCGAATCAGGAGAGGATAGGAAAGCCACTGGCTGGCTAATAAATCCGCGCTGCAAGCTCGATGGCGCAACACCTGAGAGACGAAAAACAAAGCACCTCTATCTCCGCTTAGATGCTCTGCAACCAGAGATCAAGTCTTGGCTCGACAACGCTAGTAATAGCCAAGAGTGGAGTTCCAATGCTATAGCCATCACTCAATCGTGGATTCACGACGGGCTCAAACCACGTAGTATTACGAGAGACCTCAAATGGGGTGTACCAGGTATGTTAAGCCTACCTATAAAGAGGGAACCGTGCTAATCTTGACTTGTCTCGCAGTGCCCACCAATCTACCTGGACTTTCGAAGGATGACTATGAAAAGAAGGTTTTCTATGTGTGGTTCGATGCCTGCAGTATGTAATTGCCCGATATCTATGGATTTTAGTAGACGCTAATGGGAACAGTCGGCTACCCCTCGATCACGAAATCCTATACAGATAGAGATGACCCGTCTGGTAAGAACTGGGAACAGTGGTGGAAGAACCCTGATAATGTCTCGCTTTACCAGTTTATGGGGAAGGATAACGTCCCGTGAGTACTTCTACCCAAAAAGAAATAATGAGTTTTTACCTAATATTTTAAATCAGGTTTCACAGCATTATTTTCCCCGGATCTCAGCTTGGCACGAGAGAAAAATGGACTCAAGTCACCAAGCTGTCAACCACAGAATATCTTAACTATGAAGGGGGAAAGTTCAGCAAATCTAAAAGCGTCGGCGTGTTCGGAAATAGCGCCAAAGACACCGGTGTGGCAGTCGATGTATGGAGATATTACCTGCTCTCTAGACGTCCAGAGACTAGTGACTCCGAGTTCAGCTGGCGGTAAGTTACGCGCCCAGTTTGATACATTCAGTGATTTATTGGGACTAATCGCCTCTATTACACAGGGAATTCGTTGATGCCAACAACAACGATCTATTGAAAAACCTCGGCAACTTCTGTAATCGCGTTGTCAAATTCTGCCAGGCAAAATTAAACGCGGTAGTACCCGACTACAGAAGTTACAATGACCCCAGCGGTGCTCTACAGCAGCATAAGGAGGAAGTAAATGCTTTACTTCAAACTTACATTGCCAACCTCAAGGCTACCAAATTGCGCGCTGGTCTTTCCACAGTTCTTAGGTGCGACTCCACAAAATTATTTTATGGTAATTATATCTTATTGGCTAACATTTGGTTTCTTTAGCATATCTGCCTTGGGAAATAAGCTCCTTCAAGACAACAAGTTAAGCAACCAGCTTCTCACCGAAGACCCAGACCGCTGTGGCGCTGTTGTTGGTCTTGCTCTTAACCACCTACACCTCCTCGCCACCATCGTGTTCCCCTATATGCCAGATACCGCCAATGCCATTCTCGAACAGATAGGTGTTCAGGGCTCCGGAAATGATCGATTCCTCATCCCTGACACTTGGACGGCTGATGTCATCCCGCCCGGCCAGGCGCTTGGAGAACCGAAACTACTTTTCACCCTTATTCCCTCGGAGAAGGCGGATGAATGGCGCGAGGCCTTCGGTGGTGAAGAGCTCCGAAAGCAAAAGGCTATAGAGCAAGAGAAGGCCGCTGCCAAGAAAGCCGCAAAGGAGAAAGAGAAGGAACGCAAGCGGCTTAAGAAGTTAGGCCTTGCAGGTGACGCCAAGAGCGAATCACAGGGACCAACCGAACAACTGCAGAAGCTCAGTATTTCTGACGGCGCGGGTCGTCAACCTTCTCAAGAGAAGCCCAATTAAGTAAAAAGTTTGAGGTTCCTTGAGAATATCTTTCTTCAAAGTGCGATGTTTGTAGGGCGCTGGTATAGAGGTTTCTGCAGAGACGCCCTGAGTTTAGCGGTGCAGTGTGTGGGTGACTACCTAAGGTGAAGAGTTGCGAGTTACCTCATCTAAGCAAAGAAATGCGAATCGTCATGGGTTAAAATAGTTGTTTGATTTTATGTATTTTTCAACTGCCTTTAAGCTACCCGTCTAGAGTACGTACATGGACAGAATGTTTTGATTACCTACATGGTATTGAATTCAACTGCATTTATGCCACGTTGGCTATACCTCGTTTTCAGTAACCCCGCTCTTTACCATATGCTAGGTATGTACCTAGTCGTCTAGGGATGAAAATGGGTAGTAATACCAGGTATCTTATTGTCTTCAGGAAGTTAGGATGGAGTTACTAAGGTAGGTACCTATCTTCAATGATAATTGGATGTCTCAAGGGCTATACAGTTTACTAATATGGAACCCTCTGCGTCCAAGACAAGAGGTTGTTATAATAGGCAGCCTCTTGGAGCAAGTTGATAACAGCACCGCGTACCTGTGCTTATTGCCGCTCAGTTTGTATAATAAGGCCATGTAGTATTTGATGGCACGTCACACAAGAAGTCTCACCATGTTGCTGGAGGTGTGCCACACTGGAAGTTCCTCCTTACAGAGTTCGAAGAAGTCAAAATACCAGCCTCATTGTCCTTAAGACCAACTTACTGCTAGAAGCTTAACGTTATAAGTAGGAAAGAAAAAGAAACTCTTCCGTTTATAAGAACTGGTTCTTTTGTCTCTAAATAGAACGCATTTGAATGCTTACAATTGGTAGCTTTGGACTTAACGGTTCACTCCATTCCCCTCGCAAACGACCAATAGGATACGATATAATCATGCAGTGTAGCCGTCTTCTTACTGCATGGCGTTATCAGTTTTTGGTCCCTCATACAACGTACTCCTAGTTATAAAGTTGAGTATGTAATACTTATACACACGAGGGGATAATGTGGTACGAATAATTGCAAGATATTAGCGAGCCATGGTAAGTAAAGATTGGCGTCGCATTATCACAATCCATATATATATATACTACCCACCTACGCAAGGGGAGACCGAATTGGTATATTAAACGCGAGCACCCATATAGCACCCATATATCCAGTAAGCAGGTAGGTAGACATTTCAGTAGGTATAATTACCAAAACATCTTTGCTTTTCGGGTTTCTTTTTATTGGAACTTTTGCCTTTCAAGATATTCCGCGGTTCCCCATTTATTACCTCCTTAACCTATCGAGGCCGGTCCTCTGGCAACGCCATTCCACGAGGGAGGCACATTTACGGAAGTCTTCACACTCCTCGTTCAGTAACCCATGATCGTCATCTTAAGTATTTATACGAAAGCGACATTATGGCGGACGAACAAGTTAGTTATAACACGTCGACCACTTCATTTCTAAGTGATATCTTTATCGAGAAGCTGTACTTGCCTTTTACCACTACTCTTCTATCGGCCATCCCCAGCAGTATCTGGATTACCATTCTGGCATTAAGCGTCCCTTGGGTGATATATCAAGCTTTTTTGGCCATAGCCCGAGAGTCACAGCTTCCGGCCAATGCGCCACCGCTATGGAAGCCTGACCATTTGCCTTTCATCGGCGCGATCCGTTTCTTCACCGGGCGGACAGACATGTACCTGGAAGCGGTAAGCGCACACTCCAACAGGGGCCCGAAATCCGGAAACTTTAGCTTCTTCCTCGGAAAAAGACATGTCGTCGGTCTAGGTATATCCGCCGAGGAGAGGACGAGCTTTTTTGAAAACAGGAAGATGAGCCTCATGCAAGGGTACGTACTTATTGTCCCTATTTCGTTACTTGGTACATAATACGAACTAGCTTGTGAGCAGCTAGTTGATTTTGCTGTTTCAACAGGACTGCGGAGTTGCTGACGGGTTTACCCCTTACGCCTGACATCGAGCGCTTCAGCAAGTATTTTGTCAGCTCCTTGGTTACAATACTCTCGCGCGAGAAATTCGTGCGTAACCTCCATCGCTTGACGGATGATACACGGCAAATGTGTGTAGACCTTCTCAGGAAAGACTCCATACGCCCTACGGATGATGGGAAGGAGGCAAGTGAGAAAACGGAGCAATGGCGTGTTATGAACCCCTTCGATGGTATGTTATTGTTCGTGCCGGAAACAATTGTGGCTTTGCATATTCATAACTGCCATATCTCCTATACCTAGGGCGATATTCGCTTTGGAACAGGAGAACTAGGCGAACAGCAGTTCATGTTACTAACATGGCCATACTAACAGAGATTTACCGACTTATATACCAGATGACCATACGCACCTTGGCTGCCGAAGAGGTGGCCGACGACCGTGCCTTGGGTGATTACACACTCAATGTATTTCAAAGTCTAGAACACCGCGCATCCGTAGCTAAAGTATTTATTTCTTGGCTGCCTGCTCCAGGCCATTATCTCCGGATGTGGGATGGTTACAGGCTATATCGTGTCTTCGCCCGTGTTGTTAAAGATCGGGCGCGTACAGGCACGCGCCATGAGGACACGCTCCAATATCTAATAGATTCGGGGGCTAGTATTAAAGATATCACAGGAGTAAGTATTCTATGAAAACCCTTATCCTATCAGGTTGAATTTCTCTCTCCTGATCACAGCACGAGTCCGTTCCTAGAGCCACCATCTTGTTATTCTAAAAGATAGCCAGCACCTTCAAAGGATAATCCATGTCAAAAGCTAACCACGCCTTCAAAGTTTGTTATAAACGCGCTCTTCGGTGGTCAAGTCAACACTGGGATAAACGCAGCGTGGATACCCATATTCTTGAGCCTGTCGCCTGAGTGGAAAGCGCGCTCGCTTGCGGAGGTGAAAGGAGTCCTTTCGCGAAACCGTACATCTCCCGAGCAGAAGCCCCTCGATTTCCTAGGCGCGCTGACCTTGGACTCTTGGCAAAATGATTTCCCCGTTATTGACCTTTGTCTCCGCGAATGTATCCGACTCATCCTTCTCGGGTGCCCAAAACGGAAGAATACGAGCGGTGCCGACATCCCTGTCAACGACCAAGGCGAGGTGATACCAAACGGCTCTTATGGAGTCTACTTGATCGACCAGGTACATTTCAATCCGGACATATACTCGGACCCCTTCAAGTTTGACCCCGGACGCTTCGAGCCTCCCCGCGCCGAGGATAAAAAGGTCCCCCACGCGTTCCTGGGATGGGGTGCCGGAAGGCATCAGTGCTGTAAGTACTTGAAAGCCACTTATCCCCATTCTGTTCTGTGCATTTGTGTCAAATGAAATCGGAGAAACAGCTTATACGGAACTAGTGGGCATGCGCTTCGCCAAGCTCGAAATCACCATCATTATGGTCTACTTCATCGCGCTATTCGAATTCGAACTCGCGTCTGACATCCATGGCACACCGAGTACCACGCGCCCGCCACTCCCCAACCGTAACGACCACTTTTCCACCAAACCAAAGAAGCCGGGCTACCTTCGCTACAGGCCGCGGGGTGATATGTGGTAGTCCTAAATTTGCGAACATTGTGGGAACTGACTGTCTTCAACCATAGCCATTTATGAGGAAGACATTTTTATTTCTTTCTTTCGATCTATGAAGACATAGCCTAGTTGCGGAACCATAATCATGTTTTGCTTCTTAGTCGCTTTGCTCTATAACGCAAACGGAGACGACCCATGGGAATGTGACACGTGTGTAGAAACTTGATGGGAATTTCTGCCTACAAAGCCAAAATAAAATCCATTTGAATTACCTAGGATTCATTGCTCTATATCGTATCATATGGAAATGTCGCCTCAACTATCGGATTACTAAACAGCATGTTAGGGTGTTTGTTGTGTTGCCCCTTTTCAAATAACCGGATTTAACCGCAGCATTCGGAGTTAGAACAGATAATATCCCAGGGGTTATCTTCAGCGCAAAGCGAGCGGGTTAGGTATCAAGTAACGAAGTCAAATTTATTTCCCGAATTTATATTTCAGTAATATAATAATCCATTAGAGACTCTGTGCAAGCTAAGCTCGAAAGCGTTCCCACTAAAGATGAGTTCAGTACCTCGGGTGGCGTTATTAGAAACAGCCCGAGGACATTGATATCGTAGGTAGATGTATCACTAATAAGCCTCGAAAAAAACCGGCGGGACTGAAGAATGGTATTGTCGCAAATAGATCCATTTGCCGAAAGGACGACACGACGGTGTATTCAAATAGATGAGGCGGCACGTTGTCATCTAAGGCGATTTACCACCGTACGGCTTCGTGGATTCCATGTCCGGGAACTTGGTGAACAGATCCCGGATCTTATCGATCGGCGCGGTCATCAAGCCCACGACCGTTTCGAAGGGGGGCTTGTTGGGTGCCCTGGGGTGGCTCCGTGTCGGCGTGAACATCTTCGTCTTCTCGAATTTCTGGCTGAGCTCTTTGGACCGCGTCAGTCCCAGCGCATCCTCCAGCTTTACCAGGTCCTGTTCCTCCTCCTCTTTGATGTGCTGTTTCAGGTCTTTGTAGAGCGCTTCCAGCGTGGGGGAGAAGCTTGGATCTCCGGGTCTTAATTTCTGGAACTCGTAGAGTTGCTCTTTCACCTTTTGTATCGTATGTTAGCACCCTTATATAGGTACCAAGGTAGGCTCTTAGGGGTTGGATGGGCATTTGGTTAGGTACCTTTTGATGCTCGTCGCGATCCTTATCAGCTCTCTCTTTTCCATCAGCAACTGCTTCTTCTAAGACGGGATATACGACGAGTTCCTCGGCAATTGCATGTCGTGCGAGTTCCCAAATGAAGGCATTCTGAAATCTCAACTGCTCATCAGGATCCTTGGAGTTGATAATGCGGCGGTAGTACTCTTCCAGCTCACTATGGTCTTGCTGGATAGCCTGACTGATTTTGAAGATTTGGCTGTGCTCGAGGGATTCGGCTTTGTTGCCGGGGAAATGATGCTCTGCGAACGTGCGTCTAAGAACATGTGAAGGTGCTGGGGCGTAGACCCTTACTGGGGGTCGTACAAACCGGGCGAGACGTATTGGCTGGCGAAACATTTTTTGGTATTACGCTGGCGGAATACTTGAAGAATGATGAACATAATTATTAAACACCATTCTTGCATTGGCCATCTACGCTACCTACCTACGTATATAACCAAATCCATGGACCTTCTGATGACAATTTAGATGACAGCATCTCATCGTCACCTTCACGTCTTGACGTTGAGATTGGGGTCTGTCGGAACGGGCCGCCAAGTGTACCTTGACATGAGTGACGAATCAGAGTCAATATCCTACTCATCCCAGTACAGAATTATTACATCAACACTAAATACCCTATCGATTTAATTTAATGATTGCGTAATATATCCTATGGTGAGCATCGTAGACAATGGCAAAGTGACTCTCACTAATTCGCCCATTCTCTATCATTCTTGCAAACGAGAATAATCAATCGAGGCGCCGTGAAGACCAAATTGCCGTCATTGTCGAGGCATTATCCCAACAATGAGGTTTCGACGAGTTACTCAAGATATTTCGTCTTGTCTTCACCGCAAAAAGGGACACGCACATCCATGCTTTCCAATCTTCAGTACTCGGGCCAGACTATGATTTTTTTCTTATACGACTAGATAAATATAATACCTAAATGAGAGAGAAGTATAGGAAATTAGAAAGGACTAGATGGTGAAAAGTAATGTGAAAATCGTAGGTACAATGATTTTCTTTTTTCTCTCAATGCAATCTTTTCCCACCGGCAGGTTTATCATATTTTCAACCCCTCAAAATGGAATCCTTTGTATCCGTGCGCTACGCTGTTCCCAAGGCTCGCTTTGTAGTTCGGCACACCTCCCAGGTACATCTGCGTCGCCCGTGGCTTCCCGGGGATACCGTCACCCATGTACCACTGTTCATTCAAAGATGTTAGCGCTCAGCGCATTCGAACACTAGAACAACAAGAAACAACAAAGATCTTTTCTTAGTTAGGTAAAGGTAACAAACTTACGCCCTTGGCCTTCGGAAGAAGGGATGAATGGGCCACACCCTCCACGTGGTCGGTCCAGGTTTTCTCGCCGCTTTCGTCCGCGACGATGCTGCTGAGCCCTACCTTTCGGAGGCGGTTCATGACGTCGACGATCCAGTCGCCCTGGATCTCGGAGCACGTGGGGCCGTTGCAGAACGCCGACGGGGCCTGGGGCCCGTTGGAGAAGAACATGTTGGGGAAGCCCGCGATGCAGATGCCGCAGAACGTGCTGGGCCCTTTCGTCTGGAACTTGTCCTTCACGGTCTGTCCGCCGATCCCGCGGATGTCCATCGTCGTCAAGCCTCCTGTAACAGCATCGAAGCCCGTCGCCATGACTGGTTTTGGTCAGCATTCACCAACGGCCCCATGGAATCGGGTTACTTACTAATGATATCGAATTCTAATTCCTTCTCCGTTGTCCGAATGCCCCTCTCTGTCACTTCAACGATGGGTGTTTGATTGACATCGACGAGGTCTACATTCGGCTTATTGAACATGTCGAAATACCCGTTCTCAAGCGGCACCCTCTTGCATCCAAAAGGATAGGGTTGCTTCGTAGGGGCCAAGAGTTCCTGGTGCCTAGGGTCGTTAAGACGAGCTCGAGTCTTCTCGCGCCAGAACTTATACGCCTCGTGATTGGAGTCGGGGTTGAATAGCATGTCCGAGTAAGTTCCAAGCCAGAAGGTGAAGTCACCATTCTCCCAAAGCTTCTCGTAAGTAGCCCGCCGTGTAGCGTCGTCATCGTCGAAGGTATTCCTTGGGAGGAGTTCGAAGTCGAAGCCCCAGTAGCGGTCGTGGCAGTGTTCGAAGAATTCCTCCAACTCCTCTTTGGGCATGGATTCTTCGTCGACCGCATAGTTAACCTGTCTCATTCTCAACGGCATAGCAGGCGTACGCTGGAACACCACAAGCTCGCCAGCTACCTCGCTGACAGCGTGCGATAGCTGCACTCCAGTGGAGCCCGTTCCAATGACAGCAACCTTCTTGCCCGTCAGATCTGGCTCATCGTGAGGCCAATAGGAAGAGTGGACAATGAGGCCCTTGAACGACGAAATGCCTTTCCAGTTGGGAATTGCCCTACTGGCCGCGATTCCGGTGTGCGGCAAAAAGAAGGCTGCCTTAAAGACCCGGCCGTCCTTCGCCGTGATGACCCATTTGTACTCGGCTTCGTCCCAAATAGCTGAGGTGATGTAGGTGTCAAAGTAGGTGTCTTTTCTGAGGTCCCACTTGTCTGCTACAAACTTGAAATACTCGCGGAGCTCTTTGTGGTCAGGGAATCGCTGCTTCCAGTGCCAGTTCTTCCAGAGCTCAGGGTCAGAGAACTGGTAGTGAGGCGCATGGCTGTCGACACGAGCTCCGGGGTACCTGTTCCAGTACCAGATACCGCCGTAGTCAGATCCTGACTCTACGAGCTTGACCTTGTAGCTCTCATCCCGGAGCCTTTTCAGTTGGTATACACCAGAGAAACCTGCTCCGATAACGAGAGCATCCAGCTCTTCCACACGGTTTACTTCGAGCGAACCCATTTTGCGGTTACCTATTATCTATAATTCGAGTTAGTAACTTAGAGATGTCTGAGACAAGATGAATCATTTTAGTAGGGTCTTACATATTCTAGCTGGGTAAAGACACGTGTCGGAATATCCAAATCTAAGTTTGATCTAAGACCTGGTGGCTACGTTTTTGATAATGGTTTTCCTGAACAAAGGATCGGGGGGCAGCAACTTATATACGCCTCTCTCCAAAGATAATATTCTACTAAGAACGGCGGTCACAAAGTCATCTGGACGGGGTACCAAGTGTTGCCCCTCGGGGAATCCTGTGAAAGCCGGGTCTGTTAGTGCTTTGAGTCCACGTAGCTGGGGTAATGTGGCTAGACAAAGGCGTCAAAGCGTAGGAAAGGTTTGTAGCCTGGATTGCCATCGCGTTACTCAAACTATCGCTCCTAGCCAGGACTATAGTCCAAGATATGTCGCATGTGCGTAAAATATACATTCGCATGTGTTCCCCGGATTGTTCCTACTCGCCCTTCTTTATCATTGGTTGGTAAACTATACCGAAAGCAGGCCCAAGTCTGCCACGAGGGGAATAAAGGTATACATCTTTCTCAACATCCTAGCGAGTAGACGCCCGCAAATATCCGCATATCGTAGTATGTAAATTCCACAGTATAAACTCTAATTTACTCTTTGTCTCGCCCCTTGACCCCTCATAGCTAGGTATGTACTTCTAATCATTTTACCATAGCTCTTTATTTAGTATTTTTTAGTGCATCTATAGCCGAGATATCAAGGGATATCTTCAGCGCTAAGCCATATATCTCTCTCTTTTATACATAGTAAAGAAGTGCCAGTTACCCAGATATCTAACACATACATCTAGAAGGCCAACGATGGGAATGCCATAAGGTTGCTAATTCCAAAAGAACTCAACACCCTGCATAAGAGATGGCCTCAGGATTACGAGCGAGCCATACATCGGCATATTCATTAATCACACGGGGTCGTTATTCCCGGCCAAGAGTTCTCATTAATGTGACTCCGCGAAGCTCGAGCAAGCATTGAAGATCTTCCCGGAACTCGGTTGGCTATGTTGGCAAACGATTACGTTGCATCTGATATCTGAAGTGCACCGTTGCAATTAAGCTTTCCCCAAGTCCAAAGGGGGTTCCTTCGCATGTTTGAATGTTGGTAGGTCTCGAAATCAGGATTGTACCATTTACTCTCTATCGGACAACGCGTAGGATAAACACGTGCTCCAATAGATTAATGAACCGGTTGACGTTCCTTCAAAGTAATATTTGCCGTTGGAAACTTCATGGGCAATACCCTGGTAGCAGTTAGCGAGATGGAATGAAAGGCGCTTGGGAATGTACATACCTAGTGCGAAGTCATGCTAGTTTCGTAAAGAATTCTACACCCCTCATCTTCCGACTTTACGGTTTCATTCCAAAATGGCCACCCCTAAGTACGAAACCTAGCACCACAAATACTACGTATATGTGTTGGTAGACTTTTCATAACTTTGTACTTTACCTTGCAGCCGTACCTACGCTCACAACACCATGGGCATCTCCGAAATTTTCATTTAGAAGCTTCAAGATCTTCGGAACCTTTACCTCCGTAGCGTATTAAGTAATACGAAATGAACCCATCTGTAGTCTTAGAAGACGTTGTCAAGAGGCACCAATCTAGACGTTCTAGTTCCCATGACAGCCTCAATTTAATGTGATACCTGTCCGATCCCGATTAAAGCCGAGCCCGATTGGAGCATTAAAGCCGATCCCGATCGGAGCATTGAACCCACACCAAACTCCACTGTAGCCGTGCGGCTGTCATGGAGAAGAGCCGGGTGATATTCCGGTATCATGTTTAGGTACGGTACCGTATCATACCGTTTCAATCGGACCATGCAAGAAGTGCTCGCCTGTCAGCAAGTTAGAGTGCTGATTCATCAGAGAGTCGCAACGCTGTTCTACTAATACCTGCTTGCAGACTTTTTCTGGTCTTGTCTCATGAAAGTACCTGAGATACTTCAAGCAGCGTAGAAGCAGAACCCTCTTTTTTTCCACGAGGCACCCTTGACCGACCCTGTCGTTTTCGTGTGATCCTTTGCCTTCAACTAGAGCAAATGTGTCATTTCCGAGATATCACCACATGTCTGATAGGATCCATACATGACAGGCATGCTTGCTGTTCGATGGTGTTGTAGTCTCAACCGCCGGCTCTCCTTGGCCCCGGCAAGCATAAGACCGATGTCTCGGGTCCTAGAAATTATAATACCTACCTGCACACGTCTAATACCATTAGGTATACAAATGAGAATGGAATGTATATCTTGTGTTAGCTGTATTGAATTTAAGATAGATATGTCGAGTTGATGGATAAAAAGTTGTGTGATTGACTGGTTGTGTTTTGACAAGTTGCCCTGTGTTGAAGGTACCTAAATTATGTATTGACAACAGGTGGTCAGGTTACACCATGTGATTACATAATAGATACCCCTCGGTAGCCCACTAAGTGTGGCTAATGGGTACAATACATGTACGTACGTACGTGTACATCATACATCGTACCTACCTCAACCTGCAAGGCTGATGGTATCAGCCACGTCGACTGGGGGGAAGGGGTGGGGGTACCCACCTAAGGTAGGAACTGAGCTCAAAGGTACATGCAAAGCTACGGCTGGCAACGCGCAGCTCGAGTTGCCTAACGAGTGCTAACAAATGGAAAGCTTCCCTCTTTAAACATCACCAAATTACAACCGAATACCAACAAATTACCAACAAATTACCACCAAGTTAAATCAGCAAAACCCGCCCAGCTTCACTTGGACCACATTTCTTGTCTAATCTCATAAAACAATTATATCTCCGGTTGTCGGTTGTCTAGCGCGCACATAAATCAACATGGTAAGCTTTAATCATTCCAAAAATTCATGTCCTATCTCCAGCTAATATATATCTATCTTTCTTCTCAATAAATTAGACGTCGATAGGAACGGGCTACGATCTCGCCAACTCCATCTTCTCCCCCGATGGACGAAACTTTCAGGTGGAATATGCGGGAAAGGCGGTGGAGAACGGCGGCACGTCGGTCGGCATCCGATGCAAGGACGGCGTGGTCCTAGCGGTCGAGAAGGTCGTCACATCCAAGTTACTGAAGCCCGGCGCAAACAAGAGAATTGCGACGGTTGACAGACACATCGGAGTTGTATGTTACCTTTCTACCCCTACCTTAACATTAGGTAACCTACCTACAAAAAGACGACAAGACGTTTACTGACGCAATGCTTCCATCCTTCTTTTTTACCAGGCCTTCTCAGGTATGATCCCTGACGGCCAGCACTTCGTCAACCGAGCCCGAGACGAGGCCCGCGGCTGGCGCGAAACCTTCAAGACGCCCATCTCCACATCAGATCTAGCGAGCCGCATGGGTGGGTACCTACAAGCCTACACCCTCTACCAGTCCGTCCGTCCGTTCGGCATCACCGCCATCGTAGGCGGCTTCGACTCGGAGCTCGAGGCGCGTGTCGACGGAGAGGTGGGCTCGGGCCCCTCCGTCGGCGCCGGCGGCAAGGTGGAAGGCAAGAAGTACGGCGGCCCGGGCCTGTACATGATCGAGCCGAGCGGCATGTACTGGGGCTACTACGGCGCGGCGACGGGCAAGGGCCGGCAGGCGGCGAAGGCGGAGCTCGAGAAGCTGAACCTCGCCGAGGGCACGCTGGACCTGAAGCAGGCGGTCAAGGAGGCCGCGCGCATCATCTACGTCGCGCAGCAGGACAACAAGGACAAGGAGTTCGAGCTCGAGATGAGCTGGATCAGCGGCGTCGACGGACCCACCAAGGGCCTCCACCAGGAAGTCCCCAAGGACCTCCTCGAGGAGGCCGAGCGCTTAGCGAAGAAGGCCCTCTCGGAAGAGGACGAGGACGAGGAGGAAGAAGAAGAGAAGAAGAAGGAGGAGGAGGAGAAGGAGGAGGAAGGGGGTGACGATAAGATGGAAGAATAAAACAAAATAAAAATATCTAACTTAGGCCCATGTCCATCTATCTATCTATCTATCCCTCGGTCAGGCAGAAGGAGGGAAGAGATGGAGAAGGAGAAGGAGACGCGAACTTGTACTTGTACAACTTTGCGTACGTGGCGAAGCGCTCGGGATAAGGGCGAGGGGCTCATAGACTAATTTCTTATACCTAAGAGCCCACGATATCTGATCGACAACTCGCATGGACTTCATTTGTGGTTTTCCCTGCCTGTTTATGATGATGATGATACATTTATTTACGCCACAAGAGATCTCAACTGCTTTCGTACGTTCAGGTGTGTAATTTTCTTTACGTTAAGTTAAGCTGAGCCTCCGTATCCTTTCTGGTGGAAATGGGAGTTGGCATGATGAACTTCGTTTTCAATGCTACCTACGGTACTTAACCTAACCTAGAGAATGCCACACAGTCCATGTGGTATTTACGACTTGTCGAATAAACAAGGCAAGGCCCTCGGTACACATGTCCATAACATCTATCTAATCCTTCAAGAATTAAGTGTTGTCCGTTACAGCAAGCAAGCAATCCAATCCCACCAGTGTGGGCATGGAATCACACATACAATTATTGACAAGCAGCACAATCGACGAGAAATCCCATTTGGATGTAAAAACAGTGCAATTACCGATTCAACGCATTGAAGTCTGCCTATACGAACTCTACGCAAACGTGGCATAAAAGCCGACATTGTGAGTAATAAAAGAAAGGCATCGCAACACATATCTATCTTCCGATTGTTCATGTCAGGATGTTGTTCATCTTCATCTTCATCTTTCATCTTCAATCGTCATCGTCATTATCATCATCATCCCTCAGTTCCACCTCCCATCCAGATCCTCTTCTCCATCCTGCTGCACCCAGGTTCATCCCTCGCTCCCCTCACCCAGATCTTTTTTCCTTAGGTTACCTAGGTAGGTATCAAGGTACCTAAACCTACGCCTCCTGCGACATAGGCGCCGCCAAGCGAACGGCGAGGAAATCCCAGTAGTCGGTCGCGCTCTCGCCGCGCCCCTCCACCTGCCAGATGCCGAGGAGCGTCTTGGGCGAGCCCGGCTTGCGCAGGAGCTCCTTGTTCTCGTCGACCCAGTCCTGCACGTTGGCCGGGTGCTTGCGGACGACGGGCACCTCGTACTTGGCCCACTGGTTGAAGTGGGTGGGCAGGACGGTAGCGCGCTGCTGCTGATGCTGCTGATGCTGCTGGTTGTTGTTGTTGTTCTGGTTCTGGTTCTGGTTCTCGTGCTCCAGGCCGCCGAGATTCTCGACCCACTGGCAGAACGCCTCGTCGCGGTTCATCAGGTCCGTCCACTTCTGCAGGGCTGCGGGGCTCACGTGGCTCACGGCGCCCGGGGTCAAGGGACCGCGGGTCTTCAGCAGGTCCTCGGCGAAGTGCAGCAGGGTGCGGAGCTTGGAGCCGCGCTGGTTGTTCCCGAAGATCTCGTAGAGGCCGGCCGCGTCGAAGGGGCAGTCGCGGGGGTGGAACTCGAATCGGGTGTCCGATCGGACGGCGAGACCCCAGGTGTACTTGATGACGATGAGGCGGAGGCAGTAGTTGGCCAGCTCGTGCATGTCGAGAGTGACAGCTGCGTTCCAGAGGGCCTCGATATCGCTGTTATAGCCGATGGTGGCGTCGCTCAGGTCCGACGGGTCCATCAGTCGTCCGACATAGCACCACTGGATTATCTGCTTCCAGAGCATGATGGCGCGGCGGCCAGTCTCGCCAAAGGAGAGCCAGATAGCATTGACGGGGCCTCTAGCTTGTTCAATGGCACTCTTGATGACGGGGGACCAGTAGCAGAGAAGGCTAGCATGGCAGGTAACGTACTGTCTTTGTCGATGCACTGCAAATCCGATGGTAATCATTTTCTGGCTTCCATTTGCCAAGCTAGATATTCTTTGTAAGTCTCTGTTGATTTGCTAACCGTGACGCGACCGGGGAGGGGGAAATGAGAAAGCAAGGAATTATTTATACTCACATTGTTCCAACTATCTGTTGGTGCTCAAAGAGCATGCGGTTCATCTCGCATTGTCGCTTCAGGCCGTATGAGCATGGCTCGCAAGTGCAGTACTTGATCAGCTCGGAACTGGTCGGCATTCCAGACATCTTGAATGCTGGCAACAAGATATTCTGGGCAGGTTATGTGTGGATGTGAGAAACAAATGCAGGTGCTGGGTGAAGAATGGTAAAGGCAAGTGTTGTGGAGGAAGTAAAGCAGTTTTTTAAAAAGAAGAACGATATGGTTGCCCCGACGGCTGCCTGTCTGAATAACTTGGCCGCCTAGTAGATTATCAACGAGAAGTTGCAGTTTGAAGGAAGCCTCTTTGGATAATCAGTGACTTGTAAAGGAAGGTTTCTGTCTGCGACTGCGAAAAGAAGTTGAAGATGCAGAGCAAATTTGGATTTGCCTGGTTAGAGTAGAGTGAAATTGTGTAGAAGTAGGAAACACTCGAGAAAAAAAAAGATGGTGGAAATTTAAAACTCTGTTAGGAAGATATCATATGAGAGAGATACTTACGGATCACGCCTCTTTCGTCTTGTCTCTAGACTGCTTGCCAGGTGTAAGAGAAGAAAAAGAGAGAGAGAGAGATTGGTGCAATATGTAACCGTTGATGAGCTCTGGAACGCTACGTAAATGGCGCCACTGACCCCTTATGACTAGGTCTGAAGAGATGAAAAATATCTTGCAGGTGCAAACTGTTTAGATTTGCACTTATCTCAACAAAGGCACATAGGACGTCTAGAGTACACACGCCAGATATATTTTAGAGTAGACGTGACATGTGGATTCAGATCGAGCCTCTAACCTTCGACTTCCCGTCCTATCTTGGTGAAGCTATGACCATTTATATTTAATCCTAGGTAGCGTCTTACTTAGAATAGCACACATCGAAACAAATTAGTATGCACCTGCGTATGTATTCGAACCAGACGCCAATAATATCGATTCACATTGGTAGACTAAGAACCGACCTGCATAAGACCCTTATCTTGCACACCCAACCCACCCCTAGCGCCGTTGCCTTTAACCCCTATCCATGCTTGCCTGACGCTCGTCCCAAACTTGGAAAATCGTCCCCGCTAAGGGGTAATGAGGTTATGACACCCCACGGGGAAGTCGCGTAGATAATCCATTAGCTGGAAAAGGGGGCGCCTTGCCCTATGGGGTAGCCGCTAATGCGTAGGTTCGGTACGTCTATGTATTGCGAGTCTCTAGGCGGAACTCGGCAGGCGAAAGGGTGGAAGAGGCTTAAGCAAATCTAGTACTTTCTTAAGGGGCAATATTGTACCGTTCCATCCCATTCTCCTATGACTCTTCATAAGAATCGTGAAACAAGGGGCTTTGAACAAATAAGATAAAAAGCTTCACGTACTGTGTAAGAGTGAAGCAGCAGATGATATGTAATGTGAATAGCTGCTATACCCATCGCAGCTTGACCTGAAAAAACGTGTTGTGATTACAATCCTTATTGGCCATCGCTTCTGGATAAGGGCTAATACATCCCTAGGTGTAAGTCGCCTGGAAATTATTGAATGATAAATAGCCTGCATATATCACCAGTGGGAGCAACAGAGGAAAACCCGTACTGATTCAGATCTTGGTAGATACCTAACAAATTTAGAAACCCTTGGTTCATTCGATCAATCCCATGTATAATGGGTGGGTAGGCATTAGAAGGTACACTTTATTATTCGCTAATCTGAAATGAGAAACCTGCTCAAACATGAGGTATCTGCCAGTAAGGGGAGATAGAAGTAGTTGTTACGGTATGCGGTATCATGTGATATATTGTAGTCGTAGATTGATTTGTAAAGTCAGAAAGACAGAATGCCTATCCAAGAGTGGACAGCCGAGAAGATCTCGTCCCGTAAATCAACCATTGCAGCGTAAGCCACCACAAAAGTTGTGTCCTTGGAATACTTGCAGAGTTGCTGTAAACCAAACCATGCCAATTTTATGTCCTCTTCGTAGAACCGTGCTACTTCAGAATAGATACCTAGGTACAATCGTAATGAAAAGAATCAAGCTACCTTACATAGAAGTTACCAGTTGAGGGCTGTTTCGTATCTTGGATATGCTCTATACCATAATTAACATAGCGGTATGGAGAGCGCCCGAGCCGGTCTTGTTTAGTCATTCGATGAGCGTCTATATAACTAGTCGATCTTATATTAGACACGCCTGCCCATTTTCTGCTTTTGTGTCAAGAGTACGTGGGTATAACGGGGATATACTGGCTAGAGTAGGGGTTGGCTGGCTATATGGAGGGCAATAGCCAGCTCTCTCGTAAGAGGATAGAAGGCCAGACATTGTGCAGTCAAACCTCTATATACCTACTGCATATAGGACGTGACATTCACACTCTGTATACGATTTCCATCACGAGTATAAACCTCAACCTGACATTTTGACGCGAGCATTTTTATTCGTATAGGATCTCGGAAATACGTAAGGCTAAATATTTAGGTACTTATAGCGTGAGAAATATCTACTGGATCTCTTGAGGCTCCACGAATTTACCTACCAAGGTATATTCTTCGTATGTAGGAAACTACCAAAAAAAAAAAAAAAAAACAGCTACTCCTCCAATGATCCTATCAAGTCTAGTTCAACGCTCCCTTTTTGCTCAGCCGACTTAAGATTCCCCTCAGGCATGTTCCTCGACTTACTAATGTTGAAGTCCTTCAGTCTTCTATAGAAGTAGCCATACCCGAGCATTCTCAAACCGATTCGTGCGTGCAACTTCTACCTAAGGTAATGTTTACACGCAGGAGCAGGTGTGAGGATACTCATCAGAAAAATATCAGTACCGCTGTAACCATCTCCTCGTCATCAGTTCCTTCAAAAAGAAACCACGTACACATAATGTCCACTCCCTCCGCCTTCAGCATGAGAAAGACAACACATCAGTGTATTTATTCCCTTCTTTCCTCGCCCGGTTAAGACGGGTTACGTACCGACTCCGACTCAAGACCCACCTTGGACCCGCAATAGCTCCGATCCGTGTGTGGGGCCGAGCGCAACCTCCCTAAAATGGATGTTGACGGAACCGCGGCCGACGAGTCGGTCCGGATATAAAGACAATTGCAGGTGCCCAGGTCCCATCGAAAGGAAGGTTCCCAGGGTGATATATATCTGACAGCTAAGTCAATAGCGACAGTTCTAGTTTCAAATAAGTCCCTATTCCCAATGATCAGATACTTTCGTTGGTTTCTCGTATTTAAAATAAGTAATATCCGAATCTATTGAAATGTTTGTTATCATTATTTATTAGGAATTATCTAAGAGGTAATGTACCTACAGAACGTCATCACAACATTCACCTTCCGCGATTTTAGCTCACGCGCAATTTAAGGTACAATTCATGTTGCGCATCGCATTTTTGCACTTCATATTACTAAGGAGCTAAGCTACATTACATAGCCCTTAGCCCAGGAGGGTTTTTCTTTAACTGGGTATCATCCACCGCAAACCCCTTCCCTGGAGCGCAACGAAAGAAAAACAACCTTGCGTCCGCAGAAACAAACCTTTAGGAGGACCAGATGTAAAAAGGCAGAAAAAGGAAAAACTAATGTACAAACCGGCAAGCAAGATGGTCGAGCTAATGAGTCCTGTACTCAAGAGGAGAAAGTAGGAAAGGTACAACTATGTCGAAAAACCACGAAGCCCCTGGCGCCTCATCCCCAGTTCCCTTAATACCTGGAAAATAACGTGGACTTTCATCTGGCTTTTACAACCCCTTCCCATATCTGCAGTCAATCTGGTCTCCTAACGTCTGCGACGCAACATGTAACTCTTTCGCCAAATCTTCGTGCACTTCGCCCATAGTGCGTATCATCAACAGCATGTCTCCTAGGCGTCGTGCCGTAAATAGTACGGCTTCATCTAGAGTAAGAATAATACGGGATCTCATGCTGAAAAGGTTCCGGAATGCATAAAGAAAAACAAGGAAATCGTAGTTGCAGGTATTGTGGATCGTGATGAACCGCGATCATATCGGGCATAGTACTCCTCGTATTGTCGAGAAAGTATCGAAATCGTAGAAATGGTAATGTGACTCGTAGGAAAGAATTCGTGAGTTACCAACCCCCTAAAGTGGAGGTGTCGAACTGGATGTCTCGACACGGGACTTGGAAGCGTAAGCTTCGATGCCCGTCGAAATAATAAGATAGGTGCCTGGGGAAAAAAAGACCAGGCGCCAGACCCCTAAAGCCATACGCCATGCTATGATAACACATAACGAGAATTAAATCAAGGCATCGGCCAATGAGCAGATCAGATACCGGATCCAACATAGCCCCAGGGCAATGCAACCGGCCGGTATGCTATGCAAATGCCTGTCTAATGCTGAAACTAAATGGGGTATAATAAAAACAATCGCGACCCAAAATAACCGGGTCGGAAATGAGGAGTTAAAAAGCATAATGAAAACGATAAGACAAAGAATCGATAGGAAAAGGACAGAAGTGTCGGTTTGGTTTGGCCTGAAAAAAGGCCGGTATGGTGTTTAGAAGGATGCCATGCGGCGAGCAGGCGATCGGTTATTGCCAAGGATCGGCGAGTTGCCAATCATCATGACTGGAGACGGGTGTTCATAACGTCTTTCAGGAGCAGTAGGCGAAGCTTGAGCCATCGATTCTCGATGTCCAAAAGCAAAAGTCTTGGCTCTACCCAGACCTTTTCTCTTCTGTTGGAGCTTGCCTAATTCCCGCTCACATGTTCTAGCATGTTCCTCAGCGCCCATTTCCACATAGGCCTGAGGATAGCATCGATCACGATGCTCGACGAAGAACTCACTATACCCACCGTCAAGGATATAAACTTCCGGGTACGTGAGGTGCGGGTAGCACTCAGCATTGAACATGCGGTCTGATGCGCGAATATGACGGGCCATCATTGGCGCACGGCAAGCAGAATATTCACAGTGGAAAATCAGAAGCGTCTTTCCGTCCATAGGGTTCTCAAAAAGATGTTTGGCCAGCAGTTCCTTGTCATTGTAGTTGACAGCGGCATCGATATGGCCTCCATCATACTCGTACTCGAACCGGCAATCAATAATCATCTTTTGTGTGTAAATATCGTTGAATTTTCCATCCAACACGTCAAGGAAAGTATCTCTCGATATACGCGGGATGTTGTCGTTCTCACCCTCGGGGTAGAAATGGGGTAAAATCGGATCTTGGGATTCCTCAATGTCCATTACGGACTGCAATGTGCTCTGAGGAAGATGTTCCTCGGAGCTGGCTTTTATAACGTCACCTGGGCTATCGAACATACTGATAGATCGACGATATTGTCGGCGAGTTCGTGCGAATGGATTCGAAGTTTTACGGACGTGGCTAGGAATAGGGGAACCGGAACCATTTCGGATATCTCGGGCCCCAGTAAGGCTTGCAAACTGAGCCTTGGATCGGGTGCAGCCGGCATTGCCGGGAGTTGGGCTATTTGCGGTTGACGGCCTCCGATCCTGAAGGGGAGAGTTGTCGAAACAATCGCCAGGAGACATCGTCGAAGACGGGGATCCAAAGCGGAAAGCGGAAACTTGGTTTTCTGGGTGTGTTTTACTGGAGAGAAGAGCACTAGTGGTGTATCCCTTGGTTCGGGATAGAGATGGCCGGCGCAACCCACCTCGCTTTCGGCTACTATGATTTTGTCATTAGTATTGTCAAGATATTTTCAGGGTCTACCATAATACAACTTACTCAAACAGCACCTTGGAGGGCTCTAGACCCACATTAGATTGTCGTGACATAGGGATAGGCGAGTCCATCATCATATCCTCCCCATGCGTCCCCTGAGGTGTAGGTGAGGCAACCTCGAATGAACTAGAGAATGAGTCTTTATTAGGCATAGGTGAAATATCCATAGCATCATCATATCCACCCAAAGGAGAGGAAGCCACAGGTAGCGGTGGAGTTGTAACATAACCTTCACACGGATATTAGTACTCGACGCCCACCATATTTAGACACGTGACAACATACCCCGATTCTCAATGGCTTCCATCATATTTGACGTGAAAAGTGCGCGGCGAGGAGTAGGGAAACGAGGACTAATTTACCGTATCAGTATCAAAGCCGCCTTCGGTATTTTCTATTTTCAACCTACCTATCCTCGCTGTCGATTCGGAAATTTTGCGAAAGGTCTGCTGCGAGGCTAGCAGCGGGAGAAGAACCGCGGACGTTGGAATGGTTGAAGTAATCAGGATTTGATCGGTGTAATTGCTCGCGAATACCAAAGTTATTCGAACCGAAAGGGTTCCGAGTTGGCATGTAGTGACGAGACTGTTGTCCCCAGGCCGGAGTTGGGGTGGGGCGCATAGCCGCCAAAGGCGAAGAACCGTCCATGATTGATGATGAATGAGAAAAGTGAGGATGTACGATAGATAACCTTACTCCTCAACATCTACTTCTTAAAACAATCTCTTGTAGGATACGATTGTAATATAACGAGCGCCGTGATTAACGAATGCTCCCCCCGTATTCTATGATGTAAGAAGTTGTATCTAATTTCCCAGAAACCAACTCTCGCTAGATTCTTCGATATGGGTTCTTCTATACCAGAGCGTTATAACGGTCGATCGATACGATGTCTTAAAGTCTATGGAATTAGGTAGTTTCGTAATCCTGGATTCCAATTGGCGTGTAGGATTCAGTCGAACTTTATGTACAGAGAGGGAGGGAACTAAAAGTTACCAAAAGAAAATTTAGTTCTCATATCTCGCCAAAGTCCAATTGAAGGATGATATAATACAATTGCAAATTCAGCAATCCATATGTGATCATGCGCAGATCATAGGATTTAAGAATCGCGGGGTGAAGCTATATCCAAGTAACCTTTTTCAAAACATACCTTGTGCAGCTGGATCTGCGAAAGCTAGAATTGCCTAAATAGGAAGGTCGGTGCTCTCAATGCGTGTAAGTAGGAAGTAGAAAAGTAGAATGATGTATGGGCTATGGCTAATCCCTCTAGCATGTGCAGAAGTCAATTGCTTAATGGTGCCGTAGCGAATTGATCTTTAAAAAGTCTATCCGCAAAGTCTCGAATAAAAAATCCCCAAAGCTGGTGAACTGGTGAACCGTTGATGTAGATCTGATAGAAAAAAAAAAGATTGTCCCGTCCATAAAAACGACACCGAGATGAACACTTCGTTATGCAGAATAACGTCTATCCTCTAATATAGACGTAACTAAGAAAGTGTCATAGAAAGTGTCACCTAGATGCTGTTGAGAAAGGGACGTCGACATTTAAGAAGTCGGCTGCAGAAGGGGAAGAATGGGAAGTGAAAAAAAGGTAGAAGGGGTTTTGATGCTTTTTGTTCTCTAGCTGACGGTTTGCAGAAAGCCGGTAGCTAGTAGCCAGTAAGTGTGGAGAAATTCAGTTACAATGATGGTTGCGAGGTAACGCAGCCTGGTCCTAGGCTTGCGCACCCAATCCCAGCGTTGGACAGCCCTCTACAGTGCCCACTAACCTTTGGTCGCTAGGGCAATCCAGCGGGTGCTCACCGTTGCCAGGTTGCCCTGTAGCTGAATAGGGCAGCTACCAGGTCTAACTGAAGTTACTCAGGTACCTTCAACTAACCTCACTCACTGTTTTAGCTGCCAAGACGGCCAGGGTCCCAAGTGAGATTGGTTCCATTGGTGGGACAGCGGGGCGCTAAAATTACACTAGAAGCTATTTCTTTGGAGCAAGAAACGTGCGAGTTGGTTACATCATACCTAGGTACCTGGCAACGGGGAAACAGCCAGCAACCTAACCTTGAAAGCCTTTAGCGGTGAATGGTGAATGCCCATGAATGCCTTGTAAGCCTTTGTAATTCTGTTCCTTTTTCTATCATTTTAGGTACCTACTTACCTACAGTATGCATACATGATACCTACCTAGATACCTGGGTACATGTTTTTTTATCTCGGGTCTAGAAATTTACAAGCGTCTACCTAATTGTATCTATCCATTTACATACATGCATGATCAACATTGAAGCAAAGAAAAGCTTCAACTTAATATTTCTATTTGCAACGCACAATACATATGCAGATCATTGGACCCTCTAACACGAGCTGAGTACAGTGAATACAGCGCATACAGCTACCTAAGCTACCTAAGCTACACATGTGTTCAATTTCGTACATCCCTGGGCCAGGCATGCTAATAATCGAGATCCCACTGCCAAAAGCTAGCTACCTTACCTACCGGATCAAGCTTAACTGAGACAAGTTCTTCCGCTCGGCTGCGAGATCATCCTTCGTCAGACATGTTCATCCGATTGAATAGCGAGCTTGAATAAATCATTCGTACAAAAGTGATATAATACACGGGAACGTTCCGTCGCTACCGTTTCTCTCTCACCACCAAACATCCTATCATTAGGTACTGAATATTTACTTACAAGTCACTCCCTCATCTGGCTATTCATGTCATCTCACCCCATTCTCGTAATTACCAACTAATCGAGGTAAATACCGCACATATATATCGACATGATAATGATGCATAAGAATACTATGCATACCATAGCTTAGCTTCCGCCTTATACCTACTCGGCGATCATCTTGCAGAAATTTCATACTCCATACAATCGTACATGCTTTAAAACATCAGATGGACATATTTAAGGAAATACCCCGGCCTGTGACAAGTGAATTTGTTTGTATGTATGCGCGCATAAGGGTCCACTAATGGGGATTCTCAGCGTTTGGCTATTAGCCCCGGTATCAACTGCAAGGTTTTCGAGGCTGAGACGAGCTATTCGAGCGGAAGTTTCGAAAGGGAAAAAGAGAAGAAGAAAAAAAGTTGCATCCAGAGCATAAGATATTCGTCAGCCTTCTACGGAATAACTCGACTACTGTTTCTTGGTTATATCTTATAACGATGTCGTCACTTTATCCGACAAATTAAATTATTAGGTCTTAATCCAAAGTGAGCTCAAGGTAGACAGACACTCGGCGGCTGCAATGAAGATAATATTTGCCCGGAACAACTCACTTAGCTAGGGGAATGAGGCTGTCTTGGCCCAGATTACCTGATTCACAACCACTTTTTATCCCATGTCTAATTGCTTTTCGAGGTCTCGGTTCTTTTCTAAAGATAACCAGATGTCCGCCAGCGCAAATTTACGATTTACGATTTCTTAGGTTACCTAGGTACACTAAACCAAATGACAGAATGGCAAGCGAAGCAGATGGTTCTACATACTACCACTAGTTGTTAGGTACGGCTTATGGCTTATAGATGAACCCTGTCTCTCCTACGGTACCATTTGCTTACTGGGCTGATTTTTCAAAATCCGTCCTGATTTGTCGGTAGTTGGGACCCGCGTTTCCGAGCACCTATCCTTAGGCCGAACGCCAAAGGTACAATACGCCGTCAGGTAACGCAATTATGTTACCTTCCCTACCCCAGATCTTGTGTGCCCTCCAAGAACCTTGTCGCTCGAAATAGAGAGCGATGCACACATATGTCGACGAATATTCTTGTTTCGAATATACCCTAGGTAAGTATATATATGATTGACATCGTGCTTCTTTCAGATGCAAGCATTCACATAACCTACGATGGGGCTTCCAACGGACGTCGGGGGGCCCCACGATACAGTGCGCTGAAGGATCTTCCGGGGCTTCTTTGCTTTATTACCTAGCTTCTGACGGTTGCTACGGTGCTTGCAGCAATAAGCACAAACCCTAGCTTACTATTCGCATGGATTACCGTCGCCCACTATGTACACTTATGTGCGTTGGGACCTGATGAGGGAGAAAAATGACAAGGAACCTCCTCCCGGGCCGCACCGATAAGCAATAAGTAATCGGTATCTTGCGCTGGGCTAGTCCCTGAAGTTTTTGAGTTTTTTTTTTTAACAGTATTGAAAGGGAGTGGGTTGGTTAGCTGATGGTATGCTTTTTACAATATAAAAATGACACTCATTATCAATGCCGGGCTCACCCTGCGGCGTATCCGGTAGCGATTGGGCTTAACAAGCGTGAGCCCCATTAGTCCATCATGAAAATTTGAACCTCACCGACGCTTGCGGTGCTATGGGCGCGGACGAGGGGACGTACTGTACGACGATGTGGAGGAACTAAGTAGCTCTAGATCTTTTAAAACCTTTCAACGCCCCTTACGCTTGAGCCTCACTCGGGGAAATTATTTTTCACAAGCTCAAATTTGAGGCAACGACGAAGCCTTAATTTGAAGTCTTAAAAGGGGGTCGCTGACTATTTACTCGATATCCATCATCCTAACCCAAACGTTGGCTCCGTCCATCTCTACGGCAACGGGAAAGGCCCCTGGAGAGTGGACATATAACTGAAAAGAATAAATTAATTGCAACACCTAACCCAAGCCACCTAGCAGCCTTCTTTTTTTAAAACCTGGGGACACTCCGGATGTGTCTGTCCGCTCCCTTTGTTAACTTTTCTAAACGATAGACAAATCGATAGTATGTGGACCATCTTCCGATCGCGCATTGAGAACTACGATCTCCTAGCTCGTGGTAGACGTCATTTGCACGTTCCTACAAAAGGCAGGATCTTCGTGGCTGCTCTCTTGCTCTCTGTAGCATACACATACATACACGCGACCGAACTATCGTCATAGTCTCTGAAAGGGTTTTGAACCAACGTACTTGGATGGGAAACCCTGTTCGGAAACACATGCGCTCAGGGTATGTTGGAAGAGTCGACATTTTGCCTACACACCAGATCCAAAATGTATCGAGATCTTGATCACTGTTGATTTGTTTACATTTCATACATAATCGGGTGCTGTCGTGCTTGACCGCCTTCGGATTACTTGCATAAGTTATGCGGCAGCAAGCATGGTATAGGCGAATCACAGCGCGGCCCGGGAAGAAGAAAAACATCTTGTCAAGATCCAATAAGATGGCCAGATTGCCTTGCCGACGTCGCGTTTACATCGCCGAGCCCTAGGCGCCTATTTTAGTGAGACCTTCAGCTGTCGCCAAACAAAAAGAAAAGTCCTAAACCGTACTTCCAGACTAAGGAATCCCTTAGACAACGAGGTCTTTTTTTTTTTCTTTTTTCTCAATCCACAACTTTGGAACACCATGAAGCCACTAGCGACTCGTGAAGCTAGAAGAAGAATAAGTTGCTATTTCTAATAAGACAACACATGGTACCATCTTCTATTTAATAGAACCTATTAGCCATTTACCTAATACCACCATGATCAAATGATTGTGTGATTCAAGATTACACGGGCTTGTTTGACATCTAACAAGCAGCAAGGATGAAAAGAGGGGTTCTACATACGCTACCCGTAAGCGTCCGCCGAGATGCGGAGTTGGGAAGAAGAGAAGAGGGGTTGTTTAACAGGTACAAGAAGTAAACAGTAAGAACGCGCAACCTCGCGTGTCACTGTAAACATTTAGCCCATGTCCGCATCACGATATCACGAGGAGCGGCTAAGCTTCAAAGAGCTTAAAGCTTGCGGGCAAAACGGACAAGGGGGGGGGGGGGGGGGGGGGGGGGGGGGAAACAAAAAAACACCGCGGGACCCGAGAGGGGCGTGTTGCCAAAACCACCCCCCAAAAAAAAAAACCAGGCCCCCCGCCCCCCCCCCCCCCCCCCCCCCCCCCCCCCCCCCCCCCCCCCCCCCCCCCCCCCCCCCCGGAGACGAAAAGAAAGCTCGGATCTCTAGAGTTGCATTTTTCGAAATCCTACGCCGAAAAAAAAAAACCTTGCAGCCCTGAGCCATTTGGGACTGTTCTCGGGCCAGCCAGATGCGATCGAACTTAGCCCATAGGGACACCACGCATTGCGTTTTTCCTCTGACCTGAACCAGTAATGGCTAGACCAAGGATCGCCTATTGGCCCGTTTCGACGGACCTCAATTCACACAGCCAGCCCATCTCACCTGACTGTCACAGCCTCTGAAACGGCTGAGTCCATGCGGATGGGTCGAGGAATATCGGGAAATCCTATTTAGCGTTTTTCTTCCGAAATGAAATAATGCGTACTAACTAACACGTACCTAGGTTAGCATAGAGAACGTCTCCGTTAGAGCCGCGTTATCGTTTCCGGATCTAACGCATTGTTTTTTTTTGCTCTCCCATTCATTCCGAAGCGCGGTTAGCTATGTTAGGCCCATATATCTGCGGCACCGGCTAATTTATTAGTTTATATACAAAATTCGACGTTAGTCTTTTCGGTCTTTTTTTTTTTCAAGACATCGCAATTCAAGAGAACCATGGGAAAATATATAGTCGGCTATTAAACCACTCTTCCTTCACATGGTTGGATTTTCCTTGAGTTACCGCAGCGGCCAGTTCGGTTCCTTTAGGATTCCGGGAATCCTTAACGAATGCGTCCTTTGATCACATGCCGAGAGGAGTCGACTCCCACAAGCTACCTCTGAAAGAGTAGGTACGGTTCATGTAAGAAGGCAGGAATGCCTATAGCTCGACATCTCAACAGGTTATAGTGGTATGATTTCCGCATATTGCGCTGCCTATCTAGAGCCTCGACTAGGTAGCCATGCAACTTCTTATGGGCATAGTGGGATGAACTTAGTCCCTCAACTACACTACCACTAAACATCGTGACCTTAGGGTTGACGCCAACCCATGTTTTGATAATTGAAATAAATCGAGTATATAAGTCCCTCAACAATCCATTCATCATACCAGAGTTACGCTAGCCAATCATATTCGTCGTAATAGATACATGGCGCCTAGAGGAGCTGCTAGGCGATGAAGAAATGCGATCATAACCCAAAGTATGGTACAAGTTCTACGATCCCGTAGATGAGACTAGCAACTGTTATGATCGACTCTAATGATATCAATCGAATATGGTTTATACTGAGTTGGAAAACGACTACGAGTTCTGCTAAGAGACTTCTTTTGCTTACAATTCCTCCACTTCACATTGCTACTCAGGAATGCCGCGGCTTTAAAACTTAGGCACCTGCACGTAGGAAGGTAGATGTAAACTATAGATTGAAGTCTGATCAGCCTTGAACTTTCTTTACTACCTAGTAGACAATGCCAAACACATACCTAATGTATAGTATATACTCTATGAGCTGTCGATGTCGTTGGTGATGATAAGTACTTAAGATATGCCAATACTAATGCTTTACTATTAGTAAATATCTAGCACGTCTCGTTGAGTGTATAAATAATATTGAAGACAGTCTCTGGCTATATGTGCTAAAAGTGTCCTTTACCTACCCTAACTAGAACTTTGACCTTCAATCCTTCGTTAAGCATCACTAAGCGGATGCCTATGATTATCTCTCCGCTACACTTCTTCTCGGCTCTCCGTGTTTAACGTGCCATAGGTAAACTCTGGCTAGCAAGACTTGGTGCTGTCTTATGTGAATCTAGGTAGTAGCCATAAATATTGAATACTTACTTTGGCTTGCTTGGTACCTCTAATGAATATCAATACTAACATAAACACCTATTTAGGTGACTGCCTACTCAGGTAGGTAGAGGAATTTTGAATTTTGTAAAGAAATTCACTTTCCTTGACTTTCTTTCTCTCTTTTATTCAAGGTATATTAATTATAAGGCAATTTCTTTAATACACTTTACTATTTCCCACCTTTATATGACTACTAGTCTGAACAACTTTGAAATGAATACTCTCACATCCGCTATCTATTTATCCATCTGCAAAGTCCCTTTTGATGTTCAAGTGTCCTTTTTCTTCCTTGAGAACGTTCATATTTCACACATGGCTGCGCTCTCGCAGTGGAGTGTTTGATATGAATACGAGAGATTCGAGGCCTCGGATAAGAAGTGAATGAACGAACGAAGAGGCTCTCAGGTTCTCTAGTATGCCTTTCTCTAGCATATGAATATCATGTACTTAATATTGATAAATTTATGTATTAATGCTCCACATTATCGTAACTAAACTACCTGTGCCTGGGGTTCCTGTTGATCTCTTGGCCTAATTATTTTAACCGAAAGATATTCGGAAAAGCGTGTTTATCTGCTTACATAGGATCCATAGGAAAGTATATGACGTCAACTGCATCTCGGACGCTAGGTCGCGTCAGATTACGCGACGAGGCGTACAAGCGCCTTAACCTAGAGCGTCCCGGGATGGTGGGGTAAGCTAACTCGACGCTAAAGCTGACCGCCTACTATTTTTGGAGGCACCAAAGTGGCAGGATCTTATCGAGATCTTATCGGAATTTTATCGAAATCTTATCATCTCAGAAAAAAAAAAAAAAAAAAAAACAAAAAGTTGGGCTAAAAAGTTTAGTTTATACTTTGACTTGTTATAATTGACATCCTTAGCAAATACATACCTACTATATAATGTATGTAACATTGCAATAAACTTACGAATACGACACGACTAATTGCTCAAATCAATTGAACCAACGCCCGACCATAATCTCTTGTATAAATCCAATTAAATAATATCTCGAGCACTTTCCTATAAAATGGGCAAGAGGAAGCGCGGCGCAAACAAAGCCGGCCCCAATGGTAATCAGCCTACGCAGAAGCGCGCAAAAACGGAACAGGCTTTGTCAAACGGTGTTGAAGTTCCGAGCCTTGACTTGGAAAAAGCACCTTTTACGGAAACGCTGAATGGGGAAGCTCGTAGACGGGAAGCTAAGGTATACGAATTGCTTGGAAGCGCCGATAGCGACGAACGAATTGCTGCCGCCGATGCGCTCATCACCGGGCTTCTGGCTTCCTCGGAAGCCGCACTCGAAAGACATCTCGACAATCGTCTATTCCGTGGCCTTGCGAGTTCGCGTAACGCCTCCCGAGTTGGTTTCAGCCTCGTGATAGCGGAAATACTAAACCAGCTGTTCGGACCGAAGAACCTCGCCAAGTCGAAATATACTGGCCTGACCTTCGACAAGGTGCTGAAAATTCTGGTGGAAAAAACAACCCCTAGCGGAAGTATTCCAGGTCAAGAGGAGAGGGACTATTACTTCGGTCGACTTTTCGGTCTACAATGCTTTGTAGAGTCCAAGACTCTTTTCGACGAAGAATCCCGATGGTTGAAAGTCCTGGATCTGTTGTTGAAGATGGCCGATAAGAAAGTCTGGATGAGATCGCACTGCGGATGGGTTATCGTTGAATCGCTGCCCCAGATGGGACAGGACAGAGCAGAAGCAACACTTCAGAAACTTGCTGATATCGGGCTCGGCAAAACAGCAGAGGGGATCGGAATCTGGACGAAGGCGCGGGGTTGTTATCCTAATCTGAAAATACCCGCAAAGCCGTGGCACGATCCTATGAACCCGAGTGTTTTATCCGAAGTGGCTCGAGTATTAAGAGATAATGTGGCGCAAGATAACGGAGAGGACGCGGCAACTGTCAAAGCAAAACAAGGCGGTTGGAGCGCCCAATTACATTTTGTCTGGGATCTTATACTCGCGACATTCCTCGGTTCAGAGACAGATGGAAAGCAGAGTAAAGACCAGCTGAAACTGTTCTGGACCACCGTCATCGATGGTAAGTGCATTTTATAAGTGATTGTATTAACTGGACTAATTGAGATATTAGATGGTCTATTCTCCAAGAATGCTTCTGACGCTCAGAAGTTCCGAGGCTTCGGCATATTTCAAAAGTTCCTTCACGGGCTTGCGGCAGGAAAGCCTGATTTTGCTAAGGAATTATTTACTCGGAATTTGATGAAGTGTTTGATGAACCAAGCTGCTAAAGAAGATCGGTATCTTCATCGTGCTGCGCTGAAAAGCCTCCAATCGATCGAGAGAGCTGTAGAGGTCTCGCCGGAGCTTCTGCTACTGGTCCTAAACGAGCTAACCGGAAAAGCTGGTGCTTACGACTTCGATCAACGAACGAGTACGAAGACCATTGAGAACCTACTGCAGTGGGCTACTCCGGATAACGCCAAGAGTGTTCTCAAGCTCCTTCGGGATCCCATTCTCGTAGTCGAGTAAGTGTCAATTCTGTCCAGTTCATAATGGATCGATTAATTAACCTGATGATAGGAGTGCTAGTGATGCCGAAAAGCTAAGACAAGTATATGCTGGCTACGTTTCTAAATTGGCAATCCAAGCAAAGCCTGCATCGAGCGATAACGAGGGTGTAAATATCGCCGAACTTGGCGTTAAAGAGCTAGCTGCATGCGCATATTCTGTACAGTCGCAGTTTAAACCGGAACTTTCAGATAAATCACGAGAAACATTCCGTAGATTACTTGCGTCTACGATTGGAAAGGTAATGAGGCGGCGAGATGATGCTGAATATCTTTGCAACGCGGTTATCTCTGTCGAACCCTCGGCGGTGGATATGAGCGGTGAGATCAAAGCTGAAAGGGATAGCGCATTAAAGGCCATACGGAAATTACTTAAAACAAGCAAGAAATCAGATAGCAAGAATGCTGGAGCTTCGGTTGGCCTCGCCTTGCTGTACGCTATTACGATACTACAACTATATGATGGAGCACCTGATGCTCTTGGCATTCTTCAGGATTTAGAGAGCTGTTCTGAGAAGATGAAGAGCAAGGAAGGCGGTAGCTCAGAACTTTTGGTAGAAATATTGCTCGCATTAGTCTCTCAACAGTCACCAATGATGCGGCAGATCAGCGAGCAGGTGTTTGAGGCATTCACTTCACAGATAACCCCCGAAGCTCTCGAACTTCTAACGGAACCACTTCTCGCGGAGGAAAATCAAAAAGGATACCAAGCCCTATTTGAAAATCTTGAAGATGAGGATGTGGAAATGGACGATGCTGAAGACTCAGGTTCTGAAGATGAAGCGGAAGAGTTGGACGATGAAATTTCGGAAATTGGTTCCGACGTCGAATTCGTTACCTTGAACGGTACCGAGGCAACACCTGACGATGAGGATGATAATGAAGATGAGGACGAAGACGAGGATGGCGAGGATGAGCAACAAGGAGAAGCGGATGCTAAAGAACTCGCGGATCTTGACGATGCCCTTGCAAAAGTCTTGGGGAGCCATCGCCTGGATAAAGACAAGGATGCCGAATCGTCAGATAATGACTCGGATATGACAGACTCCGAGATGATGGCGCTCGACGACAAGCTCGTCGAGGTCTTCAAGCAGCGGGCCAAGAACGCAGGTAAGAAGAAGGAAAAGAAGGACACCAAAGAGTCGGTCATCATGTTCAAGCACCGCGTCCTCGACCTCATCACCCTCTACCTCAAGCACGAGGCTGCCAATCCCTTAGCCTTCGGCCTCTTGTTACCGCTCCTAGGAGTCGTGCACTCCACCACCGCCAAGCCCCTCGCTAACAAGGCGGTCGCGGCCATCGAAAACTTCTCCAAGGCCTTCAAGAAGGCGCGGGCCGCCGCGAGCAGCGATAACAAACACGAGCTTCAGCTGGACGCGACGGCGCAACTCGCGCTGATGCGCGAGATCCACCAGCGAGCCGCCAAGGACGCGGCGCACGCCTACGGCCGCGCGGCGTCCACGGCTAGCTTGCTAGTCGCCTCGAGCCTCGTCGCCGCTGCTGCTGGGGATCACGTCGGCGACGTCAATGCGCTGTACGCGCACACGTTCACCGAGTGCCAGAAGGGCGCGCTTAAGCTGCCGGGGTTCTTCTTCACCGACTGGGTTAATTGGGGAATGGGACACGCGGCGAATGCCCAACAACAACAACAAAAGGAAGGTGATAAGGGGAAGGAGGCAGTGGAATCGTGAAGAATTGTTTACATTGCCTACCTGCTTACCCAAGTAGGTAAGGCCACATATCTACCTGCCGGTATGTTACCTAAGCCATGTTGACTGGGCAACGAGAACGAGATTTGCATGGGCAGCTACCCTACCTAACCTAACCTAACACGTTGTGGATATCCGGGTATATAATCCATACGTAGCGTCGTCGAAGATGCCAAATATAGCACAGTAGCCAGATAGATAGATACCTTACTATGTACCTAAACTTACCCAATGCTAATGTTTCGTGTTAGTTAACAGGTAGGTACCTAACTAGTGTAAACCGTGCTGTGCCTTCGTATAACCCCCTTTTTTGCTCGCTTGCATGAAAGATTGAAGCCCGAAGAGCCTAATACCTAATAATTCTGCGGCGTGGGTGATTTCGGGTACGATTGCTGAGAAATGAGCTGCGGGAACACTGTGACACACTAGGTAAAAGGGGGCGGGGCGTGGGGTTTTGTGGAGGAAGTTATGTAGGAGATACGCGGATGGTGGATATAGCGACGAGGACAAAGCAAAGCAAATTAACTAACCCCATAACGTGTGAGGAAACCAGATAGTATTCTATTATCGTCCTGAGGTTATCCGAATTTCAACGTCGGAATAACTAATTCCTCCATGTAAGTGCTATCATCACGACTTCTATTCCCCACAATAGGAGTATCTTCAACAATCCCTGACTAGGTTCCTATTTTAATACGACTTCGCCAGAAGTTCACTTAGTTGCGACATCCTTCTAGTTGTAATAGTTATTGATTTCTGTCCGCTATATGGACTTCCGCTATTAGCGTAAGGTACTTCGAGTTTTGAGGTTAATATCTTCTTTCCCTTTGACCGCGTTCCTTGGCCATCTGATCCCCATTGCTTCTCAAGTTACGGTCTTCAATAACTCGTACATACCCACAGGCTGTTTAAATTTGAATTTGAGCTTCTTTGCACAAGGAGGTCAGTGTTCCTATCGCTAATGACTATATCCTGTTTAACATCCAAGGCTCTCTTGATTTGCTATGAGTGCCGGCGACGCGGCACCCCTGGAACTCCTCGCAGCGTTCCTAGAATGCCACGTTTCTGACGGCACCATCAGTTGCCGCCAATTTCGTCTTCGGTAATAGTCTTTGCTGTTTTCATATAGTATTATAGGTACTCTGTCAGTACTCAACGCGGAGCTTTGACTCTTCTATTGGTTGTTGTGTTGTATGTATGGTATCAGTCGTGCCTGGTAATGCTTGAGTGGGAAAGTGTATAGTGAGAAAAGTGTATGTTGTAAAGTGGAATCGCTAGGGCCGTTGGTGAAATTGGAATCATCACATTCGTAGCTGTTGCTATTGCGCGCATTTCACCACCCAAGCCCCGATAATGGCGAAAAGCGCACAAGCTATCTTCGCCTTCACGGCCTTGTTGCATAGCCAGTTGTTAATGGGCTGGCAAGGCGCATATGAAGTAAAAGATGTTAGGTTCGGTAAGGATCCGAACGAGACGGCGTAGTCATAGAGGGCGTCGCGGAAGTTGAACAGGGTACTGATCGGCGTGGAGCGACATGACAGAGCTTTGAATCGGACAGCCTTTCTGGGGGATTCTGTTTCACCTTCGAACCCGTCCACGTCTTCTTCAAGATTTGTAAAGTCATGAGTAATATAAATGTAAGATGCTCACGCGAAGCATAACCTACACTAGGTTCTTAAAAAAAGAGGATTTATTGTCTTGTCGAGGTCCTTGCAAAACCAGGGCGATAACGCAATCACTAGATCCAGAGCCTATCTTTGAAAGGCACGTATTCTTTATAGCGTCGTAATCGATATACTCATATCTGAGATTATCCCGCGTGGTGTTGTTGCGCAAGATGGTTAGTTCTTTAGGATGTGAGAGCTTATTTAGCCGGAGCTGCCTAAGGAAGCGGTCTTGTTGGGACGGAGGCAGAGTCTCGGTCAAGAAAAGTTGCCTGTGCGAAATCTGATCTATGGCCTGGTGGAGGACCGGCAACTTTGGTCTCCATCCCTCGCTAGACAAGAGCATGTCGTAGACTTCGTCGAATATAACCCTGTCGAACTCGTACCGTATTCGCTTTCTATGTGCGAAAGCCTGCCACTCTTTATAGGACAGAGCTTCGGGTATCACTAATACCACAGAGGTAGAAGCATGAGGGTATGAGGAGTTATAAATGTGGACAGATATGTTGAGGCTTTCTAGAGCTGCTTTGGTATGGATTTGCAACGATTTTGTAGGCTGTATAACAACCGTGCAGCTTTCCGGTTGAACATACGCTGGAAGTGCAAAGCTCAAGGACTTCCCACCGCCGGTCTCCACAAACTAAATTATTTTGTTGCAAGTAATGTCGTAGGGATGATTTAATAAACAGACTGTATCGTTCTGCTTATCCGTCTGTTTGCGCGTGGTATGCAGTTGCATACAAGAGTCTTGTGCCGCATTATTTCCAGAAGGTAGACCAAAATTCTGATAAAAACTTTGGATCTCGGTCTGAGATAATAACTTTGGGAAGACCCCATCCAACGTTAAGAAGTTGGTCACAAAAGGAATTTGTCGTCCAGATATATGTAAGGTGTAGGTTTAGTGCAGCGAGGAAAGCCAACGGAGAGCTGAATGGAGGCTATCTCTCCAAGTTGCCCGACCATCTTTCTCAACTAATTTGGGACTTCATGGTAGGCACGCACCTATGCACAAATGATTCCCTTGGATTGTAGCATCACAAGGTGTGCATATAATCATCCCATTCATCGGAATTTAGGGTTTCGGTTAAGCCTGCCTGGACCAATGTATTATTCACGTCTTCAGCCTTCACCGGCTTCAGTTATGTTGATGTCTTCATGATCATTAGCGGCAGGATCGGGGTTTTCATCGCTATAGCCGTCACCATTAAATCAACGATGACACCAAGGTAGTTTTAGTTCTCAGCGTCTTGCGGAAGACTAAATGCTATGTCCAATGTGATAGTGTGAAAAGGACACGGCGGGCTGATGATGAGTTGGGGCGAACCATGGGGGTCGATGGTTGCGCAGGCGATGTACTGAGCATTCAGGGCACGATCTAATGAACTTCGCAAATTCTTTTCGATCGAGAACAAAGGATTGTAGATTATCCCGGGCCTACTTTCGCCGCCCAAGTAGTAGAACGTTGATGGTTGCCATCTCCATCCGTCGACCCTTGAGATGAAGAGGATGCGATATGAGGGTTTTGAAAGGGTACCGTTCCAAAATGATGTGTGGTATGATTCCTGAGGTGACGAGAGGGCAATAATATAGGGGATATAATGGTTATTAAGAGTATATACCGTTATTATCGATCCAATATAAGAATAGATCGATGTCTTGACCAAAGCCTAAGTATGTTGCTAATCCCGAGTTGGAATTTGCAATTGAGTTGTCGCATAAGCGAACAGGTGGCTTTTGTGGGTTAGTATTGGAATAGAAAGAACCCCAGGTCTTTTGATATGACTCCAATTGGGCAGGGGTTGGGTCTGCCGAAGGGATATATGGAGAATGAAGATATGTTTGCGGTACCTGCTTGGGGTACCACATTGGAAGAGGAATTTCCTCTCCAGCAAGTATATCTCTTATCAGGTCATTGCCGTTGTAGGCGTTGTGGAGGATGCTGTTTGAGCGATTCCAGCAGGTATGTTATTCCTCCTGGTCCTCCTGCTGTTCCAGGCAGATTGCCTGAGACTGGCTCTAGTTAGAAATAAAGTACTGACGAGTCAGGTCTGTGACTGGGAATATCACTTACAGAGTCCGTCTAGGAGCCGATTGATAGTTCTGAATCCCTTGGCTGTTGAATAGTTGATACCTGTAACATGCCACAGGTCGAGGATTAGATGTTTGATAAGATGTTCTCTGAACGTATTGTCAGTAGCTGATGATATTAGCTGAATAATTCGTAACCTTAACGGCGCTCCATCTCAGGAGGACGAGCTCCCCTGGGATCCTTCGGTATGAAATACTGTTATCCCCGGACACTTTCCAATGAAACCAGACAGTACTGAGCGAACGTATTAGAGCTCGGTCAGGCTTCCGTCTCTAGTCTGGTATTCACCCAACGTATTTACTTTGACTTTCATGACCGGCTTTCTGAGGATTGTATATAAGGGATCCCGTTCAAGTTTGCGAAGGCGGTCTCAACCACGCAAGTATTCCTCCCTTGTTCTTTTTGAGGGCTTTGATGTTCCCCAAGGCTTTTGTTAGAAGCTAACCACTTTCTTGACTTGTTGTCCATGGCTGTGCGCTTGTCACCTAGCGTTTGAGACGTCTCGAGGTTTGTAGGTAATAGTCCCTGAGCTGTTCCTGAACTACTCAATATACGTAGCTAATAGTTGGTTCATCTGGGCAGTTTTTCGAACATCTTATCTTTGTTGCAGTCCTTTTCAGTCAGCTGAGCATTTCGGGAACCGGACTGTGTAGTATTCCTAGATAGATATTGCGTTTGTGCCAGACCACCATGGTATCTTCAGGTTGGTCTTGTCAAAATAGAGATATGAGACAGAATATTGGTAGCTTCTGCCTGGGCCATGTCGTGGCGAGGGCTTGCAATCCCTGTCTAGCCTGGTTCGGCTGCTTTGTAGGACTAAAGGGTATATACTGTCCTTACTCTGGTGGACTAAATATAATAGTTGAACGGTTTGTTGAAGTTATAGTTGTTTCTCTGCTGTCAAACCCTTGTCTGACTTTGGGAGTGATGGTTGAAGTCCATAATATCGTTGATCTTACTTGATAAGTGGAGAGCGATAGGTAGTTTTGGTTAAACGACGCCATGTAACTCATATATAGGTCGTTATAGTTCTTAAAATATTCCAGAGGAACATTGTGTTGTGACAATGAATGTTTGGTAATAAATATATGAAGAAGGCTGTGTGTTTAATATAGTGATGAGTTTGGGTATTTTCGAAAGTGGAAGAGAGAAAGGTTTTTTTTTTGTGCGCCCTTATGTACCTAAGGAAGAGAGAAATTTTTTTTTAAAAAAGATATAGCTGCCTAAAAAACTCTGTCGCTGTGGTGGCAGTTGCGATACTTCACCTAAGGCACTGGCGCCTGCCTGTTGATACAGCCTGTATCTACGGTTGCCTTAGGCAATTTAAGTACTGCACCTACCTGCATAGAATTTTGCACATACGAGGCAGGTATGGACATATGCCTTAGCTTAAGTACCTAGGTACACTTAGCTCAGGTACTTACACTATGTATGTTAGGCAATTGCCAGAGCCTCGGGTATCTATGGAATGTAAGCTCTGGTATAACGTAGGGTTATGTACCTACATGTAGATAGTTGCCACCCTTATATAGAGGCAACTCACAATGTCAAACCACTGGACCCTACCTAGGTAGGTACATAAGGTATATAAAGTGTGGATTTGAAACTTCGCTTGGACAACAGCAACTTACAAAACATGACAAGGCAACAACAAATAACTTTGATAAATGGTTAATTTAAGTAAACCCCTAACTACCTATCCAATTTTATCCCTATATCTGATTAAATTGCCAAGTTCGGTTTCTAATCCTCAACGAAGCAGAATCTCTATCTCATTAAGAAGTAACGCCCTCGCCGATATAATAACTTGGTAGCGTTGCCTAATAGTATCTTAAGCGCTTAACTCTGTAAGTCATGTTGTCTTCGAGGTTTGTGGTTGATGTAGTGTCTACCCACGTAACCTGGCCTGACTGGCGACACGCTTGCGGCATTATTAACGACGAGATATCTTAATATCGGCTATTATATTGTTACAAACAAGCAGAATGATGTGTTTTTCTGGCTGTAGCCGTGTTTGCAAAATGGTTATTTTAAGAATCAATGGCAAATTTCCAAGGATACCTCTTACCGATGACAGCAATCTCCCTCTCCCAACGCGTCGGTGGCTTAAGACTTAAGAATCGAAGGCATAAATCAATACCTATATTAAGACACACACTACGTGTTTGAGAGAAGATGGCAAATACCCTGTGGAGTATAGACACATATGAGCTTATCTATAGCTACCTAATAACCTTTAAGGTTGAGAAAGCAAGGGGCGACGAGTCTTGAAATGTCTCGCGTTGAAAGGCAAGGACAACATGATAGGTATCCGTACTGCCATATCAACGTATGTTTTATCCTAAACATGTAATTGGACGAAGCAGGAGCGCCATCTCCGGTCTGTCTTTGCTTTTCTATGCATGTCCTTTCTGCGGTGCCGGCGTATCATAAGACATACGCAGCGCCACCCAGCCCCCAAATGCTGTCCTTTGGGTTACGACTTTTCGTGGGCGGCATGTAGAAGTGCATACACCGCTCTCGATATCTGTGTCTGTATGTAATTGGGCCCGAGACATGTCGATATCAACGTTTCTATCCGATAGTGGGAAAGCGGCTTGATTTCTTGCCGTTTTGGTCTCCTCGGAGTGTAATATATTTCTCGAATTATCCATTTCAAGAGTTTGGGAAGTACTCCGATTATACTTGCTTAAACCATTACCATATAGGCATAAATTGAAATACGACTTCGAAATGAATATAGGGGACTTGATTCCCCAGCTAGCGGGCCTCACGTACAACCCACCGAGCTCGCTGCCGATTAACTTGGGAGGACAGAACTTCACGCACTGCTGTCTCCGGGCGCTGAACGACTCACTTGTTTTAAGTCCGAACGGGAACTTATCCTACTCTTCGACTTCATTCGTAGCACCCGGCGTCTCGATCGAGCAGCTTGAGGACGCGATCCAGAACGATGCGTTCCCTTGTGGTGCGACCTTCAACGGCGACCTTCGTGGCGCCCCAGTTGTCCGCATCCCGTACTACCAGTGCACGGCACAGTGCCCAGGATGGGAAATCTCGCATTCGAATGCCATGCAACAGTGGATCGGCCCGCTGGTGCAGTTCATCGTACCTAGTTTAGCCTTTTGCACCAACGTCCCACGCACCCACAAACTTGCTATCCCGGAGATCGTGTTCAAAGCCCATCCGCGAACGATCACCGGATTTATGACATATTGGATCCGACTACTAGGCGCTGTTCTGCTCATGACTCTCGACACGGTGGTCTGGCTTGGCATCTGCTTCGCCTTCGCGGGTCCGATGCTGTTGAGCGCTGTATATGAGTACGCGCTCGATCGTAAGGTGCTGGAGTTCATGGCCCCGCCCAATGATAGACCTCCGGCCATGTCTTTGCGATTAAGGGCTCAGTTACTATTGTCTATAGTCGTTGGGAATATTCGAATGGCCAGCCTTGAGAATGACGAACCGGAAGTTGATAGTCGGCACCATAGTACCGCTTCTAGCGATTTGGAAGCGATTCGACCCCTTGAGAAGCGCATAACGAGTAAATTGGTGCATAATAGTGTTTGGAAGCGGGTTATGGTGTTGATTGAAGAACACGAGGCGTCCAAATTGAATAGTCGATATCGGGGGGAGACAGTGTCTTTGTCAACCAAACTCAAGGCGCTTCTCAACTCTCAAGCGAGGTGATTATTGTCCGAATTGAAACTTCTGGAGAGAGCTAACTCAGAGTCCAGCTTCGGATCAACAGTAGGGGCGCCAGTATTATTCTTCCTTGGCGGCTTCGTCTATACTGTCCTAGACGCGGATAATACCCTAGGAGACAACGACACAGCCCATGCCCTCGCGTTTGGCTTATGTGAGTAGCCTCTTGTGCTTTCGCTCGTTATTTGCTCGTGCATACTGATAACCATAGCCAGGGTGGATGGTTATTCCTTATCTTGCCATAATCGTATGTGTCCAAATTCTTAAGACCTTGATATCTTTACGATAGCTTTCGAGGCGTGGAGTGTGTTATAGGATGGAGTTTTCAAATCCATGGAATTTTGTCGGAAATTATTTTCTCACCGCTGACTTTATGCTATAGTCCTGTGCAATGTTGGCATCGAACAGTCCTAGCATGCTGGATGGCCTTGTATATGACGGCGGTACTGTTGCCACGGTAGATGAGTACGAAGTGAGTATCTGGGCACAACATATCAAGAAAATCAAGTCATATAAGGGAATTGGTTTCGTCATAGGACGTCTTGAAGGATATAATCCGATTGAAACAGCTTACGAAGGCAGATTTCGCACAGTTAAGCTATGGAAACGGGGTCTCAACAAACGCGAATGGGTTCAGGAGGCGATTAGCGAGCACACACTTTCATCTGACTATCGGAGTGGCAACGGCATATCCCCTGATGAGATGCGAAAGGCCCTCTCGCTGACCTACCTGGATTGTTTGTACGTCCTAATCGGAGCCTTATTCGCGGTGCTAGCGCCGTGCTGTCTAGCATTTCTGACCTCTTACAATACGCCCCAAGCCGGACTGTCCTGTCGCAGTCTGACCTATCTTGTCTATGCTATTAGCCAAGTATGTGAAATGGCCTTATGGATATGTGCCGCGAGGTTGAGGATACGATATGGTACTCGGTGGTCGGAGACAAACCCTATCGCAAAAAGGATATGCTGGTGGGGGCAAGTTTTCGTGGGATTCTTTGCTGTATTTGCGGCGGTGGGAGGTACTACTATGCAGCTGGTAGGTGTTTATAGAAGCTGCGCTTGCAAGGTAAGCCTACGGAAGCATTACCTCGGCGAAACTGATATGAGCATTCTTCTATGACTGAGTGTTCGGCTAACACTATACACAGGTACCGGTGAGATATTGGCCCAGGCTCCATGACCCAAACGCATACATTGTGCTCAGCAATAACACCACCGAAGACATAGAGGCAGCGCAGCGCTGGTGGACAGTGACTGGGAGCACAGCTGTGGTGGTTGTTGGAATTGTGTGTGCCCTTGCGTGGTGGCATCAACGACGTCTACGAAAGAAGTTTCGAGATGAAGCGGATAAATTGGATATTGACAATGCAGGCAGTGAACAAGCCGCGCAATGTTCAGAACCGTAGGATTTACCGTATAATTGATGATTGCTGGTATGTCTAAGAGGTAACCTCTTGTTATATAATTGAACTCTTATTCTAATTGAAGACGGAGTATATTATACACTATCTATTATATAAATCTCCGTAAAGTCGTAAATTCTCCGCGATACTGTGTAAACTCGTAAGTAGGCGTCATGGTACCTGGGTAGGTAGCTAAAAGAGTGGCTTTGGTCATACGCACTGAGCTAGAGGTATATCGTCGAGGTATATGCTATAAATCATCGATATAAGGTATGAGTAGTGCTAATGCTCTAATAAATGATATAACTTGCAGTAATGAGATGTTCACCTGGAAACCATAGCGAGTACAGCCAAATTTCAAAGCAGGGTATAAAACTTTTGCAAACCACCAACGCCGATTTCGAAATGCTTACACCTAGGGACCTAGGTATGAATTACGCTAGGGTGAAATCCCAAGGCTTAAATGCTTCTTTGAACTTCTCGACATCTTGCGTCTCTTCGGAGATGGATTGAACAACATCTTGCCAATAAAGTCGGTGCTCAAGTCCAAGGAGCTTCGCCACAACCCGACGACCAAACTGGAGATCGAAGCGGATGTTGCTATCAAAGCGCATAACTAGTTCCTTGCTTTGGATGCCGGTGTCGCTATCATCGGACCAGATCCAGAGACGGAAAAAGTCAGAGGTCTCGTCAATGCCAGATTCCAGAGATGCTTCCTGGAATGGTGGAAATTGGCGATTCTCAGCCTCTACTTTGAATCCTGCTTCAACAAGACCCTTGCGAATGAGATCGGAAGGGATGGGTATAAACTGCCAATGGATGTGAATACCGGACTGTCGACTGATTTCGAACGTCACCGCGCCTAATTTGAATTTGGACTGCACCGCCACCATAGCTTGCATTGATTCTTTGAAACGCACCATTTCCAGGTAAGTCTTACGAGCATCCTCGCCCATTGAACGGATGGTGGGCTCATGAGGAAGGGGGATAATAAGTTGGTGTCCTGGGAAGGAGAGTCCGGACGAAGCAAATGTATCAGGACTGGGTAATGGACCCTTGGCTGTAGTAACGTAAGAGTCGTCTCCTATAGCACAGACCATATGGGTATCCACATCGGTGTTGCTTAGACAGAAGAAGCATCTATCAGGGCCCGGAGGGGGCGATCGGTCTCTTCGACGACGGACACGTCGACCGCTACGATGATCGTGACCATTAGCCCGGTCATCAGTGGTAACTGGTCGTTTTCTTTGATTGGTTCTGACGATAAATGGGGAGGCGGTACTTCCGGGAGGGATTGTAGAAGGTGATTCTCCGGGGACGAGATTGAAGGCATACATAGCTTTCGCCTTGGCTGCATTACCAAAGGGTGCGAGCGAGATGAATCGCGTAACAAACTTCTGGTCGGAGTCAGGATTCCTTGGTGGGTGAAAGAAAGGTTCACGCTCGTAGAAAAAGTCGGTGGGCGACATTGAGAAATGATAACGCGGTTTAAGAGTAGCACACAGGTCGGCAATTTCATCGGTGTTTGCGACGGAGGATTTTTCCTCAGGCGTTAAAGTCTTGCTAGAATTAGTCCATATATTGGATGGCCAGCAGGTTGTTAGGAGTATATCAGTAGCATTCGCGCCACGTAATATTTTGGCATCATCGGCGGTATGCAAAGGAAGGTGCTGTTCTTTGGATTGGCCGCCGATAATGGTATTATCGAGAACACCGCCTAATGCCACGATTCGAATCCCGTCCGACGTCTTAGTGATACTTCGCTTGCCCAGGAAGTGTAGATTTTCGCATACCTAGATGCGTGAGACTCATTAGTTTCACTAGAACGCAAGGCTGTGCGATTTAGGAGGAATAAGACATCGCGAACGTACATCTTCGCCTTTCTCAACGCGCTCAACGACTCGGTTAGGTAATGGAGTCGTGCCTACGGTAAAGTAGGTGGAGAGAGGAATCTGGATTTCGCCATTAAGAAGTCGCGTGATAGTATCATCATCTTGGTCGGCATTGAAGAGGTTTCCTGTAATGATGGCGAAAGAGAAGTTCTGCTTTTGGTGCAACGTCGCGAGCTTCTGGAAAACAGAGTCCAGCTTGCCATTGACGCTGCCTAGGACAATACTAATAATATTAGGTATATATGTTAGATATTAGTGTACTCCAAGCGATTAGAATAATTTCACTTACATTTTAGCTGCCATGATGGCATGCGATGGCGTATGGCGTCAAAAAAGACCAGCTGGGTTGGAAGCTGTAAGAATCGCAATCTCCAATTGGCTTATCTTTAGCTGCGATGAGGATGAGATTGAGAGTTACGGTAGTACGTAGTTGCAAGGTACAGGTACATGGCTGCATGCATGGTACTTACCTACCACCATGCCGCCAAGACGTCAAAGCTACGATAAGATATATCGATAAGTTTATCGAATGTCTTATCGCTTATCGCAACGCCTCTCGCAAGAAAAAAAAAAAAGTTACAGGTTGCAAGGGTTGCAGCGTTCTCTTTTGCGCGATGCGATTTGCAGTGGGGCAAGAATCTTAAGATAATACTTTTTAACATTCAACACTCAACTGCAAGAGTGAAGAGCACCTTTTCCCTTCGTATCCCCACTAGGGAATTGGTAGTCAAGATGCGCTCAACGCAGTCTGGACGTATAGTAAAGTCCCGAAAGGGAGGAGGGACTCCTCATCAGAAAAACCACCGTTGGGAATCTTTCACGACAAAGATCTCGAAGCTACATTCTCTCGATCCTCTTCGAAGAGTACGACGACATGACCTCGAAACAGAAGACCTCGAAACTACCACCTCATACTTTCGAAATGGCATGGAAAAATGGGCTGATATTAATATATCTAAAGCTTTTACCTCCTTCCGGCGAGATGTGCGACCATTCTGCGACAGTCTACCTCAGATTCTACATTTTGAGGACAAGATCGTGGAGTTATTGGCAAAATACATATCAATGCACGATCCTGAGTCCCTCGAACCTCTTTTAGATTTACTTACAGCCTTAGCGCATGACTTGGGCACTCGTTTCGAAAAGCATTACCCAACTGCTTTGTCTCTAATCACTGGTATCGCAAGTCGACCCCAGGACGCAGCCGTTACAGAATGGTCATTTGGCTGCTTAGCCTTTCTTTTCAAATACCTGTCAAAACTCCTAGTACCAGATATCCGACCAACATTTGACGCCTTAGCGCCACTGCTGGGCAAAGCTCGAAATCCTCCTCATATTGCTCGTTTCGCCGCCGAAGCGCTAAGCTTTCTCGTCAAGAAAGCTGCTGCGCCCGTAAACCGAGAGAAAGCCTTACCCCTACTCGTTGAACATGCTAGATTAGATCTCGAAGCTGCTAGAGATAGTCGGCAATTCGGGCTGTATCACCATGGACTTATGACCATGTTTGCGGAGGCTATCAAAGGCCAAGGGCACACCATTCATACGAACGGACCCGAGATCATAAGGTCGCTCATCATATCTGTTCCAAATAACGAATGCCTTTCTTTAGATCCAGTTACATGGACTGATCTTGTTTGCGGTGTACTTGTTAGCATTGTTCATCATACGACTAGCGAAACGTTCGAATCTATCCCACAACTAGTAGCAGATATATCAGCTCAGGACCAAGAAAGGGTTAACTACCCGTTGCGTAATTGCCTATACGTTCGGATTATGGGGACGATATCCGGTGTTCGAAAAGGTAGCCGCATAAAAGACTGGTCGATCGTCCTCAACTGCTTGTTGGAGTCTCTCAAGGCGCTCTCGAAAGCGGCAAACGAGGTTGAGGGTTTTGATTTATCTGCTATATGGCAGCAGCTTATGGTAAATATAGCTATCATTTGGCAACAGGCTAAGATGGACTCTATTATTCCATGCATTAACGATTTCACCAACGTTATGACTCGGGAGCCCCTGATGAGATGGTTTATACCATTTTGTTCCTACTTTTCCGATCTCGATTCCACTAGGTTCCGTAGCCTCCTACTGAAGCCATTCCAAAAGTCAGTCATTTATAACCCTTCGACATACTTCATAATTACTGACTTCTAGCATAGGTTTATTGTGACACATTGGTCTGAGGGTTCTAATGAGGAAATGCTATGCATCCTCTTACCTCGAATGGTAGAATCGCATGCTCTGCCCTCCGTCACAGAACCCGAGAGCTTTTCTCTCCCACAATCCTGGCAAGATCAGATCGTCACTAAGTTCGAACGTCTAGAGATTTCCCCGTTCCCTGAGCAAGGGAATTCAAGTGGATATGACAAAGATCCGAAAACATGGCGGGACAAGTGCCTACCTAAATACTCAGCTCTTCTTCGAGTACTAGAGGCGACCGCTGTTCGGCCTTCTACAAACGGCCCTATCGCAGAGCTGCTGCTTAGAAAACTCAAGCTCGCGCTGAAGCCCTCTCAGTCTTTAGCGAGTGAGGAAGCCCATTTTATCGTCAGCCAGGGATTTTCTGCGTATCTGCGGATGAGCAAAGCGACTGGGCAAATCGATAGATCTCTTGAACCCTTGCTCAAAGCAGCTACTCCCCGGTACCGGCAACTTACTGGATTCCTGGAAGCCATGATCACTTACGAAGACCTCCTTGACCATAAGAAGAGCTCTCCGCCTCAGAGTGAAAGTGGTTCTAATAGCGAGAGCGACGAAGATCCGTTCATGAAAAGCCTTGTTGAAAATCTATCCAGCCCATCGCATCAACACCGGCTAGTATCTTTGCAGTTGCTCAGTCGTCTTGGTGCGGCCTCGGATGAACTAGACTCGTTGGCAACTATGATTCAGATAGAGCAAACGCCACAAGACTTCCAGAATGTTCGTCTAATTTCTGTCCATATTCGGAAACTAGCGGCGAGCTATTCTCAGCTCAGTGAAGGCTCGTGGCTTCGACAAGCAATCCCAAAATTTCTCTTCGGTCAGATGACAGTGCGTCTGACCCCAGTTTGTGATTCTGCGGTAGAAGCGTTGCAGCAGATTAGCGAAGTGAAATCCGGCGAAGATGTTATATGCGATATTGGGTTTAACTGGATTGAATGCCCATCTAAGCGATGGGAAGGTCCACAGAAGGAAGCGGTAGCTTCATCAAATACTGGTCTTACAGATTTTGAGTGCTGGAATCTGTCTAACCTCCACAAGCAGGCTGAAGAGGCTGAGCGCGTATTAAAATGTTATTCTGAAATAATGTTGGAACATTTTGAAGGCAACCAGAGTCTTGCGGACGAGATGCCTTCCAACGCAAGGTCTCAAGCACTCAAAGTCTTCTCAGCTACTCCCGGCATGGTGGAGAAAAGATCTCGAATGCTAGTGCCCTACCTACTGTCGTGGACAAGGGAGAGCGAGGAACGAGACGACGATGAGATGGAACCATCTGAACAAATTTCTGGTGGATCCTGGTCTCTCTTCGACAAGAAAGCTCTCTTAGGCGTATTTGGCCAATTTGCAAACCCCAAGGTGTTATACCAGAGTCAGCAGGTTTACGATGCACTTCTTGGTCTCATGGCGAATGGTGATGTCGAAGTCCAGAAGTCTGCTCTCAAGGCAATTTTGACTTGGAAGCAGGAGGGCATTAAACCTTACCAAGAGAACCTGGAATATCTTCTTGATGAAGCTAGGTTTAAAAATGAACTGACCGTTTTATTTCAAGGAGAACAGCAGATTCGACCAGAGCATCGCTCTGACCTCATGCCAGTTCTACTCAGGCTGCTTTATGGAAGGTCAATTTCAAAGAAGGGAGCCGCAAGTGGACGTCACGGTCTCCACGCCACTAGGCTAGCTGTTCTAAGACAGCTGAGCCTAGAAGATATGGGAGGATTCCTCGATATTGCCCTTGGTGGTCTTCGCGGGATTAGAGTCATCGAAGATACTCAGCTGCGCGAAAAGATATTTGATGATGAAATATTGACTGTGCGGAAGCAAGTCGGATTTCTCAATATGATGGAAGCTATAATCAATGAGATGGGCACTGGCGTTCTCTCCTTCGCCGACAAAATCCTCAACGCAGTACTCTACTGTCTCATACTCTCCTCACGAAGGCTAAATCAAAGCAGCGACGAGATGGAAGAAGATCTCCCTACACATAATTCTCTTCTTCGAGTTGTCAGGAGTACATCTCTAAAGTGTCTGGTTGCTTTACTTCGGAATGCCCCTAGCTTCGACTGGACACCTTATAAAGATCTGTTTGTTAAAGAGGTTGTAAGTCCGCGTCTAGAGAAACTTCCAACCGAAACAACCCAAGGCGTGTCTGGAACACTTCAATTCCTCGCGACATTATCACAACTTCCAAAGACGGCTATATTTTTCGCTATTGACAACCGCATCGTTGGAAAATTGATGGAATGCCTCAAGCTTGAAAAAACAAAAGACGAGGTCAAGATTTTTGCACTGAGCATTGTGCGCAATCTAGTCGGAATTTCTCAGCAATCAGCTGCAGAGTCTGAATTCAACGAGCTGGTCCAAGAAGAAATTTTAGACCCCAATGTTAACGTCATACTAGAAAGTGTTGGTGTGGCCCTGACATATAAAGGGGAGGTGAGCCGAGATCTACTTATGGCATGTATCGAGTGCGTGGTAGAATTATCCCCAATCGTTCAAAAGTCGGCTCATGTCATAAATCTTGTCAACATTTCGGTCTCCCTTCTCAATCAACCGTCAAGACGTGTCAATCCCAAAGCTAAAGGACTGGTTCTTTCTATGCTTCAAAATTTCGTTAAGCTCGCAGGGGCCGACTTTCACGCGGACTTGAAAGATCAGATTTATTCAACGATAGCATCCCTCTATGGCTTTTTTAGGGACCGTGTCAACCGACAGGCGCTATCAAATGTGATGGCAGTATTATACCCGGATGATCCGTTATCTCTTGAAGTATCTTCACTTTGTGCAGATCTGAATTCTTACGACAGCAGGCGTATCGACGAGCCTGATTATGAAAAAAGACTGGCAGCTTTCAATGCCATTTTACGCCCGAGAGATATACCTTACACGCCACGAGACTGGGAGCCGTTAATACATAATATGACCTTTTATATAAAACATGACGAGGAGTATGGCATTTTATCCGCGAACTCTGCCGACGGCCTATGTAAATTCATAGAAGCTGCTGCGTGCTCGAAAGGTGAAGAGCAGGCTAAGTTCCACAGTATGCTGTCAAATATCTTGATTCCGGCTTTGTACTCCAATGCGCGAGAATCTTCGGAGACCGTGAGACGAGAGACCGTGAAGGTATTTGGAGTTTTGGTATCGCGGATGTCCTCTTGGCCTTCTGTTGCTGACCTTGTAGCAATTAACCCCGAACCGGATGAGGGCGACCCGGACCCAAGCTTCTTCAACAATATCCTGAGTCCGGCAGCGGCACGGCAAATGCGGGCATTACAGATGCTATCCAAGGCCAGCCAACATGCGTCTTTAAGCAGCAAACATTTGACTCACTTTTTCATACCTCTTCTCGAGCATTTTATTTTCAATCGAGAGGAGGGGAGTGATGACCATGGTGTGGGAGCTCAAGCAGCCACAACAATTGCCGATATAGCCTCGTCTCTAGAGTGGCCACAGTATCGTGCCGTCCTTCGCAGATACATCAGCTACATAGAGTCAAAACCCGAGCTTCAGAAACAGCTGGTTAGACTTCTCGGTAAATTTGTGGACACCCTCGCAACAGTAGCATCGGGAAGGAATCAAGATGAGATGGAAATTGATTCTATAGCTAACGTGGAAAGGTCAAGGAATTGCAAGTTGGCAGTCACAATGCCGGCGCAGGAGAAGCTTAACGAAGACATCATGACCAACGTCCTGCCACCTCTCCTTGAGTACATCCACGAGAAGGACGAAACCACGGTTAGCTCTCGTGTTCCTGTCGGGATCATTATTGTAAAGATTCTGAAATTTTTGCCGAGCGAGTCACTCAACCAAAAACTACCAGGAGTCCTTACAGACATTTGCCATATTTTGCGCAGTAAAGCTTGGGAGTCTAGAGAAATGGCACGAAGTACGCTAGCAACCATGACATCGCTGCTAGGCTCGTCTTACTTTGGATTTGTGCTCAAAGAGCTAAGGGGCGCTCTGACGAAGGGATACCAGCTACACGTTCTATCGTATACAATGCATACCATCCTGGTTCATGTGACGCCTCAGTTCCAGGCGGGGGACCTTGATTACTGCCTCGATAAGATCGTCAGTGTCATAATGGACGATATATTTGGTGTCGTAGGACAAGAGAAGGATGCAGAGGAATACGTGAGCAAAATGAAAGAGGTTAAGAGTAGCAAAAGCCAGGACTCGATGGAACTCATTGCACGAACTGCTTCTATTAACCACCTAGTCGAGCTTGTTCACCCTCTCCAGTCTCTTTTACTTGAAAAACTCGACCTTCGCATGGTACGAAAGATCGACGACTTGCTATCGAGGATAGCTTCTGGTTTACTGAGTAATTCTGCTGCTAATAGCCGGGATACCTTGGTATTCTGTTATGAGGTCATCCAAAAGGTATACGAAAGTGAAAAACCACGGCCGGAATCGAAGATGGATCCAAAGCTTAGACGGTATCTGATTCAAAAAGGCGCCAAGAAAAGTGGTGGTCGCAGCACAACTAGCAAGTATACGTACAAACTAGTTAGGTTTGCTGTTGACGTTCTGCGGTCCGTCCTAAAGAAACACGATGAAATTCGTAACGCAGCCAACATTACGGGATTTATACCAATATTTGGTGATGCTCTCGTTGGAGGCGAAGAAGAAGTTAAGATAGCGACTTTCAAGCTTCTAACCGTTCTTGTCAAAGTTCCGTTCAAGACCGATGATTCTACGAAGCTGTATAAAGTAGCCTCGAAAGAGGCTTTGAAATGCATCTCGGGGTCTATTTCTACTGCGACGGATCTCGCGCAGAGTGCTTTGAAGCTCATGTCGGTCATCATCAGAGACCGCCGTGATGTTCTTGTCAAGGATGCAGCTGTTGATATGCTCCTTGGGAAGGTTAAGGACGACCTAACAGAACCTCTCTATCGTCACGTCACATTCAACTTTTTGCGATCGGTGCTTGATCGAAAAGTTGAGACTGCTACAGTCTATGATACCTTGGACTATGTCGGAGGTGTTATGATCACAAATGACGACAAAGATACACGAGATCTTGCCCGGGGAGCATTTTTCCAGTTTCTTCGTGACTACCCTCAAAAGAAGAATAGATGGGCTAAGCAACTTAGCTTCGTTGTGGCAAATCTGAAATATGAGAGGGAAGGTGGCCGTCTCTCTGTCATGGAAATTGTTCATCTCTTATTGATGAAATCCGCCGATGACTTCGTACAGGAAATCGCGACAACTTGTTTTATCCCTCTAGTCTTCGTCCTGGTTAACGACGATAGCGAAAAGTGTCGTTTGGCAGCAGGGGAATTGCTCAAAGAGATCTTCCGAAAGGCGGATAAAGAGCGAACGTCGAAATTCCTATCGTTAATGCGGTCTTGGATAGGACAGGACGACAACTCTTCGGTCTTGCAACTAGCTATACAAGCATTTGCACTATATTTCGAAGCTAGGGAACCCGCAGCCAAGGATCGGAAAGACTTGGAGCTGTTGCTTGAGACATCGGCTAATGTTTTGGACGATTATTCAACATTCGCGAAAGAGTCCGATCTGATTGATACGATTCTACGAACAGTTCCAATTCTCATAGAGAAACATGCAGCGACAGCATTGGCGCATGAGAAGTTATGGCAGTCTATCCCGAAACCCCTTTCACACCCGAATCCGGCTGTTAAAGTCTCCAGCGTGCGATTACTACGAATATATCTCGCCGATTTCTATGAAAATAACAAGAACGCCACCACCAACCAGGCTGTTCTTGGATCTTACGGTCTTCAATTGCGATCGCAAACAGTTGGACAGCTGACCCTCTACGCCGTTGGTGTCCTCAATCCTGCTACTCTTAGAAGATGGATAAGGAGACTGCAAAAGAAAAACAGTTCCACGCAATTTGGCGATATCGATGGGATAACTTCTACTGAAGACTCAGTAGAACTGGAAGAGGCTCTAGCCGCTGAAGTAAGCCGCGTGATCCTGATGCTGAGCAGATTCTTGGATGTCGGTTCAGCAGATTCTGAATCTTCTGACGATGACGCGGACGACTCCGAAAACAGTGAAGATGAGTGGGGTGGCATCGACGATAAGAAGAAAGAGAAGACGTATACCATCACGCTCCATACATTATTTGTCTGGTTATCTGAAATCCTCGTTGAGGAGACCCGGCCTAAGGCTAGCGCCCTTGTACCTAAGGTTGCTGCTCTGGATATCATATCCATCTTAACCTCAACCCTACCAGAGACATCCCTGCGACCCTCGCTAAATATTCTCCTTACGCCATTACACCATCTGACAGATCCCTCGATCCCAACACCGTTCTCACTTAACGAGGTCTTTAAGACGCGGTACGAAGGGCTGAAGACGAAAGCAGGAGAAACCATGGAAATCCTACAGAAGAAGTTCGGTACCGCTGAATACACGAAGGAACTGCTGGCAGTGAGAGACCGCGCTAAGAGCCGTCGCGAGGGCAGGTCGAAGAAGCGGAAGATAGAGGCTGTTACACAACCGGAGCGCTTCGGCAAGTGGAAGAAGGGCCGTCTGGAGAAGAAGGTCAAGCGCAGGAAGGAGAAGGGACTGGAGAATCGGAATCGTCGAAGAGAATATTAGGGGTTGTTGTTAGTTGATGTAGGATCAATCTTCTATGATATATGCTTTAGGGGCGTGGCTGGTGTTAGTTATATACAGGTATGATTAGAATAGGAAAATGGGATAATTTAATTGAACACAGTATGACGAGCCTCGTGATATGAATGCTGATAGGTATTTTATCATAATTTATCTATATCTCGTCCTCTACGAAGGTACCTATTTTAAAGTCTGTTGAATATGGGTATTGACGTATATAATGTAGTAGGTACAATATCTGATACAGCGGATGACTATCGTGTATATACAAGCTTGTAGGCAACTCATCCTGTGCTCTAGATCGGTGATAAGCCCGTCGAAGCTCGTTTTTATGGTATGCGGTAAACCTTTCCCCGAGCATACTGGCTTTTATACGCGCTCCCCTTACACCCCCTTGCGGTTTATATATTCTAATGTAATTACCTACTTGTGATACCTCATATGGTAAGACGTGTAAATTTTCGTGAGGAGGTCGCGCTATGCTCGCGCATTAGCGGCATGATGCGATTCGATGCAATGCAATGCGTTTTTATTCGCCTATTTAAGAAGGCGCGGTCCTTTTGTTGTTGTCGCCGGTTATTGGCGCCGTGTTGACAGTACTTGATCCGTGTGTTGAGTGCTATCCACCGACGGGCGCGCGTCCGAATTCTCCAACGGCGCTGGGGCAGCTGGCGTTGGATTCGTAGATTGGGAAGAAGGATCCCTCGCCTCCCTCGAGAGCGAAGCTTCTTCTCCGTCTTGCGCCGCGTCCGGATCCGAGGAGGTACCACTACCACTAGCAGCTGCGCCGTCACCCCGCCTGGTCACGGACCCGTCCTCCCAGAACTCGACGTCGCCGTCCTCCCCGAGCGTGCCGCGCTTCACCAGCTGCCCCTTCTCCCGCATGATGTCCTCGATCGTCACCTTGCGGTTGCCGAAGATGTTCAGGTGGTCGCTTATGACGTGCCGGTTGCGGCAGGACGGGCAGGTGATGAGCACCGACCCATTGTGGTAGCCCTGCTTCGAGATCGTGTGCGAGGAGCGGTCGCCGCAGGGGACGCAGGTAAAGGTGAGTTCGTAGTGAGGCTCGAGGAGCTTTCGGGGCTTGTTTTGTTCGGGCGACGAGGACGAGGACGAGGACGAGGCGGCGGGTCTTGGTCTTGGTATGGCGTGGGCGAATCGGCAGGTTGCTGGTTGGAAACTGTGGGATAAGAATGGGCGGACGTAGGGGGAAATCGGCCTTGAAGACCTTGTAAGTCTACTAAATAGTAGACGAGAGGTTGAAGTTGATGCCATATCACAGTGAAGGAGGTATGAAAATGTATGGGAAATATTGTTAGAATTTTGTCAATTGTCAATTGCTTCTCGGAGTACTGATTAATATGAGAGAACGAATTAATTACGTAGGGGCGCCAGCTACGTAATAATTAGGTACCTGGACTTTTAAGTTTTTCTGATAAGCTGATAGGACGCTAAAAAGCAAGCTATCGATACCTAAGGTCGTACTTAGGCGGTGACTTGAGATAATCCTAGCCGACCAATGAGGGGTCAGGCCTGGTAAACCTTATTCATCATTACGGTTTAAAGTTGCAGGTTGTCCCGCGTCGGATTCGGTACCTAGCGCGTGCGGGAACCGAGGCGTTCGAGAACATATTTCCTATTTCACATTTCACATTTCCCTATAGTAACCAGAAGGAGCTTTCCTCTTGACGAGACGCGGAAATGTCATCCCAACTTTGAAACAACCACTTGTTGGCCGTTATAGACGGTAATAACCACCATCAATCAATCACTTCAAGACCTGGGTGGCAACTTCCTATTCATCCACGATATTTACCTACTTTACCTAAGGCATCTTTTATGATTTGACTATGACTTCTTTTAGGCCGTTTTGCCTTGTACCTAACTACAGATAACTTAATACTTTATTAGTTTATTGGTGTTTCTTTTTATTTCTTTCTTCCAAGAAACGGCAAGAGGAGAAAAAAAAACTCAGTCTTATAAAATATCCACAGCCTTATTTATACTATATCCCAACAATATTCCGCACGCTAGGCGCAGAAGGCCAGCAAATAAATCAATCAGAGCTTTTATACTTATAAGTCTCTAGACTTTGATCTCTCAATCTATCCCGTTACTATCGCCATAATCACCCTCACACCCTCGCAAATAAAAGACTATGAAAAATGATTAGTGGTCGTGGAGGTTCCATGATGCGAGGTGGTCGTATTCGGCCTCCCCGGAGGGTAAGTCGCATCTCCCGAACCTGTATCTCCTCGAACCTGAGTCTTCTTCTCGATACAGTTCTGAGAGTATCGTGCATGTCTCTAGTCCTCTGGATGAGCTTTTGTGGTTTCTGAACTATCCGCGAAACCACTCCGCCGGTCCGTACTGTCTCTTCAGTATTGCGCAAAGTCTCCCCGGCATATCTTCCTTACCTACATTTGGTCGCCCTGCTCTTCGTTTTCAACCTCTACCTTCTGCCTTCTGCCTTCTGCCTTCATATTTTCCCATAGTCGAGCCATTCGCTGATAAACTTTTCATAGCCTGCGAACCCGGCAACTAGCCCCGACGAATTCGAACAGTGTTGGGAGAAACTCCGTCAGGCCCTGCGCGACATACATCTTCGTAACGCCGGTAACCTTTCCTTCGAGCAGCTTTATCGATATTCTTACAAGATCGTCCTCAAGAAGGCAGGCCATAAGCTCTATGATAGGGTTAAAGAGTTTGAAGAACAATGGTTTGCGGATGAAGTGATACCTCCTATTCGGAGTCTTATCACCAGCAACCTCATCAGTGTCACGCTTGAAGAAGTCACCGGATCGAGCGTGGTGGAACGCCGTGCTAAGGGCGAGAAGTTCTTGAAGGGGATTAAGACTTCGTGGGAGAACCACAACTTTTCGATGAATATGATCGCCGATGTCCTTATGTACCTTGAGCGCGGTTATGTTCAGGATCATAGCCGACCCTTAATTTACACCACTACCATTGGCTTGTTCCGGGATCACATCCTCCGATCGACCATCAAGCAGGATGGGGCCGCCTATACCATATTTGATATATTGAATGCCACCATTATTGACCATATCAACATGGAAAGAGACGGCGACGTCATTAATAAGGCATTGCTTCACAGCTGTATTTCCATGTTCGAGTCTCTCTTTGAAACTGACGAAGAAAACGACAACGAGCAGCTTTATCTGACCGTCTTTGAGCCTATCTATCTCAGCAGCAGCCAGGCCTTCTACCAGGCCGAGTGCGAGAAACTTCTCCGCGAAGGGGATGCCAGCGCATGGCTTCAATATACGCAGAGACGTCTCGACGAAGAGGTCGAACGATGCCACACGACCGTTTCCCCGTTATCTTTAGGCAAGATCACGCAAGTTGTTGAACAAGAACTAATCGTTAAGCACACGGATGAGTTCCTCGCTATGGAGGGTAGTGGCGTGAAAGCAATGCTTGATAATGACAGAGTTGACGATCTTACCAATCTCTATCAGCTAATATCCCGCGTCGACCCCAGGAAGACCGTTTTGCGCAAGGCACTTTCTGCCCGAGTTATCGAACTTGGTACCGAAATAGAGCAGACGCTCAAGAACACCGATTTCAGCATAGCGCAGCAAGCTGATGCTGAGGAGCCGGCTGACGGCGCGGAGAAGTCTAAGCCAAAGACCTTGAATGCTGCGGCGCAGCAGACAGCAGCCGCCATCAAGTGGGTTGATGATGTATTGGTCCTTAAGGATAAGTACGATAACTACTGGAAAACCTGTTTTGAAGAGGACCTTATCATACAAACTACATTAACTAAAAGCTTTTCCGACTTTATAAACGCTTTTAGTCGAAGCTCCGAGTATGTCTCCCTCTTCATCGACGACAATCTCAAACGGGGTATCAAGGGCAAGACCGAAGCCGAGGTCGATATCGTCCTCGACAAGGCAATAACTCTACTCCGATATCTTGGCGAGAAGGATAAGTTTGAGCAATATTATCAAAAGCATCTAGCCCGTCGATTATTACACTCCAAATCCGAAAGTCAAGAGGTCGAGCAAGAAATGATCTCGCGTATGAAGCGAGAGCTGGGCAATAATTTTACGCAGAAATTCGAGGGCATGTTTAGAGATATGCGTACCTCGAAGGAGGAAACGGAACATTATCGCGATCACATCCGTGGCCTTGGCGATGTAGATGAGAAGCATATCGATTTCAACATCAGCGTTCTTGCCGGCAATAACTGGCCCAGGGAGATCATGGGCCGCACAGGTCTCGCAGAAGGGTCTAAAGGAAAGATCATTTACCCACGAGAGATCCAGACGCTCCAAGATAGTTTTTTCAAATTCTACAGTCTCAACCGAAATGGCCGGGTGCTCACTTGGGTCGGAAGCGCCGGGAATGCGGATATTAAGTGTGTTTTCCCAAGGATCCCTGGCAAGACTTCTGGACCACTCAGCAAGGACCGTCGTTACGAGATCAACGTGTCTACATACGGCATGGTAGTTCTCATGCTTTTTAACGATGTCGCCGAGGATGAATGGCTATCGTTTGAGCGTATCCAAGAGCAAACAAACATCCCGCAATCCGATTTGATCAACGTGTTAACATCACTCTCCGTGATAAAAGCATACCGCATTCTACTAAAAGAGCCGCAGACTAAAGCAGCAGCCAAACCCGGCGACAAATTTACATTCAATCGCGAGTTTATTAGCAAGGCAATCAAAATTAAGGTGCCTTCGGTAAACGCCGCTAACAGGGTGGAAAATGATGAAGAGCGTAAGGAGACCGACCAAAAGAACGAGGAGACGAGGATGTACGTCACTGACGCTGCTATCGTCCGTATAATGAAGTAAGCTCCGATACAAATGCCTTGAATGAGGAATATAGCTAACCTATTGGATCAGGCAACGCAAGGAACTTGGCCATTCCCAGCTCATTACAGAAGTTATCCAGGTCCTGGCAAGTCGGTTCAAGCCAGATGTACCGCTGATCAAGCGCCGAATAGAGGCGTTAATAACTCGCGAGTATCTTGATCGAGCGGAATTGCCTGATGGCTCTCCAGCTTATCAATATGTAGCCTAACTGCCTACCTACCTCACATCTCTCCTCTAGATATTGATGCTATAGGCATTTACAGCCTATAGTCTTCTGGGTAAGAAAATTTGCCTTAGGTACCTAACTACCAGGCGGACAATCAGAAGACAACCGAGCAAATGCGCGCAGCGACATGTATATACTATTCATAAATTGAGTAGGTGTGTTCTTCGGATAGAAACTGCATTTGGGTCCGGAGTTTCATAGAACATCAACATTGTGGATTATGGAGATATTAGTCCTCGGGATCTATGATAAGGGTCGACCCTTTCTCTACCAGGTAGATACTCAGGAGAAGGAAACCTGTAGCCATAGGAATCGCGCTATGTTGTATAGCAGTGGCGGAAAGTATGATTTCCAACATCAAAAAGACGGCATTTAGCGAATAAATACACCTTCACGCTGTATGAAAGCTTACGATAACTATCTTCCACCAGAGTGGACGTCGCTTAGAAATCAAATACAGGACTTTGACCAAATTTGCACTTTTCTACTATGAGAGAGGCTTGGTTATTGAGCTCTTGCGATATAGACCTTCAGTTGTCCCGATTAAAGAAAAGTTATCACTCAACATGTCAACCTCAGGAAGTGATCCAACCCCTAATTTGTCGATTATTGTTTCGCCAATCTACCTTGTATCCTAGTATTAAACCTCACTACCTCAGTCACCCAAGTTACTCATTCTCCAGACTCGAACCTCACCAGCATAGCAAAGCTCAGAGATGGATTGGCGATCAGTCTCAAGTTGCACAATTCCTTTGTCTGGGATTTCTCACGTTCCTTGTCTGCCTACGGTGGATTACAGGTATTCGTACTAACAAAAGAAAACAACCGCAATATTCGTTAGTATTTCCTCCAAAGGTCTTGAAACAATCGCGTTGTTAAGAATCTAATCTTTATTTCCAATTCCAAGTTTTCTACAATTGTTAACCCCCTTATAAACCGTGTGTAAATACCATGCTTGTTCGTATAGTTACTTCCCATCCCACAACACAGTTGTCCATCCCATATAAAAGGTAGTCCGTCCTCTTCCAACCCTCACCCGCTCGTGAAAAGAGTGCCTTCATACAACTTGGCTTATCGAAACCGGGTTGATTCGGATCACTAGAAGAATATCTATCGTACTAAGTCCCCCCCCTTATTCGTGGCTTCTGCGTTGCAGCTGAACACGTATCTCAGCTTCCAACATGAACCAAACGCGTGCGAGTTCCGTTCAGTCGGAAACTCGCAATAGGCGTTATAATGGAGATGCCTCTCGTGACCGAGGACCGAGTAATGCAAGGCTCAATATTAATAACATGCCCTCATTCGCCAACAATGCAGTAGTTACCTTAGGTACTGCTATTGATAGGCCCGCCACAACCGTAGGGTTTATCAGTGAGGATAACGAGATCAACAAACTAGACGAGCAGCCGGAATCTCCCTCGTACCACCGAGCTCTTGCTTACGATGCACTAACGCGAAACACTCGCACGCTGGTCGATTCGAACCAGAGGAATAAATATCATGACCCTAGGCAATCCCAGACCTACCCCCCTATCTCTCGGCCAGCATCAGCCGCCCCCAGTCTCAGGGAGGAGCCTAGAAGGCGGAGTAGAGCAGAAGCTAGAGAAGCCTACGAAATTTCTCTTATGCAGTACCCGCAGAGGCCAGTCTATGTACTCCCCCGACGTAACCCGGAGATAGGTAGAAGTAAGGAGAAGGATACCACTCTTCCTCAATCTGATAGGTATCGGACGCAATCAACACCTCCTGAGCAGCGGGGGAGGCCTAAAACCAGACATGGTCCTATTGCCCAGAGTGGTAATAATGAACCAAATATGCCATCAACGGGCTTCTATGAGGCTCGTATAAGGCAGAGTGGTAATAGGGATGGTGATATCCGACGAAGCGACTTTACTAGCAACAACAACACATACGCTCTAACCTCCCGAAATTCAAATCAAGATGTGCGTAGCGACGTTCGCATCTCGCAGATCACCGAACGGTCGGTAGTCCGAACCCCATACCTGAGCGCCCATCGCGGCGACCGGAATCCGGAATCTTTGCCGGAGGTCCCCGTTCATCGAACCAGCACACACACCTCGCAATCCACCGACCATTCTTCTTCTTCTTCTTTTTCTTCTTCTCGATCTTCGACGGCCAGCCGAGGCCGCCGCACGACGAGAACCCGGCCCTCTTCCCCCGCGCCTCACTGCCGTTCCTCTCACTCGCCTTCCGTCGCCTCTGGCTCGAGGCTGTCGCGCGAAGTCAGCCCCTCCCGCGGGGCTTGGAGGTCGGACTGTCCGCAGCAGGAACGATTGACGTTTAGGGAACGCGCGCGCCAGCGGTTCAGCCAGAACCTGCATCTGAATTTGCGGCGGGCAGGCCTCGAGGTGCAATCTAGTTTTACGGTGCATAGCGTGGTCAAGACGAGCCGCGAATATGTGCCTGCGTCGGCAGCGGCGGCAGCAGCAGCAACGCCGTCGGCGCCATCATCCCCACTCGAACCTTCAACTACCCCTACCCCTACCCCTACCCCTACTCCTACTCCTACTCCTACTCCTACTCCTACTCCCACCGCCCCCTGGGGACCGCCCAACACAGCGAAGCCGTTCGCGATGCAATGGCGCAACAGCAAGCTAGGGCTATCCGACGACGACGAGGGGGAGGAACCGCCACCGGTTATCATCGCGAAAAGGGAATACGTGGATACGACCAACGTCGATCATATGTATCGACCGGAAGATTTCGCGGCGCTCGAAGAACGCGCGCGGAAACACCGGCAGACGGAGAAGAAATGGTCTTTCGACGAGATTCCCAAGGGTCGTCTCGACGACGCTGCTGCTGCTGCCGCTGCTGCAACAACAACTAACGCGTCGAGAGAGCGCGAGCGCGATAGCGACGATAGCGATAAATCGCTATTCTTCCTGGATGGCGGTGGTGGTAGTAGCAAGACGACGACGATGACGCCGCCTTCGACGGCCCATCACGCCGAGTCGTTCTTCGCGACGGAGTGGGCGAGGCAGCAGGCGCAGGAGGCGCTGACGCCGGTGCGCCTGTTGAATCCGTTCGGCGCCGACGCGGTCGGGACACACGCGGACGCGCCGTCGGACGACCGCGGCAGCTTGCCGAGCCAATCACGGCAGGGGTCGTTCGACGACGACTCGCTGGTCATCGCAAAGGGCCTGACTGAGTCGCCTGAGACGATGGAGCCGGCGGTGCCGCTGCCGCTGCCGGGGTCGGGGGGAGCGCAGCCTCATCGTCCGGTGCTGAGGCGGAAGCAAGGGAACCCGGCTTTGCGGTGATGGATATTATCGTTGTTGTGGGGGTTTAGAATTGTGTAGGACGTCGGCGGAATTTGGTGTATTCTCTCGGGGAGTATTGCTGGTGACGATGTCATGAAAAGAAAAGAAAAAGAGTCATGTTCTACGGGATTTTACATAGTATATTGAGAAATTGGAAACACATTTAAATAAATACCTAAGGTACCTAACCTAATGGCTATATGATTACTGGGGTGTGTGGTTGTGTCAGTCTTTGTGTTTTTGTTTTTAAAGCTGCGTTGGATGACGCTGACGCTTCTTAATCAAACTGAGAACTGCGCTTGTCGAGTAACCCTACCTAGGTACTTAGGTTAGGTAGGTATATTTATCTTCTACAAGTTCTACGTGGAACATACAAAAGGCTTTCTTCCATCAACATAGCCAAGCTGCTTTCAGAAGTTTTAAGAGTATACGAATTTACAACGAAACGCAGCCATCCGCGCTGTCTTCCAGGAAGATGCCGCCGTAGATCTGGCCCTCCTTGATGCCCGTCTCCTGGTAGCCCGAGTTGACGACGTCCGAGGTGCCCGTGGGCTTCTTCAGGATGCCGATCTGGTACTGTCCGCCGCCGCTGTTGTCGTTATACACCGCCTCCGTGACGGCCTTCAGGGGCTCGTCGTTCTTCGAGTAGTATACCTGGAGGGTGCTGAGAAAGAGCCGAGTTAGCACACGCATGCTATGTACCAACCAGTCTTGTCGAAAAGAAACAAACCACCAGGTGGCTTTTATAAAAGCGCTGGTTCGTAGAAAGGGGGCGAATGAGTGAGCTTACTTTTTTTCGAAGTCTAGAGTAATGGCAAAGTTTTGCCAGGCGGTGGCATCGACGGGCGTCGACCACACTTGGGTGTTCTGGCGGTTGAGAACCTTGAAGTTGTTCTTGTCACTGCCGGATTTGCCGATGATAGTACCGGTCTGGAAGTTGAACTGATTGGCGCTATAATCCGCGCTCTCGTGCCAGACGTTCTATGATTTGCATGTCTCCGTTAGCTAAGTTACTCTCCTTTTCCCTCCTTGCCGTGTACTCATCCTCTCGGACTGCTTCTCTCTTCCCGGAAATTGGTTTCATACCAGGTACTCGTGCGTCAAGTTCAAAGTCCGCCCAGGATCCTGCTTCACGCTAAAGTGAAGGGTCCTCACACCGGTAGTGCCGGGGCCATTCTCGTTCGTGTCCCCCTGGATCTGGAGGCCGGCGCGGCGGAAGCCTTTCTGCTGCTGGAAGATGGACTTGTCGTTGATGGTGACCTCGACCGCCCTCGTGCTCGCGTTGTCGAAGCGCGAGCCCTCGACTTCGGGGAACTGTAGGATTTGGGAAAACTTTTCGGTGCCGCGGATGTAGTCGGGGTTAAAGGGGCTCGTCGCGTACGAGTCGAAGTCCGTCGGCGTCGAGTCTGCCGGCACGAATCCGTTGAGTATCACGGGACACTTGATCTCCCCCGTGCCGCGTTTGGCTGGACGGGCAGACGCCGATGAGGCGAGCAGGAAGCCGGTGAAGAGGGCTGAGGATAGCATCGTGTCAGTCTGGCCGGACAACGTCAACTGAGGTAGCCATCATTCTTTGTAAACGGTCGAAGGATGTAGTCACGGCTTTATGTATACACATTCGCAATTAATTTTGCCCCATGTTAATAAGATGCAACCCCGACGGGTCGGGAGATTTAACACTGGCATGCCAGACACAGCAAGCGCCCGCGGTGGGTTGGTAGATCACCCCCAAGATGGAGGATGATGCTCCGAGCAATCTATGACAAACGGGGATAATCTGGGGGCAGAGTACGGAGGAGTCATTGACGCCATGCGGAAAGATTTCTGGATCTTGCCGAACATAACCCCTGGCTAAAACGCAACCCCCTGTAAATAGATTCGAATATAGATTATGTATCATCACGCAAAGAGTGATGCTTTCTGCGAAATAACTTGCGTGCCAGATTCATCTATCAGTTTCATAGGTTATTAAAATACTTCTTTTAGATTTTCTTTTGATAATACGATGCGGTATTATTATAATTAGACAAAGGCTATTTCTCGCTTGCTGCACATACAACCATAACATCGCCCCTATTCTACGCTTTTCGAAGGCATAGGTACAATAGTAGAACACCCCAGCAGTTTCTCAAGCGACTCCTGCAGGTCGTCGCAGGCTGTTCTGCATCATTCCGCGGTGCTATGGACGAATAATCCTGGTGCGCTTCCAACTCATCATCATGGCGCGGCAAAAGACGCTCTGAACTGGGAGATCGCGAAGTCGGAAGCTTCTTCGCATCTTTGCTGGACTGTCCGCGGCCTCGTAAGAAGGGTATATAAGACGTCCTGCTACTTTGTTCGGCCGCTTCAGGGCTCGCTTTACTTGCGTCAGGTCCGGAAGATGAGTCGCGTCGCATGTGGCGCCATAGAGACGGGAGCTGGGACACGACGTCGGAAGCTGAATATTTCTTCGCGCTCTTACCTTCCGTCCGGTTGGCTGCTGGGTTTATGCGAGAATTTTTCAAGCCGGATGAGCTGCTACTAGAAGAGCTGCTGCTGCTGGAAGAGCTCGAAGACCTTGATCTAGTCATCTTTCGTCTTTGCCACTGATGTTTAGTAAATTGGACTGCTGGTATTGGCTGGCTGGCTTGCTTTGCGCTGGCTCCAAGGTCCAAGGATGGTTGATGCAAGAACATCGGTGGTAGGGCCCCCTATATATACAGATTAGTTGGCTCAAAGGGTCTAATTTCTAGCAGTGACTTTTCGTTACTCACTTTGCTTACATTGTACTACGTATCACATCTGAATATTATAAGTAAAATTATGTTCCCTAAAGAAATCTAGTTGACTGTGACTGGTTGGCAGTGATTCATACTGACTGTAGAATCATGATTCCGACACGCAAGTGATTTGACATATATTCGTCTTCGTATATTGTAGGCATATAAGTAACTGGTTAACCCTACTTTTTGGAATGAATTTATATCACAGCACGTAGTGAACACTTTTAGATCACTTTACTATATTCACGTATAGGTAGGTAGAAGAACAGAGCGTATCTATGGTGGACACTAAACGCTCATATTTCAAGTACCTAGGCACCTAAGAGAGCATCCATACAGCTGTCCGAAGCCTAGTTAAGACATACAGGATAAAGAGTGTAGTGAAAGTAGGTAAAGCCATAGGCTTCTGTAACGTAGGTGAGACTTCTTTGGATAATAACAAAGCTATTTTGACGCGGACGGGTTTCGCCTTGCGACACGTATACAAGAAATCCATGTCATGGAAGATTCCAGTAGATACCTAATACTCCGTGTTCTCGCGACTTGAGAGGAGATATTGCCGATAGAGTATAGGGTCGAATAACGAAAGTGTGACGACGTTGGGAGCTCTGTACATAAACGATCTACTCGACTTACCAACTTACCTGTAGCTAGTATAGCTCTCTTTCTTCTGTAGGCAGTATGAGCTTCTATATCCCCCTTAAATCACAGCACACCTTATATGCAACAAAAGATAGCAGTAAAAGTGAGTAATCACAATCTTAAGTTTGCCAATAGTTGGTAGATAATCTGAGATTATATTATCAAGTTAAGTGCAGGGTTATGCTACCTACCCTAACCTCAAATCTGGATAATCATTCCTAGTATGATGAAGGGCGTCGTGGGCGAACATCAATGCGTATAAGCCCCAACCTCATTCATGATTCAGGTCAAATATGAATATAGAGGGTCATGATAGTCTATAGGCCTCAGGCATTTCCTGTCTATATGTAACCATGCTTGAGTAAGAAACGACGCTCCGTGAAAGCGGACTCTCGCCTGTGTGCATCTGCAACTTCAAGCATCTCAGGCCACGGATCCACCAGATTTCCAAGGCCTAACTTGGATTCCATCCATGCAACGTTCCAACCAGGCCGCTCAATATTTCTTGCATAATCTACTGGCCCATGAGTTTTCCACGCACTGCAAACCGGGTCGACGCGCACTCTCCTGAGATTAGGCCGCGTCTCCATCAAGATTATGCGAACGACTTCATTGTGCAAATGGCCAAGCCTCCCAAGACGGCCGTTATCTGTTTTGGTGTCAGCCACTCCGAAGTAAATAAACTCTAACGAATCCGGTAGGCATTGGTTGAGATCCCAAGAGTCGACACTGCCGACTACAAGCTCCAGAGGGATCCAGAGCGTCCTCAATTTTTTAAGTCCTCGGAGGGGCCCGATAATACCGCTGTAAAATGAACTAAAAATTTTGATGGTTAATGTCTCAAGACTATCGGTTAAATTGCGTCTTAGAATATTGCCTACTGCCCCTAACGGTACAGGGTCTCGCCATCCATAGGGCCCGTCGTAGTGTATTATTAGTTTGAAGGAACGGAGCCTAAGGCATTGAGAAAGTAGATCCACTAATACTTGGCCATCCTTCCGATTCGAATCAAGCTCCAAATGCTGGAGGCCAAGGGTCTTGGGGATGTTGTCAAGCTTCAACTGACTGCTTAATATTCCGACTCTCTTAAGGGAAAATGTGGTAATCTGGGGAAGCCTGAGTATGGCTGACACGAGTCGCTCGCCTAAGTTACGGTACTGGTCCGGCGGAACTATTCCGTAACTGCATATGCGTACGGTTTGTAGTTTGGCGAAGTGGCCTCTGGGTAGAAGCTGAATGATGGACGACTCCTCGTCAGGGGCTATAACTGGCTCATGGGGTTCAGAGCTAGTGTTACGGTTACGCGTGATATACTCAAGGATATCCACCACCCCCTTTAATACACTGGGTAGAACTAGCAGCAACTCTTTCAGATTCGGTAGAAAAGAAAGCAAAAACGCAACCTGTGAATCTAATGAGTAATACTTGCGCTTGCTTATTATCCGTTGTCTTAATCTAGGTGGTAGATTAAACTTTCGCGCTGGGTCCCGGATCACCTTTTTTGCTATGTTGGGGTAATGAGCTGGATACTTTCCAAAGTCGGAAAATATTACCGTGAGACTATGGGTAAGTCTACGCAGATCCAGTTGCCTCGAGAATGTTCTGATTAGTGCATCGCATGAAGACGTACGGTGGACGTATATTGTACTATATAGGATGGGTGTAGCGATGCGATAGAACCACTTTGAGCAGCGGGCGAGGGCTGCCAAAGTTAGAGGGCCATCTCTTTTTTTAGCGAGGCCTACAGGATCAATGTCATGCGGTATAAAATGCGAGAAAATCAGAAGCAGAATCTCTGCTGGTAAGTGTCGAGTCGTTCTTCTCTTAGATCTAACCGGCATGATGCATAAAGGGGCAAAGGAGAGCTGATGTCTCTTGCCCACGCAGTTTTCAGTTTGCCAAAGGTACTTATTTAGGAGGTATGTATGTTGGGAGGTATACTGCAAGGGTGATGATTAGGATATGTGGAAGAAGTTTCGAAGAAGTGAGGTTCGGCTTCAATGCAGTCTTAAATACTTACCTCTCAAAGGCCTAAGTGGGTACACAAGGGAAAATATACCTCGGTTGCCTGCCTACCTAACCTAACCTACCTTATTGTACCTAAGGTAAAGGTAGGTGCCTGATATGCACCGGAAGGGTCAGTGCTGGATGCGTGTATTATCCTTTCAAGGCATCAACATTGCTAGAAGGTTAACAAGTAACAGGCTGCCATAGTATTAAATAGGGGTAGCCTAGACGTTTTACCGGGTTGGCCTAGTAACAAGACTCTACTCATCGGATATTCAGACATCCTTACTTGTAAGTTCCTCAGGTGCTTCAGACTCTCCATATCATTGTTGCAATGCTTACTGGCCTTGATGTTAGCATTGGTGTTGTGGCTGTATCAGGACCTACAGTCTTCGTAACCTACCTTAGATAGTACCTTTCTTGCCCATGTTCTGTTCACCAACACCAATTTTATCTTTCGCGAGATCGGTGAGAACAAGTAAATCCTGGTGTCATTCTAAATCTCCAAGCTCCAACTAGAAACGCCCGAGGCGAGGACCACCTGTAAATTTGGAAATTTCGTCACTGTGAAATGTCTTTCCGCGGTCTTGTCTCCAATAATAAATCTCGCAGCCTCTGAGCCTCAATTGAGAGTCTCTCACTTGGTCCATGGTCGATTTGGGACTTTCTCTGAATTTAAATGCCAAATCTATCTCTTCAATTTCAATTTAGTCTGTTAATAAAGTTAACAAATAGTTGGATACACAGTGCGTGTCTTCCCAGAAGACCGCATGTAAACTGTATCATGCAGGCAGAAAGTCACATCTCATGAAATGCAACATTTCGAATTTCAAAATTTACACCAAACGAATAACACACCAAGAAAAAAATAAAGGAAAAAAGAAAAAGAGCAACTAAACAACTCAACTGAGTTCAACTATTTCAAGAGATTTTTACATGATCAACTTCACTCACTGCTATCGGCAACTTGACCATATGAAATTATGAATAGCCCATCATGCCGGCGGCTGACTTGGGCACTCGCCCGAGGCCGCATCGGCCGCCGGACCTTACACTCCTACTCCTACTCATACTCACCATCACTATCACTACCGTCTAGACGGCCAAATCTCAGGTCGCTGAATTACATCCTGGCAGACGTACCTCATACTTCCAGCCTCCGACACGCCCGAGGCAAAAAAACAAGGTCATCGATAAGGCTCGAAGACCTTCCGCAGGGTCCTATAAAATCGGCCAAGAAAGACGCCCGCCCAGCCCCCCTCCCGGACCTGGACGAGGGGCCGGCGTATCCCACCGTGGTGCTGCAGGCCAGCCGCAATATCAAGCGGTTCGACGGCTGCGTGCTCCTCACCCGGGTCGGCGGCTTTTACGAGCTGTATCTCGAGCAGGCGGAGGAGTACGGGCCGCTGCTGAATCTCAAGGTCGCGCACAAGAAGACGAATGCCGGGCCTGTGCCAATGGTAAATTCTATCGTTGTTTCTTTCTTTACGACTACCTAATTCATATTCGTGAATACCCAACCTAATCTTATTATATATGTAAATAAATAAATGAGTACCTATAGTTCTGACAATGTTTTCCCAGGCTGGCTTCCCCTTCTTCCAGCTAGACCGGTTTCTCAAGACCCTGGTCCAGGATCTCAACTGCTACGTCGCCATCGCCGAGGAGTTCCCTAACGACCCCGGGGACAAGATCAAGTCGAACGGGCTGATGCACGACCGTCGGGTCACGCGCGTCATCACGCCCGGCACCCTGATCGATGAGAATTTCATCGATCCCTATGCTAATAATTACGTCATGGCCATTCACATCGACCATAGCCGTCAGCAGGCTGGTGCAGCTAAGCCCGATAGCAATATCAAAGGTATAGATTTGGGCCGTCTGACGCCGCCCCAAGTCGGGAACGCTGCTATCCCGATAGGATTGGCTTGGGTAGATATATCTACAGGGCAGTTTTACACGCAGTCGACGACAATCACCTCGCTGGGATCTATCCTCTCGCGCGTCGGCCCGAGAGAGGTAGTAGTAGACCAAGTTCTGGAGTCGCAGAGGGACCACCAGCTCTTCTCGGTATTAGCGGAAGACAAGCACTTGGTCACGTTCTCGCCGCACAGCGAGTATCTACCACTATCCGAATGGGGTCCGATGCTAGAATCCGATATCCCGGCGCAGACGGCGCAGGCTTTCGGCTCGGGTGAAGTCCACGCTGGAAGTTTGCTCTTACAGTACGTGCGGGACCGACTTCAGGGTCTAAGCATGAAGCTGCAGCCGCCGCAGCGTTACGACAACATGTCCGTCATGTCTATCGACAAGAGCACCATGCGGTCTCTCGAAATCAAGCAGACCATCCGGGACGGCACCTTTCGCGGGAGCCTGCTCCACGCCGTCCGCAAAACCGTTACTAAGGGCGGCGCCCGGCTGCTGACCTCTTGGCTTAGCGCCCCTTCGACGTCTCTAGAGACTATACAGGCCCGGCAGGACCTTGTCGAGTACTTCATCCAGCATCCGGACCTGCGCGACGAGATGGTAATGCTGCTGAGGCGGAGCCACGACTCGCAGCGGCTCGTTCAGAAATTTGCGCTCGGCCGTGGAGATCCGGACGATCTCATCTCCCTCGCGAATACCATCCGCGCTACCCAAGACGTCGTCTCTCTTCTGAACTCTCCCACAGAGCCATCTACTTCGAAAAGAAAACGAGCTTCTAGCGAGGCAGCGAGCTGCTTCACGGCCCTACTCTCGCGCATCACGCTCAAGGAACCGGCTCACCTTGCCGACCGCATCAAGACATCCATCGACGAGGAGGGCTTAGTGCAGCAGCAGCGCGACGAGGACAGCGAGGCAACCCAATTACTGACCCTAGCCGAAGACGTCGTCGCCGCCGAGGGCGCGGCAAGCGACGCGTCCGCGCTGCCTAAGGGGGCTATGAAAAAGAAGAAGCAGGCTACTTCGATCAGGGAGTTCTACACGGATGATAACGTCGCTTTCGCCTGCAAGCCCGAGGCCAGCAAGGGCCTGCGCGAGCTCCACGCCAAGCTGTCGTCTCTGCAGCAGGAGAAATCCAACCTCGCCGAGGAGCTGCGCGCCCGGTACGACGTCCCCAGCCTGACGCTGCGCTGGACGCCGACTCTCGGGCACGTCTGCCACGTCAAAGGCGTCAAGGACATGCGGAAGATCATCGATAGAAAAGACAACACCAACGAAGACGGAGATGGAAGCGGCGCCGCGACCACGACCACGACGGCGGCGGTAGTCGTCAGCTCGAGCCGCAGCACGCGGGCCTTCAATGTGCCCGAATGGACAACGCTCGGCCGACGCATCCACCAGACGCGCTACGAGATCAACATAGAAGAGCAGCACTTGTTGGCCGAGCTGCGCGCCCTCGTGGTGTCTAACCTCGTGAAGCTGCGGCGCAACGCCGCCGTGCTCGACGAGCTCGACGTCACCGCGTGCTTCGCCCGACTGGCTGCCGAGCACGGCTGGACGCGGCCTCTGCTCCACGACATCAACACCACCACCTCGTCCTCCTCGTCCTCCTCTTCTTCTTCCGCTGCTACCCCTGCAACTGCTACGGCAAGTGACGAACACGTCGTCCTCGGCGGCCGACACCCCACCGTCGAGGCGGGACTACGCGAGAACGGTCGCTCGTTTACCAAGAACGACTGCTGTCTCGGCGGCTTGACCACCACCATCACCACCACCACCACTATCAATACCCCGCCTTCCCCCTCCTCCCCTAATGCCGATACTCCTCAACAAACACAAAGCCACCACCACCACCCCCACCACCACGGCCGGCTCCTCCTCATCACCGGCCCCAACATGGGCGGCAAGAGCACGTACCTGCGGCAAAACGCGCTGATCTCGATCCTGGCGCAGGCGGGGAGCTTCGTGCCGGCGACGTACGCGCGGCTGGGCGTCGCGGACGCGGTGTTCTCGCGGGTCGGGTCGGCGGACAACCTGTCGGCGGACCAGAGTACCTTCATGGTGGAGATGCTGGAGACGGCGGCGATCCTGCGCCTCGCGACGCCGCGGTCGCTCGTCATCATGGACGAGGTAGGGCGGGGCACCACCCCCGAGGACGGCGCCGCCGTCGCCTTCGCCGCCCTGCACCACCTCGCCACCGTCAACCGCTCCCGCGCCCTCTTCGCCACGCACTTCCACGCGCTGGCCGACCTGGCCGCCGAGCGGGGGCTGATGCGGGAGCAGGGCGGTGCGGGGGTCGTGGATGCGTACTGCACGGATGTCGAGGAGGATGGGTCGGGGGGCTTCGTCTACGTGCATAAGCTGCGGAAGGGCGTCAATCGCGAGAGCCACGCGTTGAAGGTCGCGCGGTTGGCGAATCTACCTGAGGCGGCTATTGCTGTTGCTAAGGAGGTTTTGCAGAAGAGCAGTAGGGGCTCTGGTTAAAAGAAGGAGATAAGAAAGGTGAATGAAAAAAAAAGTGATATCACAAGGGGTGGAATGAAGAGTCAAATCACGAGCTACTGCGACTACGTTACGTTACGTTATGATACCCCCATACCATACCCCATATCATACAAAACAACACAATAACAGTCAGCCTACGAAGATTGAAAAACGAAGTAGGTAGGCTGTAAGTCATGTAAATTTACGGTTCAAGGTTTAAGTAAAGACACTCCTGTGTTCCTGGAAACCGAGTTAGCCCCCAGCTCTCCATGTACGATATGTACGAATAAAATAAGTTTTAAGGGTAGATTGTGTCTCATAGGGTGATGTGTGTCATCAAGAAAAGTTTCAGGGTTAAAAAGCTCTTGATAAAATCATAATATAATCATAGAACACAGCTTGAAGATTAAAAAAAAAACAGGACTTACCATTTGGAAGAAAAACAAAGAAGTAAAGCTTTTTGTAAGGCAATACAACCGTCATATCACCAATAGTAGTAGACGTAGAGAGTAGACTCTTTCTTCTTGCTCTTCTGCAACATGCCTCAATTGACCGTTATAGACCTATGTACCGTCGATTTTCGCACGTCTAGATCTCGCAAACCCAACCGAAGCCCAGTTTGATGCCAATCCGTTAACACCGCGATCATTTCATGAAATTTAGTCACTAGAAAAGGGAGTGGTAAGTTAGCAGAGTTCGTCAGGACAAGGGGAAGGGGAGTTAATAGGCAGGTTAAAATGGGGACGTACAAGAGACCACCGAAACCCTCGTCACCAGATTCCTCCTCGGACTCATCCTTCTTCTTCTCCTCCTCGGCCGCGGCAGCAGGTCCCGAGGTCTCGGCAGCGGCAGCCGGGGCGGCGGCGGCGTAGGCGTCGGGGTTGGCGATGCGGTCCTTGAGCTGCTCGATCTCAGGCCAGCTGTAGTCGGTCTCGACGGCGACGGCGAGAACCTTCTTGTAGCTGTTGACGAGAGAGTGGATGACAGAGGGGAGGGTGGGGAAGTTGAGGGCGAGCGACAGAGCGGCAATAGTGGTGATAGCGCTCGTGAAGGTCTTGAGCAGCTGGTCCTCGCTGATGTCAAGGACGCTGGGGGGGAAGGTGTTGCCCTGGTCGTAGACCTGCGACACGCCCAAACCGTAGGTGAAAGGAGAGATGTTGAGCATGTTCAGCAGGGTGGCCTCGGAGGGACCGACCTTGCTACCGGACTCGACGAGCTTCAAGTCGGTCGTGATTTCGATGGTACCACGAGCGATCTTGGTAGGGACACCGAGAGCCTGGAAGAAGGAGGTCTTACCGGGTTCCATACCGGTGTTTCCAGCGGGAACCCAGACGTCGGCCGGCGCGACGGCACCAGCACGAGCGGGGGCGGCGACCTTGTTGGAAAGGATCTTGTCACGGATAGTCTTGAGGTCACCGTTGGTGAAGACGAAACCGATGTTACCCTTGACGTGGGGGAGGAGACGCTCGTACTCGGGGGTATCGGCGACGAAGGTCCTGAGGGCACGGCGAACCTGAACATCGCGACCAAGTCAGCCGGAGGAGTTCGCTTAAAAAAGAATACAAGTTTAATCTTGCTTTTCTTCTTTACTTACCATGGTGTTCTTTCCCATCAGGACGACAGCCTCTCCACGGAGAGACTGTCGGATCTCGTGCATCTGTTGCGAGCTGACATTGTCGACAGTGACGAGGAAAACAGAGCGGTACTCCTCGAGCAAGCTCTTGAGCTTGGGGAACTGTGCGCAACCGAAAAGTTAATATTTATTGCCGCCTTATAAAAAAAAAGCCATTGAGGGGTAAAATATAAATCAATTGCGACGTACGTATTCCGCCTTCTTCTGTCTGCTGGCTCCCATGTCTTCTTATTTGTGAAGTTAGGATTTTTAAAGCCGATTTTTTTTGTTGGTTGATGGGAAGTTGAATGAGGGTATTCTGAAAAGCAGAAAAAAGTCACAAATTAGGTCGACCCTCACTCAGGTCGAATTTCGGCTAATTGTTTTTTTCGAAGATCCGAATGTGTGCAAAAGACCCACACTTCATATTCTCCCCGCTAGGGCTTTTGCTTGTCTACGGGGGTCAGCCTTATCTCTTATCCAACATTTCGGATAGGTACATCGGTACCCACTTATCCACCCCTTTTTAAAGAATATAAATACCCCAGGTACCTATCCTCACTCACTACCTAGGTACATAGGTACCGAATATAATAAATCTGCTCCTTAGGAGCGCTATGGTGAAGCATATTAGGCTCTCATCCAATTCACAGAATATGACTTCTCGATGGTTTCCTGGTTATAAACTGCTAGTAAATTTCCACGAAACTACCACTTCAGAAAAGCGTAGTTAATAATAGCCACAACATGAGAGTAAATGGTAAATGGGGTATATATATGTTGGTGGCGTTAATCATACAGCGGTCGTGAGTAGTATATAGACTGGTAAACGTCCCGTTATACAAGATATACGAGATTAAACATCCGAAGATGCTTCGTCACTTGACACCTCCTCGCCTTGTAATCCCATTTCTATGGCAGCCTGTGTGATGTCTTTCTCCGTGTTTCCCATTACTACGACTTGGTTCTGGATAAACTGGTCGAGGAAGTTGCTTAATTCTTCCCTCCTCACATCATCCGGCAAGCCCTCGCTCGCGCGAAGCTTCCCGGACGCGATCAGTTCCTGATGTCTTCGCCTCAGATAGGTTTCGACTTGCTTCCCGGCGTGCACCAGTCGGAGGCCGCCTTTACCCTTCCCAGTCCTTTCGATATCCATCGATCCTACCTGTAGCTCCAAGACGATGATGTCCGGGGGTGTGAATTTGAATATTTGCCTCAGCGCCCGATACGCTAGGAGGAGGCCAACCTTGTCGTCCAGTTTACGAAATGAATGTAGGACATACCTAGCTAGCTTCGTATCAATACCACCCGCAGCAAAAATGTGCGCTGACTGAACAAGTTCGGCAAAAAGAGACCTTGTCCTGGGTATTTCTTCGAGGATCTGCGCCGGCAATAGCTTGAACAAGCGGTTGACTGGTAATGCCTGCCAAAGAACCATAAAAGTCCACGAATCTGGCTCGATGTGGTAATTCTTGATCAAGTCGCGGGAAAGAGCTGCGACAAATTTGCCCTGCCCATCTTGTAAGTAAGAGAAGAGCAGCTGGTTTAATATAAACGAATTGGGCGGAATTTCTGATCTCGTAAAAGCGTCCCAAAGGTCTTTCATCTTGGCATGGATGCCACGATCTTTATAATTTTCTGCCAGCAGTGAGAAAGTTTCCAGGGTCGCTCTGGGCCAACCTTCTCCGTACTGTCTCAACATGACAGACGTGGGGAGGCTTTCCATATCCTTCCTAATGCCTAAAAACTGTATCCGGGTATTAATCATAGCCCAGGCAACCTCTTCGGCTTTTTGTATGTTTTCAGCAGTGCCGGACCTCAACCATGCGCCAATCAGACCATTCACTACAATTGAATGAGGCATGACTCCTTTGGACTTCATATACAGTACAACATTATAGGCACCTTGCAGATCGCCTGTTCCTATTAACCTCTTTAGCCACTTGCCGTAGAAAAAGGGATTGGCGATACTAGGCGGCACTCTGCGAGCTCCGCGCAGATCGACAGTGCGAGACGTCATCATTTCGACGAATATATAGAATGCAAATTCTGTTTCGTTCGAAGTAAGGAAGTATGAAATAATTTGGTCGTAGTCCTCGATGGTAATCGAGTCGCCCAGTGCGGACCTCAGTCGTTGATACATCTCAAACCCCCTTTCTACCGTGGTAGGATTCTCGGCGCACATTCGGATGAATGGTAACAGATAACGAGGATCCTTAGCATAAGGAGATTCAAGTAACGTGTTAGCAACCCGCTCGGCTCGAGCTATGTCGCCCGTCAGGCAATACATTCGTAATCCAAGCTGCCAAAATTCCACAAAGGTTTCGGGGTTGTTTCCAAGCGTAGTGACTAGCTTTTTATGAGTTGTGATCGCCTCTTCCTTAAAACCGCTTATAAAAGTGGCCTCGATTGCGAGTAGCTGTTGGTCAGGACGTAGGGTCCAACCAGCGTTCTGCATGTCCTTGGCCAGAATATGGACGTGGGACATGCGGTTAGGATTATTTGCATGATCCGCAGCAAGAATCTGCCACAGAAGGTCCCATATGTCCTCATGAACTGATTCCCACTTCTTAGATAAAGCAATGCGCGCTGCGGAATAATATTTCCATGCCGTGTTGAATCGTTTAGCACTAAGAGGACCCCCGAAGAATTTCCTACCAGTGGTTTTAATCATATTATTCAGCTCGACGATATGCGCACGACCTTGCGATCTGGACCAGTCCCCCTCAGGCAATAGTAATGAAGGCTTAGGCGAAGATTCATCTTGCGTCGCAACTCGTTTTCGCAACTTCTCGGCCCCTTGCTTCCCCCAAATCTCCTCGACTATTTTGGTAAATTGGGTTGCTTGTTCCAGCTCTTGTTCCAAGTCTTTTAAGCGATCCTCAGTTTGATCGCCCGGGTCCATCAGCGACTGGCCAAATTCATTCTCATCTTGTAGACGTCGCAAACTCCCATTCTTCTCCTGTTCAAAGTAATGAACTGATACTCCAGAATTTGTATCTTTTTTTAAGAGGCCTAAAGCTTCGAGGGTCTTCTGACGTTCGACTTCTTGTTCGTGAGATAGACGGGGTTGCGCAGCTTGCGAGGTGTGCCGTAAAGCCCATTGCGCTGCGGGCGTTCGCTTTCGTAAAGTCGATAGACATGACCTACAAATGAAGTTTTCGACGGCGGCTGTTCTCGGAGGCATGACAGGGAAACAGGGTGATGTGTTGTTTCGTAGTTGACGATACCTTAGGTATGTGCAAGCGGCAAGATGCTACCAGAATAGGAACTTTTTTTTTTTTTCTAGAATAAAAATTTAAGGTTGATAAAAAGGTGATATCACCCGCTGCCGACCAACCTAGCGCGTTCTTAGCTCCATCAGCCCCGCCCAGAATCTTACAGCTGGTACCTGCATGTACATAAATAGTATCCTACCTCCTAATTGGAGACCAGTTTGGTTTGCATTAAATGCCTGAGGTACATGCTCAGACAAAGCGAGATACAGGGGATAGCTTAAGCCGGCAGGGGCCAGGGGGGCAATACCGCTAAAAAGACAACCCTGTCTATCGCGGATGCGCCATCACGTCCACTTATAAGTTACTTCTTACAAGTTACCATTAAGACGCGTACCGAACTTATATCGCCAACCATTGAGTCCCCCTGATTCTCCCATATAGAACTCTAGTCATGGCTATTGACGATTTATTAAAAGAAACTTACGAAGATAAACAGCATCAGGTAATAAAACTACCTTCATTATAATCTACATTAATTATAATATCAATATACCTGTAATAGGCGCTAATAACACTTAGGCTGCCTATGTTTTTGACCCCTTAGACGGAATCGATGGCGCAAGTAGACCTACAAAGAGGAGAAAAGTGTCAAATCGACATAATAAAGCAGAAACTCGGGAACCAAGTGCTTCCTTGACTTTCCAGCCTCTTTTCGGTGGCTCTGAGGATGAGCGTTGCGTGCGTCTTCGTCAACAATTATTTGAGTCGTCTTGGTCTCAAATTGATGAGAGGATACAAGTTAGTCACTACTATTACTACTATTACAGGTAGCCCTATACGACGTCAGAGAATGATAACTCACAATTGGCCATAGCGCATACTCCGAATGACAAACCAGTCTACGCTAGATCAGGTAACTTCTTTTTTACGAACAGCTCCTGATGATCATGCATCGACCGGCAAGATCCCTTCTGCCTTTATCATCACAGGCCCAAATTTAGCCTCTCAGGATCTTTTATTTGAGCAACTATCAGAAGCTCTACAAGTTCAAGTAGATGCAAAGGTAGTTCGGCTAAGGTCCGGTGACGCATCTAACCTGAAGGCTGTCTTGAAAAAGATTATACATGATGTAACAGCAAGAGAGACGGACGATGAAAATGACTTGGAGCTAGCTACAGGCAAAGATGTAAGTCAAATATGATATCGATTTTTTTTAATTCAACTATAGCTTCTTTCTTACTAACCCCTATTCCAGGGACGCAAATATCTCAACTACGATCTTGAGGCTCTCTACGCTCATCTTAAAGCCAGTCCTCGTCGCCATATTGTTATCGCCTTTCAAGACAGCGAGGCTTTTGAAAGCGGTCTATTATCCGATTTAATCTCACTTCTCACGTTAGTCCCTCTGTCATTTTGAGTCATTCTATGACTGACCGAAAGTGTAGTTCATGGCTTGATCGAATCCCATTCGCTCTGCTCTTTGGAGTGGCCACCTCAGTAGAGCTATTTCAAGCACGACTCCTAAAGTCTACTTGCCAGTCTCTCTACGGAGATCAATTCGATGTTGAGCAGTCAGCATCGATTATTGATAAGATTTTCAAGGCTGCCATCGCGCACTCGGAAGTGCCACTGCGATTGGGTTCTTCCCTTGTCTATAGCCTACTTGAGCGTCAGCGAGATCAAGTATCAAGTATCCCGGTCTTTGCAAGTTCGTTGAAGGTATGTTGCGTACTGGTTAAGCAACTCTATAAAACTAACATTTTCAGTATGCCTACATGTGTCACTTCTACGCAAACCCATTAACTGTCTTCCTGTCTGACGACACAGACGCCGATATTCTGCAGGCGTCACATATGGAAGCTGTGCGATATTTGCCATCATTTCGTCGACATATAGAAGCACTTATTGAAAGGGGCGAGATAAAGCAAGCTAGGTTGCTTCTCGACGACGATCAGCATCTCCAGGCACTTGTAAAAGACTCGTTACAAGACTCTCGTCGGTGGTCATTGAGTCTCCTGCGCAAACTGAAGATACTGACCGCTAGTAACGTCCTGTCTGCTGATTTCACTGCACTTTATCTGGACTCACTTGCTCGTGGAATCGACTCGGAGCTAATCGACCAGTTTGCGCAGTCGATAAAGCGGATGCAACCTACAGAAATCATCGCATTTCTAAGTCAAGTATTATCCGATATTGAAAATGGAGATATCAATCTAGGCCTGAACCCATGGAGCAACGAAGCCGGAGACTCGGTTTCACATTTTACTAGTCTATTGTCCAGTGTGACAGACTTAAAGAAAAGCGCCGAAGAACAAGGGAATGTTCTCCGAAGCAAGTACAGCGGGCAGACTAAGGTTTTGAGAACGACCGTTGTTGCTCAAAAAGTTCAGCTTAGCGAAGATACAGCAACACTCACGGACGAAGACAAGACCTATACAGATCTCATGGATAAGCTTGTCGATCACCTAAAAGAGAAGCTCGACAGCGACAGCGCCAAGGACCTACTCTTCAATGAGCTTTGGTTCTTTGATTCGAAGTCGCCTTATAGAGATGTGTTAATCCCACGACCAAGAGGGATTGTTGAGCGAGCATTGTCGCGCCCACACGATTATCTCAATTGTTCTTGTTGCGAGACAAAGGAGGATGGCATTATGCCGTCGTTCCCTACAGCGGCCATCTTATATCAACTCTACCTTGAGACTGGCCCTCTCGTGAACGTCGCCGATCTTTGGTCTGCTTACTATGGAGTCGTTGGTGAAGAGAATGAAGAAGGACTTGACGAGCGATCCGCGCTCGTTTTGTTCTATCGCGGGTTAGCCGAGATGAAGGCCCTAGGTCTTGTTAAGCAAAGCAGGAAGAAGGTAGATCACATAGCAAAGCTTGCTTGGAAGGGACTTTAGAAGGGAAAGGGAGAGGGACAAGTAAAACTGGATCATGTAAGAAGAGTCAAAGATAGTAGCTGGTTTTGTCTAGATTTAGATACACTTAGATTGCCAGCTGACACAATGGCAGTACTAGGTAGAAGAAGAAGCGAACGTATTAGATTCGAACACAACCATAGAGGAACTATTTGCATCTTCAATAGGCCTTTTAAGTAACGTTTGGGGTATGAAAGACTTCGAACGTGGCTAGACAAAGCTTCGCTTAGACACATGGCGACGCTAACAGACAAAGGAGTCAATCATCCGAAGTGCGACACTCAGAAGCGTCGAGCACTTGACAAAGAAGTACGTAGCCAAATTCGTACATACAAGAAGAAACGCCAGCCGCCCTCGAACCTATGAGGAGACTCCTTCGATCTCATCCAAGCAGCTGTGTAGTTGACCGAAAAAAAACCCAAGTGCTCGTTTCTCTCCTAAAGTCTCTCTTATATAAAAACTTACCTTTCGCCCATAGCTGCTGGCGGCTAGACACAATCGTCGAAGGCCGATTAGAAAATAGAATTGATAAAATTATTAAAACAGGAAAGCGAAGAAGAAAAGCAGAAATCATATGGGCCTTCTGATTTTATTTTACTTTATTTTATTTCATTCATTATTATCATCGTCACTATTTTCTCGTCACTTTTTGTTAGATTCACTCATTAAGAAAACAAACTCCTCCCAACCGAACGTATATTTCGTCCGAAAACTATAGACGAGAATTTGAACTTGTCTTCTAGAGAATAAAGAAAAAGAAAACAAAACAAAAACCAAGTCACGTACCTATACGGTCACAGAGATTGCTATCACCAGAGCATATAAACCAAGCTGCACTTCGCCTCACCTCGTCACCTCTAGACATTCTTCTTAAAAGGGTACCTAACCTATCTATCCCCTTTCCGCTCCGCAACAACAGCCTTCCCAGCTCCTGCACCGTCGCCAAACCAGAAGATAAACCAAAAGAAAAAAAATGCAGAACCAGACGCAAAACCAGCGTCCGCCGGCCCTCGGGGACCGACGAGCGGCGCAGAACGCGGCGTTCCGGGAGAAGCTGCGGCAGATGGCGCTGCCGCTGGCGCCGCTGGTGCAGCTGACGACGGGGGAGATCCACTCGGCGTTCCCGGGGACGCTGCTCAAGTTCTGGCTGCTGACGGACGCGGAGCTCGAGGGGCTCGCGCACTTCTACCACCAGCGCACGCCGTGCCGCTGGACCTTCCACTACCCCTGCCCCATCGCCTGGGCGTCCGACATGCCGCTCGAGGAGAAGCGCCGGCGCATCGGCAGGTTCATTGGGTTGCGGGGGTGCGAGACCCCGACGATGGCTACGGCTGCGCCGCTGCCAAGTGGAAATGGGAGTGGGGGTGGGAATGTCCCCGCTAGGAGCCTGACGGAAGAGGAGATTCTCGACCAGGCTAGGCACGCTAGGTTTTTCTCGAACGATGAGGAGGCGTGGAGGAGGAAGTTTAGGTGGTATAATTGAGACGGTTTGGTTTGTTTAATGGGGGAAAATAGGAATAAGAGGGCAGGGGGATGGGGATCCATTAATAGGGGATATGTGTGGTGGTAGCAGTGATTATCATTTTTTCTATTCTTTACGCTCCCTGAACCGGAATATTTATTTTAATACATGAGCACTTGCAGAATTTCACGTTTCCTTTCGTTAATTATCAGGTTCCTAAACTGATTTCGTGAGGGACAGCTTTTCTCAAGCCACATGGATAGTTGAACTCTCAAGGTCTGTATGGGGAGGTTGTAAAACTGATCTGGGCCAAGTAAGAATATCCCATGTCTTACGGTCGTAAGACTAGGTAGCAAAAGAAAACCAAAGTCTCTAAACACCAAGAGTGATGCCTTAGGTACCTATACCTAATGTATCGACTCATTGCCCCCCAAACCCAAAGTCAGGCAAATGGGTCTATTTACTTCTTCTGCACACTCTTCTTGACGCCCTCCACGAACGCCTCCACCGCATCGCCGCCCCCTAGCGGCATCTGGCTTCCCCTCAAGTATCCGCCGTTCTCGACCGGGACGGAGAGCGCGTCCGCGATACTGGGCAAGCCGCCGTCTCGGATCGCCATCGTCAGACTCGTCAGGCTCTGGTGGAACTGGGGACTTCGCAGGACTTTCTCTAGCAGCGCCTTCTTCTGGCCGAGGCTCATGGCTTCCTTGGCGGCTTGTATCGCCGCGGCAGTGGGTTCCGCCGTGGTATCTCCTTCGTCCGCTTGTTGGGATAGGACGAGGACCGAAGGCGGTAGGAAGTCAAGAAGATTGTCCACCTGCTCTTCCGTAGCTTGCCGGGCCATAGGTACCGTAACAGGTGGTGTGAGGAGATCCGAAAGGAGCGGGTAGAGTTTCCCTTCCCCTTGACTTCCCCCGGCACCGGCACCTCCTTTCAACGAGTCCAAGAAATTTCTCACCACTGTAGCAGCATCCGACGTTCCCGCGGCAGCACTAACAAAAAAATGTCAGCGCGGAGCTTTAGCGAATAGAAAAGAAGGCAAGTAGCGAGCAAATAACGAAGAGATATATTATTTCCCGTTTCAGGGGTTATCTCTAGCATTACATGTGGAAAAAAAAAAAATCCAATCGGCCAAAAGCCTATGGACGTATTGGCCAGCATTTCCTCTTGTTTTTTTTTATGGTTGAGAGGATGCATGCATTGTTCTCGCCCCCAGGTCCTCTTTCAACAAAAGCCGCAAACGAAGGATCAGGAGTTCACCTACGCTCTACCACCATCTGCACCTCCTTCTCGAGCACCCTCGCCCTCGTTCCGCACGTCGCCGCCGGTCGCGCCCGGGTCCGCACCGCCGCTGCCTCCGCGGGGATCGCTGGTATCGCCGTGACTCTCGACGCCTTCCATAGCCTCATCGTTATCGTCACCGCCGTGTCGGTCGTCGTTATCGCTATTGTTAATCGAGGCCAGTTCGCGCACCACGTTGACCTCTTCGCCCTGGAGCAGCTTGTCGACGATCTCGCCTATCTTGAGATCGCGAGGGCTGAACCAGTTCGGGTTACCGCTCCGACCTTGCGGTTTCGATTGTAGGTAGAAGAGGTAGCGCTGAGAGGAGGAAAGGAACTTGAGGACGAAAACGCGGCCTTTGGGCTTGACGGCCTCTTTAGGTTGGGATTTGGGGTCGTAGGGTACGAAATGACCGTCCGTGGGTACCATGACCAGGTCTAACTCGGGCTCATCGACGGGGTTGCTTCGTTCGCGCCAGCAGAAGTGAAGTAGATCTAAGAGAGCGTGAGTAATTACGTGAGGCGTCGTCCGGTCGAGAATGCTAGGCAATTCGTACCATCTTCGGAATAGAGGTAGATATAACCAGGTTGCCCTGATGGCTTGACCTTGTAAGGTCTTGTCGAAGCCTGGTTTCGCAGTTAGTTGTTTGACCTTAGATTTTGGAAAGCCGATAACAGCTTAAGCTAGGGGATTACGCATACATCTACGTCGCAGAGGCCGGCCTTGAACGTTATAATGGGCGTTATCGACATCTTGGGCGAGTGCTTCTTGACAAATCGGATAGATGAAATGTATGCTTAGAGTGAGATAAGGCGAGGAACCGAAAAACAGAAAAAAAAAGTAGTTAATGTAATTAAAGTGACGTTTGTTGAGAAGTTGTCTGGCTGCAAGGCTGCAGGAAGCTTCGTCAAAGCAGATGCGAGAGCTCACACCTTTACATGTACCTAGGTACCTAAGGTAGGTAGCTTACCTAAGAGCTACGTCGACGCATGTATTCCGTATCCGTACCCGTACCGTAATCCCGTTGCGTTCACACTGTACAATTAGGTTAGGTAGGTACGGATTGAGACCTCAAGGACCCACAAGTATCTTATCTCAGTAAACTCAGACCACAATTCAGACAACCCACAGGCGCCTGTGGCGCCTCCCAAACGTATAGTCCGTGTGTTTGTATCTGTGGGGCTTTTTGAATTTTTGTCCACAATTCAGTGTTTGATTTTTCCCTATTTTGAGCTATCTGATTGGTTGAAATTTGGTGTGGCTAGAAGGGTACAACGAGAAGAACACTGGATCTGTGGTCTGAGCTCGCTGAGATAACAAGTATCTTCTCCAGGCTCCAATATTACATAAGATACACAACTGTGGCTTAGTCACCGGCAGGTGTCTTACATAAAAAATCTTTGATCCAGCAAAGGCCAACAAAGCCACAAGAGCCCCACCCAGCCGCATAGATTAGATTTCGAACGGTGGCACACCAGGGCTTCGCCTAAGCCCACAACTGAATTGATCTTTTTGCGCAAAGTGGAATTTCTGACCTCGCTATCATTCAACCACATCCGAGGAACCTTGACAATTTCCCCCTTCAATCCCACACAACACCCTCCCCCGACAGCCTTCACGATGTCGCAGCCGAGCACACAGAAGACGTTCGGGAAGTCGACCCGGGAGGTCCCTCACCCTTCCCAGAAGGCCCAGAAGTGGTATCCCGTCGACGATGATTCCCAGCCCAAGAAGGTGAGTTTTTGCCAACAGCAGTTCAATACAAATTCAAAAGAAAGATGGAGAGTGAAGGGGGTTTTGTGGAATTCGCAAGCACGACGCGATGGATTTTTGGAAATTGTTGTGGCCTTGGTGAAAACCATTCTTCGAATTTCGAGATATCTACTCCAAGTCCTACATTGAAATTTCAATTACGAAATTGTACAGTTTAGATGGGACACGAACAATCTCCCCGAGACGAACTACATTCACCAGTCGTTTTCTTTTTCGGAATCAAACTCGCTAACAATTTTCGTCTCAAAAATAGGTCCGCAAGGCCCTCCGCCCCTGGACTCCGCGAAAGTCGCTACAGCCCGGCACCGTGCTCATCCTCCTGGCCGGTCGCTTCCGAGGCAAGCGAGTCGTGCTCCTGAAGACCCTCCAAGACGGCGTCCTCCTCGTCACCGGCCCCTTCAAGATCAACGGCGTCCCCCTGCGACGAGTTAACGCGCGATACGTCATCGCCACCTCCTCCAAGGTCGACCTCGCCGGCATAGATCAGGCCAAGGTCGACGAGGTCGCCCAGGCCTCCTACTTCACCCGCGACAAGGCCAAGGACAAGGCCACCGAGGAGGCCTTCTTCAAGCAGGGCGAGAAGCCACAGGTACGATTCAACCCGACTGGATAAGTAACGAAGGAACAAATAAAGAAAGAAATGCTAATACGTAATTCCATTACAGAAGAAGGAAATCAGCAGCTCCCGAGCAGCGGACCAGAAGGCCATCGACAAGGCCCTGATCGCCAACATCAAGAAGGTAGACCTGCTCGCTAGCTACCTTGCCAGCTCCTTCAGCCTCCGAAAGGGCGACAAGCCCCACGAGATGAAGTGGTAGACTTGGCGCTAGAGAGTGTGTGAGAGAGAGGGGGTGTTCTAGGAGGAAATGCTGCTTTTCGAGAGAGAGAAAAATCAACATTCAACTTTACATGACTTTGCGGACGGCGGATCGCGGAACTGGGCTGGCTTTGCCAATTGCATCTGGACGTTGAGGCATCGGTCACATTGATTCTGGCGTCTGTAATCGAGGTTCTAGTCAATAAAAGACTATCAAGGCAAAAAAGACAAAAAATTTAAAATCGCGTGGACCATCGTGTGTGTATGTGTGTGCTGCATGTGCTACTAATATTTAATGAAAACAACCGATGTTCGTTTTATCGATTGGTAATTCAATTCCGCTATGATCGAACTCCTTGGCACATACGAGCTAGGGAGTATCTCTTCCTGTAAATGGTCTTTATTCTTCTATAAAATGGCCCTTTAATGCAGGTCTGGAATGCTGCCATCTAAAATGCTAGATGCTTATAACGTGCTCTTTATCCGAGTTAAGTAGTATCCTTTCTCGAGCTAGACATTTCGCTCTGCCCAGCTCTGTATCATGCCCTCGGGTGTTGCATCATAATGCTTCAATGTAACTTTACCAGTAGCCTCGTCTAGGTATGTATTGGCTTGCACAAATACCTTCCGAGGCTGCTTGTTGCGCAACACCTCATCCCTAACCTTCTTGCCCCAAAATTCTGGCTCGACATCCGTCATTTCGGTGTAGAACTTCGTTCCGGCCTCGACATCGGCCGTGGATTTGTAGATATGCAACTTCTGGAGGTAGTCGCCCACCGCTTTCCGGCCTGCCGTTAGGATCTTCGAGCGATCCAAGTTGATCGTCAAGCCGGTTAAGTCGTCGCCATTATATTCCAGTTTGCAGAAATCGTCGCCAGCCTCGAGGAAGCACTTCAGAATGGAAAACCGGGCTTGCGAGTGAGCTTGTCCCCATTTTCTGCTCTTAGGATCCCACATTTCAAGCGATGTAAGACCACCTCGGGCCATGGAGAGATAGGAAGCGTAGAGCACATCACCTGCTTCGCCGTCCATGTCGACTGATCCGTCTCCGAAGCCAAAGATCTTCAAGACGGGAAATTCACATCCAAGGTACATCGCCACAAGCTCTGCACGACACTCTTCGTACGAACCCGCCAAGCTACCAAAGACGGAGCTCCATGTTTGGCCCGGCTTATACCATGTTGTAACAGGCTTGCCGGTGAGTGGAGAGATCGGAGGGTTTTCTTTGTCGAAGTTGAATTCTCCAGGGGCGGTTTCCTGTAATAGTTTACCACAACCGTGTCCTGTGAGCTCGTGAAGACCAACGAGGATTTCGAAGGACCCATCGCGATAGCGTTGGAAAATGTCCAGGTCTTTCTCTGCAATGAATGGAATCTTTTCGTCCGGTGCCTTGGCGCTCATCACATTACCGAGAGACACGTTCTTAAAACCTTCAGTTTGCCTGATATCATCGTAGTTGGGAATATTTATTCCAATTGGAATTCCTGAGCCGGCGAATGTTAAGACCTCAAGCGATGTAAAATCCGGAGAGAGGAAATTGTCTTTCTCGAAGTGTTTGTCCCACGGCAAGATTGGAATGAGAGAGGGGGCAGCTTCCACAAGAGCCCCGAAAGCTCGAGTGCGTTCTAGATTGACCACAGCGGCAAAACCTTCCCACTCGGCTCGTATACCAGCAGGGTCGCGGTACGTCTCGATAAAACCGATGTTAGACTCAACCACCGGACCTTTGTCTCGGATCCAAAATCTTTGGCTATCCTTGAATGCGAGTAGTGATCCCTCCTCGAATGACTTTGCATAGGCGTCATACATCTTTCGCTGGATATCATTGTCCGCATTTTCCGCTGCCCCTTTTGCGCTCGCCGTAATCGCGGCCAACTCCTCAGAATAGTCACCATAGACTAGGTTAACTGTCTTTCCAGCCAGTGTACCGTCCTCGATTTTGAATGTAGTCTCCTTTCCAGCATCACCTCCTCCATTAGGAATAGTACGGGTTGCAGAAGCTATGTGGATATCATACGAACCGTCCTTTTTCTTGACGAGACGGGTGTTCTCTGGGAGCAGTCCTTTCTTCTCCATCCATAATGAAATAGCGTCGATTTCGACTTTGGTGATATCAGGCGATCCGGGGTAGTAGGTGGTTAAGTGCCCTTGCTCTGGGTAACCCAGGTGTAACAAAGCAGGTTTATCAGCAGAGAAGATGGCACCGGAAGTGGCATTATAGAACTTCTGAGCATCGGGGGATGTTGCAGCTAGTGCGGCGAACACGGATTCGGAGCATCGCGGGATGAATTTGGCGTCACCGAAGCTCTTGTAGTTGCCATTATTTCCCAGGAACTGGGCAGCATACTGCAAGAAGTGGTCTAAGTCCGCATCTGCTATGCCGGCCTTGGCCTGTAAGGCTTTCCAGTCACCGCCGCTGCTCTTGTGGAGGGCCAATATGAAATCAAACTATACATTAGGTATGTGAGTAAGAATATAGTAAGGTGGCTGTAACCCTATTTGACTTACTATTGGCTCAGATTCGGGAGATATTTGCCTCGCTACAATTCTAGTACCTTGAAACGCCGCTCTGTTGAGGGCTGTCAGTTCACGAAATTTTTGAGAATTCTATAGGAATACAAAGTACCTGCTAGCGAAGTGCGCATATCTTTTTTGTTTATCAGTTAATGCATCAAAATGCTTCTCTATCTCAAGCCTCACAACGCTGGGGGGTGCGTCCGCATAGTACTGTTGAAGTTCTTGAGCATCCATCTTGGAAGTGAATGATCGTACGACAAGATGATGATTAGCAAAAGACGAGCTGTTTTTTGATTTTAGTGAGAATAGATTAAAAGGCCTCGGAGGGATTCTAGAGACGAGAAGCCTTGAACTTTGGACTATCGAAGGGGCTCTTCGAGTTAAGGAAGAGAATAGGGTCATTTAAAGAGGAGGAGAGGCGTTTAGACTTTGTTACTTGCGTTCTCACTTTGCTCAAGGCGGATTTGTTATGCAGTCACCAGTCACCAACCGCCGTTCACTGGCCCCTCCAAATTATCTAAGCTGCCAGGGTACTTGAGACCCTCTAGTAAACTTAGCCCCCAAATCAAAGCTGTTACTGAGTTCCTAATGATGTACCCCGCACTTTGAATTTGTGCCACACTTGGAATTTTCATAAGGCGGATTAATCCTTACATTAATACCCCTCAATAGCCACAATTTCGAACAACTTTCAATGTTCAGATCCTTTCTCGACTAAGTTGAACCACCGCCATACCGTACCTACCTCTAGTTTGAATAGGAAATTAGATCTTGGATGGATGTGTTTAAAAGACTTGATAGTAAAAGAGGTATGTTACATGCCCTTTATGATTTATAGCATTTGAAATTTGTGAAGCAGACTGAGGATATGTATGCGGTGGGAACGAAAGCATTCCGTTTGAATAATCCCCCGGTGGAAAATATCTCAGAAAGCAAAAGAAACCTAACGAGCCTACTATGTATATAATCGAGTCTCAGGTAGCATCTCAACCATAGCAGTCTCTAGCTCTTCCTAGGACTACATGGTTCTTCCAAGTCAAGTGCTAAGCGTGAAAGTACCTAAGGTATGGAGGATGTCTCTATCACGATGAACGAAAGGGATTAAAACGCCTACCTTCAGGAATATTCTTCATTGTTTTTATTGGCCTAACTAGACACATTTTACTAGTATAATATCCGACATGACAGACGCCGTGTTTTCGGGTAATACCAAGTTCGAAATAGACGTCTCGTTACGTATGAGGCGTGCAATAAGCAAACTTATTAGAATCTTTACCTCGATGCTTGAGATACGGATAGGAGGTAGCTTGCCTACCTTACATCGGTAGGTAGTAACACAGCGCTAGTGTTCTGAACCACATGAATGTCAGCCGCTATATATGCAGGCAACGCGAATCCTGTTGCACTCGTGCGAATCTCCATCGTTTAAATAGACCTCATGACATTTCGTCTGCAGGGTGATTCTCCAGGCCGTTATAACATCGCACCCCGTCCTCGCTTACCCGCCGAGCCTTGGATTCATCGAAGTTGCATGCATCATGCTCTCGCATCTCACCCCCTAGGTGATTATTAACCAACCAGCATCTCTGCGGGGTGCGAGTTGATGGATGACGACGAGCCATGTTCGTTGATCCCTCAAATGCTTATATTGTGGGAATGGGAAAAGCTGGAAAATTGCGATGACCTGTGAGGCCTGATCTGTCACTTGCAGGTTGCAGAAGCCATGAAGAATCATGCAGAGCTAGCCTTAGCACTCATTACTATGTATTCACCTTGGTATTTGATACGATCATATGATTGGCGAAAGGGGTGCCATTGAGCGGTGAAGAACAAGCCCTTGCCGTTGCTCCCCGTCCTGCCCCGGGCCCACTGGCACCGATGGGATTCCCTTGTTCTGACACAAAAGTAGCTTTACCGGAACTGACACCCGAAGAGAAAAAAAGAATAGCTGCTAAATTTTTAGCATGAGCGTACTAGGTATGTAGCAATACGAACACCCAAGAATTCCAGGTAGCGCCGGTGTAGAAAAGGCGCAATATAGCCAAGGAAATACTACCTCACCACATATGTAGGTACGCAATAATAGAAACTGCTTGCTAATGTACCTTGGATAGATTTTATTCGGTCAATGCAGCAGCATGGCTTTTATTACTAAATAAGAAAGTACGGCGAATCTGTAATGATCATCCGTGCTACACCGGGACACCTACCACTTTGCTGGAGTGACTACCGACCTAACCTAGGTAGAGATGCCTTATATTACTTTATAACAGAGTGTTTAATGTTTTGGTTACGAGGAGGTAGTGAATTGCGAAGACGAGGTGGTTTTTTTTTTCTTTTCTTCGTTCTTTTCGTCCGGGGCTTTTCATTTCTGTAACGAGCCAAAAATACGCTCTAGAACCGCGTTAAAGATCCGGTCCAAATGTGATGGCGCATCTTTAGCCCTGCGTCGTCCGAGCCCTGGACTCGCTCCGATAGGACAAAAGTTTTTGTAGCTAATTTGTCGCACATTCTAGGGACGACAAAAAGAATTGCACTTGAGAAATAGCTTCGCCTGCCGATCTAGGTAATGCATGTTCTGTAACGATACAGCATCTGGATTGTGTCGTCATAATTTATCATGGTCGAATTCGCTTCGAGCGCTTCAAGTTTCGCATCGAACAACAGCGTTGCTGTAATACATAGTACAATACCATAGGTACTATGTAGTAGCCGACCTCAGGTACAATCGAACCCTTGTTGAACCTGGGAGTGATCAGCTGGTGGCCCATAAATTTACTTCTCCCTGTTTTTACCACGTTTTCCTCCACACTTTTCCATTCTCACGTTAGGGCGAGTTTGGTGTCGGTTAGTTCAGGCTTCCATGCTTTGTTCGATAAATTTTCCATCAGCCTAATGTAAAAAAAAGAAGTGGAATCGCCTGAAGTACTTCTATGTACGAGTGAGTACCTTAGGTACGTATATTTATTATTACCCCCCCCCACGCTAAGATACCTACATGTCATCACTCATGTACGTACTTAAAAGCTGGAGCAACACCTCGAACACTTTTGCACCGAGACCCATCCAATTAGTACCTAGGTAGTCTCATGACTCGGGAGATAATTACTCTACTATACCTAATCTTTCTTTAATAGGGTTGCCGAGGCGAAAGATACCAGATTAGGAGAGGGATAACAAAAACTTGCTGAGCGGTATGAAAAAAAGAAATGGGATGCGCATTAAAAACAAGTAAAAGAAGAAAAAAGTATGGAGATTAATATATTTTAGGTCGATAAGATGGAAGGTACTATGTAAGAAGAGCAATTAAAAAAAGGGGGAAGTTCCTAGTGGCTCTTGCTAGTAAGTAGTTGTCGGTGTGTCGTCTGCGTCGTCAATTCCTCCCCCCAAACCCAGTAAAACAACCCCAAACCGCAGAAGAAATGTACCTACCTACCTTGTACTCACCAACTTCGATTTGCTTGACATGCATTTGATGTGCATTACATCCTCTGCGCTGGCTTCCCGGTCAAGCTTTACATAATATTCCTTTCTCTTTTCTACCCCGTGGGTTGGGTAACCACGAAGATACCACACACACTTTTTTTTTATACTAATCCCTGACAATGGAAAAAAGCATCCACGCAGCCACGGCTCGCGATTTATGTCCGTAGACAAACTCAATGCAGATCCTCGCCGGCGGGTGATGCTTCCTCGGTCTAGTAGATGCCGTCGTTTGTTGGGTCTGACTTTCAACTCGCGACAACCAACTCGGGCCTATTCATCGGTTCTCGCGTTGACGATGCGTTCCCCCACTCAAGTTTTTGTATTTCATTTATTATTATTGTTGTTATTATTATTTTTTAAAGATGGAGAATCGTGTACTTCCATGGGGCAAGCCTACTACCTAATGTACTACCTACCTAAGGTAGGTATCTACCTACCAACCTATTAAAGCACCCTGTTTAGGTACAATACCTACTACCTCTTGGCCTTTTACCCGCGCCCCTCCCTGACGTCGAGTACTAGTATGTAAGTCTGGAGCCCCCAAAGGAGACGGGAGTCAGTCTGTCTGATTGGCTGATCCCTATAAGGAATTACCTTCTTTGATATTCTCTCGAGCTTCTTTTAGCGTCTAGCCCAAGTCAATCCCTAACCCCATCTCCGGGATCTCAGGACTAGGCTTTCGCTGAATTTTCTGCCCAGCCCGGCCAGCTTAGCGGTCGTCGGCACTGTCCAGATGTGGCACAAATCAGCCAGGTTTCAGGGTACTTCGTCATCCTGCCTCCATAGGAACAGGGCCAATCTTCTACCGTGATGTACATACATAACAAGATGCAGACACCCACTTATAAAACCAACCCTTCGCCGACGGTTCTCGGATCCACTGGCTGTCTGCACTACTTTTACCATATTACGCCGCCTTAATTACCCCCGATTTCCCTATGTTTTGTTCTTTGGTCTTTCTCGTCTCTTGAAGTCACATCGTCAAGTTTGTCCTTCCTAGTCTTTTCGAAGCACAGTTATCCGAGTTGTTTTGATATACACCCCAAGTTCGATTCATACTTGAGTGACTAAGCTACAGTCACAAAGCACAAGTCACTTACACACACCTGTGATCTTCTGTCGCTATCGACTACCTATTACCGTTTCATAAGACAAAAGAAGCGAAGAACAAGTAACTAAACGATATATATATTGAATATCTATATCAAAAAGCGATGTTGACTTACGATAATCCCGTTCCGGTAAATAGAAAACATTCTGTCGCTAGTATGGCTGCGTCGATGGACACTATAGCCTCAACGCCGAAGCCTATCAACGCCACCATGGTACCAGTAACATCGAATAACACCACTGCAAAAGTCAATGGGCAGTCAGCACCCAGGCAGCGCCATATCTGGTTAGTTACGGGCCCTGCCGGTTGCGGTAAAAGCACCGTTGCCAAGCACTTGTCGGAGGCTATTGACTTGCCTTACATTGAGGGTGACGAGGTAAGTTTGGTTCAAGCCTAGTTCCAAATACTGTGCAAATTGCTAAAGTAGACCCTTTTAAGTTCCACTCCAAGGAAAATGTCGAGAAGATGGCCAATGGCATACCATTGACGGATATTGACCGATGGGATTGGCTTATTGCCCTACGAAAAGAGTCCCTGCGAAAACTTGAGGATGGCGCTGAAGGAGTTGTGCTTACCTGCTCGGCTCTCAAGCGCAAGTATCGAGATGTCATCAGGGTAGCTCCTTATTACATGCATGATGTCGTACTCCACTTCATCTACCTTCATGCGCCCGAGGATGTTCTTCTCAAACGTGTGGGCCTAAGACAGGGACACTATATGGGAGCCAATATGGTCCACAGCCAGTTCTCTATCCTAGAGCCGCCGACGGCAGAAGAGACGGACGTGATTAGCATCGACGTGAGCCGACCTATGGAGGATGTCCTGGAGGACTCTCTCAACAAGGTTCTCGAGAAGATGAAGGAGACCGAGTCAAGCTAATACGACATGGTACGGATGGCATTGGCGTGGGCTAAAATAACGGTAGCGGTCACAAAGACACAGATTCATGGTTGAGATTAGCGTCTTCTATTCAAAGCGTGTTTAGGAGTTGGTTCCATACTTTTTTTACTTTGGCGCAATTAGAGGCATTTGGTTGAGGGGACTGCACCTTTTTGAGCAAACTGCATTATGCAAGCAGCGTGAGCTGTTGTATAGGAGTCTTGGGTATACATACGAATGATATATAACTGGGGTATAGAGCAATGAGATATTCGTCATATTGCGTACGGGACCCGCCGAGCTGTGCTGTGGGAGTGAATAAGATCTACGTATTGGCGTATATGAGTGGGATAGACCTTGCAAGGAGGATGCCTGGATATTCCTGTGGAATTCTGCCTCCGGGGTAATCGGTCCTGGCGGATGTTGGCTCTGTCTATACGTTTTCGTATATCATCCTTCCAGGCGTATCCAGAGATACGAGAAGATGCCCTCGCATCTACACTCTGTTACCTACCTAGTAGGATATGTACGTTGCGACTGCGTCCTCGCCTTGTTTTTGGGCACCTACTGATCCATGACTTACCGACCGGTTCGGGGGGGAAACAGGCTCCACCATGTGGGACTGTAGGATCACGGATCCCTACATCACAGCCAAGATCCGCCCAGAGATGCAAACTGGCGGGCATCTGTGCATACATACGTACATACATACCTAACCTTACATACATATATAGGTACCTAAAGGCAAGGCAAGGCAAGGCAACTAGTTAGCTTCATGTAGCTTAGCCAGCTGGATACCTCTACCCAGGTACATAGCTGTATGGAAGTTCATGCTGCAGATAAGCGGCGGCGGCGGCGGCGGAGGAGGAGGAGGGGGAGACCCCTAAGGTTAGGTACCTAGGTAGGTAAACCGTAGGAGGTATGTAAAAAAAAGGGAAACCCTTGCGCCGCCCTATTACTTCGGCCTGCATACCCGGCGCCACGATATAACGCTACGAAACCATTTTCGACCTAGGGCGCGTGTATGTATGTCATGCCATAGCATGTGCTTCTTCAAGTTAAGATGGATAGGTAGGTATGTACCTAATGTATGTAGGTCACTATGTGATGTGCGGCGCGGAGAGAGGGGGAATGCGGGATGCGGGATGAGAATGCGGGATATCTACTAAGAACGAAAAACTTGAACTTGCTTTACTTTGCCTTGCCTTGCCATGTCGGATATCATCATCATCATCATCGCCATCATTAGTTTGATTGCTGTTACTAGGTACTAACTAGCTACCTACGGTAATATAACCGTTCATACATCCCCTTTTCCCCTTCCAGCCCCATGCATCCCAACGCCCCCGTTGTACCGCTCGCGTGATAATATCTCCCCGAAAAAAAAATCCCCGCCCTTCCTATTTGACGGGGTTTAGTCCGGACGAAGGAAAATTGGGATCCAACGCGGACTCGGTTTCGGGAACGTAGGACATAAATAGGTACCTAACCTATAGCGAAGAAAAATAAGGAAAGAAAATCCCAAATTTATCTCCATACATAAAGTGATACAGCGAATCCGTAAGCGCCAAGGTTCATAGATAGATCCGATGACTCTTAATCTTGTAGTACATAGGTTAGGTTAGGCTAGGGTAGGTACCGAGTTAGTATATGTCTGACACCCGGCTATACACACTGCATACCTACCTACCTCTTATATGCATGCATGACAAGACGAATTGGTAAAGTCAATAAGGCTGTCCTGCCGAAAACAGGAGGGGTCGAATCCAGAAATGGCACGTCTATGGTTAGGGTGAGTATCTATTCTATACTATACTATGCTATGTATGGAGGGGCTTAGGAGCTAGCCTTGTGACTCTAATCTCCGGCTATCGTATATGACATATCATCTTTCCAAACTATCACATCCTCTCCTCTCCTCAAACCCATCATGCGCAACATTGGGTTCGTCCTATCCTATACATGGAGTGGGAAATCCACCGCATTCTATTCATGAGGTGTTCCATCTTGGGCTTTGGGCATCAAGAGTAAGCGTCGTGCTTATGCTATCGCAGGTGCAGAACCATGACATCCGGTTCCTCTACGATCTTTCGCACGACCCCAGCAGCTCTCGCCATCGTCGCTCCATCCACGACTCGGTGATCGGCGCACCAGCTAAAGTTGCAGACCTGCTTCTTGACGATGTTGTCCTGGTCGTCGAAAGCCGGGACGGTCCGCATGCGTCCTACGCCCAGAATGGCCACCTCCTTCTCGACGATGACTGGCGAGAGGTAGGTCCCGCCGATGTTGCCTATGTTGGAAACGGTAATAGTGCCTCCGCTTAGGTCTTGCGGCGATAGCTTGCCCGTCGTAGCTAGCGACTGCAGGCGTGATAATTCTGCAGCTATAGAGAGGACGCTCTTCGCCCCAACATTCTTGATTACGGGGACTATAAGCCCCGAGGGGGTGTCCATAGCGACGCCGATGTTGTGCTGACTGCGGTGAACTAGCCTCGGTTTCGACGTCTCGGGGTCCACGTCGACGCGGGCGTTAAGTATAGGGTATTGATGTAACGCTATGGAGACCGCTTTTACAATAAAAGGTAAATAGGTTAATTTTACTAGTTGACCGTCGGTGGCAGATTCCGAGACGACTTTGTTAAGCCGCCTTCGCAGCTCGACCAGCTCAGAGAAGTCGATCTCGTCCGCATAGAGAAAATGCGGTATAGCTAAAGATCGTTTCATGGTTTTAAACATTTGTTGTTGCGTATTTGTTAACTGTACGGTGGTCTCAGTTTGTTTCTCTGCATCCAGTGGTGCGCTCGGGAATAGATTCGTCGGTTCAGCCGGTTGCAGCTGTGAGGGCGAATCTCTCTTTTCAACAAATCTATAGATATCTTCTTTAAGAACTCTGCCGTCCTTCCCTGTTCCTTCGATCTCCGTAATATCAATATTTAATTCCTTTAACAAATGTCGAACCGCTGGTGTTGCTAGGGATGCATACTTCCCCTTCTTTACCGGGGTCGGCTGGGACTTGGGCTCGACTGTTTCATCTATAATATCTTGATTTTGAGGAGGCCTGCTTAGCGACTCCTTGTTCAATGGCTCCGCGACGTCTTCTTTTGATGGCTCAGGAGGGGTGAGAGCGTCTAAGGCTTCCTGGCTCGCGCCGCCTTGTATATCAATATCCACGAACGGCTTTCCTACTCTTGCCATTTCGCCGGCCTCGTAGTAGAGCTTCTTCACAACACCCGAGAAGCGGCTTGTGATCTCGACCGAGGCTTTGTCGCTCTGGACCTCGCACAAGGGTGAGAACTCCTCGACTCGGGCATTGGGTTCGACAAACCATTGTATGATTTCGCACTCCACGATACCTATAAGCGGTGTAAGCACAAGTAGACAAAAAGTGATAACAAATAACAATGCTTCTTCACCTTCGCCAATGTCAGCAAGAAGGACGGGTTTCACGACTTGTAGATTTCTGCTTGTGTGGAAGCCTCTTATTAGAGCGGCGCGGACTTGGGATTCCGGGGTACGATGTAGACTCCGGCATAGTCGCCATTGATGACGAATTGCTCGAGAACTACGGTGAAGAAACATTGTATAAATGGGGTATATAGTTGAATTAACTGGAAACAATATTACATTTTGTATATCTAAAGAGAAAAAAGAAAAGAAAAGAAAAGAGACGTAACTAATACATAAAAAAGCTCGGCTCATGGAAAAAGAGGAAGGTAAGAGGGGAGAGCCAGGAGTAACTACCTAACCAAGGTCCAAGGTCCAAGATAACGATGCTTACCTATGCTTCCCTCTTCTCACACTATAGGCTTAAGCCGGTAACTTTCCCAATTCCCCCACTTTGTGCCGTCGCTTTCCGGAATCTGGGGAAGCCGATTGTGGCCGCCGCCGTGAACTCTAAACCCCGCTGCCAATTGGATGACCGTATTACTGGGATCCACTAGGCTGCGTTCCTGCAGGTGCACCGCGACGCATGATTCATGCCACTTAGGTAATCTTTTTTGGTACTTTTTTATTTTTATTTTTATTTTTATTTTTTTTAGCTTCAGCCTTAAATAAAAACTCACTTAGAACATTGAAATTCGTACCCAAGTCGTGTGATGCTAACGGCATTACCCACTCGGCCTCAGCTCGTACCTTTTTATTAATTAAAATGTATTATTATTATAGGTAGCTTGATATGTCCCGAACTATGCTGCTTGCCCGTAGACCGGGGCTTCTGTGCATGCTCTGCCAGTCGAGAGGTTTTAGTACGTCGTACCGCTTGCTGGCAGAGCAAGGTCCAAAGCCCGCTACGGATAACCAACCAACGAAGCTCGGGGCACCGGTCTCACCGGCCTCACCGGGTTCGGACCCGGCGCCGCCCAAAGTTATACCACCTTCCCCGTTAGCAGATGCTCCGAGATCATACGGCAAGCGGACCGAACAGTTCACACCCAAGCCGCTGAGCCGGCCGATAGGCATGCCGAACCCACCCAGGCCGGGCGAGAACACGGGTATAGACAACCGCACCCTCAGGCAGCGTCGCGATGACTTTGTAAACTACGATAGGCATCTGGAGAGGCGAAAGGAATTGTATGGCACACTCACACTCACACACACTTATACACACACACACATATATATATATGCCCCTCCCTATCCCTCCCCCTCTTCCCTCTTCCCTCTCCCCTCTCAATTAACCACAACCCGTTTGGCGGGGTAGTAGTTTTTAGCTAACCTCTAACCTCCCCCGGGCGAAACAGGGTGAGCAAGATCTCGCGGCCATACTTCCGAGACTGGGGCAACCTGCGCTTCCACAACGGCAAGACGTTCTACCCGCCGCCGCGGCCCTTCAAGCGGGACGTGTCGCTGTTCTTCCCGAACCTGCACGGGCGGACGCTGTCCAAAACGGACCGCAAGCCGCGCGACACGACGCCCGCCCTGCGCGGCCGCATCTCCGTCGTCTCCGTCTTCAGCAGCGTCTGGGCCGAGAACCAGATTAACTCGTTCGTGTCCGCGCAGGCCAACCCGGCGCTCGACGACCTGCTCGCCCGGAACGCGGACCTGGCCCAGCGCGTCTGGCTCAACGTCGAGGAGAACGCCTTCAAGGCCTGGCTCATCCGGCTGTTCATGGGCGGCATTCGGAAGCGCGTCGGCGAGCCGAATTGGGACCGGTATTTCGTCGTGAGGAGGGGGATCAACGACGATATCCGCGAAAATACGGGCCTCCTGAATAGAAGCGTCGGGTACGTGTACCTCCTGGACGGCGACTGCAGGATACGGTGGGCAGGCAGTGGCCCGAGCGAGGATCACGAACGGGATGGCTTAGTTAAGGCCGTGCAGCGGCTTCTGGACGAGGCCAGGAGCCCGAAGAAAGCCTGATAACAACTCATGTAATTATTACGCGCCATAAATAGGAAGAAAGAAAAAATGATACCCGCTCCTCAATTCACAAGGCAACTCTCGTTCAGGATTTAGGTGTTCCCCTTAAATTGCTCTATATCGGTCGTAGGTATTAATCATCGCTGCCCATTCGATAGACTAACGGCCAATGGCCAACTTTCTGGTATATTTTATCCCCTTCATATTATACAGCGTACTTTCGTCTCCCCTCGAATAGCCGGAACGCCTTGCAAGAAAAATGGAATGCAACTCGAAAAAAGAGCCCAAGGTATTTATTTATTTCCCGCCACCAGTTCAGGAAGACAAGAAGAAGAAGAGGAATATTAAGTTGGTCTTCCCCTCGCTATTTGCCGCTCTACAAGAAGAACCAAAAGACGACGAAGCAGAAGGCGATAAAGCCCCCCATGATAAAGCTGTCTCGCCGCTTCCGCGCCGTGATCTTGCCGATCAAGGTGTTCAGGCCGGGGACTTGGCTCGCGGCCATGGTGATCCTCCGGTTGATGCTGGCGAGGGTTTCCCGCTGCGCGATGAAGCTCTCGTTGGTGGCGTAGGCCTGGCTCAGGACGCTGTCGACCATGTTGTGGCTGTTGTCGATGCGGTTGCGCTCGTCCAGCATGTACTCGGCCTCGGCGGCTTCGGGGTTGTTCGCCCGGTACGTCTGGATGTCGTCTCGGACGTTGGACAGCAGGTTCGCGCGGTTCCTTGCCTCTTGCAGGCTAGATCGTAGCCGCCCGAGGTCTCGTCTGTGCTCGGCGAGCTTCTCGCGTAGGAGGGACAGGTTATTCTGCTTCAGGGCGGAAGAGGTAAGGCTCGCTTCGGAATCTAGGAGGCGCGCAAGTTGGTTGACGAGGTTTTCTCTCTTTTAGATAGCGGTTAGCTAGCTAGCCAATACTTCATAGCTCAACGGGTTTCTATGTTATGCGGATGGTGCGGCTCTACCTTGTTGAGTATCTCCTCTAGCTTGGCTTCCGTCTCCCGTTCCTCTTTAGTCGGCTTTGCCGGAATATTAGGGACAGTCGAGAATTGTGAATACGTATGAAATAACGTTTCCGTCTACGAATTATAAAGTCAGTACTGCCTTGGGTTTGCGCCTGGTTGCTGTATCTATTACCTGGGACTCCAAGCTTCGAGCTTGCTGGCGCAATTGGGCCCAGCCCTGATTTCCTGTTGGCGCTGCCATATCTGGAAATTGAAATTTGGAAGTCGGATATCAAGGTCGAGTTCTAAAATAACTAACCATCGCCGAAGTAGACTTGTTGGCGAGAAGTTGCGCAGTGGGCGTCTTTTAATGCGAACGTCCCATTCAAAAAGCTAAGTTCGTAATGAGGTAGGATAACGTTCCCGAAAGCTAGAAACAGGTAGGTAACTAGCACTACTACATGCAGTAACAAAGTAATAAGCGAATGGTACTAAGTAATACTTTTGAAGAGAGAATTCGTATAGGTCGTAAGACTAACAGGATTGGAAAGCGCTTATGCAGCTTGTGCGAGTGGTATGTTGATGACGATAATGCGCTTGGTAACAGGTTGTGATGTTCAGGTATTAGGTACGAAGTACATGGATTATGTATGGACATTTCCATCCATTGATGCATGTCAGGTCTTTGGGATTTTCGGGGCTGCAGCAGACTGGAGGGCACATGCAGTTTTAGGGTGGCTGTGCACGTAGGTAATGTGGCTAGTGAGGTACGTATTTAAATCTTAAGGACTGCCGCTCGTCTAGCTGGATAAAAGCGGGACCTTTTTAGATTATCGGGTCACCTGACCAAACTTTTCCAGCCCACAACCCTACTGCGACCAAATCAATTCTTCCAAGTAGTCTACCAAATTCTCTAGGCGGAAATTTCAAGACAACCTCAAGAAAGTTTACCGGAGACCGACCTCAACTCGTTACTAACACATCTAGCCATTCAAGATGGTAAGTCGAATTTTCCAATGAGTGCCACCGTCGCACACGTCACGAACATTAAAAAATGTCGAATTATTGTCGCTAATTGAATTGTTCGTTATAGTCGACTTCCAAGGTCAAGACGGGTCAGCTCTGGAACAAGAGCAAGGAGGACTTGCTCAAGACGCTGGGTGAGCTCAAGACCGAACTCGGTCAGCTCCGCATCCAACAGGTCGTTTCTAGCGGCAGCAAACTCAACAAGATGTACGTGCACATCATAACGATCCGATTTATCATTCCCGTCTTATTACGAAATTTTTGAGCCTCCCCCCTGAGCCTATCCCCCGCTGTAGTCACAGTCACAAGAGTGAAGGAAAAGGCAAATTGTGCATAAGAATTTTTCGTCGCTAATCATACCTCCCTACTCTCCAGCCACGACCTCCGAAAGTCCATTGCCCGCGTCCTCACAGTCGTGAACCTCAAGCAACGATCACAGCTACGCCTGTTCTACAAGAACAAGAAGTACCTCCCTCTGGACCTCCGACCCAAGCAGACCCGCGCCATCCGTCGCCGACTATCGCCTGAAGAGAAGGCCAAGACCCTTGAGAAGACGCGCAAGCGAACTTCGCACTTCCCCCAGCGCAAGTACGCTGTCAAGGTACGCTGAAAAATCCAGAATCCGCCCCAGCCGGTATACAACTTCAATTAGCCAGGAGTGGGGGAATATTTCTATCTATCTATGTATCTGTCTAGCTACCTATCTGTCTATCTACTACCTAGTGTTTCCTCAAGTCTTAAGAAGAATATAAAGCTGACGTAGGCGGGCATCATAGGCTGCTTAAATGAAATAATGTTCGGTTGTGGGAAAGGGGAGAACGCGGACGCTTTTTTCGAGGTGGTAGACGGGCGTCGTGGTCATTCCAAAAAAAGAGGAATCCTTGATATTTGCATGGCATCACACGGCTTTTTCGGTTCATAGGTGTTTACGAGGTCACACTTCGCAGTCAATGTCGCTGCCCAATGCAAAAAGACTTGCCTTCGGGCGCTGAACAAAACAAAAGTTCTTTTTACGGCTTGATTGAGTCCTACGTGATATGCTAAATCGTAGAACTCGAACGATTGTCTACTTGAATCAAGGAAACGTATTACTTTACTTCTACCATGGATCGAGTCTGACTAACTTGAGATGGGCATAACTAGGAGTTAAATTACTGCTAACATATTGAGGAGTTGCTAGCAAACATGATGACAATTATCCTTTCTGCTATAAATTAGTAACTAGGGAACGTCTTTCCTCCTCATAGAGATCAAATTTCGTCCTTTTTATTCTTGCCGAGGAAGGTAATAAATAGCTACATCGTCTAGGGAGTTGTCAGAGCCCCGAAAGGAAGGCGTGGAAATTTATTCATGAGGTTGGAAATACCAGGGTAAATTTAGATAGTGACCAGTAAAATAAGTTGAGAGAGTATGACCTTCATCCATACCACTGCCAGAATGAGGGGGGGGGGAGAGAGAGAGAGTCTATGTTAAATTCTATACCATTAGATCCAACCAGCGGCGTGCTAGGCAAACACAAATGGATCTATACTATGTAAGTAACTAGCTTCCACGTTGGTTGGTACGATAAGATATTCAAGACAAGATCAGACACGCTATACTTGAATATAAAGTACCCAAGGTATGCACCTGGGCATATAGTATTAACGAGACTCACTCACATTGAAAGCAAGTTCCAAAGGTCAGAACAGAACACCAGCAATAGTTAGCTACCTACCTAGGTAGGTATTTAATGACTCCCCGTTCATACCTAACCAATATTTACCAACTTACGTATCCGACGGTCACTCAAGGGACACCTCTTATATGTGTAGGATATTGGTTCGCTACGATTTCACTAAAGACTTCTCAAGCGCCGGAATGTTAGCCAGTTCTGACCCCCCTTTAGAATCGAGTTTGGATGCTACCTAATACTAACCATAACATCGAGTTATGACATAACTCTGCTTACTGGATAGAATAAATAATCCTGCTTTACTGGTATGAATCAAGCCTTCACAACAAAACAAAAATATTATATACTTGGATGGGTATGTTATTGTCTTCAGAAGACACCTATGTGACTATGTCCATGAGCTTCATTCGCTCTTCCAGTTTACACGAGACTGTAAACCTGTACGTTAATTTAACAAGCCGCTAAATGTGATGGATGGAATCGCTACCGCTCCTGCTCCCGCTTTTAAACGCTCCTATGTATGGTGTCCCTAAGTTTTCCGCCTATAATCCTGACCTCTCTGGGTCACTTACTCCTAAATCTCTCAAAATGCTAAACACCCAATCATATTGCTCTCACTGACCGAGAGCCTCTCAAAATGCACTTCACTCTTTGCTTCGTACCTCGTTCCTAAGCAAATGTAAGATAAGGATACATCCAAGCAAGGCTCCTAAGCTTGTATAGAAGACTCCTGCTCCAAGACGGTGTCCCGCGGTGTCTCCGGCGACAAAGGCCATATCGTTGGGCCTGCCGCTATCCGGGTCTTCTGCTTTTTCTTCGGCCTCTCGTGTCTGGCCTGATGTCTTCGTAGCTGGTCGATTCGGATGAACTGGCTTGTACAGCCGGGCTCGTCGCATTTGAATTTGTAATCCGGGTTGTGCGTCTTCCGATGTTTCGAGAGGTTGGAGGATTCGCAGAAGCACTTGCCGCATATGTCACATTCTAACGGCTTCTCACCGGTATGAGTGCGCTTATGCATAGCTGCCTTGGGTTAGATTACTGTTTGGTAGGGCAGAAACGAGAAGGTACGTACTTAGAGCACTCTTCTGCTTGAAAGACTTGCCACAACCTTCGAAGTCGCACTTGTATGGCGTCTCACCCGTGTGCGTTCTAACATGTTGGTCGAGGGCCTGCTGTGCTGAAAATCCTTCGCCGCATATTGCGCACTTATGCGGTTTGTCTTGTCCCTCCGTTAGTACTTTTATTGATAGATGACTGGGTCCAACTTACAAGCAGTGTGTGTTGCAAGGTGGCGCCGTAGCTTGTTACGAGAGGCAAACACTTGGTCACCCCGGCGGGGGCAACCTTGCCAGAGACATAGATATTTCGTCTTGCTTGTCAGCAAGGAGACGTGGTCGCTGCATAGGTGCTCATGAAGGGAATAGCTATCCTTGCAAACATGACCGCAGATCTCTTTGCCCTCTCCTCCTGGAGATATTATCCACTGGCATACGAGTTGAGATGTACCTTCAACTCCATTAAAAGGTTCATTCGTAGGAGTCGGTATTGAATCTAATTCAGGGGTACATGACAAGCTTGGATGAGAGTGGACGGGCAAAGAGAGTTGTTGAGCGGCGCCTAGTTGGTGCTCAGGTGTATCAAGGAAGCGACATTCGAACTGTTGTTGGAACTCATGTTGCTGCTGTGGGGAACTTAAAGCACCCGGTGCCCTTAAGTCTCTCAAGGTGATGGCAACGTCGTGCTCGGTATTCGTGTGGCTGCAATGTTGATTGTGCGAACTCGAGGCTAACTCTGATGGTACGGGATTATTCCAGCCTTGGTTCAGAGCCCATATATCTTCTAAAGTTTGCGCCGTACTGTCGAAGCAGTGCAAGTCATCGCAAGGGGTACCATCTCCTGAGCATTCCTCTTCTTGGCAGACTTGGGTGGAGCAGCAGTCGCTTGAGCACGAAAATTTGCTACAATTCACGGAAGCGCAGTCGTCAGGAACAGGACACTGTGGAAGCCCCAAGTCCGCAGTGTTGAAGTTGTTGCCGAGGAGTGATTCGCTGAAAGAGCCATGATGTCCTGGCCTGATATCTTGATTTAAGCCATACTTCAAGCCCATGTCGGGAAAAGGATCCGGATATAAATGGTTGAATTGCGGCATCGATTGCTGGAAGGTATTGTTCTCCGGTAGATGGTAAGGGTATGTGAAAGCCGAGACGGTAAACCGGGATCTCGGAGGGAAAGACGGGCCATACGGATTTCGATGAATCCCCAGAGGGTTCAGGGTGCCTACGCACTTATCCAGGCAAGTATCATCGTGAGATGTATGATGGAGATCTAGTGATGAAGGCTCAACGGTATCAAGAGAAGAAGATGGACCAAATGAAAATATGTTGTCGAAATTGTGAGAATTAGGCGTTACTGAGCTAGTGAGCCTTTCCATTGAGGGTGACGATGTAAGAGGAGGGAGGTCGTAAGTGGTGGCATCATTAGGATCGACAGAATCGTCCATGCCTCCATACATAATCATGGCGGATAGTCCGACAAAACATGACCCGTTACGGGAGAAGAGTCTAAGCCGACAGCTTTTCTGTCAAACAATCTGCGGTTATGGGTTGGGTGAAAAAAGTTGAAGTTTCTAGTATGGATAATGGGATCAGTATTGGCTAGTGCGCCAACGGGTTATGAGAACTGGGGTTAGGAGATAGATCGACACCGGCCGCACGGAATATTACGAATTGAGGCTCTTCGTCTGGTTCGTAAAAAAAGAAAAAAAAAAAAAAAAAAAGAGGTTAAGAGGCAGAAAGGGTGGTGTGGGCAAATGGGCTGAATCCAGTTCGAGGGTTGAGAACCTTGATGGACGGGTTGTGACAAAGTTGCGGTACTTTGCAATAGCTGCACCTTCTGATCTTTTTTTTCTTTTTTTTTTCTTTTTTTTAGTCAAGAGACACCGAGGTATAGCAACAATAAACCTTATGGAAACTGGTAACTTCCTTATGATTAGATGTTTATTATACCTCCTTCACTCCCCCCTTTCCTCGTCCCTTCTGTTTGAACCGCAAACAAAGGCCTGGGCTTTGTGCCTTCTTTCTTCGTGCATCTGTTATGTTGGCCCAAGCGCAGGATTTGGCTGCGCTTTTTGGTGCTGACGTTGGTTTTCACCAATGAATGGCCGTGGATTTGTTAGAAAGTGCCTGTGTGGGGGCCACACCTCTGTGCGTACCACGCAGCCCGCGTTATTGTACATAGTCAGCATGGCGTACTATGTAGAGCCCAAAATGGCCATCAAGGTTCTTGTCCCATGGTGGGCCGGTTTCCGTTACAGGCACATGTTTAAGGCATATTATGTACCTAGGTACCTACATACATGTGTATATAGTTAAAATGAGAGGTTGAAGATATTTGAGTACCTGTATTGTACAATGCGCGCATACCAGGTAGGTAGCTAGCTACCTCTTACACACTTCTATCTACTTACCTAGTACATTCATTAGAATGTCCATCAGCATTGATTCTTCCAATGTGTTGTATAAATTATGTAGATACACCTTGGTACCTACCTCACCCCTCTAGTCCCCACCTTAGCTTTCAGGGTCCTAGGAGCACATTTTGACAGGCGTATAAATTTAAGGCAGCTTACCTAAACTCTTGCATTACAGTTGTTCTTTTTTGAGCCTCAACCATCAATTGGCAACGCCCTGCAGCCAGCCTGTCACGTCACATGGGAGGAAACACCCGTCCCGCGTTTTATCTGCACAACCGTTTTAGCCAAACTAACCAATCCGCCTTATAACGTAAACTCCTAGTTTCATCAACCTTAAAAACAAAAAGAACGTCCGAGAAAAAAAATTAAAAAAATTAAGAATAATAACAATCCCGCAACAAGATCAGATCAGATCAGGTTAAGTCTAAACTCTAGAAGAGACCTTACCTACCGGGACCGGTCGTTCCCTACCGCCGGCGCCAGTTACCTTATAAAAAAGTTAAAGATGGGAAATATCTGTGGCAAGTCGGAAAGTGACAACTTCTCCCAGCCAGGCCGCGTCCTCGGTTCCGCCCCGCCTCAGCCGGAGCGCTCCTCGGTCCCGGCTTCGGTCAGCGGTCCGCCCCGGACCTTGGGCGGAAACTCTCAAAAGCCGGTGGACAACAGCAACGCGGAGGAGGCTCGGAGACGAGCTGCCGAAGCTGCCGAGGTAAGCACATCTTCCACCTCTGTTACCCTCCCCCCCCCCAAACAGACTCAAAAGTCGTATAACTAATATATTTTGAACTTGCATTTTACAGGCAAGGGCAAATGCTGCAGCCTCAAAATCTACGGGAAAGCTGGGCACACAGCTGGCTGCACAGAAGAAGCAGACGCGTAATGAGGTGCTCAAGGAAGTTAGCAATAATGAAGTAAGGCAGCGGGACGCTGATGAGGCAGCAAACGCAAGAATTCATAATTAGATTAGGTACATAAATACGGCGCTGGTGTATTGATTTATCCGTGTTAATATTGAAAAGATTATTTAGCAACACTTCATTCGATTTGACTGTGTACGTCTGCCCTATCCTTCAATCTGCCAAACGCCAAACAAAATCCTCTCGTAAACAAGTACAGTAGCGCTCCGAGTTCACGATAATATACCATAGGACACCCGATGTCACGCTTCTTCTAAGTAACAGTATACCTACCACCAATAGGAGCCCTGTTGTCCGCATCAGCGGCCGCAATGGTACCCTCCTTGAGCAAGCGAGTGAGCTCAGCCATGGCGTTAGCCACCATCAGCTCAGTATCGCCTTCCACCAGAATGTAAAGCTTGGGTTCACCGTCAGGTGGTACCTCCTGCCCAGGTCGATAGAACGTTCCCTTGTTGGTAATGGACGTTCCAGTGGCTTCAAGAATTTTGGCGACATTAGTTCTGTTAGTGACGGCCCAACGTGCTTTTTGTGGGAAGTCGTTAATTTCAAGAGTTGCATGGAATGCACCTGCATCTGGGCCTTTGTTGTCGATCGGTTGACCTGGTCTCAGCTGGCCTGTGCGGCCCAAACGAGCATTGATGGCGTTGATCGCAGAAGACACCTTATCCAAAGGATTGTTAGCGCTAGCAGGTGGCGCAGCATCTTCCCTTTTGTGAATAGTAAACTTTGGTTCGAGATCGATCTTGGGAGTAGCAGCGTCGCGGGAGATGATACCCGAGGCAGCTGTTTGAATAGCCGACAACGCCTTGTCGCCCTTCTTGTCCTCGCCCTTTTTCTCCTCCTTCTTTTCCTCTTCCTCGTCGCCTTCTGTCCGATGAGATTTTCGCTCTCTGAGTCGGGCTGCTTCTCTCTCCTGGTCAAGCCTCTCCAATCCTTTGCCGCCAAACCCAGATTGATCTTTGGCTTTGCCGGATTTCACCTTGTCCCTAAATGCTTTACGCATTTCATCCAGCTCCGCTGGGACTTCTTGTCCACTTTGCTCTAGGGCCTTTGCGATTCCCGGCGCGCAGTTCTCTTGCTCTCTCGTTATAAACGTGACTGCTGTTCCTTTGTTGCCAGCACGACCGGTACGGCCTGCACGGTGCACATAATCTTCGAGATGATTCGGGGCATCGTAATTGACGACCAGTTTGAGTTGCTTGACATCGAGACCACGGGCCGCCACAGACGTCGCGATCAGGACCGGGATAACTCCAGCTTTGAAATCTATGATGGTCGAGTCTCTGTCTATCTGGTCCTTTCCACCGTGAATTGACATGCAAGGATAGCCTTTGCGCAACAGTTCCTTTAGTAAATCATCTGCCTTCTCCTGGCGGTCTACAAATATTAGTGCTCGAGCATCCTCGTCTATGTCGTAAAGCTCGCCCAAAAGCTCGAGGAGGCGAACGAATTTAGTGTTTTCCTCCCGGATCTCGACAACTTGCGTGATTTCAGGGGCCACAACGCTCTTCCCTCCTACGGTAATCTCTACGGGATTATTCAACACTTTCTTAGCTAGCGCGTCCATGATACGAGGCATGGTGGCCGAGAAAAGGATTGTCTGGCGGTCGGGTCGCATATTCGCGAAGATCTTCATTACCTGAGGCTCGAAACCCATATCAAACATTCTGTCTGCCTCGTCGAGGACGACGTAAGTAACCCTCTTTAAGTTAGTTACGCGACCTTGGTTGGCTGCCAGCAGGTCAATCATACGACCTGGGGTACAAACCACAACTTCTGCGCCTCTCTTTAACTCCGCGATATGATCTTTGATGGGCGCGCCACCATATGCGCAGACTGCGCGAAGATTCATGGACTTAAGGAACGGTTTGCAGTCCCTGAAAATCTGAGTAGCTAGTTCACGAGTAGGAGTCATGATTAAACCGATAGGGCCCTCGTTCTCCTTGAGAGGCCGCTGATCCTTAATATGCCGGAACATAGGCAATAGGAAAGCGAGTGTTTTTCCCGAACCGGTCTTTGCCACACCGATAACGTCTCGACCAGACATGATCGTAGGAAATGCTTGCATTTGGATCGGCGTAGGCTTTTCATATCCTAAGCTGTCAATAATATCGAGCGTTTTCCGTGAAAGCGCACATTGAGACCATTTTTGAACAGGCTTTGGTACGTCCTTACCAGATACCTTGATACCATCTAGTTCAACGCGCAGGTCCGCTAACTCGACGTCTGTCATCTCTGCCAACTCAGATGGTTCGACCCAGAAATTCTTTCGGACAGGGTCCAGGTCAAGTTTGCTGTAGTCAACTGATGGGATGTCTTTCTTCTTGCGAGCTTTCGCCGCGATGGCCAAGAACGAATCAGGATCCACATTCTCATTTCGATAGTCATACCCATCGTCGCTAAAATACGCTTCTGGCTCTTGTAAATCTTTACCCTGGCCAAGGCTTGCTTTAGGACGTGAATTAGTAGTAGCAGGCTTTGTCTCGAGGCCGTTCATGAAAGCGTCTAGAGGATCAACATCATCCTCATCAACTTCCATAACATCATCCGGTTGGTTATTCTGGGCGATACCATTGGTTTCGGGGGCTACTGCTCCCTCTTGATCAACCTGCATTTCCGTTGTCTGCTGTGCGTTCTCTTGCGCGATACGCTCCTCCCGCCTCTCTTGAGCTGCTCGGGCTGCGGCGGCTTCTTCCTCTTCATCACCAGCGAAAGGATCAGCATCGTCGTCTTCCTCTTCGTCCTGATTCGCATAGGGTGTATCATCAACGTCACTGAGGGGTAAGGAGGGTAGCTTAGCAAGTTTTCTGTCTGACGTCTCTTCTTCATCCAGTATCAACTTTCGCTTCTGAGGAACTTTCTCAGTTTCCGCATTTTGTTTGTGGAAACCGAAACCACTCGTTTTTGCTCTGCTTTGCGGAAGAGCAGACGCTTGGGTAATACTGTCAGCAACTTGGCCAGAGAAATATCGGCGGGGGTACTCACCATTTGAGGCCTGTGCTCCCGCATTAAGGGTTATAGATGGCTGTTGGCCCGCAACGGCACCTAGCTTAGGCGTGATAGTTGAGTGCGCTTTAGGGGCAGATTTTTTGGCAATAGCTTTGGGATCAAATTTACCGGCGTATGGGGTGGTTGGTGAGGCAGCCTGCGTGTCGGCGGGTGATATTGGCGTCGGAGAAACTCCTATAGGTGTCGTGTTGGAGGGCGCAGTATTAGCCTTTTCGTCCATCTCTGCGAGAAGTTTCCGAGTTCCACCTGGGGTCGGCTCTTTTTGCTTCTCCTTCTCCTTCTCCTCCTGCTTTTTTTTCCATGCTGCCAACTTGGCGAGGCGTTCGGCCTTTTTGTCGGTGTCAGACTGGGCTGGAGCAGGCTTTGGCTTTGATTCCACCTGTGAACACGTATAAGTATCTGATTCATAGTAAAATACAATAAAATACAAGGGGCCTACGGAACGTACATCTGATGGCTTCGCTTTGTTGGTATCGTTTGGAGCCGCGCCGCGCTCGCGGCTATCACCTCGCCTACTGCGCGGATGAGAGTCAGCAGTACCTTCGCGTCGTCCTCTGCCTCGATCACGGGAGTCGTCTCGCCTGCTTCGGTGATCTCTATCACCATCACGGTCACGGCTTCTGCGCCGGCGAGGCTGATTGGAGCGATCTATTTCCCTATCTGCAAGGCGATCACGCGAGCGCCTGCGGTCTCTTGCACCTCGATAATAGTCGTCGTCATCTCGACGGTCTACGGAACGATCGCGGCGGCGGATGTCATGGTCTCTATCCCGGTCGCGGTCCCGGTCGCGATTACGACGCTGAGTCGAACAATTGTTAGTAAGGTACACATTGATAAATCTGGTAGGTCCGTAAGATCTTACATCGTGGGGGCTCCGAGAGCGACTCCAGCGTCTTGTATCGCGTCCGTAGTCTCGACGATCCCGATCCCGGTCTCGGTCCCGAAATCGGTCTCGATCCCTTCTATCGTCATCTCTGCGATGCCTTCTGGAGGATGGCTGGCTTCCTGCTGGAGTTGGTGAGCGTGAGTCTCTGAGCCGAGCCATGGTTTTTTTTATTAATAGTACGGCTCGATCGCACTACAATGGTGAGAGCTACCAGAGGACTCGAAGGAATGCTTCAGTTAGACGATCAGACTTAATAGAAAGATCACCTTGTTTATCGAAGTCCGAGTGTTTCCTGCACCTGAATTTTACCGGTAGATAAATTTTGGTCGTTTGGGGAGATTGTAGCACGGAGGCAATTGATAAACTGATAAATGAAGTGATTTTGACTTTGCTCAGTCAAGTTTAGATTTGATTTCCATTATTTTAGCTCGAAAGCCTGTTTCGGTTGTATTGATGTACTTTATGCTTATGTTATCAATAAAATAAAAATGGATGTGGCTGAATGAGGCTTCAAGCATGAATACATTGACGTATGTACCCTGCACGTGTCAGCTGTTCCTGTGGCTCAATATACCTATGCATGACGCCATCACGTTTCGCTATGTACATCATAAGGCTTCTTCGAAGTTCGGGCTCATCCTATGTAAGGGCACACACATTAAGGCACTACCTAACCTACAATTTTACCTAGGTGTGGGGTAGGTTGCAGGTGGGTCGGCTAGATAAGTCGATAGCAGATAAGTACTTCGTACATCGCACAAATTGGAAAGCTCAAAAGCTACTAAGGGCATAAAGGTAAAGGTCCCGTACCTGCTGCATAAATTTGTCTCATTTTAAACGCGCTTGTGGAATAAACATGGTTCCGAACTGCGACTGGAAGTCTCTATCTCAACACTGCCAGGTGCCCCTCTAGGCCCACCCGCAATTCTTGAACTTTTCTATTTCATCCAATCCCGCATTGAAAATTTTAACAACAAGTTGATTGCCCACCATGCTGTCGTCTGTTGGACGTGCCGCCATCAGGCGATTAGTCTCTACGTCTTCCATTGCCGCACCGCGCCGCATTGCGGTTTCATGGCCCATTTCCCATACCGTTAGATATGGTCGTGGTTTCGTGAAGGGTTTTGCAACTGCCGGACGACCAAAGGGTTCTACCACTTCTAAGGCCACCACCAAGACCTCCAAGGCCAAATCTACCAAGTCTACCAAGGGCACAACTAAAGCGAAGGCGAAGACGACCAAAGGAACCACCAGGAAGGCAACAGCTTCCAAGGCCAAATCCACCAAGGCCAAGTCCAAGGCCAGTGCGAGCTCCAAGTCTAAATCTAAGCGTCCAAAGAGGAAGGCCGCGCCATTGACGCCAGAGAAGAAGAATGCGATTCAGAGAAAGGAGCTCAAGAAGACGGCACTATATGAGGAGCCGAAACCACTTCCTGATACCCCATGGACCGTCTACATATATGAGAACACCAAAGACAGGAGTGTCAGCCCGGATGGCCTTCGGGATCGGATGAAGAGCATAGCTGAGGCTTACAAGAATCTTCCAGCTTCGGAGCATGAGGTTAGTAAACTTACCATAATATCAATGATAAACTTAACCGAGGTTCTAACAATAATTAGCGTCTTAGCAACACCGTTCATCAGAACAAGGCCAAGAATGATGCTGCCTATATCGCTTGGGTAGAGAGCCTTACTCCTGAACAGACTGTTGCTGCCAATAAGGCTCGTCACCTCCTAAAGAGGAAATTCAATTACCCTGCCACACCCAACACCGTCAGAGTCATTCGCGATCCCCGTATACCCAAGAGACCCATCACTCCCTTCAGTCTCTTCACGAGGTCACGATGGGCTACCGGAGACTATGCCGGCCGCCCCTTCGCCGAGGCCGCCAGGGAAATCTCCAAGGAATGGCTCAAGCTGCCGGATGTAGAACGCCACGTAAGATTGCCCGCTTCATGCCTCTATTCTGATTATCATATAAACTAACTAGACTATAGGCTTATGACGACCTTGGCAAGGCAGCTAGACTCGAGTATGAGCAAAAGGTCGAGGCTGTTCTGCACCGCAAGCCTGGCCGCCGACGCGTCTCAGCTCAGCCACCTGCGCAGTAATCTGGGATACGTCTTGCACCTATCACTAATACATAAACCAGCTGGCTGTCAGTCTTAGAATTACTGATCCCTTCACAGTTATGTACCTTACCTAGGTAGCTAACGAGAAAAGATGATTGGGGGATTGGCCGACCCGTCCAATGACTCTCATTTTTTTTGGTTTGTGGTAACACAAAAGGGATTCGTCACATTCATTTCGGGACGATGCAGTGGCTTGACCGTAGCTACCTTTGGCACGGTTTGTACTTGTAGATAGTCCGATTCACTCGCAATATTCACGCGCGTTTCTTAATCATCGACCCGGCCAAGAGATCGTGGCCTAGTGACGGCAATAGTGGCAGAATTGTATCAGTATGAAGAGCTTCCAGTGCTATGAATAGTATTAGCAATTAATATCCTAATTCTTTACTAAAGATCCTATCCTCTGCGCCGAACAAAATGCCGTAAATGCTTGTAACCCCCGTTTGATTTTCCCAATGCATAGGTAGGTAGGTACCTACTATTATATGAGCTGTCCTTTAGGTATCAGCACTATTCTCTTGTTTGCATAACGACGACTGGGATACCCTCGCTATCAACCCATGAGCTACCCGTATACAGAACCCTCCGCTGGCTGGCTAGGTATAACAGCAAGTAGATATGTGCCGTTACTAAACCCCAGCAGTAGACGCGGAGACGCTGGAATTCTCTGTCCCTCCTACACCAGACGCCCCATCCCGCGACGCCCGTCCCGACGTAATTTGCCAGGTAGGCCCAGGCGTCGCGTTTGAGCTGGGGATCCCAGGCCGAGCAGTCTACGAGCCAATACCCGCGCTCGGAAGGCCGTAGGTCGCGTTTGCTCTCCTTGGGCTTATACCGCTTCGGGATGTCCAGGTCCCGTGCTAGGCTCTCGAGGCCTGGCGTGATGAACGTCTGCGGATCGACTTGCGTCATCGAAGCGGGAGGGTCCGGCGCGCGGAGTTCTAAGCTCTCGTATGCGTACCCGTGGTCTTTCAGGAAGGCGACGGTCAGGAACGACTTTTGCCCGGAAGACGCGGGGGCTCTCGGGCCGAAGTCGCTGGCGGCTCTTAAGAGGGCTCGGGGGTCTTTGTTGTTGTTATTGTTGTCTAGAGGGTCTGGCTGGTGCCGCTTGGCGGGTGGAGGCTCGGAATCGGCTCGGGTTGTGGATGAGAAGTCTGAGGATCGGATCAGGATGGTCTCCTCCACAATGTTGTCACTAGAAACATCGTCATGGGCATATGCCGTGTTGTACGCCTCTGCAGGCTTCGCCTTAACTAATTCTCGTGGGCCGGAATGAGGATCGCACGGGGGCGTGCAGGGTATTACTGATGGCGTATATGAAGTTGAAAGGGGTATTGGATTATCCCCAGAACGAGGAGGAATTGGGGTTTGAGAGCTACTACGAGGGATGTCCAAGCCAACACTCCGCTGAGACGCACTTTTGGCAGATGGTGAAGGCGAATCAAACCGTTGAAGATAATGCTCTAGGATTCTTGTAGGCGACGTGAAGGTAGAAATGTGAATAGGATTCCCTACAAACGAATCTCGCACTTCGCTGGACGGTGTTTGCCATGGCGACGATGCCATCGGCATAGTGGTTTCACCATTGATACTCGGAGGCTCATTTTCAAGCACGCGTCTCGCAGGAACGCGCGGTGAGGCAGCATTGTCAAAGACGCTATTGAAGGAAGCTTGGTGTGACTTAAACGAACCAAATGGCTCAGTCGATTGTGTCCCCGTGATGAAATCTGGTATAGGGGCTGCCGGTTGGGGCCCCTGCTCGTCGTTCACATCCACAGTTGAGCATGTTCGGTCAACGAAATTGGTCCTGGAGGCCGGGTGAAAATTCAGATATGAAGAGGCAAGTGACCGATACCAAGCATCGTCAGCTGCTCTGCTCGGAGCGCCGATATGGATTAGGATTTCCACGTCCGCCTGTTTTTCCATTTATGTTATCCTGCCGGGACCATATTTTATTTCTTGGGTGCTCAAGTGGCATTCCAACAGATACGTGAAGTGAAGTAAGTGACTTAGCGACTTAACCAGAAATGTTAAAGCGGTGAAAGTGTATAAGTGTTGAACCAATGATTTTGACCCTTTTTTTCATGCAATGTTGGCTGGATGAGAACGGTATTTTCGTTTATTAAGCTAGCTGGGAAGATGTTTACTTTGTAGGTGAGCAATGAGCATATCTCAATTGAAATACAGTAGCTAAAAATAAATGAAATTGAGAATGAGAATGAGAAATGAGAATGAGAATTACCTAGGGTTAGTGTAGTTTATTGAATGAATCATAAGCCTTGGATATTTATAGCTCCAGTTAGTTGCGTCAATTGGCCCAATCCAAAGCAGCAAACTTGGAATCAGCAAACAATTGAGATTTTTATGCACTGAGTTGACTGACTACCTAAGGTAGGGTACCTGACGTAGACGTACATACTTAAATCGAAAAAGAATATAACAATATGAGTCACGTGATAAAACCACACTATGAATTCTATCTGGCAGTCTGGCTGGTATAATTTGAAGTTATAGATGAGGGTACTTTTATTAGACTTATTATTGTAAATATTGGTGGGCTGTGGGGTATTATGAAGCGCTGGTTGAATGGATGAGAACTAATAAGACAGGCGCTAAAACGCTATCAATTAGATTACAGGTGATCCATTCAGGCCCATTATCCTGCACCTCCTAACCAACTTAGCAGCTTTAGGTACCAGCCAGCTACCTACCTAAGGTAACTCTCCAACTTTCTTTACAATCTTTTTAGGTACCTACTAACCTGGAGTCAATGTTCAAGTCTCTTAGACCCCGTGGACTTTATTGTGACTTTAGGTACCTAAAGTTATGAGGAATAATATTGGAGACGAGCGATAATACTTAGTACCTAGGTACACTACCAAGTTTATTCAGCTTTCTTTTCAAATCTCGAAGCTATCGCAGGTCGTACCCATAATTCGTTTTGTTATTGTTGTCGCACCTCGAACCTCGAACGAGACGAGTTATCAATTGTTATTATTTATTTTCTTTCTCTCTCTCTTTTTTATCTTTTAGTTGTTATTATTTTACCTTTCATTTTAGCACATCCACATACTAAGCTTCTGTCTTTTACCTTCAGACATCCTCGGACTCGCAATTTAGCCCCTCGATCATCCTGACAACAGGAAAGGCTAAAACAGTAGAAAGAACGACTTTTTCTCTATTGAATTACGGTACCTTATCTAGGATCGTAGATCCTACCTACCTAGGTACCCTTAAACACTAATCTTATCTACTTTGCCCTATTTTCTCCCCCTAAAACTCTCTCTCACCTACGTATTACGTTGTCAGTTTGTCACGCTACCTTTTAGAGGTATGCGTTGAAAAGGAAAAGAAAAGAAGGAAGAAAAAAAAAAATACATTATCCCTTTGTCTTGCATTTCGATTCCCACTAACCCCCGGTCTTGTTCCCCCCCCTTCTGCTGCAGCTCCCGCTGCTAGCTCCGCTTCGAAGGTTGCATCTCGCCGGCAACGAACGAGTACCTTCACCTCCTTACCCTTCTGCTGAAAAAGCTGATTACGGCGTTACATACTTCATGCCGTACTATCGTCTTCTCCACGATCGTTTTCTCTATCGACGTTCTCGATACCCTCGAAAAGTAAACGCCTAGCAAAAAGCCCTCGTACAACCCCCAGGCTTCCTTTTCAAACACGTCCAAAAAAATAAAATAATCGTCACCCAATCCAACTTGTCCTACCCGACCAACCAAACTGTCCGCCTCTTCTTTTTCCCTTCCTCTTTTTCAACGCAAGCCCCAATTCTGTTCTGACTCTTGTCGCATCGTCGAAAGAAGAGGAAGAAAAAACAAGTACCCGCTACTTGCCTTAGCCAACCGTTGGCTGTAGTATCTTCACTGCCACACTCGTTTAGTTCACTAACTAGATATTGGCTGGATACCGATATTTTCCTTCGTCGCCAAATCTATATCTCGTCCGTGCCACGTGAAGTAATTATTATTATTATTATTATTATTATTATTCGGTTCCTGCATCCGCACCCAGTCGCACGTCAAGTTGGAAGGCGATAAACTTCTCCGTCTGATGCCGATGTCTGACATTGGACAACGCTACCGCAATCGTATAATCCTCGCCTCGTCGTGTCCTTAATTCAGTTCAACGCCGAATTCTATTCCGACTGCCTTTCATTTCGAAAAACAGCTAGGCTGAGGTAGAACCTCATTTTGGTCGCCATGATGGGCCCCGAGTACGAAGGCGGTCTGCCTGGCGACCGCGTTCAAAGGCAACCTTCGCCGCTGCCCAACGAGAATAGCTATCAGCTTGACCGCGAACGGCCAGATATGACGCCGAGCCCATCCTTTTCAAATGGAGCCTTCCCTCCACCTAGCCTACCGACTGGTTCGCCGTCTCTTGGTCCTCAAGGCGACCCGAGACAGAGCGGTGAGCGCGACCGATCCCGAGGACGCGGCGGAAGAACAGCAAGTGGGCAGCTTCGCATTTGTGCTAAGTGCGGTGAATCTTTAACCGGTCAATTTGTGCGGGCCTTGGAAGGCACATACCATCTAGACTGTTTTAGATGTCGTGTAAGAGTCCCAAATACCCCTACGTGATTTATTCCGTATCTAACAAATTGCAGGACTGCGGTCAGATTGTTGCCTCCAAGTTTTTCCCTGCGGACGACGAAGAGACTGGCGGCCAATATCCTCTTTGTGAAACAGATTACTTTCGACGACTTCATCTTCTATGTTACCAATGTGGCGGCGCTTTGCGTGGCTCTTACATTACCGCCCTCGACCGCAAATACCACGTCGACCACTTCACCTGTTCCCTCTGCTCGACGGTCTTTGGGGCCCAGGACAGCTATTACGAACACAATGGGGATGTGTATTGCCATTACCATTACTCGACGCAATTCGCTCAGCGATGCAACGGCTGCCAAACTGCTATTCTCAAGCAGTTCGTGGAGATATTCCGTAACGGGCAAAACCAGCACTGGCATCCGGAGTGCTACATGATTCATAAGTTTTGGAACGTCCGTCTGACACCCCCTCAAGAACGTACCGAGCCCAGTCCCGAACCCGTTGGCCCCGAAGGCCGCGAGCTTGTACGGCAGGAAGAAGAGGAAATGGAGAACAAAGTGTTTCGAATTTGGAGCGTTTTGTCGGCATTCGAAGAATCTTCAGCCGCATGCATTTCAGACATGCTTCTTCATGTCAGCAACGGTGCATACATGGACGGGGTTTTTGTCGCCAAAAAGTTCATTGTTCACGTGGATATTCTGTTTCGGTCCGCGGATAGACTTGATCAAACAATCAAGCAATTAGAGATGACTGGTATGAATGAAACACTGCACTTATATAACTTAACGGAAGATACTAAAAGAAAAATCTAGACTTGTCCTACGCGAGAGAATCAAAACTTCTCTGTAAGAAGATTGTGGCCTTCTTCTCATTGCTATCCAAAATGCAAGAAACTACGGGACGAAAATTAGGCGTCACCCAGGAGCTATTATCTCTCGTAACAGGTTTGGCCCATTACCTGAAGCTCTTAATCAGGATTTGCCTCCAAGGAGCGCTTAGGGTCGAAAAGGAACACCGCTCTCCAGAAGCACTATTCCAGTTCCTCGATGATCTCAGTATGCTCGAATCGATCAAATCCGATGACGAGTCCTTGCAGATTACTTTAGGCATGTCGAGACTCTCTGCTAATGACTCAGACCACTGCACCTTGTGCCGCAAGCCCATCGAGGATGAATGCGCTCTGAGTGGTGATAAGAGATGGCATCTGTTCTGCGTAACATGTGTGCAATGCGGTAAAATATTGGGCAAGAACTTGAACCAAGCTCTTCTACATCGAGACCTAAAAATTTATTGTTCAAATTGCGAAAGTCAAGCCGAAGGTCAGGGTTATCCTTTGGAACGAATAACGAAACTCCAGCAGTACATCTTCCTCTTGAAGGTGGCTTTAGCCAGGCTGCTAGAGATACTTCGATCCAACGGCGCTCTTTCTCGGCCTTCTGAAGACCCCGGCCTTAATGGTCAAGATCCCTCAGATGGACGTGGGCCTACGGACGGTAATCCTACGATGCTTAGATCGAATTCTCAGTCTCAATCTTTTGGTGGCGACCGAGAGCGGCACCAAAGGGAGTCATCTTATGAGAATACCCTTAACGATGTGCGCAGACTTAGGAGTACGCGTCTCGATAAGCATCTGTCATCGAGCCTTAGGAAGGCCCGAACGTCGAGGATCATGGATGGACCTGAAGGGCGTAGTGTTCGCCCTGGATCTGCCGGCGCGGAGATGGGCTCGCAAAATAAGGTGATGCAAATCGAGGAAGATGGAGAGCAGGGCGAAGATGACACAACAAAGCAGTATTTTGGACACCAAGATGCGCTTACCCTAGATGACATTCCCCGGATTGTCGCAGCCGAACAGGCTCGGGAGCAGCAGCCTAACGCGTATAGGGCGTCGCGTCAAGAACTCTTCCGATCTGCCACAACGGAGGCTTCCTATGGAACTAGCAACGAGAGAAGCCTTTCTCCAGGACGAGACGCCGACCAGGGATTACCAATGGACCGGTTGCCTCAACGAGATGGGAGGAAGTTCTTCTCTGAACTGTCAGGCCTTGAGTATTTTATCGTTCGACATGTGGCAGTCCTTACGATGCAACCCATGCTTGGGCCGGACTTTACACTTGAGGAATTGCTCAGCCTCATTGAGGCAAGAAAGGCACCGACGTTCTGGAATAAATTCGGCAAGGCTTTCGGCAAAAACGATACCCGCAAGGCAGTGAAGAAGAAGGGTGTCTTCGGAGTTCCACTAGAATTGATCGTCGAGCGCGATGGCGCCGACTCTACAGATGGAGTGGGTCCGGGTGCTCTACGTATTCCAGCTATTATCGAAGACACAATTACCGCTCTGAAGAATAAGGATCTTTCAGTCGAAGGTGTCTTCCGTAAAAATGGAAACATTAAGAAGCTCACCGAACAGGTGGCTGCTGTTGATAGGGATGGGTGCGATGCTATTCGATGGAACGATGAGACCCCCCATCAACTTGCGGCACTTCTTAAACGGTATCTACGTGAACTACCAGAGCCACTGATGACACAGAAGCTTTATAAAGTTTGGATAGCGGCAACAAAGCTCAAAGATCCTGACAAAAGGCGACATTGTCTGCACCTGACATGCTGCTTGCTCCCGCAGATTCACCGAGACACATTGGAAGTCCTGTTCAACTTCTTGAAATGGGTGGCTACTTTCCACCAAGTCGATGAAGATACTGGATCAAGGATGGACGTACACAATCTTGCTCGTGTGATTGCGCCGAACGTACTCTACACAAACGAAAAGAGCCCGAGTTTTTCGGACGAGCCTATGACAGCAGTGGCGTGTGTCGAAGAGTTGATACAATTCAATGAAGAGATGTGCATGGTATGTAGTAACTTTGATTTCTTTTTTTTTTTCCTCTTGGTCCCGCTAACGTCTGGTTCCAGGTTCCGGTTGAAATTATGGACATACTGGGTGATTCAACTTTGTTCATGAACAATGGCGATATCACAACTAAGGAGATCCTCAAGCGAATTGAATCTAGGTCTGCAAATGGACTACCCAGACAATATGACAGCACCGAATTTGTGAGGCAGCAAGAGACAGGCAAGAAACCCATGGCTACTAGGGTTGCTACAGACCCTGCCGCGTGGCAGCAGGAGAGTAGTGTACGTCCTATCCAGGAGCCACCAATTCCTTTCCCCGCAGCCCCGGGAGCTCCGCCTCAAAACTGGCGTCAGCCTGAGAATGGACAACCACCGCATCCAAGCCAGTACGAGCGAACTGATAATCAACCTAAAAACCCCGAGAACGGCCAGCGCCGAGAGTGGCGCAACTCAGGCTGGGGTAGACCGAATAATTCTGTCACAACTGGTACAGGGTAATAGTAAAGTTCCAGATTCCTGGGTATATACATATTTCTCCATATTGGGGTTTGTTCAACTTGTACGGAACTCCTCGGAGTGAGCATATTTTATATCTCATCCATGTTCGCCAGCCTTGATTTTCTTGAGGGCATAGCATGAATCGGGTGTAGAGAGATTAAACAGCATTTTCGACCGGCGTTGCGCATTTCTTTCCTTTCGCCAAAACGGACTTTGCGACCTTTTTTGTTTGATTCGCTTTTTCAACATTTGCGGGGGTTTTTTGTCTGGACGAAGCGGTCGTCTAGTGAGCCTTATATTCTGTTCTAGAAGCATATTTGCTTTGGGAAGTGGTTTGCCATGTCCGAGCCGGTCTGGCAGCAACAGCTTGGAGTAGAGGGGGATATGTCTTTGCCTTTCCTTTTTCTTGGCTTGCTTCTCCCCGAACGGGTCGAATTTATTCAACGAACTCCTTTTTTCATTAAGAGAACCAATTCGGATTAGTAGATTATTCGTGGAGCTGAGAAGATGTACGCTTCAAAAGAATAGGGGGGTGAGGGGGGCGAAAGGGAGGGAGTAGGGTAGATGGCAGAAGCAGTCGCAGTCGCAGTCGCAGTCGCAGTCATAGTTGTTGTAGTTGTAGTCGCAGGTGCCCGTCCCCCAGATATCCATCCGATTAGATCGGCTAATACGCCTCGGGCGTTTTTCTTTTGTTCGGGAGCGTCCACCAGGTTAAGTCGCCGGGGGTGGTTGATTGATCGGACTGCACAATGGTACCATAGGTAGTTAAAGCCGTGTTAAGGCGAGTCATACTCCATTGAATCGCGAGAATGGCGAAAAAGACAGAGAAGCATTCCAGGCCTAGCCTTTCAATTGATAATTCTGAAGCAGTTGTTTGTTTGTATATATTGTGTAGCCCCCCCGCTTTGAAATGCAAATGTAGTCGGAAATCTCTTGCGGGCAAAACTGTCTATCGGTGTATTATTCGTAATGTAAAAAGCTGTTACCCAGTATGGCTGTTCAGGTTGATTTGAGCCTCGCGTAGCATATCTTCGTACGAATTAATATAATATTAGGTTCTCTAGCTTCTATCTAGGTAGGTATTGTATATATAAAGCTAATGCAAATACAAATGCGATGAGATGATAATAAGGACCACAAGTCCGTCTTATTTTACGATTTCGCCGGCGGGTTCTTCTTCTCTTGTTCCAGATACCACTTCACCGTTTTAGCCACGCCGTCGCTCAGGCTTACCAGGGGTCGGTACCCGAGCCTGCGCTTCGCCTTCGAGATGTCGTAGTACCTCGTCATGGTGCTGAAGATGATGCGCTGGCGGGTGAAGACGGGCGGCTTCCGTATGAGCGCGAAGAAGAGCTCGCTCAGGTAACCGAGCAGGATGCCCACGTCCCGGCTCATGACCCACACGTGCTCGGTGCCTTTCTGCGACCCGGCCGCCCGCCATATCGCCCGCATCAGGTCCCAGAAGTACACGGGGCTGTCGTTGGTGATTATGAAGGCCTCGCCGTCGACCTTCTCGTAGTTGAGGGGCGAGGTGGAGGCGGCGTGCGTGAGGAGCAGGGCGTGGGCGGCGAGCAGGTGCGCGTGGGCTACGTTCTCGACGTACGTGAAGTCGAACAGATTTTCGTTGGCGCCGACTTGTACCTTGTCCTTGCCCTCCCGGAAGATCTTAACCGTGTGGAAGACTAGCTGGACATCACCCTCGCCAAAGATGCCCGATGGTCGGATAGCTGCGGTCAGGAGGTCGGACCCTGGGGTTCCGTTTGCTTTTAGGACGAGTTCTTCGGCTTCGGCCTAGCCGTTCTTGTTAGTAGGGATACTGTTATGCATGATATATCAGGAGCTCGGTAAATACAAACACACACCTTTGTCTCGGAATAGTATTCTGTCTGTTGTTTGCCCCGAATGACGGGATAGAATTCGTTCGCGTTTATGAGATCATCCTTATTGTTGCTCATAACGCTAGCGGAGCTTGTATATACCAACGCCTTGACGCCGTTCTGCTGGCAGGCGGCAATCACAGCGCGGGTGCCATCCACATTGACCTTCTTAAATACGTCATTCGCAACGGCACCGAGCCCTTGGGCGGGCGGCGAGGCCGTGTGTATAACAACGTTGGGCTTTAGCTTCCCGACCACCTTGACCAAACCATCGGCATCCGTGATATCGGCCTCGACGTACTGGACCCCGTCGGACTCGGGTCTTCGGTTGCGCTGGCACCTGAGATCGACGACGGAAACGGTGCAGGACCAGTCGCGTAGGAGGAGGTTTACGACGTGGTGGCCGAGAAAGCCACAGCCGCCGATAACGAGGACATGGCCTAAAAGAGGCTTCGTGGTAGGTTCGGACATGGTCAAGTAAAATGAAAGTTAGTTTTAATCTTGTATAACTAATACAAAATAGCAATTAGTGTTATTAGTTAGTATAACCCGTAAGCTGTGGCCTGTTGTATACGGGTTGACCACACCCCAGAGTTGAACAAGTTGACCAGTTGACCACCTAATCTTGGGTTAATTTACCTCCTTTCACCGCCTGGCATTATTGGAGCTCAAGTTACCCTAACCAAGCCAACGGCCGCGCTAAGACGACAAAGAATTATTGAAGATCCATGAGAAAAAAATTAGGAGTGGGGCGTTCCTGAGTTCTCCCCACGATGAGAACCAGGGGTTAAACAACCGGGTATCGTACATACTAGGTACCTCATACCTAGTATGATAGTATGTACCTAACCTAATAGTTAGTACCTCACTCATTACCTAGGTATGTACGGGCTTAGGTTCCTAAGATTGAAACTGTAAATCGGCCATCTGCTTTCTAGTTAGAGTTACCTATTAATGCGATCAACACATACGTAGTAAGTGGACTTACCTATCACAATACTGTTTTATATAAGAGCAAAACAAGCTACACTGTTCTGAAAACAATGAGCTGAAAGACACGTAAATGTATCACATTAGTTACCTGTTTTATAAAGCTGACAGTTGTTCTTCAGTACCAAACATGAACACAAGAACTTAATATCCGCAAAGTCTATAAAAGTCTAGATGATGCCGACAGGAACGCAAATTGATGTTAAGTGAAAGTAAGCATACCTACAACTACAGCTGCAAAAGAAGAAGAAGAAGAAGAAGAAGAAGAAGAAAAGTATAGAATTCTGCATGTGCTTCTCATTGTACGTCTTATCTAATCTGCACAATAGGTAGTACAGAAAGCAGTACGATTCGTTCTAATACCAACACGCAATTGACTAACATAGTGCAAAAACCAGGCAGCCAACCCCCGCTACCAGTGACACACTAGACCCTCTTAGTGGGCCCGGCCCTTTCTGCCTGGGGGGGTAAGCTAGGACATTCCCCACCTGCCCGCATTGCACCTCAAGAGCAAGCTGCAAGTGCTACCTATTTCGTTGCTTTGCTTCGATAAACCAACTGATTAAACGATAAAACCGTACTTTCAAACCCAAACCCAAAACCCGTAAACCCATAACACGCGTTGAACAACTTCCTGCGTTCAACTTTGTCCAACCACATTTTTGAAAATCTCCCACTTCCGTTAACCCGCTGTCCCCATTCTAACCAACTCAAGCATTCACCTTTCCAGCTTATGAATTAGCTATTAGAACCTACAAGTTATGGCGGACCAGTCCATCATCCGCATCACCAAGGTATGTGCGCTGCGGCGTCTCACATCTTGGAGGGGCAGTGAGGCTGACGAGACTTCGGTTCAACACAGGAAATCGGCGAGCTTCAGAAGAGTTCAGACCTTTGTAAGAGAGAAATATCTTCTCAATACCTACCTACCTAAATATATAATATTTTCATCTTACCTCCAGACTAATATTATTATTCTTTTTTCTTAATCTCTAGCCCTCGCCGTGGCCTTTCGCGACCGCGATGTCCGAAGCGTCAAAGCCCTCATCATCGGCCCTCACGAGACCCCCTACGAGTTCGGATTCTTCGAGGTTGGTTCCACCCTAACGAAGACATACCATAAATTGCTACGGATACTAATGTTACCAAGTTTTCCGTCAAGTTCAACAGAGGTAGATTTCCAAAACGCCCATTCCCTCCTAGAATCGTTCATTAGCTAATTCGTTGACGTTGGCAAGACTACCCGCGAAAATCACCTTCCGTCACTGGAACAACTACCAACGGTGGACGATGCCGATTCAACCCGAATATATACGCTTCGGGGAAAGTGTGCCTGTAAGCAGCCCTTGATGCAATCAAGTACCTGTCAGATCCCGTGCTCTGCTAACTGAGGCAATTAGGTCAATTCTTGGGTATATGAGCTTCCCTTATATCTATCCTTGATCCACGAGCCTAACTCAATCTTAGCACATGGCGAGGAGAGCGAGGTGAGGAGTGGTCTGCTGCTCAAGGCCTAGAATCTATCCTACTCTCAATACAGAGTCTCATGTCATCGAATCCTTACGAGAACGAACCGGGCTTTGAGGACGCGAACGAGATCCACGACAAGAAGAACCAGAAGGAGTATATCGCGAAGGTGATTTGCGCTAAGAACTGCATAGCTAGGCGACGTGCTAATAGTATATATCATAGATTCGCCATGAAACGCTGCGCATCTCAGTGATTCAAAGACTGGAAGAATATTTGGGGCTCAGCGGAGGTTGTCTCCCAACAGCATCTTCGGCCGAACAAGAAGAGTACGGTATGGAAGCGGATGATGATATCGACATTGACGATGCAAGCGTTCCTTGGGAGCCGTTCAAGGACCTTTGCAAGCGTCGTTTCCTCTGGTATTATGACTCATATCTAGAAAGCATTGCCAAGGCGAAAGAAGAGGTTAAGGACGGTCAGCCGTTTGCACGCATGCCTTTCGAAGGAGCATCTAACTCCATGGACGGAAAGTTCAACTACACCGAACTTGAAAAAAGAATAAAACGAATCAAGGCCGCTTTAGATGCAGAGGCAGAAAAATGGGCGTCAGACTGGGCATCGCCTAAAATGAAAGATGCCACCGTTGCCGTCAACCTTACCCGACAGTTCGAACAGATCAAGGAATCCTTTAAGCGCAGCGATGTCCCCCACAGCGTCGAATTAGTGAATGGAAACCCCTTCGTATGGAACCTTACCTACTTCGGACGACCTATGACGAACTTAGATGGAGGTATGTTCCGAATCAAGTTCAACTTCAGTCCCCGTTTCCCTGAAGAACAACCGAGGATCAAATTCCTGACCCCCGTATTCCACCACCGGATTGCAGCAGATGGCACTCCGTGCTACTTCCCGAATTCGAGCCGCCGCGAAGATATCAAGCAGCACATAGAAGCAATCATCGAGGCTTTGGAAGAGGAGCAGCCCCCTTACGACCCGAGAACATTAGTTCACCCCGAGGCCCATAAACTATACTGGGGCACCCCCGAGCAGAGAAAGCTATACAACAGACAGTTGCGCAGATCAGTCCAAAGAAGCATGGAAGATTTCTTGTAGAGTTTCTACGACTAACAACTACGGATGACTGTCCCGGGAACCATATAAATGGCTTCTCCGGTTGTATCAGAAGACTGCCTGGTACTGGAAGCTATCAGCTCCCAGCAGGTATGGCGAGTGCGTTTCGGGGAGTTCTTAATAGCGCGTTTATTCCTTGACGTTCCGGATAGGAACATGAATGTACTCCCAAGGGTTGCCGGTCTCAGGGCTTACGGTTAGGTACGCCGCCGCCGAGATAGACGGCTTCTAGACTAGGATTGATACCTCTTGCTTTCGCAGGTCATCACTTGATAATACGATGAATTCAGTACAAATAGCCGTAGATAATTCTTCATAAAGTCTATTTAAATGTGCCCGGATTAGTGGGCAATCGATTGAGCAGTCACAATTTGCAGGGTTACATTAATTAAATACCCGTTATACGTTTTTTTTTTTTTTTTAAAAAAAAAAGATTGCCCTAAAAAACATTTTTTTTGCTATGACTCCTACCTGTTAATGATATTTACCATATCTATGGTCAAAGATACCTAAAGTAACGCCCATCAATGACACCAAACCTCCCAAAGTAATATGTACCGTTAATATGATGCTGCTGCTACTCTTTGCAATATGCACGTCTTTGTGCGCCGTAAACCGTGACGTGAAGGCCAGTCAGTCGATTATGTATTACCCCTGTCTTTCTCTCTCTCTCTCCATCCATCCATCCTTCTCTTTCGAACCCTCGAGGGGTAAACTAAAGCGCCTATATCTTTATCTAATTAAATCCTCCTCCGGCGTGCTCGAGGAAGTGGATAAGATAATAAACCCCGATTCTGCGACGGCTCAGACCTCACATCCCATCACCTGAACTCACGTCTCACCGCTTCGGTCCCTTCTTAGGCTTCCTGTCGACGCGGTCCTTGCCGGGGGCGTACGGAGCCGCAACGACGCCGCCGGGCAGCTTCTCCTGGCGCCCGGGCTGGTCGGCCCTGAAGTCGTAGCGGCCGTCGGGGCCCAGGGTGGCGGGGACGCCCTGGGAGGGCCGCGCGAGCTGCTCCGCGTGCAGCTTGTCGAGGGACTCGCCGACGACGGCGTACTGCGCCCAGTTGATGGGCGGGCAGCGGACTATGTTTTGGGGCTTGGGGAGCGTGGTCCAGGGGCGGCGTGGGGGTTGTGGGCGCGGTTGCGGGGGAGGGGGGGAGGAAAAGGAGGAGGATTCTGTGGCGAGGGGGTTGGGGTTGGGGTTGAGGGAGGGTGTGATTCCGGGATGGGGTGAGGCCCCTGGGGTGTTATGATTATGATTATGATTATTGGTTGTTGTGGTACCGTTACTCGTGCCTGGATGCGTGTCCGTAGTGGTGGTACTAGATGATGCGGGCTGTCCGGCAGCTGCAGCATTACCCTCCGTAGTATCTTCCATCTCCTCATCTTCCTCCTCCTCCTCATCATCACTATCATCATCCTCATCATCCACAGCGCTACTGCTCCCGGCAAACAGCGCGTCGCCCTCGACGCCCACGCGCCCCGCCGCCAGGTCCCGCACGAAGGCCTCGGGGTCGGCGAGCGCGGCGGCCTTGACGCGGCCCAGCAGCGCCATGTCGGCGGCCGCCTTCCGGCGCTGCAGCTGCAGGATCGAGATCGCCGACTTGAGCGCCAGCGCGTCCGGGTTGCTGTCGAAGTCGATGGGCTCCGGCGCCGGCGGCGCCACCCCGACCTGCTCCCGCTGCGAGCTGTGCGTGTATGTCGGCCGCGACAGCGGCGGCGGCAGCGCGACCGGGTTGAGAGGCGGCGTGATGGGGCTGTAGGTCGGTCGGGGCGGGGAGGAAGGGGGGCGCGCCGGGTCTTGCGAGTTCGCGGCGGAGGCCTGGTTAGAGTTGTTTGCGGATGGGCTGCTGCCGCCGGCGACGGCGGTGTTGGTGTTGAGTGTGAGGCCCGGCATCGCGGCTCGGGATCGTGGGTTTTGTGCGTCCAGGACGGGTGGGATTGCGGTGCGCCGCTTCGCTTTCTTTTTTGGGGGGTGGGGGTACGGAATGCCTTTTTACCTCGTGGGTACCTCGTACGACGAACGAGACGAGATGATGTCGATAGTACGTGCTTGCGCCAAAGGTAAGTGGTGGTTGTCTTAGAATGGTTCGATATTCTATAGGGAACGAGATAGATGGGTAGACTGTTATAGCGTATGAGTGAAGTTGAAGGCGCATAAGCTTGGAGGTCGGTGTTGCGGCGTTAGATAGAGCGGTCCAGGCAAAAGCAGGCAAGTGGGGCGGTGCTTGTCAATGTACGGGAGTGGAGATACGCTGTAGGGTACGAGCCAATAGGAGGTGCAAAAAGCGCAAGGAAGTGAAGCGGCGGGACCCAGTGGAACAAGGGCCTCGGTCCATTGTCCGTGCGCAACGGCAAGAGGTCTGGGATTCCCCGGTCACGCGGTTTACCTTACTCTGCAGATCTTAGTTTCACATAGGTACCTACTCGAATTTCTGCAAATGACGTCTCATTTGTTTTTTTTGAGGCAAAACATCATATTATTTTCGAAGCTGAATATGATAGGTAGCATTACCGTAATCTAGATCTACGTTAGCCTGCCATGTGCAAACAGGGTTTTTATAAGAATAGTAACTTCAATTTTTCTTTTTCTTCTGACCTGTACCCAATTATCTCACATATCCTCTCCATAGACTACCTAGATTGTCTCTACTGTTTGAATTTTTACATAGGAGACTTTGCTTGGATCGACATGGTTTCAAGACTCATATTTTAATAATTCGCCACACGGCAAGTACATAAAACAAACGCCCAACCCTGAATTTCTCTCTATCTTAGGTAACTTCAAGTCAGGTGCTTGCTTCAAGCATACGGCAAGCTCGACAGGTACTTAAAAAGACTCGGGACTGAGGTTAAGGCTACCTGTATACTGGTAGTTTAGTGGCGCGCTTGCCGTTAGTCTCGTACATGCTCCAGTAGTATCTTTAGGAAGGTACCTTAGGTAAGTAGGAAGTAGGTAATAAGGCAACTTCGAGTCAATATAACTAACCCGTTAATAGATATTAATACCAAATAACTTGATTTGACTTTTTCCTTCTTTTCGTCTATTACTTGATAATTTCCTCTGCGGGCTTGCCAACAAGTCATACACGAACGGAACAAGTACTCCTTTGTAGACAGGTTAAGTAGCATCCTGTCCATTCTTCGTCAGATCCTCAATCGATGGTTTAAGACTCTCTCTCTCGACAATATTGTGTAATGTATAACCGAGTCTTCCGGAACCAAGGTTAGTGTTTTTAAGATTCACTCCCTGAAGTATTATCCATCTAAAAGTTTAATTCCTTACTTGGGTCAGTAGAATAGCTTCACGAGCTGTTATACTTACTCCCAATCTACAAGGCTAATAAACCGTCTTTTCGTCTATTATATTACCAACTCGCAATGGTAGGACCAGCTGGACGCCTCGGGAAGCCTAAGTTATCCACTGGTCTGGGGTTTTTCAATGGAGATGATACTACACCCACGGAGACACCCATATCATCTTATCGTTTCAACCCGCCTGTATTGCGTAATTTCTCCTACCCGCTGAACGTCGGAATCACATCGCAGCCCCTTTTGTTTCCGTCGCCGCCAGAGATCGAGCAAACAGCCTGGGATCAGCTGGGGGAACGTTACAATTTCTCCCCTGATAGTATTTTCAGGGCACGTGAAACTAAAACTCCTGTATTCAAAGATTCGTTTTCATTCAGGCCCGAGACGGAGTCTTACTCTCAGGTAGATGAGAAGGATGGCAATGAAGACGAAGAGCTCAGCGTTACTGCATCGTCAGAGCAACTTGACCAAGAATCCCTATCCCAGGAAGATACTATACCAAGAAAGAAGCAGCGCCGAAGCACTTTACTTAATTTCACTTCAACTCGGTCTCAGGACCCTTCGGTCCTCTATAAAAGTGCCGAGAAGGATGGGCTAAAGGACAGGACTTTAAAGTTGACTAAGGGGCAGTTATCGGGAGACCGTATATTTCCTCAAACAGCTACCATTACATCTCGAATCAAACGTAACTCATCAGGCCAACATAAGACGACTGCATCGCTGGATACATCCAGACTTATCACCCTATCTTCCAGTGATGTCGATCGACCAGCGTCAAGTTCAGGCGTATCACACATCGATGCTACAGCTAACTTTCCGAGCATAACCGTAAGATATGCCCCTTTACCGTTGATAATTTCTCAAGAGAGCAAATTGGTAAAGTTTGGGGAGAGGCCGTCAGTATCACAAATCACAGGAGCAATGCAGTCTCTTGGAATGGACCATACTTACCGCACAAATCCCCCGCATGAGAACAACGGGATGGATCGTAACATGATTGGGAATAGTGGGAACAATAAAGCTAGCCCTCCTCCGGCCGAACCGATGAAACATAAAAAGAAGGATGGCAAACGCCGTTGGATGTCCCAATTGAAGAATTGGGTTACTGCTTCAGAGCCATCGGCCCAGGCTTTGAAACAGTATAAAAAGGAAACCTACGACAAGGCTCATATCTCCCTTGATGATCCTCAAGCGAACGCTAAGCTTCATTTGCCGATTGCAGCCCTTCCGCAGAACGCAATTAAGCCAGCCGGCTCGGGGCCCGATCCTGAAGACATCTTCTCGAAGCGGACAGAACGGCGGAAAAGGCTAAGATATTCAGGCACTGGATCTTCCAAAACTCAGGGCTCGAAATCAAGCTCTAGTCGCTATTCAATTTCCAGTAGCAGAGCCTTTGGTACTGCGAGATAGGTTTCACGATCATAGACGAACGGAATTTGCACTAAAGAACCCACGCGATTTGGACGGCATGTTATATCTAATTGTTTAATTGTTGATGTTGGTACTTTGTGCTGTTTATCTCGCTGTTTTTATACTTGTACTTATAAGCCCCTTGGTATGGGGCCTTCTCGTCCGAAGTATAAGTTCGTTTTCTTACGTGGGAGTCATTTGGGATCTTGGTGGGCAAAGTGGATGTCAGACAGGTCAAATAGTTGATATACTAGACTTACTGAGTGTGTTTTTCTCCATGAATATGGAACTGGCCATATGTAAATGCTCAATCAGGCTACGGGTCCGTCTACAAGGTCAAAGGTTACTAGGGGCGAAGAATTTCAAGCATACTCATTCATACCTCATATTTCCAGTTGGATACGTACAGCTAGTGGCAGACTTGAGGACCATCACGTCCGACGAAACACGGGCCCCACCGTTCAGATTTCCAAAGAGTACGTATACCAGCGTCCTCCATGTGGTACCTACCTAGGTACACGTTGTAGACCGACATGACGTGGATGAGATAAGTGAAATACGAAGGAAGAAGGGCAAGATATATACACGCAGCAGTTTTAAAATCAACTGCCATGAAATTAGCACCTATGTTCTCAAAGGGAGGATCAAATAAGGTCCAGGTAGATTGTGTAACTATTGGTAACTTGGTTAGATGCGAGGTCTTGCGAGAAGATACCTGCTTTGAACGTGTAGTTTATTTTTTTATTAACTGTCCCTACCTATTATAGAAAACGGCATTTCCATATATTGATACTGCTGTTAACTCAAGATTTTGGAATGTACAACAATAGAGAGGTAGGTAGGTAAATACACATGCTGGTGACAGAAAGGGGGCGAGCTCAAATAGGCTGACTTCCAAATTATATGTATTTATGATATTATAGGTTTATGTTACTATCGCAGCGCGAGGGCACTATTTCCTAATGCCGCCAACTAGCATGGACGTGTTTACCTATCACACCTTGGGCATATTCATTCGGTACTATATGAATCCGTCCTATGTTCTACCTACATGTCAGGGGTAAAGGGATATATAGGTGTAAGGGGAAGATGTTAGCTAAAATAAGGCCCTCGTATGAGGATAGAAGCCAGGCGTTACTAGTTGAAACTGATTGCCAAGGTATACAATTCAAAACAACCAAGGCAGCAACGCTTGTTAAGGATAATATCTAAGTACATTCCATACTAACAAAGCCGCTAGTCGTCGTCAAATCCCCCGCCTCCTACAAAACCCTTTTCTTCATGATACGACTTATGAGTTAGATTCAAAAAGGTCGACACGTTTCTACCCTCCAACACCCTCCTGCCCTGCTCGGTACTGTACGCCGCGGTCTTGGAGAGCCCGTTATCCTTGAGCACGAAGACCAGAGCGACCATTTCTTTCTGGTCCGCCCTGCGCTTGTATACGCGCCCCGCGATCGCCGTGTTCTCCAGCAGAACCTGCGTACCAGGGGTGGTCTTCCACTCCCCAGGCTCCCCTTTGTGCTTCGTCAGAATGCCGTATTCGTTTGCACAGAAGACTTGGATTGCCTAGGTAGGTTTGTCAGATAAGTATATAGGTAGGTAGTCACGGCCTTGGAAAGGAGAACATAATCAGGTAACAGGGAGGAAATAAGTAGAAGAACGTACATTCTCGCTTGGCCGAATCACCGCTGCTAACCCCGATCCCCTCTGCGCCTTGAATAGCGGACCGCCTACTGACCACGCCCCGTTGTACTTGGCCATGTACACATTGCTGTCCTCGCACTGGAAGAAGACAAAAACCTCCGGCGCCGACGGGTTTCGAGACACGGCCGCGATGGCTGTGCCGCTATACGGCCGAGTACCGGCAGGGCAAGGGAGGATTTTTCCAGCGTACCACGGCTGCATGTAATCGCGGCAGTGCTCGCGCAGAGAGCCGTCGGGCGCCTGGTATATGACTCGCAGGTAGTTGGCCCAGTATACGGAAGCCATCTTGGAATTCCCCGCCGTCACGGCCGAGTGCTGGTTAAGCTCACCGCCGAACCAACCACCCGCGCTTGCTTTGGTGGCCGCGGGCCATCCTGAGATGCCACCATTCCAGCACATCTCTTTCATGTAACACATGTCATCGAGGTGGTAGAAACGGATACTGTTCTAGGTCGTCGCTGTGTCTTAGCAGAAGTCACGAGAACGAGTCTCCAGATGGAAACGAGCAGGAGTAACTGCTAATACGAAGACAAGAACTCAAAACTTGGTACATGACTAACCACGTCGTTTGCGGGATTATCCTTTTTGGAGAACCATTGCATAGCAGCGAGCGGTGTTGAGGTCTTGGCCGTGAAGATGATGTCGGACGTAGTGCCGCCGTCCCATCTGCCTCGATCGTAAGTGCGCTGGCGGACGCCGTGGCTCGTGTCTGTGTAGTAGATAGCCGAGTTGTCGCCGCCCCAGTTGGCGATCGCGATGCTGCCGTCTGGCGGCATGCCCTCGCACGTCGTCATAGACTCGTCTGCCATCGTGAATGTCTACTCGTCTAGGTACCGTACCTATTAACTCGATAGCTGAGGGGTAACACTTGCGAAGTTCTATAGTAGAAATTTAACTTGAATGTGCTGGAGAAAAGGCGTCAGGAGGGGAGCTATGAGGAGGAGCTTAAGACATTTGAGAGAAAGGGAGTCACGGCTGCACTGGTCCCATGCCGTCGGTTGATTTCGACTTTGTCTTCAATTATTACCCCTCTTATGTGACGTGTGATCGAGACATATTCTTGCTGCAGAATACTCATGACTGTTTCAGCTAGATAAAATTCTAAGGGATTGGCCATGGTGCAGCCTATATCGACCTCAGAAGATGCAAGATTTCAATAGTTTTACTGACTTCTCAACTGGCGCTGAATATCAAAGATATCGTGACCAATGGCCGGCGCGGGCCGTCGGTTCCACTGAGGCTCGGTGCTTGCTCAGCTCCCTAGTGTAAAGCTCAGCTCCTTACTGTAATACCGCCCAAGCCTATTCAGACATCTAACCGTGTCGATCTTGGAAGTGCATACAAGACCCACATCTTCTTCCCACCAATACATGTTGTAAGAGGCGTCTTTTATTGCATGAGACAATTCGTGGCCGACAGTTAGTTTCACCTCGCTATATGCGGGGACACCGAACGGGCATGAGTTCAATGATATCAGAGTACCTACTCGAGACTTCCTTGATAGCTGGGGAACGGTTGGAATCGGAAGTAGATGGCGCTGTATGTTGATATGCCTTCTTTTGGAAACTGTTGCAGAACGGCGGCTAGTAGCGTTTTCTCGTCTAGCTCTTAATCCACCGAGCATTGCAGATCGCGACATCTCCTTCATTGCTACTTGCCTTGTGCATCGGGATGTCCGCTTATCCATTAAGATGTATAAATCCAAGCCCACGTCTTCATCTCGCCAGTCTCTTTGCTCACCAAGTTGATTAAATACTATTGCTTGTCTACGCGGCTTTTGCCAATATTAGGTAAATATGGCTCCCGAAAAAGAGAACCCTAGTGCGCCAACAACAACTGTTGAGGATGTCCTCAAGAAGTCTGAGTTTCTTCTCAAGTTTGATCTGCAGTATAGTAACCGCGCAACGTCGACAACACCCAGCCAGCTATCCGCCATTCTTGAGAAAATCAAAGACTCCAAGATTACTACTGTGTCTGAGATCCCCTTGTCCTCTCTGCGGTCATGTGTTCCCGAGATGTAAGCTTCATTTCTTCCGTTAGCACAGGCTGTCGGCTGATGCCACCTTGTTTTCCAGGGGCACCCGAGACCATTTCTGTCTCGACGACAAGCAGACGGTTGTTAGCGGGACGATGACGCTAGCGCAATATCTGTCGTCCACACAAACGGTCAGTCAAGCACCTGTCTCTCCTTCTCGCTGTCTACCTCTCGGTCTAACAATTTATAGAACACGGCCCTGCTCAAGGATCATGCAGCGGGTTCTGTGGTCCTTTTCACCATCTTTCTAGTCAAAAACCGTATTCGACCAACCCCGGAAGATCTTGAGAGAGTCGGAACTGGCCCAGAACTCAAACATGAGCTTCCTGTACGTCGTATTAATGAACCATTAACCACCAACCATAGAAAAGGACCCTGTTTATTAATATTCGACCAGGACGAGGATAAACTCCGGGGCGACCCGAATAAGAATCGTCTCTCCGACGGTTGGAATAGGAGCTCCCTGTCTGGAGATCAATTCGCTACCAGCAGTGGAAACAGGATCATGTAAGTTCATACGGCCCACATACTTTTCGAAATTCCCTCGACATGCTAACTGGCGCTTGACAGACACCCCGCCGATATGACGGAGAAGGAATGGGAAGTGGTCGTCAAGAACAACATTTTGACACATGCGTACCGCATTGACACCTCAGCCAACTCAGCCGTAGTGGCACGCCGACCATGTATGTTACACTGGGATGACATTGAATCGTGAATCGTCGTGCAAAGCTAACATCCTGTCGTACGCCAGTATTCAAGCTGAAGCGCCGACCGGCAGAGATATTCGTGGTAGACGATGTACGAGGAAACCCGTCCTGCCAGTTTCTTGCAACACTAACAGTACCTCTGATAGGATCAAGCCGCTGTCGACACCACGATCCCAGAGTTCCAGGTCTTCGACGACTCCTCGGTCTCTGTGGTAGAGATCACGAACGAGGCTCAACAGTCGGCTGCCGACAACTCCTTCTCGTCGTACAGTGTCAAAGCTTCTGCGTCAGCTCACCTCCATTTTATCCCTGGTACGCGTTGGAGCTAATCTTATATTGCAGTTCTGGCGGAATCTTTGGCTACACGGCTGGGGCATCTGCGGGTGTCTCCGGCGACCACACGGAGAAGAGCGGGTCTACCACCGGCAAGTTCGAGTCCGTTATGCGAGTGTCTTACAAGGCAGGTACTCCAGGTTCCCTCTTACCGGGAACGATGACGAGGTAAAATCATAAATGTTCGAGAGAATGCTAATTATGTTTCGTTGGCGGTGTAGTTTCCCCGAGTGATCGTCTACCTTGATCACGAGTCCCTGGAGCCCACGGAAGAATGTATCAAACTTTTTAAAGACATCGCTGCACAGACCGATACCTCCATCAGGGATGGCAAGATCAAGGCATTCAAGGCAAAGTACGGTATGTATTTCCAGTCATTTGTAAATTGTGACTGAGGCGGTCCGTAATTTGCTAATTATCTTTTTGAACGTGAAGGAGAGGTATTCTCGACAACCGTCCAGCTCGGAGGGTATCTCTACAGCACGAAGCTGAGCTCGGCGATAGCTGCGTCAAGCTCGAGTGAGAAGATGGATCGGTTGGCGGTGTCGGCGGGTGTCAATTTTTCGTCGCCGTACGTCTCCGCGTCTGTTTCCACCGAAAACAGCCACGGCACCGGCGAATCGAGAGAGCAATCATCTTCGAGCAAGCACGAGAGTTTAACCTGGACTGCGAAGGGTGGGGACACATTGCTCTGCTCAAAGTGAGTTATCTCCCTGCGCAGATGATTATAGTATATTAGCGATATGGAGGAAGAGGCAGACGTTACTGACAGTCTTTCATTGCAGCCCTCCGGCCTGGGCGGGTACCGTTGGGGATATTTATAACTGGAGAGTTATCGAGGTAAGAAAATGTTCATCTACACTTATAAGCTACTTACAAGCTTGCCTTCAACTCATATTCACACGTCGATATGCAGAGATCTATGCCGCGCACCATAGGTGAAGTGCTCCGCGAGATGCCGGGATATGAACCTATTGCCGAGATACTCGGTACGAATAAGCGAGGTAACGGTAAGGTCGATGGCGGTGGGTTCGATGACGATTAGATAGGTATTGTTGATGCAGAGTGTATAGGTATCACTTAGGCGCTGTAAGTACTTGATAGATATGACAACACGAATTTGCTGGGGGAATGATATAAGTAAAAGTTCGGGCTCTTGTGCGAGGTTGAATTTGAATACCTTTAAAGGTACAGCGTCGAGTTTACATAAATAACACGTTTGCAGCAAGAAAATGACTGGATGTTTACCAGGTAGGTAGCTATAATAAACTAAGTTGTACCTATCGCGAAATTAGAATTAATTATTAGTATAATTATTATCTACCTCTTAACATAAGAACCGCAATATAGTTCTGTCAGTAGTTATGTATCTCATTACCTACAACCCCTTTTAATATATAAGGGTGGGCATATTTATTCTACCATGATATCGTGTACAAGCCGTACTTTGGAAAGATCACTCCGGAGGAAGTGCGAGCGAACCTATCTATCAGGATTCAAGCCCTCAGACAATCTTAATACCTACAGCGATCCCAAAGTGGTCGCTGACCCAAACATCATTCGACCCGACTTTGGTTTTCAGCCCGATTCCAAAGCGACCCAATTTCCCAGTGGTGTCCTGAGCTTCGCTCAGCGCAAACGTCTCGATGGACCCTGTGTAGAGAAACTTGTCCAGCCGTCTTCTCGATTTAGCTCCGTTGCATTGGTAGCCCCACGTATTTCCCCTGGCTTTACCATATGTGAGATCTTTTTGGAAGGGCTTTCTGCCCGGCGGTGTCGGCGCCGGCTCATCCTCCCAGACGTCCTTCAGGCCGACCTCGGGTGCTCGGTGAGCATTGTGCTCGGACACGTCGGTCGAATTCATGTCGCCGCCAACCAGCCCGCCGTAGATTCTCTGCCCCTGAGACGACGAGTTGCCTTTCAGGAGCGCTGATACTTGGACGAGTTGGAGAAAACGGAGCTCTCTTCCCGTGTAGAGCGATTCAAGGTGCGTTGTGCACAGGCGAAGTGACCGTTTTGGTGTTTCGGGGTCGTGGTCCTCGGATACGGGAATGTCAACCACAAGGGCATCTCTCCCCATTTCAGAGACAAAGGGGACACGGAAGCAGTTCGATATCGGCAAATTCCGCGAAACCATCATGAGAGTGAAATATCCGCTGGGTATGCGGCTGGGTTTCCGGTCAAAGGATTCGTCGTCTGCATAATGGAAGCCTGGTGGCTCCGTATCAGAGAGGGAGAAGTTTTGTCGAGCCCACTTGTCCTCTAGGATAGCTTCTAGTGATTCTCGGCGGAGTTCTTGGAGCATTACCACGAGGTTGTGAGGTTCTTGGCCAAACATGGTCTGCAAATAGGCGAGAGCGGCGGAGGCACGAGCGGCGGCAGCGGGAACAGAGAAAAGCAGGTTCCAGGATGCAATTTTAAGGATATCTCCCCGCTTAAGTGAAGTTCTATTTTCATTGCCAAAAGATGTCCAGGATGAAGATTGGGGGTTATATATGTGTGGCTGGAGGAAGCTGGGGCTACTCTGATGGTCGATGAGAGACTGTGGTGTGGACGTCTTAGGCGCTGTACGGTCCATCAGTTCGCGGGGCCCCAGTGGCATGGCGTCGAGGTATAATTCGTTGAATTCAAAGTCAGAGAGGTCGTCGACGTTGCGGAAATCGCCTCGGCGCCTAAGTTCGAGAGCTATTCGGCGATATTCCCGTGATGGGTGCTGAGAAGTTTGGCAAGGTCCAATCGAGCTCAGGCTTCGCGGTTTTCCTTGGAACCATGGCTTCCAGCGCTGATTTAAGCCTCCATTTCTACCGAAAGAGCTCCCATGCGAGGTAGCGTAGCGTTGACCTAGATATGGTACAAAAACACTTCTATTCATAGAAAGGCAAAAGCCTCGGGTTGTAAAGAGGCCATACATGCTCATAAATGTAAGTTAAGCGTTGGTCTTGTCGTCGTGGTATTAAGATGGCTACTCCGATTCTATTAACGTGCTGATTCTGGCAATATGGTTTAAGGATTTGGGTTTTATGTACATCTACCGGTTTGGCTTGGGCCTCTACGGCAATAATAGGACAAAAGTCTCCGTGCGCCCGTTATACTCCTACCAAAACTCACACATTTCAAACCTCTGTATTAAATTGAAATAAATAGGTAGAAATGCTCTGTAAGACATTGAATATTATTTCGTACAGACTCTACGTAATGGCGTATTTTATATAGATAACTATCATATTTAATAAGAATAGAAGAGTAATATATTTTATAAAAGGTTATTGTTACTTAACGTAGTTAAAACGTACGTACAGTACTTTGTAAGGGGAATTTCGATATTAATAATAGATCCCTTTTATACCTCATAAAAATTATAAAAAAATAAGAACAATTACATAAGATGGTCCCTCGTTCAATTCTCTACTAGGTACTGCATATTTTTACTATTTTCCTTTCTACCTTTATCAAATGGTAATATTTCTTGAAAAGGTGTAATTACCTTAGGTAGGTTTTGATGTATGCATGGACACTTTTGTCCTAGGTAGCTCTAGTTCAATGCCCGAATGCTTAACCGTAACTATGGCAATAGTCATGACGTCAATATAACGCAAGGTATTTCCCACGCCCGGAGTAGACATTCTTATAATAGCAATGGCATGAATGTGACTCTTTGTTTTTTTTTTTTGTTTTTTTTTAGCTATAATAAACTAATATACGGTTTACCTATCGTGAAATTAGTATTGATTATTAGTATAATTACTCGCCTGCCAGTAGCTGTCTCGTGGTCTATACAGCCTTCTAATATATACGGGTGGGCATATTAATTCTGCTGCCATCGAGCATTGCGCCGACAGCGAATTAACCTGCAGGATGAATAAGCTCTGGGGAGGGTCCAGCAGGCGGGACAATAGTCCGCGGGGTTCGCTGGACCAGGACCGAGACAATGCGCCGAGTGAGCACACTCGTTTACTGCCGAATCGAGTCGACAGCGCAAGTTACCTAAGTCCGGATGATCCAGCGGTAAGGACTCGCTGTACATCGTACTTGCATACAACAGGTAGATAATACTAACGTACTGTTAGGTTTCGCCGTATAATCTATGGAGCGTGCGGATTGTCAGGTATCTCACCATCCTCTTCACGATTCTCACCCTCGCATGGTGGATAATCCTTCTCGTATCGGTCTTTGCCACGCCTCCGGGATTTCATACGCGAGGCTCCGGCTACTTCCCTTTCAGCTATGCCAGCTTGGCGCTCTCCAACTTGGCCTTCACTCTCATATTCTTCGCTATCCCCTCGAAGCCGGTTCGAGTATTAAGCATAATATTGGGGATATTGCTCTTAGTTGATACCATCTTGCTGATGGCAATAGAAAAGACGAGGCATGAAGAGGGTTGGGTAGGAATGGTTAGCGTCCTATGTGAGTCCCCATTGCCTCAACGGGATGGGATCCGGGATTGACAGTTTTGTTTAGGGGCATTTCTCATGGCTCTCTGGACTTTGCTTACCGATCGCCTGGTCGAATGGGGTAAAGTTGAAGAGGAAGAGCGGCTGACTGGCAGAGCCGAGACACGCCGCACTTTGGCCGAGTGGACCGCTGTTCTAGTGTCTACCATCTCCATGGTTATACTTGTTATTGTCGCCCTACTAATAACTTGTACTCTGATCCTTCGAGGTCTCGACGCTGGGCTAGCACCTCCAGGGGGGATGTTTTGGGTCGATGGGGAGAAATACATGTTGCACGTGTATTGCCATGGAAATAAAACGGATTCAGAGGGAACTAAGTTACCTACCGTGCTACTAGAGGGAGGTGAAAGCCCGGTCGAACACGGTTTATGGCAGTTTGCAGAGGATGCAGTCAACAACGGCTCGATTAGTCGGTATTGTTTCGTTGACCGACCCGGACTTGCTTGGGTAAGTACCTAATCTAAGGCGACAGCTAATATTAATGTGCAGGGCTGACATGCTACAGAGCGATACCGCACCGTCACCTCTATCCGCCGGAATGGCCGTCGAGGCTGTCAGCGAAGCTCTCGTTAGAGCTGGAGAAGATGGACCTTGGGGTAAGCCTCTACGCAGGGCCTTGTAACACGATTTTTACTGACAAGTTAGGCAGTTCTTGCAAGTGCTGGCATTGGTTCCGTCTATTCACGGATTTTCTCTGCTCGACACGGTGACCAAATAAAGGGGCTTCTTTTCATCGATCCGCTTCATGAAGATGATCTCGCAAGCGTCGGTTCACCCAGTCGAGGATTTGTGCTCTGGATTAGGGGTATCATCTCACCTCTTGGTCTTGACCGTATTCCGGGTGCTCTCTTCAAGGGCCGAACCAAAGAAGACCGCGTATGGGGTCAATCCGCACATCAAACGGGGAAATATCTGTTCGCAAAGCTGCAAGAAAATATGGTAGCCGATACGTTATCGAAACGTGATTTAGCAACCAGCACGGTAATTCAGAACCCGGATACTCCATTAAGTCTTATTAGCTCCGGCGAGAAAATACGGAGAGACAGCGGATGGGAAGATAAGCAGAGGGACCTGAGCCATGTCACAGACAATTTGAAGCACTGGGATATTGTCAACAAGGCACCGCACCGAGTTTGGGATACGCGGGAAGGTCGCGTTGTTATCGAAAAAAGGCTGAAGGGGTTGGTATACTCTGCATAATTTGACGTGAGAGGAAGCCGAGATTGCTGTTTTTTGAGTTTATATTTTGAGAGAGCGTAGCGTAGGCCCTTGGGGTGAAGGTATATCTGGCCGGCATATTGTATGACTTTGGAGGATAGGCTTAACTATAGGGATAAGGGCTTCATAGTTGGATTTTGGTACGAAATAATTTAAATGTACCATTAAGTATATAGTATAAAGTATACGTCTTAATAATATTTATAAGTTTTGCTGGTTCACAACTAACCTTGTTATAATATTGTGAGAAGGGAGATGAGTGTTTGAGTTAGGTACAGAATGCCCATCGGTACCTTAGGTACCTAGTATAGGTAGTATCTTGTACCTAAGTACCTATGCTACACCGCTTTCCTATTATGTATTTTAATTGACGTCGCGCAAATCGGAAGCGCGTTCTTCACGCGTCGGTGGGGCCCCTGTTCTATGTTAACAGCTCCAACAAGGTTCAATTAATATAAGTCCTGTTCAAGTCTTTATGGCAGTTGAAAAGAGTGCCGCTATCGCATTCAACGAAATACCCATATTAGACCGGATAGCCTTTTCAACTACAATATGGCCAGCTTCTTCGATCTGAAGGCCCGCAAAGCAGCTGCGGCTAGCAGCGCAACGACGGCTAAGGTAGAAGACCCCAAGCAGAATACCAGAAAGCAGCCCTGGGTAGAAAAATAGTATGTCTTCCTCCCAGGTTAAATTATTTAATTAAAAGGGGTGATAGAAGGAAAAGCTAACTCATTGTTTATAAGCCGCCCGAAAACCCTAAGTGATGTCACAGCTCAGGATCATACAGTGAACGTCCTTCAGCGGACACTCCAAGCCTCTAATGTAAGTCAACGCCCCGTAGATTCACTGACCATTAAATCTAGTCCCTTTCTCTGATGCTGATGGGATTCATTCTAGCTTCCTCATATGCTCTTCTATGGCCCGCCTGGAACGGGTAAAACCTCCACGATCCTCGCCCTCGCGAAGGAGCTGTACGGACCGGAGATGATAAAGTCGCGCGTCCTCGAACTCAACGCCTCCGACGAACGAGGAATCTCCATCGTGAGGGAGAAAGTAAAAGACTTCGCCCGCATGCAATTGACGAACCCACCCGCGGGATACAAGAGCCGCTACCCCTGCCCGCCCTTAAAGATTATCATCCTCGACGAGGCGGATAGCATGACCCAGGATGCCCAGAGCGCCCTGCGACGGACGATGGAGACGTACAGCAAGATCACCCGGTTCTGCCTCATCTGCAACTACGTCACGAGGATTATCGACCCCCTCGCGAGCCGGTGCAGCAAGTTCAGGTTCAAGAGCTTGGACCAGGGAAATGCGAAGAAACGCCTGGAAGAGATCGCTAGCAAAGAAGGGGTTACGCTGGAGGATGGCGCTGTCGACGCGCTGATTAAGTGCAGCGAGGGCGATCTGAGAAAGGCGATTACTTTCTTACAGAGTGGAGCGAGGCTAGTGGGCGCAATCGAGAAGGGAGACGATGAAGGGGATAAGATGGATGTGGATGACGAAGCCAAGATCGTCACTGTGAAAATCGTGGAGGAGATTGCTGGTGTGATACCGGACCAGACCATCGAAAGACTGCAGAAGGCGATGCAACCGAAATCTGCTGGCGCGACTTATCAGGCCATCGCTAAGGTCGTGGAAGAGATGGTCGCGGATGGATGGAGTGCGGGACAGGTTCTCTCTCAGGTAAGATTTTATACACACCTCCCTGATACTAACATCAAACTAATGTGTGCATGTAGTTATATCAAACCGTTATCCAAGACGAGATGGTTCCCGATATAGCAAAGAACAAGATAACCCTTGTCTTCTCGGAGGTGGACAAGCGACTGGTAGATGGTGCTGATGAACACCTGTCTATCTTGGACCTCGCTCTGAGGATATCAAACATATTAGCGGGAAAAAGCTAAGCTCGGGGGTTTTTTTTTTCAGGATTTCTAAGGCCCGAATACTCCTACGTTAATAGGTAGGGATGTAATACAGCACGTGGTGAATGTCGTAGCATGCGGCGTTGGGTGTACAAAACATGGGTGTATTAACAATGGAGACAGATTCTCCAGGCTATATTTGCAAAAAAAAAAAAAAAAAAAAAAAAAAAAAAAAACGATGCCCAGATAGATTTTCCCTAGCCTTAGTGAATGGACCAGGCCCTTTACTCGTTTATCAACCCAAGATTTCCATCCAATCTCGCGTAGATGCTTTGCCCCTTCGGTTTCTCAACCTTCTTCTCCCTGTGCTTCCTGACGCGTGTTCCGCTGTTCTCGTCCTCTCCTATCCACATATCATGTTCAGCACCGCTCCCTTCTTCGTGGGCCTCTTCCTGGTCAACCTTTTCTTTATTAAGCAACTTGCGGACCTCGTCCAAAGCCTGCATGGCGTCTTCGGCCGCCACCTGGCCCTCCTCGACCTTCTCGAAGACGGCCTCGAGCGTGGCGATCTGCGCCGAGTGCGCCGCCGAGATCCACGGCTCGATCTGGTCCGTCATGTTGACCTTGCCAGCTCCCTTCGTGACCGAGCCGAAGCTCTGCCGCGGCTTCTCCGACCGCTTCGCCGGGTATTTGGGAAGCAGGTGGCTTTCTTGGACTAGGTGTTCTAGGATCTGGTTGAACTCCTGCTGCTGCTTGGCGAGAGACGCGTTGATGTGTGATTTTTCTTGGATAAACCCTTTTTTCTCGCGCGAGATGGCTTGCAACTTCTCGAGATATGGCGTTAGTAGGAAGGCTTCAGAGGCTGTGTTTTTGGTGCTGATGGTGTTGGGTATGAGACCGTCGAACTGAAGCTGTTGTCGATGTTCTAGCTTTTCCGGTTTCCGGCGATTCAACTGCTCTAATTGAGCCATCGACGCGACAATTTCCTTGCGGAGGTCTACATGTTTCTGGTATTCTCTCTGGATTTCAGCCATGTGGGCGTCGCGGTCGAATGTCTCATCTCCTTGCCGCGGTTTGCGTGGCGACTCGGGACTTGCTTCGTCCTCCTCGCCGCCGGCCTTGCTCAGCATAGTCTCGATCCAGGTGATGAGACTATCCTTCACGGCGTTAAGTGCTTCTAGCTGAACTTCTGGAGGGAGACGTCCGGGATCGATTGGATTTTTCGCTTTTAACTTCTCGAAGTTCTGCTTCTCCTGTTGCGCTAGGAGCTTATTACGCAGGACGGCTGATTGGAGCCGTGCAAGCAAAGCCTGAATCTCGCGACTCGGAGCGTCTTGGTCTTGAGTGAAGCCTTCCATGAGTTCCTTGGGTAATTCAGGGAGAGGAGTGCAGCCTTTAAACATGACCTCGGGATCTAAGAAGTCTGGAGCTGCCGCGGGTTGCTTATTTAGTTCTTCTAGGTACTTGTCGACTATGCTGAGTCTCTCATGTTCTTGCTCCAATGCGTTGACCTCGATTTGAAGTTGGAGGAGCTGTGCCTGCTGATCTTCCTCAGGCGGAGATGGGAGAGAAGCAGTCGCTGCATCATGCTCCTCTTGTAGTGCAGTAAAGCTGGATCGTATTTCAATATTTCTCCGAGCTGCTTCTACATACTCTCGGTATATACCCTGTAGTGCCTCATGCGGTTTGACGGTAGTTTCCGAATCGACGAGTGACAAGGGACTACTAAGCTCCTCAGCCCCTAAACTTTGAGCCAAGTCGTGAGCTAGGCGTCGCCTTACGGCGGTAACCTCATCGCGTGGACGTATCCGGTGATTTAGAACTTCGCGAGTCTGCTCGCACAGCTTCTTCTCCATTGTGTCTATGAAAACTAAGAACACTAAGCCTGAGCCGTGTTGAGTTGAGTTGAGTATTGACGCCTAACAGAGCAGGTTTTCAAAGTAATGTATGAAGTAGAGCCTTTTATTAAAAAATTAAAAAATAAAAATAAAATAAAAACCTTTAGTATGTAAAGTGATCTTCAAGTGGAACTCACACAATACCAAGTATAATTAATATAACTGAATACATCTATGCTGTTGTCCTAATGCGCAGTTCTGTTTACGAATTTCTCTAATAGGATGAAGCTACTTAGGCTCGAACATAGTACCGGCTCTATTAATAAAATAGAGAAGGCTGGAATATTTTTACGCTAAAAAAATACCCTTACAGCGCCTTCCCTCTTTTAGTAATAAATTTAGCATTAGAAATATTCAAACCTATTAGAGCTTCAGTAGATCTATGTAAATTATGTACCACGCTAATAAGGGTAAAATACTAAGCTTAAAAAAGTTTAACGGCTTACTATTTACTTTTTTAGGAATTTTTTAAGAACATAAAAACAGTAAAAATAAAGTAGTACGATAGTGGTAGGTAAAATTAATAAATACGTCCGGTATTAAGGTAATTATTAACATTATTTAACAATATCGCCTTAAAAGTAAACCTTTAAAGATAGCCTTTTAAATTATCGATAATAAGAGCTTTCAAGCTACTTAAAGATATCAAAATCAACAGCCGGCAGTACCTTAAACGTATTGAAAAAGGGATTACTTAAGTACTGATCCAAGTAACCACATATCGTTCATAGCCCTGAAAGTAAAAGGCTGTATTTCAGCCTTGGGTAGGTGGGGAAAAAGAATACATTAGTACCCCACCTAATTTATATGGGGCTGGCTTGTACTTTTCTTCTCAATAGAGCCGGTATTATTTTCGAGCCGATCAGGGCCTTAGATATTAGATACCTGTACCAGGTACATTTGTACCTACCTAAAAGTTGAACTCTGGAATCGATAGTTCAATTACATACCGTAACCAGCCAACCGTTAAATATTCTCATTGGATGGATGCTTGGTCGCACCCCGCTCTTACTTAAAAGACGGTATGGTGTTTGGACTCTGGAGTACCTAAGGCTAGGTACCTCAAAGCTAAAAGTTGCTAGTTTTATCGAGGAACGCGAAAAGATCCAGCTTCATAAATTTCCCCATACAAAGGCGGATTGGCGAACAATTCTCACTTAATTCAGCCAGCCGACGAATATTATAATTTCATTTTAAGAGAATCCCTGACGGAGTCTAACGTCTTTATATTCTGCGCAGCATCTCCTAAATGCTATTTCTGCAGACACGCGCGGCGTCCTTGTCCATTTGATGAAATTGGACCTGCCGACAACAACTCGTCTTCCCGCCACCCGATAGTACTACCGTCAATAAGCAAGCTATTCAACGAAACATATCCCCAAGATGGCGGACCATCATCGAGATGTGTCGCAGTACAAGTACTCGGCTATGTCCAACCTGGTTCTCCAGGCGGATAGACGGTTTGTTACGCGGCGGACCGATGAGGCTACTGGTGACCCCGAATCCCTTGCCGGCCGTCTGAGAATCAATGACATGGGCTCCAGAGTCGCGCGCGATACTGCACCCAAACAGAAGAAGGCTGCAGGCTTACAGGATATTCAGAGGGGAGATGTACAAGAGGGCAAAGACATTCTAGCCCGCGAACAAAGAAAAGCCAAAGGCGACCCGTCGCAGATGAGAGGAACGGGTATCCTCGGACAAACAGATCTGCTAGTCGAAGGCCTTCGATATCGACCGCGTATACCAGCCACTCGTGCCACTTACGACCTCATATTAAACGTTGTGAGGAGTAATTTGGGCGATGTATCCCACGAGATCGTTTTGAGTGCGGCGGACGCTGTGCTGGAATATCTTAAGGATGAGGACATGAAGGATTTCGACAAGAAAAAGGAAATCGATGATCTGTTGGGCGTCACATTAAACCCCAAGCAGTTCAACGAGTTGGTCAACCTCGGAAAGAAAATTACAGATTATGATACCCAAAATGACGACGAAGATATGGACACAGGAGCAGGTGCGGCCGAAGGTGACGAAGAACTGGACGAACGTCAGGGTGTCGCCGTGGTATTCGACGACGAGGAGGAGGACGAAGAAGCAGCCTTGGTCAACGAAGTCAGAGATGAGTCCTCAGACGATGAGGCGGTCTTTGACAAGGACGAGCAGGACTTGGTTGGCTTGGAAGAACAGGCGACCGCCGGAGGCGCTGGGGAAGACCGAGACCACGAGCAGGCGGACTTAGCTGACGGCGAGGAAATGGTGATTGATGCCGGCTTTACTGAAGCCAAACGCGAGGGGTCGTCTAAGGAAACAAACTATATCCCTGCGCGCCAAATCGACGCCTACTGGTTACAAAGGGAGATCGGAAATATCTATACCGATGACCATATTCGCCACGAGAAGACCGCCCAAGCTTTACATATCCTTTCTGGGGAGCCTGATGAACCTGGTGGAGAGGAGAAGCAGCTGAGAGAGATCGAAAACGAATTGATGGAACTGCTTGACTACGAGCATCATGAAGTAGTCCAGAAGCTCATTCAGAATCGAGAAAAGATCGTTTGGCTCACGCGCTTAGCCAGGGCTGAGGGTGATGAGGAAAGGGGTGTCATTGAGCGGGAAATGGCATCCGAGGGTGTCAGATGGATCTTGGATGAGCTTCGAGGCAAAAAGACGGGTGAAGCCGCAAAAAAGATGGAGATCAAGATGGACATTGATGTCCCAGCGTCGTTTAGCACAGCGCCTAAGACTGAGCGAGCGGAAGGCCAACTTGTCGGCGGGCTTCAACCACGGAAGCTAATCAACCTGGAAAATCTCATATTCGATCAGGGCAACCATCTTATGACAAACCCTAAAGTCAGACTCCCTGAAGGTTCGACGAAAAGGACTTTCAAGGGCTACGAAGAGATCCACGTCCCCGCACCTAAAAAACGCAACCAAGCGGATGAAACTAATATTCCCATTACCGATATGCCCGAGTGGGCTCGTGTGCCCTTCAGCTCAGCTAAGTCGCTGAATAAAATCCAGACCAAGTGCTTCCCGACAGCCTTTGAAGATGATGGGAACATGCTTATCTGTGCCCCGACTGGTAGTGGTAAAACGAATGTAGCCATGTTAACTATTCTACGGGAGCTTGGGAAGCATAGGGATCCGCAGACAGGAGATATTGATTTAGATGCCTTCAAGATTGTGTACATTGCGCCTTTGAAGGCTCTGGTTCAAGAGCAAGTTGGTAATTTTGGTGCACGCCTGAAACCATACGGCATAACAGTTGCCGAGTTGACTGGTGATCGCCAACTAACGAAGCAACAAATCTCCGAGACGCAGATCATCGTTACGACACCTGAGAAGTGGGATGTCATCACGCGGAAAGCGACAGACCTGACATACACTAATCTTGTGCGGCTGATTATTATCGACGAAATTCATCTTTTGCATGACGAACGTGGACCCGTCATTGAAAGTATTGTGAGCAGGACTATTAGGAAGACCGAGCAAACTGGTGATCCAGTCAGACTGATCGGTTTGTCTGCTACTCTACCCAATTACAGGGACGTGGCTAGCTTTCTTCGCGTGGATCCTCTCAAGGGACTTTTCCACTTCGATGGTTCCTACCGACCGTGTCCTTTAAGACAAGAGTTCATTGGTGTCACCGAGAAGAAGGCCATTAAGCAGCTCAAGACGATGAACGATATCACATATAATAAAGTCATCGAGCATGTCGGTACTCACAGAAACCAGATGCTCATTTTCGTTCATTCTCGAAAGGAAACCGCGAAGACTGCCAAATACATTCGAGATAAGGCCCTCGAGATGGAAACAATTAATCAGATCTTAAAGCATGATTCCGGCTCAAGAGAAGCTCTTAACGAAATAGTTAATGATATATCTGATGCTGACTTGAAGGATCTTATCCCCTATGGATTCGGTATTCACCATGCGGGTATGAGTCGTCTTGACCGATCCGAAGTCGAAGGCCTCTTTGCTGCCGGTCTTATTCAAGTCCTCGTTTGTACGGCTACTCTTGCCTGGGGTGTCAACCTTCCAGCACACACGGTTATCATCAAGGGTACCCAGGTCTACTCACCGGAAAAAGGTAGCTGGGTAGAGTTGAGCCCCCAAGACGTTCTACAGATGTTGGGTCGTGCTGGACGACCTCAGTACGACACGTATGGTGAAGGTGTCATCATCACGTCTCAAAGTGAAATGCAGTACTATCTATCGCTGCTCAATCAACAACTCCCGATTGAAAGTCAGTTGGCTAGTAAGCTTGTTGATAACCTGAATGCAGAAATCGTTTTGGGTAATGTTCGAAGTAGAGACGAAGGGGTTGAATGGCTAGGTTATACCTATCTATTCGTTCGAATGTTACGATCGCCTGGCCTCTATAGCGTCGGGGCCGACTACGAGGATGACGAGGCCCTGGAGCAGAAGAGAGTCGACCTCATACATTCAGCGGCTACCGTGCTGAAAAAGTCGAATCTCATTACCTATGATGAGAAGACTGGCAAGGTCAAGGCAACTGAACTTGGAAGGATAGCATCCCACTACTATATCACCTATGGATCGATGGATACCTACAATAAGTTAATCCAGCCTTCGATCACAACTATCGAGCTTTTCCGAGTGTTTGCTCTTAGCGCTGAGTTCAAGTATATACCTGTTCGACAAGATGAGAAGTTAGAACTGGCAAAAATTCTCGCTCGGATACCGATTCCGGTGAAAGAAAGCATCGAAGAGCCGCATTGCAAAATTAATGTCCTGCTACAGGCCTATATCAGCCGGCTCAAGCTTGAGGGTCTAGCTCTCATGGCCGACATGGTCTACGTCACACAATCCGCAGGCCGTATACTTCGCGCCATCTTCGAAATCACTTTACAAAAAGGATGGTCCAATGTTGCAAAAACGGCCTTGGACTTGTGCAAAATGGCAGAGAAGAGAATGTGGCTAACCATGACGCCGCTAAGGCAGTTCCCTCGGTGCCCTCGGGATATCATAGCTAAAGCTGACAGATTAGATATCCCATGGAGTAGTTATTTCGACCTCGACCCTCCCCGGATGGGTGAGCTGCTTGGGATGCCGAAGGCGGGGCGTGTCGTCTGCGACCTGGTATCCAAGTTCCCGCGGGTTGAGATTCAAGCACAGGCTCAGCCGATGACTCGTTCTATGCTTCGAGTCGAGCTGTCTATAACGCCGAACTTCCAATGGGATGATGAAATTCATGGATTGGCAGAGAGCTTTTGGATTATTGTTGAAGATTGTGACGGCGAGGATATTCTATTCTATGACCAGTTCCTCCTGCGCAAGGACTATGCGATGTCGGAATCGAACGAACATTTGGTCGACTTCACAGTCCCCATCACCGACCCTATGCCCCCTAATTACTTCATTTCTGTCATTTCTGATAGGTGGATACAATCGGAGACGAAGTTGGCTGTTTCGTTCCAAAAGCTCATTCTGCCCGAGAAATTCCCGCCTCATACCCAGCTTCTAGATTTACAACCTCTCCCGGTCGCCGCGCTAAAGGCGAAGGACTTTTCCAACTTGTACGAGTCTTGGAATTACTTCAATAAAATTCAAACGCAGACTTTTAATTCGCTCTACACAACGGATGATAACGTCCTGATCGGTGCTCCAACCGGTAGTGGGAAGACCGTCTGCGCTGAGTTCGCTCTTTTGCGTCTGTGGTCGAAACCGGAGATTGGCCGTGCTGTGTACATTGCGCCGTTCCAGGAAATTGTCGATATCAGACACCAAGATTGGAGCAAGCGTCTTAGCCATCTGCGTGGCGGGAAGGAGATAGTTAAGCTTACCGGAGAAACGGCAACGGACTTGAAGCTACTTGAGAAGGGAGACCTGATCTTGGCTACACCATCGCAGTGGGATGTCCTCTCTCGACAGTGGCAGAGACGCAAGAATATCCTTACAGTAGAACTGTTCATTGCCGACGAGCTTCATCTCCTCGGCGGACCGCTAGGGTACATCTATGAGATCATAGTATCTCGCATGCACTATATTCGTACCACTGCTCAACTAACGATGAGAATTGTTGGGTTGAGCGTGTCACTTGCGAATGCAAGAGACATTGGCGAATGGATTGACGCCAAAAAGAAGGACATTTACAACTTCAGCCCTCACGTCCGCCCTGTGCCTCTTGAGCTTCGTATCCAGTCTTTCTCTATTCCCCACTTCCCATCTCTTATGCTTGCTATGGCAAAACCAGCGTACCTTGCGATCACGGAGTTGTCGCCAGATCAGCCAGCTCTGGTTTTCGTGCCGAGCAGGAAACAAACGAGGTCAAGTGCTCGTGACATTCTTGCGGCTTGCCTGGCGGAAGATGACGAAGACAGATTTTTGCACGTGGATATTGACCAACTTCATCCACTGCTAGAGCGTGTCCAGGAAGAGGCATTAGCTGAAGCCCTATCGCATGGTGTTGGATATTACCATGAAGCTCTCAGCCAAAGCGACAAGCGTATCGTTCTCCACCTATACAAGCAAGGTGCAATCCAGGTTCTGGTCGCATCTCGTGACGTGTGTTGGGAGCTGGACTGCACTGCGCACCTAGTAGTGGTGATGGGCACTCAATACTTTGAGGGTCGTGAACACCGTTACGTCGACTACCAGTTAAGTGAAGTACTTCAGATGTTCGGGAAGGCTTTACGACCATCTCGGGACGGCCGTAGTAGGGGCGTACTCATGGTTCCAGGCGTCAAGAGAGAATATTTCAAGAAATTCCTCAACGAAGCCCTTCCAGTCGAGTCTCATCTTCACAATTTTATGCATGACGCTTTTGTTACCGAGGTCAGCACAAAGATGATCGAGTCCGCGGATGATGCTATCAACTGGACAACGTTTACGTACTTCTATCGTCGACTTCTAGCAAACCCGAGTTACTACAGTCTGACGAGCCCGACGCATGAGGGCTTGAGTAGCTACCTTTCTGACTTGGTGGAGACTACGCTGAAGGAGCTCACTGAGTCGAAGATCATCGACTTTGACGAAGATGATGGCTCTGTTGCCCCTCAAAACGCGGCCATGATCGCAGCGTATTACAATATCTCGTACATTACAATGCAGACGTTCCTGTTATCATTGACTGCGAGGACAAAGCTCAAGGGGATACTGGAAATTGTCACTTCGGCCACAGAATTCGAGTCCATCCAGATCCGGCGACATGAAGACAACCTACTTCGGCGAATCTACGACAGGGTCCCGGTTAAAATGTCCGAACCGGCCTACGACTCGCCGCATTTCAAGGCGTTCGTATTGCTACAAGCACACTTTTCTCGAATGCAACTACCTATCGACCTAGCTAAGGATCAGGAGGTAATTGTATCGAAGGTGTTGAGTCTCCTGAGCGCAACAGTTGACGTTCTATCGTCGGACGGGCATCTGAATGCTATGAATGCCATGGAAATGTCGCAGATGGTGGTCCAAGCCATGTGGGACCGAGACAGTCCTTTGAAACAAATTCCTCATTTCACGCCCGAGGTTGTGAAGGTGGCGAACGAGTTCGGGTATGTACCAAATAAGAATTTTAGCGGTGAAGATGCTGACGTGTTATGCTGTAGAATTAAGGACATTTTCGATTTTATGGAAGCAATGAACCCCGAAGAGAACCCCAACTACGACACTCTTATCAAACGCCTCGGCTTGTCGCAAGCCCAGTTAAGCCAGGCAGCAGCTTTCACAAACAATAAATACCCCGATATCTCACTCGAATTTGAACTTATAGATGAGGACAACATCCGTGCTGGAGAGCCGGCGTACATGAATGTCCAAATCGACCGCGAAGTCGAAGAGGACGGAGAGGTTGACACGACAGTCCACGCTCCATTCTACCCCGCTAAGAAGGTGGAGAATTGGTGGCTGGTTGTTGGAGAGGAGAGTACAAAGACGCTGCTGGCAATCCGGCGAGTCACTATTGGCCGACAACTCAAGACCAAATTGGAGTACACGGTCCCGACACCGGGTAAGCATGACTTGAAGCTGTTTTTGATGAGTGACAGCTACGTCGGTGTGGACCAGGAGCCAGCGTTTTCCGTCACGGTCGCGGAGGGCATGGATGTGGACTCGGATGAGGAAGAAGAGGATGACGAATAGAAATCCTCGGGATACACCTTTGGGAACTTTTAATGAGTGAGATCACGTCCCCTGTACGAAAAAGCTTACTGTACATATAGAAAACCATTCAAAGGCGATTAGACGCTGTCTGGTGAATTATCTAAAGGAGAAAAGAAAAATAGGGATATATCGAAAAAAAATTTTACTACTTATTCCAAGACGTCCGCAACGGTTCTCTTCGAGTTTTTTACCTGAGGCATGTGTTATGTCATGTTAGGTATCTGGGTAGGTATCGGTGAGGTGTTGGGTAGGTAGGCTGTCGGGCGATGTTACGGGGGCTGGTGTTGCAAAAGGCGCTGTTGCGGCTCGGTTCGGGGGGTATAAAGGAGATAGATGAGCAGTATGGAAGCGGATGGAAATGAAGACAGAAAGGAGAGAATGATGTGTGTTATAGATTGTGTTATAGATGCAGGAAAGCAAGATAGGGAGGGGGCCATATTAATGAAGGGCGAAGGCCAACGGGGGCTCGATGGAAGTCGATGGAGGTCGGTGACCAACTATAATATTCTCATGTACAATACCATACCTGGTATGGGGGGGGCGTGTTTCTTGATTGGGGGGGGTGAGTGTTGGCGTTACTTACGTGCCCCCTTACCTAAGTACTTCTTACCTGTACCTATCTGCCTACCTCCTATCAACCCCTATCAAACTTAGGTATCTGGGCCACTAAGGGCAAGTGGTAGTAGCCCTTAGAGCGGGACATGTAAACAACCTTGGGCAGGTAAGAAAGAGAAGAGAGAAAAAAAAAAAAAAAAAAAAAAAAAAAAAAGGAGGACCCACGTCCCGCGGGTACAAGCCAAGCTAGGAAAGGAAATAACCTACCCTCGCCTCGACCATTCAATGTTCTTGCCTTGTCTACCCTCATTACAGTAGCTCATTACAGTGTACTTGTAGATACCTTACCTCTTTGTACGTATCTACCACTACTGCCACTGCCACTACCGCCTCGCGAACATTTACGCAACACGAGCACGAGACGCCATCTTCATCCAAGTCACGTGCTTTTCTATTAAGAAGTTACTCGGCGTACATCCTGCCTTGAATGAGCACAGGCTTCCCATCTCGATCCTAGGAATTTTCTTCTCAATTTATCTTATTCATTTATCAACTTTTTCTGACTCCATCCAATTTTTTTTTTTTCCTCTTTTCTTCTCCTGTCGATTTCTACCAACGCAACCACTCCCCATCCCGATCGCGCCTTTCAATTGCAACGGTTCATCGACAGACAGTCGTTGCTAAGTTGTTAGCCCCGTTTGGTTCTCATAGGTTCCTCAACTTTCCCCAATTAAAAGAAGTTAACTGGACGCGTTTTTCTACCTTCCCTGCTGTGTGTCCAACCTTTAGCCAACAACTGTCGCCGCAACCAACCCTTTCAACTCCCCTTCAACTTCTTTTAATTCTTTTTATTTTCTCGATCGGCAGCTAGTAATTCAGAAACCTTCATCAAATTCGCATCGCGCTTATTATCCATTCCATCACTGCTGCACTTTTTTTTCTTTTTTTCTTTTTCGCGTGGACTATCAACATGTCTGACGAGACGGCCGCGCAATCTGCTACCGCGCAGGCCCCGGATGCCACTCCTACTGCACCTGGGGACACGACGTCAGAATCTGTCGCGCCTGCCGCCGACGTGAAGCCAATTGAGAAAGAACCTGCACCTACTACCGATGATGCCAAGCCAAAGGAGGATACCTCAACTGAAAAGTCCAGCTTTCAGTCTAGCGAAGACAAGGGTAAGTCGCGTCCCGCAAACATTGCCACCGAAACTTCCCGATCGCCGCAACACCAATTATCCCCTTGTAAACACGTCATGCTTTACCACATGTCTAGCGCTGTCACCACACACTTGTTTACATTTAACTACATACGCATGCTATTATTACCCATCACACCTTGACTTGATCAGCTACTAACTAACATCTTATTCTTAGAAGCTACTTCCGTAGACGCTGAGACAGCTCCGACTTCTGCCCCTGCAGACGAGAAATCCGCTGATACTGATGTCGAGATGACTGATAAGCCCGCCGACGAGACCCAGCAGCCTGCTGCAGATACCAAGGTCGACTCGGATAAGCCTGCTGAAGAGCCCTCCCAGGCGGGCCAGGATGGAACTGCTGGTGTTGCTGAAGGTGCTACAGAAGGTGCTGCGGTCGAAACGGAGTCAACACCTGGAGACAAGTCTAAGGCGCGTCGCAAATCTACCGGCGACACTAAGGGCAAGAAGTTAAACAAGAAGGCATCCAGAGCCAAAATCCTACACGTTGACGCGAAGCCGGGTGAACATTATTTCGCCAAGCTCAAGGGTTTCCCTCCGTGGCCTGTCATCATAGCTGAGGAGGATATGCTGCCACAGAGCATGCTGAGCACGAGACCTGTCACAGCCGCCCGCCCCGACGGAACATATCGTGAAGATTTTGCGGATGGCGGTAAGAGGATTGCAGACCGGACATTCCCGGTCATGTATCTGCACACCAATGAATTGTACGGTAAACACTTAATAACAAAAATAGCGATATGAAAGCTAACTGATTTTTTTACTAGCTCCTGGACCAACAATTCCGATCTGAGCGAACTTGATCCCACTACAGTCGCGAGCATGGTCACAACCAAGATGCGAAAGGACTTGCAAAATGCTCATCTACTGGCTGCAGAACAGAACTCTTTGGACTTCTACAAGAATGTACTCCGTGAATTTGAGGAGCAGCGATTGGCAAAGCTGGAAGCTAAAAAGGCCAAGTCTGTTAAGACGCCAAAGAAAGGCGCCAAAGCAGCTGAAGCTGTCGTGGCAGATGAAGATGAAGACCTTGAAATGCCTGATGTAGATGAAGGCGATGATGCGGAGCCTGTCGAGAAGAAATCCAAGTCGAAGAAGCGCAAGGCCGAAGATGAGACTAACGTAAGGGAATATTTGTCACTCGTTTGGGCCTTTTGCTAATTCTAATGCAGACTCCTCAACGCTCTGAATCCGTCAAGAAGCCGAAGATTAAGTTGACTAACTCGTCCACTCCGAAGACCGCCAACGGCGTTCAATCACCTACGAAAGAATCATCTAAGGGTGTGAAGGTCAAGGGAAAGTCGAGCAAAGGTAGCAAAGAGAAGGCCGATAGCAAGAAAGAGAAGGAAGCTTCTGCACCTAAGGAACCGGAGCTTAGTCCCGAAGAAAGACACGTGCGCAAAGAGGTAAGTTATTCTGGTTCACTTTTGTTATATTTATTAGTACTCACAAACTTTATAGAAGGAGATACTGTTTCTCCGGCATCGATTGCAAAAGGGTCTACTCATTCGAGACCAGGAACCGAAAGAGGAGGAAATGCGGTCTATGTCAGAGTTTCTTACTAAACTCGAGACCTTCCCCGATCTTGAAGTTAGCATTATTCGGGCAACAAAGATCAACAAGGTCCTGAAAGCCATTCTGAAATTGGAGACGATCCCCAAGGAGGAAGAATACGAGTTCAAGCCCCGATCACAGACACTCTTGAACAAGTGGAACAAACTCCTTGCTACCGATGAGGCAGCTTCTGCCCCGGCCAACGGCGTAAATGGTGCCTCTAGCAGTGTTGTCAAGGGCGAAAAGGGAGCAGCCAACGGTGTGAAGGAGGCCTCGGACCAGAAAGCCAGCTCTGAAAAAGAAGACACCAAAGTTGATGCTCCCGAAAAGGACACGAAAGACGAGGTAGATAGCAAGGCTGAGTCGGCAGGTGAAGAAAAGGCAGATTCTGAAAAGGTAAGTCTTTGTGGAATTGGTTTTGTTCCGAAACTATAACTAGTTCCAATTCCATATTTTTATACTATGTAAGGGACGGGAACTAATTTTTGTATAGAATGGGCCTACCGAAGAGACAGCAGCAGCGGCAGAAGTCGAGGCTGCAGCGTGAAGAGATCTAACAGATACTAAACTCGACGCGAAAACGACAACTTCCTTTCCAGTGCCTCGATTTGAGCGAGGCAAACCAGGGGCGTTTAAGGGTATAAGAAAGGGCTACATTACTAGGTGTGGCTGCCGCTGTTCAGACGGTAGGCCATGCGGCCAAATGGTCCATACGACATTACAGTACTTGGGCTTGGGGGTTGTGTTCATGCTATGTAAATTAGGCAGTACTTTTTCATATCAGGGGATGCGCTGTACTACTCGAACAAGTCGATATTCGATCAGGACAGGGGGGCCTCCCTCTGGGGGGGAGGAGGGAGGGGGAGAAGGGGAACGAAAAGGTCAGGCTTCGCACTACGTTATTTGGTACCCCTTTAATTAGTTCGTCGGCGGAGAGAGTCAATGGACTTGGGACGTTATAGTGGTTGCGTTTTTAGTTTAGGAGGTTTGTGCGGATTTCTCAGGAATTTTGCAGTAAAAAGAAAAAGGCATCGCATTACCTAGTTGCTATAGAAATAACGTGGCTACTTGTTTGTATTTACATAAGTACCTAATGGTCAATGCAATCTTCTATTGTATTATACCTCCTGTGATGAATCTTTGGAACTTAAACAGTAGGTACCTAGGTACAATAGTGTATGTAATCTGTAAGGAAGGTTGGAGCTTGGGCCAACGCTAAGCTTAGTTCAGCCAATGCCTTCTAAAGCTTCTTGTCTGCAAGGGCGACCCCACCTTTAACTTGTGTTACAGAGTTTCCAGCTGCCCTAGCTGCCCCAGTCGCGCGTCATAAGCCGTCAGTGCCTGATAGGTACAGTGTGACTTACCATGTAGATACCTAAAAATATACAATTTAGTTAATCATCTTTCTAAATCTGATATATTCTGCACCCTTCTACTCTCCACCACCCGTTCTCCCATTCTCCCATCCTCATATTCGCATTGTCATCATACGCCCCAATTCTTATCTTAGTCCCTCCTTTTTTTTTAAACTCAAATTAATTATTAAAGCTTGAGGAATTGCATACACGATAACTTTAACTATTGGAGCGAATGAGCGAAGAAGCAAGGCCTCTTCTCCTCCCCTCTTATTTCATCATCGTACGTTGCGAAGTACAGTACATCTGATATAATCGCATCATCTCAACACCTGCAACATCGCCATGTTGTTGCGACTACGAGGGCCGGATGGCATGATCCGGATAAATATTGAGAAAACCGACACCTTCGCGGAGCTCGGCCGATTGGTATAACCTCTTCTTTTGTTGTAATCATGCTGCTACTTCGTATGTGTGCTGTTATTATCTGTCTAACTCTTCAGCTTAGCTCGTGGCGCAACTGCCCCCAACCGTCGACCCGAATAGCATCAGCATGTCTCCGGATCCCCAGGCTAAGGATTCGAAAAAATTGGTAGACATTAGGCAATACAAGCTCGCGCAAATAGGATTAAGGTATTGTTACTCGTAAGATCCTAACCGAATATATCGGCAATGTGCTAAATATAAGTGCAGCCACGGGGACTTGATATTCATCAACTACCAACATCAAAACGCCGCCAACGGCCAAACAGATGGCGCCCCCGCGTCATCTAGCACTTTATCTTCCACCAACAGATTAAACGGAAAACCCATCCTGCCTACAGAAGATCTACCGATCGACCCGCCGCCGCTAACGTCGCCTACCAAGATTATCAAAAATCCTTGGGAAGTTGTGAAGCAGTCGCCCCTCGACGACCGGCTAGACAAGCAGGACGGAAAGATCCCTCGAGGTCGAGATCGGATGTGCAAGCATGGGCCCAAAGGCATGTGCGACTACTGCATGCCCCTCGACCCATTTAACCCTCAATACCTCGCCGATAAGAAGATCAAGTATCTATCCTTCCATTCGTATCTTCGAAAGATCAACTCAGCCACAAACAAGCCTGAATTGGGAAGTTCCTTCATCCCGCCCCTGAAGGAGCCTTATTTCAGAGTTAAGAGGGACTGTCCCTCAGGTCATCCTCAATGGCCCGAAGGCATCTGCACCAAGTGCCAACCTAGCGCCATTACCCTCCAGCCGCAGACCTTCCGCATGGTTGACCATGTCGAGTTCGCCTCCTTCGAGCTCGTCAATTCTTTTATCGACGCGTGGCGGAGAACTGGTGCGCAACGGATAGGTTACCTCTACGGCCGATATGCCGAATACTCGGAAGTGCCTCTCGGTATCAAAGCGGTCGTTGAGGCTATATATGAGGTACCCCAAGTAGACGAGGTTGACGGAGTATCGTTGAATGCTTGGGAAAACGAGAGCGCCGTAAATGAGGTTGCGAAGCTATGCGGTCTTGAGCAGGTTGGCGTAATCTTTACAGACTTACTCGACGCAGGTACAGGCGACGGGAAAGTCATATGCAAGCGGCACGCCGACTCATACTATCTCAGCTCTCTAGAGGTTTGCTTTGCAGCACGTTTACAGGCTCAGCATCCCAAGTCTACGAAATGGAGTGATACTGGTAGATTTGGTTCTAACTTCGTTACATGTATTATTTCAGGTGATGAAACGGGCCAAATCGCCATCTCATCGTACCAGGTCTCGAACGATGCTGTGGAAATGGTGCGGGCTGACCTTGTTGAGCCGTCAGCTGATCCCAATGTCATGCTTGTACGAGAAGAGGAAGATGATGGTACGACAAGCCGGACGCGATATATCCCGGAGGTTTTCTACCGAAAAATAAACGAGTACGGCGCAAATGTGCAAGAGAATGCCAAGCCATCTTTCCCCGTTGAATATCTCTTCGTTACACTAACGCACGGGTTTCCCGCGCAACCCAAACCCCTATTCACTTCTTCCAGCTTTCCTATCGAAAACCGTGAGGCCTTAGGGGAGAGCCAACAGCTCACATCGGTTGCTAAGGCACTTCGTGCCGCCGACGATGAGAAGGTCAGATCTCTCTCAGACTTCCACCTCCTCCACTTCATACACGGAATCGGTGTACTATCAAAGGTAAGTATTCACATGTCCTTCTCTGTCAGTATCATGAAAGGTAACAAGTAAGCAGGAAGAGGAATCACTCCTCTGCCGCGCAGCCACGACGCACGACCTCGCCGACACTTACCAACTCTTCTCCCAGCCGGGCTGGCAGACTCTGGAAACCATTCTACAAGAGACTGGTGAGAAACTCCCCAAAAGACTTGATAAGCGCCCTCGTCGTTCAAGTGACGAGGGGGGCCAAGCGTACGGCGGAACGTCCTCCGCCTCGTCGACGTCTTCGTCCGCCCCCAATAACAGAACATCCGGTGGACCGCTTGCTAAGCGCTTTGCTGCCGTTAGGCTGAACGATCGAAACCCCGATGTTCCCTTCTACGATCGCCCCCAATTCGAAGATGTATGAAAATAAAAGCAAAAACAAAACAGAACAGAACACGTGTCAAAAAGAAATAACGGAAGGTGAAAAGATCTAGCTGGCCCGCGTGTTTCGCAATAGGTTCGTGTTCATTCAGAACGACAAAAAAAAGGGGGGAGGGATGACGGGAAAGAAAATAGGCACTGGTCTAACGAGCGGCGAGTTAGGCACATATCTCTCTTGTTGTCCGTCACCCATGCTCGGATAGGGGCAGGGGTTAGGAGAAGGTAAAAGGGGAAGCTCGGCTTTTTTTGTTTTTTGGTGTGTGTACCTAGGTATGCACCTAGAGGGAAGTCGAACCTGGACCAGGTTTTGAGGTGGCTGTGGTAGTACTTCTCCCTATTCGCAATACACGTCTCTGCCGATGAATAGAAAGGTGAATGAAACAAAAACGCTTTAGGAGGTACCTACGACTTTCGTGCAAAGTCATTCTTATCACTTATATAGTATGCATGCATGTTGCTTTATGTCACTTAGCTAGATCTCAAAGAAGCTCGGAAAGCCTTGTTCCTGCACCCAAGACTACGAGACGAGGCCCTGCTATAATTCACATTCTAATATAACAATATAACAACATTCAGATGTTCACCGTAGGTACCTAACTTAACCTGGTATTATTATTCTTTTTTTTTTTTTTTTTTTTTTTTTTTTTTTTTTTTTTTTTTTTTTTTTTTTTTTTGAACTTTCTGTCTCATTCAAGTAGATAGATACTCTAGCAGACCTAAATCTACCGTCCTACCTACCTACCTAAATTACCCTTCTGCTTCTTTTTTAAAATACCCAGCAGCCTCCCTTCTCTCTCTCTCTCTCTCTCTCTCTCTCTCTCTCTCTCTCTCTCTCTCTCTCTCTCTCTCTCTCTCTCTCTTTCTGTCCCTTTCTCTCTTCCTATCAGGAGAGGTGGAGTGCCGTATGAATGGGGTAAAAAAAAAAGTTTGGGAAATCGTTCACCTTTCTTTCCCCTTTTTTGGCCTTTTTCACTTTTGACCCGTCCGCCTCCTCGAGCAAGAAATCCCAGCTCAACGCCTATAAGTTTTTTTCCGGTGGGTTTTTTTTTTCGTTTCTTTTATTTGATAGGAACGATAGAGAAAACATCGCGGTGGTGGTGGTGGTGCGATAGGTTTTTTCTTTTTTCTTTCTTTAGTATAGATGTGTAGATGTGGAAATTGTTTACGAATTCCGGGTATCAGGTAAGGACGTAGGTAAATTACAAGGGCTTACCGCCCAGGAACTCAGACCACCGGCGGACTTCGGACGGGATGCCTTCCTTGCGGGGGAGCTTCTCGTTCATGCATTGGGCGAAGAGCATCGCGGTCTAAAATAAAGAGAGAAAAGTTAGCTTGTCTGAAACCATGATATAAAAGAAATATAATATATATATAAGGGGGGGTGGGGGTAAAAAGGGAGGGCAGCTTACCTGAGGCTCCATAAACAGCGGAACGCCAAAGTCGACAGCGTTTCGGCGCATCACATAGTCGACGTCCATAGTAGTCTTAGCCCGAGCCAGAGCCAGGTTGAATACACCGCGGATGTCGTACTTCTGGAAGACTTCCCGCAGTGCTCGCTTGTCTTCCCTGGGGAACTCAATTACCTCCACGGCGACCTTGTCCTTGGTAGTAGACTCGATGAACTGCTTGACGTCTTGGCCGGCAGCGTAGAATTTGTAACCGAGAGGCGACAGGTAGTCGACGACCTTGGTGAGCCAAGGCTTCGAGGTTTCACCGCCAAGGAGGATACCCTCGCCAGGCTCGGGAACGCGGAAGTTCATAGCCGACTGGAGGGATGTCCAGTAGGCCTCGACGAGATCCTTACCGAAGCAGGCCATCTCTCCCGTGCTAGCCATTTCGACACCCAAGAAAGGATCAGCACCAGCAAGACGAGTCCAAGAGAACTGAGGGACCTTGGTAGCAAGGTAATCCCTCTTGACAGCCATCGGATCGGTAGGGTCGGGAACGTTCTTGCCCACAAGAGCCTTGGTGGCAACGTCAATGAAGTTGGTGCCGAGGACCTTGCTGACGAAGGGGAAGGATCGAGACGCTCGAAGGTTGCACTCGATGACCTTGAGTGCTGGCTCTCCACCCTCGGGGTTATCGGCTTTGATGATTTGCATGTTGAACGGACCGGTGATGTTCCAAGCCTTCGCAACTTTCTGGGCAATCTCCTTTAGGCGCTCCATGGTCCTGTCGTCCAAGTTGACTGGAGGAAGGACCAGTGTGGCATCACCAGAGTGAACACCTGCATGCTCGACGTGTTCACTGATAGCGTGGAGGATCAGGTTACCTTGGTGGCCAACACCGTCAACGTCAATCTCTTGCGCACCCTCAATGAACTTGGTAATCACCACTGGGTGATCCGGAGACACACTGCTGGCAGCCTCAAGCTTGTCCTTCAGATCCTCCTTGCTTCTAATGACAGTCATGGCAGCACCAGAAAGAACGTAGCTAGGGCGAACCAAGACAGGGTAGCCAACCTGTTCAGCGAACTTTTCGGCATCAGCAACGGAAGTCAGCTCCTTCCAGGCGGGCTGATCAACCCCGATGCTATCCAGAATCTCAGAGAACTTCTGTCGGTCTTCGGCCTTGTCAATGTCCTTAGGGTCAGTTCCAAGGACGTTAGCCTTGCCGGTCTCCTGAAGACGCAGGGCAATGTTCTGCGGGAGCTGGCCACCAACGGAGACCACGACACCAGATGCGTTTTCTAATTCGTAGATATCCATGACCCTCTCGTAGCTGAGTTCTTCGAAATACAACTTATCAGCTGTGTCGAAGTCAGTCGAGTAAGTCTCGGGGTTATAGTTGATCATGACAGTCTTCTCGCCCATGTCCCTCAAAGCAAGGGTGGCACTAACGGCACACCAGTCAAATTCGACTGAGCTACCGATTCTGTACACACCGCTGCCAAGGATCACGGTACCCTTATCCTCGAAGGTTACGTCGTGAGAACTGGCGTTATAGGTGGTGTATAGATAGTTAGTGTCAGCAGGGAATTCGGCGGCCAGGGTATCAATCTTCTTAACCCAAGGTCGAATGCCCATGCTTAATCGAAGAGCACGGACGGCGTCTTCGTTGCTCTTAACAGCGTTTGCAATCTGTTTGTCGGAGAATCCCATCTTCTTAGCCTTGAGGAGAAGGTCTCGCTTCAGACCCTCTAGGCTGCCAACTGCTTCCATTTCCCTAGTGCAGTCAACAAGGTTCTGAAGCTTGTACAAGAACCACTTGTCGATCTTGCTTAATTCGTGGACTCTCTCAACTGTGTAACCCTCATGGAGCATGGCCTGGCCGACAGCTAACCACCGACGGTCCGTTGGGTGTGAGAGTTCATAGTCAAGATCCTCAAATTTATCGCCTTGGAAACCAACGAACCTGGGATCAACTTGGCGAATAGCTTTTTGGAATGACTCTTCGAAAGTTCGGCCAATAGCCATAACTTCTCCGACAGACTTCATAGCACTACCGATATCACGCTTGACGTGCTGGAACTTAGACAAGTCCCAACGGGGGATCTTCGTTACGATATAATCAAGAGAAGGCTCAAAGTTGGCAGTCGTGGTCTTGGTGACAGCGTTTGGTAGCTCAGGCAAGCTATGACCTAGACCAATCTTCGCCGCAGTGTATGCTAGTGGGTAGCCAGTAGCTTTTGAGGCAAGGGCAGATGAACGGGAAAGACGGGCGTTGACCTCAATCACCCTGTAGTCAAGACCGTCTGGCTGAAGAGCATATTGGACGTTACACTCGCCAACAACACCGAGGTGGCGGACGATCTTGATAGCAGCCGATCGAAGCATGTGATATTCCTCGTCGCTGAGTGTTTGACTGGGCGCAACAACAATCGAGTCACCCGTGTGAGTTCCTAAGGGGTCGAAGTTTTCCATGTTACAAACAGTAATGCAGTTGTTGTTTGCATCACGGACGACTTCGTACTCAACTTCCTTCCAGCCCTTCAGCGACTTCTCGACGAGGATTTGCGGCGAGAGAGTTAGAGAGCGGGCTGCCATGTTACGAAGCTCTTCTTCATTGTTGGCAAAACCAGAACCTAGACCACCCAGCGCGTAGGCAGCACGGACGATAATAGGATATCCGACCTTATTAGCAGCATCTAGAGCATCGTCAACGGTGCCAACGGCAATTGACTTCGCAATTGGAATGTCAATCTCGTTGAGGGCTTTGGCAAACAAGTCTCTGTCCTCACTCAACTCCAAGGTGTGAACACTCGTGCCGAGAACCCTGACGCCATATCGCTCTAATATGCCCATGCGCTGTAGTTGCACACCCAGGTTCAGCGCAGTCTGTCCACCAAAGGACAGGAAGATACCATCAGGTCGTTCCCTCTCAATAACGTAGGATACATACTCAGGGGTGACAGGAAGGTAATATACTTCGTCAGCGAGGACGTGGTTGGTCTGGATAGTGGCAATATTAGGGTTTATGAGGACAGATGCCACACCGGCCTCCTTAAGAGCCTTAAGCGCCTGTGATCCTATACAAAGCTGGATGTTAGCATCAATGTGGTCGGTTATAGTATGAGTCACTCCCAGCAACCAAGCCGGCTTGGTTGCTGGGAGTGATATTGCAGCACCAACCTGAATAATCGAATTCTCCAGCTTGTCCAATGGCTAAACCACCACTGCCAATGACTAACACCTTCTTAACATCCACGACGTCTCTTGGTTTTATGACGCCACTCTCCAAGTAGGCTTTTGGGTTTGGCGCCTCTTGAGCAGTAGCTGCATTTCCGGCAGAGCAGAGGGCTGTGACAGAGAAATTCCTCCCTTGTGAGAACCCAGCTTTTCGGGTGGAGAGAAGCTGAGAAGGAGCCCGGAGACTCGCTGTGGTAAGTGGTCTCCGGGTGATAGGTAGTTGTCGGGCATGTCGCAACAAAGCAGGTGCTCGACCCGCGAATTTGGTTGAGAGAGCCATGGCAAGCTAGGAGCTTATGAGTGCTCGTGAGGTGCTCGTGAGGTTGCTCGTGAGATGCTCGTGAAGTTGGGGAGATTTAAAAGGGACGAGGTCTTGCGAGACCAGAATTTGGAGCTCCCTACTCCCAATTGAAGTCAATTGAGCTTCTAGGGGGATATGGATCCTTTGCGCCCTTATGACTCAAATTATATCTGAACTAAAACATTCAACAAGTCTCGAAAAGATCCGGTCCTTGTGTCTAATAAGTTGATAAAATTCAGGGCATGCGCCTATCGATGTATAGATAAACCCGATAAGGATAGAAAAAAAGAGGCGCTAAGGGCTCCGCTAAAAAATTGAGCTGCGATTAACGGAGGCAGGGTTGAGGGAAAGCAGGGAAGAGGAGAGCTAATTTCTTGGCAGATCCGATCCAGTGGGATACGGTATAAGTTAATTGGAAAACCTTATTCGAATCGGAACTCTATCTCGCTTTTTCTCGATTACGTAGGTGAGGTACTTTACCTAGGTACTTCCACTTTTTAGTAAAGCATAATGACGTCGTCTGTAAAGTAGTAGTATTTTTGTATTAAATTAGGGTATACCTTTAGGTACCTGACTTCTATAGGTATTGTACCTTACCTATAACCTTACCTACCTATATACCGATTTAATATATGTATGTTGTGATTTTTCATAATTACTCCAATAGAATTCAAAGATTAGAGGAACCTCTCGAACCTCTTTTGTAAGATGGCCTCACCATTCCTCGTTTCCTTTCTCGGTGCTGTGCAGGCTTCGCTGTCAGTATTATTGACAATTGGTTGCGGTGTTATCGCTGCTCAGTTTGGCCTAGTCACGACGGAGGCCGCTGAAGAGATATCACACCTCTGTGTCAATGTGCTGCTACCTTGCTTGTTGATCACTAAATTGGGATCCGAGTTGCATCTGGACACAGCAGTTAACTATGTTCCTATTATCAGTACGTATGACATATGTCCATCACATAAAAATCTCCAGATGACCCTCTAACCCCTTATTAATCTGGGCCATTCTTTTTACCCTTACATCCATTGCCATTGGAAAAGCAGCAGTATCCTTCTTTCGCTTACCAAAATGGGCACTGCCTGCTATTGCCTTCAATAATACCGAATCTCTTCCTTTGCTGTTGCTTCAGTCGCTAGAGACAACTGGAGTATTGGCATCTTTAGTTGGTGCTAACCAGGCATCTGACGGAATTGATCGAGCACGCACGTACTTCCTTGCCTGCTCGGTTGTCAATAATACTATAACATTTAGCCAAGGCGCGAAGTGGATAACTGGCGAGCAGCATGAGCATGACGATTCAACAAACCCCGAGAGCCGACAAGTCCGTGAGAATGGCCTGGGTGGTGATTCACCCGTTGACTCTGAAAATGACGGCGGGTCGGATGACCCTACTGAGCGCACATCTCTTCTCCCAAGGAAAGTTGTCTTCTGGGAACGCAGAATAGGAAACGAGCTTACATTGAAGTTTCGAAGCTATCTTAAAGCCAGTCCGAAACTAGTTCAAAAAAACGCTTTCGGCTATGGGGACGATCCTCAATCCGCCGTTTATCGGTGCAGTCATTGGGATGATAATAGGGCTCACACCGCCCCTGCATCGAATTTTCTTCGACGACATAGAGGAAGGCGGATATTTCAATGCGGTGCGTACCAGTAGTAAACCGTATCAAGACCAACTGCTCTCTTCACTTACATTCGCCTATCACATGGATATTGCCTGCCGCACAACTGACAAAACCACACTCACACTTTACATCCCCTTGCCTTTTTTTTCTTTATAGAAATCTAGTCGACCATGGTAGAATGACTGAAAGTTCTCGAATGGATATGATATTAACATACGTATTTAGTGGCTCACCACTAGTTTGAAGAACGTCGGAGAACTATTTGTTTCTCTCCAAGTTGTCGTCGTTGGTGTTAAACTAAGCTTAAGCCTCCGATGAATGAAAGAAGGCGAGGAAGCGGGTACAATGCCTCTAGGTACCGTTCTGTCTATAACCTTCGTCAGGTTCATACTCTGGCCAGCGTAAGTTTTGCTTAGCTTCCGATCTAATGCCATGCTCACATCCGCTATAGTATTAGCATACCCCTTATCTGGGCCCTGGCAGCTTACACTGATATACTTCCAAATGATCCAATGCTATGGTGGGCTTTAATGATGATGCCTATCGGTCCTACCGCGATGAAGGTCCTTGCGTTGGCCGACATCAGCGGAGCAGACCAGAAGATACGGATGTCAGTAGCTAAATTCCTGACGGTAAGTATTATTACACCCAAATCTCACAGCATTTATGAAGTTGGGGCTCAGGCCCAGGCTTACTACCATCACAGCTTTCATATATTATAACCCCTATAGTATCGTTTGCAGTTGTGGGAGCTTTGGAAGCCGCAAAAGCTGCAAAGGGATGATTCGCGTGTGGATAGTATAAAATAAACCAAGAGGTAATGCAATACAACAGGTCAAATAGATTGTACATGAAATTATATAAAAATATAACAGATTACGTTTGGAAAACAGAATAGTGCTCCAAGATTCCAACCTCATAAAGTTGTTCAGCCAATTCTTTAACAGGTACTTTGTACGAAGAGGTACTTACATAAGGAGGTACCCAAAGTTTCTATTTATTAAGACTTTGCAGTTAACAAATTCTGGGGGTTATGAATTTAAGCGACCAATTTAGTCAGCTACCCGAAATGCTGCTCAACCGCCACAGGTACATCCTGTGGCACGGATAGTACGGCTGCCTTATTTTACGTACTGTACTTACATGTATGTACATTTATGTATGTACATAGCTATGTACCTATGCACACGGCGCTCTCAGGCTTCCACTTTAACATGATGCTCAGCTTCCCATCTTGTGGCTTTGCAATTCCTTTGAAAATCAACGCCGCAAATACCAAATACCACCCTCTCCCTATCTTGTCGCCATTAATTCCACCCCCCACCCCCCCCCAGCGCCTGCGCAATAGGCAACTCATTCACATTTCTATGACGGCCTCGCAGCATGTAAAAACACATTTACCGGTGGCTTCTCACGTCGACTGAGGTGGAGCTATGAACAATGCTTCCACCCCGACCACGCCGGCGGAACCTCATCGTATGTCCCACGATCGTCGAGAGGACAACGCCGATGGCTCACCACTTTCCACAGCCTCCGAGCAGAGTCCCGACGGCGACACTACTACTACCCAGAACCCGTCGCTGTCCCAGGCCGCAAAGGATGGCCTTACAAAAAAGCTTCATTTCATGAAGCATTTAAGTATCAGCTTAGATACCATAGTCTATGCTGAGTTATGTGCGCTATACTATATGGAGTATGATAAAACCCTCTTTGCTCTAATGTCGCTAAATAGAAAACTTAACCGTCTATTATTGGAACCGCTAACCTAATATACCTATCTAGCTGTTCATTCTTCCGACTGTTGATTCGATGGGTTTCTCAAGCCCTGTTCATAAGCCCGAAGGCTGAAGATTCCATTCTGATGATACCCAACTATCACGTCTCCGCAATCCTCGGTCCCAACTTTATATGTATATTATTACATCTGCTCACGTCATTACCCCAAGCCGGCGAGGCGTCTCGAGGTTATCTCCACGGTGGCATACTTTTCGATTTTATTGGGCAAAAGGCGCCGTCTTCTAAATTCTCCCTTCTCCTACTGGATATCTTGATACTGGGACTGCAATGCTTTATGTTGACTGTGAACATCGAGAAAGAAAGAGTGCGCAAGGTGGTAAAGCCGAGGAGGCAGATAGATCGCCTAGAAACCACTGCGGAGGAGACTGCTACTACTCCTACCGGGCAGGATCACGATGCGGAGGAGCGAGGAGTTTTACGGGATGCGCCTATGGTGGATGAGACAAACGATGTCGAAATGCAATCTTTGGGAGGCAGAAATGGTAATGGCAATGAGCGCAACACAGAAGAGAGGGTTGGCCTATTAAGACAAGCCACCGCTTCTACAAGCGACCTTGAGAGTTTATTTGACACTTTGAGATCTGGCAATGCTGTCCTGGCCAATTTCAATATCCGACAGTCACTGCGGAACGCCTGGCATACCCGGGCAAACTCTCCCGAAAGCGCAGCCGCCTACGCCATACAAAATGTTGGATATAATGCGACGCTCGCGGCCTTGGCAGCACAAAGGAGAGCGAGACAAGCCTCAGCTCAGCCAAGGCAGCCATAAATAGTTGTTAAAATACCAGTGTATAAATTTCAAGGATATCATTACTACGCAGTCTTTCTGCCCACGTTGCCGACTCCAGTCCCCTTTACCGAAACTATTATTTCACCCGAGTCGTCATCTTCGGCGTCCCGAAGCCCCCAACTACTGGCTCCGAATTTTCTTAAATCTCGTGCCAGTCCTATAATCTGTTCCGTCCCCACAACATCTCTTCCAAGACGTAAACGTCCAACATCCTCAGATCCCATAGCCATCAGCGTCAAGACGGTTGGCGCAGCAGCTTCGGTTACACAACCTCCCAAACTTATTGTCTCTAAGAGCTGGTATGCGCATCTCTTCCCAATATCCTCAGGAATTATTCCTCCTTTGGGTGGTACTACAACGTCTGCCGAGTATAGTACGCCCACAGCGCTGGATTCCGCAACCAAGCTAAGACCAAATCCGATGCCCAGCCTTTTCTTACTTCCCGGTTTATCTGTCGCATCCGGGACCAACGGCGCCTGATCGTATTGCGCGGCGATATGTATGTCTGACACGAAAGGGTTGAGTATTTCACGCGCAGAGTGTATCATGCGAGCGTTATTTGACGCCGACACACCGGTTGCATATGCAACGCCTCGTATCCTTTTTATCCTGCCGGGGCTTCTGTTTAGATGTAATGTCTTTGGTAACCGAACCTGGCTCGCAAATCTTAGTTCGACGATACCCGCGCCGCCGGTCCCGTGAGGCCCGGCGCATGATCGCTGAAGCACCCGCAGCTCTATCCGGGCTGCGGGAATGCCAAAGAGGTTATATAGGGGTAGGATTGCTGTACGGAAGGAATCGACCGAAAGGTCACCCGTCTCGGTGGCTGACGTTATGACGCCCGGCCCTGTAAAGCGGACATTCATATGTGATTTAGAGAATGGCGCGAGGAGGCATAGCGGTAGGAGGAAGTAGGTAACGCCTCGCGAACAATTTGCGGGTAGGTGGTGTTCGAGGACGTCGTCTGTAGCGCCAAAGCCCGGTATGGCGCCCGTGATCAAGCCAGGTTGATACGTTATCGTGGTACCCGTGTAGGATATCTGCATAGAACTGCCATTGGTGACGGCTTCTAGTAAACGGAGGAAGGAGATCTCATGCGGGGCGAGACCAGGATTCGTGGGGGAGTTGGAACGGATCTTGGAGATATGTACGGGCCGTCCTGTTAATGTCGCAAGTACTAGGCGCTGAGTGAAGGATTTGTGGCCTGTGAACTTGACGAACTCCGGTCTTGGGGTCGACATCGTTCGTTGTAATTTAGATTGGTCGAGGTTGCGCAAGTGATTTGTCAAACGCGCACCCCGTCGTTGATAAGTTTAGAGATGGGATGGGAAGAAATTCTGCCGTATCAGCTCCCGAAGAAAAATTGATAGCTAGGTAGCCCGTAACGATAAACTAAAAAATTAACTACCTAAGGCAAAGGCGGTCAATGTGTACGTGCCAAATTTAGTAACTGTGGCTTGTGAAAATGTGCGGATCTGTTGGCGCTTAGATAGGTACATACATACAAGGTACCTAACATAGTGTACCTAGTTACACGAAGGTACGTACATCCTACAGGTGGTACCTACTAGGGATGGGCATAATGCGCATAATAGAATTATTATGCGTCATTATATACATAATGCGTAATATGTACATTATACACATAGTATAATAGAATATTAGCGTAATTACATCAGCAACGTTAAGTGCAGTCGTTTAGATCAAGAAAAGATTAATAAGTTGCCTTTTATCCACGTAAATTCAAATATACTAGCTAAGATACGAGGTAAATTACCCTTATAATCATTAGAAAGCTTAAATGAATTAAAGTAAGAGGAGCCAGGTAAAAGAAATTCAAAGTGAGGCCGTAGTAGAGGTTTGAAAATAAGGCCTAAATGTAACTTCGTTACAATAGTGTGCCGGATAATTAAGGGTCCGTATTCCGTCATGTGCATAATACTTCTATTATGCGTCATAATGTTGCATTATACGACATTATACGCTAAGCGTATAATGTCAATCCCATCCCTAATGAAAAGTGTCAAGATCCCGACTGCCAAAAAGGGCACATGCTAATTGCCTACTTCGGCTGCATTTCGATATTTTATCAAAACGGTGTCTTTCACATTTCACATCTCTCTCTTTTTTTTTCCACATTTTCCCAGTCTACACCATTTGACTGAGCACACAAGATGTTCGACATAGATTGGATGAGCCTTGCGCTCCCGTTTGCATATATCGGTGTTCTTGGAGGTTCCTTGTACACATTTTCGACAGTTTATCGAAAACGCAAGGCTTGTATGGCTTTCCCTGCAATCGCCTCTCAAGACAAGCGCCCGCATAACTGACAAAGAAATCTACAGCCGAAAATGCGAATCTCGAGCCGTGGTTCCCGCCGCATCTGCAACGGAATATCTACCTGACTCTGCTACATATGGAGCCCGAAGCCGGTCAAGAGAAGGCGCCGAAAGTCCCCGATAGCGTCATCCGGGCCGCGCTGCTGCGGAGAGCTGTCGAGGACATCCGTCGCATCATCCACATCCGAACCTCGAAGCAGGCCCTTAACAGCTTACTGCAGCGGGGCAGCGTCGGTGAGGATCTGAACCAGAGATTTTTGAGGGCCGAGAAGGAAATCGAAGAGGAACTCCGCGACGTAGTAACAGAGGTAAGAACAAAGATCAGATCATTTGGGAATAATATAATATATTATAAATACTATACTATACTATACTATACTATACTTTCTCCCCGCCGAAGCGTGCGCGCATATTCGTGCTAACTCAATCATCCAAAGGCCAACGCTCTTTCTCCCGGCTGGGGCCAGACCATCTTCCAGTCGGCAAACGAGATCATGGCGAACACGGTGCTGCGCGCGGGGCTCGAGGAGATCGAGAGCCGGGGGGAGGCGGACAAGGAGTGGTGGGAGAAGCGGCGCGAGGCGATCCAGAAGGACTTCATGCGGGAGCTGGACGAGGAGTCGTCGACCAAGGGCTCCTCCGTCAAAGGTAGCGACGATGACGCGGTGCTGGTCGACTCGGGCTCTTCTCCTACTACGCCCAGCAAGAAGAAGAAGGGCAAGAAATGAAACGAGAACAGATAAACGACCAAACGAACAAGTAATCAACCTTTTGGAATCTGGGAGGAGGGGAAGCGGACGAAGAGAGTCTCTTCCTGTTTGGCAGCCATCCTGCACCGGTACCTACCTCCTAACATAGTATGTATTAGCCGGTGGGCATGTTTTGCATTGCATCCGGCGTTCAGGTGCGGGGGTTTACGAAGGGCTATTGTGCGAGAGAGCACGACTGTATTTACGTAGGTAGACTGACTACCATGCTGGGCTTGTAGGTATTAGTACGAAGAAAAAAAGAATTGCAGCATGATTTAAAGGTTGGAATATGATGTTTACTCCTTGGCCACTTAGTGTATTAGGTATTGAGCTCATCTATTCCGTATATCTTGATTAGATTGAGAGACTGCTCTAGCTATAAGATAGTGCTGCGATATCTGGCTCTATGGAATATTCGCGGGAGGTTTCCCATGATAGAAGATATATTCTTGCATTGACAATATAGGGGAACAAACGACGTAAGTGAGGAGAAAGTCCAAGTCCAAGTTCTACTTATATGTTACGCCCTCCGCCCTGGTATAGCGGTTTGCTTCAGCATAGTTGTCAAGTATGCAATAATCCCAATAGACTGTTTTCTCTACTTATCCCATTATTTTAGTATTGGGTCTTGTGACATTTAGGCTACCTCAGCATCATTCATAGTAATGTTTCCAGGAAGAACTGCCTTTAACCATTTAGAAGAAAGGTCTCATAACGCATCTTGTAAGGGGTAGGTAATACTCATGGTCGTAAGATAGTATCACGGCCCGACGGATACATAGTATACAATGGAACTATCGTAAAATCTACAGCAACTAGTTGTTATATAATACACCTTGTACAATATGGAGGTTTGTTCTAAGTCATTAGTACAACATGCAGATAGATGCTTTCTCATGCTCCTAAGCTCCCGTCTTACGTGCTCGTCATCATTACAACTCATCGTCTCAATTCACACTGATTCTAGCGGTACCCTACGCCGCAGCTATATCACGCACCATTTTCCATTTGAAATACGTATAAAAGTCAAACCGGAAACAGCTGTTCTATATGATCTCGGATACTAACTAGAAGTTGTATATTCTAGAGCTTAGTTTTAAAGCCGGCTTACATGCACGAGAGTCGTTTTAGGATGTCAGTGATAAGCCAATAAATTTTTATTTTTTTAATAAAAAAAGAAGAAAGAAAGAAGGCTTGCGAGGTAAATTTAAAGTAGCAATTCTCCCCAGATTGCCCGGTTTCGATTAACTGACTGTGGTTCTAAATAGGAGTCGACGCTGGCAGGTGAGAATAGGTGAATATAGTGTAAACACTTAGGTATATAGTAATGTGATGTAATATAAAATACACTAAACCCACTAAGGCAATACAAGGATGAAGGATGGCCTTGGCTCTACGGTTTAGCATGGAATGGGTAATAAATTCGATACTGTGTTCCATTGACGTCTACCTATTTTTTTTTAGGTACAACCAGGGTACAGATACTAGCCGTAGCGCATAAAGCTTGCGCATTAAAGCTGCTAAGCCGAGTTAACCATCCACTACAACTACTTACATTTAACACCATCCGAGCAAATCGCACGCATTACATTGCATGGTTTTTTCTTTTTTTTAAAAAAAAAAGAAGAAAGAAAAAACATAAAAAAACTATAAACCACCCAAGCTACCGCTTCTTTCCAGGTTTGATTTATAGACGTACGAGAGACAATGGCTGATCCTCAACCTGGACCGGGTCTATCCTTTCCCACAGATCCGAACGAATTCGATCAGGACGAACGAATTTCTTTCTCCAAGCTCGACAACAAATACATCGCCGTGCAGGACGATGGGAGCGAGTTCGAGTGGGATTACCAGTTAAAACGGTGGATACCCGTGGTTGACGAGGAGTTGCTCGCCCAGCAGCAGCTAGCTTACGGGGGTAGCGCGAGCCCAGACAACGAGCAGGACAACGGCAACAACAAGAAGCGCAAGCAAGACGACCAGAACGGCCGCGGGGATGGCCCAAGGAGTCAGCAACAGCGTCCCAAGAAGCGCCAAAAACAGCCCCCGCAGCCGCGCCAGAACACGGCCATCTACGTCACCGGCCTGCCGCTCGACGTGACCGTGGACGAGGTGCACGACGTGTTCTCGCGCAAGTGCGGCGTCATCGCCGAGGAGATCGACAGCGGCCGCCCGCGCATCAAGCTGTACACGGACGAGAAGGGGAACTTCAAGGGCGACGCGCTGATCGTCTTCTTCAAGCCCCAGAGCGTCGACATGGCCATCATGCTCCTCGACGACACCGACTTCCGCTTCTCCTCGTCCGGGCTCGCCAGCGGCCGCATGCGCGTCCAGGCCGCCGACTCCAGCTACAAGAAGATGAAGTACGAGAACGAAGCAGCGTCGGCGTCGGCGCCGAACGGCGGGGACGCCGGCAATAACAATAACAACAATAATAATAATAATACCAGCGAAGCTAACGCGGACGACGGCACTGCGACGAGCGAGCGCAGCAAGCGTATCCTAGGAGGCGGCAAGGCGCCCGACCGCGCGCGCGAGGCGGAGAAGCAGAAGATCATCAAGCGGACGCAGAAGCTGGACGCGAAGCTGGCGGACTGGGACGACGACGACCCGTACGGGGCGCAGCTGGAGATGGGGTCGCGGCGGGAGCGGGTGGTGATCCTGCGGCACATGTTCACGCTGCGGGAGCTGGAGGAGGACCCGGCGGCGATGCTGGAGATCAAGGAGGACATACGGGAGGAGTGCTCGAAGCTCGGCGCCGTGACGAACGTGGTGCTGTACGACCTCGAGGAGGAGGGCATCGCGAGCGTGAAATTCAAGACCCCCGAGGCCGCCGAGGCTTGCGTCCGCCTCATGGACGGCCGCGCCTTCGACGGCCGCACCGTCCGCGCTACCGTCGCCACGGGCCGCGAGCGCTATCGCAAGTCGGGCAAGAAACAGGGCGACGAGGCGGATGCTGATGACGGGAATGATGACTGACCTACCTGACTGATGCGTAAAGATGGATGTTGGATGGGATGGGATGGGGTAGCTCCGCTGTTGCGGTGGTGCTGCTACCTACCTAGGTAGGTACTCATTTATTCTTACTTAATATCACGGAGGCTGTGCTTGCTTATTGTGTGTATTATACGCTGCAGCAAGGCAGACGCCGCGGGAAGGAGGGTATTATGATTGATGTACGATTATTTAGGACTGGTATCAGCGACCGGTGAGGTTTTTTTTTTTGGCTCCTTTTTTTAGCATGGGTTTACTTAAAAAGTTGTCCCCAAAACACCTTTTGTTTTTTTCTTTAGGGGACGATATTTGGTGCTAAAGGGGAAGCATCACACAATTAAAGTAAAAAAATGCTGTCCCCCTCGAGGTTATTAAAAACTACAAGAGTTCGGTTTGAGATCGTATAAGTGACTGAGTTAGATGGTCTTATCTCAGCGGTCTTGCCGACTTATTAAGCTATGTAAACGACTTAAGATTGAGTAGACATCTCTACGAGCACGCCCTATACATGTGTGTGTTACTCATGGGTGTACTCGTCCAGTTGGCAACTCAGGAATTAAAAAAAGTATTTTTGTATTGTCGACATAAAGTCTACTCTTAAGTGATATTGTGTTTTGACCTTGATCTCTCGTGATTTGCCGGCTCATTTCCAACGTCAAGGAGCGATCTAGGCAACCTAGTACTTAGGAGTATTCGCGTACTCTGTACGTTGTAAGACTTTCAGCTCTAGTCGCCCGGTTTGCGTATCACCATGTAATAGACTAATAGTTCAAATTTCCCCTGCGACGTCCAGTTTCATATCCTTTGCCCTAACCCAGTAACCAGCAGCTTCAATGATCTGGCACACGACTCTCAACTCGTCCGTCGACCGAGGAGCATACACCATCGTAAATTGCTTGGGAACAGGCATCTTCAGCATGCACTGGCTCGTCAGAGGATGGCGTTGGCCCCAGCCCTTCTCGATAACCTCCTTTATGTCGTCCGGGTGCAGATTGAGGTGCATCGAATGGTCCGAGTCGTGCACATGGCAGATCTCGCCCTGGCAGGTCTTGTTGACGGGATATCGCGCAAATAAACCCAGACCATGCTTCTCGAAGCACGAGGTGCCTACTCCCACCTCTTCCGAGTGATCGCGGCTGTGGGACTCTAAGATACGTCGCAGGGACAGGTAGCACTCTCGTGATCCGAACTGGTTCACCTGCCGCTGCGGAGCGATTCCGACGACTTTGGGGCGCAGCCCGCAGCGATAGGGAAGGGGGTTTCTGCGGAGGATCCCGACGGCTGGGTGTACGTCCGGGTCTGCTGGAAGAGCGTTGAAAGGGTCTCGGCAAGCCCAGAGTTTGAGCCAATTGATACGAATGTACCCAGGAAATGTGGCCGGCGTGCCTCCAGGGCCAAGCTTGAGGTAGTTCTGGTAATCGTTGTGGACGAATATAACGGCCGTGGTTATACATATAAGAAGAGCTACAGTTGAGGACTGGAGCAATTGCGTGCTGAGAATCAGCGAGATGGCAATGACGAAGATAGCTGGCCCATCCAATGTCACAGATAGAGGGTCTTGTCTAATAGTTACGTTAATGGCTAGAGGGTCACCATGACGAGTAGGACAAATGTCGGTAGGAGATGAGGATCTCGCCGTGTCAGTCCTTATAAGTGTATGGGACATAATGTAGAGTAGATTATTTGGGTATTTATTGACAAGACCATACGAGTAGAATGAAGCCTGTTTATCATAGAGGGGAATACCTGGATGAGCAAGAGTTGAAGAAATATGTATTGGGGAAGGAAGCCAACTGAGAGCCTAAAAGCCACTTGAAGTCTTGCTCGTGGAGTAGACTATTAAGGCAAGAGAAAAGAGACTTGGGGAGGATTTTATAGTTCATTCAAGAAGGAATAATAGACATGGAGACGTGAATTGACCAGCTGATTTCTGCCCGAGGTCGAGTGATAGGAAGAAAGCCAAGAGCAAGCGCGTACATGGGTTGTACATGTTCAAGCTCCTAGTTGCGACTTGTCAGCGGAATCGGTATGCAAACCTTGACATACATGTAACCCGTAACTCGAGACAACCGAGAGCGTCTATAGAGAAAAATGGCCACTTGGACTCCCGCACGTAACATAAGGTCTCCAGTGACCGTCCACACATTCATACACGTTTAGAGGTATTGGTCCACAGTTTAGGTGGATTCAAGATGGAAACTTGACATAACCATGGCCGAGGGTTGACGAAATGGTGATGTATTACATCTCCTCGCCATGAAATAGACTTTAAAATCGATGTAGTCCAGTACCTAAGATTCCAACTTGGGCGCAGTAATATAAGGCGAAAAGTCGCGTGACTTCACGCAACTGTAAAAAGCTGAGTTTGCTGCGTCTATGTGATCGGACCTGCAGATATGCGCAACTATATACTGTCCAAGGTAGCATTTGCTCTTCATTTTCGGCTGCAGGTGAGAGCCCGCAGTCGGAGACGACGTCGCAACTTTGCTCCAAGCGGCTGCAACGAGGCGTTCCGGATTATATCCAGACGTAGCATCGTCCAGTAAGGACGAGTACCGGCTACGGATCGATACCATTGGCGTCCCGAGGCTGCAAGGAGGTACAAGTGGCTGCAAATCGTCGTTCCTATGAATACCCGATATGCTCCCAGGGTGTATGTAGATATTTCTAAGACATGTAGGCCTGCCTAGGCAATTGTGGGTGATCGTAGTTCAGCTTCATGCATGCAGTGAACTTGTATACATACCAGGGCACATCGGGTGCCATCTTAATAGTTTGCTAAACTTGTGTGGTGTTCACAGCCACGTGGGCGATATAGTATTGAGGCTCTCTCGATTTGTTTTCCTCTTTGTACTTGAACATGTTACGGATAAAGTTGCAGAATAGGCCGATAGACCATACGAATTCTCACTCAATTAGCAAACATTAAGTGAAGTTATGCCAATGTTGAAGTACAACATATAACCGCCGGTGCGACTTATACATACCTAGGTAGTATTAAAAGAACGGATTTGACAAGTCAGTTTAAGGGTTTCGATATTATGTGCGGTATGCAGTATGAATGCAGAAGCAGCACAAATGAAGCATGTAATAAGTCAATGAAGGCTTAGGTAACTTCACTTATCCGAACCGTGGTCCGTCATTGGGCGTTTACCTAACAAAGATGCATTACTTCGTACTTTTGATTGGCCCATCAACAATTACGTCGTTTGCTTAGGTACTAGGTAGTGTACACTATAGCCGTGTAGTTGAAGTATTGAAGTACCCAGGTACCTGCAACGCACCTTCCTACGGTTGCCAGGTCGTTAACATGACAGGGGTGACAGCAGGGATAAGGGGGAAGTGGCCATTGGACCGAAAAGGAGAAAGCGGAATTCTCAAAACAAATCATCATCAACTTACCTATCGATTACGAATCTCCCCTCGACTACATAGTACCTAAGGTAGGATTTTATACTTCCCTCGTGTTTATTTATTTTTATTTATGTAAACTCGAAATCAGTATCTCCAGACTCTCCAGACTCTCCAAACGAGTGGATCTGATAAAACGCCAATATCAAGTATACCACAAATATTAAACATATCTGTGGATAGGTATACATATGTCGCGAATCTGTCGCTTCGGTACCTAAGCACTATTATTACCCAAGCCGGGCGCGAGAAGATAGATCAAGAGATCTGAACCAAAGTTGGTGTACAAAGTATGTAGCTCATCACAAACAAAGAATTGTTCTCTGTTATTACCTAGGTAAATATCAAAAATGCTAACTAATAGTGTTGGATAGAATCTTGCTCCCCCATCTAAGATGGGAATACTTTCCAGCCCATTACGTTCCCGCGAGGGTCGCCAATCCCAATTACCTCTTTACGAAAATGTACATTCGACGAGCAAGGAACGAGATTCAAACGACTCTTACGACTATTCTTCTACTTCATCCCCTGACACCAATGATTCAAAATTCACAAGCGCTTCCACTTCAGCAACCCCCATCATGCCCAAGAGATCATTTCCAGTTCCTCGCAAACCCCGCCAACCGCTCAGCTACCGTCTACCAAACAAGGTTGTCCGGTATCTTTGCTTTGGCTTAATCTTTTTTATTCTCTCCATGGTATTCTCCCTCATCCGGGCGAGCCACAATGAGAACAGGGCTCTGGCAGAAGGTAGGATCGACAGGCCTCCTTCCACGCCTCCTTCGTGGGAGAAATACCCATTCCTTACGAGATATTACGGTGGTATTAGGAATTTAGTACCTTTCTCTCAAAATACCCCCGAGTATCCCCGGTCCAAAGATGAACAGCCCATCGACAAGTTGTCCTATGTCAACACCACCAACTTGAAGTCTGACGTCGACGAGCGGAACTTGCCTGCCAGCAAGGAATATATTCGGTACCCTACAAGCGTCTTCCAACAAACTCCTGAACAGTTTCAGGAATGCTTCATCGACAAGGCGAACAAAGTACGTGTGCCTCCTATTCGCTACTACGAGGGTCGTCCCAACGGTTTCCCCGAACCGGTACTTGGTTCCTATGAGCTCCTAGGTCTTCCCGAGGATATCTGCTTCGAGCGCTATGGCCGGTATGGACCATATGGTTTTGGCTATTCCGTCAGGTCTGGTGGTCTCGGCACTGGGGAACACGGTGAAAAAGAAGGGTTCGAGGCTACCTGGGAAAAAGTACCCCAAGTCGACTGGAAAGGCACAGACTGGGCGGATGTTCAGAGACGGTGCTATCAGACAAATGCTGCGCGTTATAAGAAAGTACCCCCCAGGCAGCCTTCTCCTCATGGATTCTACATCAACGAGGATATTGCTACCACGAAGCTCCAGTCGCGAGACTCTTCGGTTTCCGAGTCGTCCAAGTCGCCAGCCGATAAGACAGACAAGACAGACAAGTCAGCTGATGAAAAGAGCTCGGTTTCAACCCCTCAAAGTGCATCAACAGGGAAACAGTTACCAAGGACCGCTGTAGTTATCCGATGCTGGGATGAATACTTCTGGAGGGAAGAGGATATCATGAACATCCGCTCCCTGATCAGCGAGTTGGTGCTGGCATCCGGCGGTCGATATGATGTTCATCTGCTCGTTCAAGTCAAGAATGACGCCGCACACCCAATTTGGGCAGATGCAGAGGTGTACCGACGACGAATTGAAGAAACCATCCCGGAAGAATTCCGGGGCATTGTAACGTTCTGGACGGAAACACAAATGCTGTCGCTCTACCAGGGAATTTTCGATCTTTTTGCTCGTGGCCCAGATCTGCCCGTTCACGGCGTCTACCGTGGCTTGCAAATGGCTATGCAACATTTTGCCTATTTACATCCAGAATACGACTATTACTGGCAGTGGGAGATGGATATTCGATATATCGGCCATTACTATGACCTGTTTACTAAGATAGAGAAATGGGCAAAGGAGCAGCCCCGAAAGGGTCTCTGGGAACGAAACGCCCGGTTTTACCTACCTTCTGTCCATGGAACTTGGGAGGACTTCAAACAGATGGCACGTGTGCAGACCGAAATGGGCACTACAGGTGCCGATAACATTTGGGATAATGTTCCTGGAGCCAACAAGCAGGCGCAGTCTGGTCGTGGCGAAAAGCCTATTTGGGGACCTGAAAGACCCAAAGATCCTAAAGACTGGTTTGAGCCGGATGATGACCCCGTGCCGGAGACAACCTACAAAACAGATAAATATGTATGGGGAGTTGGCGAAGAAGCTGATTATATTACGTTCAATCCCATGTTCGATCCTGAAGGCACTACTTGGGGTCTAGCCGACGACATTACTGGTTATAATACCACAGGTGGCAATGGAATGCCACCTCGCAGAGCTCAGATCATCACAGCATCGCGCATGTCTCGCCGACTGCTCTTGAAGATGCACCGGGAGACTGCCTTCCTAAAGCATCATGCTTTCCCAGAAATGTGGCCCGGCACTGTCGCTTTACAGCATGGTTACAAGGCCGTATTTGTACCACATCCTCTTTACGTGGACCGCGAATGGCCTACGAACGTCTTCGAGAGAACACTCAACAATGGCAAAAACGGAGCTACCGGAGGATCCCGTACATCTGTCTTCGGCCAGCGTGAGCATAACCTCATAGGTCTCACTTGGTTCTATAACTCAGGTTTCGCACCCAACTTGTATCGCAGATGGCTTGGGTTGAAGGTCAACAATGATGGAGGCGAGGAATTTGAGTTGACTGCGGACGAGAGCAAGAACGGCACTAGCGTCAATGAAATGCGTGGCGGAGAGGGGAGAATGTGTCTACCGCCCATGTTACTTCACCCAGTGAAGGACGTCGAGTTGCCGGTTGAAGCCAACCCGGAAGAACAGCTCGAGATTCCGGAATCTGACCCCGGCGCTTGAGCACAGTAAATACGTATTGATGAAGGGAAACGGGATTTTTAACGAATGCATAGGCCGGGTTTTTGAAATAGGCCACTCCTATATACGGGCTTTAGCACTTCGGGGGGGCGTTGGCTGGAAAGTGTGTTATCGGATGGTTCCCCTGTATATTCTTGTGCTGTTTGAGTGAATGAAGGATGCAAAGCAAGTGTTGCGCATCTGCAAAGAAAAAAAACCCCAAGGCGTACCATATAGTTGGATTGTCCACAGGTTGGAAGGGTATGATTGGGTAGAGCGAATGGATGAGGATAAGGACCTGCTTAGAGAGTAGGCTGTATTGATGACACTTGTTCCGACTTTACCATGTACTGTATGTGGTGTGGTGTATATGATACTTGCCTAGGAACTGTGATTGTGCTTGGTTTGATGTGATTGTTTGACTTGCATATTCTCTCGGAGATGGCAGATGGTAGCTTGCTGTATTGTGCATTATGAACGTTGCATTTGACTTATTTTAGCTTTGCGCATAGGGCTTAAGATGGGGAATTTGACATTATTCCCTACCGACCTAGTGAACTGTATATTTTACACTTTTTCTATGTCCGTCCAGTAATAGAACTAGTAGTACATTGACTCTACTGCCATCGTTTCTAAAAATCCAGAGACATGAGACTAAAATCCACATACCGGTGCGAGCTAAGAGAGTTTGATATAACTTAGGTACCTGCCTAGCCTACTCAACTGAATATATAAAATTGTCGTTGATAGAGAATACAGCTGCCCTGTCCGAGGGGAACAGTTGATACAAGTCACTGTTGTATGTCAATGAAGTTAATATCGGGTATCTCTACCATTTATCTCGCTCTGAACATCAAAGTAAATCAAGGCCTGCGACCACGTTGCACCCCTGACTAAACAACAAATTAACCAGGCCAGTAATCACCAAAATTAACTTCATGTCGTATCCAAAAACAGGACCTGCACCCAAAGTCGCCGAGTACCTACTATCATCTCCTATATTTCTTGCGCAAAGTCGAAGCTGGCAATCCTTCTTCAAGTTTGTCCACTCCGGTATCTTGGACGGAAGCAATATATGAAAAAGTTAAACCAAACCGCGATCTTTTCAACCCTTCCCTCCCGTTAGAGTGTGTTTATTCAACTCAGCTACTATATATCTTATATTTTACTATATAGCTGGTAGTTAATTTAACACGAGCAGGTAGGAGGTAGGTAGGTATTAAGCAGCCGAACCTTTCCCTATTGCACATAATGAAGTACCTAATATATAATAGAAGACGTTCAAAGTGTTTCTTACCAACAACATGAAAACAACCTAACCCAACCCAATCCACTAACCTTTAGGTAGGTACATAACTGACCCCTTCCTTACCTTGTTAAATTCGTGGTAGCTACCTTGGTTAGGTAGTTAGCCGTTTCGGCAAACGCCGCCCCTTTCTGCCGACGGGCTCGACTCTAACGATGTCGCATCCTGTCGTTCTGTCCCGGAACGGGGTTCCGCGCCGTCGATCACGCTCGTATTTCTTTTTGCTTCCTCTTCTCCGGGGGGAACTAAACAAATCTGGTCCCTTCTCCCCCCAACCCCATCGAATTCCTGTTTCATGGTCCAAGTTTAAGAGCACGGCCACTCGCCGATCTAGCGTACCTAGCTGATATATACTAACACAAGTACTATGTTAGGTTCGGTACGCACCATTGCGACACAAAAGAGATTTCCGGGGGTGTTCCTTGGTCCTGTCTCGTGGTCGTTTGGTGAAGGATCTTAAGAGACGTGCAATGTTGCCTGGCATCAAGGGGAGAAAGTTAACCTAGTCTAAGCCGCAAGCAAGGGGGTAAATTAGGCGTTAACTTGAAATACTCTAGGTTCACCTATCATTGGTAGTACATATACGACTTCTTAGGAAGTCGAGATTTAGAAAAAGCAACGAACACTTGAAAGCGATTTAACAATAAAAATAAAAACCGGGTATACCTACCCAATCACAACACAGACTTACAAAGAATTTCGTAGAGAAACACGTCACATAGAAGAATATAGGAAGGATTAAGACGATGTTATCCAATAATAGACACTAGTTAGATTACAACATTATGAAGCAGACCCTACATTCGGAACGGGTCGAAAAAGTATTGACAGCTGGATTGAGAGACTCGAGAATACATTTTCGCTTTCCTTACGCCCCCCAAGTTTCCACCCTCGGACAAAGCTCTAGTTACAAAGGGAACTACGGGTATGGGATCCTCCAGATATACAAGAAACCGAATTGCCCCGCGATGGTGGCCTTCGTCATATACTTCTCCGTAGCCAAAAGCGTGGATATTGCAACCCGTTTGGATAAAGACGTAACAATATACAGTTAAATGCTATCAGTACGCAAGTTTAAAAATCCACTTATACGCTGATCTTGATGCCAAGAGCAGTGGCAATACCGAAGTGAGGCTCGCACTGGCAGGCGGTGTTAGGGTCCTTCCACGCGTCGTTGGAGTAGCTGAACATGACAGCCTTGTTACCGCACTCCTTGACGATGCTCTTGATAGCCTCGGCTTGCTGGGCAACACCAGGAACAGCAAGACCCATGGCCTGGCCAGCAGAGGGCCAACCGGTCTCAAGAATGATACCGGGGACATTCTGGCAGATATTGCTGACAATGTCAAGCTGGCCCTTAACAAACTCACCAGCCTGAGAGGCAACAGTCTGAGTGTTGAAGAAAGCGTGGGCATTGGCACCAGCGACGTCAACAACACCGCAGATAGCCGAAGAGAAGTCGCTCTGCTGCCAGATGTTAACGGTCTCGGCGGTGGTGTAAGGACCGGTGTAGCCGCTGAATTCGCCCTTGCACTTGGTGATGAGGGAAGAAAGCTCCGAGGGCTGGCAGTAACCGTGGAAGACAGCCTCGTTACCAACCGTGATGAGTTCGACGAGATCCCACTTAGCCCAGTCCTTGATAGCGCTAATTTGCTCAGCAACAGTGGGGTTGTGAGCATCGCAGCCAGGAGAGTCAATGAAGATACCGAGGATCATCTTCAGGCCGTGCTTAGCGCAAGCGCCACCGACGTTGGGAAGAGTGTCACAGTCAGTAGAGTAGACACGGACGGTCTGGACACCGGAAGCGGCAATGGCAGCAATGTCCTGTTCAACCTCGCTGGCGCTCTTACATCCACCCTCTGGGCCAGTCCCATAGGGAGTGTACGTAATACCCCATGGCTGGCCAACCGGTCCACCGAGGGAGCCGCTGGGCTTAGGCTTTGCGGTAGAAGGAGAAGATGGAGAAGAAGCCGGGTAGGAGCTGGGCTTAGAATCCTCAGGCTTGGAGGTAGGGGTGTTAGGTACGGCAACGGGGATAGAGACTGAGACCGAGACAACAGGCGAAGTCGGGATCACGACAGGCGAAGTCGGGATCGCGACGGGGGTAGTTGGGACTGCGACAGGGGTAGTCGGAACCGCAATGGGCGTGCTCGAGACACTGGGAGTGGGAATGTCGAACGGGCAGTAGATAACCGTGTTGGTCTCGGTGACAGTGGTGACAACCTCAGGCTGGGTGTAGGTTCCAGGGGCGTAGCTGGTGACGCTAGGAATGGTGACAATGGTGGACTTGTCCACAGTTGTCGTCGTAGGAGCGATAGTGTAGGTACCAGCAGACGGGCAGACGTAGGTCGTGATCTCGATGACGCTGGTAACGACACCTTCACTGGTAGAGACCGTAGCATACGGGCAAGTAACAGTGGTGGCGGTCTCTACGATGGTAGTGACACCACCGATGGTGTGGGTACCACTGGTCAGAGCGGTCGAGGTAGGAACAACCACCGTGGTCGAGTCAGTCAGAGTAACGGTGGTGGCGGGGAAGGTGTAAACACCCGTGGTCGAGCAAGTCTGAGGAATTGGCGTAGGGACAAGCACGGCGGTAGAGGTACTCGTAGTTGGGGCAGGCGGAGCCGGAGGGATAGAGGCAGAAGACGGAGTAGCCTCAGGCGTGGCAGTAGTTGAAGGGGTCGTAGGGACCGGAGGGAATGAGACTAGTGTTTTAGTTAGCAATCAATGTTTGTTTGTTTGTTTGGCGTAAAAAGCTCGCGACGTACGAGTGGCTTCACCGTAGTAGGTGCTGTAAATGGTAGTACATCCACAGGTGGCATTGTCAGCCTTCTTCTCAAGGGCTTTGAAGGCATCGTGAGCGCGAGCGTGTCGGTGGTGAACGCTGACAGCGTTAACACCGGCCAGGGCCGCAGCAGCAGCGACCGCAATAGTTGCCTTCATGATTGCTTATTGAAACTATCGACTAAGTCGTCGGTGGTTGCGCGATTTGAAGTGTAGAGCTAATTATTATTTTTTTCGTTATATCGTCAAAAACGAGTGCCCGCTAAAAGAGTGAAGCGGTGGGTTAGGATACGCAGGAAAGGACGAACGCTAGGGAGATGCTTTCCACGTCACGGCATCGACATCAATAGGGTCGTTTCGTGAGGAAAGAAAAGAGGAAAGGAGGGTATCATGGGAACGGCAGATCTCTTGTACTTTTATTAGGGGCACCATTGCGTCCCGGCGCTGCCCAGCCAGCCCAGCCAGGCCAGGGCCAATTTTACCTGATGGGTTGTTTATTGGTAACGGGGCAAATGGGGTGGCAGCATTGGTCCCCGCTGATCCTGGGTCCCCTTGCTCTCCGTTCTCTGCATCGCTCCAAATGGTGCTTGTGATGGATGGATCCCTACCGGGGTCGCCTGTCTGAATGTGGCCCAGTTTCCGGTTGTTTCTTAGAGGGATACATAGCCAACTAATACTGTTATGTATGTATGTATGTAAGGTAGCTGTCGGAATCCTCCACGGACGAATAGCTGACCAGAATGTCTTGACCCTTGCTGTGTAAATGTAGCTCCATAGTGGTCAAACTCCGAGATTTTGGTCCAAAGAGAGAGAGAGAGAGAGAGAGAAGCATCTCCCTCAAGCAGATTGGATCCATCCAATGTGAGATGTACTGGAGATGTACTAAGCTTAGCCTGACTGCTCTGACTGGCCTGACTGGCCTGACAACCCTGGGTCGAGGAAGGCTTGTCGAAAGAATCGAAAGAAAAGGTGAATAAAGGGGGTTAGATAGTCTGGTGAGCTTATCCCAATTAGGAGAATATCCAATCGAGAGTTATGCTCGCAAGCCAATCAAAGATGATATTGGCCTGTCAAAATCGACCATTTTCTTTCTGCGGTCTTTCCTATGTCGCCTTGGGAAATTACCCGACCAAGAAGCGAAATTACGCATCGGCCCTGACTAGGCTTCTTCCGTGCTAGAGCTGGCCTAAGCTGCATGGTACCTGCAGGACTAGGCTTATCTCGGCTTGCATACTATGTTAGGTACATAAGAGAAGTACCCCTCGTATGCATTTATTACTATTACAGTTATATATTATTAGGGCTTCATTGGGGCTTTCAGGCGCATCAACAACAAAGAGTCTAAGACAGGTACCTACTCCTTTTCTTTCTTTTCTTTCGGGACTTCAACACCGCTCGATTGGCTCCTGTCCACCCCTGCATTTTTTATTTTTCCTTGATTTATTTTTTTGGTGCCTACCACCACCATATGCACTTTCAATTCCCATTCTTGATAAAACCCACGTCATCAAGATCTGAAGGATTATTTAACAATTGGTACTAATTTATCCTCCTTCCTGCTGCGTACATAGTAGTATATCATACATGTATATAGCGATAGCAAAGCTACCTACCTACCTTAGGTTAAGCTGTACAAGCGGGTGGCTTGCATATCAACAACCGTGTGATGTGATCTTGGATGCCCAGGTGCCCGGCAAATTTACTCTTGTTAGTTCATCGTTGATCAGATCGTCTTTCCTTACCACCGCACGTCTAGACCCTCCAGATGCTAAGTGCTAAGGAGACGAGCTAGTTTCCCCAGAATTCTGACCGACAGCACATACGTACATATGTGGCTAATGAAGAACGTACGTAGTAATTACCTAGGTTTAGGTACATATCCACGGTTCCGCCTAGGCTTGTCTACTACCTAATGTACCTGATTACCTAACCTATTGGATGTTCTAGGCTCTAGCTCCCTTCTCCTATTTTGCACAGCCAAAACGGCGGTCATTAATAGTTCTGGGCGAGGCTTTAACCATAGCTTTTGATGGCGCCTAAGCCTTGAGCCTTGGATAACCCCTTAATAAGCGGCTGTTAGACTTAGCTGGAATGTGGACCCGGACAAGATTAATGCTTGATTAACAGGTTAGTTATTGCAGTAGTTATTGCAGTCTGAAACTTACACTACACTAACTAGATTTTTACATAGCCTATTCTGAGGGGTCGACTTAATATTGTATGTGCTGGGGACTAGGGAGTAATCATGGAAAATGGGAGATTGACCGCCAGTGTCGAACACGTGTTTGGGTGTCGTTGAATTGGTTGTTCGAGCAAAGTCGTTGGCTGTTGGCTGTATTTGCCCTTATCCGAGCTGCCAAGTCTGGTCTGGTCTGGTCCTCCCAACTTGGGACTTGGAAAGTAGTAGCAACGCCGCAGAGTAGCCTACGCCGAGATAGAATAGGTAATAATCTTCATTGACCCTCCATCGAAGGTCAGGATCACGTAAATCCTCCACGGCTCCATTATTCAAGCTTTTAAATCACACGTCCCTTCAGGTATATCTAATGTCAATCCTATTACTACTACTATTTAGAGCCTCAGAACGCCATGTCCGGTACACCATCTTGAGAAGATTGACATTAGATGTTGCCTCTTTTTATTAGTATGTATATACTAATAATACAGATCTCCGACCCGACTCTAAGCCCTGGTCCACATTAAAGAAATTCCGCAACGATTCTCCAGATTAAAAACTTGTCAAGCGTGGATAGATGATTGCTTTTGAGAGTTGGTTTGGGTGGTTTGGTAAAAGACGTTCTAAAATCTAAAGCTCTTCATTCTTATAACTAATCGTATTATATCGCCGTACTTGAAAGACCGGTCGAATTCTCTCTCCTACTAATACCACTCTCGAGTGTCTCACGATGGACCGGCAACTACCGGTCGGCAGAGAATGTTTACAGCAGCATTGAAGCAGCGAGCGCAATGGAGACAGTGAGCAGACCAGCCTGAATCAATTGTTAATTACGAGCGAAGAACATACTAAGTCTCACTCACCGAAAGACCGTTTACTACTCCGGCACCTGGCATAGGGATTTGCCCACCACTAGTAGCGTTCGGCATCGCTCCGCTGGTGTCCGTCCATGTTTCGTTGGCCATGGCAGAACTAGACATGGATGCTTCCGCCGGGACAGAGCTTGCCCAAGTACTAGCCATAGCCGTTGTATACGAGCCAGAGACATCGGCAGAGTGAGTAGATGCGTCTGTCATCGGAGTCATCTCACTCATCTGTGAAGCGGTGCTCGACATGCTGGTCATGGGCGACATATGGTCCATACCAGACATCTGTGCCAAGGCACTGCTGGCTAGCGTTAGAACTGTCAAGATTTTGGTCGCCATGTTTCTTGCGTAGAAATCCGGTTGGAAGTATTCCAAAGTGAAAAGAAGAAAGGTGTTTAACAAGATGACTCGGGACTTGGGGGAACTTAATAAGCGCACGAAGGCGAGAGGGCAACTAGAGCAAGCGTACTCGCAGCGCACAAAGACCATCGTGGGCCTTTGAGGAAATGACATAGTTCATACTTGGCAAATGGAGATGTGTTCGAAAGACTGCTTTCACCTCTAATTCGCCGCGGAGATGTAGCTGGTGTATCTGAAAGGCATTGAATAGTGTCTCACGAAGTTCTTACAGTATAGTTATTCGAAAACAGAACTGACATACATAGGTAGTTAGTAGAAAGATATCTGATATCTCTCTTTCTGTACTACATCGCAGATTTTTCTTCGTTTCATTTTCAGTAGATCTGTCAAGAGGGATGAATTCCTTGTGTGTGTGGCTATTAATATCTAATACGAGGTAAGAAGGTATCTATTCTTTATACTTAATTTATTGGAACTTTAGGTAGGTAGTTATTTCTAAATTATACTGTCAGACTGTTTGCTCTTTCAAGGTTAACTATTGTACATTAGGTAATGAAGGTACCTAACCTTATATACTATCGGAGAAGTGACGGACCGTCGCCACCTGCTATCACAGTTAGGTACCTCTAGTGGCGTGAAGATGCGACCCACTTCACTTATCATTAAAACTTTCAACACCAAAATTTGCCACGATGAGAAGAAATAGAACACCGGGAAGCCATCTTTAACAAAGTTCTTTTCTTTTCTGCTCTTTGTTTCCCCTCCCACGTGGATACAATGCTGCGAACTTCAAGTAAATCCTACGTATGCTGGAGATGTGCCTTTCAAAGGGGTGCATCACCCGCAGCTCCAAAGTCAAATGCCAGCTTTTTGCCAAGAGCTAATCAGCCCCGATGGAAAAGAGTATGTGATAACATGCTTTATAACATGTTTTGATCATCCCCCCTCTCGACGGTGCTAATTCTGATATATTTTTACAGTCTCTGGCTACTGTTCATCATCCCAAGCGAGGTGGTAATGATCCGCTAGCGCGATTGGAAGCCTTGCACAGAGAGGAACAGAAAAATAAAGTCGGCATCCGAGAGCAATTAAGGATATGGGACGGAGAAAACCAGGATGAAGTGAAAACTATCTTAGCTGATTACGCAGATACAGGCGAGTTATCCAACAGCATTACTCGACCACAGAATGTGTCTATGGGTGTCTTTGACGTGTCTGCACCATTATTCGATGGAGATGAACTGGGCGACCTACGCTCCGACGATGCCATTCTAAAAATTGGCGATATGGTTGAGTTAAGGTACGATATCATTTTCTTTTGTTTATTCGTTATATATTTCGGAACTAAAAAGTCATCTCCAGCTCCGAAGGATCAAGAAGACCTATGTTAGCCATCTGCTTGGGTCGTTACAACGGGTTTGACCACTATTACACAAGCAGTGGTAAATGGTTCGCTGGCCTGGGTGTTAAGACTCTTTTTGTTGTTCACAACTTCGCCTCGTTGGATGAGCTCGAACCTGTTCTTAAAGAATTACCATCTACTGCAGTACCCTTGGAAACACTTAATGCTCTCCAGGACCTCGGCCATGGTCCCTCCAGAGTCGCAGGAGCTAAGTTGCTGCGCAAGATGTTGCATTTCGCTCAAGGATCCGAAGCCGTGTATCAAGCAAATGCCGGTACTCTGGATGCCTCTAGTGCATTTATCGGTGATCCAGTGAAGCATCGATATCTGACTCTGCATGAAATCGCTGAGCTACTACTTCCCGAATCTTACCAAAAGGACGGAAGGTTCGAGCCCGAAGCCCTTTACGCTGTTCACAGAGCTCTATTACAAGACGAGGTTTTCTTTCGACCTCTTAGGCAGACTGGCCATAGAAGATCGTATATTTTCGAAATCAGCCCGCTATCCGAGGTCGAAATCATCCAGAAAGTGGAGAGTCTGGTTCGTGAATATGTGGAAAGAAATCCGGGTTTCCGTAAGGACAGTTCGTCTCCAATACCTGGTTTCGTTAAAGCCGCTCGCAAATTGATCGACCAGAGCCGTGAGAACCGACAGTGGACAGAAAGCGGTGTTATTGGACCGTCCAAGGGAAAACCGCCGTCGCAAGGAGCGCCAGCACAGGAAGTCCACCAGTGGTCCCCAACAGATTTAGAGATTTTACAATTTATGGAGCTTTGGGCTAGCTACCAGAAGTTTCCAAATCACTCCCGATTTCAATGTTTCGGGTCTGCTATCCTACGAGCCATCGACAGGTATGAAAAAGCCGAAAACTATTCACCATCAACAGGTTGGACTTTTCTGCAAGAAGTGGGTTGGATACCATCTTGGGAAATTCCCGCTCGATATAACATACGCTTTCCGGGTGTTGATATTAAGCGGGGAGGAAGCTATATTCGACCTTTCTTCGGCAACCTTCTTCGTCACGTAAAAAAGGATACGTTGGCTCCCATAAGGAAGCCAGTGAAGCTTACTGCTTTCTGTATCGACTCCGAAACTACCATGGATATCGACGATGCAGTTTCGGTTGAGAAGACTTCTGATCCTGACCAATTTTGGATTCATGTCCATGTGGCAGACCCGGCTTCTTCAATCCCGGCTGAGACGCCGGTGGCTAAGTATGCTGAGCTGATTCCTGAAACCATCTACTTGCCTGGTCATTTCGAACGCATGCTGCCCCAAGTTCTTGGCCCGGACATATTTTCACTGGCTCGGAATAAGCCCTGCTTAACGTTCAGTGCATTGGTACACAAGGACGGGTCCATTTTGAAAACTAAAATTACCCCTGGATCCCTAAAAGGGGATGTCCTGTACATGACTGATGAAGATGTTGCTTCAGCGATTGGTGGCCGCCGGGACTTTCCTGATACAAGAACAAAAGACGAGATAAGCATTGGCCCTATTCCAAAGACTAAGCCGCCACCGAGACAGATGACTCGACCTCACCTTCTAAGTGAGGACCAAAGGAGTGACCTGGCGCTACTCTCAGAACTTGGCAAGGCGATACATGCTCGCAGACTGGAGAAAGGAGCCACCCCCTTCTTTCATCCCCGCCCTGAAGCAATGGCCTACTTTGACCACCTCCCACAACAAGATGTTGAGAGCTTCACATCTTTAATGGGAGATCCTGCAATCCGTGTCGGGTACTCCAAACAGCCCGCAACTGACCTGGTCGAGAATGTCATGCGTCTAGCTGGTGAGATTGCCGCCCGCTGGTGTTACGAACGTGGCATCCCAATCCCGTACCGCTCGCAGCCCCACGCCGCGCAGAATGCCGACCAACTCCAACAGTTCACCAGTGAAGTCTTCTACCCTTTGCTCAGAGCCGGTATCAAACCCAGCGATAACCAGTGGCGTTATCTCTGGTCTCTCACCGGAAACGACGAGCTTACCACGACCGCTGGCCCGTATTTCACACTCGGCGTTGACATGTACACCAAAGCAACATCCCCGCTCCGTCGGTTCTCGGACTTAATTGTCCACTGGCAGATCGAAGCTGCTATGTTGAAAGAGCACAAAACCAAGAAATCCCTAATCGGCAACAAGGACGACTCCTTCCTGCCGTTCAGCCGCGAGCGGCTCGACCGCATGCTCCCCATGATCAAATTACGCGAGAAGCAGGCGCGCTCCCTGATTCGCGGCGACGGCGGGGACCAGTGGATCCTGCAGGCGCTGGTGCGCGCGTGGCGCTTCGGCGAGGCCAAGATCCCGGATACCTTCCGGTTCACTGTGCTGCACGTCAACGGTCGCCGGTCCATCCAGGGACGTCTGAATTGGTTCGAGCGGTCCGCCGTCCTGCGCACGGATGCCCTGAACGACGTCGTCCGCATGATGGAAGTGCGCGTCGGCGACGTGTACGAGGTCAAGCTGCATAACATCAACGTGCATTCGAACCAGGTCTTCGTCGAGGCCCTCAGGGTGTTGGAGAAGGCGGATGAGGCGGCAGCAGCGGCGGCGGCTATCCTGCCGCTGGGGCCGCAGGCGGAGGCAAATAAGACTGATGAGGTCGTGCAGGCGTAGGGGCTTGACATGCCATATGATAAAAGGGAGAGAGAAAGATAAGAGGTGGCTACTACTCCTTGCTATTGAGATATCGCCACGCACGCCATTTGTAGATTACGATGATGTATACGTACTTAGTATATAAAAACAACTCCATTGCGCCACCATCTGCTTCTACCTACTAGTGTACCTAGGTAGTATAATTAATATATAATATCGCCCCCTCCAGACTATCTAAAACTCTATAGAGAATATAGACCTGGCAGACAAAAGAGGAGTAAAGCTCAAAGCCATTAGAGATTACTAGACTCGGAAGTATATTCGGTAACGTACCGCCGTTTGTTAGAAGGATAAATATGAACACTCAACTAACATAGCCATAACCACCACCATTACCATCATTACTTCACTCGTAATAAAGAAAAGCGGGTTGGCCGGCTTTATGACCAAATCCCAGGTACTTTTTGTTTGTTTTTTTATCGTGATCATGAAACCAGCAGGCTAGCTTATTTATTGCCCCTACTACTTATTGCTTATTGCTCTGGGCAAATCTACCTGTAAGCCTCCCTACCGGCTCTCTGTAACAACAAAAGTATATTCCTAAGCCCTAGAACCGCGAGACGCCGATTTGCTCACCCGTTATGTGCCTATGCTGAGAATAGGAGCCGAGATGAGGACAGAGCTTGCCCACAAGGGTAGAAAACACCCGAACCGGCTTCCTATTTTCCCAGCATTACAACGCCTAGGGGTAAAAAGTCGATCCTCGCAGCCGCCATTCTCAAAAAAGAAGGCCTCGAAACATACTTCGGTGATATTGCTTTTTTTCCTTCTATAATTTGACCTTTCCCTACTTCGACGCGCCAGTGATATAATTCCCATGTTGAATCAGCACATAGAACGCCTCATTAGATCGCCGGTGGAGAAAAAAAAACCCTGTGGTATTTCCGTGGTCCCGTTCCGCGTAGTTGTCTTCCTCACTCCAGCTCCAAAGACCCCAGTTCTCTGATATGGAAGTGATTTTGCTTTTTCTTTTTTTCGACATATTAGTGCATTAGGCAATCTGCCAGATGCTAAGTACCATAGGGTGATATGGCCCCAACAGTGCGTTGGCAAGCTGAAATCGTATCATGCTAGCCACAAAATGTGGTTCCGGGACATACCGGACGAAGAACCGTACCAAATAGCGCCCTTATCCGCCGGTGATAGGTCACTGCTACTCACCGTCTATCAGATCCGATACTTCGTACTTCGATAAAACGATGCGGCCCTCAACCTTATCACCTTCTCCAACCGACGTTCCAGATGACGTGAGCAATATCCCGAGCAGTATTGACCGTATCTATTACTCGACTAATAATTCCATCGTTGGGTTGGACGTCGCCTTCCTCAAATGGCATGAACATGCCACTCTCTGTCCGACGCATGCCTCTTGGTTCATTGACGTGATTATTCGTGGACGAGGAACGTAGGGGGCTTTGTTTAAAGGGTGACGTTGCGTCCACCGGGCTAGATACTGGGGTTGAGCTGGTCTCCTCGTCTAATTCTTCACCATCGTCACCTACAAGAAATGGTCCGGATGCCTTAGAAGGCCTTAACGTCTCCTGCGAGGGAGACGGTGATAAGATAGGACTCCGCAAATTGCCTGTACTGTGTTTCATTGCAGTGTCGGGGTTTGGCGAATCTTCTCTGTATTTCAGTGTTGTCGAAGGTAACATGGCAATGGTCTTGCTTTCGGTGGGCGTATTCACTGGAGATCTCTTCCGTGGAAGGATTGGCTTCTTCGAAGTTTTTGTTCTCTTCATCATAATTGCGCCGTCATCGGAGTCGCTGTCATCGTCGTATCCCCAACGGCAGTATTCGAATTCGTCGTCCTCCTCCTCATCTCCCTTTATATCAACCGCAATGCATTGCTGGACCTGCTCGTCAAAGTGAATATGCTTTCGTTCCGAGGAAGGTGAGACAATGCCAGAGGAAGCTCTAGATGCCAATATACTCGTATTCTCACGAGTTTTTCTCTTGGACGAGAAGGGAAATGTGACATAGTCTGTGGTAGCGCGGAGTAATATGGGTCGACCAATACGGACAGCGCCATCTTTCTGCTGAGCTTGAACCGCAGCCGTGGCCTGTTTTAAAAGTGAGGAAGTAGAGAGTGACCTCTGAAGCATGACCTCTGACATACTTCTCTTTTTGAGAATGGGCTTCTTATGGACGAATGAATCGCATCTCGATAGTCCGGACCCCGTGTGTTCGGCATCGTTGGAAAATAACTCTGCATGGCGAGTCTGCAGAGGTCCATAGAGCCAGGTTACATCACAATCCTTGAGCCTAGGAACCCGGTCAGATATTTGCATAAGTTGTATAAAGAGAGACATACCAATTTAGTGTCTCCGGCGTCACCGTTTTTAACTTGTACTTAGCTTTCATCCAGGTCCTCCAAGACGCATTCTCAAGTCGCGGCCCATTGCTATACTCTGTTCTCTTGGAAACAATATACCTCCAGGATGACCAAATGTCTTCTTCCCTCCAGTCGTGCGATAGGTAATCGACATGCTGGGTAGGGTGATGCTCGACGGCTGTATCATCTTCCGCACGGTCTAGGGCATCCGGTGATTCTGGGCGTGACGTCGCCGCTGAAGTATCAGGATCAGTCGGGGACACAGTATATGAGTCCCCCGTTCGTGGACTCGGAGGTGGCTCCAAGTCTTCAAGCGGATCAAAATAGGGATTGTGGCCAAGTCCGGACACAAAGATGTGGTCATCGGGTTGGAGGCGAATATCTTCTTCGCATTGTCCGTCGAGAGATAGGTTAGTAGCTGGGGTAGAAGAATATGACGGTTCGGACGATTCGGGTTGGAGAGTACGAGGAGAGGATGGAGCGGATGACGGGCTGGAATTGGGTACTATACGAGGATGGTGGTGGGATCCGTGAAACGCGTCGCTTATCTTTGATGTTGAAGCCGAGGTATGAAAGGTCTGCGCAGGGTTCGACATAAATCTAGATTGAGAATGAGATCTCCTCAAGGAAGAGGAGGAAAAGAGGTCGCTATCCTCTGAAGGAAGAACTACGGCCATGTCGAGATAATGATCGTCCCCTTCCACGAAGAAAAAGAAACCCGAATCCTCCCGACTTTTATATCTCTGATATAGGAACGGTAGTAGCCTTCATGGGCACGATATTATCGTCTATAGTAGAACGACTTGAAAGCCTCTTGAGGATGCTAATCGCTCACAAAACGAAAAGGCGCTAAATCACCCCCGGTTATTCTCGTCTGTATATTTTTTCTTTTCTTTTCGGATGACGTGACGAAGTCTAGAGAGCGATGCGTAGCCAAAGTTGTGAGTTGTAAGTTGTAAGTTTGTAAGCCGATGTTTGAAAGTCAATTTCTACATGAGACGAATTGAGATTAAGATTTAAGATTGAGATTGAGATTGAAACCGAAACTGAAACCGAAAATGGAAAATTGAAATTGATCGGTTAAAGGTGAAGCGGATGTAATCGGCGACGGTCGAGTAACAAAACGGGACTGGCACAAAGAGGATCGGATTCGTAAATTTCGAAGGTTGTGGTGTGGGTAGAGAGAGAGAGAAGGATGATGAATTTGCATAGATAAGAGGCTTAAGAGGCTTTACCTTGGTTCCACGGTTTAGAGTGTACTGGATGTACTGGATGTACTTGGATCGAAAACAATCCGCGGCAAAATGTTTGGTACAGTAAGTTGCCCTAGACTAGTACAAGTACAAGAAAGGTAGAAATTGTACAAGAAAGGTAGAAATTCCGGGAGATCGGAGGCTTGCAAGGATTATGAAGGAGGATTGAGGGGTTGATACTTGACAGGGCCAGCCAGTCACGGAGCGAGGCTGATGGCGAATGGCATGGATGACTCGACGTGGGTGGACGGGAGGCACTAAAAAAGATGAACTACGAACTTATGGGACGGTATGGAGTTTGGATGGGGGGGGAGAAAGTAGAAAAGTCTTTGCTCGATGCATAACTGGTATGTAATAATAAGATAAATTTGGTGGAGAGAGGGGAAATGTAATAGGTAAGACACTTTCCATTTATTAGTAACTGTCGCATTTAATACATACCTCACTATAAAACCTACCTACATACCTACCTGTATCCGACATGACCTTAGGGACCTATTTATAAGGTACGTACCTAATGTATGGTACTTTTGAGCAGTTTACAAGCACTTGTAAGCAGTACATCTTTAAGCGACTCCCTATGGACATTGGAGGCAGCCCTAGGAGCTCGAAATATGCCGTCTTACACACATACCCGCCCACTATAATATACATCCGTGAGCAGGTAATTCTATCGGTATTTTGCGACATTGGAACTCTTTATTGTGTCTAGCCCTGCCAAGTGCATTTGCATTTGAGCTTTGCCGGAACGTACATTAGGTATTGTACCTAGCTCGCCCACTATATTCATCCGTACTAAATAGGGCTTGGGCACGTTGGTAGAACCAGAGCGTGGCATGGCTGGCAGATGCAGGGCCAGCCGGGGATTTCCTTGAGTACCTACGAGAACTGATAACATCGACTTTTAAGGTCCACTAATCCACTAAATGCCATACTTACCTCCTATGTACAATACAATACATGGTAATACCGTAACGGTAGGGCCGAAGCGCGCTGATAGGTATTCTAGGTATGGTGCTATACCCTATGCGCCGAAACTAGAATAGAGGAAGTGGAGATGCCAGGAATGCGAGGTTGCGAAAGGTAAGAAAGATAGCCCTGGATGAGAGGTAACTTTCCATGAACACACACAACCTTGGAAAAGCGCTGCATTAACGGCCGTGACTAACGAAAGTTACCCCAGACCTAATACAAGTATGTCTTAATAATGCAGTAGAATTATACCTGCTTATACGCTACCTCATACCTGCATAGAGGCATTCGACACATACTTTATCCACGTATTTGCCCACATATTTAGGTAGCTGCATGCGTAAGTACCTATGTACAGTACCATCAGACGCATGCACCTAGCGAAGTTTACATGGTATTTGGACAATACATGTTTAGGTACTTCAAGCCATGCTACCTAATGTCCACTATGAGACAACGCCCGCGAGTTGATGCCTCTTTCGCAATGCAGGCGCAGTGCAATGCAACATGTAAGGAAGTGGGTTTTTTAATTCCTTAGGTAGTTCCAGTTCCAGTTCCTACATGTACCGTATCTACTTTTATCTCCCATGAGCGGTCAGACTCTCTCTTTTTCCTTGCGGTTTCATAAACCCATCGTTAGGCTCGTTCGAAGAAAAAAAAAACTAAAAAAACTGAACCACCCACCGCGCCGTAGGAGAAAAAGCACCGAGTTCGAAAAATAACTACCAAATCAGAACCGAGGAAAGCTGTGGGGTTCTGGAATTTTGCGTGGGCCCTGAGGGGAGTTCGAAAAAACTACTACTACCATAAAAAAAAAAAAAAATCGGGGATGGAACGCAGGGCTAGACCCGAAACCATGTAATTCAAAATTCAACCCATCTCTAACTTAATAATTACGCCGACTTCTTTTTTCAGCTTTTCTCCCTCTTCTTTCGGGTGATCGGGTGATTAAGGAACCAACTAACCTAACCGTTAAGATAGGAAAAAAAAAAAAGTTTCTTTCGGAAACCCTAGAGGACCCGACTGCGAACGGACGCATACGCAATATCCCATCGTCGCCAAGTAGGTTAAGTAACTTAGGTACTTACGACATTCATTCCAGTCGCTCGGTGATATTTTTTTTTTTAATAATCATCTAATTATTATTAGTGTTTACGATTCCAATTTACAACAAAGTACAGTACATTATAGGTGACATTATAGGCGACATGTCTAAGTTGATAGGTAGCAGCGCCCCAGGTAAACAAAGGACGGCCTACTACCGAAAATCCCAACGCCTAGATTTACAAGCTGCATGAAGAGAGGGAAGATCGACAACTATTTAGTTCCTTGATAGGCGTTGTAGGTTTCTGTTTTCCCCGGACAAGCAAACGGGCTAGAAAACACTATTTCTTCCTTCGCTACAGGGATTGGATTCGAGAAGCGGCCACAGAAAGAGAAGAAGGGTGGTTGGCGTAAACATTAGACAACAAACCATCTTATATTATCCCTATCGAGATCTTGGATTTTACCAACGGCCAAACATATGAGTTAAGTAATACGTCCTGATATACATATGAGACAAGCCGTAATACCACTGCACTCGTAATTTCATTTACTTGTCAATTAGGTAGGTACCTAGGTAATTATATTATTTAGTAATCATGTGTTCATCCATCCGTGCATGCTGGGCATGTAGATCCAGTGTCACATGACATCTCTTATTGACCCACAGTTAAGTAACACTAGGTATGTACTTACATATTCCTCTAGATACTTAGAGAATACAACATCAAGGGATTCTAACAGACAAATACTATAGCCTCATGGAAGTCTTTATGAAGCCTCATGACATACAAGGCTTTTTTTCATCTCTTTACAATTTACGACATACATAAGTCCCCTAAATTTGTGGCTTCGGTGACATCTCTTGGCTAAAACATTACCCACACGAACTACTATGTACGGCTTGGATTACTACCTCACGCGCAAGCTGATGATCGCTTACATAGTAGACTAGCCTCAGAGGTGATCAATCATCACCGACCGCTCGTCACGCTATCCAAGAGGAGAGTAATCTAGATTTGTCCCCTTTTTTTCCCCGTCCTCAGGGCTCCTCCATGTCTTACACATTTCGTGGGGTTCCCATCCCCCTTTCGTTTTTGGCTTTGTTTAATAATAAGTCGGATGATATGTAGTAGTAAGGTAGGTAGATGAATATAAATTCCAAAAGACGGCCTGGCACTCGCACTTGATACCTATCATATCTCATATAGAAGGGAGGTATGTAATAATAACATGGCCGTTCTCGTGTTACTTGCTATGTATTACGAACATATTATGTAGGTACTCCATGTTTTTTTCGAAGAAAAAAAAAAAGTATTACGATGACCAAAAATCTCCACCCCCGCCCGCACTTCCGTATGACGTACCTCTCTCCATGTTCGTGCGAGGAAGAAAATCCCGTGGCTTTCGAACGGGCTGAAAAGGCGGCTGCTACTGTGTGCTACTAGCATTCGCGAGCGGGAAGCCCTCCCCGAAGAAGCCCCCTTTTTTTTACGTTATAGCATTAGATCTCGATGTCACCGGAGTAAATGTAAAAAGGACGAGTAGATTCGAACAATACATAGGTTGGGTACTGTGAACACAGAGATAATTACATGTCTTCTTCTCCACGTTTTTTTCTGAACTAGTAATAACCGATTAATTATAACTATTCCATACTTTGCTCCTCGGACTCCGCAAAAATCAGCCGAATTAGGTCATAGGTGTGGACGATCTTCTCGATGATATTAATAAGGATATGTACTATGTAGGTAATGTAATACCTAACTGCACGACAGAAGTTTGCCGGTGCTGCTGCTGCTGCTGCCGCTTATCGGCTTGCAATATCCTGAAATTGAATTCTGTACGAGATATGTCAAGTTCCACGATCTGCAGTGACGAGATGTCGTCCCCGACGCCCCCAGGATGTTGCGTACGAACGAGATTTGGGGGTTATCAAATACAATATACTTACGTACGCCATGGGTTTTTAACCCAGTGACGACGCCCTAGATAATGATGATAGGTAGTAATGATGTCCTTGGCTACGAATTTCGAAGTCCTAGGAAGGGTTGAATCAACACGACCGAAAGATTGAAAGAAAAGAAAAGAAAATTAAACTGCCTCCCTCTACTAGTAGTAAAATAAATCGAAAAAGAAATGAGAAAAAAAGACGAGCCAGCCAATCCATTCCCGTGGGTCTCTTGGCGCTGTTGCGAGACTCGACGATACGGAACCCCCATGGGCCCGTGATCCTGTCGTGCTACTGGACGTTCGACACCGATTCTCCTGGCTCCTTGCACGCACAGCACACAGCACACAGCACACACATATACCTACACATATACACACACCGAACCCGCGCCGATGACGTCGCCCTCACGCCCTCATATCGCAATCATACATACAACAAAGGACAAAATAATAGGTACAGGAAATAAGAGAAGAAAAAAAAGAAAAAAGAAAAAAAGGCCCTCTCGTTACTGACGATCATAATGGCGATCTTCGAGAATCCGTTTGACCTGACACATATATATATTTACCTACGATTCGAAACTCCTTATCCGTAACGTGCACGACAGCTTGCTTGTCTTGTTATATTATTGTGTCCCCCCGTATAGTGAAACCGAGTCAGCAACTCGAACCCAGCGCATGCCTACCTAGGTAAGTAGCCCTTTCTCTATTCTATCTATCTCCAACGCATCTCGCTACGCTTCGCAGAATCGAAGCTGACAAAGAATCCATCATGTCTTGGATCCGCTTGCTCTTATCTCTACATACCTAGGTAGTAGGTATCTACCTACCTACGTCTTAGGTACCTACCTAGGTAGATATAATAATAACACAGGTATGCTGCATAGCTCTTGTTGTACAGTTATTCTCCAATTCTTGTATAGCTCTTTGTATAGCTACATAAGCCCTCAACGACCATGCTCGTATTCCTTCCTTACCCGCTAGATTGAGTTTGCTACTATGTAAAAAGAACTTTTTTTTTTTTTTTTTTTTTGGCTATCTTACGACCAAGCATCCGCTAGCGACAACGTCAGCAAGGTAGCTAAGAACGCTGCTGCTTGCGACAAGAGCTATGATCCCGGACGTGTTGCCATCTGTTGGTAGCACAAGAAGGAGGAGGAGCCTAGGAAAAGGGGGGGGAGGGGGGGTTATGGGGGTTTTCCGAGATCTCCATCGAGAAATAATCCTGGGTCCCTTGTGGGCACGACGAATTCGAGCCGTTCCGAATTTACCACGATCGCCGTCATGATAAGTAAAAAAACGATAGAATTAGTCATCGAATTCAAAAATCTAGATCCTACGGGATCCCCTTTGCCAATCTGACGCCCGTTGGGAGCATATCTTACAGTCTTCGTAGCCCAATTGTTTGCCAATAACACCGACCTGGGTGGGTGAAGTCGTGCGTTGTCATGCCTCCTCCTCCTTGTTGTTCTGTCGGACACCAGGAACAAATTCGGCTGGGACGGGCTGGACGGGTCCTAGGCTCAATGGAGAAAGTATACGCCAGTCGTGGCCCGTTCCTACTCTTACGAAAAGACGACGAGCCGGCTGGACTGACGGTCCCCTCGCAACGTCGAGATACCGTCACCATATCGTCACTAGCATCCCGAGTCCTGCACTCACTAAACAATTTCTGAGCTATCCCCGGGGGCCGAGAGCTAGTCGGCAACCTATCCGTGCGCGCTCCTACGGCGGTCGCTTATCTTATAGATGAACGAAGGGGGGTAGTAAGAATCTGGTCACAAAGTCGCGTCTAAACAACAACTATGTTACCTTTTAGCTCTCTTGTGCCAAATGAGATGTGACACAAGGCTAGGCTAGGTGCGCAGAGTTACCGTCCGATCTCGTCTGTATTCTCCACCTCCTGCGTGCATATTCGAATATAACCTAATATATGTAAGTTGTTGTCTTCCGCCTTCGTCTGGAGCAAGCTCTCCTTGAGCAAGCTCTCCTTGAAAGGACTAGCGTCTTCTGTGGTTGTAATGTACCTCGCGATGAACAACTTCTCACCGGTGAGAAGAATAAGTGAAACCGAACCTATCGGATAGGCTGTGATTAGGGTCGCTAGCATAGAGGGTCCTGGCCTTGCATTAAACCTGGCTGTGGATAGGTATCAAAGCTTGGATAATGAGGAGTCTATACATACGTACGATACGACCGAGCGTCTGTGGGTTTCAACTTTCAAGCCGTACAATACATAATTAGCCCTGCTCACTACCTACTATGTAGAATCCATCACGTAAAATCTTATATGCATCAGGCCCCAGGGCAGCTATCAGGGTTGATATTATGCTGAGACCACAGGAAACTAGGTGTTAGGTACAGTACTGATTGCTGCAAGTCGCGTCGATTCCCCTTGCTAGTAAGGGCTGGTATGAAGCATGAGGATGAATTAGCGCCACGCAGCTTCGAGAGAGTTGCTGAATCATTGACCAATAGGCCTCCTCAATCCACCCACAGAGACAAACCTAGAGTCGCAATCATGCATGCTTATCTGCATGAACGACGTTCGGCTATCGCACCGGGGCCCGTCCTCCCCTTGCTCCCCTTTCATTTATACAACATCGAGACAGATAATGATACCACTCTTCTTTTACTACCTAAGTAGGTAGATAGGCTTAATTTTCGATACCCCCGCTGGTGCTGGTTGGTGCAGTTCCCGAAGCGATGCGTGCCGTAACACGTCAATTGAGCTACCTATTTCGTAGAGGGTGTGGATGATAATATTCCACGGCGGACCTGGTGATCCGCGCTTAGGAAACGTTCCACGGCGCCGCGATCTTCCTTACCAGGTGTCAACAAGAAACATGCTGTATTTATTATCATAGCACCCCCCTGTGTGCTGCGCCCTATGGATGCTGTGATCCACTTGCGGCGGCCAGTCCCGCCATAAAGCAATCACACAGACCTGGTAGCTCTCTAGATTGCGACGCTAAAGTTGAAATCATCACATGCTTCTCACTGCAGTGGTCCACTTGGCTTGCATATATATTGCTCAGCGGCCTCTTGACACCTAACCTGGTAAGCCGACGCTACGGGAGTGCGCTGACGACTTTGTCTGATCTTGATCAGACTCGGGCGGCAAATGCTACTTCAGGGGGCAGTCTGAAGGAAGCGCAGAACATGAGCTTGTTAGGTGCCACATTTCTGACTTCTAAAACAGATACCTCTTTGACATTTTCGGCCTCGCCTAGCTTCATCTGGACGCCGATCTCTGCCGAGATGCGCTCGCAGATATCGATAAGTGGCGTATCATCATCTGCCTTGGCCGCGAAGCAATAGACATGGACCAAGGGCAGCTTCGTACTTGTGTGGGGAACGAAGAGCTCCTCTCGCCCAGCGTAAAGGCCGCGGAAATGCGATAGGAAAGTTATGGCGCTCGCAGGAAGGTTCATGACGAAATGGGAAATAGTAGGTTGGATGAAATTACGTTTGGGTTCCGGGATTGGGATTGACTCGTCTGCGGTGTTTGAATTCGGATGGTGACTTCGTTTCACTCTTCTACTCGGTCCCGAAATAGCATATTCACCGTTCACTGATGCTGCGTATACCAGATCGGCTGCTTCTTTGATGAACGTCCGACCATCTTGATTGAATGGCCGTACGTATTGGTCGACCTGGGGATGAGTTTAGTTTAGCTCAAGATGTACCGTGTACGGCTTTGATTAAACACTCACCTTATTCCGTTTGACGTTTTCATCCATATAACGATAGCTCTCGGGGTTATAATCATTAGCCCAAACAAAAACCTCTTTCTTGCCAGCGGGTATTGCGAACGGGCCAATACCAGCCATGACATCGCATACCACCTCTCCAGGCTTGAAGATATCAATTAACCGCCTATGCTCACCCTCCAGTTTGCTATTCCAGTAGACTTTAGAGTAATCGAATCGGAATAAACAGTTATTCTCTCTCACCTCGACATTTAAGTCATCTGGGCCGGCAAGGACTTCATATGCAAACGTCCGGAACTCCGATTCAGTTCCCACGTTAGCGACTTTGTTGATGACTGTTTTAATGGCCTGGTTCTTATCGAGTATGACCTCTGCGATCAACTTCTTGTACGGTAAGAATGCATTCCTGAGGTTCATATGCGCGACATGTCCCGCTTGGTTGAAACCTCCGGGAATGCCATCATGCGAGTCCCGTAAATCAGGGGGGAGTAGAGATCTCATCACATCCTCTAAAACAACATGTTAACCATTACGCTCGCCAGTACCAAAGTTTGTAGTATGGCTATTTACCATGAGTCCAGTAGTCATAGTCTAGTGACAAGGTATACGGAACTATTCCGATCTCCTTACTAGCTACACCATCCTGAATAGTGGGCGTCCACGTCTCCGGCACTGTAAATAACGTTGTTAGAAGAATGCAATCTACCACAATACACTTTTTTTCGGCCCAACTTTACCTTCAGCTTTGACTTTCGGGTCTAAGAGTAAGCATTTCGTGCCTTGCGCCGCAAGGGCCTGGTCCGGGTGAGTTACAATGCTGGATACTCTTTCGGCGGAGAGAAGTGTACCTTGGCGCTGCAATATTTGACGCCAGGCAGAGATTTTCTTCTTGTCAGCAACAGCAGCAGCAGCAAGGTTAACCGTCTTGGAGAAAAGCGACCTATCTAGGACACCAGTGGCCGAACGTATTGTTGGCGGCCGGAAAAGGCTGCTCATATCGTTTCCCTCGGTGTTTATATCCTTGGGAAAAAGTATGGTAAGTACGGGAGCTAAATCAGAGTGTTATGGGATTCGCATACCACCATATTATTATTATTATTCGTTAGGAGAGGTTATGCCGCATGTGAACGGCGTTTGTGAAGTTTCGAATACCTAGACCTTTCGATGGTTTGTGGGAGAAAGAAAGATGATCTACCCCAGGGATCTACAAAATTTCGACAGGGATTAAGCCCCCACGCTAAACCGCTAAAATACTAAAACGTAAGGCTGTCGCGGCTGGAATTTGTGTGCAACCCAGGCGACTTACCTTAAGTAGGTACAATTGATGAAAGCTGAGTAACTCATGATCGTCAGATAATGCATATCATAAGTTTGTAGGAACCAATTGACTTTTTCCTAGACTTGAATTGCAGTTGTCAATCACATGTCTATTTCATTACCTCTGCTCTGCTGAATTAGATCAGCAGATTTGAATTCAACGACACACTTATATGGTTCTTGTTAACCTGTGAGTAATTTTATAAGAACTCCAAGAACCCTTCTATCGGCCGATGGAATAACAACAACACAATGCTTGTGTCCCAAATGCAGTACCTACCCTCTTATAGCTTATAAGAGGTATATAAAATATATTTACATATGACTGCCATTCATAGTGGCCGAGTGGATGTCCCTTGTAGCCACGAGGGTCTGGCCACTGCAAATTTAAATGATTACTTCTGCCTCGGTAAAATCCCTGGTATATCGACCGAGCGTCTCAATTCCCTCTTGCACGTCTAGTATATGAAACGTCTGTGCGCCCAGCTACAATTCCAACTAGGAACAGGCGTTCTATAAGCTGTAGGTATAGTTCGATTATGCTCTCTGCTGTCGTCTAGGAAAATTTGCTAATTTTATTTCCCAAGCTTGAAGGTTGCTTCGGTGTATTTCTGTAAACCCTGGAGGAATACCTGATATCCTACGCCTTGGTTATCAGGTGCGCAGTAGATCTCAGTCAGCCGGATAGGCCACGGCGGATACCCTTGTAGGTCGACGTAAGGCTCAAATGAGATGAGGAGATCTGGTTCCGGCATGACGGCTTGAGATAGCTCATGGTCAAGAACGTCCAATGTAATATCGCTGGCTAATATTTTCTCTTGCTGGACCATCTGCACTAGAACCTTGGTAAGATCCACCATTGCCTCTCGACCGTCATCTTCGGAAACAAGTATAACCTGTAGCGGAACCTGATCCTGTGTATATGCCGCTCGGTTTACAGAGTAAATAGGCGCTGCTTCACGAGTGATGAGGGTAATAGGCGGAGCCTGGTACTTTCCGAACCAACTCTTGAGCTTGTGCGATAGAGCGCGATGTGTCTGAGGCATGTAGCGTTTAAGTATTCCTATTTTATACCTGTTAGTTTTGAAATACGTAGCAGTATAATTATAAGTCTTACCTGTTCTCTCGTATATAGATAATCGAGGAATACCTGCCGAGGCGCACCATGCTGCTACCTCGGAAGCTTCGTTGACAAGCTTCTCCAGGGCATCGCCAGCTCTGCCTCCATCCTCCAAGGTCAATATTACACTGACATGCTTAGGTAGCCGTTTATATACGCTAACATCTCTTCGAACGTAATCCGGAGTGTTATGATGGTGTTTGAGTATAGAAAGAACTCGAAGGGTAACAGCATGGTAGGCTATGCGAATTCGAATATAAAGGGAGAAGATTGCATGCACAAGGAGGTATAGCAATGCATGGAGCTGCGACTTAAGGAGCTTCCTAACACCGAAATGGGACGTCTCTCGCTTCTTCTTGCGACTACGACTTGGTGATCGACTAGGCGGAGAGGGAAGATAATTCTATAATAGTACGACGTGTTAGTTATATATATATACGCGGGCTCGAAGTTGAATGCACGTACCTGCACAAGCTTTTCTCGCTCTTTCGCACCGAGGCTCTTATGCCCGGTCGTCTCGTCCTCTCGATAGAGTTTCGTATCCTTGGAACTGAACGACATGATGTCGTAATGTATGTAGATATTATAAAAAAAAAAAAAAGAAAGAAAGAAACGAGCGATTCAAGGAATTGAATGTGAGATTTTAAGAAATAGCTCCTTGCATGATATTGGCCGGAGAGGCGAGGTTCGCGTTTTAATACGTAATTAGAGAGAGGCTTAGGTTGTCAAGCCTGTAATTATTTGGATCAGATGTTACATACGTAGTAGTAAAAGCGACAGGCCACGATATTCGAGCTTGTCCTGCGCTAAACATGTTACGTACATGTAGAATCCATCAATGTCATACTGGAACATCAGCCACAGTTAACGTGGCGTTACATATAAATCTGTACATAGGTACATGATATAAGAGATACGTACCGCCCCCCGCCCCCCCCCCCCCCCCCTGTAGGTAGCGTTACAGAGCTAGAAAGAGATACCTTAGGTAACAGCACGGTCCCCCCCTGTAACCCCGTCATGGCAGGTACATCTTCGCCTTGTCGGCGCATTCAAAAGCAATAACGACGCTTTCTAACTATTACATACTACGTAGTATATTGCATAGGTATACCATCGCAACTCTTTTCCATCTCCCACCTCGCATTTCCCCTCATGTTGCAGGACGAATTCGCAATCGCTACTTAATGCCATGGAACGGACAGGCTCCGGGTCGCGCGCTCTGTTCCCAAAGGGTCCCAGCTTTACTATCGACGATTTCTCTAGCAAGGACTTCATAGTCCGCGACTTCGTCGATGATCTTGCTGAAAGTGCCGTGTCTTTTAATCGTCGTCCCGGCCAAGCTCAGCAGCCCTTCGATCCAAAGCCTTTAATTCGGACGTTTGAGAGTATGTTTTCACTAATCTTCTAAGCATTAACTAACACACGAACTATTTGTTAATGTCTATCATTTCAGATGCTCTGCAGGGTTTAGGTAATCTATCCGAAGAGCTACAGGCAAAGGAGTCCGATCTTTTATCACAAGCCCGCCGTGGAGAAATTCAGCATGATCAGACGGTTGATATTCTCGGTCGCAAGTTAGAGCAGTCCATCGATCAGTTCGAAGCCCTAGACCTTACCCTTAATAACCCGAACGGAAACGAGCGGGGCAGCCGTGGAGAGGCGGGCGGTGGGAATATCGCCGTACAGATTGGAGAGAAGCTGGAGGAGCTGGATAGGAAACGAAGGCGGGCGCTGGACGCCAACTTTCTAATACAATGCTGGCTCCAAGTTAGCGAAACCGGCGAGCTTACGCTGCTACAAGACATTCAACGTCAAGGCGGCTCCGAGAATAAAGTGAGATGTGCCGTGATTGCGCACCAGCTGATGCGCATTAGCCAAAGGCTGGACCCTATTTCCTGGGGTCAGACGAATGGATTCCGGAATGGATTCGCCAACGGCGAGATCGATGACGAGAGGAGACATAATACCCGTGAAATATTGGAGAAGTTTTGCGAAACCCTGGAGCAAGATTTACTGAAGCAGTTTAACAACAGCTACCGTAAGCAAAATTTTGACGATATGAAGGAGTGCGCCAAGGTGTTATACGACTTCAACGGAGGCGCGAGCGTGATCGCCGTATTTGTGAACCAACATCAGTTCTTCATCGACAGAGACCAACTTATCACTGACGAGGTGACGATGGATGGAGAGACTTGGGACCAACTGGCAGATCCCGACTCCGAGCCACCAGGTGTTGAGCCCAGTCTTCAGTCGCTTGTTGACGAGGTTAAAATCGTTATGCAAGAGGAATCGTTTATTATCAAACGGGCGTTTCCTTACTACGAAACAGTCCTGATCAAATTTATACAGCGCGTGTTCCAGCAATCGATACAACAGCGGCTGGAATTGGTGTTAGACAAAGCCAATACCATTTCAACTTTAGCTTTTCTTCGATCCCTTCACTCCTCCAGAAGTTACATCGGTGCCCTGGTAGAGGACTTGAAGGCACATGGTCTTACGGAACACCCGGAGCCTTGCTCGCCTCAAATATCGCAAACGCTAGATCAACAGATGGAGGAGCTATTTGTTCCGTATATAGTAGGCAATTCATACATCGAACGCGAGAAGAAGAGCTTGGAAGAACTATTCAACTCACTGCTCTTCAAGTATAATATTTATCACTCAAGGAGGAAGAAAGCACCTACGGGGTTTATGGCTTCATTAGCCCAGCAGACCAACCAGCTCATGTCATCCGCTAAGGACGCATATCTGGAGCGGCTTGAGTCATCCGATCTTACTGCGACGCAGAAAGCCATGATGTTAAGGGTTGCCGGTGTCCAGGAAACTGACAAGAATAAGAACGAGATCGAAGTTTCGGAAGCAGAGGGTGTCTTGAGCACGGCCACGGCGAAGAGGATGCTGACTTGGCTTGCTGAAAGCGTCCGGCGAACACTGGAACTGGGTAGTCCGAGCGATACTCCAAAAGATGTCGCTATACTCCTGAATCTCCTGCTGACCAACATGGGTCAAGTCTACGTGGAGACAGCTCTGGAAGCCGCTCTTGAGAAGGCCACCTCTCAAGAAAACGTCAAGACGGAGCCAGATCTCAGCTATCTACCTTCAGTCCGCCCCGCCGTAACGATCGGGAGTATGATGAACCGTTTTATAAATATGGTGCTCATCCGCCTCGCCGAATCCAACACTACCGTGCGGAGAAGCATGGAGGCCCAAGCGAAGATGGGCATCGAGAGCATCGAGAAGAAAGCCAGCAGCATCATGAAGAGCACGGTCGACGTCATCGTCAACTGGGTATCCAAGTCTCTCGCGCAGCAGAAGAAGCTCGACTTCCTGCCCAAGGACGAGCTCGGCATCATCGACTCGCTGCAGACGCCGACGTGCACGACGACGTGCGTGTTCCTATCGCGGTGCACGAAGCTGATCGCACAGGCGGTCGACGGAGCCAACCTCGAGGTGTTCAGCAGCGAGCTCGCGCTCGAGATCCAACGCCTGCTCTTGGAGCACTTCAAGAAGTTCAAGGTGAACGCGACGGGCGGCCTCATGGTCACCAAGGACATCGCCGGCTACGTTGCCGCCCTCAAGGAGTGGCCCCTCGCCAAGGACGTCGAGGCCGCCGTCGAGATGCTCACCGAGATCGGCTACCTGTTTATCATCGGCCCCGAGGCCCTCCGCGAGCGCTCCCGCAACCTGGCTTCTTCTTCGTCCGCGGGCCCCGCCGCCGCGGCCGCGAAGAAGCTCGCTAAGGCGGACTTCAAGGCCTTCATACAGAGCAGGGATGATGCGAAGACTGCGGGCGTACAGAGCGTGCTTTCGAGCTTGTAAGAAGATGAAAGAACGGCTCCTAGGACCTAGGTATGGTATGGCATGGCACGATATAGCGAGGGAGAATGAGAGAAAAACTAGGAGGAAAAAAAAAAATACACCCGCCGGGTCATCTAGAGCAGAACAGAAAGGAAGAAAACGAGAGAGAGGAAGGAAACCAACGTGCTGCTTTTTGGGGTCGTTTTGGATCACGCACGTTTTAGTTAGCAATGTACAATTACGAGACCAATGATACCAATGCAAGAAGAGAAGAATGAACCCCCCCCCCTGGTCCTTGTATGTTTGTTGTCGTTTTGTCCATTCACGAACTAAATAGCCTCCTATTGTACTATCCTATACTATACCTGCCAAGTCTACCAGATAAGAAAAAAATTAAAACTACAAACTTCCATACCATTTCTTCTTTAATCCTGAAATGGACCTCAACAACTACCTACCTACCTACTGCACCTAACCTAGCATATTTTAGAAGTCGCTTTATTTACCTACCTATACATAACGCCTTCCCGCCTAATCACCTAATGTAGCCCGTATCGTAAAGATTAAGAGAGAGAGAGAGGAGGGGGGGGGGGGGAACAACTCCTATTCCTACATCTATTCCTACATCTATTCTTATTTCGCCGACGAATTTAGTGAAACCAGCACCACCACTGTAGTCTTCCCCTTTCCCCTCTACGCGTGGACCAGCTCGACTACCTAAATCACGTCGCATCGAGCACCGAAGATTGTGAGAAGAAGTCAATAAAGTAATAGGTTTTCGCGGGTAGGGGTGGGGAGCAGGCGTAGAAGAAAGAATCATGTTTTATAAACAGCACTTTTTTTCTTTTTTCCTAATCCACCCACTTAAAACTCCATCCATCCTTCATCCTCCTTTCCTTAAAAAAAAAAACGCCCCCCCCAAGTACCGCTATCCGCTAGCTACCTAACCTATAGCACATATATTCTCCCCCTTTTTTTTTTCTCCAGGTTGTGGCTCTTCACCTTGTACGAAACAAATGTGACTAGCAAATATCCAGACCCGTTACGCACGCTGTAGCAGTCGAAATTGACTTGACTCACGACGCTGATCTGTCTAGCTCTCTTTCAAAATTGGATGCAGGTTTCCAGAGGTTTAATTCATGGGCAGCTTTTCAGCGCCAGTTTCCCTGACTCAGCGACAACAGCCCAGCCACGCAATCCAGGTCTCCACATTTCGTAGGGCTGACTGAACCTTGGTGTAGCTTCCTAGGCTCGTCCTCTCCCTTGCCGTTCTCCTTATCCTCAAAGATTGCCATGGGAGAATCGCGTAGTTTCAAAGATGGTGCTGTATTAGACCTGTTTCCGAAGAGTGAACGTTTGGATATGTTAGTCTGCTCGCCAAGCGGGCGTCCAACGCGGCGAGGGTTTTTGCTCGAAATAGCTTGTGCCTGTGCCTTGGGGGAAGGCAGCGGTCGTCGATGATTGGGGTTTCCTTCCGAATTTGGGCTCCAGTTTTCCTTGTCAGAATCTCCGGATGGACTTAATATGGTAGTGAGACTGCCTTTTCCAGGCGTCTCCAAGTCGATCGTTTCGGGTCGAGTATCCAGTAGTGATGTGGGTGGGAGGGTCTGCATACGCGCTACGCTGCTAGTTGTGCGGCTAAGCTTAGCTTTCTTAGGTGCCCCTTCGCGGTGTGTGGGTTTGTTCTGTGGCGCGTTGCGCTTGTTAGGGTTAGATTGAAGCACATGCGATGTGCTATGGCTGTGAAGTATGCTGCTAAGGCTGGAAGTGCTGCTGCTTGATCGTAGAAGGCTAATAGCTGCAACTGCGGAACCAGAAGACTCGTTCTCGGCCTGCTTTGTTAACTCATCACGAGTATCTGCTTCGCAGCAAGATTCCCAGGCATGTACATCCCGAGAACGGCCCCGAGTAAGTTGAGGGGGCAAGTGAGCCGTAAGGGTCGAAATGGGCGGGAGAGTAATTCCGGGCAGGGCACTTCGACTCCTATGAAGGGTCCTGTGAGTGCGAACTGGCGGTAACGTATCTGCATCACCTGATAGTTGCATCTGAGCAGGTCTAGGTGGCGATGGTTGAGAGGAAACCAGTTCGGCCTTTCCATCTAAGGAGAGTGACAGGCGGACGCGAGATGATGATGCAGATGAAGGTGGCGGAAGAATCGAGGCGGGAGAGCTACCATTGGCCGAGTTAAAAGAAGACGAAAACGACTCAAACCTAGTAGGAATATTAGCAATTGCCTTTGTATTACGAAGGATACGGCATATACCTAAACGATTCGTCCCCGGTTCGCCCCCAGGTAGGAGGCGTACAAAATGAGTTATCGAAGCTCCGCCGGTTTGCTAAATACGCAACTGATGCAGACGAAATTTGGGAAAGCGAGAGACCCTCGAACTCGGTCCTCTGGGGTGGAGGTGGTGTGTGTCGCCCCGAGTTCTCAGGCTCTGGTATAGCTGGCTTACCCATGACGGATTTGTCTGTGGGGCTCAGCTTCGGGGAAGAGTGGACAGAGTGCTGGGGGCTCGCGTCCTGGGAGCTAGAAGGCGTTTTCTCCGCATCCAAAGGTTTTTCGTCTCCTATACGCGTCTCGCCTTGCTGCACAGGTGCTTCCTGCGAGCCCATTTGCACAGGAATAGAGTCGGACGACAGTATCTGCACACCCCCGCCATATCTAAGTGCCGCGATCTCTTGAGGCGAAAGGGGACGCGATTTCCGGCGATCGTTCTGGCGACGATTTTGGAACCATATCTACGAAAATATATCAGATCTGATACGCCAAGACGCGACTCATGCCAAGCTTCTCACGCGTCCCCGCTGTGATCTACGGGGGGGATCATATATACTAACCTGAACCTCTTTTTCGTTGAGTGAGACGCGACTCACGATATCAAGACGCGCTGCCTTATCAGGTTTCGGATTCGAGTTGTACGCGGCTTCAAGGATAGCTTTATCCTGGGTCCTATACAAAAAAGAAATGACAACATGCGTTTAGTAAATGCACTAACATTGACATGAGCTGGTGGGGGGTTGGGGTTGGGGTTGGATATGGCTCCGGGGGTACACACGTGGTTCTCTTCCGCTTCCCCTTGGGGTGTTTCTCTGTGTTGGAGTCGTGTGTTGGATAGCCAGATTCTAATCTGAAAGAAGATTCGAAGGATATTGTGCTCGAGTCGGGATTACTGCTCTGGGAGCTGATTGACCCTCTCGCCTCGCGTGCTTCGCGCACGGGCGGTATGGTGGGAGGCGAGGACGCGGTGGAGTGGGACATTATCGTAATCGTAATGAGGATCTTTAATATATGAACCTGTTCTAAATATGCATTCTACGGCGTAGTAGATGGGACAGAAATGTTTATAAGAAGAAGAAAAAAAAAACGAGAGACAAAGTCCCTTCTCTCTACAAACAAAAATACGTGTAAAGTTCCGAATTGTTGAAGTTGAGAATAGGGAACAGGTGTTGAAGAGGTAATAATAAGAAACGGGGAAAGGGTTGAACCTAGGCTTAGGCTTTAGAGTTAAAGTTAGATTTAGGGCTAGAGAAAAGGTGGAAGAAAGAGTAACTGGAGGCTGGCGCTGGAGCAGATAGATGCAATGGTGGGGCCTTTTGGGCGTGTCATCAATACCGCGTCTTGAGATCTAATGCAGAAGCTAGGGCCACTACCTCGAATTGGCCAATCAGAACACCATGCGCGTCACAGGTCAACCTAAACCGGTAACTTATTTACTTAGAGCGTGACCATCTCCAGGTAGACCAGCCCAAATTCTCTTAATTGTTACCAAAACAACTGCAAAGCGGAATTGGAATGCGCTAAATAAGCAAAATACGGTAATGACCGAGCTAGGTCATTAAAGAGAGAGAGAAGTGTTAAGTGTTAAGCGCCAACGTCTAGCCGCATATGAAGTTCGGTAATTGACTTTGCGATGCATTTGATGAACTCACTCTTATTACATAGCATGCGTATCTAATCTACATAGTAAGCTACCTCTGAGGCTCTGATAGCCTGGTAAGGTATCGTCGGCGAGGGGCAAAGGAAACCCATGGCAGCGCATAGACCACAATTCATGAATATTTATAGCTATTTAACGTATGATGATGCAGTGATAACTTAAAAGCTTCCCGAGATCTACGATACATGAACGAAGATTTGAAATCATTGATGCTTGTATAATATAATATAATACCACTTACATACTTTGCTTATTAGGATGATCGATATGGATATCCAACTTGAAACTATTTCATACCTCACCCAAGACGATAAACGGCAGGTAATTATAAGATAACCACTCCAGATATGCCTCACAGGTCCCCATAATATAACATTCTCAAGCTTGTGATGTGGGGCGAGTTCAACTAATTTAGGGCTTTAAATTACGGGCATGACATTAATTCGCAGTAATATCACAACCTACCTAGGTACCTGTTAATATGTATTCTTCATCTTTTCACTCCTCCTCCTCAACCTCTTCCCTCATCGCCCTATACCTCGCAATGGCCTCCAAATACTCGTCACGGGGGAACTCAGGACTCGGCCGCCACCCGTAGCTCTCGAAGAGGTACCTAACCTCACCCAGCGAACATCCCCGCCTTCCGTCAGGAAGAACTCGCCCTCGCGCAACGGAGCCCCCAGGGATATCATCGTCGCCGCCACGTCGTAGCCACCCTCCATCCACTAGACCGTCTCGGTTCCGGGGCTGTGAACCATCTCCAGCGCCTCGTACTTCAGTCTTCCTCCCGAGATCCGAGAAGTACAGTCTCCGCGACGTCCCCTTCGCCGCTGCCTGCGCCGGAACAAAAATCGCCTCCTCGATCACGGCCCGTTCCTCCTCGTATGTGCGGGAGGTGCTTCGAGAGAACTACTACAAATAAGGTCCTGCCGAACCCGCCACAGTTCTCGGGCGTGATGCTCCATGCGCCAGCCCCCTGCCGGCGGGTGCTTCAGGGCCGAGTCCGCGATGTGCGATGTCCACTGCATGCTCGCCAGAAACGTGTACAAGTCGCTGATGACAGCGGACATATTCGTCCCGTGTGCAACGCGGCCAGCATTGTTCAAGGTTTGCGCTTAATACCATCTTAGATATATTAAAAGTAAACACCATATAATTACATACCCATATTTACCTACATGACAATGTAAAGCCGTGATCTATTTGAAGATACGTACATAGGCAGCTATGGTCGCTTGCCAGGGGCTTGGTAAGATCGGCGTAACCGGCCCGTAAATCTTGATATGTTAAGCACTATCATGGAGTTCAGAGATGAAGCTGATATTAGGCATATCAAGTGAATAAATTGTACTCGCATCGAATCGATACCGCGCAATAAAGATATTAAGACTTCCTCGGCATTAATTAGTTTGCGATACATTCACGTGTCATTGCTACAATTCAATATATGCCTCGTAAATACCTTATTCATCAGAGTCTAGCCTAGTCGCCATCGTTGCGACTGGCAATGTAATAAGAGATAGTCAGGTACTCGCGATATATAAAGTATTGTCCCCGCGGGTTCTATAATCCCCAAAGTGAAAAAAGAAACCAAACAGCTACTCGCTCAGGGAGTGCCTTGATCATCATCTTGACAGAAACTCCTAGCTCTACGCCTATGAACTCCTTGCGGTGTATTGAGATCACCTAGCTCCTCCGCCTGCATACGCAGCGGAAATTAGAAAAATAATCGCGTGTAAAACTCCATCATCTAACTCTAAGCCGGGATTCTAAATCTATCCTCTACAAGCCCAGAAGGCTCATCTGTCGTCGTAACGGGCTCGCACTAGTACTGCCATCTTCACTAGCATAGTAGGCAGAGTCGGTATCGATATCCCATTCCGGCTCATCGTCCTCGTTGGCGGAGCCGGAATGGCCGTTCTTGCTTTCAAACCCCTTCTGGGTCGCAGCTCGCGTATTCCATTGTAGGGTACGAGAAACACTATCGAACCATTCCGTCCCAGTGCGCATCACGGTGGGGAAGGGGTACTGAGAAGCCGTAATGGTGACACAATCACCTTGCTTCAACTCTACCCTACCCTTTCCGTCAAATGCGCAGTAGGCCGTTGCGCGGGAATTGCGCGGGATAGAAACACGCAATAACATCGTGTCGCTAAGCACCATTGGTCGGAAAGAGAGCGTGTGCGGGCAAATGGGAGTGAGAAGGATGGCAGGAAGGTCAGGGCTGACCAAAGAGCCGCCCGCGGAAAGGGAATATGCAGTCGATCCAGTGGGTGTGGAGAAGATGCAACCATCCGCTTGGACAACGGTCAAGAGCTCGTTGTCGCCGTACAGCTCGAGGTTAGAGACGTAGGGGGATGGGCCACGGTCGATAACGAGCTCGTTGAGAACTTCAAACTGCTCACCCTCTTCCATCTCCTGGCCCGAAGCGCCGTTCCGGAACACGGTACATGTGAATCGCATGCGGAGGTTCACACGCATGCCATCATCACCCATAACCTTGTTGAGGTGTTGCTTGTACTTCTCAAATTCAAAGCTTGTCAGGAAGCCTAGACTTCCTAGACTAAACGACAACACAGGGGGAACAACCCTCTGGAAGAGCCAGGAGGTGAAAAGTACGGTACCGTCACCGCCGAGTGTTAAGACAAGATCAAACTTCTCCGGATAACTCCAGCAAAGGTCCGGAGTCCAGTACCGGAGCATCGACTCGAAACGAGGGTCTTCATCCACAATACTAGAAGCACCGAAGCGCTTCGAATTGCGTAGCTTCGCGTCAACATAGACGTTGACTCCTATATCTGAGCCATATCGGGGAGTTCTCAGAAGCCACATGGTCAACTCCCTAGTTAGATATACCAATTCATTGTCGCGGGCTTTGGTGACGATCATAACATTGCGGACAGCTCGACGGATAGGCCGGCGCTGCAGTTGCTTGGACACCTCACGAACACCGGTGGCAGTTTGGACCAGTCTAGAATGCGACATCCACTCATCGTTTTTGATTTCTTCGAGGACCTTATCGATATCGACTGCGTCATCAAATCGGTTGTGGTAGAAGCATGGTGACTGAAGGGAGGGGAATGCGGTAGTCGGAGTTAAGTTTCGGGCGGCAAGCTCGGAAAGAGCTTCGGACAATTGTTGAGAAGAGGTGGATTTAGCAGGTCGTTTATCGACCGCTGACTGCGCGGACAACATGCCGTTCAATGATAAAGCCTCAGGCTTATTATTCCGTGCGACAGAGGCCAGTGCTTTCATAAGGGTTTGACGCGGGACCGCATCGACAGATGGTGCGTTCTTGCGGTGTCCGCGCAATTGATTATTGGGAACGGCGTCTGGACCTTTTATGGCTAGAGCGGAAGGCTCAGGTTTTTTATCGTTGTCGTCAGCATAGCAATGAGATTGGGAAGTAGAAGAAAAGTGCGGCGCAGGGTCGGACTTTGTAGGCGAGCCGGATTGTTGCAGGGGCTGCTCTGGGCCTGGAATTGAGATGATGGAAGTGGATGATGACTTAGAAATGGGGCCGACAGCGTTCCCGACCCCTCCGCCAACTTCCTCCAGCGTGTTATTATTACTGCTGGTGCTGGTGCTGAGAACAGGACGTACCCCCATTGAAGGGGACCCCATTAACCCTAAATTAGACATGGCTCCACACGCTAAGGTTGTAACCTAGGCGATACCTGCGCAAAAAAAGTACCTGGGTAGGTATGTAGAGAAGTATCGATGCGGGTTAACAGAAACCGCCGAATCCGAAGATGCACAAAGGTCTTGCGTTACCTCCGAATCGTGCAGGATAAATTTAGAGCCGGTGCAGAATTCTTTTTCTGTCTTGGATCGATTTAATTCGACGTCCCAGTCCGTACGACAAGAAACGCTAAGACAACAGGTTTGTCAGCGGGGATTCTTATATAAGGACCGCACACGCACGAAGTAGGGGGGAAAGCACATATAACATATATTATCCAGGTTTATAACAACCAAGGTAACCAACCGACCTGTGGTGCTGATTCTGGAGCTGCTGATGGTGATGGTGCTAGTGCTGGTGGCACTCGGCAAACAATCCATGCAGTGACAGCACATTTCCAGTTATAGGTGCTTCCAACTCCGAGACATGGCGAATCATGGATAAAATAACTTACAGAGCTATTCCCGAGCTATGTTAATCTCGTGATATCGAAACACTAGATATGATGACGAGGTGGTCACAGCAGCGGCAGATTTCCCCCCAAGACCGAATTGGCAAGTATCTTGTCTTAGGACGCACAGAAGATGTGAGAACCGGCTCGATTAGAAATAAGCTATCCCGCTATAGTGATCTATTCTTAGAAATTCCTAGAATAGAGCCAAAGGAGAAATAGGGTCGTGAAGGAATTCGCAAACGTCGAGTAAAAGGTCTGTCGTCGAAGAAAATAAATTAACAATATTGGGAGTTGGTAGAAACCCGGGTTGGTCGAGGAATATTTATATTTATATGTTATTAAAAGGAATAAAATGAAACGACTCGAGTTCAACTCCGCGTAAGACTATGGTGTTGTTGGTGGTGGACAAAAAAACGAAAGTAGCAGCCAGGCCGGGAAATAGTCAAACGCAAGAAGATTGAAGGTTGAGTCTGCAAGAACTTCCAGAGCTCTGCTTTTGCTGTTCGCACAAACAGCTTGTAGAAGAGAAAGACTTGGGTCTAAGTGACTGAAGATCCAGTTAGATCAGGAACTCGAGATTTCAGTCGCGCCCGACTCACTTATTAAGGTAAAATATAAATCGGTTAACACTTGGTGATAAAGAGATGGAGGTGCTTGGCTGCTTGGGCGGTACCTCCGTGCATGGACTGTGGAGTAGCAGCTTGGTGGAGCACGTAACCAGAAAGGGTCCGGGTTCAAGTGGGGCCTTGAAGAATTGTATCCAGGTACCTTAGGTATGTAAGTATTCAAGTACTTCCTAGTGTGGGTAGTACTAGAATCCTTACGTACGCCTTTCTTTATAGAAGGATGGCGCTAACGAATAGGAGACAGAGGCATGGACAAGGGGGAATAAAAGATGATAGTAGGAGTCGAGACGCAGAGCTGTCACTTCGTATACCTACTGCATCCTGTAGCAGTAATAGTAAATAAGATCCGAAGTAACAGCCGCCACCCCGTACAGCGCTGGAGTGTCTTGTATCTCGATTCCTTCAGGATAAATAATAATAATAAAAAGTCATGAAAATTAGAAGATGGAGGGTACGTGGCGATTTGTTTGACCCACCATTATTAGTAGTACTTCTCCTGTTTTCCCTAACAGAAGCCGTGAAGTGTTTTCGCGCCAGGTCTCACATTGTAACCCTTAAAAGTTAAACCGCAGGGGTTGGTAAGCGAACGCTGCGTTTAAGGAGACTAGGCTCGTCTCATCTTTCCCAGCTCCCCAATTGCCAGGGTTTGCGAATGCTGCCGGATTCCCTGTAACGGATATTCTCAGTCGCCTACATAGCAGTCAACCAACTGAAAGCTGACGAGGGTCCTTTGAGCCTCCTTGATCTCCTTCAGGTATAACTGCATAATGCTGATTTGTTTTGGGCCTTACTGACGACGAATCCCGTGTCTGGAGCTTCATCGAGCAAAGGTGCCTCCCCTGCGAAGATCACACATCCAGAAACAACTTTTAACCGCTACTCCACCGACATAGAACTCCACTGGATCACGGCTAGATCGAAATTTGATAGGCAACTCGTCTTTTCGGTAATTCGCACATAAGTCCTAGCTGAGAAAACGTGGCTACAAACAATATGCGCTGTGAATCTTTGCAGACAATCTCGTAATAGGACGTCATGCTATTACCGTCGCACTCAATTGGTGCCCAGGACCGAAGGACGAAGCGCTTTCTTCACTTGTTCGTGTTCCTGTAACAAACTCGTCGGTTAGCCTAGCATAGCTGCCAAACTTTTGCTTAGCATTTTTGCTTAGCATTAGCAACGCATACCTAGTCCTTAACTTCCTAGGATGCTGCCGTTTTTCCCGTCCGCCTACCAGAAGGACCCATCCGATCAACATTTGCCATGCTAATGTAAAAACAATAACCTCATTAACCAGCCAGATGATCCACCATACCCGGGAAGAGATTCCCGATACGTAGCATCCCCGTGGAAGCGATGCGCCGATTCGAAAGTATCAAACATGTCTGAGCGGAACTGGAACCAACGAACGCGTATTACTGACCGCTAATCCGGTATGGTTTGCCGTATTTTCTGGCCAGTCATATCCACAAAATAAAGTCCGCGTTAATTCAAAAGTACGAGATAGTATTGCTCACTTCCAATGCAGATCCGAGGCTATTTTCTCCTCCAACGTAGATCGTACGAACTGCTTTAGGTTCGCGCCTGGTAGGCTATCATCATCCATGAGAGCATCTCCATCACCGGCAGTGGTCAGAGGGCAACATTGACGTTGAGCGACGGTAAAGGCGTCATCCCATTCTTTCATCGTGAAGCTTCCTTCACTCTCTGCGAGTATTAATTCATCGTGCGAAGTAAACGAGAAGACGTGGAACGATTGCGACGTTTGAATCTCTCGCGGCGAAGGGTTCAAGACGACTTTCTTCGATTGTCCATCAGCGACAACGGCCAAGGAAGTCGATGTAAGTGTCGCCGTCAACGGAAGGGCAGCAGAGAGGAGTGAGAGTACCGCCGTCTGCAGCAGAGCGGGTAGAATAGGTAAGTTCTAGGATATCGCACGTCCGGTTAGTATGTTCGTAATTTCTTTTCCCTTTGGAACCCTATCAAGAAGCAGCTTACTGAGGTAGCCTGTGCTACTTTGGCATTCACATATTCGTTCTCGGGGGCAGTCGTAACTTGTAGAATCACCTGGATCAAAGTCCTCGGGAAATTGTTGACGAGGATGATCTGGCGCAAGGTCGACTGAATCAATGACTCCAAGTGCCTTTCTCGAGTGCCTGCAGAAGAGCAATGGTAAGTTTGGTTGATACATATATAAGGGTCAGCGTGCTTCAAAGGAAGTCATACCTCCAACCCCTGCAGCTGGTCGTACGATCACATCAACGGCCGCCTCCTCCGGGAGCTCATCTCGTCTCTGAACTTCGATCGGCCCATTTACAGCCCCAACCACGGTATACCCGGCGAATGAAAAAGTAGCAGAACCGTCAGCATTTTGAAGGTGAGACAGTAAGGCCTGCGGTTCCGAATTGATAGTCATATTGGCGAGTAATTGCAAGAGGATTTTCTTTTGGTTGTGAAATTGGTGCTTGCATAAGAAATCGAAGTGGTGAAGTGAAGTTCGGGCGTCTGGCGATTGGGATTGAACTTTTTCTTAATTAGGCAGGGACCTAGACCTGGGTAGGGTAATTTTTGGCGCGGCTGCATTTCATACCTAAGGTACCTAGGTAGCATGTCATTGAGCGTACCGTACTACCGAACTTATTATACAAGTACCTTATACAAGTACCTTAACCCCGCCAAAGCTGTATTGGTATAGTGTAAATATGCGGCCAAGTACATAAAGATGGAGAAAAGATACTCGTAGTGGCTTCTACCTTATGTACATGAACCCGATACGCGAATTCATCATATAGGATTATGTATATGATTAACATCTGCATCTCTTTAATGTACTTATTGTATCATACGTACGTAGCGTAGCCACTTACTTGCCTTTATAAATAACAATCCAAGGTAGCTCTCGGATCGACATTCTGAACAACAAATCAAAATTCCAGGTTCTGCAATCAAAGCTATGATGGCTACCCAAAATTCAACTCAACCAATACCGAATCTGAAAGACAAGATTCCGAAGTTAGAGCCGCGCCGGAGACGGCCTCCACCATCAAACCCTCTTCCACTGCCGGAAACACCTGCTCTACCGCCGCCACCAGACACTTCATCTCATTCATTCCAGGTTCCCACCCGGCGAATCCTGTCCACCAAGGACCACGACCTCTTCCTCTCGTCGAAGACTTACACTCTCATTCTAGCATTCGTCTTCGGCCTCACAGACGCCGTAGTAGACGCCCCCATATCAGCCGTCAGGGACGACGACTGCAGCCCCATCATCAAGTCCATCGTCGGTGTTCTCGACGAGATCGAGGCGCTAGTCTTAGCCACCCCCCCGGACGACGCCGAAGGGTCGCGCTTCGGAAACAAGGTCTTCCGCACCTTTCTCGACAAGGCCAAAGCCGCCAGCCCGTCTTGGCACCAGAAGCTCGGGCTGACTTCCCGGGATGCCGTCGTGGAGGTGGAGACCTACCTCAACCAGTCGTTCGGCAACCGGACCAGGATAGACTACGGCTCGGGCCACGAGCTGAACTTCGTAATATGGCTGCTGTGCTTATACCAGCTCCAGATCGTGAAGACGACGGATTTCAAGGCGTTGGTCCTTAAGGTCTTCGTCCGGTACCTGGAGCTCATGCGCACGATCCAGTCCACGTATTACCTCGAGCCAGCCGGCTCTCACGGCGTCTGGGGTCTAGACGACTACCAGTTCCTCCCGTTCCTCTTCGGAGCTAGCCAGCTTCTCCATCACCCCTTCATCACGCCGATGGCGATACACCAGGAGCTGACTCTGGAGGAGTTTGGCAACGACTTCATGTACCTCGGGCAGGTGAACTTCGTCAACAGCACGAAGACGGTCAAGGGCCTGCGCTGGCATAGCCCGATGCTAGACGACATATCCTCGGCGAAGAGCTGGTCCAAAATCGAGGGCGGCATGAGGAGGATGTTCGTGGAGGAGGTGCTCAAAAAGCTGCCGGTGATGCAGCATTTTCTCTTCGGCTCGCTTGTGCCTGCTGTGGAAGGTATGAGCACCGAGTCCGAAGCAGGTATATCGAACGAGGAGAATGAAGCGGACGGAGGAGTGGTGGTTGTCGAGCATGACGGGGTGAAGCACGTGCATAACGGCAGTAGCTGGGGTGACTGCTGCGGAATCAAAGTCCCCAGTGCTATTGCTGCGGCCCAAGCCATGAGGAAACAAGGTGCCGGAGAGTTGCGCCGGATACCATTCGACTAGATTTTCTGGTCCCTCATGGAAAAATGAAGACGATGCTACGATAAAATGTAATGACAAGGGATCTTAAATCCCATACTCCTTTACCATGGCGTTGCTATAAATTACGGCATCAATGTGCAATATATTTATTCTAATATCAATGTATACTACCATGAACTAGCACATATGCTATGCTGTAGCTATAGAGAATCTAATCGGCGTCATACACCAACCTACCTACCTGAGACTGAAATCAGAGTCCTACAACAGCAATTGGGCGCAAGAGCATACATACATCACAAACAAGGCAATTTCAAACTAGACGTAAAACTCGTCGTAATGATATCAAGCCTTCACGACAGTGACCATAATTCATAACTCTAGACTACCTAGACCTTAGGTGGGTACCTACCTACATACTTATCCGGTGCCTGTCCACTAAGCTTAAAAACCAAAAGGGTATCCTACCGCGTTGAAATACAGTTAAAGCAACCCATCCGTGCACAGAGCTCCGTATTGCATACACGCCGCCCCGAGAGTTTGCCACGGAAAGGCAAATACGCAACCTTAAAATAACCCTAAGTCCCTCATCTCCTCCTTCTTCCTTTCCTCCCATTTTCTTTTCTTTTTTTTATTCCATCCTTTTTCCACATTTCTCCCCTCCCCCCTCTCCCCCCCTTCTCCTCTCAACTCACCATCTTCCCCACGCTCAACTCTCCCGATACAACTTCATCAGCTCGGTCCTCATCTTCTGCCTCGCTTGCTCGTCCACCCTGCGCTGGTTCTCGAGCTCCGCCACCCGCCGCGTCAGCTCCGCGACCCTAGCCTCGGCCTTTTTCGCCGCGTCGCGGGAGGCGTCGCGCCCGCGCTCGAGGCCCTTGGCGCGCGCGGCGTGCCGGTCCAGGACCGCGCGGATCTTTTTGCGCACCGCGCCGTCGATGGGCTGGTCGTACAGGAGCGCCATGATCTCTTGCGTGAGTCCTTGTTCTCCGCCGGGCGTGGCGGGGGCGGACTGTTGTTGTTGTTCTTGTTGCTGTTGCTGAGGATGGTGGGAGGAGGAGGAGGTAGATGGAGTGTTGGTGGAGGTCGCGGCTAGGTCTCGCTTGGGCGTGGTGGGGGATGAGGGGTCGGCAAAGAGCACGCGCCGCACGGGCTTGTCGGTGAGCGGGGTCGCCATGCCGTCTTGGACGAGGGTGCGCGGGCCGGAGGGGGTTGAGAAAGCGTCGCGCTGTTTGGTTTTGGCTTGGGCTGAGTTGTTGGCGAGAGCGATAAGTACCTCCTCTTCGCCGGAAGACAGGTCGCTGTAGTCCTCGATATTCGGCATCTTCCTCTTCAATCCCTTTGACAGTGTGGCCGGTCCCGATTCAGGCTGTGCTTGGCCATCATCCGAGGTGTGAGCTGACTCATCGTCCTCATCCGATGAACTACCCTTCCCTAGGGTCTTCAATGCCGCCTTTACAGGTTTAAAGCTACCCTTCATAGTCGAGCTCTGAGTCGTAGGAGAAGGGGGAGAAGGGGGATCGGGTTTAAGCATGCGATCCAGGTCTGCTAAACTAGTGACTGGCGTCTTGCCCTGCCTCTTCTCCTTCGCGGGAGTTATGCTCTCATGAAGCGTCCGCTGCCTCTTCTTGGGCCGCCGACTTGGAGTGCCCTCAGCCTCGCTGCGCGAATTGGTCAAGACGTTGTTGACTTCGCGTTCGTGGGCGTCTTCAGTCCACAAGAAGAAATTACACTTGTTCTCCTTGTTGCGGTCTTTCCTACAGGCGTAAAACGACCTACCCTTGTTGGGGGTCTCTCGTTTGGCCAGGTATTGGATTGCGGGAAGACGAGGGATGCAGTTACCTAGTTGTCGCAAAAAAGGGGTTAATTAGTTTATCATATGGTCGCAAATCTGGTATTTTCACTTTGAGGATAGGATGAAATAAGACTCACAATGCCAAATGCCGTTTCTAAGATGCCCGTTGACTGGGACTTTGGTCGACGGTGCACCCAACTTTCCCATTTTGTTTTTGAAGTAACCTTCTTTGATATTATATGTACCTTTTAGTAAGCCTTAGTACGTATTATGTTTCTTTGTTTCAATCGGATATGTACTTGTAGTCATAGGGTATGAACTTTAATACAAGTAGTTTCTTGCGAATCTAGGCCTTGTCTCATAGCAATGACAAGAGACTTAAGGTTTAGGAGTAACGGCGAACTATGGGGTGGAAACCATTTTAGTGGTGCCAAGTGGTTGGGGTTAGGCTGAAAAACCAGTTATACGCAGTACACAAGTAATTGAGCTGCATATTAAGTGGAGACCTAAAAAGCAACCCCGCTGGTAGTATAAAAGGTATGGTCCAAGCGCTTTTTGACGGACTTTCTTTATTACATAAAGAAGCTTGGAAATTTTTTAGTAAATTATCAACCATATAACTTTAAGTATTTATTTCCATTAAGGAGGCTCAAAACGGCTTAAAGCCGAGGAAATATATAAGCTTTAATTACCAGTTCATCGCATCTTGTATCAAATGCTTACTCCTTTTTTTTCATAAAGGTTAGCTACAAAGTGGTTTCTACGTAAATACAAATGGTTCCTACTGCGCAGAGCTTCATCAAAGGGTCGATGGAAATTGCTATGAATATTCTATCGTGAGAAACATCTGCCTATTTTACAGATAGCGCGCTCTTCCCGCTCGTGCTATACTTTCATTGCCGAATGGTAGCCCGTTGTCAATAATGCTGAGGCCGGTATTCGTGCTGCCGTTACCAGCGAGCGCCAAATTGCCGAAAAGATCATTGCAACACGTCTGGCACTCAGGAACATCGAACGGCGATCCACACCCGCGACAGTCAAAGTCCCCACACTGATCGTCACCTGGATCGTCACCTCTCCCGCCCTCAAACGTATACAGCAAACATCCAGCCTGGCATGACCCACCGACACCTCCGTTGTTGCCTAGAGAAAAAACTGTTAGTCCTTATTTTGTATGTCCAAGGACTGGTATGGTATAAGGGACTGCGGTGGAAGAGAGAGGACGACCACTTACATTTAGTGAAATCCTCCCGAACAAGCAAATACGCCGTGATCAGGCTGGGCGAGCCAAGCGGGAAGCCAAAACTCTGCTTGTCAACCGTGGTTTCGCAGCCGGGAACCCAGCTGCAAGAAAAATCGTAATTGACCCCGTGGCGGTCGGTGCGGCGCAGTGTAACGGTCGGGCCATCCGGCCCGAGAGAGTCGTCGTCGCCCATCTGGGATCGCAGATTGCTGAAAGCCGTCGAGAAATCGTCCTGGTCCCCAGATTGAAGGTCGGCATGGCCGGGGAAGTCGGCCTCGTTGAAGCATTTGATGGGTCCCCGCTCTAGCGGCGTCTTGGGTTTGCTGGTGGGCGTAGCTGACGGCTTTGTCGATGTGCTGCTGCTGCTGCTGCTACCACCATCTGGAGTCCAGGTTCCCGTCTCGATGATGTACCCTCCAAAACCACCATCGCCGATAAAGACTTGCAAGTCTGCAGGATTTTGGTTGCCAAACCAGGGAGTGTACTCTGGCACTGACGGGCAAGCCAAAGTTGTGCGCGAAGTCGTCGTCGAACCAACAGACTCGCATACCGAGGTCTCACTGCATGTTGTGGTGTAACACGAGGTCGAAAGCGTAGCTCCGTCCGGTGTCACCGAGCACGCGACGGAGCAGTCTGTCACGGCCGTCTTTGTTGAGCAAGTTTTCGTGGGATCGTTGGGATTTCCGCCTCCGCCGCCACCGCCACCTCCGCCGCCACCGCCACCTCCGCCGCCACCGCCACCTCCGCCGCCGCAGAAACCGATGCAGCATGGTAGAGGCCAGATGCACGGCGTGCAGTCAACGCCCAGGCAAGGAGGAACAATACCATTACTACCACCACCGCGACCACTGTGATCATCGTCATCGTCGTCGTCGTCATCGTTGTCATTGTCCTCGCCCTTGTGGTCGTCATCCAATTCCGGCTTTGTACAAGGCGGGGTGCAGGAAGGTTCTATCTATCGTCAGCGTCTCCCTCCGACCTTTCACGTGAGTTTAGACTTACTGGCAGTGCCACTTGTCGACGAGACTGTTATGCGGCCGGGACATGTGCTACAGCCTGTAGGAGGAGGAGGTGGTGGTGGCAGCGGTATTGGTGTGGTAGTTGGTGTGGTAGTGGCACCCGGCGAACTGGACGGGTTTTTGGTGTGTGGTGGCCACGCCCCAGGTGAGTAAGTGTACGTTACGCCGGTAAGAGTGGTTGTTTTGCCGTCTATCGTGATTACAGTGGAACCCTGAGTAAGTGTGATGCCAGGGAAAAGGACACTGCTTGTCAGATTAAAGCTTCGGTCGTTACTGTTGGTCCACTCATAGTTTGACACGTGAATTTCCGTTGTCGACACAGGTGAGATTGTGATGGTGGTAGCTATCAAGATAGTTAGCACAGGTAACATGTTTTCCTGGGGAGCAAAATGAGATCAAGAGGATATTGCCTACTTGTGACATGTTGTACATATTCCGTAGACGTGACTCCGCCAGGGTTTGTGACGACGTAACTCCATTCGTCCGTCCAGGTTTCCGTGACTACAGTATATGTCAGTGCAAGTTCTAGTAACGGGGAAGAGTAGCTTGCCCAGGCCTGGGTGAGAGCCGTTTCGGAAAGAGTTTACGTACCAGCCGGCCGAGAGATGGTTGTGGTGTAAGGCAATGTCCACGGTGGCATTACGATCAGACAAGGCGGTTTACATTGCACCAGCGGGTCCTGGTTCGTATAGACAACAGGATCAATATAGACAATGTTGTCCAATGCACGGCTCCCGCCGCCGGGACCCGTCACGTTGAGATCAATAGCCCAGTCTGATAAACCGCCAAAACCGAGACCGCGAACCCAATCAGCGCGCTCATTGTAGTACGCGACATCCGACCAAGAAACCCATTCGGTGTCGTCATAAATCAAGATGTCGCCTGCAATGGGGTCATGTTCCTGCTGTATCTTGTGCTGCCCGCTGGAGATGATCTCTCGGATTTCTAGGTTGGAAATATATCCAGGAGTACCGGTACAGCGGCCAGGTTTAGCACCACTAACCGGACCGACGAATGTGCAGCCCTCTTGCCAACAGCCAGGGGTAGTCATCTTAAAACTTCGACCGTACATCGCCTGCCCGACAAACACCTTTTTCGCAGGTACACCAGCCTTTGTAATCATGGATAGTGCAGTTTCCGTCTCGGTCCGGTTGATATGGCTTCGTAGACAATCGCCCTTAGGGCAATCAGGTGACGTGTGTGAATTGCCGTAGTCCCACTGCCCATGCAGATCATAAGTCATATAAATAATGTAGTCGACAACTTCTCCGATGCCATCTATAGGAAAGGCCTTCAAGTACCAAAACGAGGCAGGCGCGGCGATAGACACCGTTTTCCCGCTTGGGAGCTTTTGTTTAACGAGACGAAGGAATTCCAGATAGTTTTTCGCATCCTCAGGCCCAGCCAGGGGGAGTCCTTCTCCTTGATCATCCGGTGCACTGGGGTACTATCAGGTAAGTTTGGTCAGCTTAATTTCTGTTCTGTTTCGGGTCAGCTTTCTTACCTCCCAGTCGAAGTCAACGCCATCAAGATTATTTGCTGAAACGAACTCGACAACCTTGTTCGCGAACGTCTCCCGTTGATCGGCACCGACTCCCTTTCGAAAAATGTCAAAAGTAGTGGCTTGCGTTGAGAAGGCCCAGCCACCGAATGAGACAACCTTCTTATACCCGGTAGATTTTGTGAAAGCAGCCCAGTCTTTTTCGTATGGACTGATCCTCACATCATAACTTCTGGTCAGATCCGCGAAGGCCCAGTGTACAATGGTATACTCGGAAGGAATGGAACCGACTCGCATGGTATTGCAGGACCTGTCGATGTTGAAGGCCTCGTAGTAGCCTACCCTCTCGAACTTGGCTGGAGGAGATCCTGTCACGATCTTGGTTCCGCAGTTGGAGATGCAGCCATTCTCTCCCGGTCCGCCTCGTGTGCCATCATTTCCGGTGGAGGCTCTTGTATCGGTACAAAACTCAGCCGTAACACCACATTGACCCCAGACGTCGCAACAAGCATTGAGTGGGCATGGGTTCAGGCCCGGCCATTTGGTGTAATCAGTAGGTTTCTCTGTACCGTTTATCTGCGGACCACATATCTAACGGGAAGTTCTGTGTCAGCTGACAGTCAACCATGAATGTCGGCGCATACATACAGCGTCTGGTAAGTTGGCAGGAAATGGAGGGTTCCCTACAAGAGGTCAGCATTAAGAACAGAGAGAGAGCAGCAAATCAAGTAATCATACCGCGACCCAAGCAGATGTTCATGCCTAACTGTATGCCCTCGCAACCCGCCCAGCCCCATGTTTTCTTGTTGCTATCCTCGATAGCCTGGATGGTTGTATGGTGGGCATCGGCTAAACTCCAGCAAGTGTCTCCCTCTTGCACGAGGTGGGTGTAGCATGTACCATCGGGTCCTGGTTGAGGAGAAAAGTCTGGTGGATCTCCAGCAGAACAACAGGCGTATGTCCCGAGCTATACATTGACATGAGCTGCGTACCTCGAGTAGCTTATTAAAAGGAAGAAAAAAACGCACCTTGGGATTTGGACTTGTGCAGAAACTGCTTCCGCCATTGAAGGCTTCAAGCTGCGCTTGCGTTATGCCACATCGATCTGCCAAAGCCCAGCATCCATCACCGGACATTACTTGGGTGTATTTGCACGTTGCACGTGGTCTAAGCTCCGAATCTCGTCCCTGTAAACTTTCTGGCTTCTGTGGTGAAACGGGTATAAGAGCGCCGGACACGAAGTCTATGGTCGCGTCTTCAAGCAGTTGGCCGCTGCTAAGACACCTGGCCTCGTGCCAGTCGCGAAGAGTTTTCTGTACCAAGCTAGCATCCGAGTCCACAACGATGCCAAAGACCTGAAGAGAAGTGGTCTTGTTGTATTCAGGGGAACCACAAGCTTGAGCGGCAATGGTGGTGGGGGAGAACTGCTTTGAGAAAGTAGCGACCACCGTAGCCGCAGCATGTCTTTCCACTTGCATTCCCACATACGTGCCAACGAAGACATTGCCTCTTTTGGCGTAGGTAGCGAGCATCGGCAGTTGCGGAGAGTCTTCGTCGGTAGCGTGGCTATCGATATAAGCACTGAGGCTTGTCAGAGCCGATTGCACATCTTCGATCGAAAGCTCTCGCGATCCTTCACCCGACACCACCTGTACTTTTTCAGACCGAGGTGCGGTGGTGTTGAACGATAAGAACTGTCGCTTGCGCTTTTTTGCGATCCGGCCCGCATTATCACCCTTAGGCTGCGGAGCTTGGGATGCCATGCACGAGCGGAAAAACGTCCCTACTTTGGGATCTTCCAGGCCATTGTACAAGTGTGTTTGAAACAGTACCGTGCCTGCACATGCGTTGAGGTCAAGCAGGTCGTGATATGTCGTCCATAGCTCAGGGGGGTTGTCATCGCAAGGAACAGGACAAGGCTTATTGACAAATGACACTGGAGTAGTGGTAGAAAGAGTTGGGAAGAAAGCACAAAAGATAAACAGATGAACAAAGTTGAGGCTCATAGCCGTCCACTGGGCCATCTTGCTGGCTCCGCCGCCACGACTAGGCACTTGAAAGACCATCTTGAAGCTTGTCAATCTGGGTGGTCATTGGGACGAAAGTCATGGCTGATATATTTGTGTAGCCCGTCTCATCTACGACCACAGCCATCTTAGTGTCCTCTTCGGGATGATGCTGACTGCATGTGCCTTGTAGAATTTTTCATCACTACAAGGTTCCATCTATATCCAAGCATCCCTGAACGTGAGCCGGCTCCATGGAGTTGCAAGGACGTTTAGATGCAGCTTTGCGAATATCAAGATCTAGGCGTGGCTTTTCCCTTTGCAATGGGATCATAATACTGCCACGCGCCTTTGAACCATCCTTGTCAAGCATAGCAGCCGTATAAGGGTCACGCGTCGGAGCTTGGTATAAGATTTGGTCTTACAAAAGTTCTATCCATAAGGAAGCCCACTATCAAGCTATTAACTGCCGGTCAGCTTAGTCCGCCGACTGATGTTACATTGATTTTTATACACCTTATCTTGATGCTCCTACTAAGCCAATGCTACTGTCCTGGCGTTGGCGTTTGGCGTCCGGAGTGTTAAGATTGAATTATCTGGCCCAAGAGAATTATTGGCAACTTGATTGATTGGACGCGCGGAGTAGGACTCCTGCCCGATAAGCAGTTTAGGACAACTGCTTAGCAACCCTGTTTCGCCCTGTGGGGATTGGCAGCATATGGATAGCTGTTAACTGCTAAGCGAGATTAAAACGCGGTTGTAACCTGTTGTGCGCAGTTACGTATTAGTGCAGAAATATAATTTAATAATATTGTGGTTATATTGTTAATTGCTTTATTAATTAAGATATTTTTGGTACTTTTTAAGTTTAGAAATTATATTAGTTTTGAGTGTATAAAAGATTTTATATCCGAGTATAAATTATATAATTAATTTTTTGTTATTATAATTGCAATATAATTTATTTTAATTATTATATTATTAATGTTAATGTAATTATTTGTTTTTATTTTAAGTAATTTATAAATTGTATTTAATATAGGTTTTAAAGTTGCCTTGAAGTATAGCCCCTGTTAGTTGATTATTATATTTATTTATGCTGTTTTTATGTTGGGAATTATTGTTAATATTATTTTTAATATTTTTTATTAATTTGTTTGTTAATATATTATTATATATATTATTTCCTATTATTCCCGGGTTAGTATTATTTACTTAACCTCCTTTTGTTGAAGATTTTAATTTTTATTTAATTTTTGAAAATTATTATTGGAGAAAAACTATTTATTTTTAAGTTTATTAATTTACGGATATTTATAAATATGGTATTTGCTGTTTCTGTTTTTATTTCCTTAATTTAATATGTATTTTAAAGGTAGGTAGTAATTTAGATAAGTTTATTAGCGTTATTGTTATTACCCCTCGCGAGCGGCGTTCCGTTCAATTTGATATATAAATTATTAATGTTTGTATTTCCAGCGTTATTAAGTATAAGGTTAATTGGTTGGATATATTTGTGTTCCTTTACGTCATTACCCGGGTTTTTTATGGTTTGCGTATGTGGGTTCCGCGGCGTGATAAGCTTATTGTGCATAATGGTATTTCGCCTGTTGACTTAAGTGATTTCGGGGTGTACGTGCCTCTTTATCCTAACGAGATTGGGGATGTTATTAAGGAGGAGGTTATATCTATTAATCTTGTTTTGTTGGATAGGGAGGATTGGGATTTGCGTAGGTATTACCCCGGTTGGCTTATTATTAGCAAATGTTACGAAGATTGTACTGAGGCGTACCGCCAGAAACTTGCTTTGTACGCGGCTATGTGTGGGTTGTAACCCCCTGGAGGTGAATTGGAGTTATATGAGGGATTGGACAAGAGTTGTCCTAAGGTAAGGATTTATTGGGGATTAGATTTAAAGCCCCTTTTTTCCTATTCCCTTGAATTACTATAGCGTACGGGTATATCGGAGGACCGTAACGTCCGTTTGTTCGGAAAGATTTCCGAAGGAGGAACCTTTTGCAGATTTTACGGAGGGGAACTTTATATCGGGTGAACTTTTGTGTTGCAGTTGTAGATGATGGAGATGGTTTGTTATTGATTATAAATGTATATATTAATAATAATGATATAGGATTTTTGCTTTTTGGTACAGGTGTTTTTATAAATGTTTAAAGGGTTAATAACAAAATTTATATTTGTACTTTAAAGGTAATAATAAAATTTAATATGTTAAAATTATATAATATATGTGTTTTAGTTTAGTAAAGTACTGTTTTTTGGATATATTTTATATTTGAAGTTACGGAGGATAAAAAGAATTAATTTGCTTTTATAAAGGATATTATTTTAGCGGGTGTTAGGTTTAATAAGGTGTTAGATCTTAATTCCGGTATTAGCGTATTGGTTAATAACCTTAATAAAATGCCTTTTAGTTTTAATAATTGTTACGTTATATTTTTTCGGTTTATATTAAAAAAACTTATTTGGAATATTTGTTTTAATAAGGTTTATTATTTTAATGTTAAAAATATATTGCACTTTCATAATTTTAAAATATTTTTATTAATTATAAGGTGATTAAAGGTACGGACCGGTAATGCGAATAAGCTATATTGTATTAAGAAGGAAATTCTAACTAATTATAATTTTAATGTTATAGTTTTTATTTATATCTTTTATTTTAATGTGGAACGTTTTATTTATAATAGGTTAATTGGTGTTATATTGAAAATGGAGCCGGTAAAATTAGAGGATAAGGATGTTATTATGGATTTAAATAATAAACTTATATTGAAAAAGAGGAAGTGCGAGGTGCGGTTTTTTTATCGTTTTAATATAGTTCTTTTGCATAAGGTTACGGAATTGGTTACAAGTTTAATTATAAAGGATCTTAAAGTTGTTTTACCGGTGTTAAAAGTTTAAGATATGTTTATTACAATATATTAGGTGGAGGATGGGCTTTTGTTTTATCTTAATAATATTTTTAGGGGGCGCATTCCTATTAATGCTTTATTTATAAATGCTGTTACGAAGGTTATTAAAAATGTTATATAGAAATAATTCTAACTTTTATTAATTATATATTTTATTAAAGAAATATGTTGTGATATGCAGGTTAGTGGTTAGGGTTAGGATTAAGGTTAGTAGTTCGTATGCCTTACGGCTTAATAAGGCCTTTAAACAAACCCCTCAAAATGTGTTCATTTATTTTAAAGTTATATAATGTTAATCTAATGTATTAAGTTTATAAATATTTATAATTATCTAAGGAAATTCTATTATTAGAAACTTATATTTTTTTCAACGGCCTCTAATATGTTTTCCAAATCCCAGTTGTTTGAAATGTGTATCGGTTGTTCTTTAAACAATAAGGTACGCATTTTTATAAAAATACAATTCCTTTTTAACCATCTTCTATCTACCCCCACGTAATCTTGTGGGTCTTAGTTAGCCAAGTATATACATAAGAGGCCCTAATTCGGGAAGTCCCGCTTCCGTATGTACTTATTAGTAACATTAAACCCTGTTTAGCATTTAATGATTTACTTATAATGCTAAAGCATGTTAGTATTGCTTAAAGGAATGTTATTTAAAATAATATATTTTTTAAACTCATCTATTAAAGCAGCGTTTTAATATCTGCTTATGTAATAATATGGGCCTAATGATTTTACTTATATTATTTTAAACAGGCATATATCCCCAAATAAGCACAATGTTTTTAATTAAGCTGGATTTAAGTTAATATTATGTAACTAATAACGGGCGCTAATATATAAACTTTATTTTTAATTTAAATATATAGCCTTTTATTCCTTAATTTCTTTTGGCAAAACTTATATACCTTTTAAATTAAAAGTTTAATAATTTAATAAAATTAGTTTAAACTTATTATTGGCGTAACTTTTAATGCTCCTGAAGTATAATATAAAGTTGCGTAAAACTTTAATTGTAAATTTGGAAAAGAATTTGTCCTTTAAATTAAAGGTAATTGCTTTTTCCCACTAATTTGCTTTAGTATCTGTGCGCGCTTTTTAAGGCATTAGCATTGTTCCACCAATATGTACGGATCTGCCCTTAATTTTATAAAGATATTTTCATGCAGCTAGTCAATTTCTGGTGCTTCCGATATTAGGATGGAAACCTTTAATGTTAAATGCGTAAGGGTTGCGGAAGTTTCTTTTTTTAGTCCACTTACCTAGTATGTGGTAATGGGGTGTGCCGTCCTGATATTCTTCGCGTATTGCGTAAAAGTATTTGAACCTGCAAAAATCCTCAATCTTTTTAATAAAAAGCTTAAAATCTAATGTGTACTTAAAGTACATAAGGAAAATATATTTAATATTTAACCTGAAGTTACTTATGGTATTAGGGTTATATAATTAAAAGTTGTTTTCTGATTTTGTGGCAAAGGTTTTTAATACTGTTATTAATGTCTTAATTTGGCCTAATAGTAAGATTGTGAATAAGTTTTTAACAAGTGTGCGGGTGCGGGGTATTATTATTTTTTAATTGTTAGAGGGGCTTGGTCCCGGACTTCGGCGAAAAGGGTCTAATAGAGTTGGCAAATTATATGACAGTGGTTACTTAAGATGGCTCCACCCTAAGAAGTGTCAATTTAATTTTAACTATTATTTTAATTTTTTTTCGTTGTTAATGAAATTATCTATAGATAGATATAGGGAATTTGGTGGGGAGCTACTTTCGCTGCCCTCTGCGCTATATATTATGTGGAAAAGTTGTGCAACTGTGTACAGGCAAAGCATTTTTTAATTTTTCGGTGAATATATTGGTTTAAAATTCTGCCTTATGTAAGAAGTGGAAAAAGGGTGCAAATATTTTTTTATATTGGTACTTATGGTTTTTCAATATTAGCAGATGTTGTGAGCTGGTCCCACCGACTTGTGAGAGGAGGACGCCAGGACATCTTTAATATTACTTTGGATACAGCTGTTGGTCGTATCCCCTTAAAAATTCTACCAACAAAACTTTAGGTAGGCCATCCTCTAGCTGGAACTAGAAGGTTAAACAAGTCCTATCATATCACCGCCCCGTCCAGCTGAGCCGACGTACGGAGTAAATTTCTCACGTATACCATATGCTCGAGGCTATTATACGCGAAAATGAAGGAATATTCATAGGATAGAGGCAGGTAGATCTGCAGGTCAGACTACATGCCAGGGATGTAAGCCCGCAAAAATGGAACGACTATTTCACGAACTTGGGGTGAGTCGGCACTCAGGCAGGAAATAGAAAGCTCCTGTGAATCCCTCTGAGAGCGGAAGCATTTATTCAAGAGAGTCCACTTGCCTCGTTGCCGAAAACACAGTCCTCTCGGCTTTCCGGCCGTTTCTATCATCCAATCCAGCTGCGGTCATGGCGCGCTATCTTCAGTCCTTGCTTCTTGTTTGGTACTTCTTTGCTGTGACGGTAACCAGGGCTTACCAGTAAGTCAAGGAGCACTTCAGAATGACAAAACTGTTCTAATGCGCAGCTAGACCCGTAGCTTTTCATCACGGCTTCCTGTACGGTCGTGCTGATGGGGACGTAGACCCGTCAGATCCCGGTCTTCAGTGCACGCGATTCTGCGAAGTCTCTGTCGGTGGCAGTCTAGGTCCAAGAAGCTTGGATCAAAGATTCAACTCACCATGCGGCTTGAATCATGCTAGGGCAAGGAATATCTACCAACCACTCTTTCTTGGCATCGACGGCAACGAAAATGCCACCGAAAGCAGGCTTGCCAAAAGGGCATTTCCAGAAAACATAGATAACAATGAAGATGCAGCAAAATATGTGATTGGAGTACTTACAGGTCCTAATTCACCTCCTGGATTCTTCGCCGCAGGCACTCCCGCGGCCGTCCAATACATGAGAAAATTCGAGGGCGAGGCCTTTAGTTACGGCACCGCGGGTCTTCACGGCTGTACTATGGTTGCCATCATCTCCAAGAGAGCAATCTACATAGTAAATTACCCCAGTCAGAATTATGCAGACGAAAGCTAAATTGCGAACGCAGGCACACTTTTGGGAGACATATTCTACCCACGGCGACGATGTGGTCACCGGGACTAGTAGACAACAATTCATCGAGAGAGTCGTCAACGCAATTAGAGGCGCCCCGGTTGCCAACCCGTACAACCCTCCAGAGGCCTTCGATAGAAATAATAGGATAGCAAGAAATCATCGCTACGTACCACCAATGGGGGATCCTATGTGAGTCTCATGATATAGTTTCATACCACCATGCCACCAGGCTACGCCGTACTAATAAAGCCATTGTCACTAGTGACTTTTCGTTGTTTGACCAAGAAGGCGACAATTCGATGATGTACATAATGACGCCCCTGAATGAGCCGAAGAAGGGGAAGGAGTTGCAGGAAAATAGCATGGATTTCAAGTACAGGCAAAAGTACGAACAGCTTCTCTATCAGGAAATTCGTCGAAGAGGTAGGATTCGAGGCTGTGGGCTCGCCATGACTGGTTACAAGCGTCTCATTTATAAGATCAACCAAGCGGGACAACCCGAGAAAGCTGAAGGTCACGACGATGACTGGGAGGAATTCGTAAATCCCAAGCATGCAAAGGGAATGGCGCTTTTCGAGTGAGCAAGCTATCTGGTTTACCCTTTTCATCTAAGTTTCATGCTTACCAGTGTTAACAGATACGACGGCAAGGATACATGGCGGCTATTCTGGGAGAACAAGTACAGGACAGGTAAGGTGAGCCGCTGAAAAGAAAAGCGTTGGTTTATATAACGTGGTGTTGTAATGTTGTAACTGCAAGGGCATTGGTTTACGGTAGAACGCGAGACTATTAGAAGCAACTGTCGCTAAAATACTTGATACCATACCTTGTATATGTAGAATACAAACATGCCATGGAAAACCCAAACTTCATCTAGTTCTAAAGACTAAGCCATCTGTAAAATATCATAAATCATGACACCATCCATGGAGGTTAGTTTCGTTGCTGATTGGATCAAAGCAGCTTTGCACACCAGTGACCAACGTGCTTACGGCGGCGCGGATAAAAGAGGGGGAATCCTTATAAGTTATAATAACCCTTAACCCACCTCAACACCACCTTATTCCCACAGCACAGGGCACAGGCAATCGCGCGCGTGAAATCGAAGTCTAAGGTAATACTATCATGGCAGCACTATACAAAACAGTGAGCATCGAAATTGCAGACTACAAAGCCGCAATAGAAAGATGGACAACAATTCTGGAGAGCACGCACTCGTGGGGAACGCCTCAACGCGTCAGGATAGGGGCGTCCGCAGCATTCTCAACCGAAATCGAGCACGATATGATCAAAATGGGAGATTCTAGGTTGCTAGCTTCGCTAGGGAACTGGGGGGCACAGCAGCCACCTAATCCAAATTTCGAAGCCCAAGTTCTGATCGACTTCCTTCGCAAGCTTCCGTCGCTCTCCGACCTGGAGTGGCAGACTAGCACTCCACTGGCGCCGCCTTTGCTTCAATTCCTCCGCCATCAGCTTCCCAGCTGCAACCTCCATTTGAAGCCTCTCCATATACCTTTTGGCGCAGACCCTTACTCCATATGGTCGGTCCTGTGCCTTCCAAGCCTTCAGACGATATGGTTGGAAAGAAAAGAGCCCTGTAATATCCAGGACTTGGTCCAGCACATTCTACGCTCTCCTGGTGGAAATCTTCGAGAACTCCGCATCTCCTGGCCCTCCACCGGAGGAGCGTCGCCGTTTGGGGAACCAAGTCCGATACCTTGGGACCTGGGACTTGAACCACACGACGGTGAACGACTCGGACAATTGCAATATTTGCAACTGGCTGGAAACGAAGGTGCAGAGGCAACCAGCCTCCAGACATGGGCTCGTCACACAGACTTTGGCCAACTGCGCGCACTCAGCTTGGAAATATTCGTTGATCGAGAAGCTCTCGAAACCTTGATCAACCTTCCGTTGCAGTCTCTCCACTCGCTAGGGCTAGTAGTTCTCGACATGAGCGACGACTATAGCGCCGCATTGCAGACATTCATCGGCAACCTCCCAAGCCTGTCGCATCTTCGTCTCACAGGAACCTTACCGCCATCAGCCCTGAAGGCGATCCTGGATCATCTGGATTCAACCTTACACACTCTATATCTGATCCCCGAAAGTCTCAACCCCTGCCGCTTCGTGTTCGACTCGAGCACAATTGCACTAGTAACCGATCGCTGCAAACACGTGCGAGAACTCGGCACCAGCATACGGCGCGCCTGGAACAAACCGGGCGAAGACATTGCCGTACTGAAAGCTATCGGCCGCATGCCGCATCTATCGAGTCTCAGCCTGACCTTCGACGTCTCAGACTACACCCTACTTGTCCGCTCTAACGACGACAACAGCGAGCCGAGAGATCTCGCGCCATCCGACCCGTCCTTCTCCGCCTTCGACACAGAACCCTTCCAGTTTGGTTCCGACACGGACAAGCAGCCCCGCAACGGACACATCCGCGACGCGCTTATCAATTCCGCCGTAGACGCCGAGCTTGCAAAGGCGGTCTTCAACACGGTTCTATCTGCTACCCCAGAGGGGGAAACCCCTTCTTTACAACGGCTCTCGCTGAAAGCAACCCGCGGTGGGCACTTCGGAACAAGTGCGCTCAACGGTGGCATTAGCTGGATCGCGCGCGAGGTCGGGAAGGAATGGATTGTGGAGAGATCTGGCCACGATGATGTTCTCGAGGTACGCCGTGCGGAAGTAGATGATGAGGAGGAGGTTGTTGAGCTGTCGGAATCGGAATCAGAATCGGCATCGCTTACTTGGGAGCTTCCTTGGGATATCAAGCCCATCTTCCGAAGAATATGGCCGGGTGATGGAGATTGGATTAATGAGTGGCATGCGTTCCCTTTAGTCTAGTGGTAGGCATAACGCCTTGGATGATATGGCGGATAGGGGATCTACCACAAATAAACCATCCGATTTCATTGCATCTCATACCATCCCCCAGTTTTCCTCTTCCCATCGGCATCAACCCACGCTGATCTCTTCATCCTTCATATCTCTGGTTTTCGTCGAATAGGCGAGCGACATCATCATATCAAATAACTTACGCACATACAAGCCATTTATTAGGTCAGGTACCTAAGGTATATTATCAATTCTTACTTCAGTCGTGGGTATATACTCTAATCGTACACAAAAACAAAGCGTGGTATCCTCAGACAAAATAAACTACCGTAAAAAGCTTCCATCCCCTGCGGGGCGAGTCTGCGTCTGTATGTCCATAAACTGAGAGACCAATATGACGATACGTCCAAGGTGCACCATATTAAATTTCGTACCAATAATCGTCATCCAGTTTCTCTCTACTCGGCACCGCGCCAGCGCCCTCCGGTGGGCCCATGTAAGTGGCTTCCATCCGGACATTCAGCAGTCTGATCTTCATGCCGTAGTCTTCTACCAGCTTTATGAGCTTATTAGTCTCTGCTGTTATCGGGGCTTGGCCTAGCAACATGAGCAAGCCGTCAAGCCACTCCGATGCCAGACTGTGGTTCAGAGGATAGAGAGTTAACAATGGCTCCTCTTTTATTTCGCTCACGTCTTTGGTTTTATTAGCCTCGTCGGGGTTGAGATAACCAAAAATTGTGATTTTTGTGGTGTTGCTTGTCTCACCGCCCGCATCACCGGATGGGACCGATACATTAGATGCGACGGAGCTTACTTCCCGCAGGTCTACCTTCTCGCCAAGTGCATCCAAGTTCGGTTCGGGACCGGTTCGGAACGCAAAATCGGCCCAGTGCAAGTATCGGCGGTTGTGAGACAGCTTGGCGTACCTCCAGAGTGTACCATTAGCTGCACGACGGTTCGGTGCGCTATTACCCCCCTGGTCGTCTTTTCGCGTTGCTGGCTTCGAAAACCATGAACCTTGTAAGAGACACCGTACACGTTGTTCCTTGATAAAAGTGAGGGCTTCTTGATTTAAACTTTCGCGCACCTTGTAAAGATGCTGGCCCCATTGGTCGTCGAATGAAATTTCTAGGAGCTCCATTTGGAGCTCACGTAACCGCCCAAGGTCGTATTCAACGAGATCATCCTCTACCTCCAAGACGTCTTTCGATCGACCAGCCTGTCCTACGACCTGGTCTACAAGTATACGAACCAATTCGGCCACTTTCTCAAAATCTTCTTGTTCCGCTCCCGTAGATTTCCATAGTTTGAAGAATGCATTTAGCCCGGCTGTATGTAATCTAGACCATTGGAGAAGCAACGGCCGGAAAAGCTTGTCTTGCTGCTTTCCGTCTGTCAGTTGATATCCTCTTAGATCTTCCATTTCTGATTTATCACAATCAAAATGTTCGTACAAGATAAGCGTAACTGCTAAGCTTGACCTGGCAATGGGACACCGTTCATGGAGTGGTTTGGTAGACTGCTCCAGAAGTAACTTTTGAAACCCATCCTCGTTCTTTCGCACGTAGTCCGCAAGATCCATAAGCCCAAGGAACCCCGTATTGTTAAACTCTGCCGCCGGACTCTCCGTCTCGAAACCGAGCCTCCTCCATTTTTCGGGGTTATGTCTTCTGCTACCCTTCTTTCCGGATTCTTGGAGCTCTTCGACCTTCCCTACGCCGTTCGCATGATCTCTATTTGGCGCGCTGGCAAGGTGGAGTCCTTTTAACGCCCTCCTATGTTCGGGTCTTTCGACATCAACCTGAACTTGCCGCCACTTTTGAAGCAGCACCTTCGTAAGAGACTGGAACTCCAGCAGTGGGTGCGCAAGATCTTGTAATGCCGAACTCTGCATCAAATTGTATACCGCCTTGATTAGGCCTAAATCCTGTAGCCTCCTTATGAACTTAGGCCACTCTTCCCCGGTACCAGTTGTCTTACCACTGTCGAGGTTAGGCTCGCTTGAGACAGCATCTCTTATGAGCGCGTTGATCAGCATGAGTGCGTTGGCGCAAAGAGCGTGGTCCGCTGAATGTAATTGCTGGATGACGAGGTCGAAGAACTGTGGATATACGGCGACAGCTGGTTTTAATGCGCGAAACCCAAATGATACGGGTATCCTTGCACCCGAGGAAGATTGTGAATGGCTAACAAGTGCGACGAGAATGGACATAGCACCTCGAAGAATGTTGACCAAAGGATTCGTGACAATGAGTTCGACAACGCGCTCGACGAGATCCCCTGCAGTTGGGCCCTCAAAAATATCCCAACCCATGTCAACCTCAAGTAGTCGACTAAGGCTCTGCAACGAGTATGCGAGAGTATTGCCGCCGGTAGTCATGATTAGACGTCGTAATATGATTAGACCGCCGGAAGATATGAATACATCGGCGAAGGAGGGGTCGTTTATGGAGGATTGCAGCTTGAAAACTGCCATTTTTCGGGCGGCATCTTCGTCGCTAGCCAGCCGCGAAAGCAACGCCGGTATGTCCGCTTGGTCCATAACTATCGTAGTAAAATCGCGATCGGACGGGGTTTGCGAACGTGAGGGCGGGGATAGCGGTCAATCGCAGGGGAAACCGGCATGAAACCAACGCGACTTGGCTGTGAAGGGCTAAAGAAGCTCTCGACAAGACACTACAAATACATAATCACATTAACGAGTTACCATGCATGACACACCAATAACACATGTATATATGTGTGTATTGGTTTTGCCAAGTGGATGAAGATTATCGCCAGCTGATTTTTACCAATGCGGCTTTGAATATGGAGAAGATTAAAAAAAAAAGAGGTAGGTTACCTGTTCCTAAGCAGCTAAGGTAAGGAGAAAAGTTGTGGAGATACAACGGCAGGTACATACACAGCACCGAGCAACGGCGCATTGAGCTCTGGAACAAATCGGTGCAAGTGTTGGAATTTGAGTGAGGAATTGGGTAAGGGGAACCGAACGGTTTTTGATGTGGGGCAATTCCTCTTCCGTGCTTGGCCTATTTTGTACGCATCTGCACATGCAAGGGACCGGATTCCCCAAAAGAACGGGGTACCCTAGGTAAGTTTAGGGGTTAACTACAGGTACCTAGGTACCTAGCACTTACACCTATCATTTACACCTATCAACTTTATGGTTACACGTATTATGGAATGGTAAATAGAAAACAACTACCTATGACTATGGAAGGTAACACTGCCTATAACATTGGAGCTTACCTAGGTACCTTAGGTAATACCTGTTATGTGTACTCCGAACAACTTCTTGTAGAACTAATCACCAATCACTCCGCATACGTATATGATTCACGACTAAACAGCAATGTCAGTCCATTTAAAAAGCCATGACAAGTAATAATGCTCGATTTGTGTTGTATATGAGCTAACATTCATTCTTCGCTTATGAAACTCAACAAGAACAGAAAGCATTAGCTAGTCTACCTAGGTCCTAAATACATACCTGGTAGCTAACCCTATCGAAATGATTATCATCATCTTCGATATACTTTCTCCTTAGCTACTTCACCCGTTCCCTTCTTCTGGAGTTCCGGATGAATATCAGTATGAACGACTGAGACTCCATCCTTGCGCTCTAACACAGCCTGAATCTCAGCCTCAAGACGAGAGCCACCCTTCTTAGTCTTCCACGCCGGTGGTGCTCCTTTGGCGAATAATACTTCAACTTCTTCAATAGTCTTACCACATGTTTCGGGGTACGTAAACCAGGCTTGGATGGCTGCACATATGCAGAGCACACCGAAGATGATGAACACCTTATACTTGATGTTGAGGAATGCTGGCGGGGTGAATAGTCCCAAGGCGAAGTTAAAGAGCCAGTTCGCTACTGCAGCGAGCGACATTCCTGTAGCACGTGTCCCGAGAGACCAGACCTCAGCAGCGTAAACCCAAGCTACAGGAGCTAGAGTAAGCGCATAGACGATGATGAGGAGGTAACTGAATGCAATGACGCCGTGGGCAGGGGAGCCTGTGACTTTGATCACAACGTTGTGGTTTCCGCCAACACCCTCGGGAACGTCGACGCTATAGGTACCAAGGAGACCGCCAACAACAAAATGGCAAACAGCCATGCCTATGGCACCGAGTACGAGGAGTGTTCGGCGACCGGTACGATCTATGAAGAAGAACATAATGGAAGTGAAACTAGGTATGATAAGCAGCTGTCATAACGGATTGAATCGGCTTGTTAAAACTTACATGATGAATAACGCATACTGAATGCCTGAAGAAACCAAATTGACATCGCCTTGGAGATCAGCCATCAGGAAGACATATCCAATATAGTACACGATGACGTTGGCACCACTCAATTGCTATTACAATGTTAGCGTTGTCACAACTTGTGATAATAATAATACTACTACTACGAAAAAATCTCACCTGCCAAGCTTGCACACTCATTCCGGCAAGAGTTCGCTTCCACATGCCATTGACGAAGAACTTCCTCCATCCCCGAATCGATTCGCGCTCTGCATTCAGAACAGTGAATATTTCCTCCCACTCAGCGACGACAAGCGGATCATCTTTATTGCCACCGGCTTGAATATTGGCGAGGGTCTGAATCGCCTCTTCCTCGCGACCGACTTTGGCAAGCCATCTCGGGGACCGGGGAAGGAAGGGGAGGCCAAGCATAAGCAGTACGCAGGGGATAAACTGCGTGCCCCATGCGGTTCGGAACGACGCCGTGCCTTCGATTTTAGAACACTGAAACATCGAATTAGTCATTGCTCATTCTCGTGAATCGGTAATGCCAAGTAGATAACTGGAAGCCATGGACAATACTTACCCCGTAGCCAATAAAGTACATGATCAAGATACCCCATTCAATGGCAAGCTGCTGGATAACGATGATACGGCCACGAATATCCTGTAGCTTGTTAGCAATTGCCAGAAATACCAAGCGTGCGGTCTCAAACATACTCGAGGGGCAATCTCTGCAAGGTACACTGGAACTTGAGAAGAGGTAATGCCAACACAGACACCATTCAGGATACGGCCGGCGATTAACGAGCCCACACCATTAGTAGCAACTTGAACTGCAGTTCCAGCTAGCCACCAAAGACAAGCAAACATGATACTACGTAAATGTGAGATTCAACTCAAACAGACACTAGCGGGTAATTGGGACATACCTGTCACGTCGGCCGTACTTATCCGAAATAGGACCAGCTATCAAACTACCAACGATAGATCCAGCGGCGAGAGCAGACCCGATAGCTCCCTGAGTGACACCAGAAGGATTGTTGAAGTAGTCGATATACTGGTCGGTAATGACGATGGCAGACATGGATGAAATATCGAAACCGAAGAGCATACCGCCCACGGTAGCGATAACCGCCATGAAGTAGGTGTTCGCTGAGCACGAGTAAGCATTACACGTGTAAAAAGGTTATATAGGTTAGGTAGGCTAGTGTTAACATACTGATCTTTGGAAACCTCGACATCTTGATCGCTTTCCTCGTAGGATTTGTCACAAGGGAGGAAAACAAGCTTTGACGCGTGTAGGTCAAAGTCAAAGAAGAACAAGAACAAGAAGAGTAGCTGGGGGAAGGACAATAGTCTACGATGGTGGAGTGAGCCCTTCATATATTAAAGCTCACTTGCATACGTCCCAATGACACCCAAGTGCTCCTGGTCTCGATCATTGTACGCTTACTATGTAGCATGGACAAGTCTTGGGCCCCTTCGGTGATTTTCCACCGTGCAGGGGTGACAGCGCGTGTCGGACCATAATCCGTATGAGGAGCTCTCAAAAGCCGTCGGTGTAGGGTAGCAATACGGATGCGCAGACAAGAGGACGAGCTGCTGTGATAGGTGCAGAAATTGAGTCTAGGTAAGCTTTGCCCATGGGGTTCGACGTCACCTCCCCATCAGTTTCCGAGATCCTTCAAAAGCAAGTCTAGCCATAACGCGGTGCTCTCCTACGACTTAGCCCATACAGTCTCCCCACATCCTGCGCTCTGATGTTACAGCGACCCCGAGACTTGCCAATCATCGCGCGGCTCCAGACTCTGCGGGCCTCCGCACTATGCTACTCCAGCCAGCGGATACGGGGTATGTTGCCCGTTAGGACGAAGTTGCGGAGGCGGGAGAAAAGCATGGAATCGCTCGAGCTAACCTTTTCTCGGACCGACGTTCCAGCATGCTGGTTGGCGCGCTTGGAAGTTCGAGATCGTCTAACCTCTTTAGTTGCAATAATTCCCGGGGCTGCGGGGATGGTGGCTTGCGGGGGAGGCAGTCCCCAATTTCAACGAGACTCTGAGAGATTGGAAAAGTCCTAGCTAACATCGTGTTAGGTGCACCCTATCCGGGGTTTAACTTACACAGTATTTCTGTGTATGAATCATCAGGCGAGAAGACTAATAAGAACAGCTCCTAGTAATCGAAGCGGATGGAATCGGTGTAAGATGAACTAGGTCAGATTCATAGCACATATCTCGGCTGTTGCACTCGACTGTCCAGGTAAAGCTAAAGCGCTATATTCTATCCGTAATATAACACTACAGAGATACGTGATAGAACTTACACTAACCTTGATATCTATTGGATCTATAATGCATCTTTTCGCTGCTGCAGATCCCCGCACCTAGCCATCCAGCTCAGTTTACATCATCGAGATAATCCTTGAAAACATGCGGACCTTCAACAACTGAACTGAATAAGAACATAACTATTAAGCTGCATCTGAGACGCCCACACCAAACACAGAAACCCCAGACTTATAAAATAATTTCGACATGCCGATCCCCTCCAATATAATTCTCTAGACAGTCCGTGATCCAGGTGGTGGAAGTGCTTCAGGTCCAAAAGACAAAGGCAGTAACTGGGTAGTTACACCGCTTTTAGCTTATGTCTCTTTCAATGGTTAGATATAAATGTTGGCCAACTTACCTCTTCTAGACGGAACACGGTAAAATTGTCGTCCTTGTCGAACATGATAACCGGGGATGTGAGGTCGCAGAATTCCCGGATGCTTTTGCGATTGAAGTTCTAGTGAGCCAACACATACCCTAGCTTATTATTTTATTTCATTTTTTTTTTTGAAAAAAAAAGAAAAGGAAAAAAAGAGAAGAGATATTAAATGATTATAAACTTACAACTGGCGACACATGCCACACGGACTTGCCGGGGGAGATATGTCAGTGGCTACAGCCACGGCCTTAATCCTCCGATGTCCCTCAGTCACCGCCTTGCCGAAAGCCACGCGCTCGGCGCATGTGCCGACCGGGTACGACGCATTCTCGACGTTTGCCCCGTTGAAGTATACTCCGTCGACAGAGATAATAGCCGAGCCGACTCGGAACTGGCTGTACGGACAATAGGCCGTCGACTTGGCGGCAACACATCGCTTGTGCAGCTCGTTGAACTCTGCCGTCGTCAGACCGTACTTCTGACATACGGACTCGACTGCCGTCTCGTCTGCGCTTGAGATGATCTGGTGCTGGAGAGGCATTGTGCTTCTCTTTCTCTTTCTCCCTCGACTAGGTGAAATGATAAAGCCAAAGAGCAAATAACCGCCAATGAAATGAAATGAAATTAATTATATTTATTATAAGTGTAAATTCCTTAGTAAGAACGTTACTTAGAATCTTAGATACAGGTATCTAACTTTATATAATTATAGATGGGGCTTGCGAGTAGTACCTAGCCTATCTTATCTGCCGTAAGTACCTGCCTATTAGAATATAAATTTTAGTAGACCGTACTGCGATAAGAACTGCAAACGGCAAATGGGTTTAATTACTATTTCATTCCTTGCTAAACCATTAACATTCATTTCAACATAATCTCTTCCCATTTCACACATTTCACACATTCCATTAATAATTCATAATACTCCTTGATTTTGATAGCACTGTTCCTTATTCAATGTTATCTTCAAAGTACCTAATCATGAGACACATCACAGGCCTCATTCCTGCTGTCGTCCTTCATATCGGAATCGTCAATGGATTCATTACACTATAGTAATAAATGTGATTAGCTCAGTACACTCCACAGATAAGAGTAAATGAAAGTAAAGGCAGCTCACGATGCACCGCCATCTACAATCAGATTTGCGCCCGTGACATAGGATGAGAAGCTACTGGCTAGAAAGCCAGCAACGCGCGCTACCTCTTGAGGTTTACCAGCTCTCTCTAACCCATTTGTCATTTTTTGCACCTAGATAACAACTAATCAATCGAGTCTATTCCGAACCGTCACATCTCGATTATCTCACCTCTGGTTTTTGAAGACTAGCCGGCGGGAATTGGGATGTCATTCCTTGCATATCGAACTACACAAGGTTACTCACACGTCTTTGGTTATGGTACGGTAACGGACTTACTTACCCCTTGAAGATCCACGCCAATATCGATTTGTCCTGGGGATATCTGCATATTTGGATCAGCATTGTCTATTAAACCCCCTTCGATCATTGACATAGCTCGAGCCTCGAAGAGCAGCGACGAATTCTAGCGTCACATACGCAGTTGATTCTCACTCCAGTGCCTTTAAGACTCGCCACGCCTGCCTTCACTACACCGAGAGCTGCGTGGGATGTCATAGTATAGCACGGTCCCCAACATCCTCCGTAAACTGACGCGACGCTGCTAATGACAATGATGCTACCGTATTTCTGACTTTTCGGCGCAGCATTGGGATAAGCCCTTTTCTCCGTAAACTTGGCCATCGCAGCAGGAGCATATTTCAATGCGAAGAAAGGCGCTAAGGAATGAGCCTCGAAGCATTTCTGTAGGTCGTCTGGCGTCGTAGCTTCAATCGAAGGGGGTCCCAGGAGTCCGGAAGAACAGACCCAGACGTCTAACCTGCCAAACGCGTTGAGAACCTCGTCTATCAAGATAAGCGTCTCGTCTTCTTTAGCGACGTGGAAAGGATATGGAATGATTTTGCAGCTCGGCGATTCCTTTCCCACTCTATAGACGAGTTCTTTGTATAAATCTGAGCTGGCAGTCTTGTCGCACGCTAGTCCTTGTTAGTATTTCAAGCTAACCAGCTGAGCTGTCTCGATTTAAATCTACCATATATGCAGGCCGCTCCGTGGACTGGTTCATCATCATCAGTTTTCCAAGAAAAAAAAAGGTATCGATGTTCAATAAGATCGAACCAACCTGCTAGTTCTAGAATGATGGCCGCACCTATAGGCTGCGAGGCGCCTGTTACGACACAAACAAAGCCGTGCTATGCTCGCGTATTAAGTTAGTCTCTATGCCACAAGCTTTTGGTGCTTGGTACTTACGAGCTTGCCATCTGCCCTATATGGGTTAAAGTCGTTGGTAACATCCATATTGACACAAGAGCACGCCTGCATAGACTAGTCGTCGAGCTGAGCGGGAGTGCTCAAGCAAACCTGTTACAGAACCTTTGAGATATTTAAGGGACCTCAATTTCCAAGGAAAGCGGGTTTGAGGGACTACGTACTAAGTAAGTTGCATTTCTTTTGGAGATGATACTAATTCACGAATCTAGACTACGCTTATTTTGTTACAGCTACATCTTAGCATGGCCGCCTTAGGCCATTATCATTCGATACTACCTGCGAGGTGGTGTTCTCCTCGGCATTCCACGGGGATTATTCTATCGGCAATAGTTATTGATAAGCGCCAGATAAAGTGCCCACTAGTTAATGCAGACTTTTACAAGTCTTCTCTACAACTCCTTTTCAAAACGCCATTCATATTGTTTCGACGAGCTGGATTCGCTTTAGGCATAAGAAGTGAACCCGGGACCCGAATATAGCATATATCTCGGTTGCAGGCCGTGTGTAGTAATTGCGCAAAGTTTAGGTACTTATTACGTACGAACAATGTAAGTTCTACCATTCCGTCGGTTTCCGAGGGAATATCTTAAATACCACGATACTAAACTCCTAGGAATAAAACGACTTTAGAATCTACCTTCGCCTTAAGCAAGGAGAATAACATGGTTAAGAGATATGTATCACAGCTCTTGCTTTGTTACAATCCGGCCCCCCAACGCACCTAATAAGCCGCGCAGATCGAGATCGCCTAACTTATGCGATGGACGTAATAAGGCTCGTATAGAACTTGGTGACGCCAGTGGCCACCATCTCTCAACACTTGAAAAACTTGGAATTAGCAGGGTGTGTGGTGAGCAGCCACGCCTTGAAATCAGGTAATGCGGCCGGCCGTGACGTCACATTCCGCGACGGGGGCCCACCCAACTCCCGTGTTACGGAAACCCGTTATAAGCAACCGCGGCGCCGGTTTTCCATACTACTTTCCACGCTTTTACATCTAACTTAATTAAAAGTTATACATGAGATAGTACACAGATACCACCAGGCCAGACTGTTTAATAACTCGAAGTGTCTTCTTAAGCCGCTTACGAAACAGAAACTCCATATTTAACAGCAAAGTAGAAGGAGGGGATAAAAGAGGTGGAAGCGAAGAGAGATTACCATTAGTCCCCAATATCGAATCTTACTTATATTATACTTAACGGGTGTTTTCTCGTTTAAAAGAGGTCTTATAAGCGCTATGGGTCACCCATTCCACCCAGATGACTTCCCCATCAACGAGGATGTAGTCCTCCAACCAACTCGCGTCTTCTTCCTTAAGGGATGCGTGCACTTCAAGACGGACGCCAAGATCATCGATCTGACGGGCCAAATCCGGGCTCCCTTCTCGGGAGACTTCAACCACGCGTTCCTAGACGAAACGGAGCAAGCGGCGCAGAAGCAACTCCAAAGCGACCGCTCGCCGGCCTACGAGATCAGGTCCTCGGGGAACATGATGCGCACGCTGAAGACGATGGTGGACGGGCGGTCCGGGGGCAAGGTGTGCGACCTCAACATGACGTTCGTGTCCTTCGACTCGTCGCGCGTGCGCTTCCCGCCGGGCAGCAAGCACTCCCGGCACGAGATCGAGATGTGCCCCGTCGGGGGCAGCGCCAAGGGCGAGGACGACAAGCACGAGGCGTTCGTCAAGAACAGCATCCCGTACTTCTGGGACATGACGCGCGGCCGCGTGGGCATCCTGTACAAGTGCCTGAACCAGAAGCGCGTCGAGGTCGCGCGCGTCGCCGGCTTCGGCTTCGACAAGGACGCCGTCCTCGTGCTGAACGCCGAGGAGCTCGATGATGCGGTCGCTATCTCGACGTGTATCATCTTGTTGAATGGGCGGGATGCTATGGATGCTTGAGCATTAGGTACCTCTTAATCTCAGCAAGGGAGGGAAGGGGGGCAAACAAAAAAAGGGGGGGAGGGGGAGTGAGTGTGTTTGCACGTTGGTCATCTGGTTGCCTGGGAACGAACGGTGCGCTAGATGCCAGACGCCAGGAAGAAAAAGAAAAAGAGAGAAAAAAAACTGCACCCCGTCGCACGAAAGGTTATGATGTCCAAAATCAATTCGAGCTTGTTGAGGTCTCGGGACGCCAAGGCCTCAATAGCTCAATGTATACCATCTCGAGCTTCTCCCCTTGCTTGGGCCTCCCCACCCGCCTTGGTTCGTCCCCGCGCATACGAATGCTGGAGTACTGCTATATGCAGTACATAAGTACGGCCATGGGATTATGACAAGAACGCCGAAAGCCAGGAATCCAATAATTTTTTTGCCTCTCCTTTTCAACTTTTAGTTACCCCTTAAATACCTCCTACCTACCTCCTACCTACCTCCTAACCCTTCCTTTGGAAGCGGAAAATCACGACATGCTTCTTTAAAACCTAACTGGATTGTAATCGAATTTGTAACTATATTGCATATGATCTTCTAAATAATATAATCCTCTAACCATATATTTTTTTAAAAAAAATCCTCCGTCCTCGTTTCTTGTCATGATCGTCGTAACTACTACACTAGGTGCCTAACTAGCCGTGGTAAAAGGAGAAGATATTCTAGTAATCTACGCTAACCACCCTCTACCTACTCTGAACGCAACGCTTTCTATATCTTTGTCTCTCTAGCTCTATTTCATTCCATGCCCCAGAACTCGTATATCTGCTCCAACGCCTCGGCCGCGTGCGTGAAGGGGAAGTTATGCGACCCGGGCACGACGCGCCAGAACACGTTGTCCCCGCCGCCGAGCAGCGGGAGGGCGTCCTCGGCGTAGTCGTCCTTCTGGATGAGGCTGTCGTCCCTGGCGAGCACGACCGCCGTCGTCCCGGGCTTTCTGCGCGCTAGCTGCCGCCAGTACGCGTGCTGCTCCATCAGCGGGCCGTGGCGGATCGTCGACATGAAGGCCTGCACGAAGCCGTGGTGCAGGTCCAGCGCCCAGTGCACGTAGCTGAGGACCTGGCGCTCGAATGGCGTCGGGGGTGCCGCCGCCACATCCTCCTCCTCGACGGGGTCGACGGCTTCTTGCACGGCGACGTCGACGTAGTCCTCCTTCCTCTTGGCTTCGCTGTGGAGCGGGGTCTGAGGAGCTGCTGCTGCTGCTGTTGCGTCGCTAACAGATTTCCGGACCTTTTTCGATACGGACGAGGCGATGGGGTGCCGCAGACGGCGCTTGGTGAGCCACGCGAGGAGACGCTCGGGGACGAGGCCCGACATGAATACGAGGCGGCTCGCGCGCCCGAAGTTCTCTGGGCGGATGAGTCCGGAGGGGGCGAGGAGCACCAGAGACTCGACCATGTGGGGGAAGGTGGCGGCGAAGTTGGCGGCAATACCGCCGCCGAGAGAGTACCCTATGATACTCAGGCCGTTGTCTCCGGTCCACGGCAACGAGGAAGATGCTAGTACGAGTAGTATCTGAGTGACGAACAGCCTTGTGTCGTAGGGCACGTCGGCAGGCGCATCGGTGAAGCCTCGTCCAAATAGATCCTAAAATATGTAAGCTTGATGCTTTTAAGGGGTCTAATAAATTCACTCCAGGGGATAAGTTGACTTACAAAAAGCATGACACGACATCCCTTCTCGGCAAGCGGCATGGCGATGGACTTAAGGGTCATACATGACGTGCTGATTCCATGGAGGAATAATACTTTGCGGCCATCTTCGGGTCCGAATTCGTATACACGAATATTGCCATACTACGAAATTCAGGTTAGCTTGTGCTCTAATCGTGCCTATCACATAGGTAGAGAGAACTCACCGGCGTGACTACATCCCTAGCGCCCGGGAAGGTGTCCGGTTGATAAGGAATTTCAGAGCGGGCAGCGTCAGAAAGCTTGGGCAAGGTAGTAGTTAGAGGGCCGGGGATGACAGCGCGCTTCTCGGGCCGCAGCGTTCGTCGAGCAAGAGAGATAAGCGCAACAGTAGTCACGACGGTCGTTGCGATAACCGCCGTTGAACCTACTCCCGCTCCCGACCCCGTTGGAGGTCCAAGGCACATGGAGGCCGCGGCCTCCATCCCTACTTGATACTGATAAATCGAATCCGGTGTCCGTATACCTAACTAGGTGGAATGAAACTTTGCTATCTACTTGATACCGAGGAAGCCGTAGGTTTGGATTGGTCTTAGGTAGGTAGAGTTCCAGGCTTTAAGACTTGGAGATGGAGTGAGGAGTGATACAAAATAACTTATAAAATAATAAGATGATATATGACTTGATAAGGCAGACAGGCAGCCAGCCAGCCAACGGGGACGGGTTTCGGTGTGTTATGTGTTAGGTATTAAAAACACAGTCACTTGAAACTAGAGAATGATCGAACTGGTTACCCAGCTGATGTGCAGGGTTGCATAACTTTTGGATATGTTAGGTACCTTGGTACCTAGTATGTATCCTACCTATGAACGCTATGATTCGCTGAAGACTCCCACCATCACGTAACCTTCCCACGTGGCAGCCTAGGCCGCCGGGGCTGCTAGGATGATACTACTGATTTAGGCGTTGACACAGTGCGTCATTACATCATTCTATGCATGAATTTATCTTGAGTACTGTGTACTATAGGTACCATTCTAAGCCTTCTCACTCTTACATAGTACCTTTGTTCATTCGTTCACCTCTCACTCTGACCCAAGCCACAACGAGTGCAAGTTAAGTGTATTACACTTTATATTATCAGTGCACACCTCTCTCTCTAAGGTACCTTAGTGTTCAGAAATGACCAGTCTCAAAAATACTACGTGCATCTCCCGGTGATAGAATCATAGAATGAACCCGGAATCCATCACCACGTTAACTCCCGTTGTGCTCTTGCTCTTCGCAAAAGTAAGCACCTGCTCAGCGACGTCCTCAACGGTCACGTAGCGCTTGAGCTTGGTCTTTTGCAGATGACCTTCCTTCTGCTCGTCCGAGAAGCGGTTTCCCCATTCCTATAACCCAACGTTAGACTCACGAATACTTATTAACTCTGACAGTTTAAAACATCTCACCGTTAGCAGGAGTCCTGGCGAAACAGTATTGACTCTGATCTTAGGAGCGGCCATTATCGCAAGCCCCTTCATCAGATGGATCTGCGCGGCCTTAGTGGCGGAATATGCCTAAGCAGTTATTTGGTGTTATTACAAAGTCAAGTCAAAATCTAAAAAGGTTCCAAGTCAAGAGTAGGTATGTATTTACCAGAGAACTTCCACTTGAGACCACACCAGCTATAGACGCCGTCGTAATGAAAGCGCCTTCGGTTTCGTCAAGGTGTTTCTTGGCAGCTTGCATCAGCCATAGATGGGATTTTACGTTCATGTTAAAAGCGCGATCCCACTCCTCTTCGTGGGTGTTGTCGTCGATACTCTCCATTCCGCGGCTATGGGGAAACATATGTCAGTCATCTCCCAAAAAGAACGTTAAGGGATACCCGTGTTGAGCAAATTGACTCACAAACGAGTCCAGCCACCGTTGGAGAAGACAACGTCCAATCGACCGAACCTGTCCACAGTCTCCTTGATCAGACGATTGATATCATCTCGACTGCCGAGATCAGCTTTGATGACAGCGAAATGTTCGCTGCCACTGTCTCGTGGCAGAGTAGACAAAGGCGGGAGTTCTTCCAAAAGCTTATTAGCTCTCTCTTCGTTGCTGGCGTAGTTCACGATGACCCGGTAGCCGTTCTTCGCAAAGACCCGGGAAGCCGCGGCTCCAAGCCCGGCGCTCCCCGCTGTGATTAGTGCCACGGACATTATGAATCTCAGGGTCTTGTGATTGTGGAAAAAAATAATAAGAAGAATGATAATTAAATAAATAAAATAACCTCTCGGTATGTCCTCTTTGTTTTAGGGTTCATATGATTGATGCCTTAGGTAGACTTTCCCAGGTCGGTTGGTTTTTATACAAGTTGATGAACATGGCCTTTATTCTCCTCTCGGAGGCATAGGCAGTACAGATTATGAGACGCCCCCCCGCCCCGCGGTGAAAGGATCGGGTGTTCCGTCGGAATTGAACTGCCGCGTAAATCAGGAAAATTGTCAAAGGACCTACCTTAAGTACATTAGCTGGCTGCCATGGAAATTACTGCGCAACCCCCCACCCAGCGGCGACTATACCGTATGTATTTTATCGTACTGCATGTGGAACGTTGTACAGGTATATTAACCTGAAGCCTAACATCCTATCAGGATACAGCTCCCTTCCGAATGTCTTGAGGTAGGATACATGGCATAATATTGAAAAGATGCCTGTGATATATTAGTTGTAATGTCTTGTCATTTTTCAATAGGGGCGTTTATCTCATTAGAGATGACGCAATCGCAGAGTAGGTTCTGTGTTCATTAATTACCAAATGTTGCTTTTGTATTCATACCTATATTAGAAACATCGTCGACAACCTGAACTAGAAAATACCTACCTAAAGCTTCAACACTTCCTGTATTCATAAACTAATTTCCTTGGTAGCTCACAACTATACCGCTAAACAACGTACCTATACATGACAGAAGCCTCGATTCAGGTACCTTGAATCCGACGAGACTTTTTAAATATGTTCTCGACGTTTTTTTATTAGTCGTTTAACGACTAGAGTAAGCATCACGGTGTCCGAGCCGCTTGCAGGAGAAATTAAGTCATAGGTAGGTACCTATTCCAAGGAGAACTCGGGTATTGCAAGACATCTTACATCTGTCTTTCTTGCAGCCTTATTATATACCAAGACTTCTCTACTACGGTCATGGCTGCCACGGTATTCATTCTCCGCTACCAACAACAGGCATTTCCATCTTACAGGGCCCATCATGTAAGACCGTATGCGGCGGGTTGACGCCATCCCGAACCGGAAGCATCAGCAGGACCGTCTCGTCGTAGCCCGGAAACGTCGTCCTGTGGCCCCAAGCTGACACGTCCGACGTGTCCTCGACATACAAGAGTCCGTATCTGCCGCCATGGATAGTAACTTCGTCGGTGGCGTTCGGCAGGCTTACTTTAGTTCGGTTACTTATTATTAGCCCAAGCCATCCCGTCCCGTCTTGTCTTGTCTCAGCGACAGGCTCCCAAGGTCTTATTGGTCAAAGGGAGGAATACTTTACTTAAGAGAGTGAAAGGGCAAAAACGGAAGAAGAAAAAGTCATACTATGCAAAACGCCGCTGACAACCCAGACATACTGCCTCGCGGGCCCCGGGTGCCGTCCGCTGTCGAACCTCGGCGGCATGATGTAATACGACGCGTTCGCAGTATCGCCCATTTGCAGCACGTCGAAGCCCGAGGCCCTGGTGGACGGCAAGGCGAGCTGCCAGCACTCCAAGACGGAGATACTGTTCCTCGCGCTCAAGGCGGTTAGATTTATCGACGAAGCGGGCTGACTGCTTTGACTGCTTAGAAGGGGGGAGGCGCTTAAGTAGGATAGGAATAATAAAGGGAGCATTTTTATTATTATTAAAAAAAAGGTTGGTAACGTTATTTTCAGAGTGGAAAACGGAAGAATATCATGAGTTGACAGCGAGGAGAAGGGGGGAAACTAGACACATGGATGGAGATATTTATAAACACCAGCTGTAGCATCTAACATACTACTACTAGAGGTAAATAATAGCGGTAGACTTTCTGCGTTACCGGCTTTTATATCGACGGTGAAGGAGCGCCGTGACGCATTTATCGTGATCGCGATCGCGATCGCGAGCATACCAGCCGAGCCAAGCCGGGTGTTCTACTATATGTGTGTACCAGAAGAAGAAATTCCGGTATATCTGGGATCGGAACCAAGACAGCAAGACCAGATACGGTTCTTTTCTTTTAAGGCCACCACCTACTTCGACATTCCGATTCGTGCTCCAAACAGAACGAAGTTTCGCAATAACTTTAACAGGTCAGGCACACCGGGCACACCGGGCACCCCATCCAATAACCATACGCGTCCGCTACCAGACATCTATCTAGGTACTTGCCTGCCTGCTACCGCGCCAAGACGCGCACATACCTCTCTCTTCCCGTCTATCTGCCTACTCGCGTGACACAGCCGCAGACCGCCCCCGCCCCCTCCTTGTCGACCTATCACAACCTATCTATCTCTTTCCCAGTCAGTACTTTTACCTACTTACAGTGGCCCGAAATAAATAACGTCCAATGCCCATTTTTATACCAAAACTTATAAAGTTCAAACAGTTATAACTTTACGTAATTTAATAAATAATTGTTTTTACTTTACACATGCTTTAATAATTAGTTACATAAAGTTTTTATTAACTTACTTTATTTTTTATTATTTTCGTTAAATAAGAATTTAGTGGTAAAGTAATAGTATATTGAAAATATATTTATTTTATATAGGAAAAAATAAGATTTTTTATGTTTTAAAGGTAAAATTTTATAATATTATAAGGTAGGAAATTTCCTTTGGACGTTATTTTGTTACGAACCAACAGCCTGATGAGCCATATCAAGTGAGGAAGCGGGGTTATGACCAACAACGATTCGGATAAACGTCGGTTGAATGGATCTTTTTAGAGATTTGATGGATCTTAGAGATTTGATGGATCTTGACAAGATCCAACGAACTGACAAGATCACTCAGGGAAAACGACAAAACAGAGCAACACAGTGAAAGGGCATTTCATATAACTATCGAACGTTTCTCATGTATCTAGTCATTCATTTCAAGCTCATTAGCTATCAATCTAAGTCTTATATCTAACCCATATAAGGGGAAGGACTCCAAGCCTTCCTGACGAACACTTCAACGTTTATTTTGACACTTGACTCGTATCGTTACTGTTTACCTGAAAATCAAGACCCATCGGCACTACACTCTAACGGACCTGAGTGTAGGTTCGTCACATATTTATTTCAGGTCACTGTATATATATACCGTAAATACCAACATACTAGTACACAGCACAACAAGCCGGGTCGGACTACTTGGTGAAAGTCGCCTGGGGAGCTATATATCCATCTAACCTTGCGTCGTCTTTAACTCAGTGTACACTTGGTGCAGCGCGCGCATACCTAATGGTTCAAATCGCTAAACACGCACAACACGGACGGATCGCTTATTTCCAAGGAGAGGTCGGTTCGAGTCCGACACCCGGTATATTTTTTTTTCATTTTCCCTTTCCCTTTTGTTTTTCCTCTCTCTCTTATTTTACTTCACTATCTCACTCACCACCCACCTCCCCCTTTGGACTGTTGTTGCTTAACCCAGTTCACACACATATCGTACCTATATAACATCAGGTAAATTTGAACAGTTAAAAAAACATTGGTATTCTATCCGTATACACATCGTTCGCAAAACCATGCATAAGATACATACATAAGGTACCTAGGTAGGTAGGTAACCCGCCCGGCACCAGACGGCTCATCTCAACACTCACCCCGCTCCCCCCCAATCTGCCAGACTTAAGGGATACGTCTCCGGCTCATACATACCATACCCCCCTCATTAGCTGATATTGGGTAAGCTAGCTCATTTTGTCTCATCTATTCGATAATCCCACAAATCCAAAGTTGCCCGAATTTTTCCTTGTTTTGTCTAGTAAGTCCGCTTGAACGGCGGGACGGCCTTGCACTCGTTCTCGTCCAGAGTCGTGCCGATCACTCGTCGGTAACCGAGCTCGACTTTACCGTGGGGCTTCTTTTGGAAGGTGAGCGTGTGCTTCATCCAGTTGTCGTCGTCTCGCTCGGGGTAGTCTTCTCGGGCGTGAGCGCCACGAGACTCCTTTCGGTTAGCAGCGGCTACCGCCGTCTGAGTACTAAATGAAGTTATTAGCCTTATTGTGCTTTCGATCAGGAAAATTCTTTAACTTACGCGCAGGTGAGCAGGTTCCTTAACTCGAGGGTCTCAACGAGATCCGAGTTCCAGATCATGCTGCGGTCCTTGATTCCGACTTGAGAGAAGGTACCGTCAATCTCGGTCACTTTCTTCACACCCTCGTCCAAGCTCTCTTGTGTACGGAAGACGCTCACATCCGTCTGCATGGCCTTCTGCATTGCTAGTCGGATCTCAGCGGTGCTCTTGGGGCCGTCTGCGTTACGGACCTGGTCCAGGACCTCAATCGATTCAGCACCAGCGTCAGCGCTGATGGGCTTAGGCTTAGTACCCGGGGTGAATTTGTCTCGGATAGTGTGGGAAACGGCTCGGCCAAACACTACGAGATCCAGCAGGGAGTTGGCACCAAGTCGGTTGGCACCGTGGACGGAGACACAAGCGGCTTCACCGCAAGCGAACAAGCCAGGAACAACCTTGTCTTCACCCTTCTCGTCGACAGTAAGAACCTCACCAGTGTACCTTGTCGGAATACCACCCATGTTGTAGTGGACAGTCGGCAGGACGGGGATAGGCTGCTTGCGGACATCAACACCAGCGAAGATGGCGGCAGTCTCGGAGATACCGGGTAGACGCTCAGCAAGGATTTCAGCAGGCAAGTGGCTTAGTTGAAGGTAGATGTGATCCTTCTCGGGACCAACACCTCGTCCCTCGCGGATTTCCAAGGTCATAGATCGGGAGACGACGTCACGACTGGCCAGATCCTTTGCAGTAGGCGCGTATCGTTCCATGAATCGCTCGCCTTCGGAGTTAAGGAGGTAACCACCCTCACCTCGAGAACCTTCCGTGATCAAGCAACCAGCTCCGTAGATACCGGTAGGGTGGAACTGGACGAATTCGAGATCCTGGTTGGGGAGACCGGCACGGGCAACCATAGCCATACCATCACCGGTACAAGTGTGCGCCGACGTGCAGCTGAAGTAAGCTCGGCCGTATCCACCAGTGGCTAAAACGGTGTTCTGCGCAAGGAACCTGTGGAGGGTACCATCCTCCTGGTTATAGGCCAATACACCACGGCATTCTCCGTCTTCCATGATCAGATCAAGAGCAAAGAACTCGATGAAGTAGTTGGTGCTGTGTCGTAGAGATTGACCATATAGAGTGTGTAGGAGAGCGTGTCCAGTTCGGTCGGCGGCAGCGCAGCAACGGTAAGCCTGGCCACCCTTGCCGTACTTCTGCGATTGACCACCGAAAGCACGCTGGTAGCTAGCGACGAATGTTAGAAGCGCTTATATGTACCATGCGAGATTTAGCCTCGACTTACATCTTTCCGTCTTCCGTTCTCGAGAACGGGCAACCGTAGTTCTCCAGCTCGATAATTGAGGCGGGCGCTTCTCTCGTCATGTAGTGAATAGCATCTTGATCACCAAGCCAGTCGGAACCCTTGACGGTATCGTACATGTGCCATCTCCAATCATCCTCGTGCATGTTTCCTAAGGCGGCGTTGATACCGCCCTGGGCGGCGACGGTGTGACTTCGCGTGGGGAAGAGTTTTGATATGCAAGCCGTGTTGAAGCCGGCTTCCGCCAAGCCGAAGGCCGCTCGTAAACCGGAACCACCAGCACCAACAACGATGGCATCGTATTCGTGGTCCTACGGTTAAAGTTAACCGGTTTTGATCCTAAAAGTAATATCTCTCTCTTTACTTAATAGAGTAGAGAGGCGTGGGACGTGCGACATACGATAACGGGGTATTTGTTGCTAACATGTATCGGCGCTTCCTTGGCCCGTAGTGGGTTATTCGCGATGATCCGAGCTGCGCGCGCACATGCAATTAGAGGTCAAATATTCGTAGCTGCTGCACGACATCAGCGGGGTACACATACAAACAGGCCGTGTGGAAGAGAAAGTTCTGGCTTGGCACTTGGCTGCCCTCGAGAACTAATAAAAGCGAGCGGATGTTAGCATCTCCAGTTTGCGCATCTCCATCATACTTTGGTATAAACCTCAAAAAGCTTATGCGACTTATTGTTTAAAGCTGCAAGCAAGCAAGGGAGAAAGACTCACGGTAGAGCCAAGAGCTAACCTCCTTAGTGCCATTGAAGATGCCATTATGTGATAGGAGACGTATAAGAAGGAGAGGAGAGAAGAGAGAAAAGGGTTGCAGTGAAAACAACTCTTCTCTTGTTCCTGCGAGTTTCGGGGAATGGCCAAAAAAAAAAAGACGGAAGATAGAAAAAAGTGATGATGCCGGTCGAAGTTCAACCGCTGCTTCCAGACGATTGAATTCTGTCCTCCAATAGCGTCGTTTCTGATTACCGAGGGATAATAAAGCCGGACCTTTCCACAAGCAGGAGGTACCTATTCTTGTACGTATACAATACATTATCCACCCCACCCCCACTCACCCTCCCTGTACCTCACCTCGCCCACCTTTGCGTATGTAGTACATACCTGTAGTAAGCCGTTTTAACCACCGGCATTATCATCATCACGTGCAATTGATCAATAGGAAACCTTATACATGTGCCGAATTGTATATTTGCATAAGCATAGCATGATAAAATCTGCAAGTGTATACGAATAGAGTACCTTATATTAGTATAACATCCAGATATACCAGAAATGTCTAGCTACCTAATTAATTAACTTGTCCAATGAAGCAATTTATGAAGAACTTGAAATGTCTAATGGCCAATTATATGTACGTGAGGTAGGTGTTCTTAGAGTTATAGCTTAGATCAATACAAGGCAAAAAAGCCGGAAACAAGTAACTCGATAATATCATCTCAAAAAGACATGGATCAAAACACATAGCCAAGACATCATCCGAGCTGAATCTCAATTAAGCTTCCCTAAACCTGATGCTATGACAATTGGCGCTATATGCACTCTTAGGTATATAGGTACCTAGGTAGGTAAACAAAGATATCCATATTTCTCGAAAGAAATCGCTTGTAATTAGAGGGCTGTTCAAACGCCTCGAGTATGCCATTCCGCTCGCCAAACATTATCTCACTTAATTAACCCTTAACCTCGACCTTCTTTTCTAGTGCACGCTCATCAATGCAACAGACCAAAGGGGAATACATCATTGTCCTAAACCTCAACTCCAAGCTGAACTTGTACTTTTAGAAAAAAACATGACGTCTAGGGCGCTAGAACCTGCCGTAGCATTTGGATAAAGTTATCTCTCAACCGGTGTACCTCGCTGACCTCCGGCTTCTGAGGTTCTCCAGCACGAGCCTTGAGCCGATCCTGCCTTTTGGCCCGCCTTCGTCTTTCCGCCTCTATAGGGTCTAATTCGTCCTCTTCTTCCGCTTCGGCTTCGTCGTCAGAACCATCATCGTAGCTCATGTCTTCGAGGTCCGCCTCATTGAGCCCAAAGTCGCTAGCGTTGAAGCTACCGATACCCGGCATGGAACCGTCCATGCCAGCCGAACCTTCTGCAGCCATCTTTTGCCGGGTTTTGTCCTGATGCCACTTCTTACGAGCCTCTTGCCAAGCGATGAGCTGATTAATCTCCGCGATCGCCTTCTCTTTATCCAAGTTTCCGCTAGCAACGGCACCTTCGAAAAGGGCGTTGATATCCAGCGCTCCACCAGCTGGCCCCTTTCGCAAGAACTCTAAAATGTCTTCGATCCAACCCATAAGCTGCGTGAAGAGGCCGTTGTCATGTGTATGAACCTCGTGTATGAATTTGTAAAAGTTGTGCTCATGGCGCTGACACAGGTCAATGAAGGCCTGCACCGTCTGGTTCGGGTCTGCCGAGGCATCTTGCTCCCTGCACTTTTCAACAACCTATTAACGTTGTTAGTGGCCATCAAAAATAGCTCGTGGAGCCGACAACAAGCTAACGCACCTGGATCATATCACCAATAAAAAGAGCGAAATCGGTAATGCTGTCGTACACATTCGCCGACTTATAAACTCTCACTAGAGGTTCATAAAATATGGTGAAAAGGTCCCGGAATAATTGCAAAGTGACAGGCTCTTCGATTAGGCTGAGCATCATCGCCTTATCCCGCTGTCTAGTTTGTAGTTTCATAAGCTGCTTTAGATGTGAGAAAAGCTGCGCGCCCTGTTTTAACTCCTCGTCGACATTTTCCACTGCGTTGTTAAAGGCTACATACGCATTGAACAATCTTCCAAATTGCTCGCCAGTGAGAGCTGGTGTGAAATGTTCAGAGCGCAGAATAGCAACTATGAGGTCTAAACCCTCAGACTCAGCTTCTTCTCGAATTGCAACCTTTATATGTTCCTCGGCATCCGTAAATTGTTTAAGTTTGCTCACATATACGTCATCTCCTATCGCGGCGGCTAAAGCATCGATGGATTTCTGGTAGCTCTTAATTCCGTCGTTCAAGGTTAGCGAAAAAATTCTTTGCATAAGAGATCGAGCTCCAAAGGGTTGCGCCAGGAAAAGATCAAGCACCCCTGACATAACAGCGGCTGGATTCGCGAGCCTAATGACGTTTTTCATGAGAGTGTAGGGTATCAGGGAATGAATCCTCTTGAGTTGAGCAAACAATTCTGGCGAATTGTCCTCGGCGAGGAAAAGGTGGTAGATTGTTGCAGCCACTTCGATACGGAGCCATTCGGCGAACTTCTGATATTGTAGACTTAGATCTTGAATGGTGTTTTTATCCTTGATCTCTTGGAGAAGCTTTGTTAGCCCATTACGCTCGACAATATCTTGACGAAATCGCTCCATATACACGTCTAACTCCGCGGCTCTTTTCCTTGCGATTTCGTAAAATTGCTTCTGCTCCTCCATACGCTTCTCATCAACGGCTTTGCGACGAAAGATGTCCTCGACATCTTCATCCGTTGGGGTGATTGGATCCAGCGTTAAGAACTGCTGCAGGGCTTTGGTCTGCGCAATCTGGGAGTTGTGTAGTAGATACCGCAAATATGCTCGCAATGATATACGCTGGTTCTCGCGCCAAAGGATCGCATTCTAAAAAAACATTAATCTTCACAGCTAGTTTGGGTTAACCGAGACAGGTCTCGGCAAAAGATGACTTACATCGAGCTTAGGACTTGGGGCCTTGCTGGCTGATGTTTCGAAGGATGGGCGCGGTGACGCACGACTAGAAGCTACAGATTTGTTTCGGCGGTGATCTCGAACCGTCAAGGTCTTCATCGACTCTGTAAATCCGCCACTTTGGGTCCCAGGCGTGGCAGTAGAAACAGATGATACGGACGAGTTGTCGGAGTCGTTAGCACCATCCGTGATACGCGACATTAAGCTCGCTGCAGACGTATCTGACTTGTTCTTCTTCGGCAACGGAGGAAGAACCTTTCCTGGTAGTTCTGTCCTCAGTTGTTTTTGTAATCGGGCAAAGTCGCCGTATCGTCTGCCTACGTAAAATTCGAGTTCGCCCTTCCGCTTGACGCGTAGTAGGAATTCCTACCACAAATTAGATCAGACGTATATATAAACCCCTCTCTCATGGAACTGCGTACCGCATGTTTATGACGTCTAATGTGTTTTTTGACGTGAGTGATGCGCACGCCGGCAACATTGACGTCCCATCCGTTAACGTAATGTCCTTCCGGCATAGTGTTTAACACGCCAGTGTCGATTGCGTCTCGGTCTACGATCTCCATCTCCGCAAACCTTATGCGCTCCTCGAACCCCGAGGCCGTGGGGACCCCGGAGACCATCATCAACTCGACCAACTTCCGACATTTTAAGGCTAGCTTACGACGTTTAGTTTCTTCTAATCGGTCTTCGGAGGATGAGATGTTCTTGCTAGCGAAAGATTCGAGGAACTAGTTGCGCGGGAGCGTTTATGTTAGTCTAATACAGCGAATGGGGAGTTAATGGAATTACATACGACCTGCAGCTTGTCTTGCCAGAATTCCTTCTCCTTCGCCCTGTCGAGGAACGGAAACTCTCGCACATGGTGGACGAATATGTAACGTAAAATGGGAAGCTCAGAATCGTAGGGTGAGACTTCTCCAAATTCCGACTTAAAGGGGGCGCCAAATCTGCGTAGGGCCGTCGGCGAGTTTAATTCGGATATTTCCCAGTTAACTTGCTCAGATATGAGTTCTCGTTTGAGGTCTACAAACGGCGATGGCGATGGTTAGTTAGTATGAATGATAATGGCATCGAAGGGTCTGCCAAGAAGAGATACGAACAGTGCTCCTGCTTTCCGGTCAGGGTTTGGTTCGGAGGGGTAGTGGAATCGGTAGTAGGACCGCGGGGTGCGCCATCTTGGGCGAAATCCGCAGTAGACATATCTGATCTTGAATCTTTCTCTTTCTTTTTCCAACTTGGGGAAAGCAGGTAAGAAGGTCTATAATTTATGGTGACGGCTTGTGAGATGAACTCTTTCCCCCTTCTCGCTTTTGGTCCCGTCTTCGTACAAGTTAAGCTTCAGCCCAAATGCCAGCGATTGTGCTCAACGCGTACGGGGGGGTATTGGCGTGTGGATATTATGGCGGGGTCTTCTTATTTGATGGATTTAATGATAGAATAATATTGTCATGCTTGTCAGCCACGAACGCTTATCCCTTTATCCCTTGATATATTCCACGAATAACAAGATTTAACTGGAATTGTAGGAAAAGAGGAAATAGAAAACTGGAAATATGAGAAAAAGAAAAGAAGGAAAGCAAGTGAATGAAATTACTTGTTTAACCTGCAATGTGGTGAAAGGTGTACTAGTCGGTGCCTTGTAAGTTGCTCTGGTGAAGAGCTAGGTACCTTAGGTACCTACTAAACCTTACCTAGATACCTTAGGTAGGTGTAACTAACATGCACTGGAGATATACCATTAGATATAAATACAGTGCTAACATCTAATCAGCACTGTTTCATTCGCTCCGTTCGCTCCCCTGAAACTTTCTCATGTGATCAAGCTAGAGGCCTTGGGGCTGAGCTTTCGGGAATCACGACCACATACATAAAGCTAGGACAATCAATTCAAAGTTCTCTCCTAGGTAATACTATGTAGGTACTGAGTGGCTTAGAGATGACGTCGACAGATACGTGCATGTACTGATCTTAGTTGACCATGTACCCATCTCACTATTTAAGATACACGCACTAACGCACCTGATTATTCAAAATTTGATACACGCATATATACCTCAATATACTGACGGATCCTAAGATCATTACCTAGGAGGTAGGTATCGCTTATCTTATTGTCGTAATGATTGACTCAGGGGACTCGCTATGTGAATATAAATGGATTTAATACCTGACATATATCATGTGTATTCTAGTCGAAAAACTTCAGTGATGGAAGTGGTCAAATAGGTGATAGGTACCTGTTAGAACTTCATTAGGTACAGCCACGGCTCCATGCGTCTTACGTATTGTACAATACAAACTCCACAGCTTTGGAACCTTGCAGGGCTGAAGCCAAGTGCTTGTCTAACAAGTGCCATATATCCGCGGCTAAGACGGCATCAGTTCAGACGGCATGCCTAGACTTATACTAGGTTAGTGGGTATTCATACTCGTGAGTTTCACCTACATACCTAGTACATAGTAAGCTAAGCGCTACTACGGAACGCACTTCGGCTTGCACGTGCAGGCTTCTTCTAGGCGTCCTTTGACGAGCTTCTGGAATTATAACGCTTGATAAATGAGCTAATTATAAATACGTTACCTACCTAGGTAGGTATTTAGTATTTACATGAATAGTATTGGTGAGGGTGGAATAGCCGCCACTGCAGCACAAATATGAGTACTATATAAGTAGTGTTAAAGATGAAGAGTAATCAGTTGATAATAAAATAATACCTTGAAGGCGTTAGCTACAAATCTGATAATGTGCTTAAGGACCTTTCTATTGAGAAGCGTTGTTTGGGGGTATCAATATTTCTAGGCGGGTCAATTGCTTGAATGGTGATTGTATAGGTTAGGAGGTAATTATGGCTTCGGTCATAACTCGTCCAGAGCTCGGAGAACACCATTCCCGGTAGACTTGGTGGCATTTTGGCTATTGAGTGCTTCTCTCATCTCGTCCACCAAAGCGGCAGCGTTTATGGTTGGGTTACCAACTATGTTGCCTAGATCAGGTTTTCCTTGTTCGTTGCTTGATGTCAAGTCGGGAACCCCTGAGATATCACCAGACGAAGGCGCATACTGGGCTATGACCAGTAAAAGGATTAGTGAGAAAACTATCACAGACGTGATAATCCATACGATCTTGAGGCGTTTTCTTGTCTTTTCTTGCCATTCCATGTCTGCTCTTTCCCAGCCTTCGATTCGCTCTCGTACTACATCTACCCGTTTGCTGAGAGTTTCGACCATGTCGCGGCCTGCGTGTATGCGACCCTGTAGTTCCTCGATCCGTCTCTGCTGATCATCGAAGTGGCCGAACGACTTGGCTTGCTGCTCTAACTCGTCTACTAGCCCTTGCGACTCTGCCTTGAAGCTTTCGTCTAGCTCCTGAGACATGGTTGTGAGTCCTTTAAGGGATACTATCGTGTTCTGAAGTATGCGCAGCCTTTCGAGGACAGAGTAATATGTATCATCCAGGCGCATCGTCGTGGAAATCGAAAAATCCCCTAGTTCTACAAGTGACTTTCTTAACCCCCTATTTAGATTGTTAGTTATCGAAGACTATGACCAATCTATGTTTAATGGTACCCTGGAAGCTGTAGTGACGAACGCTAAACTTGTTGCTACTTTCTCTTTCTCCTCATGCGCCAACTCGTCTTCGGTTACCGCGTTTGGTACAAGGGCGGTATGTTTGGTGCTACGCGTAGCATCGTCAGACGAAGGGTTCAGCATGCTGAATTTGAGGGTCGTTTCGGAATTCGCGCATGGCGTGGTACCCTCAGATCGTGGCAGCTCAAATGAGCCTCGTGGCAGGTGAAGATGCATCGGGTTTGCGGATTGGGGATTGTTGTCATCGTTGTCGCGATCCTTTCGCTGATGATGTAAGTGGTGATACCGGGGTAACTTGATTGGCGAAGATAGTTCAGTTATCGACCGTCTTATTTGGTGACGAGGTCGTTGTGGTGGTGAGGTGGTTATAGGTTTCAGGAGGTCGAAATCTTGATGCTTGGACATGTTCCCGCAAGTACCGGAGGTAGGTGGCTTTTTTTTAAGGTAGGGGTGGCCTGATTTATATCGACGCGCATTAAATTGTACCTACATTAAGCATGTATACAGTCGATGCAGTCGATGCAGTCTTATGAATGGTTAATAATTTGGAGAAAGTAGGAGGGAATAGATTGGATCGGAGGAAGTTTACGGTAGTCCGTTGGCACATGCATCACCCCACTACGGAAACTTCCGCGCTTTCAACATGTCACTTACACTATTTATGTTCCATAGGTTAGGTACCTGTTATATGTAGCTGAAACTATTCTCTAACTAGGTATCTAGGTACATTACATAGTAGTTTCGTAAATATCGTAAATATCACGTAGTACTGTTGACCCAACACAATGACACAAGAGTAAATATTGAATAGAAGATTTCAAGTTGTACGTAGTAGTGTAGCCTGTAGGTGTGATGTTATATTACTAGCTGTATCGACCCTCGTGAAGTTAGACATTATCTTACTTCATAGGACACCATCAGTCCCTACCCTTGCCTGTCTGCCTGCCTGTCTGCCTGGCCTATCTCAAGCTGTCATGTTGGGAGTCCTGATTCCGGTATGATACTGCGGAATCCTATCTGTTGGGTACTATTTAGTCTTTGTCGGTCGCGAATAATAAGCCAATCCGGATCCTAATTCCTGATAGGTTTTGTGCTCATAAGCCTCTCAGAATCCATCGAGAATCCACTGATACAAAGACAATTCTGAATCCCGTAGGCTGCTTTCGCCGCTGCCATCATTAAATCGACCCACACATATCCCAAGGGCCAGCACTGCTTCGTGTGTAACTAAGGGAAGTAAGTAATCGTAGATATAATCCTGATGTTTAGTCGGCTCATGAGTTAAGGAGCTTGTTGCGCTTTTCCTTCCTCTTCAAGCGTTCGACTCGTTTCTTGTGCATTTTCTCTGCCATCTTCTCATATCTCTCCTTTTCCTCCTTTGCTGCGCGCTTCTCTTTGATGGCTTGAACTCGTTTCTAGTTTCAGTGTCAGCTACACCCACTGTGCCTATCCTTTTGTATAGATGGTGTCGACTTTACCTGTCTTTCTGTTTCCTTTTCTTCTTTCATTTCCTTTTCTCTCGCCTTCGTAGCCGCCGTCGCCGTGCGCAGTTTTGCTCGTTGCTCATAGGAAGTTAGGCCAGATCCGGGGCGGAATGCCTTTCGCGGCGGATGCCATTGCTTGCCTGTTTATTACCCATAAGCCCCAGGTCAATCGTAGATATTGTTGCAGTCCTTACCATTCTTGCGCATGCCTAGAGACTCTGGCTTCTTTTCGGGTTCACTAATAGCGGCTGACATGATGGTGGATAAATCTTGATAGAGAAATTATGATTTTGGGAGGACTGGGTGTATAATGCCGCTCGGTTCTAAAAAAAAGTAGAATCGCAAAAGTCGCAAGCCTCTAGCAGCGTTTTCAAGCGGCGCGCAATGTATGCATCTTATCGCTAATATCAAATGATGTTGCGATAAAAAATGTTCAGATAACTGTGGTCCCGTAAGTCGAGTGGATCTCTTAAGAAATCTGGAGAGATTAGATTGGCCAGAAAACCAAGATAAACGGTACGGGATCAATTATCTTCCAGCACTGAAATGTGAGCCCCAGGGGTTGGATCGGGCAGGCCATTCAGTCCTATCCAATCTATCATTGTTCCAGGGCTTTGGGCCCAATCAGGTGCACGCATCGTGCCGTGCAGATCAGTCTGTCCTTCTAAGTTGAAAACTAGAACTCTGATTGGCCAATGCACCTACATTAGTGAAACGAGATTAACTTCCACGCTTCTTCGAGTCGGGTAATTTTCTCGCTTTTTTCATCCCGTCTTTGCCCAAAGGTACTACTACATGAAGTATCTACCGTATAATTAATGTAATTATTTTCTTTAGTGAGGTTGTTTTTGTATGAGCTGTTGAGCAAGCCTTTTCTAGAAACGCTGCACTTATACATTTGTGTATTTAGTTTATATACATATATACCTATATTTAAAAGGAATGATATTGCGAATTGTTTTATTTTCTGCCACTATTTGTGTATACACTAGGTATGGGAGTTTGGGCAATATCGTCCTAATAAGATGATTGCGGTATAGCTCCGGCGTGACCCCCAAGGGTTCGATATCATAAGGCAAGGGTCTCTCCGCAGAGGATTCAGTACCGAAACCCATCCGGAGCCTGGAGTAGGTACTTAGGTGGCCTGGTTATTAGGTGGTTCAACTTGTCATCAAGTTCCATATCACTTGACCCCCAAGAGGTAAGGGCCTATCCCGGTTTGCCCATCTCTGTCCCGTTCTCCGTGTCCGTATTCAGAAAATCCGTGGAGAGTGAGGCTTTGCCACAGCCGCCAACGGATATGACTTTTTTTGGTGTCATTTGTTTCTTGGTTTCTTGGTTTCTTACTACCATCAAAGGAATTGAATACGAAATTACTTGATTAGTTGTGATATTCTTAGATATTCTTAGGTACGGCTTAGAATCGGAGATGACGAATTATTAGTCGCCGATCATTACTTTCAGCCCGTTATTCAGCTTGATTCTTCATTGAACTAGTGACGGGTAGTGCTTTTAGCATCTTTAGCAACTTTGTTAACAGCTCTTACTAAAGTGTTCAAACATCTTGTACTGACGAGAGCCGTCGCAATAGGATAAATTACAAATTGCTAGCTGGCCATACCTGAGATCAGCTATTCTTTATCCGGCGGAATACCCACAGGCTCATGCAAAGTTATCCAAGTACGTCGAATTCCACGGCTTTGGTTGGCACCAAGCCATGGAGGCCAAGAGGCTAATGCGACGGCTGCTTACGGGCTTGAGCTTGCAGAGTGTAAAGGTGTAGTGTACGTACTACATACCTTATGCGGACGTTAAGAATACCTAAGGCAGTATGCGAATCGTGGCCACGGCTAGACCGGCTACCTACTTTGCGCAAAAAAAAAAAACGGCCGACAGATTGTGTGGAATAAGAGAGCTCAAACTGTTGACTTGGCTGGCTCACTTGAGATTATTCACATACGTAACCTAGTCGGTTAGCGTATTATCTTGCTTCTCATGGCGCTGGTTTCGTTCCTGACTTGGTACGATGAAGTCTGGAAATGCAACCCAAAATTAGAGCAACTTTACCTAATTAATATGGAGAATAAACAACAACAAATTCTCGTATATAACACCGCCGTGTTTATACATTTACCTATGCATATTTCACGGAAGACGGAATCAGAACGGTAATTAAGGTACCTATGTAGTGTACACCTCATCCTTTCGCGTAGGATTGATTAACCTCATTCTGAAAGCCCCTCCAGCCGCCAATGTAACTAAAAGCAACCGAAGGTAAGAAGCGCGGGGGTTCATTAACCAAGACGGGATAGGAAGATGCAGGGGGACGCCGAGGACTAAAGGCAAACCAGCTAGAATAGGAAAGCGGTTTTTTTTTGCTACGCGGGCAGCGGGTTATGTATTATGTATTATGTTAGGTACCTACATACTGTACACGTAAATGCATAATTAGCTGCAAGGTTTCCAAACAATACGACCGGGTTGCCTCTTGCCTGCCCTTGCCTGCCAACTTGCGAACCTGTTAGTTCGGCTGAGGGTTTGTTAAAGATTTTATGTGCTTTTCAGGGGGGGTTTCAACTTTCAGAAACCAGCTACTATGTAACTACCTAAACTACTTACCTTACCTCATAAATCACTTGATCTTTTTGAGAGCGCCTTTTTTTTTGGCCAGGGATAGAGGCTAAGCTACCTAATGTCTGCATGTCTAATTGTAATAGGGCCGCGGAGAATAATTAAGCCACTTTCGTTATTCGCGGTGTGCGCCTGGGTATTCAGGGAGGCCAACGCTCCATTCTATAAACTGCGCATCGTAATCATAGCAATCATAGTTCGGCGTGCACTTGTGTTGTTCTTAATGTGGGAACACTTGTTGGCGATGTCGCATACTGTACGTACCTAACCTAACTGTGCTGCTGTGCGGATAACTGGAAATCTATCTACACACACAACGTACCACATGTATATCAGATATGGACATCATGTAATCCCTAAATAGAGGTACCCGACATGGATATAACGTATCTTCGTAGAACTGTGCAGCCTTTTTGACTTGTAATTTTCCATTGGTTGATTTGTATCTCTGTCATACCTCGCACGAGCCTCAATCGAACCTTCAAACAGCGGAGTATGTTGTTGCGATCATGAGGTCATGGACCACTCAAAGACGGCATTCAACGCTGACATGTAATTATGTAACCCGGGTACAATAACAAGTTCGACTTAATGAACGGAGCATCCACCCTATTACGAGGATACTACCTATCTAACTCTACCTAGCTACACTAGTGTACATACTAAGGTAAGGTCCAGTATCTGACAACGGTACCTACCTAACCTAGGTAGGTAGTGATACGTACCTACGTAGTCCACGTAGGCGCAGCCTCCTGCAGGGACCCTCACGGAGAAGGATACCCTCGGTGTGACTGCAGATCATGTACTCTCCATGCATTTTTCACTAGGGATATACTTTGGTGAATATCCTCGTAGTTTCCATAGTGACCCTTTTGATTCAAGACCCAGGTGATTTGAAATGAGATCTCGACTTTAGTGTCGACAAACTTGGAACAATTCGTCAGTACAAGAAGACAAAGACGGAATTAGTTAACATGGATCGTATCTAACTGCCATAGCTTACGGCACCTATATAATATAGCATAGGTAGAATAATGAAGCATGAGATTGGAAGCATCATTCCTCCGGATTGGTATCATTTCAAGCACATTTTAATTGTTGATTAAATGTAGTAGTAAGTGTACCTCTACGGTATACCATACCTGTATACCTATGTGTTATTAAGTGAGGTACAATGCATGCCTATTGTCGGCAGCAGGTAACAGCAACTAAAAAAGTACTTGTTAATCTGTACTTCCCTGCGTGCTAGGTTTCTTTTCACCCTAGTCCCTGCAAGCCTGAGATCCTTAATAGGGTACCTTATTAAATACCTAGGTACATACAGTACAAGTGTTAAACTTAGTAGGGTGGCCGCACGGTCCAGAAAGACACAACCCAATAGCCTAACAGCGACTTTTTTCGACTTCCACACATCCATCTTTTTGGAGTCGTCCATACACCCTACGATAATCTTCTCAATCCTTCACTTCACTCCTCCACCTTTACCCTCAACCACCACCACCACCACCACACCTGCTGGCTCAATTCCAGAAGCAAATCTTATGTTTTTCTAAGATTTGCTCTGGTCTTGGCCGTCCGCTCCTTTGATCAATCCCCTCCCCCCTTTCAATTCCATTATCCTACGTCTTATCTTTATTTTGGTTGTTTTGTGACCAATCCGTTGCAAGGGAAGCCGGACGACAATAACTCTCACCGACCGCTGGTAAAACCTTCCCCCCTCACCGACGACGAGGTACGACATCGCATTTCAGTACCAAGGACCCCCCCCTAAAAAAAGAAACAATTATCAATCTAGGGCCTTTTGCATTTGAGTTAGAAAACTGACACATTTCTTAATATCTCAGGCGCTTTCTGCAACGTCGTCGCGCATTGTTAGATTGACATGTCCAATTAACATTTCCGATCTCTCCGTCTTTACCGATACACTATACTTGGAAGATACTCTATGATATCTTTCTATAACTAAGTTTCTTTCCCCGCTCTGTGCGCCGGGGAGGCTTGAAGGAATAATGGCCACTGTAATTGCTGCCAGTCTCCCAACCGAGACGGTTATGTTGAGCGGAGTAAACGATATCCCATCGCGACAACTTCGTATCTCAACGCAACAAGACGAGACCATGACCCAATCAGCTTTTCCCGGTTCCCAAACTTCTTCGCATACCAACCTACCACCGCCGAACCCGCCCTTCGTTTTTCCAGCTCGCGTGTCACCGTCATCTGCGCCTTCGTCCTTCTCTCGAGCCACGGGACGTCGACCTCAGTCTGCGATAGAATTTCAGGGTCGGTCTTTTGGTTTCGCTGGCGGAATGCCAGATTCACCCTCGAGGTCGCCGGCTTTGCCAGATTTTAGTTTCAAGCCGGGTGCCCCTCCCAGTCCGACCAGCAGTCGACCACCTCGATCTCCCGGTCTACCTGATTTTTCGTTTAACCCAGGTGCAGCTCTCGGGCCTGATGAATCTCACCTCAGTCCTTCCCTCGCTCCCCCGTCGCCAAGGATACATCCGAACCGCAATGGCCATCGAAGAGGTGGAAGCGAGTTCGTAGGCGGTAAACTCACAGGGGGAGGGTCTATTACTGTGATGAGTACTAGTCCAACCAGATCCGAGGGGGGCATTGGATCCCCAAAGCTATCGCCCGCAGATGGTCCGCCAAGAAGAGGACACGCACACCGTCGCTCTGCTGCAATCTCTAGCCACGATCTGACCATGATACTCAAACCGAATAACGCGGCTCCGAGAGGAAGTAGTGCGCCTACTAGTCCAGCTGAGTTCGACGAGAAATTTCGCAGTTTGCCTGAACCAAAAACCGAACACCCCAAAGCTGAGAGCGTTCACCAAGAGGCAAACAACGAGATAGTGCAGGAAGCATCTGTTCAAAGTACGCTACAGGCTCCTCCATCACCAAGCCCTAATCCACGCACGCGGGTTGGGTTTTCTGATACACTTGAATTCATTCCCCGTCCTTTATCGATGGTATCAACTGATACGTCAAGCACGGTGACAGTTCGTCCTGGCCATCGAGTTTCGGGGAGCGTCTCCTCTGTTGTCTCGACTAACGTAGCATCTGCGGACCGTGATGCTTGCAGTGTACTTGGGTCGCCTGGTTCCCGCGCGAAAGCTGATTCCCGCCCTAGCACCGCAGGTGCCGTACTAGAGCGGTCCCCAAGTCTCATTGTGCTCAATGGGGACTCCATATCACGTAGGCGGAATTCCATTCCATTGCTAACGGATCTCCCTAAGCGCAGCTCTGGATCGCCCACGAACACGAGTCCCTCGAAAACCCCTAGGAGATGGTCTTTTTTCGGACTCGAACCCTTCGCGGGAACCAACTCACCGACGAAATCAATATCACTTGGCTCCGGTTCATCTAAATATGCGGAGAAGCGGTCTGGGTTCGCTAACTTATCGGCGGAGCTTGATTACATCCCAACGTCGGACAGTCTATCCCGTTCGGAAAGCAAGAAAGGCTCGGTGAGGAAGAAGAAGCAGAAAAGGGTGAGGACATGGGCTGGTTCCATCCTAACGAGGAAACCGAAACCTCGCAAATCAAAATCTGTGCGCCGTCGCTCGCAAACGCCGCCAGTATATCAAGAGCAGGTAATCGAAGATTTCGGCGACTATCTCATGGACGTACCTGAGGCACCTCCTGCACCTATCGCGCCGGTGGTCCTGGTCACTGAACCTGAACCCGACCCAAATATGGAGCCTAGTCGAAGGTCAGAGGATGATATATCTTATCCTATGATTGATCTTGACGCAGCTCTTGGCCCATTCAATACACCTTCCTCGCGTGATCCCCAATGGGACGAGGCGCAAAAAATAGGCGCTCCACCTAAACGCCAGTTACACAGTGCTGCTGGCTTGAGAGGCTTCAGCGGTCCAGGAATGCACTATCACCGCCGTGCCGAGAGTGCGCCCGAGATGCCACCCTTTGAAGCTGCACGATTCGGCATCCACCGCTTCGGCAGTTCTTCAACTATGGCAGATGTATTTGAAGAGGACGAAGAGGAAGAAGAGATCACGAGCGCAAACACTCCGTCAGAAGAATCCTCTACAGAAGCCCAAGATGCTTCGGCCGATGAAAGCGAGTCAGCATCAAGCACCGAAGAGGAAGCCGTTTCGACACCGACGCAAGTACGTGAGCATGGCAAAGTTAGTCCAAAGGACATCCTGTCTATGTCTCCCCTAGTGACACGCCAGGGTAGTGGGTCAAGCTTGGACATGTCACGACCGGTATCTAGGCCATGGACTGATAGTTGGGCTGGTGGTCTTCGAGAAGAGATCATTCTGGAAGAGCCCAACTACAGCACGCCTAGGCGTGCTACTACTTTTATGATGGGTGCCCCAGGAACCCCCGATTCAGAAGCACCATCTCCCCGCCAGATCTTGAACACCGACATCGATCCGATGGATGTGAGTAATGGGGCGTTCCCCTTGCCAGCCACCCCATATTCACTAAGTTATTCGTCGTCATTCCCGTCGCCTCGTTCGCCAATGTCATATGATGCCCAGCGAATCTCGACCGCTCCATCTTCAATCGCTGATGAAAATAACTACTACTCACTATTGATGGGCGAACCTGGGCCAGAGTTGGTTCGAATATCTGTTGATGTCCCGTCTCTGACGAGTAGTAATTCGACCACGACGCGGGATAGCACATTTGCACCAGGTGTCCAACCCAGGAACATGCCCTTCCATGACCAGCGACCTGCTTCGTTTAGCGCTGCAGCATTTGGCCGCCGTAGGTCCAGTTTGGTCAGTCTCAGTAGGCTAATTAGTAGCGCCCACGGAGAGCGAAGCAAACTAAGCATGGAGGTCCCTCTTGATTCGGACCCGGAGGACAAGCCCAAGATGAGCAAATCGAAACGTTTCAGTCGCATGCTGCAATTCTTGAAGCCGAAGGGATCGGCCAAGCCTTAAAGGGGGTTTCAATGCTTCTGTTACAGGCCTCTCTACTCAGAATCGGTGCTCTCAGGTGGACGAGAGGGCGGTCATCAGATTGGTTCCGCAGTGGCCCACTAACGGATCCGATGAAGTTTATGTATTCTCACGCATTTCTCATTACCCATCCCATACCAACGAACGTTCTCCACGGAGATGATCCTTGACGGTACTTGAGACAATCTTATTCACGACTTTATCTGCAAAGCATGCATTGTTTTGTACGCATACGAGAACCCAAAGTATCAGGGGTCAATCTCGCAATCGTTTTAGCTTTCTTTTATCTTATTTTATGAACGCATGACGGCATCTTTAAGCCATTTCATGACCACGGCTTCCCTTTTTTTTTCTAAGACGTTCACCCAGTCTATTTTCATTGCTTAAGGAGGAGGAAAAGGGGGAGGAAATTATACAGCCGTTTAGGCTCAGAAAAAAAAACTTAGTGCCACTGTCGGAGGATCTGGTGGTTTCCGGTTTCTCTGGGCACAGCGCTCACGGATATGAATGTGGATGGGAGGAATATCTCGGGACCATGTTCCATAAAAAGTTGATAAGTCTGTTGCTACAGGACCTGTAAAATTAGTTGCTCACCGTGGACTCGTCGAGCATGCCAGGTTTGTACACGCAATAATAGCGAACATAAGCTACTAAAGATAGGTTACGATGCCGGCTCTGCGTTCATATTACTGGCGTGATATGCATAACGCTTGGGTTTGGGCATTTTTCCTAGCAAGTAGCTATTATATACTTTTTAGTAGTTAAGTAGACAATGAATCAAATATATGTGTAAAATAGAAATATCATTCTACCTTTCTGAGACTATAACTGATAGTATTTACCTAGGTACCTAATGTATTAGTTAAAATGAAATAGTACAAAGTCGTCTTGCTTACCGAAACTAATCTTACTTGGAGATATAAATGTGCCAGTATATATGAACATCAATAATAGGAGTACTCGAACAGGAATTAGGATTATTTAATTTCACAACTTATGTGCTACTAATTATTTCAAATTTCCAAGTCAGCTACTATGTACCTCTAATCATAATATAGGTATTATTACGTTAGGTAGTATTGTTATTACTTCTCGATATAATGAATGTAATACTTTGAAACTTTGTTTAATTGAGGTAGTTAACTGTTTACGTTACTTCCCGTGTAACGCCGTTTCCACGGGTTCCCATTATGTGTCCACCCCCTGCCACCGAGGCAAGTTCCTCGGCCTGGACCGGGGAGGGGGGGGGACCTTAGGTTAGGTAGATAGCTGCTAGACCCAATCAGCGGAAGGTGGATCCCCTGTTCTGTGTCTGGGGAGTGGAACCGTGAACGGCGCGGCGCTTTACCTTAGGTACCTAACTGCCTGCCGAAACCTTAACAAGTTGTTCTGCTGGGTTTTGCACTTTGCTAATCGCCGTCGCCCAAAGTCGTTTCCTCGCTAACCTTCTATACGCTAGAAAAATAACAATTACCGATATCATACATACATATATTATACATATCGCATCACGTCAACATCAGATACGTACAACTCGTCTTGTTTAACCCGATGGCGAACTCAGCGTCGTCGTCGTCGCGCAGCGCGATCAAGCGCCTCGTCAAGGAGATATCCGCCTGGCAGAGCGAGTCGGAGAACGAGACGGGTATAGAGCGCCTGGGCCCCGTGAACGAGGAGGAGCTGCTGCACTGGGAAGCCGTCATCAACGGACGGGGGATAGGTAACGGTTACGATGGTGCGTCTGCCTTTGCCTTGCCTTGCGATTCATCATCCTCTTCCTCCTCTTCTCCCTTCCCCTTCCTCTGACAACCCCTTCCCCCCTCCGGGCCCATAACCCAAACCTACCGTCCCGTACTATACAAGAACAACCCAGTCCGACAGTATTCCCATCTGTATAATCCAATGCCACCTAACCTAACCTAACCTAACCCGACCCGCCCCGTCCGCAGAAGGCCGCTGGCTCCTAGACATACAGATACCGGCGACGTACCCGCTGGCGCCGCCGACGATGTCGTTCCGGACGCCGGTGGTGCACGCGAACGTGGCGCTGCGCGGGGGGGACATCTGCCTGGACCTGCTGAAGGAGGCGTGGACGCCGGCGTACAGCATCCTCGAGTGCGTGCGCGCCGTGCGCATGCTCCTCAGCTGCCCCGAGACCGACAGCCCCCTCAACGTCGACGTCGCCGCCCTCCTCCGCGCCGGCGACGCCCTCGGCGCCAGGCGCCTCGTCGAGTTCTGGTGCGCGGACGAGGGCGGACGGTACGAGGGGAGGTAGTGGGGGAAAGGGAAGGGAAGGAAAGGAATGCGTGTGTTAGGCGTGGAGTTTGGAAGAAGGGGGGTGATGGAGAAGAAGTTTTAAGGAAATTGGACATTTCGGCAAATTCGAACGAGATGAATAGCTGCTTACCTGACGGTTTAGATGAGCTGGTAGGGAAAGGGAAGGGGAAGGAGACGTTGAGGGATAGTTCATTTACACAAGAATATGGAGCGGGCGTTTTTGTTGGCATATGTGTGACATCGACTCTCTCTTTACACCAAGCTGCTATTTCTCTTTCTCTTTTTTACTCAATCATAGCGTATATTTCACCAGTAAAGGTCAATATTTTAATAGAATATTGAAAAAAAGAAACCATTCTATTGTTATGATTTCTCCGAATTCCCGAAGCGCCTGTAACGACAGTCCGGTCCCTTCGCATTTGGTGCAATCCCCTTGGGCTTTCGCCTAGTGTAACAATATTGTTTAAAAAGTGCAATAATTTCCCCGTCCTGTAATGATGATGATGATGATGCTGTTGCTGCTACTGCTACCTGAAATAAATATATCTACAAGGGGAAAAAACCGCCCCCCATCTCTCGACCACAGCTACAACAAGGCTTGGTTAGGGGTGTGGTTTCGGTAACTCATGCTCTTTTCGTCACAAACAATTCGGCACGTTTAAAACTCCTCATCTCCAAAATGCAGTGATCCGAGACTCGTGGCAGATTACAAAGGTTTCGTTATGACAAAAAAGCGTTTCGAGCTGTATGTTAGTTCCGTCCTCTATTCGTTGTAATGATAAACCTATACACATCCAAGTCAGCTGGTAAGTACCTTTTTTGTTTAGACGATATCATGGCAGAGAGAATATTACTTTATAGTTTGGTAACCCAGTAGCATGCCAGCCTAACCTCCTCGCCATCTTCGCAAACCCTTCGGTTTCGATTAGATGGTAGAACGGGAAGGGCGGGAACATAGCACCGTCACGGTGAACATCCGCCCTCACTAATAATGCAGTACCACCTACACCGTCCAAGGGTACTTCCAGGTGCTTTTCATCCTCCTTCTCCGCCATGTAGGCCATCAAAGCTCTGTAGGTTGCCATTTCAGAATATCCTTCGAGGATGATTTCGTCTCGGCTCATCTTAGAAGCAATTTCCTGCGCGGTCGGACTATCCTGCCAGCTGTTGAAATCGTACGGGCGTTCTTTCGGCTTTCCTGTTTCAGTGTCGATATACCTCTGGTAGCAATTTGGTACTATGATGGGCTTGTCGTGTGACGCCAGATCTTGTATCAAAGTAGGCGGTGTCTCAATGATATCCGAGTCCAACCATAATACCCACGAGGTATCAGCTCCCAGCGTAGTAAAAAGTAGCGAATTCCGCGCTCTCGACATCGAGGCTCGTCTCGCCTTCTGGTTCTCCATCTTATGCCGCTCGCTTTCGTCCTGAGATGTCAGCGGAGGGTCAAAATCCTGTCGTTCGATAATTATGCTCCTGAATCGGTCTTTAGCCGGGCCCTTCTGTGTCTTCGTGATCTGGGCCTGCAGTGAAGTAGTAGCCGCATTGCCCTCCTTATTTTTAGGTAGAATGAAACCGAGAGTAATCAGTTCCCGCGGGTATTGTAACTTCAATAAATTGTCCCAGTATTCCTGATAGAAGCGTGCCATCGGTGTTAGGATAAGGACGGCCTCTCGATTTCCGATGGGATCCGCGGTAATTGTAACATTGTTTAGGTTAAAGCGCCGGACAGGAGGCCGTTCGACAATGAGGCTCGACTTCGCGCTGGGCTTACGGGTAGCGGATCGGGTGACATTCGAGGGTTGCGAAGTCGATCCGTTATGTGAGAGGAAATATATTATAAAGATACAGAGTATCGCGCCGATGGACAAGGTAAGATAGTTTGTCCTCCGCAGGCGGACTGGCCCCATAGGGCGCGCCATGATGAATTGATATTATCTCTCAAAACAGGACGTAGAGAGAGGTTATGCTGAGGACAGCGCGAAAAGGAGCGTAATGAACAAGAACGGAATCACTAATTGGCACGGGCCATCGAGGGCATAAATGGGTACTGCTGGTCGGAATAAAGATTCGCAATAAACCGTAGGTAGAATAGAAATCGCTATGTGATCGCAGTAGATGATCCCGGGGATAGCAACGCCAGGATAAAACGGCGATGCGTCGGTTTCGTCGAGTTGCTGGTGATGAGGCTGTCGTTAGAAAATTGTTGTTAAATTTCCCACGGCGACTTTGCCAGATAACACTAAAAATTGAAATGGATTCGAGGTACATATTAGTACATACCTAACCTTAGGTAGCCTACCTGGTATGTACCTTAGGTAACCTACCTAGATAGTAATAGATCTAGGTACCTAGTAAGGTATGAGGTAACGCTCTAAGATTGTTGGGCGTGAAAGTACCTTCACCACCTAATTTTAGGTAGATAAGTAAAGTACCAGGTAACCTCACAAAGCTTTTAGGTTTAACTGACAATACGAGCGTAGCACGGGTAGCTCCAGAGTGCTGCAGTGGACCCACTTCGTTCTGTTCGAACTTCGGCCGTTTCAATTCTCACAATTGTAGGCCTGCCTTTAACTTACTATGTATTCAATTGTACGAATCGTATTGTACCACATAATTACCTAAGGGAAGTACCTAACTTTAGGTATATCTTACTAAGATATAACAGTATAACGGGCTTTCTTCCTGTTGCTAACTAACTAACTTACCAACTATCTACACACAACTATTACTACCTGGGTTAGGTACACAACAATTTCCAAAAGATGCGATAAAATGTACTTAGCCATAAGGCCACAAGCCTTGAAAGAGGCTAGACGCGGAGGCCAAACCAGCAGTGATAAAACCTCCAGTAAACCAGAATCCGTACTTGAACCACAGCCAACAGCTATACGAGTCCCCAAGCTCCACCATTGCGATCATCGCTCCAAGCGAGGACGCACAGCCACCCACCGCTAGTATAAAATACAGCAAACCCAGATCCGCTTCAACGCCGACGGCCGTGAGCAGTACAATCACCAAGCCAAGGATCGGCCACAATATCAGTTTCGTTCGATTTCCGAACAGAACGGCCATGCTCTTCAGCCCAATCGCCTTGTCGTCCGCCACGTCCTGGTGCGCGTAGACGGTGTCGTAGATGGTTGTCCAGAGGATACACACAGCCAGGAGGTAAAGAGACGGGCTTTCCTCCGAGGGCCGCAGACCCATCGCAGAGCTCCCGACCAGGGACCCCCATCCGAGCCAGAGTCCCAGGACGACTTGCGCGAAGTGCGTGTGCCGCTTGGCCCACGGGTAGTAGAGAACCGCCGGGATATTGGCTAGGGCCCATCGGGACGTCTCCGCGGGCAGTAGGGGGAGAAACAGGGCCGCTGCGAAGGCCTGGGAGGCCGTGAACACGAAGGCGGCACGAGGCGAGACGGCGCCGCGAACGATGGGACGGTGCTGAGTTCGCGCCACCATCCTGTCGACGGGGGCATCGACGAGGTCGTTCCACGCGTGGATCGCGTTGGAGAAGAAGAAACTCGCGCCCAACAGGAGCACGCTCGCCCGTGCTACTTCGCGCGGCGGGGAATGTTGCAATGCCGCCGCGTGAAGAATGCCGAATAGGTGAGGAAAGAAGATCAAGAAAAGGCCCGCCGGGGGGCTCAGGCGGGCTAGCTGTATGTACGGAGCCCAGGAGGAAGGGAGGTGGCTTACCCAGCCCCCACCATGTACGCCACCATACTGCTGAGATAAGGAGTGATCAGAGACAACCTTATGCGCGGATGGTTTCTCTGGTTTCTCTGGCTTTCTCACGGGGCCCATCTTCGACGTAAGTGCTTTTTTATGAAGGCTTTGGTTTAAGCAACAAGCATTAACGAATACTCTTCGTCGCGTATGTGAGAGAGGGGAGGAGGGGAGGAGGGAGGGGGGGAAGAGAGAGAGAGAGCTTCAAGGGGCGAGAGGCTGCGCAGCAGGCCGCGAACCAAAGAGGCACGCAAACCACAAGCCCGCTTACTCTCACCGATTGTAAATGCAGGCTTTCAAGATCTTGGCGGTAGGTAGTCGATTGTGCGACCATCTGAGCCTCCAGTTGCGTGCGCTTACCATCGCCGGTCCCGACAGTCTTGGCTCTTGGTCAGCTGTAGCAAGTAATGAGAAACCCGACACTATGTCTAGGAAACAGTGCCATCACAGGGGCGGATCGGCGGGACTGTCACAAGATTTCTTTCACTCCAGAATACTGGCGTTAAACTCGGCGGTTGTCACACTCGGCATGCAGGTCATCTTAATCAATACGTCCAATATTACGCGCATAATCTTCAATTAAGGGGGGGTAGGGGTAATATTAGGGAGTATTAATGGGGTTAGCAAGTAGCCAGCACGCCTTCATAGGGATATGTGGTTCGTATATACCTATACGCTGGGCGTATGAATACAGAATACCACTGTACACTCGTCCCTAAATTGCTTAAATAGATACAAGATGAAAGACGTAAGTAAAGATTCCAGGGATTCGGTAGCAGACATCAAGCCTTCGAATCATACCTGCTTCATCTTGATATACTATTACTAACAACCTGCCTAGAACCTGGGTAGCAGCTCCTAGTGCCAAATGGCCTGGTTCGGGACGGCGCGAGCCGTCATTATGCATACATGCATCCTGTCCCTGTTCCTATCCACGACGTATGGAGCGACTGCCTTGGTTCCTGGCGTAGAGCTTTGCACGCAGCTGGGCAGCATCTTCAATGCTTCTATATGTGTCGCCGGGGAGGCCGAATACCAGAGCTTGAGGACTGAGAATTGGTATGGCGGCAAGGGAAAAGCCACTCGCGTCGGAGCTGCTATCTAACCTAACGTTCACTGCCAGGTCCGAAACTGCGTGGAGGCATCCAACCTGCGTCTTCCAACCAGCGTCTGCAGATGAACTTCGCGTAGCGGTGCCCCTGATAGCCGAAGCCGGTGTCAAGTTTGCTATTCGTTCTGGAGGCCACAGCCCGGCTCCGAATGGCTCTAACATCGACAACGGCATCTTGATCGATCTTTCCAGATTGGATAACATCGATTATAACGCCGATCTTAACATTGTTACTTTCGGCTCGGGGCTGCGATGGGTGGACGTGTACAGCAGACTTGACCAGTATGGAGTCACAGTCGTGGGGGGTCGTGTTGTGGATGTTGGTGTGGGCGGTCTCACTCTTGGAAGTAAGTTTTGGCTGGTCGCCCAGAGAGAGAGAGGGAGAGGGAGAGATACATAAGCTAATGACCAGTATCTATTGTATCCAGGCGGCCTATCTTACCTGTCAGACCTTCATGGCCTAGTCTGTGATAACGTTGTTGACTATGAGGTACGTCAGATCTTTCCAGGGCGCCCTTTTCCCTTTTTCGAACTTAGCTCTTTACCCGCGTCCATTAGGTTGTTATTTCCAACGGCTCCATCATCCATGCCAATGCGAGTCATCACTTGGATCTGTTCTGGGCCTTAAAGGGCGGTGGCAATAATTTTGGTACGTGCTTACGTTCAAGCCAAGCATCTGTCCCTCGAGCTGCTTCGTCTTACCTTTTTTCCCCGCAGGCATCGTGACCCGATTCTCCCTTTCTACCTATCCCATCGGCCAAGTTTGGGGAGGGATTCGGAGGTATGAATTAGGGGATCTAGAGGCAGTACTCCTCGCCATGGCCGAGTATCAAGCTGCTCCGAACAAGGACCCTTACGTCAATGCATTTGTACAAGGGTTTGTCACGAACGAGACTATCGGCGTGGCGCTGACCTTGATCAATCTGAAACCGCAAGAAAACCCTGCCGCTTTCGAGCCCTTCTCCCACCTGAGTCCCGTCTCGGACAGCATCACGATCTTGCCGTTCAGCGAGTTCCTCCAGGGACAAGGCGCCGGAGGTTTGAAACGGTTCGTGACTCGGCGCCAGCATATCTTACCCATACGTATTACCTCTTGGTACTAACAGCCGACTTGACAGGATTGACTGGTCTACGACGAGTTTCGTGCCCAGCGCCTCCATATACAAGGAGTTGGGCCGGATATTGGTCGAGTCGAGCGCTACCAAGAAAATCCAGTCCACCGTAGCCGGGACCGTGATTTTCGGGCTGCAACCCATCTCCGAGAGCTTGGTCCGTGCGGGCCACGCCCGGGGCGGCAATGCGCTGGGCTTGCAGGCTGTCAACCAGACCTGGTTGGTGATAGATTCAGCGTGGTTTTACGAGTCCGACGACGCGTTGGTGCACAATGCGGCGGCGGGCCTCATCGATGCGGTCAAAGCCTCCATCGAGCCCGATAGCCGGCTCCCCTACCTCTTCATGAACGACGCGAGCTGGGACCAGCCGGTGATTTCCAGCTACGGTGCCGAAAATGTGCGCAGGCTTCAGCGGGTGGCAGAGATTTATGATCCGGGTCGTGTATTTCAATCATTAGTGCCAGGAGGTTTCAAACTTCCACCACTGGCTTGAGCTATATACAAATCCAAATCATGATTTTGGGCGATTTCATCAACACGCGTCTCTAATTACCTAAGTCTCAGTCACTGGCCTCAGCTTTACTTCAGCGATAAAGGGCCGAGACAAAGGCAACAACAGCTCTTCCTAATCCTGTAGCTCGAGATTTGAACGCCATTCGAGCATAGTAACTGAAGATTAGCAGCGCTTTCGGTCAAACGTTACCTAGGTACGTAGGTAGAGAAATAAAAAGAAGAAAATACTCGCGCGACAGTTGTCCCAAGCCAATTTACTGACTACCTACGTTACATCTCACTGGCGAAATACCATCCGGATATAGAATACGTGATGACTCTTAATGAAGTACTCGTGCTGATTAACCCCTCATACGCTAAGAATGAAAAGATGGGATACCGAGACCGCGCATTTTAACCTGATCCAGTCCATTATGTTACCGTATTTTCCGCAACTGTCCGTCTAAAATATCTCAGAAGAATAAAAAATAAAAATAAAAAAAAAGCATGAGACACCCTACTCATTGCCGCAGCGAGAGCTCGATTGATTGGTCCTGCGAGTGGTCCTGTAGTCCAACCTGCGAGTCGCTCATCCGGTGGAAATTGCCGCCCTGAGGCTGTCTCTGCTTAGGCGTATATGATATCCCGCTCGAGCTGTTAGTCACAGAGAACCTGGAAGTGATGAAGCTTCGAAGGCGTGGGACTGCTTTCTGCGCAAGTTGATAGAGGGCGGGAATCGAAGTCCCGATCAAAGCGACTGTGGGCTCGACCTGGGTCGGAATCCAGAACGTGACCCCGTACTCGTCGAACTGTGCCGGGATGAAACGGGACATGCTGTACTTCAGCCCTAGAAGTCGGTTAGCAAGAGCTTTCCACGGCTCTGCTGGTGGAGCTTTGGGGGCGGGGAGAATCACACGTCGGGTCTGTCGGAACGTAACGCTCCATCTGCAAGACGAATACGGCAAGCTTGTACGCCGCCGCTATGCTGGCTCTGTTACCAAGATGTAAGAATGCGTTCTGTAGGACATGATTGATCAAGAAAGTAATAAACCCACCCGGCGCCGAGCATGAGTATCGTAGCCACGCCGACACGTTTCCGCAACGGCATCTGAAGCTTCCACACGGGGAACACCGGAAAGACGAGCAGCACAATATCGAAGACCATACTGACGCTGAACAGCGCGACCTGCGTGTAGTAGTAGTACCAGTCGCTGCAGTGCAGGTAGCGCTCCATCGGGCGCCAGAAGTAATAGACGGGCGAGCATATGAACGCCGGGAGGATGGAGAAAACGACGACATAGAGGCCCTGGCAGGCCAGTAGAGTCCATAGAAAGTATCTCGTGTATCGATTTCCTCGAGTGCCGAACATCTTAAGGTAAAAGAGGACGATGGAGATTCTGATGGCTGCCGACATGAGGGGATACAGCCATGCTGAGGTGATAATCCCTTGGAACCAGATCTCATACTCCGCCACCGTGATCTCCATAAGGGGCTTTCCGACCCCAGCCTGAAGATTCATATATGCAGCTAACGAGGTCCAGCCGATGAATAGCATCTGTGCCTCTGTGAGAATCAGTCCACGGTAGGAGTTGTATGAGCTTGAGACGTACTATTGCTGGGACCATCGCATAGTCCTCAGCTCCTAGAGCCTTTGTGCGCCATCTTTGACCCAACCGGGCCACAACGGCGGCGGACGATATGACACCGAGTACGATACAGACGATTGCGATTCGGTACACTTTGTGTGTGTTATTTATGGTGGTAGGGGGAGGTATCAAGTCTTCGTCGATATTGGCACGCACTTCCATCCTGCCAGTGAATCTATATCGATGGCTGTTGTTTGACTAGCTCAGTAGGAAACGAGACTTGGTCCATAGTTGGCATAGCTCCGGCACATAAGACTATGAGAGGATTCCATCCTTGCCTGTCCTGTCGAGTGTTACGACGTACTATGTAGATAGGCCAAGGGGGGTAAGCTCTAATGCAACGTTCAGATGAGGTTGCATGTCTGCCTATGCACGTAAGTATAGGGCGTAGGGAGACGGCAAGAGGGTGTCGCCATAAATGCAGCTCGTGTACCATGCCAAGAAAAACTCAAGTAGCTAAGCTTACAGACATTTCTGCCACCAATACATATCTTCGCCCGTGTAACATAATCGTTGGGATTCGGGGTCTAGCAAACCCCCCCGCCCTTTCCTGATACTTTGCCATAGTGTTATAGGGTAAATTGAATCATGCTTGCAAAAATAACCCTCAGCGGCTAAGCTGTCTTTTAGTTAGACCAGTATCATAGTCGTCATTGTTGTCGTTATCGTCACTGCCGCCCAACATCATGTTGTACCCGGACCCGCTTATAGAAGTGTAAGTGTGGATGGATATGGAAAATGTATCTGGCAGACTGTGTTTATAAAATAACGGCCTATATGCACTGTTCTATGTTCCTTGACGCAACTCTAACTTCTGGCCTCTTCAGCTTCGACGGCGCGATTATGGTGCGAAGGCTTGAGAGTCCCGACCGCTCCTTTGCCTTCGAGGTGACATTCCTGGTCGACCACCCTCTGCTTGTGGCCCTTTCGGCGCGGAAACCGCCCCTGCACTTCCACCCTCACCAGGAGGAATATATCCAAGTGCTGGAGGGATCATTGGCCGTGGAAATTGAAGGCGAGGAGACGATATTGTTGCCTGACAGGGGCGAGCTTCGCGTACGGCCCTGGACGAATCACCGCTTATATTCGCCCCAAAAACTACCGGGAGAGGCGGAAGAGGGAGCCTATAGAGTATCAACGGCTTCCCGAGATCAGAGGAAGACTGTGTTTCTACTTTCAGGGGCCCAGACTTCTGAGGTGTTCCAGCTCGATACGATGTTCTTCCAGAATTGGTACGGGTATCAGGACGAAATGGTCATGAGTGGAAAAGAGCCTAGCCTCATCATAACTATGTGCGTAAGTGTGGACTGTTCTCATTCAAAACCTATCGTGTGTCTTGCCAGATTGTTTGGAGATATAACCAGCCATTCTTACAGATGTTTGATGCCGGCGGCTCATATCTATCTCTACCGAAATGGTTTCCATTTAGCTATCGCCTCGCCCAGATTTTGGGAATTGTTGTAGGCCGTTGGCTTGGTGCTCTTCTTGGATACCAGCCATTCTACCCAAAGTGGACTACGAATTGGAGATTAGCGTGCGAGAAGATGGAGACATCGCTTCTTCTGAAACGAATATCTGGAAAGGAAAGACGAGAATAGTAATGCTTCTAGCTAAACCGGCTGAAGGAACGTCGCAACACAAGAAAGCATGCAGCGAAAGTCGGGTGCTATTCCGGCGCTGGAGTCATTGTTCAGACCTTTCATCCTCAGCTGATATCAGCGGAAACCTGAAATTTAAATTTTCAAAGCTGTACTGCCCGTGGTGACTTTCGTCCAATCGAGGGTCTTGGCCCATAGCTTCTCCTGTTCCCCCTCGTCTAGACTCTCGGGGGAGCTCTTCTCCTTTTTCAAGTGAGTAAAAAAGCCTCGCTCGCCGGGGTGAGCTATTCCCAGTGCGAGCTTCATTACGTCCTCGCCGGCCGAACGTGAAGTCCGCATCGTCGGGTCAGAAAGCAGACGCAGAACAGGCATGAAGGGTTGAATCACGAAGCGCTGGGCCACTTTCAAAACCCCTGGCGTGTTGGTGCGCAAGGCGCGGGAATCAGAAAGGTTACCAGGGTTGATGGCGACAGCAGTGATATGGCTGAGGGCCGGATCCTGGGAAGCCAAGATAGTGTCAGAACAACGATTGATATGGATGGGAATGGGGCGCGGAGACCTACTTTCAGCAGATGTCGATTCAGAGAATACGTCCAAGAGGTGATGGCAAGTTTGGAGTTTGCATACCTCTGGAAGCAGAGGGCGGCCTTTTTGTCCGCGGGATCCGGGGGTGGCTTGACCAGACGCTCAAGGTCTGAAGGGATCTCTGGTGGAATCTTCTCCAATGAGTTCTTGCCTGGCCAGTGGGCGTCGCTAGAAAACAGCACAACGCGGCCACCAGGTCCAAAGTGGCCCAGAAGCCTCAGGACTAGGCTGGCGTGGGCGACATGGTTCACTTGGAAGGTCTTCTCGTAACCATCGTCGGTAAAATCGGGGCCTTCAACGAGGTTCCAGTAGAAGGCATTACAAACGATTGCCTTGAGAGGGGGATATTGAGTGTTGGTGATGCCTTTGGCAATGTCATCGGCAAATCTCTGTACGGCAGCAAGATTGCCGAGGTCAAGCGCATGGATGGAAGTCTTGACGTTGGGGTATCGCGCGAGAATCTGACGTAGATGGACAGTGTTTGCATCGGAATTCGAAGGATCCCTGACGGTGAAGATGGCAGTGATGTCGGGGTTTTCTCGAAGGAGGAACTCAGCAGCTGGAATAGCCAGAGAGCCATTGGCTCCTGTGATAATGACAGTTCCCATTGCGGGCAAGAGATGGGATTTCTGGTAGAGAAGTTACGTCAATAAGGAGGAGAAATGTTTCGTGAGATATCCTTGATAAGTAGCAGGATGGTTTAGGTAGGTTGCCAGCTTCAGGGTTGAAGGGTTGAAGGAATTATAGCAGGTACCTAATACTTACATGTAAGGTATGTCAGAGACTACCTAGGTAGGTACCTAGGTAGTTGATATATACCCCCTAGGTATATATTAGCTAGGTACCTAGTGCTCACGACATATATTTATTGGTTACACGACGTACCTAGTATCAACCATAGGAGGTAGGCTGGGTAGGCTGGGTAGGTAGGTATTTCTCTTTGTCTTGTCAATGTGACAAGTTCTTTCTTCTTGCATATGCCGCCCCCTCCCTTCTCCCTTCTCCCTTCTGCCTTATGCCTTATGCCTTCTGTACCTCCTTCTGCCTTCCCTTTTCTCTCCTCCCTCTCTAATTAGACGTTGTACAGGCCCACATACCTATGTCACCTTTCATTAGGGACGACGCCCGGATCGACATCCTGCACGTCGCCTGGTTTGCCTTGTAATTGATGTAACCAACAGTGGTGACCGGCACTTCTCCTGATATGGAGTTATCAACCCGACATATCTACCGGCTGTTATGCTGCTGGTATTGCCTCCCACTTATTAATTTACAAAACACGGCCATTCTTGGTTTGACCACGGTTCACTTGGCCACCGCCCATTCTGTCCCGCCCGACAATAAGTCAGCCGCGCGAAACAACATGGACGCCCGCTTCGACGCATTTTGTTCCAGCCTAGCCTTGTCGGCCCCACAGGTTCAGTGTCTCAAAGATGAAATTGCCGAGTCTGCAATCGGGTCACACTCGGACGGGTCCGGTCTGGAGCAGGCCTGCCGCGCTGCCGAGATAGCCCTAGGCCATGACCGCGTCGACACCTCGCCCTTGAACAATACCGTGGTTCACGAGAACTGGTATATATATCCATCATCATATTTTAGATCATTATCGATTAACCATTAAAAACAGGTCCCAAGCATGCGTTGCCAGCCCCTATTGTATCATCCAACCGGCAAACGCCGCCGACGTATCAAAAGCCCTCAAAATTTTCCGGCACTTTGACATCAACTTCGCCGTCCGCAGCGGGGGCCACTCGCCTAACCCAGGCGCGTCCAGTATCGATGCAAACGGCATCTTGCTGGACCTGCAGCATATGAATGCCATCAGTCTGAGCCAGGACAAAAGTATCGCCAGCCTTGGGCCCGGGGGTCGGTGGGGTGATGTCATGGAAACTCTCACTCCTCAAGGAGTTGATGTCGTGGGAGGCCGGATTCCTGTTGTGGGTGTTTCGGGGCTGATACTGGGTGGTAAGTGGCGAACCTTCTTAACTTCTTGGTAGCTAAACATCTGTAGGCGGCCTACATCATCTCATGGCGGAGCTGGGAACCGCAGCAGACAACGTTGACAGCTTCGAGGTGAGAGCTTGCAAAGAAGAAGGTCCAGGCCTCGTCATTTTCCATTCGTATTGACTCTGCTATAGGTTGTTTTAGCTGATGGCACTGTGGTCAATGCCAACACAAAGGAAAACAACGACTTGTTCTGGGCCCTCAAGGGAGGCGGGCCAAACTTTGGCGTCGTAACACGATTCGATGTCTATACAATTCCAGCTCGAAAGATATGGTACGAAATAAGAGTCTACTCGGTAGATGATCTTGCTACTGTCTTGGGTACGTCAAAGCATCCATATCACACCCGGGTCCGTTTACTAATTTGCTGCGATAGATGCCCACGTCACCTGGCAGAATAGTGGCGCAAGTGACATCAAGTCCACCGCAAGCCTGATTATGACTCCCGATGCCATCACCGTCATCCTCCAGTACTCGGCACCTGTCGAAAGACCGGAAGCTTTCGCTCCATTCTACAACTTGGAGCCGCTCCAGATCGCTGTGCCGTCGACCATTGGAACGTTTCAGTCATTGGCCACAATCCTCGGGAGTGTGTCCTCCAACCAACCCATGCGGTAAGAGCCCAGCCTGTCCCTGTAGCCATGGATTACTCACATATCGCACATAGGCATGACTACCGTGCAACTAGTTCACGCATTGACGCACGGTTGTACGAGGACGTGTACAGATTTTGGCAAACTAGGGCACTAGCGGTGCGAGATGAGACGGGGGCAAATCAGACCTTCGTCATCCAGCCAGTCATCCCCAATGTGGCTAAGCAGGGGGTGGCCAGGGGAGGTAACTCTATGGGTATCCCAACGGAGAATCATATCTGTGAGTTCCAATACCTTTCCGATCAGGTTTGCCCCTCGACAACGCTAACGAAGCTGGATGTGCCTAAAGGGTGGACAACACTTGTTGACTGGACTGACCCCAAAGACGACGAAAAGGTGCGTTCGGTCTCTATCGAGACCACAGAGCAGTGGAAAAAGCTTGGACAGGAGCGCGGCTTGCATATACCGTTCCTGTACATGAACGATGCCTCGCGGGATCAGAACCCGCTCGCTACCTATGGGGCCGAGAACATTGCGAGATTGAAGGAGATCTCGCTCAAGTATGACCCCACGCAGCTCTTCCAGAAACGCCAGAATGGCGGTTTCCTTTTGTCCAGAATCTAGTGTAGCCCCTTAATCTGGCGAAACTGCCAGGTTTTAGAGATTTTTATTTTTGTTTATATATGACTGTTGCCATCGAGCCATTATGAGAATCTGAGGTCAGACCGCGTTATACCTCAGAGTTCATCTCATCCTATAACCCCCCAGTACTAACGACTTCCAGGGTCCGTATTGCTTATCCCAGCATGGGTCGCCGGTCGTATTTCTGCGATCCTCGACGCGGCCAGCGCTGGCAATTTCCATCATTGTATCCAGTCCACGACAAAAGAAGTCTGGAGATACTGGAAGCAAGAGGATGTCGTTGACCCCGAACGCTGTCGGTTCTTCCTAGTGTACAGCAGTCTCCGAAGGTTGTTGACGGGGAAGTGGTTTATCTTCATCCCTGTCCATGATAAATTTAAGTGAGTCTCGGCTTTCTCAATGGACTTTTGGAACACAATTTCCAAATCGTTTGGCCTAGTCTCTTCGATGAATCATGGTATGGTAGGCGTGGCAGAGGAAGCAGAGAGCCTAATACAAGGCATATTCTTAATGGGAGGCTGGGGATGATACTGAGGATGACACTAGTTCTGCAGTCCGGGTTGTGGTCCATAACATAAACAACGTTTAGCCTGGCAAGCATAAGAGTTAGTGAAGCCATAGTGAGCGCAAGCTCAATGTTAAGAAAGTGAGAGGCCCGTCGGCACTGTGCCAGTCACCATTATCGCATTACATGTCTTTATCGACAACTCCAGTCAGCTGATGTATTTTTTTTTTCCGCTGGTGGTCTGGCTTTGTATGGTATTCCTCTGGGTTCAGTCATCTGCATATGTCCCCCGCAAGTCACCACACTCAAGAGTCTGTTTGACACTAGTTATGCGATTGGCGGAAATGCGCAAACGCCTTTGGGTCGTGTGCTCCGTGCTATACATGCGCTTCTAGTAGATTGTGTCGACGACATTACTGGGCCAGCCCTGTGGGCTGAGGGTGTCATAGGGCTGAAAACCACGGCGTGTTTAAACTACCGCTACATTACCGTCGCAGCTGGGAAGGTCCATTTGGGGAAGTCGATATGTGACCGTTTTGCCTGTCCTTGCAAAGAAGCATCTGCACCTTCTCTTGACTTTCGACAAAAAAGGCTGGATGGGTTCATGTGCGTGTGTGTAATCTTTCCCAGCTGTATCGTGATTGTGTTGCGCTACGAAGTACTGTTAGATGGAAGTGACGGTACTTTGGGGGACTCGGCCGAGGATATACTGATTTTTGATACGGTTTACACAGGCGCTAATTGGTATTGGAACGTCCTGAAGGCTGACAGGGATATAAACAGACAAGCTAAACCAATATATAAATGTCAATAACCACGTTGTGTTTTTCTATCCCTTTAAGCGTGTATCTGCTATTGTCGTGCTGCGCGTCGTGCTCGGGGCTCTCGTGTTCATCGTCGAGGAAGACGCGAGCAGCGACGTATTTGGTAGAGATCGCACAGATCTAGCCGACCGTGTAGGTCTTGTTAGCCGACTATTGTTTCGTTCCATCTTCGTCTCGCTGAACTCTGGCGGCCTATCGGCCTGTGGCCATCTTCACGTTGTTTCAGCTCCTCTAACCACGATACCAAACGGCCCCTTACGGCTCGTGGCTATTGGCTGGTAGCTAGAGAGGTGGCTTTCGAAGCAAGGTGTGCGGTACGTATTTTTTCGAAAAAGCTGTATGTACTACCTATGTAAAAATTGGGGAAAATCTCTTAAACCCACAACCTTGGGGATATATCCAATGAAACATTACTTCCTCAACAATATAGGTAGGTAGGTATGTACTGAAGTGTGGGTAATTTGATGTTGTATCCGTGAACGTTTTCCAATAAGTGGACTCCTCCCACCAAAACTCAGTAATACTACCCGTTGCTTACGTAACCCACTACAATACCTGAATACCTACCTAAGGTACCTAACCTAAGGTAACCAGGTAGGTACTTACGGTGGGCCATATACCCCAAACCGCTAAACCGCCAAAAAGTATATGACATAATCTAAGATTGGATGACATAATCATAAAATAGGTAAATTTTCGTTAAACCTTTATTAAACCGCCGTTAAGCCGCCGTTAAGCCGCTGTTAAACCCCCGTTTAATTTTTTTAATTTTTTTAAAAAAAAATTAAAAAATTAAACAAAGGCTAAACGGAGGCCTTATGATTATGTCATTCAATTTTTGGCGGTTTGGCGGTTTAATGGCATATGGTCCGCCGTCGTACTTAGGAAGTAGGTACGTACGTACGTAATAAAAATGTTAGTGCGATGCTCAACGCTAGTGTTAAACTCTTAACCCATTAAACTACCTAAATGCAGGTGACCTTCTCCGTATGTGCTTACTTACATACATTTTTTCACTTAAGCCCATTTTACTACCTAAGGGACCTAACATTTTTACCTAGCCTTAAACATCTTCATCCACTCCCCGTCCAACTCCATCTTCGGTCCCCTCTTTCGACTCCGAGAAAGGCAAGAGACGAGTTCTAGGTCATCCAGCCATAGGAGGACCCCCGGGAGGGTCCCTGTCTACATTTAGTTACTAACCCGTCTCCGGAACCTGGGGAGCGTCTCGTCTAGGTATTAATTCCAACCACTCCTCTCGACTCGAGAGTCTCTGTCTCTCTCTCTCCCTCTCCGCAGTCTTGCAATTTCGTAACCGTTCCTGGTATCTGGCATCGGGCTTGTCCGTTCCGGCTCGATTCAAATGCCATATGCTATGTGCCATGTTTCGTACCCGTAATCACTCCTGATACTCTTAATGCTCCTGATGGACTCGCCCACCGCTATTAGGTACTAGCATTCCGGCCAACTAAGGACAACTAACAACTTGACAACTCGCTTCTCTTTGTCACCGTCAACTTGTTCCCAAGTTCTTTCCTCGCCTATGTACCTTTCTTTACGGTACGGTACAATCATTTATCAATCCAAACGAGTCGAGGTCACTGCGGAAGCTCGGACTCTTTAAAAACTGACTCGGTACAATACGACATACGACCCGCATAAGATTCAATTTAATTCCTCGTCTCTAGACTCCAGGTACCCTGCCATTGTTCCACAACAACAATCACTTCTTCGAACTGGCGGTCGCATACAAACCCCATATCAACCCAGCCCTTCCTCTCCCTTTCTAAGAAATTCTTGATTGTTTGGTCTACTCTGTCTACCTCCCACCTGAGACCTACATTCCAGAGTCGCACGTCGGACGCAATACCGATCCTCCTTTCCTACTGACCTTCAACGCGTCGGCCGTCTATCTCGACAACCCACCCCTGGCCACTTGTATTGGCCACACCGCTTCATACCTATGAAAACGAAGCGAGATAGACCGCTTGGGTTTTTTTTTGTCCTCGTTGGAAATGGAGCCCGTCCCTGAGACTGAGAGAATGGAGGAATTCCGCTCTTCTCCTTTGCCTACTCTGCGTCTTCAACCAGCTGCCATCATCACGAATGATCCAGATCCTGGTCGCAAGCCTTACCCCCTTCGCAGAGCAACTGACCCCCCATCTCCAAGCTCGCCATCTTGGTCAATGGCGGCCTCTCTTCCGTATCGACCTCGAACTACATCCCCTTTGACTGGTACGCACACCCGATCTAAGTCAATGGCCAGTCTCGCACCACCTACCATTGGTCGTACACGATCTATGCCGGGTGTTGATGGTTCGGGTCGTATTATTTACCCGCCGACGCTCCGCCCGGCCAGTCCCCTAAGTTCTCCCAACAGAGTTCGGGCACCTCGAAAGCCAGTCGATGAAGCATATCCACCGACTTCTCCTATTCGGTCTTCCGTCCTGGATGGTGAGAGGCATCACACTGAGTTAGGCGGTTCTCCCAGCTCTAGCACTCCAAATCTAGGTAATTTAGCTCACCGGCGAACATCTTCACCTCTACGCCTTACGAGCTATTCGTCAAGCACCCCTTCCCTCCCTGGAACTCCGTCGGCTACAGCAGGCTCGCCTTCATTCCGGTCCGAGGGTTTGTCTTATGCTTACACCTTTCCTTCATACTACCCGTCATCATCAGTCCCCTCGACACCGACATCTATGAGGTCCCGCAGTCCAAGTATTTCAAGCCTGGAGACCATTCCCGATTCTCCAGATGCTGAGGAGGCTGCCCTAGAGGCCGAAAGAATCGCCCAGTTGAAGGCTGCTGCGGAGGCCGACGAAGAAGGAGAGTCTGGAGAGGCAAAGGGTCGTGACGCGCCATCGCGTGGAAGATCTATAGTCCTTGGGACAAGAGACAAACGTAAACGCTGGAGTGTCTGTGGCGCTGAGCGACGCGGCGATCTTGATTTGGAGACAATCTGGGAAGACTGAGAATTCCGCATTGGAAGGAATACGAATGAATGACCTTGTTGCATGGCACCACAGCCCAGGTGGTGGGTCCTAAGTCGTTTTGCAAAGCATATTTGATTTTTTCTGGTCAGGATGGAACAGTAAGGCGTTCTGCAAAGGTTGCTTGATACCCTGTTGCGTTGCATTTCATGAGATACATCATCACGAAGGTGGGCAAGCATCGATCACACTACGTAGCCCCAATATCAGCATTCCGAGGCTGAGAAGCTTTATATAAGCTGACCTTGCTTCGTCTACCTTGCCGAGCTTTACGTCACGTTGTTTTTTGTTTTTTTCCGCCAGAGATCGTCTTCGTTGTTGCGTTGTCCGCATGATTTGCAACCTCTGTTTCAACACACATACAAAAATCTACCTACTCAGCTATCATAGTGTTTGCTTCATAGGAACAAACACGACAGTTAGAACTTCGTAGTTCGGTAGTCCAGTAGGTAGGCAATGCAATATGTTATAAGCCCACGAGTTGATCAATAAATAATGCACAGTTCCATACAGGTATTCGGTACGTCTCGGCATACAATAATAAGGGGGGTTTAGGGGGTAATACTTATACTTATATTAGTATTACCTCTGACAACAGCCTCGATATATTGATAGTCTGCAGTCATAGGTAATCATATCCAAAATTCATTCAACGGTATACCAAGTACCCGCTTCAGTTCCACAGTAAAAAGGAACCAATTTGTTTACATCGTTTGCACGTTCTGTGAGTGATCTCGGTAAGTATTACTTGCTCGTGATGGAGGTTGAGGTCAAAGCACACAGTTTGCTCTTGGCATTGGTGAAACCAACTTACTTCATGTACCTATCAAGGAAACAACTTATATAATATTCCGTATATTTGACTACACGTTACGTCGGACGAATAATCTTCTAGACTATAGTCGTATGAATCTCACTCGTGAAAATAAAGCCGAGAGAGTAATTACCTCCTATAGTTATACCTTGAAAAACAGGAGATGCTAAATAGTTCTCATCTCTACTACTATTTTCCATAGTGAACGCCTATATTATGCTAGTTATATGTTTATGTATATTTTTTTAATCTTTCTTTTTTTCCCACTACGCGTGCAAACATGCGAAAACGTCTTCAGAGGGAGGTGGGAGCCTGGAATATACACAACAAGGTCGATCCGAACAACCCTACTGAAAAAAAATGAGAAAAACAAAAGAAATAGCCTTTAGGATATATGATATATATGTTGTTGTTCTTGTCTCCAGCAGTCAGTTCCACCCAACCCAACCCAATCCTAAATTCCTCATGGATTCACTCACGCCTTCTCCATCAAAATCCGAACGAATGGTGAGAATTCAAACGATCCGAGTCTCCTACTCTGATCTCCGAATTCGCTTTGGTTTAGTTTTAGTTTTACTTTGTTGAGCAATATGTTTTTTTTTTTTCGTGAGTTACTTCTCGCCTTCCCTCGCCTTCCCTTCCCCTTCCCCATCCCACTCTACAATTCGAGGACCAGCGTCTCGGAAACGCTGACCACACCGTCTCCCCAGATGCCGACGACGGCCATGGCGAAGCCGACGCCCGCGAGCGCGGTCTGCACCAGCTGGTTGCGGGCGAAGTACTCGGCCTCGCGGCGGACGTCCTCGCCGTTGACCTCGTGCTCGTGCTCGTCGTCGAGCTCCTCGCCGCTCACGGTCCCGTCGCTATGCGAGCCGGAGCCGCCGAGATCCTCGTACGAAGCCTCCATGCCGCGGCGTGCCGCGGCCTTCCTGTCCCTGCGAGCCTGTCGGCGCTGCGCAGCGGCAGCAGACGCGGACGCGGACGAGCCGCCGCTGCTGGATACCGGGGGGGCGCCGAACAGAGACGGGGTGACGTAGTCGGACAGGCGGGTGCCGAGGCAGAAGACGGAGGTGTACAGCAGGTAGGGGTGTCGGAAGCCGCGGGGAGACAGGGCGAAGGCGAGCAGGAAGGCGGAGCCCGACAGGCCGGCGAGGGAGGTCAGGTGCGTGGAGGCGGCGGAGGCGAGGGTGCGCAGGGCCTTGGAGGCGGAGGCGGCGGAGGGGAGCTCGAGGAGGGAGGGGAGCGCGAGGGCCGAGAGGGTGTAGGAAGTTCCCTGGTATTGTGTTTGTGTTAGAGTTAGGTCAGGTTAGGTATGTCAAGCATGGTTGATATATGAGAGAGCTATAATGTTTTTTTATGTGACATATGATATGAGGGTATGTACGTGTTGCGTATGTCGTTGCGTGAGGCGGCTTCATGGCGGGGGTAGGTATGAGCTGGAGGGGCAAATTCCAATAAAAGCGACTTACGGTTAAGAGACCCAGAGAGACGGTCCCCACGAATTTGAGGGCCGACACCTTTCTTGATGCCATGGCTTCTCTATCTCGAAAATATAGAAGACCAGACCGGAGCAGGAATTTTGATGAATGGTGATGATGATGGAAATTGGAGGGAGATAAAAGATAAAGGTGCGAAAAGAGGTTTTGGTTCAAAAGGTGGGTTTTTTTCCAATGGGTTTACCTAATGCCGGAGCTTGTTGCCTTACGGCCTGGCTCGGTTTAGTGATTGATAGGTAATTAGGCGTCGTTATACCTGTATTGTACACTAATACGTAGCATCCGGTTGGACTTTAAAGCCTCAGAAAGTTACAGTCATGCCGTAATGTGGGCAAAATGGGCAAATACATAGTAATGATGGTGTACAAGATACAATGAATGGGTGAATCAAGAATGGAATGTACGTAATTGGTCTGAGCTTCTCAAGACGGGGCCCGGGGGTCTAACGGATTGCGGGGGCAGTAAACTCTAAAACCGAAAATAGATATATCGGTGACTTTATTATGCACGTATCCGTATGGCTGTGGGATCCTTCCCATGTACCTACCTAGGTGGTACCTAACTTAAGGTAAGCTTACAGGGTACAAGTCCGAAGTCCCAGTTAATCCCAACCCCAAGCCGAGGCAACTTCGTGCCTTTGTTACACCCTTGGCTTTTACATTGCATTACATTGTCCATCACATATATGACTGGGTACAGACTGGGCTTCCTACGGACCTATCTAGGGTTGTATTTAATCGTCGAGATGTATTATAAATTAATAGCTACCTACCTAACCTAACCTAAAAGTACTATTCTCTTTTCAACTTCATTTTGATTTACCTTTTATTACCTTCGTTACTCCATTCGTTCACCTCATCGCAGCATAAGGTTACCGTCGTTACATAAAGGGAGTAGGTATCCTCAACATCGAAGACAACATCAGAGACACTGCACTGCACTGCACTGCATAACACCGAAAGCATTCGCGATGCCTGTTCCACCGTCTCAGTACCTCAGCAACGTGTGGAAAGAGGGAATATTCGGTTGGTTCCGTATCACTTTTGTTCAATAACTGGCCATGTAGACGGGCTAATTTATATCCTTCTAGATGGCCGCGTCGTGTTCGTGACCGGCGGTGCTGGTACCATCTGCAGTGCCCAGACGCGAGCTCTAGTGTATCTCGGAGCTAACGCGTGCATTATCGGCCGTAACCAGCAGAAGACGGAAGCCGTCGCTAACGACATCGCTACCGCGCGGAAGGGCGCAAAGGTTATCGGCATTGGTGGATGCGACGTCAGGAACGTAAGTACCTATACCTATACCTAATTATTCATAAAACCCGTCAACAGCAAATTCCCGTGTGTTGTAGTAGCAGTAGTAATCATTATATTGACAACGAAAATAGCCCGAAAACCTGGTCAAGGCTGCCGAAAGATGTGTGAAGGAACTCGGTGCTATTGACTTTGTCATGTAAGAAAGAGCCTTTCGGTAAAAGCTCACGTTAAGTTGTTTTTTTACTAAAACTGAAACTAACACCGCTTCTTCTCAGAGCCGGTGCAGCGGGAAACTTTGTGTCTCCTATTTCGGGCCTCTCATCCAACGGTTTCAAGACCGTCATGGATATCGACGTCCTGGGGACGTACAACACCGTCAAGGCCACCATCCCCTACCTTGTCGAATCCGCTGCCAGGAACAAGTCCAACGAGAACGGATTGACCGGCGGAAGGATCATCTACGTCTCGGCCACCTTCCATTACACGGGCATGCCCATGCAAGCCCACGTGATGGCCGCCAAAGCTTCCGTCGACTCCATCATGGCGTCCGTGGCCATCGAGTACGGCCCCTACGGCGTGACCTCCAACGTCATCGCCCCCGGCGGCATCGACGGGACCGAGGGGATGTTGAGGCTCGCGGGTAAGGCCGCCGAGGGGAAGAACGCCGCAGCAGGTATTCCGCTGGGCCGGTGGGGCTCGATCAAGGATATCGCCGACGCCACCGTCTACCTCTTCAGCGACGCGGGTAATTACGTGACCGGAGAAGTCCTCGTCGTAGACGGCGGCGATTGGAGGAACGGGGGCATGGGCGTCGGTCTCGATTCCGGCATGAAATACCCGGACTTCCTACTGACGGGCGAGTTTTCGAAGCATGTCAAAAGCGGGAGGAAGGATAAGTCTAAGCTCTGAACAGTTGGAACTTGTTTGGTTTTCGGGTTTTCAGCGGAAATAAGCGTTCTCGGTACATTCAACTCTAAAAGGGAATTTGTCTATATCATACGTGAATAGCTCTGAGGGTTGAGCCATAAGACTCGAAGAAAGTAGTATTTCTACGAGGTTTCCTTACGTCTTTATTGAGGGGCGCGCTAGGCACGGCATATTGTATTTATGGTGCCTGTTTAATAAGTGCAAAGTGAGCGTTATAAATTGTATTAAGCAAGTCTCAAGCACGGATCTTATTAAGTTTCTAGATTGAAATTTATCAAGTAAGCTGGAAATTGGAATGTCTCTTAAAGAAGGTAAAGTATTCCAATGACTAAATGTACTGATTTCTAGAATGTGATTAAGCTATTCAAAGAGAATCAGGTGTTTCGTATGGGTTGTGTGTAGTAAATTTAGACAATAGATGTGGGTTGGCTGTTATTAAGTAAGACTTGATCAATTAATTAAATCAGTGCGAAATTTTAGTATGACATGAAGTTATTCAAAGAATTGATATGTTAATGGTGCATTAAATACCGAGAGTCTTTTAGCATTCCCCTTTGATTGACACGAAGAGGTTGGAAGGCAAGGGGGTTTGATTTAAGATTTAAGTAGTTAAGTTACATGAAAGTAACGTTAGTTTATAATCAATTCACAATGGCAAAGGGACTCATATGCACGTTTCATAGTAGTATTCACATTCCAAGATCGGGCATAGAGGTTTAAAAGAGTTGGATTATGATAAACTACCTCCTATAGCATCAGGTAAGTAATGAAGATAATAGTAGGAATATCTGCATTTATTACGGGAGTGTAATATTAAGAGTATATAACACGTCGTTTCTTAGATCATGTAAAGATAGACTAGCTAACATGCTCAAGAGTTAATACTTAGCAGCTAACTTGCTGTTAATTAAAACGCAATTTGGCGCAATTATATCCTTTAGCGGCAGAATTAGTTGCTGTATTACCTTTGTTAGGAGAATGGCACTATAGATTACTCTTTGAGGAACTAAGTAAACCTCAGGTTGAAGTCTTTCTAGCTATGGCATGCTTACATTATACGAGGCAGTAAAGGTTAGCTAGGAAGGGTCTTCATTCGCATGTGATCGTATATCTTCAACTACATGCCGGTATGTACCTAAGGTAATTGATTTGTTAACGAGTGTCACTTGGCGTGGCCGAACGGCATGTAAACAATGAATCTGTTAAGGGACTTCCTTTGTCCTAAAAGTCCCATCTGTATTTTCCCTCATCTGGCTGGGTATACCCTGACATAAGCAAAACCCCTGGGTCATGGGATATTGTCTCGGAGCTTCTGATCTTCCAGAGATGTACGAGTAGGCGACTCCTGTTGGTGTTATTATCTCCTTGTCCTATCCCCAAGACCCACGTTTAACGTGTATAAGACACGTACATATACGACACGCATTATGACTCTTTCCACATCACCTTCAACGTCCGACTCAACTCCATCGGTGACATTACTCCCACTGGCCGTCTAAAAGTGCTACCTAAGATATTTATGAGTCAATGGAATCGGGTACTGACCGGAGAACTCTATGGTATTATGAAGTCAGCCTTATATATTGTCCTATAGGTCGTAGAAGTAAGCCACGAAGAGTAAAGAAGCCCATTTCGGCGACAACTTCCATCCTAGCGTGTTAGCGCCACTTCCAATACCGTTGGTATCGGTAGAGTCAGGTTGTTGAACCACGGTTGAATCCCCCGGCGCGAACAGAATACCGACGCTATTAGCAGACTCGGCATCAATTTCCTCTGGTGTCAGCAAAGGATTATTGACCAGGTCACACGGCGGATTGTCGCCGGTGAATTCGATTTTATTGGTGACCGAGATTGGCACGTCGAAGATCGTGTAGTGATCCTCCCCGTTGAGACGGAAGTTTTGACGGATGGATATCTAGAGAATGGCGTTAAGTCCTCTAATAATTTTATAAACTCTTGACAGAGATAGAGCTTGGGAGACTTGATGTAGGTAGACACTTACGTTATATGCCCCGCGGTCGCTGTCTGCAGTGTCTGGCTGCCCGTCACCGATGAGACAATCTGGCCAATGCCACTTGACGTGCTTTACGGTGCTTCCCGGTTCGGACTCCATAATGTCGCCCAGGCTTATGTCGTTTATCGACGCCGTCCCGTTAGTTATCGTGAAGTTCCTTCCCGTGTTATAGCTGTACAGGAAGATGGTGATGTTATTGATCCGACTAGGACTATCATCGCTATAAGGAGGGAGCTGTAATTTGCCATTGGCAGTTACGTCGAGAGCTACCTCAATAGTATCTAGTTACGCACAGTATATTAGATTTATAAACTAGGTGGTGTCTGATATAGAGTAGGTAGTTAGGTAAATATACCTCCGCCTAATGGAGTGCCTGGTTGAGGCGCATCGAGGACTGCAAAACCAGGCGTAAATATCTGTCCGCCGGAAATGGTGAAGTCAACAGCTCGGACTCTAGAGGTGAGTGCTGCGCCAAGGTTGACGAGATATAGTGATTTCTTCATTTAGGCTAGTTGTATATCCCCCAGAGTCGCACTTATATACTGTAGAAGGAGAAAGGAATTCAAGGCGTATTATAGATAGATTATAATATAAGGTGGGGTTACAAACTACCTAATGTAGGTAGCATTTTCGTCATGAATAGGTACTGAAGGAATTAGGGAAAAGGGGGATGAGCGTCTTATGACTGATATATAGATCTATACATGTCAGAGATCTGGACAGTAGCCCCCTGTCCTCGGAAGACGGAAGCTGTAAGAGCTTTTGATGCAGCTAAATGCTCTAAAATTTCCCAAGATACAAGATATCAACTTAGTTAAATGATTGAAGACTCCTGGATCAGGTCAATCATTTAACATATGGATCTTTTGCTATTCACTTAACCTATTCGGTCCCCTAATTAGATCCTTTCCGAGGTATTGAGCCGCAAGTACTCTTTTTTCCTTTTATCTCTACGTATTTCTTGTTGACGGCAATGTTACCCGCGTTGCCGAACATGCTGGGGCTGAAGGTGGAAGTTTTAAATTGACGATGAAGCTTGTGATGGACCCCCTGCAGTTTCAGATGGAATTATAACTGCGCACAAACCACATATTATAGAGAGTGTGGTATATTACTTAAGCAGGATTAAGGTACATAGAGCTTTGGAAGACTTGCATCGGACCTTTTAGCGGATAATTGCATACTTATTTATCTATGGATTACGACATATCGCATAGTGGAGCTTTGCTTTCTCGAACTTGGCCTACCACATGCACCTTGACGTTAAAGGGCGCGCATTATTTTCACAAGACGTCCGATTCGGTATCAGATAACTACCTGATAATGTCTTATACACGACGAATCGAGTATAAGTAGTATGAATATAATTTTTTCCCCGGAGCTGTTTGAGAATTCCAAGATCGTCACTAAAAGTCGAATCTCATAACAATATCACGATGAGCTTACTACGCCGGCCGTGGCTATTAGCCAGGGGCCATTGCAACTATACCAATCAATGGGCTTCATTTACCCATACTCATCGAAGACCGTTTTCAAGCTCGAAGAAACTCGGGCAAATATCAGCCCTGAAGGACCTCCTCAGAGTGTCTGAGGAGGTGACTGATGCATTGGCTACGAATAAGCCCGTGGTAGCCCTGGAATCGACTATATATACCCATGGCGCTCTAGGCGATGACTTGGACTTAGAGGGTATTGTTCGACGTAATGGGGGTATACCTGCTGTGGTTGGTATCCTTGAAGGTGTGCCTACAGTTGGCCTCCTACCCCACGAGATAGCTCGTATCGTCGAGGGGTCGCCAAAGAAGGTATCGCGACGGGATATTGCCTACCTGGTAGGCATGGTACGTGTTTTTTTCTTGTGGACCTTGTGTTTATAACCTTTTACGCTTAGTTCTGAGTTTCCTCGTGTATAGGGCATTGCCGGCAATAAGATCAATGGAGGAACGACTATTGCTGGTACCATGATTCTGGCAAGGCTCGCTGGCATTCGAGTCTTTGGGACCGGTGGCCTTGGTGGCGTGCACCGCGGGGGACATGTATCATTTGATATCTCTGCTGATCTCACCGAGCTTGGCAGAACGAGGATGGCCGTCATTAGCAGTGGTTGCAAAGGATTCCTAGATATTCCTAGGACTCTGGAGTACCTCGAAACTCAGGGCGTGCTTGTTTCAACATTCTCAGACGGTCGAAACGGCGCGGTGGACTTCCCGGCATTCTGGGCGAGAGATAGTGGTATCAAAAGCCCATTTGTTGTGCAGGATGAGAAACAGGCAGCAGCCATGATCTTAGCACAAGAGAAACTAGGAATCGAGTCGGGATTACTTTTTGCTAATCCGATACCTGAAGAATTTTCTATCCCTCGGGATGAGATGAACGCGGTTATTGAACAGGCAGTCGACGAATCGACAAAGCAGGGCGCTCTCGGCAATGAAAATACCCCCTTCATTCTAAAGAGGATCAGAGAACTTACTGGCGAAAGAAGCGTTTTAGCGAATAAAGTCTTGGTGCGGAAAAATGTAGAGCGCGCTACCAAGATTGCTACCGAGCTTTCGCAGCTAAGCGCGGATGGAACGGCTTCGTCTAACAAATCGTGAGGGTCGAGTTCTTGGTAGTTATGGCGTCCGGGTCTGACACATGGGTTCGAATAGGAAAAAGAATCAAAACGAGTTTACTTCCTTTAGAAAGGAGAGCGATGACAGTAGCAGAACGCAAACAAAAGTGGAGGTAAGAATGCCTATATTGTATTTACTGCTCTTGTTGCATCATCGTAATGCTTACCTGCTGTCGCGTTTTGTTTTCTCATCTGGATAAAAAGTCGCTACGACGTCCTTGAGTTATACTAACAATAATAGGTGAACTCTCAAGCCGATATATTAGTTGCCGGCTCCGTGGCAGTAGACTTAAGCTGTGACTATGTTGGAGAAGACTCGTTGGAGCATCCTGCTCCTCACTTACACACGTCAAACCCAGCTCGCATCGGCCAATCCATCGGCGGTGTTGGTCATAACGTAGCCCTTGCGGCTCATAGGGTTTTACAAGGTTCTAATGTGAGACTTTGTAGTTTAATTGGTAATGATTTGTGAGTGAAAAAGCTCGACGTTGGGCGACTAGCAACTGATAATCACAGGGCCGGGTCAACCATATTATCATCTCTGAAAGCAAGCGGTATGGATACGTCTTGCATCAAGCAACTCAGTCGCGAGCATTACCCAGCTAGTCGAACTGCTCAGTACGTAGCTGTCAATGATGCTAACAAGAACTTGGTTCTCGGCATGGCGGATATGGGCATTTTCACAGCCCAGTCATTTTCGGAATCCTGGAATTCCACGGTAAAAGAAGCCAAACCCAAGTGGCTTGTAGTTGACGGGAATTGGGCCGCGCATGATATTCGGTCTTGGATACAAGCCGGCAAACAGAACCAGGCTCGTGTGATATTCGAACCTGTATCACAGGAGAAATCTACGAGGCTGTTCTCGGGAGAAAAGAACCTTGAGAATTTGGGTATTTTCCCGAACCCAAGCGTTGATTTAATCACTCCCAACCAATATGAATTAGCAGCTATGCACGCAGCTGCGCAGCGCCACGAATACTTTGACGACCCACGATGGTGGGAAACAATCGACGCTTTCAGCATGAGAGGAGCTCGAGATCGCTTTGTTAAGATCACATCTGCTGACATGACGGATGCCGGTATTCCACAGCAAGTCATACAGCTTCTCCCGTACATCCCTACCATCGTAACAAAACTAGGGAGTTTTGGCGCCTTGTTGACCATGGTGCTCGGGAAGAATGACCCTCGCCTAGTACACCCGGCGCATGAACGGTTTATTCTCTCGAGGAATCTCAACGACCACCCGGAAATCGGAGGTGTCTACATGAGACTGTTCCCGGCGGCTGAAGAGGTGGATGACATCGTGTCTGTGAATGGGGTCGGCGACACATTCCTCGGAGTGTTGGTTGCGGGCTTAGCACTGGGCGGCAAGGTCGAGAACCTCATTAACGTGGCTCAAAAAGGGGCGATCTTAACACTTCGCAGCCCTCAGTCTGTAAGTGAGAATTTGGGGATAATAAGGGGGGAACTGATTGCTGCCGCCGCTTCTTGACTACGGTAACCTTTATCAAGTATTGATGAAAGGGGGCCGGGGGAGCCGGTTAGGTACATAGGTACATGCCGATTCTACAGGGTAGCATGTACCCTGTAGGTACCTACACGTAGTGTAACACTAGACGGTGGGGCCATCTGCAAGGCTAATTGTGAGCTCAAGAAAAAAAAAGTTTGGATTTTTGCTACAAAATTGATTTCTATCGCATACACCTTCGATAAGTGAATTGAGTCGCCAAATCACAATGTCTCGAAACCGCCCAATAGATAAAATGGAGGACGAACAATATGAATCGTCATCCGACCAAGAGCAGTCCAACTTCGATAGCGACGAAGAAATTGAACAGCAGACCCGAAAAGCGCAAGTCATCGATAAGGACTCGGACGAAGAGGAGCTCGAACGATTTGTTCTCGGAGATAGTGCCAATTTTCGCGAAAACTTGTTTTTGGATGAGTCGAGAATTGATGGTGCAGACGACCGGGTTGGTAGACTCGGTGATAAAGAAGGGAGTGACCTTGAGACAGGGTTAGAAGATGTAGATGATGCGGACCTCTTTACCTTTGACGTAGGAGGTGCTGCCCCCAGCGGCGACAAGGCCGCTGTGGTCTCATTAGCCCCGAAGCCCCAGGAAATACCCGAGAAGGACCGTCCGGCTTGGGAAGACAGCGACGACGAAAGGCTAACTGTCTCGCTGGCGGACGTATCCCAATTGCGAAAGCTACGGATCAGCGAAGCCGAGGACGTTATTAACGGCACTGAATATACGAGAAGACTGAGGCAACAATATCTTCGATTAAATCCTCTTCCCGCATGGGCGCGAGAGGCTGAAGAACGTCCGACAAAGCGTCGGCGACGATCATCTGCGGCAGCAAGTGACTCGAGCATATCCGACGACGAGGCGAATGAAGGGGACGATGAAGCCTCTGCACTACCCTTGGATAAGTTCCTTCGGGATGCCAGCGCATTGAAAGATAAAACGAGTCAGAGGATCAAGAGGCTTCGCCCAGAAGTTATTGACATTCAACGATCTCGAGATATACCCGACACGCACAAGGATGAAGTTACATCTCTTGCTTTCCACCCAAAATATCCCGTCCTATTGTCGTCTAGCACATCTTCTGTATTGTTCCTACATCACATCGCGCCAACTGCTCACCCAACTCCCAATCCTCTCTTGACATCAGTACAGGTCAAACAGGTGCCCGTTCGGAGAGCCGAGTTCTTGTACCCCGCTGGAGATAAAATTTTCTTTGCTGGACGGCGACGATATATCCACTCATGGGACTTACCTACTGGCACTATACAAAAAACCAATAAAGTACAGGGTCATCGGTTGGAACAAAGAACGTGGGAGCGTTTCAAGCTCAGCCCTTGTGGGCAATACTTGGCACTGATCGCTTCCACCCGGAAAGGTGGTGGTATCATCAATATTTTGAACGCCAATACTATGCAATGGATTGCTGCTGCTAGGCTTGACAGCAGAGGCGGCATTGCCGATTTCTCCTGGTGGAGTAACGGTCACGGGCTTACTATCTTGGGTAGGGGTGGTCAGGTTGGAGAGTGGAGTATGGCCACGAGGCGTTTCCTCGCCATCTGGAATGACGAAGGCTCCAACGGAGGAACGGTAATGGCGATGGGGGGCCGAGACGGTCCCATAACTCTCGGCGGGGACCGGTGGATAGCAATAGGATCCAACAGTGGCGTGATGAACATCTATGATCGACAGGCTTTGATATTACCCTCTTCGGACGAGGAGCTGGAAGTCAAAGAAAGACCCGAACCGACCCGAAGGTTCATGCAGCTGACGACGCCCGTCACTGTTCTCACGTTCAGCCCCGACGGCCAACTGCTGGCATTTGGCAGCAAGCACAAGAAGGATGCGCTGCGGCTGGCACATCTGCCAAGCTGCACGGTCTACAGGAACTGGCCGACGGAGCAGACACCCCTTGGTAGGATTTCGGATGTGGCATTTGGTAGACAGAGTGACTTGCTGGCTGTGGGCAACGACGCTGGGAAAATTAGATTATGGGAGATTCGAAGCTAGATTAGGGAATAGCAGGTTCTCTTGGCGAACAAAATTACGGGCAGTCCATATTTCACTCCATGCATTGTCTACATACTGTACTGTGCTATGCCCTCAGATCTGATTTGGTTTTTTTTTTTTTTGTTTTTTTTTTCGGAGAAAGTTCCTACAATGCCCTATGTTACCAACTTATTTGCGATGTCGACTATCTCAAGTGTTAATGCTGGCGAATAATATTCGGAGCGGACTGCCCTTTGGTATTAATCTCTTGGGGAAGAACTTTCTGGTTGAGAGGGTGTACCTGCCAAGCTGGCGTTGGTTGGCGAAGAAATACGGCTCGCCATCTGTCTTGACGGAGACGAGGAAGTCTATTATATTCACCCAGGTGTATTTGAGAGCCTAGAGGGACGAGAGGTTAGCAATAGTTTCTCAAGGCGTCATGTCGACAAGATTATTCCGTACGTACCTTTCGGCATTGAGTCTTGCTCGTAAATTCCTCCTCGAACCCCAGGAAACTCATCATGGTCTGCCAACCTTCGAATTCCCCCGATCCGAATAGCTCAACCCAGGCTATGAGATATTGCACCTGGTTCCCTGTGGCCCTAGCTGCTGGACTGTCGGTGGTTCTGGTGCTCCTCTTCGGTCCCATAGTTGGCAACTCTGACGAGGCGGCTCTCGAACCGTGGCGTGTCTCTTCGTCGGTATTTCTGGATATCGGCTGTCCCATTTGCTGTTGCTATAGGCGCCTTCCTTATCGATGGTTGCTACCGACTGACTAAAAGCTGCTGGCCAGAGAGCTTATAGCGGAGAAGCTGATAAATATGCTTCCTGGCCAGGAAGCGAGAACATCTTGCTTTTACGGTTTGCAAGCCTCTTTCATCTTGTTTGTCTGCAAGTTTTTTTTCCTTGATCTCATCTTCAAACGGAACCCGCCTGTAGGGACCCTTAAGGAAAGACAAGCTCTCCGTTCCTGTGTAGTCAGTTATCATTTTTGATGAAGATGGAATTTTTTCAGCTATTATGCATAAAAGGGGTGGAAAGGAAAGAGATGCAAAGCGAATTTAATTCAAGTATATTGTCCTGGCAATTATGATGGTGTATGTCTATCAATAGGAAATGTTATGTCATGTGAGACAATGGTAATGGCAGCCAACCCCTATGTTGACCTTGCTGGGGAGAAGGAGAGTTGACTCCTGAAAGCGGATAGTACTATACTGTCGAAATTCTGGAAACCTCTAGCTTTCATGCCACTTTTCGTACCATTTTCGGATGCAGAGAAGGCCCTGGAATGAGTAAGGAAGCATCATCGGTTTGGGACGTTTTATTGGAATTTAGGAATTCCTTTTGCGTCTCATACTTTACTCATACTTTACCCCGATACCTATCGTGCTATACATTTGAAATGATATTTAATTTACCCAAATAAAATATACTCTAAAGCTTACCTAAGGTCAGGTACACACGATGATTCAAAATTAATTAAGCTGAAGGAATATATGGTCAATAGTATTTTTATTTATTTATTTCCAGAACAGCTGATCGTTACGTTACGTACGATGTTAAATGAATGCAGCCCTGTCCCGCGATCCTGGTAGTTGGGTCCTTGCCGACCTCAGCGGGTACCTGGTCTAAAAGGGTACTCTCCACTGTATTATACCTTCCCCGTACATTTGACATGTCTTAGCACGTTTCTTAGCACGTTTCTTAGCACGTTTCTTAGCACCATAGGTTAAAAAACTACGGGTCCTTCAACTTTTCAACTTTCTTCGCAATTCGTCCGTCTTTCCCAAAAACCTCCGTTCTTTTGCGTCATTAAACGTTGTTAAATGTTGGGTCGAGAGGGTAAAGATACACCTGTCAACGCTTGTATGCTGGGTACTAATGCACGCAAGAAAGGCCCGGTAAATGCATACCTGCGAATCATAGAGCACAGAGACATCAAATCCATCAAATTCGCTCAGGATCGGGCGAATGGGAATCACACCACTATATTACTCTGCTCCGCCCCTGCTTCCAGCCCACTGTCGTATGGCTACCCGACGCTATCAGCTCTCTAGCTCTCTAGCTCTACGGGGACCGCCGCCTTACTGGCATGTTGTGTTGTCTTCGCGTGATTTGCTGATTGGTTTGATTGGTTTTACTATCCTACAACTTGTACAACCTGTACAACTTTTCTACCTAAGACTTATCCGCTCCCGATTCTGGCCGGTCCCATCCCAGCGTCAGAAACGAGTCTGGAGTAAGACCTTGGAATGCCGCAATTTATTTGCTAAAGTCCCACAGAAAGGATGGCCCCCTTATCAAAGCCTATCATACCATCCGCACGGCCATGCATGCCAGAGCCGGCGGGTATGCCTTGTAATATGTGGCATGTTATAAGTCCTACTTAAGACTTTGATAGCCGCGGGTACCGATTTACTTAGGCAGAACTGACGTCTATATTTCATAGGTATATCATATCTACCTTACAGCCATGTGTATCACATTTGTTTCTTCTTTTCCTAGCTTACTCTTAATAGATATGTACTATTGTTTATCAGTCCGCCTTCTCGCCTAAGAGAAAATTTTATTTTTGTTCACAATGGATCCCGTCTCGTCGAAACGGAGAGCTAAATCGGGAGCTTTCCCCGGAAAGTTTAAAAGCTTCGTTAATGATGTAAAGAAGCTCAGGGTTCATCGCCATGAAAGGAAAGGGAGTCGAGAGGTTTTAGAGGTGGAGTCCTCTCCCGCGCTTGTCTCCCAACCCTTCCAGACCATCCAGAACGTACAAAGCGTCCAGACCATCGAGATCCCTGAAGTTTCCGTCCCCATCTCCATCCCCATCCCTGACCCCGACCCCGACCCCGAGGTTACTGTCCCCGAGATCAATATCCCTGACGTCGAGGATCCTGAAGTTGATGATCCCGAAGTTGATGATCCTGAACCCAACATTATCAAGATCGACGCTCCCGAGCCGAGAACATTATCCTCGTCGCAAAGTTCTCTTCCTGTAGCAAGCCTTGCCGTACAGGTCACAATCACGTTTAATGAGCCATTAAACTACTCCTATAGTCGTAGCTATGAGACCACACCCGAATTTGTGGCGGCTGAGGCATTATGCCAAGGTCTATTACGACGGGTTGATCACTGTTGCTACGAGTTGATTACCCGCAAAGACTCGACCGCCATGGAGTATGCTGCCGCGAATGGTCCGGATAAGCCATTGAGATACGAAATTCAGATCGATATCATCCGAGGTTGGTCTGAGATATGGTCTTCCAGGACCTTCAAATCATACCAAAAGCAAGCCCTATCGAATGAAACCGCAAGAGATATCATCACGTCGACTCATTACATAATAGGACTATTCTTGAAGCACCACGACCGCGATTTCGTGATGAAGGAGGGTTTCGTAAGAGAAGGTCCGCTAGACGAACATGTGAAGTTCCCACATCGTGCCGGACGTGTTGAGTCCATGTCATGCGTACCGCGCTCCCATTTCCTCGAGAAATCGCAATGTTTCGAGTCGCTACCTGGTTATTCGATCATCTTCTCGTTTACGAGCCGATGCCAGCGTCGCAAACCGCACGAATGGCACACGCAAGTCAAAGTCAACAGTGACCAAGCAGCCCCCCTGAATTCGATAGGGGCGGAAAACCTATTCTTCGAAGCCTCTTACGCATTAGATGGTGTTTTGAGATCAGAGAGACAGGAATTCGAAACGAAGCATGGAAAGTGCATCAGCCTAGATGGCTGTAAAGACTGTCGCCATCATGATAATGATGGTTTGGAATTACAACTGTCAATCGCTAATAACCTCGGTCCTCAGTTCCCTCACCTAGAGCGGACTATACGCTGCAGCAGTAATCTCTCCTTTCACTCCGACACCGAGAAATGTATTGCCTTTGCCAAGAAAGTAGAAACTGCTCTCGCTAAAACTCGCGACGATACCGACGAGGTCATCAACCGGATGAATGATCTCGAATTTAGGATCAAGGAGCTTCGTGGCCATGGTTGGTCGCTAGACGAACCACTCGTTTTCACCTTACCTTCCTCCGAATTTCACACCCGAAGGGATATCGAGGCGGTACTGGACCGAATTCAAGCTAGCGTTGCAGAAATACTTCGAGGCAACGCTATCTCTGTTCGAATGACTGCGCACAAACGAGGCCATTTTATCCTGGACAAAACATTTGTGGCCAGAGAACCTCTCGAGGGAGAGAAGAAGAAGGCCAAGTCAACCGGTAAACCGAAAGATTACGTCTTGAAACGACTTCGACAGCGCGTTGAGCGAGCCATTGGTATGATTTTCAAAGATACTCTAACAGTTGAGGACGCGGAAGAGAAGGACGATTATATTGGAAAGGCGCCCTCTATTTTGGAACCAAGGCCCCTTACTCGCGATACTCGCGATGCAGACGCTAGAACATTTATAAGTAGACCCGAGACTGCTAAGTCTATATCACAGTTTACTATGGATCAGCACCATGACTCTTCACTTCACACTGCGGATGCAGACACTAGCGTCATCGCGCCCAGCTCCAGGAGTGTAATAGAGAGCGAACCCCCGAGGTGCTCTACTCCTACCCCCGAGACGCGTCCGCAAGTACGTTCTGCACCACCGTCTCCTCACCATCGACCTCCTATCCCTATGCGACGATCATCAATGGTCATATACTATTCACAGACAGGTGCTCGAGCCTTTCCGCTAGTACCATGGGCGCATAGTTTCGGAGAGCCTGAAGGTTCGGGCGAACGAAAATCAGAACATGATGTATTTGGTCAGCAGGAAACCAGCAGCTTACTACACAAATCGTCGACACTGACTTCCGACCAAAGTTTCCTGAAGCCTGGAGGGAAAGAGGGGGTTGTGATCACAGGAGGCCAAGAGAATGGAGCAGAGTCGAACCAAGTCTACGAACACTCGATTGCTTCGACGCCTAGCCTAGTGTTTGGGGGCGATTCTTCTCCCGGCAGTAGCCTCCGTAAGTCTTTTCAGCGATAATCCTCTAAGCATTCACTAACCTATTAATGTTATAGTGATAACCCCCAGGACACATCGTCTTAGCGTCGAGATGGAGTATTCTAAGAACGCCATTATCGATAGCGACGACGAAGACGTTAAAGACTTAGGGAACACGAACGTGGAACCCCAACAAGATCTGCTTAAAACCCAACTATTCCGTACGCCATCTCCACAGCTCACTACAAAACCAGCGAGCTCGTCACCACTTCGCCTGAGCGAAACTATCCAAGACCAAAGCGGAGACCACCTAGATACAGGCAAGCCTAGCATCGAAAATGAGAATTCGAATGAAATAAGTCTTCCATCCAACATCGCCGTAGATGGAGAGCAGAAGAAGAATATTGAGGTAGAAACCTTCGCACAGTCGAAACCAGACTTCACCTTTTCGTCCCCGCCGGCAGCCACTCCAGAAGGTGGCAATTCAGAAGGCGAAGACAACTTTCAGTCGAGACAAAGGGAGTCTAGCCCAGACCCATCAGAGGACCTAGACGTGTCGCCGTCCTTAGAGGCTCAACAGCAAGCACGCGGCTCCTTTGGAAGCGCGGGAGTGATCGGTTTCCACGAGCAGATGTTCGGCTCGATCAGCCTGCGCAACGCGCTGATGCGCCATCGGCCTAGCTCTAACTTCGACGCCACGGAGCTTGCGCGGGACGACAAGAGACCCGGCACTGCGGTGTAATAATAAACAAACAAACAAGCAAGCAAGCAACCCCGTCAAATTCTTTCACAGAGAGAGCAGTTCGTAATTTCTTCCCTTTGTATAGTACTATGTATGTAACGGCGCGGCGCATTTTTATTTTGTTTTATTTTGTTTTGTTTTTAGGGTTGGAGTTTAGGATATCATCAGAAGACAAAAAACATCATCCCAACATGTATGTATTCTGTCACTTCGCATAAACAGGAGGAATAGCAATTGGATTGGCATATATACCTCCTCTGGATAGGATAAGGCATAAGGCAAGGTATAAGGAAACAAAAGAAAAGAAAAGGAAAGGATATTATTTATATTACCCTGGGTTATATAAGGAAAACACGTCTTTGACGTTTCGAAGAAGAAAAAACAAAGTTGTATGTATATTATCATCGTCATCGTCACCGCAAGACGTAGATTCTTACCGCAGGGGAAACTCAGGATTAGAGTAATCAATACAATACATAGCTAAGGTATATTATTATATTTCAGGTAGACGTTGTTGCATTAAAGTAGAATTCAAGTACCCAAAGTAACCACCATATGACTATAATAATAGGACCGTACAGAGGGACAGGGTCTGATCCGAGTGGAATATCAACATAGACAGATTAGTATTTTTATGTATACAATATAATATAATATAGGTACGAGACCAGCGACGTATGTACGTAAACACGTATAATATAATATAATACAAGAACCATTTCACATGAACATTCCACATCCCAAGAGTCCCATCCCATCCCATCTCATCTCATTCCATGCATTCATTCCCCTTTTCCCCACCAACGCCATAAAATCAAGTACTTTTCTTTTCACAAGTCCACCACCAATCACCATGAGGTCTGAAAAATCACACTCACACACACAAAGCACTTGCTCATTCATCTCCTACTCCTTTTTCCGCTCCTCCGACCCAGCCGTCGGCACGACATACACCTCCAACTCGGAACCGTCGTCCGTGACGCGCACGGCCGCGGTGTCGCCCCTCTTGAGCTCGCCGCGGATGATCTTGTCGGCGAGCCGGTTGCTGATCTTGGTGGCGATGAGGCGGTTCAGGGGCCTGGCGCCGAACTTGGGGTCATACCCGCGCTCGGCGAGCCAGCCGCGCACGTCGTCGGGGACCTCGAGCGCGATGCGGCGGTCGTCGAGGCGCCCGCGCAGCTCGCGCAGCCGGATGTCGACGATGTCGCGCAGCGCGTCCACCGTCAGCCGCTTGAAGACGATGAAGGAGTCGATGCGGTTGAGGAACTCGGGCGGGTAGCTCGCGGCCACCACGTCGAGCACCGCCATGCGCACGTCCGGGCTGATCTCGCCGTCGGGCGTCTCCGAGTACGGGTGGAGCGGGTCGGCGCCGACTAGGATGTCCGCGCCTAGGTTCGACGTCAGCACGATGATGGTGTTGCGGAAGTCCACCTTGTGGCCCTGCGCGTCCGTCAGGTACCCCTCGTCGAGCACCTGGAGGAGCAGCGCCGAGATGTCGCGGTGCGCCTTCTCGAACTCGTCGAAGAGCAGCACCGCGTACGGCTTCCGGCGCACGGCTTCGGTTAGCTGGCCGGCGTCCTCGTACCCGACGTAGCCCGAGGGCGCGCCGATCAGTCGCGATATCGTGTGTTTCTCCTGGAACTCGCTCATGTCGAACCGGACCACGGCGGTTTCGGTCGAGAATAGGAAGCCGGCGAGTTTCTTGCACAGCTCGGTTTTACCGACGCCGGTGGGACCGAGGAAGAAGAACGACGCAAGAGGACGGTTCTCGCCGCTTAGACCGGCACGCTGCATGCGCACGGCGTCTGCGACGGCCTCGAGAGCTTCGTCTTGGCCGCGAACGGATTCGCGGAGGATGTCTTCCATGTGTATCAGCTTCTCGATGTGTCCCGAGGTCAACTTGGAGACGGGGATCCCAGTTATCCTCGAGACGACATTTGCGATATCGTCGGCCGTCACCGAGTCGTGAATCAAAGTATCGGGGCCTTGCGCTTCGGGCTGTGCCTCGCCGTCCTGAGGTAGTTCCTGCTCTAATTTCGGGATGACACCGAAACGCAATTCAGAGGCCCGAGCGAAGTTTCCCGATCTTTGCGCTTGTTCAAGCTCAACGCGGGCCTTGTCTAGCTCCTCTTGAACTTTCTTGATAGCTTCAAGCTCGCTTCTCTCCTTTTCCCACCTCTCAGTTAAGCTCTTCTCTTGCTCCTGCAGCTTCTTGAGGTCCTCCTCTAGCTTCTCGCGCCGTTCACGACTTGCCACGTCTTTTTCTTTCCGTAGACTTTCCAGCTCGATCTGAATTGTCATGATCTTCTGGTCAAGTCGCATGATGTCTTCGGGTTTGCTCTCTTGCTGCAAACGTAGCGAACTTGCCGCTTCATCCATCAGATCGATGGCCTTGTCGGGTAAGAAACGATCGGTAATGTATCGGTTTGAATACGTCGCAGCCGCCACGAGCGCACCGTCCGTAATTCGGACACCGTGGTGGACTTCATATTTGTCTTTGATACCTCGTAAGATGCTGATAGTGTCCTCCACAGTAGGTTCATTTACTAAAATGGGCTGGAAACGCCTAGCCAGGGCAACGTCTTTCTCGATTTGTCGGTACTCGGTTAAGGTGGTCGCACCGCAACATTGTAATTCTCCTCTGGACAGAGCTGGCTTAAGCAGATTTGAGGCGTCAATGGAACCCTCAGCCTTTCCGAGACCGAGGAGAGTGTGCAACTCATCGATAAACAGGATAACTTCGCCTTGCGCTTGCTGAACCTCGCTTAGAACCTTCTTTAAACGCTCTTCGAAGTCACCGCGAAACTTGGCACCGGCGATGAGTGATCCCAGATCCAACGCAATAACTCTTTTATTCTTTATGCTCTCTGGGACGTCGCCCCGTACTATCCGCAGCGACAGGCCCTCCAGGATAGCTGTCTTTCCTGTTCCCGCGTTTCCGATCAAGACCGGGTTGTTCTTCGTTCGTCGCGACAGAACCTGAATGGTACGTTGTATTTCGGCGTCCCTGCCAATAACGGGGTCTAACTTTCCATCTCTCGCCTTCGCTGTAAGGTCTATTCCATATTGCTCCAAAGCCGGCTTCTCGGGCTCGCCGCCCATGTTCATTCGATGGGTACCACCCGGGGGATGAGGCCGGCCATTTGCATATGTTCGGTGTGTGGGAGCTGGTAAGGTGACATTGGATAATCTTTTTGCTGTGGTAATGAGCGCAGCTGTTGATAATTGCGAAGGGGTTACACTAAGTCGAGTAAGTCTTCTCGACGAAGCATCTGCAACTCGTCTCGAAGATCTGAGAAGTTGACTTCTCGCCAACATGATGAGAAGATGGAAGTAAGTATCGTGTCAATATTATAACAATTGGTATCTATGGATTATAGTTAGAAGAAATTAAGAAAAGTCACAAAATATTTCACTTGAAATAAAGAAGAAATAAAGAAGAAAGGTTGTTTTAGGAAAGAAGAGAAATATAATCCATCAGACCCCGGATGATTCTGAAATATCATGAGAGCTTCAGACTAAAGCCGCCTCTGGACCTTTCTCGAACTGTCGAACCACCGGTCGAAGCTCCAGTTATTGTATTTATCGATAAATTATAGATCGCGATAAGATACACTAGTGTGATCTAGGTATTATGTCAGTCTCAGCTAACTTGAAGCTTGTGGCTCTTTTAATGTGGATCCATACCTAGTACATGTACCTATGTACATATGTACCCACTGGACACTTCCAGGTCGGGGGTAAAATGTGGCTGGTAACAGTAAATTAATGGCTCCCGGGTCATTTGGCCCATTCAACCAACCCTCGTTCAAAAAATTTCAAAAATACATCCCACCATACTTCAACCCCACCTTGCGTCTTCTTATTTCTTCACATCTTCACAGGCTTTTTTGTTTCTTCTCTTCCCAAGATACCCCTGAGTTTCATTATACAGATTCTCCATTCTCATTCTTTCAACTCGTAAAAAATGGGCTTCACCGATCTTCTCAGCGACGCCGGTCTGGCTGGTATGTTTTTTTGTTATTTTTTCCTATTTTTTTCAGTCTGATTCGGAGTCCCACGGCGGGGTTTCTTGGATACTCCCGTTCTATCAGGATCTCCTCGTCTAGGCACCCCTCATTATTTTGTTCTACGGCTAACGATGAAATAGTCCTTAACAGCTGGTTGACCACCCGATCTTACATCACTGGGTAAGTTTTACGCAATTCTTTCCTTCAAGCCAAACATCATTGGCGAATGCGACGCCTCCATAACGCCCCTCTCTATCAATGTGCCTTACGAGCCCAATTACCTATCATGATGAGAAACATTGGTCCGTGTTTCTGAGCAGACTCAAGACCTGTCAAATGAGGACATATACAATAGCACTTTGTGCATCTCTGATTCTATCATCCACTATTTATATTATAATCATTGCTCTCGGAGCTTGACTTTTACGATATATATATTGCGAAGGGCTTACATAGCTGACTCATGAAAATAGTTACGCTCCTTCTCAGGCCGATGTTGCCGTCTTCAAGGCCATCACCTCTGCTCCCGAAGCCGCCAAATACCCCAACGCCGCCCGATGGTACAAGCACATCGCCTCTTTCGAGGATGAGTTCCCCACCCTGCCCGGTGACGCGTCTAAGCCTTACACCGTCTACGGCCCTGAGGAGGTTGCCGTCACCTTAAACCCCGCCAAGGCCCCTGACGCCGCCGAGGAGGAGGAGGACGTCGATCTATTCGGCAGTGACGACGAGGAGGAAGATGCTGAGGCCGTCCGCGTCCGTGAGGAGCGTCTGGCTGCTTACCGAGAGAAGAAGGCCGCCAAGCCCAAGACCATCGCCAAGTCCGTTGTTACCTTGGACGTCAAGCCTTGGGGTATGATTGCGCAATCTGCTATTCACCTATCTGACTCTTGAGCTAACAAAATTTCCATAGATGACGAGACTGATATGGCTGCTCTCGAGGCCGCCGTCCGTGGAATCGAGAAGGATGGTCTAGTCTGGGGTGCCTCCAAGCTGGTGCCCGTCGGTTTCGGTATCAAGAAGCTGCAGATCACCCTTGTCGTCGAGGACGAGAAGGTCTCTCTTAGTGACCTCGAGGAGGAAATCCAAGGATTCGAGGACTACGTCCAGTCCACCGATGTTGTAAGTTTTCCACAACCCGCTATCATATAGCTAGTCCCTTTTCAATATGACAATGCTAATCGAACAAAAAATAGGCTGCCATGCAGAAGCTGTAAACAAGTTACCTTCTCCTTTGGTAGACGTCACACCATTACACTAGCCACTCAATGCATGATACACGACTTGAGAGCCAACGAAAGCATGGCCGATGATTGTGATGAGGTTGGATGGATGAGCATGATATCGGGCTTATAATATCTCTATCGAGACAAAAAAAAGTTCCATAGAGAAAATACGTGGTTAGAGTGTTAAATGCATTGAGATGCTACAAAAAAGAGACTTGCCCCTGATGAAAGTAACTACTTGGACTTGAAGACTTTTAAGATTACAGTGTGCTCTTTCTTGTCAAAAGGAGGGGGGGATTTGGCCAGGTCTATCCTACCATTACTATTCTAGGAAGAATATCATAGCCAAATTCATATCTTTCACTTTGTATCTCGTGTGTTGCTTTTGACTTGTTTGTGAATATTCTTGTTAAAAGATAATTCTGCTACCGAAGGAATCCGTTCAGGATTTCTTGCATATGCCTATGCCTATGCCTACCTCCTAAGAGACATTTGATATTTCCCAGATCAGTACCTGATCCATCCTACCCTACCCTACCCACGTTCCCCTTATCACATTTGGGTATCTACATATCTTGGTATTTTTCGTGAAATTGTGGGTTTTTTCTTCGTCTCACTTTCTTCTCGTCTCCCTTTTTTTTCCTCCCCTTTTTTCTTTTGTCTATCCCAAGTCCCTTCCTTACCTTTCCCATATACTTTAGGTAGGTAGTTAATACCTATACCACACGGCACTATACTTATTATTTTCTTAGTGATGGAAGAGACGAATGTTCTGCTCCACGAAGACGATGCCGAGCTTCTCGGCCGTCTCGTAGACGGCGAAGTCGTTCTGACTGCCGCCGGGCGCCGCCATGTACTTCACGCCGGAGCGGTGTGCGCGGTAGATGTTGTCGACGAAGGGGAACTGCACAGCCAATATTAATAAAAAAGAAAGAAAGAATAGACGTTACAATTTCGGGGGTTATTGGTTGGTATAGAAATAAAGTGCAGTACTTACGAAAGCATCGCTAGAGATGGCGACTTCGCCTAGCTTGCTGAGCCAGTCGTTGCGCTCCTCTTCAGTGAAGGCGGCGGGCACCTCCTCGAAGATCGACTCGAACGCTTCGCGCTCGGGGCCACCCTTGGGCAGCTCGCCGCTCACTAGCAGGTCAATGGCGTTGCTCTTGTCGGGTCGCTTGGTGCCCTTCTTCCACTTGATGCCAAGGACACGAGGGTGGAAGCGAAGCCACCAGTTATCAGCCTTGTCACCCGCTAGACGAGTGCAGTGGATACGGGACTGCTGGCCAGCTCCAAGACCAATGACTTGTCCGTTCTTGGCGTAGCACACGGAGTTGCTTTGTGTGTACTTAAGGGCGATCGTAGCAACGGTCAAATCCCGGGCAGCAGCTTCGGGGAGGACAAAGTCCTTAGGTGTGATAGTTCGGGAGAAGGAAGCTGGAGAGAGCTCGATGTCGTTACGGTGTTGGGTGAGGGTCACACCATACACAGTTCTGACCTCAGTAGGGTCTGGCTGGTACTCAGGGTCTATTTGCAGGACAAGATACTTGCCACCCTTCTTCTTTCTGAGGATCTCTAAAGCGGCATCCTCGTATCCAGGTGCAATGACACCGTCAGAGACCTCCTTAGAAATGATGCTAGCAGTAGGGACATCGACCACATCGCTCAGAGCGATAATGTCTCCAAAACTGCTCATTCGGTCAGCGCCTCGGGCTCGAGCATAAGCTTGGGCAAGGCCTGAAGTCTCAATGCCTTGGATGTCGTCGACGAAGTAGACCTTACGCTCCTCGGCACTCAGAGGAACGCCGATGGCAGCACCTGCGGGAGATACATGCTTGAAGCTAGCAGCTGCGGGCTTTCCGAGAGCTTTCTTCAGCTCCTTTACCAGCGGCCAGCTGTTCAAGGCATCAAGGAGATTGATATAGCCAGGGGAACCACCAAGGACCTTGAAAGGTAATTTGGTAGATGTTGTGTAGGCAGCTGCCGGTTTTTGGTGAGGGTTAGCACCATATCGGAGAGGCAAGTATTGTTGGTACTCTTGGCCTTCGCCGGCGTATCGCGCACGGAAGAAAGCAGCGATGTGAGCATCGTAGTCGGCTGTGTGCTCGAAAGCCTTCAGAGCATATCTCTTACGGCTGTCCTCCTTAATCTCCCCGCTCTCGAGCTCCTTTAGGAATTCGGGATAGTCATTGGGGTCGCTGAGAATGGTGACCCGCGAGTGGTTCTTGGCAGCTGCTCGGATAAGGGTAACACCTCCTATATCGATTTCCTCGACAGCTTCGGGAACAGTAACGTTGGGCTTGGACACAGTGTCTTTGAAAGGGTACAAGTTGCAGATGACGTAGTCGACCTTGTCAATGCTCTGCTCAGCTAGGTCTTTCTCATCGGTGGCCAAGTTGCGCGCAAGTATACCAGCGTGGACAGCCGGGTGCAGGGTCTTAACTCGGCCAGAAAGCATTTCGGGGGCTTTTGTGATGGCGGAGATGTCCCTTTGTCGAAGTCAGCTTCGAAACATGGTTATAAAATGCAAGGTCAAGCTGTAAGTCATCTTACTCGACCGGAAATCCAGACTCGCGAATCATCTTGGCCGTGCCTCCGGATGCCAAAATTCGCACATTCTGTTGTACGAGGCCCTTAGCTAGGTCCAACAGGCCAGTCTTATCATAGACGGAAAGGATAGCGATTCTCTGGGTTGCCGACATGGCGACTGATTTGAATGGTTTCCAATTGAAATTTCCTCGCGCTAATAAATGAGATATTTATGGATAGCAGAAGTAGATGAATTCACAAATCGGTGGGAGGGGCACAGGGTAGATCGATAGATAATAGATAGACCGAGATATGAACTTTAGATTAGCTTGCTGGGATGGTAAAGCTAATGATATCGATATCAGAGACCGTTGTGAACGACCAGGATTAATTAAAACAGACTCGTCTAATCTGTTTTTTTTTTTGTTTTTTCGTCACTCGTGACAAGTAACAATTGGAATGGCGCCGTTACGGCCGTTGATAAAAAAAGAGAGCGAAGAAAATAAAATAAAATTTCAAGTTTATGGCGGGGTCGGAGCTGGTTAGCCCCACTAACCCCTCGGTGTTGAAGACGTAGAACCCCACCATACTATGTACCTTTATGTAGAAACGTTAATAAAACAACTGATCTAACCCTTCAGCCCTTTCACTCACTGGTGACAGACCCGACCCGACCCCGCCCGCTAGTATAGAAATTACCTAAACAAGTACATAACTAACCTAGGTACCTAAGGTTAGGTTAGGTTAGGTAGTTACTCATCTCATCTCACTTTGACTTACACCAATTCTCATCTTACTCAAGTTGTTATATCAGCATATTATCAGTATATGATTTAGCAGGAAAAATGTACGGCGATCTTGGAAACAAACTCGTAAGTTAGCTCATATCATGCGTTGGCTAAAATGAGACATACCTATAACTAAGTAATAATATCAGGTTCAACATGCGAAAAGAACTCAAAATTTGGCATATCTACCACCGTATCAGACTGAACTAGTTCGCGGAGTCACTCGAGAAGTCCGCGACTTGGACAAAGATGTGGCCGACTTGCTAGAACCATTTCAGGGGTCATTCAATCCAGGGGATGACCCGGCTACGGCATGTACTTTACTAGTAAACCATCTATCCATGCGAAGGAATAAGCGCTGTCTACTAGCTTATCACCGCACAAGAACAGACAGACTCGAAGAGCTTGTTTGGAAGGGCTACGACGTGGTCGATCTTGCCGGCCAACAAGTTCGAGACGGCCAAGGCGGATTTAGCGGACCACCAGGCATGGCAACTGGTAATAATGGCACGAGTAGTCTAAGTCCGCAGGAAGAAGACTATGTACGCCAATATAGTGATCTCCTGGCTGCCTATAAAGGCCAATGGACAGATATCGACCTCACTGGAAGTCTCGAACCGCCTCGCGACCTATTTATTGATGTACGAGTTTTGAAAGATGCCGGCGAAATACAAACCGAATACGGGTAAGATAACTTGCATTCAAAAAAAGAAAAAAAATTTAAATAGGAAGAAGGCATGCTAATATATCATTGTAGCGCGATCACACTTACTAAAAACAGTCAATTCTATGTTAGGCAGGGTGATGTAGAGCGTCTAATCGCCCAAGGTTACCTTCAGAAGCTCAGTTAAATGGAAACAGAGCGACGTTTGCTTTTATTTTATTTTTTTAATATATATCCTGGGGAAGAGAAGAATCGCACATCGTCTCGCCCCTCAGACGAGCCCCCAGGCAGAACAAATTTCGTATTGCTCTATGTTTATGGAATTTATGGAATTACATCCCAAGCCACTCCCGCATATGGTTAGACCAAAAGCCCAGAGCTCACATCCGGCGGCATGATGTTGATTCCCCGGAAGCTTATTTACCTGTTGGAACGGCTAACAACATATATGCACAAATGGCCTTTTCCCAGTTATGTCGTGGCAAACCAGATTTACAATTCTGACGGAATAAATCGCAAAAAGAGGCACACATGACGACTCAATGCAAGCGGTACAACCGGGCGCTTGGCTTACCGTCTCAAACCAATCACTGACCGCGATTGAGAACCGTTGTGCCAAAGTCAACTTTCAATGGAGAATGCGCTTACTTCGAAATGCAAATGATATGCCCGGTGAAACTAAATGCACAATACATCGATGGTAACGGGAGGTTCGTCAACATGGTGGAATGATTCTGGCTTGGTATACTCTATCCTCTATCCGATGCGTGTGCCAAATTTCCCGATACGGACTATTTATTTATTATTCATTCATAACGGCACAGCGATGAACATAATACCTAGGGTAGCGATGGGTTGCATATGCAAATGCAGCCCTCCAATTGGCACATTCCAGCTCACGGCGCAGGGCGCAAGGGCTACTGAACCATACGGAATACAACGTTGGCCGTGCTGGTCGTTTGGTTGGAGGATTGGTGTTTGCGGGGAGCAAATGGCAGGATAGGATGTGGAGAAGAATTGGAGGCTCCTGGGAATACTCAACTTCACACCTGACAGCCAAAACTTTTTTCAGCAAGCGTCTCAAGGGTAGGCTGGGCGTTATTGATCGTGTCGCATTAAGGAGGACCGTTCCGTTCAAAAGGTACCACAAAGCAACTCGACGAATACCAGGGCTTTAAAGTACGTAATGGATCTCACGGTGAGAGATCAACGTCCGACACTCCTGTTGTGATTGTAAAAAGGGCCGGAAGTATGAATGTCTACGCAGTGAGGAGAAACGAAGAGGTTGACGATAGACATTCGGGGGCTATGGAATAGAGTCTGGGCTGGGGCTCAAGCTGGCTAGGCTGGACAGAAAGAAGGCTAGCTGCATTATCCCGATCCATACCTACCTCTGTCATCACCTGTTCAACGCCATCTTAGCCATCCAGGTGCCTGTCAACTATTGGAACATACCTAGGTAGATAATATAAATCGCATCCGCTCTCGGGAAGTATAAGCTAGAGCTATTTATTTGCATTATGCAACCCGAAATTTGAATAGTATAGGCGGCTACATGATCGTCTACTAGTCCCAGACTTGATGTCATTAACCGCACGGTACCTAACCGTACGGCAGATGATGAACAATACCTTAGGTAGGGGGTATATGTGATGTCGTCAAGTAGACGCGTATATACGACAAAGTTTGTGACACCAAGATATTATAAAAAAGATCCGCTTTACCCAATGGCATTACATAGTAAAAAATAATTATTTAGAATCATTGATGTATTAATGTAGCATCAGTTCGAGACCCACTACCCAATAAAGTTCAAGCAACTTTCTAGAATCGGAGATGCCCCTCCATATCCCTGTCAATTTGTGTTAAGGCCATACGCCAAAGTTTTCTGTGTCCTACGTAAGATGCATAAGTTACGCCTTGACTACCTTGACAAATGCCATTTAAAGTTAGCATGTTTAGTGGGTACGCTGTAATTCCTTGATAGCTGCTTGCTTTTTATCTTGTGAGGTCTAGATTTATTATGATCCTCTCGTTATCATCGAACAACCTTCTTGCGTCTTTAAGAATACCTACCTCTAACATACTTTTTTTTCTCATCACTTCGCTCTGTACACGGTACTACTAATTCTATTAACCTAATCAATTCATATTTATTTATTTATTTACATCTGTACAAATCATATAACGCTCCTCGGCTTCTTTAGCATAATAATTCGAATTTGTTAAGTACTGCTTTATAATGGTTGCGCCTCGAAGTTCATTGCCTTGGTAGCCGCCAACCCTCCCTCGCGCACTGTAGGCCAGCAACCAATGTATACCTTATATGTTATATACCTATATATATATTCAACGTAGAGAGCTAGTAAACGCCCCTACCGTAGAATATGGCGACACCATCGTTCAATTTCGCCTCTTGGAGGAGGAGATCCTCTTCCGTTACCTCCCAGCCAGATCCGGTAGATGTTCCTGGGCAAATACTCAGTCCCAATCAAAGTTCGCGATTGGTTCCAGGAGATTTACAACAGCTCTCATCTTCCCTTAATTCTCATAACTATAGAGAACCCACTAGGTCGTTCGTGCCTGGTTCTCTTAGAGATCATCTATGTAAGTCTATCATACCATCATCATACGCTTACGTCGTCGTGGTTTTTCACTAACATACTTCCAAGCTCCTGTTGACAGTGCACGTTATGCTCGCAGTGTCCGTGAAGATACCGCCGAACTCGCTTCATACGTGCTTTCAGACAAGAAGGATAGGCGCAGCACGTCATTCCTCAATCGAATATCGTCTACCTCGTCCCACCCCAGTCGCGACCGGCTCGTCCTCCAGGATGAATCCCCATCCGCTGGGGATTTACAAGCACCAAGCACGGACACCATAGACGAAGTTTTGGAACCCTCTCCACTGGCATCCGGAACAGAAGACCTCACGAACCCAGGACCCTCGGCGCTCACCTTCATGTTTAAACGTTCTCCGCCTCAGTCTCTACATGGCCCCGACGCCCATAGTGACTCAATATCACAAAATGGTCAACACCTGTCGTCGATAGATGTATTGCAACCTCGACAGGACGATGGGTTATCAGAAACAACCCCCCTCCTTAGGAGGGTATCGCACACGCCAGAGCCTGAGGACAGCGTCACAGATGTCGACATCGAAGGCCAGAAGCCAAAGACAGCGCTTTGGGGCTCCTCGTCAACCGGTCGTGGTATTCGGCACAAGATACGTACAATTAAGAGCATGATGAACCCAAAGACTTGGGATAAGAGAGTTGTTTGGCAAAGGACTGTAGTAGACCCGATACATTGCTTACCGGCTGTGATCGTCGGTCTCCTCCTAAACATCCTGGATGCCTTATCTTACGGTGCGTTGCAATCTAGACTAGACCCCGTCATAGTTCTAGGTTCTAATATATTGTGCAGGAATGATCTTGTTTCCATTGGGAAACCCAATATTCTCGAACCTCGGACCGGCTGGAATATCGATATTCTATGTTAGCACGATTATCTCACAACTCACCTTCTCGATCGGCAGTATATTTAGAGGTGGTGTTGGATCAGAATTGGTAAGTCCTCTTAAACTTTATGATATATGAATGTGTGCTCACGTATACATATAGATTGAGGTTGTTCCTTTCTTTCATAACATGGCGACTACTATCACAGCGATAGTGGGAGAAGATCAACCAGATGCAGTTATCGCCACAACGATAACCTCGTTTGCTATTAGTTCTATGTTGACTGGGCTTGTATTTTACCTCATGGGTAAATTTAGATTGGGTTATGTCGTTGGCTTCATCCCTCGTCACATTTTAATCGGATGTATCGGCGGTGTGGGCTGGTTCCTCATCGCGACGGGTTTTGAGGTTTCAGCCCGGCTAGAAGAATTCCGTTACGATCTCGATACGGGTCGAAAATTAATCCAGTCTGACACCTTACCTCTCTGGCTTATTCCTCTTGTCCTGGCAATCCTTCTCTTTGGCCTTCAGAGGAAAATCACATCTAAATATTTCCTACCGGTCTATATTCTATCCGTACCAGTCTTGTTTTATTTCTGCGTGTTTACGATAGGCAGTCTGAATCCGGAGAACCTCAGAAAAGCAGGGTGGATCTTTGAGGCTCCCGAAGCTGGACAACCTTGGTGGTATTTCTGGACACTCTACAGTGAGTTTTTTTTTTTTTTTTTTTTTTAAAAAAAACCCCTATTTCTAAAGATGATCTTGTTACTGATTGGCAATTCCAGAATTTAACCTGGTGCATTGGGGAGCAATTCTTGAAACTGTTGGAGCTATGTTCGCATTGACTTTCTTCAGTGTCCTCCATGTTCCCATCAATGTGCCTGCTTTAGCGCAAATTTCCGGGGAAGATCATCTAGATCTAGACCACGAACTCAAATTACATGGCTACTCGAACTTCCTGTCTGGCCTCGCGGGAAGTATCCAGAATTACTTAGTCTTCGCCAATACCCTGTTCTTTATGAGATCAGGAGGCGACAGTCGTCTCGCGGGTATCATGCTGGCAGGACTTACGTTCGGCGTAATGACAGTAGGGCCTGTGATCATAGGGTATATTCCGGTTATGGTTGTCGGCACGCTGATATTCGTTCTCGGGTTTGAGTTACTATTGGACGCCCTAATATCCCCGAGGCGTAAACTCAAGTTATTGGAATACCTGACGGTAAGTTTTGCTAAATTCTCTCTTCTATCTCCGCACCTGAGACTAACTTGAGATTACTTTAGATTGTAGTAATAGTTCTCACTATGGGAATCTATGATTTCGTCGTGGGTATCTTTGTTGGTATAATACTTGCCTTTGTTTCTGTTATTTTCCACGCATCTCAAGTTTCAGCAATTCGAGCGACATATACCGGAGACCAGATCGGCTCCATGGTCAGGCGAAATCCTTCGCAACATCGCTACCTACGAGAAGTCGGTAGCCAAACATATGTAATCAAACTATCCGGATTCCTCTTCTTTGGTACCATTGTTGGTGTCGAGGAAAAGATCCGACATCTAATATCTGACGATACCTTCAAAGAACATCCCATCAAGTATCTAATCCTTGATCTGTGGCATGTTGCAGGTATCGATTATTCGGCGGCCGAGGGATTTAAGACTATCAATCGACTCCTAAACGGCAAAGGAGTGCATCTTCTCCTAAGTGGAAAAGATGCGGACAGCAAGATCGGTCGGGATCTTAGAGCCGCCGGACTCGGGGATGACGGACCTAGCGTTTTGTTTATGCCTGATTTAAATTCTGCCCTAGAGAGTTGTGAGAACGAGCAGCTGAAAACCTTCTATGCTCGCCAGGAAGCGCTGAGAATCTCTCGACCGGCACCATCAAGCAATCTTGATGTGCCTAATAGGGGCCAGTTTAGCCAGTCCTTAGAGCTTTTGTCCCAATCCCCGAGGAGAAATCACCTCGATCAAGCAGCCAAAAACGTCTTGAATCAGCACGAAATTAGACGTTCCACGAGATGGCAGAACATCAGCGAACCACTCCGACTTATGCTTCAGGTCTTCTACGACGTGAGCGATAAGAACGAGGACTTCTGGTTTCGAGCAAGACCATATTTCGTCCGCAAAGAATATACAGCCGGTACTGTTTTGTATCATTGCGGGGAACCAGCTAATGGGTTTTACCTCCTTGAAAGGGGTGAGCTGAGGGCCGATTACGACACGCCACAAGGCCGCCTGTACGAGCCGATCGTCCAAGGTACGACTTGTGGCGAGCTGCCGTTCTTTTCCGAGACGAACCGGACGGCGACGGTGGTTGCGATCAAAGACTGCGTCGCCTGGGTTATGGATACGGAGAATTGGGAGAAATTACAGGACGAGGAGAATGAAGTGGCGCAGGAATTGTTACGGATTTCGCTCAAGCTTACGAGCGAGCGTATGGAGGCTATGACGAAGTATATCTCCGCCGTTGGAAATTGAGCGGTAGGGTGGGTTATTGGAAGGGAATGGAGTGGATAGATAAAACAGCAGATAGCTTTTCTATTAGGAAATGTAATCAGACTTGATAAAGTATCTGTGATAAGTGTATTTGATTCATACGTGGTCGTTTGTGAAGCGTGCAGATGGGGAGTATCACGGGTAGTAGTCGTATCGAACTGTATGTCTCTACTACCGCCTCGTCGTTCAATATTCGTACCTATATTAATAAGACCCAAGATCGACAGGCTCTTATTCATGCTATTGTAATCAGTTGATTACATCCTCTTCGTCGTACATTTGAATTGCTGTTTTGGTATATGCTGTTGTTGCTGTGTAATCAGCGGTTCGCTGTCATTTCATAAGCAGCGGAACAGTTCCGCGCCAGGATCTCCTATCTGACAAACCATCGCAGTAGGCTTCACAGCGATCGACTACCACCACAATACTGGTTGCTACGCCAAATAGCTACCTAACTAGGTACTATTTCTGGCCCGTTCGGTTGAAGAAGCTGATTAATTAACTACCCAGGTAGCTATTAAATGTTACGCCATAGCGGAATTTGGGACTCTTTGACAAATCTCCTCGACATGATGCTCGCGCGACGGGTGTTGTTTCTTGTGTATAAAGACTATGTCTGGGTCGACTGTCTGGAAACAATGTAGATACTCGTTAAGCATCGAATCGATCCGAGAAGTCATCTGTCGTCTACTCATCTTCTCACAGCTTAGTTACCTAATTCATTTATTCATTTTTTTAAAAAAAAATACAATACATTAGGTTCCTACCTACATACCTATATATCTCCAAGCCACCATAACCATCCATCCATCACCATGAGCTTCCAATACACCAAAACCCAGCACACCACCCCCTACCCGTCCATCTCCCCCACCCTCCCCTCCCTCGCCTCGCCCCCCACCCGATCCGTCCTCATCGTCGGCGGCTCCACCGGCATCGGCAAGGCCACGGCGCTCGCCTTCCTGGCCTCGGGATCGCGGCGCATCGCCCTGCTCGCGCGCCGGCAGCCGGTCCTCGACGCCACCGCGGCCGCGCTCCGCGCGCAGTACCCGGACGCGCGCGTCGTCGCGTGCGCGGCCGACGTCGCCGACGAGCACGCCGTGGACGCGGCGTTTGCGAAGGCCAGGCGCGAGCTCGGCGCTGCCCCCGGCGGGCTGGACGTCGTGGTCAACGCCGCGGGCGTGGCCCCGCCGCTGAAGACGCTCGCCCAGAGCGACGTGGGCGGCGCGTGGTGGCGCGGATTCGAGACGAATGTGCGGGGCGCGGCGGTCGTCGCGCGGGCGGCGGCCAAGCACGCTGTTGCTGCGGACAACGGCGACGGTGACGGTGATGGTGCCGTGCTCTTGTACCTGGGCACGGCGGGCGCGCTGTTCCCGGCCAACGCGGCGTTCCCGGCGTCCGGGTACGCGGCTAGCAAACTGGCGGGGGTGAAGGTGATGGAGTACTTCGGCGCGGAGAACCCCGGGGTCAGGGTTATTAGCGTGCATCCGGGAGTGGTGACGGAGACGGAGGGGGGGAAGAAGATGGTGGAGGAGTCGGGGATGGAGTGGCCGGGTGATGATAGTAGGGTTCCCCCTTTTTTATTTTCTTCTCTTTTCTTCTCTTTTACCTTTCCCATTCCATTCCTTTTCCATCCCCCCCCCTTTTCGTTTCCCCTCTTGTCGAAAGAGGTATAAGCGATTGAGATGAGATGAGATGAGATTGCTAATAATCGACGATCTAAACAGTTAACCTACCGGCTCATTTCCTCGTCTGGGCCGCGAGCAAAGAGGCCGAGTTCCTGAAGAACAAGTTTGTGTTTGCTGCGTGGGACGTCGATGAGTTGAAGGCGAGGAAGGACGAGATCGCCCAGTCGCCCGAGTTGATTATTGGGCTTAATGGACTCCCTCGTAACGTTTAGGGGGTGGGTGGTATAACATTGCTATGGTATAACATGTCTCTTGGTTCCCTTCTAGAAAGATAGCTCGCCAAACAAGGTGCCTAACCTAAGGTACCTGAGAAACTGAATGTCAATCGCTCAATATAAAAGTTCATAGTTATGATGCAACTTACTTTACTCTTCGCTTGGTCTTGTACGTCTAATATTTGAATTGCGCGTAACAAGGTCACTCAAGTCACAAGCACTGTCCACATAGACTTCAGCTAGAATAATGTATCATGCCGGATATCTCGTCTTCATTACCGTACGAACGCGCCAGATGCTCCAAATTCACGAACGTCTGCCCATTCCTTTTTTGTTTTTGAAAAAACCTGCCTTCTCGAAGCCAGCCCACGAATATACGCCTGACTACCCAGAAACAAGATGGTGGTCGAACTGCCCTCTCTCCCCATCCGTACTCTTGTTCTCCCGCTTAAGAACGGTTCTATACCACCCGTTTGACTTCGAAGAATCTTCGTAACCACCAGACCTGGAACAGAGACTCGCCTACCACGACGCCGATAACGAACAAGTTCCACCACTTGACTCGGCTGTTTGTGCTCTCGGCGGTGTTGCGGTGGGTGCGTTCGCGGACGACGATGTACGATTGCTCGTCCCTGACCTGCTCGACCAGTTCGGAGAGTTGCTTGACTGATAGCTATGTAAGCAGGGTGATTTATTTATGTAGTATATTTATAGTTATACATAGTCTTTATCCACGAGCAGGGGTGTATGTATGCAAACAAGGCAAGACTTACTCTCTTTCTCTAAGGGGTCCTGAGGGGCGTCGGCTTCGGACACGTATACTACGCCGTGCACGTTGAACGAGACCTCCTTGCTGTTGGAGCCCCAGTGCTCGTTGCCGAAGCAGTAGAGGAACTTGCCGTCGTGCCGAGCCGTAAACGTGAAGTAGCCGTTCGAGACGTCCTTCTGGAAGGTTTCGTGCTGGCCCATGGGGTTCGTGATCTGGAGCGCGAGTGGATCAAAAAAAAACATGTAAGCCATTTATTTTTTGTTCGTATTTCAGCGATTCAATAACGAAATTTGTGTGAGTGTTCTCCATACCCAGAAGTCAATGTCGAGGTTCCCGGCGCCTCCGAACTCCCTGTCGCCGGTCTGGAATGTGACAGTCATGGTATCGTCCTTATGGAGTTCCTCGTGGAAACACTCGCGGCCGTGAGCGGGAAGCTGGATGTTGTGGGCGAGCGCAGCTTGCAGGAAGCTGGCTGCCAGGAGCAGGGTCTTAGTCGGGAACAACATGTTCGCTGGGCGGCCGGGTGACTCAATGCGTTTTTCGTTAAAGCCCCAGTTGAAATCGCGTTTGCCTAAGTGTTGATCATGCGACAGTCGGTTTGAATTTTGTTTTTGTTTTAAAAAATCATAGAGGGCTATGTGGTAACAGCACTGGAGCTATGAATGATGAATGAGGCTTGAAACTTGAGATGGACACTTTGGCGATTGGCAAGGATTCGAATTGATCTGCTCGGCGTGGTTTAGCGCCGTTTGCTTTGGGCCCGTTACATACTACATAGTACCTATAATACATGTACATTGTAAGCAAGAAAGGGTACATACGAGGTACTTTTTTGCGTTGCGACGTGTTACAAGCTCGTGACTATCTCCTTCCCGGAGAATGCCGCCTTAAAAAGTCGAAATCCTCGAAATCCTAGTGGTGGCCAGGGGGTGTTAGTAAGTATAGCGACCGTATCTAGTTGGCACTTTTCATTTAGTCTTAGGTACCTACCTGTATTTACCTTATACCTATACCAAAGGTAAGGGTGACTTTAGCAGGTTTAAGCAGCGGCTGCCAGCTGCAGGCAAGTAATTACGTGGGACTCCGTCTTTCTCCAGCCACATTGCATTTTTACCTAACTTCAATTCTCTGAAAAACACATCTACTAATTCCTCTCTTCACCGATCTCCAACCACAATCCACCGCATCACCCCCCCCTTTTGATAGCCCATCGCCACCAGATCTCTCCTTCGCCGAGCAGGTCTCATTGTTGCAAAAAAAAAAAATAGGTAAGTCTATTGCTACTAAATTCTTCAGCCTTTTACATACATTAGGTATACATACATATCATCCCGACAAAGAGATTCTTTGGTGTTTTTACAGTTACCAACCTACAATTACACACTCCATATCCACCACGTATCGTATCTGACATACCTAATCTTCCTCCGTCTACTTTTTATTTACCACTTATTTACCTACCACTACATAATATTACATACCTCTACTGTCTACATACCTTCTCTCCATATATCTATACACGCCACTTCAACCTCGCCTTGTAATACTCGGCCCACCTCTTCATTTCTCTCTACTTTTGTGGCAGCCTGGAAAGGTATACGGGACAAGTCGCGCCCAACAATACCGAGTCACCCACCCCCCCAGGTCCATTTGCGCAGTCCTGGAAAGACCCAATCGATCTGTCCTTACGGAATACTGATCCCCATAAATTCCCGACTGGCTGCCAATTACCTCGAGATAATCACATCTTATTTTTCCCATCTTAAACTAACCTCTCCTCCTTCTCGTAACAGATATAGCGACATCGCCTTAGGCCCACAACAGTAATAGACACTTAACCGCATCTTTCTTCGAGGTCGCAATCATGGGTCTCGCATTCTCTAAGTTGTTCGACAAGCTCTGGGGGAAGAAGGAGATGAGAATTCTGATGGTCGGTCTCGACGCTGCCGGAAAGACCACGATTCTCTACAAGCTCAAGCTCGGTGAAATCGTCACAACCATCCCTACTATTGGTATGCCCTCTTCCAACTAAGCGTCGGCATCGCCGCCCTTTGTTTTGATTATTAACACGCGTCGCGCCTTCAGGCTTCAACGTCGAGACGGTCGAGTACAAGAACATCCAATTCACCGTGTGGGATGTTGGTGGACAGGACAAGATTCGTCCTCTGTGGCGACATTATTTCCAGAACACCCAAGGTATCATCTTCGTCGTCGACAGCAACGACCGAGACCGTATCGTCGAGGCTCGGGAAGAGTTGCAGCGCATGTTGAACGAGGATGAGCTCCGGGATGCTATTCTACTAGTCTTCGCCAACAAGCAGGATCTGCCTGTACGTTCTCTGCCGTCCCAGCCGCGTTCTTTTCAACGATATAAATCTTGCTGACCATTGATGCAGAACGCCATGAACGCCGCTGAGATTACTGACAAGCTCGGCCTTCACAGCCTGAGACAGCGCGCCTGGGTACGTATTTATTCTATCTTGTCTTAGATTTGAACCATGTGCTGATCAGCGGTGTAGTACATCCAATCGACCTGCGCTACGTCCGGAGACGGTCTGTATGAGGGTCTCGAATGGCTGGCCACCACGCTCCGTAAGGCTGGACACCAGTAAATGGGAAGGGGAGCACTGCGTCATTTTTTCCCGTTACGACTCACCATGTTTCCCTTTTCTCCCCAGTGTGATGGGTCGGTTGTAACTCGCAAAGTCATTCCCGGATGCAATCGATATATTCCATAAATAACGCTGGTCTCTGTACGCTCTCGCTCTCATCGGTTGCGGTGGATCTGCAAAGTGAAGACGCAAATTTGATTTTGGAAGCATGGGAGGGGAGTGGCGTACTGGGACGAAATCTGTACGAATTGATATTACAGGACGTAAAAGAGAAACTCGATGCGTTGGGGCCATGCTGCTACCAGGGACCAGCAGAGCCTTGCATCGTAGTCTGTTTTTTTTCTCGTTCATGAGGCATTTCCCGTCTATTGTTCCCCCATTAATAAGAATGATGATTATAAAACAGCATGTCCTTGATACGATGGTGGCTATTTGTGAAGCTCTAGTGGGATGTTCTCAATAGGTATATACGGTCCTGTTTTTCCCTTTTTTTTACGATTGGTATTACGTACGACATAGAAATAAGATTGGAAGGCTTCGTAGTTTACATTAACTAGTGGAAGTAGTAGTTGTTTTTGCTATGCGGATCCGTAACATGAGATTTGATTTAACTAGATTTTTGGTTAAAAGAGATGAGTTCTTGGGTAATTGTATACAGCCCGTGGTTACCAGGTAGAGCACCAGGTAAGTAAGGAAATAGGTGTTGTATGTGCCGTATCAAGTGTTAGCTGGGCCCTGAATTACCTACACTTACATTGTGCTTGATATCTGGTACTGTTTTATATAGTACTAGCCTATAGCGCTAGCGGTGAATAAATTCGTAATTACTTGTGCCACTATAATAATCCGGTGTGGCAGTGTGGATAATAAAAGGGACCCACGTAAAGCCGGGATCGGCATTAAGCTAGGGACCTTAGGATTGCTAGGATTGCCGAACTTCTCATAATATATTTCAACGGCGAGTTTCTCCCCACCGACAACATAATTTCGGAATTGGAACCGCCAGACCGGGGGCTAACCTGTCCTGCATCTCCATCCCCTACTAATTGAACCTGATTCCTTAATTGACCAGAATGAAGTCTTCAGGGATCCTTATCACAGCCAGAAAGGGCTTACCAGCGCTCCGGACGCCCTTTCAGCGGCAATCCCGTCTCTTCTCCCGAGCCGTTTCGTCTTCCTCGGCTTCTGAGACAAGCGTCTCGGCAACGATAATCACCGCGCGAACACATCCTCGACCACGTGCATTATTATTATCTACCCGCCCTCTCCTCCCCGCTCAAACGCGTCGAGCCTACGCTTCGGCCCCGGAAACACAGTCCGAATCTCTCAAGAAGACGGCCCTGTACGATCTCCATGTCGCCCACGGCGCTAAGATCGTGCCCTTCGGCGGCTTCCATATGCCCGTCCAATATAAGTCGCTGAGCGTTACTGCCTCCCACCACTTCACCCGGAGCCACGCCTCGCTCTTCGATGTCGGACATATGGTCCAGCACAGTTTCGAGGGCCCCGGTGCTACCGCTTTTCTCCAGCGGATCACGCCCGCCGGCCTCGAAAGTCTCGCCGCCAACTCTAGCACCCTCAGCGCTCTGCTGGTCCCCGGCACCGGCGGCATCGTCGACGACACCATCATAACCAAGCTCGACAATAACTCCTTCTATGTCGTCACCAACGCCGCCTGTCGCGATAAGGACCTCGCCTACCTAGCCGAGCAGCTGGGGCAATGGGAGAAGGAAGGCCGTCCTCCCCTCCGCCACGAGGTGCTCGACGGCCGGGGCCTGATCGCGCTGCAGGGCCCCCTCTCCGAGCAGATCCTCGAAGGCGTCCTAGCCGACCCCAAGCAAGTCGACCTCCGCGGCCTGTTCTTCGGGCAGTCCCGCACCGTGACGCTCAAGCTGCCGGACGGCCGTGAGGTCGCCCACGTCCTCGTCAGCAGGGGCGGGTACACGGGCGAGGACGGGTTCGAGATCTCGCTCCCCGAGGCGCACACCGTCGCCGCGACCGAGGCCCTCCTGAGCTCCGCCGGCCCCGACAAGCTGCAGCTCGCGGGTCTTGGCGCCCGCGACAGCCTGCGCCTCGAGGCCGGCATGTGCCTGTACGGGCACGACCTGGACGAGCACGTGACGCCCGTCGAGGGCGCGCTCGGCTGGATCGTCGCGAAGGAGCGGCGCGGCGAGACGGACATCGCCAAGGGCGCGTTCCACGGCGCCGGCGTCATCCTCGGCCAGCTGACGCCCAAGAGCAAAGGAGGGGCGGGCGTCGAGAAGCGGCGCGTGGGCCTCGTGGTCGAGGGCGCGCCGGCGAGGGAGGGCGCCGAGATCCAGGACGCGGAGGGCGCCAGGGTCGGCGTCGTGACGAGCGGGTGTCCGAGCCCGACGCTCGGCAAGAACATCGCCATGGGGTACGTGAGGGACGGGCTGCACAAGGTGGACACGGAGCTGCAGGTTAGCGTTCGGGGGCGGGCGCGGAAGGCCGTCGTCACGAAGATGCCGTTCGTGCCGACGAAGTACTGGAAGGGGAGCGCTTAAGGCGGTTTACATCTCGACGCATGTAAGCCAGCTATGTACCCGACCTAATATATGCATAAAAAATTGCAATGGATGATGATGGCCCTGGTAAGATAGGACTGGGAGGGGAGGATGGCTATCTTCTACTATGAGATTGCCGATGTTACGTACGTACGTATGGTATAAGAACGATGGATGTGAAGGATTATTATGAACGGGATAGCGTCGGTGGGTTGTTATTTTTTTTTTTTTTTTTACTTTTTTTAGGGGGGCAACTTTGAGACTTTCAACAATCCAGGGGCGTCCGGGGTAAAACTATACCTTACATACAGCGCTTGATGATGATAAAAACAGAACAGAATAAAACAGAGCAGAGCAGAACGCATAGGTAGATAAGATAGATACCCTCAACGAAGATCTACATTACGATTAGTTAACTACTGTTATCTTCCTGGGTTTTCCTGTTAGTGATACTTCTGGTTGAGAGGATATGATTACCGGTTACTACACTATGTAACTTTTCAGAGAATTTCTTGTGTTATCGTTGTTACTATTCTCATTCTATAAAAGTCACACCAAGTTAATAAGGAAACAACATTATTGACGGTATACCTATATACGAGAGGTTTAGTATAGTACTATATCTGGATCTTAAACGATCCACCGCGTTCTCTTTGTTTGATATATCATCAAGTCCATGAGGGTCTAGGTTAGGTAGATATAAGGTACCTAGCTATTATTTACGATATAGTACGATTATATTCCTTTAATCTGCCTCTCTCATCTTGCATATCTACTTACCGTGTTCGTCTCTCTGTCTCTCTCTCTCTCTCTCAAAAAAAAAAAAAAAAAAAAAAAAACGCGGTCTATCCAACAAGTCTCATCGTCAAAGCATATTACTCGCGTGCCCCGCCAGTAATCTTCCGATACATGCCGTATTGCAAAAAAACAAGCTAGCAATATTAATCAGTACAAGACGCTTCGCCTCCCAAGCCTACACGCTTCAAAGAGACCTTGGCACCGGCTTGTATTTGCGCATAAAAGAAAGGGGGAAAAAATTAAGAGCGAGCAGAGAGCAAACCCGCGGCGAGCGAAGCATTCGCGGGAGATATATACTGAGTAAGTCTACTTGCTAGTCCGGCTATGTCCACTTCCACTTTGCGCTTCCTTCCTTCCTTCCTTTCTTTCTTCCTTTCTTCGTTCAAGATCTGTCCCAAACCACACGAGGGAATCTGTCCGTTCTGCTCTTCCCAGAAGCCAAGCCAAGCCTCCTCCTTTCTCTTCCCTTTCCGTCCCATCTCCCTCTCCTCATGATATAAATAATATACGCAGATGAAGTGTCCCCGGATCCTACCTAACAAGCAAGCAAGCAAGCAAAGCGGTATGTAGGTCCCCCTTGGTGATTGAACAATAAAAAAAGAGTAAACGAAGAAGAGAAAAAGAAAAAAAAAAGAAAAAGAGAGAGAAGGAGAGAGAGCAATGAACCGATGCCGTCGCTTACTGCCCGTTTAAATGCTTCGATATCCCAATAACGCCTTCCTGATCAATTCTTTCTTCATTCTCGTCCGCATAGTTATATACCCACCTCCTAGGTACCTTATATATACGTCATGTCAGAACGTCCAGTCTTCCGACATGGCCGCGCGCCTCCGTTTATGCGTCAGAGTCTGCTGCGAACCTGGTGTTGCCACGACCTGTTCCGGGCTTTGTACCCAGTCGTACCCCGGGGTCCGCCACCAGTTCCCGGGCTCCCTATACTTCCTATGTGCGTAACTGAAGTTGTCTTCCGCCCCGGCATCGCACCGTTCCAGGTGCATGACGCCGCCTCGGGAAAGATCGCATGACAAAGCAATCAGGTCTTGTCCCTCATTAGCAAAAGCAACCCCGCCGAGTTCGCCAAATATATCGACCGTCTGCCTTGCGTTGAACGTCTGAGCGTCGATTAACTCGATAAAATCGGCTTCTTCGGCGGCAACCAGAATCCTCTTGCCAGATCCAAGAGGGGAAAATCGTAAGCTACGGGCGCCAGCCATCTCGGTTCGCACCACAGCAACCGAGATGCTTTCGCCCTTGCTATTCTTCCATTTGCGGGCATCCCATATTCTAATACTCCTGTCTTGGTTTCCGGTGGCGACAGTCCAGCCATCCGGCGCCCAGTCACAGGCAAAGCCGAAATCCCTATGGCCTTCAAGGCTTTGGAGTATCTCGCCGCTCTCGGCATCGGTAATAAGCACGTTTTGGTCATCCCCCACTATGACACGAAGCCTCATATCCGGGCTTAGGGCAGAACAATTCATGGCAGAGCGGTACATAATTTCCGATATGACCTTGTTTCTGGATAGATTTACCACGCGAAAACCGAAGTCGTTGGAAGCAAAGGCCGCCAACGGAGTAGACGAACCCCGAGAAGAATGTATTTGTACATGGTTGGTTATACCGCTGTTATGGTTAGTTAACAACCCTTCGTGCGCCTCGAGGTCTGGTGAGGAGTTTAGGTGACGGTAACGGTAAGTTCCGTAAAAGCCACCAGCAATTAAGATGTCCTCGCTAGCGGCTAGTGTAGATATGTGAGAGCTGGTTTGACTGTCGAAGCGCATCGCAACTTTATCTCGTCCCGTAGTAGGATCATGCTCCTTGATATTGGTGAAACTCGGATAGAATACCCTCGTTCGCGATGCGACGCCCAAGATGTTGCGAAGCTGGAAATGTAGCAAGCGAACATCGCGCCTGATATCCATACTTTTAAATCGAAAGTAATTCTCAACAGGGCGTAGTAGCCTGTCGCGCGAATCAGTATGCAACGAATCTGACTCCGGCTTATTCACATAATTATGAAACGTCGCCATACGACGACATCGTGCCATGTTCCTCGTTACTCCCAGGTCCCTCCAATTGATACCTTGGAAATCGTATAAGTCACCCCTCAGCTGCTTGTAATCTACTCGGCGGGGGCATTCCCGAGCCAGACGGCTAATCTGTCGAGAGGACGGTACGGGTCCGTTCATGCGTAGTTGCATGTCTGCATTGCTCTGCCACTCCCAGAGCTCAAGAAATTGCATGACGTGGGGGTTCTCAGGGCCGAGCGATACAGGGTTCGCATTACTGAGGGCCATGGGATGGAGACCGGTATTCGCGACGACATCCATATCATCTTCGAGAGGTTCTTGGACGTCCGGTAGGGTTATGAGGGTTTGCGAGGGTAGGATGGCGACTAAATCGGTATCGATAGGTGGCGAGGTCTGGATTGGGATGCCGGGGTGATTAATGGGTGCATATTCGACAGGCGCCATTATAACGTGACCTTGATCTTGATCGTCTGGATCATCCATGTTCACGTCGTCGATTAAAGGCGCGCCGCCTTCTTCGATATCAATATCAACGTCCAACATTTGGTGGTTAATGCCGGGGCTACTACTACCGGCGTCATCACTGTCCTCGAAATGTTGGGCGCTGACGGGGTCGAGGTCGAGGTTGACATGCGCTGCAAAAGACGTGGGTTCGTAGGAATGGGACCACGGATAGTCATTCATAGGACTATTAGTTTCGGGTTCAGGTAGATGGTCAGGTAGATGGTCAGGTAGATCAACTTCAACTTCAGCAATTTGAGGCTGAGAAGATGAGAAGGCATCTTGGCCGATCTGAGGACGGTCTGGGGCGAGGAATGGAGAGACGGGTGGGGAATTAGTAGGACGCATCGCTGTTGGAGGTGCTTTAAGTCATTTGGTTGGAAATTCGAGCCTAACCGCTCTAAGTTTGGGGGTTCACCATAAAAAGATGAACCTGTGTTGCTTTTATGTTTCTGTCCTGCAGAACCGGTTTCCTTAACTATTGGTTCATTTAAAAAAAAAGATTTTTGAAAAAAAATAAAAATAAAAAAGGAGGGTAGCAAGGACGCGAATTACATGTAATTTTGTATTATGTAGCTGAGTTGGTTTTTTAACGCTTCTCCAATGTAGCAGTGATAATATCATGTATTGTACAGTATGTAGCGTATAATGTAGTGTAGTGTAGTGTAGTATGCAGCGTCAGAGCGTGTAATGTGTGTAGGTGATGTGTGTATTGTAGATGGATGAACGGAATGGGATGGGCGGATCTTCAGCAGGGCGCCAAGATGGGACGAGGCAGCGATCCCCTAGGTAGTTCGCGGCTATCGAGGGTTGTATACAGTAGCGTAAACTTTGTATTGTAAGTACCTAACATGTCTCACGTCCACGGGTAGTAGACTGTAGGGTACCAAGATAAAGAGGGTCGGCGGGGTATGAGGTACTGCTTTATGAAGGTACCTACCTTAGGTACCTATGCCCAATCGATCGATGTAAGATAAAGAGCGGATTAGGTTTATTACTGCTGTCCGGTTGTAGGTCGTTGCTGCTGCAACATCACGGTTGATGACGATGGATTGGACTAATGCAAATACAGCACCCTTATGACGAACGAAAAAATAAATACGGTTTACGATTTAGGTACCCAATGTATTTCTACCTTACCCACCACCGATTTCCATAGCCATTTTTGGACCGACTTACATGTCGTAGTGATCTTCTCGTACTTCGTATTTCATCACATGTCCCAATCCGACTCTGCATGCCGCTCAACAACAGGAAATATAATTATCGTCATTACAAATAAAATATCGATCAATTATTCGAAATTATATTCGAAATTACATTTACCATAACGGCATCTTTCCAGGAGTCCATCCCTCTTTTTGATTTAGGAATGGATACCTATTAATGCCATGCTCAAATCTCAACTATGATACATCACTTTTAAACAACCCGTCTTATGAACCACTTAACTATCCTCGTTACGAAATAGAATGAATGCTATTGTTCTCCAAATTCCATCCCTTTTCTCAACCGGTGAGGTAGTGGCTTCAGAGTTGACTCCAGAGTCGACAAGTCAGTATTTGAATATTATATATATATAAGATATAAGATATATACCTTGTATTAACTACTTAACTACTTACCTGTTATGCTAGGTATTATTAGGTGACTCGCCGTGTGAGACACGGGGATTGAAGAGGCTTGATTGACGGGATCAATATTTCCACCCCTTCGCACGGTTGCCGTCGAGTCTTCATTCGCCCATGGCCCCGTAGCCCCCGATAGCCCATGACCTATGACCTATGGGGAGCAAGAAAAAAAAAAGAACAAGTCACCCCCCCAGAAGGGGAGCTGGAGGGGGAAGGCCTGGGGTATAAGCCGTATATATGTACTCTCCCGAAAATACTCACTCACCGCCGGCACAAAGAGTTTATCAACCGAACTCCTCTTCTAATTCTAATCCGAGTCCGAAACAGGATGGGGTCCTGAGGAACGAAAAATCTATACTAAGCTTACAAATTCGGTACCAAGTATAACGGCGCTACGGCACTAGGAAAAAAAAGAAAAAGAAAAAGAAAAGGAATGGGAATCTCCAGCCTTGTACTTACAATACACCCCGCACCCGAACTCCCCTCGACGATAGGTAGTAACTCCATCGGTAACCCAATAACATCAGTTTTGGGGCCCGGGCTCGGCACCGTTGATCTGCGAGGATCACAAGAAAAATAAAAATAATAATAAAAAAAATTCGCAAGGCGATGCACCACTGGCATCCTCCTCCTTTCGTCCACCACTGCTACTATTTGGGCATTATGTGTGGTAGTACGGCATAGTCGATTCATGGCCTATTATACGCCCGGCCATGGGGTCTATCGCCATCTCGACTTACCACTATCGTGTGTGTGTGTGTATGTACCCAGTTCTCCCACCGCCGTCAGAATTATCCTTCTCGCCAGGGCTCGAAATTGGTTGGACGGCAGAAGACCGGAACGGGCTCATTTTTCTTCCCTTTCCTTCCTTTTGTTTTTCTTTTCTTCGCTCTCGTGTCCGCTGTTTCATTTCATTGTCTTGTTCTTCGCCGTATTACTCCCCTCGAGGCGGAAACACGGGTATCTGCAGTGTAGCATCTGGCTTTTTTTTTTTTTTGGTTTCTGATCTCACTCTCACTTTTTCTTTTCTTTTTTGGCCCTGTCCTGCCCCGAGCTGCCCGATCCAAGGTAAAAAGGTAAGATGCCTCCTTCCCATTGCGGCCCTTCGCAGCCCTTCCCACTAGGACGTTCTTGATCTCGCCCTGGCCAGCCTGGCCTCCTCGTGATACCAGCTAGCGAGGGTAAGCTGACGATGTCTTCGATAACTCGATTTCACCACCAAACTCAACAACCCCGGTCCCTCCTCCCCTCCCATCCATCACCCACGTTCCCGGATACTGGGTCCTGTGGCTGCTTGGGGATCGCCCTTCTCCCCCATGTTCGGTTTCTCCCTTGGGTGGTTAACCACGTCCTCGAACATGGAATAACCCGGCTCCGTCGTAAACAAAACAAGCCTCCTTCACCGAGGTTGCCTCGACGTCCGTCCTTTTCGGTAAGGCTCGTTGTCTCGCAGGTATTGACTCGCTAACAATGTCCCCCATCTTGATTTTTCCAAGCAAACCATACGGCGTAGAATTGCCAGTTAGATAGGTACCTACCTAATTACAATATCATTCTCTTCGGTTTGGGCTTGTCTTCCTCTCCCCCATACTTCTGGCCTAACGCGAGCAATCGAAAATGACTCATTATCCCCCCCTTTTTAGTCCCTGCTTTCTCTCTCATATCTGTGCTGCATTACCTTGGGTACCTAAATATATAAGCCTTGTTACATGACGATTTCCACGCCGTAACACGCGCGCGTGAGATCTTCTCGCACAGCTCTAGACCAAGCATCGAACGAAGATCCTCCTCCTCCTCTAGCTGCCTAACCGTGATACGAGCTTAGCTTCCGGTCCCAGAACTAGTTACTACCGTAATCGCCCTGTGCGACAGCGATTTGCCTATGGGATCGTAGCGTAGGATATACCTACCTAGTCAGAGATCGTCAGACGTGTACATATACCGAAAGAAACGGAAACAACAAAAAAGAGCATTCTTGCTAAAGGGCCTAAAGTATGATTATGAAGTATACTGTCATATTAGTTTTGCGGCATGGAAACCTAGCGAGCTACGTTTATGTACAAAAAAAAAGCTAACGCATGCCTTAAAGCTCTCCTCGGGTTCTCTATACATATATCTCAATCCATGTTCTTGAATCTTGCTTTATAGGATCTACAACTTCAGAAAGACGACCGCTACCCGAGTCTTCCCATAACGACACCCATTCCTACCTAATATATAGTAAATGAATAACTTCGTAACACTCAATACGTGACTCTGCCCCGCCCCCTTGCTCATGCGTCTGAATAGTACTGGTCGTCATAAGGGTGGTGGTACGGTGCGTTAGGGCCCGAAGGAGGCCAAGCACCGCCGGCTACGTTCTCCCTCGAACCCCAGTAATTGTCCCTGAGTCGTCGTTCCCGCTCGAACTCGGCCCACCGTTTCATAGTAATCTTGCTGCTATCAAATTCGCCTTCGTATTCGATACCGGCCTTCTTTGTTTTCTCTCCCGCAGTCTTTCGAGTATCACCCCATGAAAAGTCGTCAAACTTCCAAAACGCGTAGGTTGGGAGTACGAAGTTCCAAATTGGTAGTGATAAGAGATAGATAATCATCCATACAACGTATGACCACGAATGGGCTGTAACGACGATGAGAGCGGCCGGAAGACCAAGAATCAAACCAAGAAGTATTAGTGGGATGACTTGTACTGGGCCAATAATAGAGGAAATAACTGGAAGCATGTTAGAATAAGGGCCACGCTTTTTGGGATTAGGGTATATATGTATGAACTTACCGACATAGAAGGTGAAAGCGATAGCGGCCGGAAGCACCAAAGTGCCCACCAACTCAATGAAAACGACAAATTGCATACTGAAGCAGAATGTGCCACAGAGATCCTTAACGAGGACCAGTTCCATCAAGTTGTGGATCGTGGAGTTAATCCATCTTCGTCTTTGCGATAGTAAAACGAAGAATTCGTCGGGAACGGTGGTTTTGCAGACGGCCTGAGGGACGAAGACTTGCTTACGCTTGGGGAAAGTTCGAAGCATGAGAGTAGTCAAGTATCGATCCTCTCCAAGAAGCAAGAGATTCTTTCGGTGCAGGGTATCAACGACGTTTTCCGAATAGTGCTCGACGACGTCTGGATTAGCGAGGATGGGAACCCAATAATTCTGCGCGCCCTTGGGGGCCTTGATACGATACATGCAGAAACAACCGGGAAGACAGGTAACACCACCGAAGACGGACTCGAAGGACTTGGACAGGTGATGGGAGATGAAGTATTCGAAGACTTGAATGGCAGATACCCAACTTTGTCTCTTGTTGGCAATCTTGGTCTCGCCGCAGAGTCCCATGATATCCGGATCGCGAACCATGGCACAGAGCATATGAGTGAGACTGTCAGGAAACACCTTGGTATCTGCATCCACCATGAGTACCGCTTCGTAATAATCTGGGGAAATACCCGTTACTTTCCAAAGTCCATTGAACATCTCGAATTCGAGTTCCGTCATGCGCTCGTCGAACATAACCTTCTGTAAGAACGACATCAAAATAATTTGACTGTCACGCTTGCCTCGGTTACCGGGTTTGGCATTGGTTGCCTCGTCAGGTGTACCGCACTTTACCACTAGCATCATGGGAACCCTTTGCTGTTTGTCTACCGGAATGGCGGAGTTAGCACCGTAGTCGTAGAACCCAGCGTAGACCTTGGCCATGTTGTGCCGCTTAGAACCACTAGCCACGGCTACGTACGAGAACCCCTGGACTTCCTCGACGGGTACAGTGTGGTCCTTCATCATGCCAAGGACAAACTCGGGTGTCGTCATACTCTCGCCTTTACCCTTGATCATACCGTCGCAAATAACGAGGATAACTTTGTGGCTGTTTGGATAATCCGTCATGGCAATTGAGTCTAGCGTAGTCCTGATACCCATTTCGCCCTCGGAATAGGCCGTAACAAGGCAGATGGAGTGGATCAAGGGGAAGCCAAATGGCTGGTAATCGGAAGGCGGCTGAGGCACAACCGCTTCGTGTATGAAACCAGCAGGACCGTAACCATCCATTGGGCTAGCTGTACTGCCGTAGGGGTCAGAACGGAGCATGCTTGTTCTACTATCGTTGCCTTGTTTGTACATAGAATTAGGGTGGAGTAGAGGACCAGTTGACGCTTGGCTTGCCATAGTGGTCGGTTGTGGCCTTCTCGGATTCCTGTCACTACCGTAAACGGCCGAGAATCGAGATGTCGTCGGTAGGAAAGTGCTGGCCCGTTTACTAGTTCTGTCAGACCCCATATAGCTACTACCCACATCACCGGGCATGCGTGGGGGTGCTCGGTAGATATCCTCAGTCCAATCCTCGATTTGTCGATTCCGCTTTTTCTTATCGGCGGTTTGCGAGGTTTTAGCAGCAGCGTACTTGCGACTGATAAACCACTGGAATATCAACGCTAGACAGAACCTTGTTATAACGACGGACAAAATCAAAATTAGAGACACGTAAAGGACAACCTGGGACGCGATGCATCCAACTGTATCTGTATCCACAGACCCGACCTTTACAATCTCTTCAAGACAACCAGCTACCTGTTTGTCGGCGGGTCTCTGGAATGCTCGGGTGATATCGCGCCCACGAATTGCTTTATTGGCAGCCGAGTTCTTGTCGCGCAACTCCTTAAACCGGTCCGGAATCTTGACTTCATCTTCATTAAACCAGTTGAGAAGGTCTAGGTCCAGGACGTTACCGGAGTAAACAACCAAGTTGCGCGAGCTGTTCTTTATATCGTCCCAAGTAAAGAATACGTCACCGGTGCTGCGAAGCTGAAGATAGAACGTGTCTCTGGCTTTCGCGGTGGTATGGCATGCGTAACCGGGGTTGTCGTACGGCCGGGTAAAATTAGGCTTCGAGGATCCATCCTGGTTAATGGCCGTACACGGGAAGTACCAAGCAAGCTCGTCCGGATCGTTATTGTCATGTGGAACGTCCGAGTTGTCTGCCAATGTAATAAGGCCCTTGCATTTACCGTTAACGTTCTGGAAGAGAAAGCTGCCATCCATGGCGCCATATTTGGTAGGCAAATCCCATAAAACGTTGGGAAATGAACCATCCTGGCGAAGTGGAATACCATCTGCAGGTGGATGACCAGACCCCGATAGATTATAGGCGACACCGTGGAATATCATGTACTCGGTAGAAACATCGTTGATATGAAGACGTACACCGGGCGTGGCGCAGACGGTTTGCTGGAAGCCGAAAGTCAAGTAACCAACGAAAGCCATCATGTACAGAATAAGACTAATGAGGCCCATCTTTTCCCTCCAAGCTCTTTTCTGCGCCTTCGCGGTAAACCCGCAACATCCCAAGATAAAGTCCGGACACCAAAAGGTAACAATAGCGCAATAAACGTTCCAAACACTCGGAGGGCTAACAGTCTCTTGCGATTTTCGACGTTTGTTGTCCTTAGAAGGTTTGGAAATTTTGTGTCCTGACGAATGCCGTTTTCGTTGTGATACTCGGGGCTTATGTTTTTCGCTTTCTCCACTAGGTTTTCGTCTGGGAGGGGAACTGTCCGAAGTGGCATCAATAGTCCGGTCGCCAGATATATCCGTCCTATCTTCTAGATCCTCGTAGAGAGGGTCGTGTCCAGTGGAAGAAGGGTGCGTATCCATATTCGCAGCATGCTGTCGATAGTAGTAGTTCGGATGGTCCCTGTCGATTCTGTTTCTTTCGGGTCTTATAAGGCTCCTCTTGCGGGTCGGCACACCGCTGGGGACGTGATCTGGAGAAGTTGGCGAAAGCGGTGATCTGTCTGTGGTTCCGTTAGGATTCTGAATTGTCTCAGCGAAAGAGTTTCCTGATGGCGCACGTTGGTGAGAGGACTGTCCTCGTCCGGGGACAGGATAGTACCCGGTTTCGATGTCGGAAGGACGAGCGCGTCTTGACGATTGCCGATAGGAACTCCGATGCTCATACGAGGGACTCGCCGGCCCCGGCCGCTCAGGGAGCGACATGATTCAAAGTGAGCTATTGAGCTATTGAATAATGAAAAGTTAATTCATAGGTATTGTGCGATTATATATGAACAAGTTTCGCTGGTAAAAAATAAAGTATCGCTAGTTAGGACGGACTATTGACGGACGTGTCGCAAGTCTAGCCCTTCACCTCAATGAGATGCAGATTGGCTCAGCGATGGCTCAGATTGGATGAAGCCTACTGAGCACGGAACCTTACTGAGCACGGAGCCTACTAAGCACGGAGCATGGTAAGAAAAGATCTGCATGAGTTATGTCTGGGGAAAAGGCGGAAAACGGAAGGGCGCTGGGGATGGGGATGATGAGATTACAGATGATGTTTTTTTTTGGTGGTGGTCTTTACTCACTGGTTTGTTGTGACGGGCAACTGGTGGTCGAGGTGTTCCAAGTTTGCGCTGAAAAGGAAAGGACGATCCGATCCCTGTACCAATATACCAATAACCAACGGCCCAGAAGCTTAAGGTAAAGGTAAAGCCAGTAGCGCTAGCTAATTAAAGCCTTATTAAAAGCCTTCATAAAGTCAAAAGAAACCCAGGTTATATTAGGTATGAATGTCCGTAACCAATAATGCTAACTTTTTCGAAGAAAAAAAAACTTAATACTTTCAATAATTGCTAACTCGGAATCGATTGTTTATCAGTGGTGTATCAGCAGGATAAACATTGACCGTGAAGAAATGTTGCAGTTGAGAGCGCCGTAAGAAAGTTGCAGAATCGCGGGTTAGCGAGTTAGCGAGCTAGTTAGCGGGTATCAATGGGTAACACAGCGCGCCACACTAAAAAGCAGTCAACTAAAAATTAGGCATAACAGGTACCCTTGAAGAAAGGTACCACAGTTTAAAACCTTGAACGAGAGTACAGCAGCCGCGCCAAACGAATGCAATTAAAAAGAGAGAACAAGAGAGTACATTCGAGGTCGGAGAATAGGTAGTGAAGGTATGAGCGAAAGTATGAGCGAAGGTGAGAGCCTCCGACTTGGTGACCCGAAGGAAATTGGTATAAGCGGAGCAACGGCGGGTGAAGAACAGTGGTGAAAATGACAAAATCTTGCTGTGCTAACCACGGCGAGGAATCGGGAAAAGGGGGCTACACAGTACGAAAATACAGTATGATTTCTCCAATACACAGTCCATTCCAGGATCACTATAGTAACCTTACGTCATTATTTAACATTACTTAAGGCTAAGTATCTTAATGGCAAGTGCTGCATGAGAGGTACAACATCTTCACGTACTGATATGTCTTGCTCGTGTTTACCCCTACCTAGCCTAACATCCAGCCGATCAAAGACTCGGGGTCAATCCTGACCAGCCCATAAATGGAATTGAATTGTGCAATTGAATACGAGAGCAACTTAGGGACTAGACAATAGGTACAACACTAACCCGCCGCGCCAAGCAGAGGAAATATGGATTCCTCAAGTAAAAAAGCTACCTGGTATAATGTATTCCTCAATTAAGCTTTGGACTTGGTAAATCCAAGCGGTTTGGTCAGGTACATAACCTATAAGAGGCGCGTGAAGGTCGAACTTTTTATCAGAATGCCACCTGCCAAATCTTTATGGAAAGGAATCATTTATGATTTAGGTAGTGACAAATGCAAAATGTACTTGGTAAGTACTCTTTTAAGACACCCTGCCTTAAAATAATTTCTTCAGAAGTTGATAGGGATGACCCAAAGTTAAACACATCTAATCTTTATTGGCATGCAGCGAGGGTCATCGAGATCAGACCAGATCAAAGTTGTAGCCCAACCTTAATTAAAATCTGCCTTGAAGCTTCAGCTTACAACTAATGGGAGCCGCAAAATAATAAGCGAAGGAAGACGAGGACAAAGGACTGCGCAAGGGTCCGTGGTGGTGGTCACTGGTCAGTCATACCATTATATTCCCGTTGTGTCCCCGAGTGGCTTCGTGCGAAACTTCTAGCACGTGGCCTAAATATGACGGCTGTTTCGTTTGTGAATCTTGTCCTTATTAGACGCCTAGGTCTTTTTAATCGAGCACTTCCCTGGGAGCTGAAAAGGAAAATGAAACAAAAAAGGCTAGTAAAGGCCTGGTCTTGGTGCCAAGACAAGAAAAACGCAGACACCATATACAATTTGAGGTTGGCGACAGGACACCGGTGGTTATTCTGCCACCACCTTCAATAGCACTATTGAGTGCGGCTAAGCTCTAGCAGCACGCTCACGCCCGGCGCAATCCCAAAAGCTGAAAAATCGCTTGAAATTCTACTTGGCATGTTCGAGGACGAGAAATGGAACAGCGACAATAAAGCCGACGGTTAGATAGACCGGATTATTACCTGATGATACATGAAAGTGTTTATGTTTATGCCTGTAGCCTTAAGCCGCGTTGCCGAGACTGGGAGTAGGAAAGGGGTCTTCTAAGCTTGTTAGTTACTCTCTGTTCCCGGTGTACCGTATTACACATCTCGCAGGGCGACAGCGTGTACAACAGAGCACGAAAGGCAACCTTGCGCGAAGCGAGGAGCGAAGCTAACTTGTGCTTGCAAATGACGCTGCAGGCATGCAGGTCTTTAATTGAGGTATTGTACCATACGTTTCTGCGCATAGGGCACGGTGGAACTGGATCCTCAAGCCTAGATGGCTCCGTTTTTCGCTCTTTGTGCGCTCGAGTTCGTATTGCTGCGCGTAGTGTTGTCAACCTCTCAGCTTTACGAGAAGAGGGATTTTTTGTATGGTCAATTGAGCTTATTCTGACTTGGCCGATATTGAAAGAAGTCCCCGCATTCGTCATCTTTCGTTACAAGCAACCAACCTGTTGAGAAGGCTTGTAGAACTAACGACAGGACATACTATGTTAGGTAGTGGAGAAGACTTGACGCCGTCCACAGCAATGTGAGCACTGACAAGTACAGGACAAGCATACCAACGATAGCTGCTGGGTTAGCTGGTTAGTTGGTTAATTGCGTGATTGGCGCAATTTTCAAAGGTTACATCCTATACGGGGTCTCGCCAGCAGAACTCTCGATCCTTCCGCACGTACGTATAAATAGGCGAATGGACAAAAACCGACTTATTATCTACAGGAAGGGCCACTTATTTCTTCGTCTTGGAGGCTTAGATGTGAGGAAATATAGATGTTATGTGGTCTTTATGGTATTTTCATAGCCTAATCGATGTTTTTGATCATTCCCGTAGCACATCGTGTACGTTTGTATGTACGTATGCCTACCAGGTACACTGGAGACCCGTTATTTAAGGTGGGGTAGACTGCCCAGGAAAGAGAGAGACTGGGAGAAACAAAGATACAGGTACACGGTACCTACTATACACCTTACCTTAGGTACCTGACCTTACATTAGATCTACCTTACATATACCTATCCAATCCCCGAAAAAAAAAATAAGTCGCTACCTAACTAAAAGAGACTGGGACCTGAGTTCAGCATGTACAATACTATACGAAGTTACATCATATATCCAACTAGGTAGCCACCCCTAAAACTCTCTCTTACCACTTACCTCCGACCGACCATCGAATTTAGGTTGATCACTCTGTTTCGTCGACCTACAACAATCCAATTCCTTATTTCTTTTCTAATTACTATCGTTTTCTATCATCGCACAACAAACCTTTTACCGGCTGTAGCCTCAGCTTTTTACAGCCCTCCGCGCCAACCTTCTTTTTTTTCTGCAGTTATTGCTTTCTTGTCTAGAATTTGCATCAACGGTTAGACTTATTGTCTAAAGATACCCCGCGCCCATAGATACAATAACTTTTGCAGTCTTTTTTTTTATTATTTTCATTTGGTACAGCGACCCTATTTTTTAGGAAAAAAATAAAAATAAAAATAAACCTCCGAGCCGTGTTCCCCGTCCACCTGACCGGCATCCCCCCGGCGTTGGCCCATCGTCTATTTCCAACGCATTAGGTACAATCGTTTAAGTCGACATTAGAGTTATACCTGTGAAACAGCCATCACAACCGTACAGCGCTAAGGTCCAGGGGTCCAACATATGTGATGTTTGTATTATCACAATAGGAACGAGCCCGCCGCGAGTCAATGCTTGGGTCTGGCGCGACCGCTGTAACGACTAACCGCGCCCATTCCCATCTCCTCCTTAGCCATTGCCGCGGCGAACCTCTCTAAGCAATGGCTACGGTTACAGACCCTCCCACCCCTCCGCCGCCCGCCGCCGCCTCTCCTGCTAGGTCCATCCACCGGAAACCTCTTCCCGTGCCAAAGCTACCTCTCGTCGGTCAACATGGACGTGCCGATTCTCAAGAGAGCTTTGCTGAAAACACTTTACCGGCTGAGGCAACGATCGAGTCGCCCAAAATCAAAGAGTTGCCCGTGTCTCCGGTACAAGTGAATTTCCAACCAGGCGACTGGGCGCGGCCGTCAAATACCACTATCGAGAGCGATCACCATGCGCAGCGAATGCCCTATACGACACGCAAAGTTCACGACAAGCAGAACGTACCGGCATCTTCGGATGCGCGCCTTGCATCCCCTAATACCACCTATGACCAATTGAGGACTTTGACAACTAAACAGATATTTGCTACCGACTTTCCTCACAATCCAGGTCAGGGAAACCCTTTAAGTGCTACTCAGACTGAACCAGGGCATACAGAAGCCTCAGCTGCGCTGGAGCTGGACGGCCAAAGCTTCAGCGAAAGCTCTCGCAGCGATGATCCAAACCGACATAGTCGTGAATCAGATGCAACCGCGAGCACGCAGCTGCAAACCTCAACTGACTCGTCTGCCGAGACCAGCGCAAGTTCAATTTCTGGAGGTCTCAATGAAGCGTGCGACGGTCGAATTGTGCTGGATGATGTATCTCAGGAGGATTCTTTTGATGAGAGTTTCATGCAAGACAGTCAATCTGTACCTCAGTTACAATATCATCACCAGGCTTTTCTTCCGCGAGTCTCCAGCGTGCCAATTGAGTCAAACTCGAGGAACTCCTCCAAGTCTGATCTGCTCTCAGACCCGGCCATGCCCATAAATCGCCATTTGACCCCTAATTCTTTTATGAGAAGGAGTTCTATGCCTCGGCCACAGTCGGAGTATGCCGGGTATGCCGAATTGGGACCGCGCGGACGGTCTCCGAGTTACGGGGCCGCTCACCCACGCAGTCCTTCTGTTCATTCTCGCAGGTCGCCTGAAACCAGACCAACCTCCTACGCAGAATTGCTCAACGTACCGTATCCTCAGCCGGCTCCAGCTCCTATCACATTCGATAATTCGTACCTGCGCAACAATGTTGGGAGCAACGCCTCCTTACTAAGTGCTCAGAAGACGCTGGAGATGTACAGGCAAAATCTAAAAAAGACAACCGACTTTTCTATTCAGTATTCTTTCGCCATCTTCTTGATCTCTACCGCGCAGGAGCAGGGCCTTAACTTCGAAGAACCTTCCCGTGGAAAAGGCAGTCCGAAAGGAACTCTCAATAAGGAAAGCCCGGAATCTTCCCCGTTAGAATTGGTTCGGGAAGCTAAAAGTATTTTAACAAGGTTAGCCAATGGCGGCTATCCCTTCGCACAGTATTACCTAGCCGACGGTTTTGCCTCGGGCCTGTTCAATAAGGGCAAGGAGGATTACAATGCAGCGTTTCCTCTCTTCGTTTTGGCCGCGAAACACGGTCATGCCGAGTCTGCTTATCGCACTGGGTTATGCTACGAATTTGGATGGGGGTGTAGAAAAGATCCAGCTAAAGCAGTCCAATATCTACGAACAGCCGCATCCAAGAACCACCCAGGTGCTATGACAAGACTTGGAAAAGCTTGTCTTTCAGGAGACCTAGGTGAAAATCGGTACAAAGAAGGAGTAAAATGGCTGAAGCGAGCTACGGAGGCAGCGGACACCATGTACAACGCCGCGCCGTATCATCTCGGCACACTATACGAAACTGGGTACGGCGACGACATTTTTAAAGATGAAAGCTACGCTGCTGAGCTATTCACTCAGGCGGCTGAGCTCGGACATGCTGAAGCCAATTACCGTATGGGAGATGCATATGAACACGGCAAGCTCAATTGCCCGCGAGACCCGGCCTTAAGTGTTCATTTTTACACCGGAGCAGCAGATCGGGGTCATGCTGCGGCTATGATGGGGTTATGCGCGTGGTATATGGTTGGTGCCGATCCCATTTTAGAAAAAGACGAGGGGGAAGCCTACGAATGGGCTCGTCGGTCAGCAGAGCTTGGTAAGTAAACCTCATTGGATATCTACAACATCGCAATGTCCTACTAACGTAGTTGTCCCAAACAGGCTATACCAAAGCCCAATACGCTGTTGGCTACTTTACCGAAATGGGCATAGGGTGTCGCCGCGACATTCTCGAAGCCAACGTTTGGTATGTCAAGGCAGCAGATGCCGGCGATGAGCGTGCCAAGCAGAGACTGGCCGCTATTAGGGCAGCTGTGAGCGGCAACGGCAGCGGCACGCCTATGGAAGTTGCCGCACCACGAAGCGCGAAAATGAGAAAGAGTCAGACAAAAGACGACAAAGATTGCGTTGTAATGTAATACGTTCATACGATAAAGCTCGCTAGTTACGAACTGCTGGAGATTTGGAGGACTCTATTCCATCCTCAAATGCCAGGCGATGTCTATGTTGGAAACCATGCGGAATACTCGTCGAGCAGTGCACACTTTTTCTTTCTTCTCTTTTTTTTTTTTTTTCTTTTTTAGAATATCCAATGTTTCAGCCTCGATTTGGGGGATCTCTAAGTGGAAAGAGATGAATTTCGAAGTAACATATGGAACGGTTCGCGTGGTCAACATAAGGGAGAGGCAAGCAGGAAATTTTCTTTCATTTTTTGCCCTAGACCGAAGGATTCGTTTCTTTGGTAAAGGGTTGTGGGCGGCCGGATTCACACATTCTTCTGGCAGAGACCAAAATCATTTGCATTTGCATGCGATGCGAAGCATGGTGACGAAAACGGCATCGGGGCGGTAGAGAGATGAATAGGCCAGCTTCCGGTGTATTTTCTGTCACCCAAATTTGTATCATGAAAAGGCGTTCGATCTTCATTTTCCTCCCATCTTTTTTTTTCTCCCTCCAACTCTTTAAGCGTTTGTTAATAAGCCAAAGAAGACGAAACTTCAAAATGATACGAAGCGGGCTGAGCGCACTGATTTCGGAGACGGGTGGTTGATGCGGCTTGCGGTAGCTGGGAAAGGCTTATATTATACACAAAACGCCTCCCCCCTTTATCGAGCTGGTCAGCATTTTGCGGATACACCGCGAAACTCGTATCCCCTCTGCCACACGGTGCTGTTGTATATATCAAAAGAAAGCGATTAATGATACTCGCCACGCTGCGTTACGCAGTGTGGAACAAAAGCTGTGATATTAAACTACTTACTTGAGAGCTGCAATTTCTGTGATGTGTGCGTGTGATGTGATGTGATGTGATGTAAAATGATCTTGTCTATACTTGGTAACTAGTTGATATTCATGAAACTCGATAATAAGGCTACCTTATATATATATACTCTAGGTATACTATACGACAAAGCTAACTAACAGGTAGTATAAGAATAAAGAATATATAAAAAAGCCTTGCCCTGAATTGGTCTAACTCACTTCCCCTTGAGCTTTGGGCGTCGGTTTATACCTAATCTAACCTAACCTATCTATCTACTATATTTTGATGTCGACGACGATCATGATGGGGAGGAGGTGTTTATGCCTTGACCTTAACGCACTGGCTGACCATTTAAAAGGAGTTATAGCGAGATATACTTATTATACTCGATATATTAGCTAGGTACCTACCTAGACACCTTATAGGTCTTAGAACACTTGAGATACAACTACAAAACACTGTGAACAATTCAGTTACCTATACTTTTTTTTACTTGAGGATATAACTTGAGGATATATCCTCTAATCAAGTTGGTAAATATTCACATCCCTCTTAATCCGTATTGATCAACTAACGCGAATGCTCATCACCATCATCATCACCGAAACAACGCTACACCTCTCCATTACGTTTTTGTGGTCGAATATAATAAACTGAATAAAGGTACCTTAGCTATATAACCCCTTTCCCTCCCCCCAAATAACGCCATGCGATGGGAACCCCTTTAGGCTCTTGAAATGAACTATTAGTGAACATACACGCAAACGCCCATGTTGTCATGACTCATGACGTCGGAAATAGCAACGTTAATAATCGATCGCTCTCGAAACTCCTCTCCACAACCCAAAAATTAGGTAGCTTTACGCGCCCCCCTTGGTTGATTCGACTTCGCTACCCAGTTCTCCGGGCTTCTTGGGGTCAACGACGGCCGAGTACCTCTCGTCGCCCCAGCGAGCTCCGATCGTGACCCAAACGTGCTTGCTAGGCCCGCTGTGTACCGTTTCGCGGCAGCCTGTCCACTGTTGTCGGTGCTCGCGATCCATGTTACTATTACCCAAACCACCGTTTGTAACCCATTCCTTGATAATGTTCTTGATAAACTCAATCTTACGGCGGAAGTCGTTCGCCGCAGGGATACCTTGTATCATGGGATTAATCTCTGGCCGTTTGCGTGTAGCGTTACGCGTTGGCCGAATAGCTGGCTTGGCTGCGAAGTTTAGGAGCGTCTGTAGGGGATAGGATAGAACAGCTCTCTCATCAAGAGCGGTCTCATCCAATTCACCTGTGGCCGCCAGCTTCTCAGCTGATTCCTGCGGGAGATGCCAGAAGTGACACCATGTCCCGGTCGCATCCAGGACGATCTTTGTATGGTCGGGGAAGTTGAACTGGAGATGACCGTCGGCAAAGACCCAGCAACCTACGTCTCCGATTCGCTGGTAGAAAGTAACTACGTCGCTGGGCGGCATTGTTTGTTTAGTAGACGTAGGAACCTGTACTAGACCAGCATCATCCGTTGTGGTATCCTGATCCCGCCCGTACGCCATCATATAGTTGGCAAATTTCTTCCATAAGATAAGATGCTCACGTTTGCGGTAATCAAAAATATCACGGCCGACTGGTATTTTTCCAGGGGTTCCATCCGGACCTATGCTGATTTTGAACTGCGAGGGATGGACAAAGACAGTAGATAAGCCAGACTCGCCGTTGTTTTCATAGAATTGCACCGCCTGGCTCATGGGAACAATTTGGTTCCGATCAGGATATCCTGGGTCGTGTCGTCGCGAGCAATGCTGCTCGGCCTCTCGAACCAGAATACAGCTTGGTGGTAGTGTAACCGTCTTTCCCCCTTTAGCGCTGCCTGGTATGCTCTTGAGCACACAGCCAACGCTTCCATCGTTCAGAATATAGCCCAGTCCGAACTTGTTGGAATAGTCTACCCATTTAACGACAATATGTGGTGGCGATGGCGTCGGTCCTTTACCTATAATAGCCATCGATCGGGAGTTAAGAGCACGCTCGAGTTCGCTCTGTAAACGACGAAGTCTTTCTAGCACAAAGTCGGGCTGAGTGTCTGGTACCGCCATCTTGCGCTCTGAGGGTCCAAACAAGGTCCCCGTGGGGATTTCTCTAGGCACCTTCGTCACTCTAGACGATGTCACTCTCTCAGTCTCTTTCTGAGGGAGGGCCTTTTCTTCTAGTGCCGGGGCGGGCAAGGGCGCCTCTGCTATCGTGGGTTGTTGTGCGGCTGATGATAAAGTCAACGCCGATAATTTCGACGCGAGATTGTTTTCCGATGTGCTTTGGGCAATCTCTCGCTTAGGACGCGATGATCTCATAGTGCTAGAAGCACTAGGTGCTTGCATATCATCTACCGTTCGAGACCGTACTATACCAGATGGCTTTGCAGGGCGATTTTGCGCACGCTGCTGTGCTGCGAAGCTTTGAGGTGGTGCTCGTAATAAACCACTGACCCCTCCTTGCGTCGCTGTACCTTCGTTTGAAACAGGCTGGGGAGCCACTCGAGAGGGTACTTGGAGAAGTTTCTGCTCCCTGCTAACTTCCTCATAAGGCCTATAAACAATTCCTTCAGCAAGTGGAATAATTGGAGTGAGTCCAGCCTTCTCCTCCAGTGCAACTTCTCTCCAAGTGCTTTTGTATACCGATTGGGCGCTGTTCCAGGGTCCAACCTCACAGTTTCTGCACATCTCTTTTAAGTTACGCATGTTTTGGGCGACCATACGTGGCGTTAACTCGATGTTATAAAAATGATCTCCTTCAGGTGGGTAGTCGCGTAGCTTCGTGGTTATTTCTGATTGCGCCGGGATATAGCCAGAGAGGAAGAAGTCGTGCTGGACAATGGCGTCAGGGTCGGGTCGTAACTCGGCTTCTTCTAACATAGTAGCGACAACATCCTTCGCTTCTTCTGATATATACTTGTTGGAATTTTCCGGCTTGGGCCATTCATAATCCCGATTTTTGGCACGACGATAGATCTCGTCCGTCGTCGATGATTGGAAAGGCGGCTTGGAGGTGAGCATAGCAAACCTATAACTCCCAATTAGCTATGAACCACGAGCAATATAGAGTGTTTGATGACTCACATGATAATACCTAAGCTCCATATGTCGACCATATGGTCATGGCCTTTCTTTCCCTTCTCTAGAATCTCGGGGGCAATGTAATTGGGTGTTCCGCACAACGTCGTACGACGAATTGTTTGCATATCTCTGCCTGTAACCAGCAATGCCGCCAGGCCAAAGTCGCCAATCTTGGCGTTCATGTCCTTGTCGAGAAAGATGTTCCCCATCTTCAAGTCTCGGTGGATTATGCCTTTGGCATGCATGTACTTGATGGCACCAGCGATTTGTATCGAGTAGAATCGCACCTCGGGTTCCGTCAATCCCTTTCTTCGCTTGACCATATCCATCAATGAGCCATTAGGGCATAATTCCAGAACAAGATAAGTACAATTTTCAAAGGAGAATGCTCTCAGGAACTGAACAATGTTCTGATGCCTCATTTTAGAATGAATTTGTAATTCGGTTTGGAACTGCTCAAGTAGTTAGTACCGGGGATGGCAACCAGTAGTACGCCAGTGATCCGATTTACCTTTTGCTCCATTTTAGAAGGCATTTTACTCCGAACAATTTTCAGTGCATATTTCCTCCTACTTTTACTTCCTGCGAGGTATCCTTCATAGCACACCGCGAATCCTCCCTTTCCAAGCATTTTTCCGACCTGATACGCAGCTCCGTCTTTACGATCGAAGCTTGGTGGCTCGTAGACGACGGAAGGGGGCTGCGGGGGAGGTTCCTTTTCCTTCTGGACAGCTTTAGCGGCTGGCATCGCTTTAGCTTTCGCAACAGCTACCACCCGGTTAGGGAGTTGAGCATTAGCATCTCTCGGAGACAAAGCATCCGCATCAGCGGTTAGCTTCGCTGCCAGAAGTCGGTCCGCCATCGGGATTGCTGTGCTGCTGGGGAAGTGATAAATCAAACAAAGAAGAGCACAGCTGTAGCTCAACGGACCGTCTTATATTACGATGTTGGAATTGCTGGATAATACTATTAGCACGGGCTGATGGCTATTGTCAATCGAAGAAAGCAAGATTTTTCGGGGTTTGTTTTTGGCTTGGTTTGGTTTAGCGATAGCAAGTTTGTAACAGCATTGGAAATCCGAGGCTCTGAATCATTGGTGATTCATCTGAAGATGTCGAAGTCGAACTTATGGGTTTTCGTAATGATAATTCACGGCTCTTCTGGAAATGAGCGCGATTGATGCACTCCGGCAACAACACAACACAACATAACATAACATAGCAGAACTAAAACACAAGAGACAAAAATAGATAGGCGGTGTCACTTACACGTCTTGAAAAGCATTTGAGTGAGTTGATGAAGACTTTTCTGCAAATTAGCACTGGTTGTCGAAATCGAGAATTGTCGAAACCAACCCTCCGCAGCAAAGATGTTGTGAGAGAAGCAAGAAAGAATTGGGTAGGTAAGTATGCGTCTAATTACAATATGGTTTAACGATCCGGTGTAGGAAGAAGCAACGTGCACACAAAAAAAAAAGTGGCCCATTCATTTACTCTGTACAAGTAAACGTTGGCGTCGTTGCGGAGGCAACCACGACAAGCTACGGTATTTGACCAATCAAAAATGGTATTTACCTTACAACGACCCACATGTCCACATGCTCTATCGATAAGACAAGCTCTAGTGAACGGCATCTTCATTGGATGAAATACCACCTAGAACCTTATTAGGTATTGATTCCATGCCCTGATGATGACCTAAGGTTAGGTAGGTACCTAATCCGTACATCCCACTCTACCACCACAGCGCTATCCCACCACAGTCGTATCTAATCGTAGCCTCGTTTCCCTTGTGGGTGGGGAAATAGAAGGTATTCCTAACGAAGCTGTAGGTAACATAGCTGTTTATGATATGTTTACTATACCTTGAACATCCGAATTCTTTCGTAAGCGAGGACAAACCTAACCGACCTTCTCGGGCTTTTGCACTCGAATACCACCACCGTTCATTCCACCGAGTCGAAATCCACCTCAAGAAAGTCGAAGGCGAGATGGTTGCACTGCCGTTGTTTAAACTAGCGTCCTTGTTCCTAAGGCATATTTCCAAATATGGCGCTGTACGGTCATGACTTCGTTCGAGAATATAGTGTCATGAACCAAGTGCTGACGGCGATGATCAGAATCAAATCAAGGTCCAAGCCCACGAACACCCCCGCTTCCGCCGCTTCGCCGCCAAATATGGCCAGGCAATCCACCAGTTGAACATGCGCCTATCGGTAGCATACCTAAGAAACGTCGAGAGGGAAATGAAAGCAAAGGAAAAGGCCGAAGCGCCAACGGTAAAAACGAAGGAGCAGGTAGAAAAGGAGGAGGAGATGCGGTCTAAGCACGGCACCAACCAAGAGAACCGTGCCCAGAAAAACATTCCCATCATCAGCGTCTGGAGGAGGAAATTCAGGCCCCTCCCAGAATCTAAGGCGGTGGATCTGTTCGCCGATGTGATTGGCGATGCCTTCATTCTTCTCGTGGCTACCATTTTGATCTTATACGAATATCACAGATCCTCTCAAAAGCCAGACGCCAACACCGAGAAGATCAAGGAGCTCAATGAACGGTTTGAGGAGCTTTTTAGGAGAGGGAAAGAGCTCGAGGAGGCAGAGAAACGTCAACAGAGCCGAGTGCTAATGCTTGAAGAGGCTCTGAGAGGGTACAAGGATCCAAAAACCCATAAGTCCATCCTGCCCCCAGAGCCTACGACATCAGTCCCTGCTTAATGACAGATAGACAGGAGCTGTAGAGTGCAAATCTCTACAGTCTGGTAATTGGCATGTCCTTACCATACGATTAGCGAGTGTATAATAACTCTATATAAAAGGCCGGCGTTGGCAAGTATCCCTTTTTTTAGATATTAGACACCGCTCTCATATATATCTTGTCCGAGTATATTCACTATTAATTGAATATAAGACAGCCTCTTAGCTCCATACTCAGGCGCTACGTTGTAGATTCATGTATTGTGATAGATATCGGTAACACCATCTGCCAAGGCTGAGTTCTACTATTTTTCGTAACTGTTTTGAAATATTTCCTTTACGTATCTCAGGTAAGGTATATATACCCAAGCCATATGTCTTTGATTAAGATATTTGATCAAGACCTCATTCACATACATACCTCCAGTAAAGTATGTAAGTACCTCGGTTCTTTGTGGGAATCTCTAAGCGTCACTACATATTAGCAATGCCCGATGATAGAAAGGACGACACGGATATGAGCTCGGAGAATTGAGCAAGTGCTCCGTATGGCGTTACTTACATAAGGCAACTGCATACTTATATCTGGACAGGAGGTACCTAAATTTAAGGAAAGAGTGGCTACATGTGTATATGTACCAGGTAGACAGTCATCTGAACTTCAAGTTGTACCTAGGTAGGTACTAGTGAGGAATCCAAACTTCAACTAAATAGAACTCCCAATCCGATGTTCCAGATGAAGTCTCATGTTAGGTACCTATAACGGCAAGCGGTCAATGACAAATACTATTGCCTTTGAATCCCCCTTTCTTTTTCAATACACTTGTAGAAGGCGGAAATGTCCTATCCTCTATTCTGCTACTCCTTGCGCAAGCGCCCTGTTTGGGACACCTTGGTCCCGGCGCTTCTACAAGGAGGCAACGGCGTCAGGTGGAAAGGTACGGGTATAGGAACATACCGTACTAAGGTACTCCCGTATAATCCGTCGCAGCACAGCGCTAAAAAAACCACATACTAGAAGCTAAACTTGATACTCACGACGTTGCCATCCCCATACCGAATCCTGGCGGCACACCTCATAGGGTTCTACGGGCTATTCTATTATTACCATCAGAAGTTGGTAACGAGGGAAGCCGCATCCGAATCCGACGACTGTCCAGCTTGGATGGTGGACAGGATGTCGTGCTTGTCTTCTTGCTTGAGCAAGGACATGGTCAAGCAAGCCCTATGGCTGCCCTCATGACACTCCAGCTAGAGTAAGGCGCAAATCCTACCCTTATCATGTCTAATTCATATGCGATGCTTGCATGGCTGCGCTGACGAGATGTAGTCTTATAAACGACGAGGTCGAAGTACCCGTTATTCCTGCCAACTCGGTTCAAGACGTGCTGACTAACTTAATGGCATTTCATCGTCAGAGAAGCATTAGTGAAAGGTCCCGGAAGACAGCGAATCCAGTTCAAACTCTGCTTCCGTATTGCACTGACGGACAACTCCTATCTGAACATGCGGTCAACGTCCTAACAGACCTCACGTCCAGCTTCAGAGATTTGGCGGAAGCGGCGTCGACTCATGCAGGGCAGGCAAAAATAGTCGAGTTCCTGGGAAATGATGCGGAAAGCATTATCTCGTTCTGGTCGAAGGAATATTTGGTTGAATGATAGGTCTTCGCAGGCTGGTGGCTTCTTCGGTCAAGGCCATGATTATATGCTCGGATTGGCTATGCTATTCAGCGTACAAATTGGAATTGCTCAGAGACTTATGAGCTGAATGGACGCAGCGCGCTTGGAGAAACCGGCTGTGCCACATTGACGCAAGCTTAGGTAGTCTTCCGCGCCTCAACATGAAGCGTGTTGAGAGGTTGATAGTAGCTCAGGGTCGACCATTACTATTATTATTACAACAAATAAACAACTGGAGAAACAAATAGTTGTCTCGGCGGCTGTACCAACCCATGTTAAATGAAACTCTTCCTTCTTGGTCTTGTGGCGGTGAAAATGTCTGTCAAGTTCATACGTGTGCGTCTACCTGACAAGTATTTTAAGCGCCAGGAAGAGAGATGATTGGCAAGTAAAGTACTACTGGATGATAATACGTGTCCGGCTGGTTATATGGATCAACGTTAATTAAGATAATCGATTATAGGTATGAGGATAAGCAAATATTAATCCGTGCTTGGAGAGGGAATTTAAGAGGTTGGCTTACCTATATCATACTATGTAGAATACCTAGAACAGAAAAGGCCCGATGGGATATAAACCATATATTGACTATCTCCCCAATACAGCTGCCGGCATTTAGACACTAAACAGCATGTAGTATTCTCTAAGAGGTAAATTTGTAATTCCCTCTCGGCTGATAACTTAGGAGATGCCTGGTACGGTGCAGTGAAGTGAAGTGACATGCACATGCACATGCATATAGCTTTTCCTTCAGCGGAGGTGCCCGTGGGGGGTTTGGGCAACTAGGAGGGTAACATAGGTTCGTTTATTTCGTTGGGCCAATGCTACCTAATATCTTCAACGTTCCGGATCCGGGTTACCAGATTTCCCAAAGTTGATATCGCAACTCATAAACCAACTCGAACCGGATTTTGTGATGGAGCCAGTGATAGTTGATGCTTTGGACCTGTCAGTTTCAATGGTTGGCTTCAAAGGTAGTGGATGGTTGACGCCAGGGCGGTAACGGTGGAAAGAAAATGATTGGCTGAAAATTGAATAAGTGAGCACACTCTCTTCCCCACGAGCATGTGGCTTTCCGAGTCAGAGAATCCAATTAGAATTCGGCAGGAACCGCCGTCAAGAATAAGGTTGACCAATTAAAATCAAGTTTGCATAGACTGCCCCAAATGGGCCCATTCTTTTGTTCAACGGCACACCGCATAAACAACATTTGCATTAGTTACCGAATCCCAAATCTCACGCAACGTACATAGTAGATCCAATTTGTCCCTACTTGTTCAATCACCTGACGATGCAAAATCGTGAACTCATCAGCTATCGGATCACCAAGACGCTAAAAAATGCGATGATAAACTAATGCCTGGCATTAATATTCGCTTCTTTTTACTACTTCACTTCCAGTAGCCCCTGGGGGAAAATGGGGAAAGTCCCTAGCAGATTGAAAGCATAGGCTAGACCCTTCAGAACGGAACAAGCTCGCTTAGAGCTGGCAAAAGTCGATACGGGTTAGGATTCATTCGTATAGGTATTAGGTACGTACAATACATTTCACATTGCACATCCTACATCCATCAACAACATTTGTTCTTCTCTTGGGTAGGCTCAAACGTGGATTGAGACGAAGACCTAGAGGAATGAAATCCCAATTTTCGACCTGTTGGGCTGGGGTGCTTTTATTCCCAAAAGCGAACGCGGTCGGACCTCCATCGAAATTTCTCTGATCTCCGACCCCAGTCTTACATATTACAATCCTTGTCGGAGGCGACCCCTGACAAGTTCCAATGCCTTGCCTTAGCTCTGTACTATGTAGCCATGCTGCCATGGCCCATGTCGAGTCGAGGATGTCCCACCTCGATTTGGCATAGTCTCCCGGGTGACGGAGATTGACCCTTGCATCGAACGGCTGGTTGATCTTATCTAGTCGCTCCCAAACCCGATCTGCCTCAGCGTTCTCCCCCTGCGAAACTCCCCGTTGTTTGGAAGTTCTCGGCGCTCGGGTATCCGAAGGGGGGCATAGGTATCTCAAAAATGTCCAGTTTGTTGGAATCACCGCCTCAATTGCTCTAGTCATTCAGGATTCAAACGTTCGATGCATCACGAGGTGTAGTGTAAGTCATTCACGACGTAAAGTAAGACTCTTTACACCAGAGGTGCTCCCCTGCAGGATTGCTATGGGATTACCTTCCGAGTAATACCAGAATAGGTAACTAACCGTTTTTCAATAGTTATGGCTTCCAGGTTTTACATAGTAAGTCTATAAGTGCAGAGTAATATCACCGAACTCCAGCCACTTAGTCCGACAATCTGGAACTGACATCACGCCTTCTAGCGATCAATCAACGGTGGGCACCGTGGTATCATGAAATATTCCGAACTGCTATATTCGGTAGGAATTGAACAGGCCATATCTACACTGACGAGTTGTTTAGCTAGGTATTATGGTAGGAATTACCAGAGAAGATGGGCGACTTTGAGAATACCTACCTAACCTTAGGTACCTGGTATACAAGATACATGACTTCTTTACCCCCGGATCCCTGAAAGCAGGGGGTTCCAAAGGAGACGGGGGTATTTGGGGTCTTCATGCAGCGGAAACACCTTAAGAAAGCATGTTATTGGTCGGATAGAGAATTGTAGCCGCCCACGAGAAAACCCAATCACGTCGGTCTCCCGCAATTAATGGCTATTCACTACAACCGTTCTCGCGGCCGCAATATCAAAATATACCCAATCCCCATAGCCACAAGTATGCAGCATTACCGCCTATTTATGTACCCGCATATCCGGGCCAAGCAACTTGGTTATTTTTCTACCCAATCGACTGTTGCTTCACATATTGTATCCACCCTAGCTCGTCCGGCCAGCCGGCCCCAGGCTGTGACGAGAGCTGCTACGGTCGATAATCATCAGACTCTAAACCACTTTGGGTTATTCGCCCATTCTGCACATCATGAAGCAGGGCATAACCGCTGCTCTGGCTACGCCTCCCCATGGTATTGTACCTACTAAAACGGTACGTAGACATGGTACGTACTACGTAGACGAGAGGAGATTCGACCGCGAATATGTACCGTACGTACAAACTTCCTACATGTCCTTTCTAGATCTTGGCCATGTAAGTATTGGCTGTAAAAGACGGCGGTCTTGGGATGGGCTGGTGATACTCTATGCGCTTCTTGAAAGACCCCACCCTTCCCTGTCTCGTTCTTAAACTCTCTGTATGCCACCTCGTGTCTAAAGACTTTTCTGGAGTTCCCCTTTCATACATGAAGAAAACTCGGGACGCCTCCTATGTATCATCGCCCTGTTTGATCCTCAAACCTTTTCTAATGCGACGAGCTTGAGCTTCATAAAGCCCCGGTACTAAACGACTTGGACGAGTTATGAAATTATGACATTGTGGATCAGCTGCGAACCCTTAAAGATACGATCTCAAACACTACCTTGCTCTTTTATATCGCCTCAACCCAGTTGACAGTCTACTGCCGGATAAAGTTGTGGATCCTTATATCATATCAATTCCTAGGCAGGGGCCACACTAGGCCATAAGCATATCTTTGAAGATTTTCGATGCCGCTCGGATGCCTGCTGGCGTTATAGACAAGATCTCAAGAACGTGGGTTTCATACGAAGCTTAGCACCGTCGGCCTAGAAACGTCAGGAACACTACCACTACCCCGGCTTAGATCAGTCGGTCCTGACACGAGACTCCCTCCACGGGAGCACAGTCTCCCGGTAGGGGATTAAGAGCTAAGGCTGCCCGGCCTACGATATAGCTTTTCCCAGAGCCCCATCCGGGCTTGAATATTACCAATTGGTCCTCATCTCTTCTTCTTTTCCTTTTTTCTTCTTCCTTTTTGGCTGTCAGCGCTGTGCACTCGCCGTCGATCTACCCTTCTTTAATACCGATTGTTGTATTCTACGCCAAGCAGGTCCGGCTACCTTGCATTTCCATTCACTTCTCACGACTGTCGATTTTTTTTTCGAGGTGGTTCTATCTTCTCTCGCTCGCTAGTCGACATTCGTTTGCACCTGGTGTGTGTTTTGTTTGGATTCTAAAAGAGGGACTGAGCGCTTGGGATCATTTGGGACTTCAGGAAGAAGGAGAAAAGTACTAAGGCAAGAAAGAGCCTTGGGATTTTCGAAGAGCAAAAAAAAGAGGACCAATTTTATTAAGAGATTCTAAGAAGGAATTGTCAAAATGGGAAGACTCATCAAGAACCATTGGGCCAGACTCATCGTGCTTACAGCTTCAGCTTGTATGTGGTTCATGGGATAATACGGAAAATATTGCAACTCTGCTAACACAAATTTCCAGATCAAATAGCTGCGGCACTCGAAGCGTTCTTCTGGCCTAAGATATTCTTCGACTTCCTGACGAAATCATTAGATCCGGCCGTTAAACCGGTCCCGGCGTTGCAAATTATAAACCTAATTTTAGGTATAGTGATATTCGCTTGGGAATGGCCGTTAAATCTTCTTGCCGGAACCTCGATTCATCGGAGCATGGAGGCTCGTCTCGCCACATATCCACTGGCAGCACTCGCCGCGATTCTTATCTACCAGGGCACCAACGCTGCAATTTATTATCTGGTAGCGATGATGGTTTACTTTTGGGCATACAGTGAAGGCGAGGTATGTTACTACTCATTTCCCTACCTGTTTAAGGCCTTGAAGTATTCGAAAGCTAACCTATCAACTAGATTGTATGTGCCAAACCATGGACTCTACCAGAGCGAGGTCGTTCCGGGGGATCCAAAGCGTAAAGGTAGAACGGCGATTAACCTTACTTTCGACGAAGCAAATATACCTATACCTAGGGGTCGTGTTTTATACGGCAACTTAGCCCTCTCCTTTTCCCTTACTTTTAACGTACCTTAGGTACACACGCTCCCCTAGTTTCTTTAACGTGGGTGCTAATATTCGCAATATACCCCTAATGTGAGGAAGGGAGGAAGCGAGATACCCGTTACGTATGAGCAAAAAGAAAAAAGATCTAGCTCTTATTTCTCCTTCTCAGGAATGAAATAAAATACCCCCCGACAACAAATGCATATGCAATACATACAGACGTATATATATATATATAATCATCACTATTAAATAACGAAGAAAAGCATATATTGAAATCATCTTACTTGGATCCCTTGGTCCCCGGTCGAATTATGGCATTTTACGCGAAGCATTGTACAACACACTGTATTATACTGGCTTTTATTTTTCATCTTATATTCTTTGGATTTTTGAATTTACGAATTTTTGAAGGGTTCCTTCAGGTCAGGGGGAATAGTACGCGAGAAGGACGAAGAGGGAATGACTCTTACGAAGTAGATATTGAGGAAACGGGATACGATTACTACGCACACAACAGATGTATTGTATTGTACATTAGAAGCACCTAACCTACTATACATAGTATGCGAATACCTACCTGCTTCGGAAGCACCCTTTTGGCGCTGGGGGTGGCAGTGAATCGAGGGGCGTAAAAAATAGAGCCACCAAATACATACATACCATGCATAACATACTTTGCACAATACACTCACTAACCGCGCAACATCTCAAACATCAGGTACATCCATCATCCGTGTTATTCCTATGTATATCCTACTGCAGTGCGATACAGTAAGTCCATAATCCGCAACCTACCTACCTTACATAGATAGATAGATAAAATACCAAGAGTTGTGAAACCTAGCACAATCTCGTATTCAACTTCCCCCCTTCCCTAGGAAACGGAAACGGAAACAGACTCCAGACACACACACACACAAGATAGTCGTTCCACGGTTGAGACGAAAAAAAAAGGAGTAATAAAACTTTCGTCTTAATGTTTATTTTATTTTACTTTACTCTAAATTTTATTTTTCACGGGGTAAGCATCAGCGTCGCGTGGATCTAGACTTCGCGGTTTCAGATACCGATAAATTGACCGGGTTGCGAAACGCCGACCATGTGGATGAGAGATGAGGCTCGGCCGGAGATTTGGGCCAGGGTCGGATTAGTTCAACTTAAACTGACAGAGGCAGGTTAGTTAAAAGATATCAGATATCTTCGACATACCTACATAGGTACATATTCACTACGAGGTAAGCTAGAGGTGCGCATTATGCGAATTCTTTCATTAAGATTTCGTATGTCGCTAGCTACGACTATCTTGTAGATCCAATCGCGATCATATTCCTCGTCAACTAGCCCATGATTGATTGCTATTCTGTGGATATTACACCCGCATTCTCACGTTGGTTGGTGTAAATCATTGTAACACTTGACCAATGTTACCCCCCCCCCCCCCCCAACGTGCCTGAACACCGCTCTCCCAACTAACTAACGTCGTGCGATAGAGCAGCGCCGCAGGTCGTACCAGGCGCTGCCGGTAAGTTAAATCATAATGCTTATTTATCTGGTAACCTGACCAGGGACAATAACAATCGTCTTGCCATCGTTCTTGTGTCCTTGGCGGTCGGTGAACTGGAGCGGTTCATTGTTAGCAATCGCCCGATTCTCTATTTCAAGGTCAAGAGGGCGATAGGCCTACCTCAGTCTCCTGGACAGCGCCCGACTCTAGGATGTACTTGATCACCTCCTCCGGGTCGGAGATACCGAACTCATTCTCTAGCATGGCCCTGGATGCACCGTCAATCTGGCCCTGAGCTCCTTGTCTGTTGAATATGCTATGTTAGCCGCCCGTGGTAAAACTGTATAAATGTATTGGGGGCGTGCATGTATGAGAAGGAGTCGGTGTCGGATCCTGGCGTCTATGACAAAATCCGAACTTATCGACTTGTTGGTTCATAATTTTTCGGGATGCCGCGACCCGGGTCGCACGCCCTGAGGCCGACTGTTACAGAGATGGAGGGTTGGTAGCACCGGTTCAGCTCGTAAGCGCCGGGGCGGCTTAGAGGTTGGCGAAGGCGGTTGGCGAACAGCATTGCGTTACGACAGCCCGCCTTTTTAATGCTACTTTCCATTATGGCTGATATATGCGTATATTTATATATATCTAGCCCAATGTCTCTAACAAAAGAGGTAAAGGGGATGGATATTATGCTGGGGATGACGGATGACCGAAAGGGAAATAAAGGTATATATGCCGAAGCAACAACTTACTTGTGTGTTACGAAGATCTTAAAGGAAGAGATAAAGTGAGCCATAGGAGTGGACTTATCGCTCTTCCACTTCTTGTAGGTCTGGTAGTCGTCGATGAAGATGACGTAGTCGTCTTCCTTGCCCTTGTAGTGGACCTTGACTTGGACAGCTTCTCCCTTGGTCATGTTGGGCGATTTGTACTGATGTTTTGAATGTTTGAATGTTGATTAGGAATAGGTAAGGTCGAATTGGTATTTGGTGTGAAGTTCGTCAAAGTTCGTGGGTATCAAAAACGGTGGTTTCTAGTAAAGAAGATTGTAAGCAGAGGGAAAGAATATGAAATAAGCTCCAGGCTATCGAAGCTTCAAATACGCTACCGGAAGAGCTGCTGTTTCCCTGGCGAGTTGCACATTCGATCATCATGTGGCATGCTCTTGCTGTTCAGCAGCACCTACGTCATCATTTACATATATGTTTTGGTTTACGTACTATGTACAAACACCGTTTGTTCCTGCGTCAGCTCCCCCGCGAGAATGACTTACGTCACAGGCGGAGCTTACGACAGGGATCAACAAGTCAATTTACACAGTAGATGCTCTTTGTCTGTCTTAGCCCCTCTAGTTAATGTATTTACCAAAGTGCAAATGATCCTTTTTGTACATTTACATATTAATTTATACATGCAACCTAAGGCTAATACGAAAGCTCTGGAACAGAATAGAAAGAACACGCTATATTAGAGGCATATCTTATAATAGTTAAGAGCCGAGCCTTAGTTTTTTTGGTACCTCCCACTACATCATACTGGAGAGCTACCGGATGTCACCCAAATAGTATACCGACTTGCATATCGGCACTACATAACAGCAAACCAGTAGTGAGCAGCCAAGTAAAAATGCATTCCATGAGATAAACAGCATATTATTATTACTAAGTTTCCGGAATTAACGGCATAACCGCTGGTTTGGCAGTTGATCGCTTCGAAAGGAGAGAAAAGAAAAAGAAAAAAAGAAAAATAAAATAAACTTCCGCTCGCAAGTAACACCAGAACTTCCATTGCTCTACCTAACTAAATTTGCTCCGGGGTATAATCATAGTCTCTCTAGGTCCGTAAGCCTGACGAGGCAATTGGCGAAAAAAGCAAAGCGTTGTACGGAATCCAGTACCGATTGAATGTCATCGTAAAGAGAAAGAGAGAGAGAGAAAAAAAAAGCAAAAGAATGGTATAATCCCAAGCCAAAAGCCGTCCAGACCATGTATCTATACCATACCCAACCCTGCGCTACCGAATTATTGAAGTTGCCTTCCCTCATCTAAAAAAGCTACGGATGCTAGACGCCACCAAACCTTTGTTGATGGCGCCGACTCCTGCCCACTTATGGTGTGTAGGCCTAACATTAGTTAATGTTTCGTGTAGACGATGTTTCGCTCCAAGTCCGTGGTAAATGGTATCTTCGTCCCCAATGGACGACGGTGAAGACCCTGCTGATAAGGTCGTCTGTCTACTATCTCGTCGAGCGTGCTTAGATGATGGCGATGACCGAAATGTGTGAGCGCTTATTTCATCTTCCAACCAATCCAAGTCGAGCTTCAAAGCATCCACCTTTACCGTCGTTGAATTATCTGGGTCGGGACTATTGGCATGCTCAGCCTCATCCCGAATCATCGGAAGCCTTGGTTTAATATCTCCATCGGTTGTGCTGGCCCTCAGTAGCCTACACTTTGGCTTGTCGCTGTTTAGACGGGCAAGGTTATCAACGGAGCCATTGTAGTGTGGGAGCTCTTCTTCGCTCGACTTCGGTATACTAGTAGCACTTATGGAACGCTTCGCAAAAGAGCTGGTGATGCTTGCAACGCTCAGCTTTCGCATGACAGTCGAAGCTGAGCTGCGGACAAGGTGCTCGCTTTTCGATCGATATGTTATGCCGGGGAAAGGTAGCACCTTACGACTCCAGACATCGGCTAACAAAGCCTCAAGACGAGCCCGCTCCCCTCGAGAAGGGGTAAGCACCGGGATGCGAGAGTTGGTCGTCAGCAGAGATTGAGAGCGATTAATTTGCGGGGGTGTTGACGATGAATTATCTTTCATCGTGCTCGTATTCTTAAGTATGACCTGACACAATGGCGATTTTGGTCCAACAGTAGTGGCCCTATGAATGGAAAGACGACGAGCAACGGTGCCTATGGACACAGTTAGAATATATATTAAGCCCCCAGCGGTAAATTCCGTGCCTACCTGGTTTTCCAAATATCGTTCCAAGGCTTTTTATGTCGAGCGAGATTGAGCTGTAGAATGTAGGTTCCGATAATTCATACGATTCAATTGAGTTGGGTCGGGTAAGGCGACTACGCCACTCCTGTTCTTCCTTTGGAGAACAAGCTGTCATGATAACTTCATAGAGTTGATGGTCACATTCGAAAACGAGCTTCCAGGAGAAGGGGGCGGTGTGACATTGAATGCCTTAACCTGGTTAGCACAAGAGAGAATAAAGCAAACAGATATGTAAGTTGGGAGTGCCTACCTCGGCCATTGTCCACTTCTTCAACCTTTATATCATTTAGACTGATGCAAGCCTGAATGGTATATATTTGATCCGTCCGGCTGGCTGTAGCAAGGCATAAGCAGTCCTTGTAGAGGAGCGTGACCATATATGCACCGTCCACGCCGTCTTTGGTCTGCCAGCACACATGTAAGGCGCCGCATAGACGGATGTGTCCAAAGGAACGAATGGCAGTTTTCGAAGCCGCGTCGAGCTTCTATTGCTCAGTTAGAAATAAATATAATTAAAGGGGTTGACGATACATGCCTGATTTGGGAACACAAGTCGATCCTGAAGTAGCCAGGTCTGCTCTATAGTGGTTTTCATTCGTGGATCGTCGGCGGCTCGATTGATCTCGGCTGTTGCCTCGCGCAGCCGTATGAGAACATTCTCGATTTCCATATGTGAGGTCGGACAGTCACATACGGGTGTATACTTGAGAAGTTCGGCAAATAGGAGAGGATATCTACATATCCTTTGGATTGGCTTCTTGCTATTAGCGAATCTCTTCGAACAAAGCAACATCATAGCTTACCTTAACCAAGAGATCGCCGATAGTCAAGGATTTCCTGGAGTGATCGAGATGATAGTTGGTGGCGCCTAAAGAAGCTGCTAAGGCTTCCAGCCCTTTTTGGTACATCTCCCATTCAGGTAATGTCCTATGAGCGGATGCCACGTCCTTAATCATCATCTCATATTTTGCACCATATTCTTCATAGATGAAGAATCGATTCATCTGCCATAATGTCAGTATAGCTCCGAGACTAGGTTGAAGTAGGACAGAGAAGATGAAATAGAACTACGGTTCAAAAATGTACACATACCCTTTTGCCAAATACATGAGCTACCTCGGCTGCAATAGTCGGCTCAGCTACCACACTAGGCATGCTCTGGAGCCAACTAAAAGCGCCCTCATCTTCCTCCGGAGTAGAGTCGAGACTACGCCAGCGGTTATGGCTTTTAGAAGAAGATGGCGGTTTTATGGCAACCGGAATACACTCGGGTTGTGTGTACTCGGAGTTAGGTACTACCTTATGAAGTTCGCCGAGAATCTCTTCATGTAACTCAACAATATCCGTTAGATTACGGTTGATCGAAGAGCGAAGCCCCATATGCGGCGACGGTATAGAAGCTAAGATGGTGACATAGACCTGAGTGAAATTAGTATTAGAAACTTAGGAATAGACCGACAGGGCTTGTACACACGTTCATGAGGAACTTGACGTCTCCAATATAGCTTTCCTCCGTGTTTATTATTTCCTCTAGGATACGTCGCCTTTGAAGCAGTCGTTCGGTTACACCCGAGTCGTTTGATGCTGTCCGCTCAAGACATGTACTGTCCTCGGAGTACCGCGGCCCCGATGTCGATCCTCTGCTGCTAAGATCTGCCCTGCTATGGCATGATGATCGTGTAGCATATCTCCTTGGGCGGGTAATCACACTAGCACTCGCAAGACTGACGCTGGCGCTTCTGACAGCCGTAACAAATCTAAAAGAGGAATCGGAAAAGGATTTCCTGTGGCCATCGGTAGATAAGTCTTCATATTCGAGCGAATGTTCTGAAAACTCAGGAAAAGACTCGGGCCGACTACGACTGCGGCGGGATATGGGACGATGTGCTCGCTTGTGTAAGTTCTTCATCCACTTGTGGAATGGGCCTACCGGCGGTGAGGGAGTTTCGGAAGATCCAGCACCGGACCCGTCATTTTCGAAAGTAAGTTTAGGAAGTTCAGTCGAACGTGTCGTTTCTTCTTCGTTATTCTCTAAGGTTAAACCAAGGGCAGCTATATTATCCAACGTCTTCCAGGCCTCTTCGCAGTCGTTACGAAATACATCGGGATCTTCAAAGTTTAGACCTAAATCGGGGGCGGTACGATTCAGCTTCAGAGCTGCTGTCCAATTGGTATGGCCGGCAACGCGTAGGGAACTAGTAGTATGTGAACACGGTCGAAGAGAATCATTGTTCAAGACGGCTAAGGGCATGGTGATGAAGAGCGGGCCAAGAAATGCGGACCAAGAAATAGTGAAGATGCAAAATTTGTTCACCCAAGACACCAAAACCAACAGACCAGGGACTTCGATTCAAAACATAATGATCAACAACAACAACAAGAGAACTATGTAGTAGTAGTGGTAGATGAGGTGGAAGACGACGTGTCTCCCCTTAGGAGCATGTTTAATGCAGGTGATACTGCAAGTTAGGACATGCAGTACCCTAGTACCCTAGCATTGGAAGAACTGGTAGAGAGAAAGAGAGAGAGACAGAGATGGGGAACCTCGAACGAGTGAAAGCAGCGCTGAGCTGACTTCGAGCCTGCGAAGGGAAAGAAGTTGGACAGCAGCAGTAGCGAATGGGGCCGGTGGGGGATAGAACAAAGCAAAGAAAAAGAAAACAACAATTGCTTATCAAAACAATTGTTTGTATCTAGGTAGCTTATGCAAAAATCTAGGTAGTCTAGTATGTTATTAAAAAAAAAAAGATAAAAAGGGCTGGCTGCGAGCAGCTCTTTCCTACCTACGTCTCGGACGAGGTTTCGTAAATGGATATGTTTTAATCGGGTGGTTTCAATGTTTATGAGGTGACACGACATTTTACTAGTTGACTTTTTAGCGCACCTAAGCTTGCTCTATCTGTCTACCTTAGGCGTACAGGCGTAACAGGCATAGCACTTCTTTCACCAAAAGCTTCCCGTGGTGACACAACCTTAAAAAGTTGCGTCATATCGTAAAGCTGATAACTAGCGACATTCCGATGTGCAAAATAGCGATCCACATTTTTTTTTTCAATTTCCTGAGCTATGCTGTCATTCATCTAAGATCGTAAAATGGTTCAAATCATTCTCATTTCGTATGATGTCATTAATAACAACTGTAGTTATGAAAACGGATTGGGGAGGATGGGAGGATGAGATTGGGATGAGAGAGAAATGAGATGGAGATACGATGAGATGAAAAAAAAAGATAAGAAAAATACGAGTACCTAGTGCAGTAGTGCGATGCATGCATCTATCACCTTTTTTTATACCGTGGTAGCATGAATACGATTTTGAATACGGCCTTTTCTGTACAAGAATCGACACCGTCGGTGAGTCGGTGCTACCTTACCTGAAATACTATGTTAGGTAGGTATGTATGTGCCATCTATGCCATAGGTACGAAAGGGAAGTAAACAGAGGGGAGATGCACTGCATGCACTAGGTATGTAGAATAAAAGCGGCAGAATCAAGACCGGTCGGAGATAATTAAAAGAAATCATATCGGCAATGGTAGTAAGGAGCATATTTTTTTGCTCTCTACATAGTAGTCTCTAGAGGCACTAAATCAGCTCAGCTAAGAAGGTAAAATAATAAGTCATCTATCAATGTTTGCCCTTTCTGCCTCCCTTGAGAATGCTTGCTTGCTAGGTAGCCCCTTATAAGGTACCTAGGTACATACTGTGACCCACCGATATAATGCACAGACCACCTGATTCATAAATCACTCCCGGGCGGAGACAAGGCTGGCCAATAAAACCTTAGCGCCAAAAATTCGCTTAATTCTTTCGCATCTGCCCCCACACCCACAAACCCGCATGTTCTCTGGCCCGCTTCTCAATTGCAAAATTTCGGGCTAGGAAATTTTCATAACCTTCTTTTTTTCTCTTTTTTTTTTCTCTTCCCACCGCGAAATTTACTAACCCAACAGCCATCAACCACCCCAAACCACCCAAAAACCCAACTTCCGCGATGGCAAAGGAAGCGCCAGCCCGTACCGGGCTCACCATCGGTCTCAACCGCGGCCATGTAAGATGAACACCAGCACCACCTCGCCCTTTTTTCTCTTCTTCTTCTTCTTCTTTCTATATTGCGAAAGAAGACGACAACAAGAGTCGTTTCCGCCCGTCTCACCTCGTGGAGGATCTCTGCTCTTGCAAAAAAAAAAAAAAACATAAAAAAATTTGTTCTTTCGCATATATAAATTTTATATATGCAATATAGCAGACGATGGACAATGGGCTGACTTTTGGGATTCCCCGTTCTCGGTACTTTATAGAAAACCACCCCTCGCGTCGTCAAGCCTCGTGTCTCGCGAACCAAGGGCCACCTCAGCAAGCGCACGGCCTTCGTTCGTGACGTCGTCAAGGAGGTTGCTGGGTAAGTTACCGTTATCTTTCTTTACAACATCTCCCAAATTCTTCTGTCTGTCTATTGATCCGCAGGAGGAGGGTATTATGTAATTTTCAGACAGACATGGCTTTGAACAGCCTTGAAGAGTTGTTTTCAGATTGCTAACAGTCAATTTTACTTCCAGTCTTGCTCCCTATGAGCGCCGAGTCATTGAACTGCTACGAAACAGCAAGGACAAGCGTGCCCGTAAGCTAGCCAAGAAGCGGGTACGTAACAATCATCTACTCCATTTACTCATTGATATCAATCACAAAACTAACCCATCTCTCTAGCTCGGTACCTTCGTCCGTGCCAAGAAGAAGGTCGACGAGCTCCAGCGCGTCATCGCCGAGTCCCGCAGAGCCGGTCACTAAACGACGTGAATCTCGAGCGGAATTACCTAACGGCGGTTTAACAACAAGGTTGGGGCGTCAAGGAAATGAGAGAGGAAAAGAAGGAAGCAAAAACATGTTCGGCATGAGGTCTGGCGTCCGTCTTTCTCGACAGCATTGATGATTTACGGAGGATCGGTACGAACAAATGGATAGGTAGCTTTGTCATAGCCATAGCCAAAGTTATCTCCCCAAAATCCCCATGTACCTACGGCACAAGTGGGAAACAAGACTTAAGAATCTTGATTTGGGAAGCCAAATTATATTCATTTCATTTCAAAAAATCAAGTGCCTCTTAGTGAAAATATGCCAAGTGAAACAGAATCTCCTTGATAATGCTGCCTGAACTCCGAGCGGATATTGATTCCCTAATTCTAAGCTAAACCTGTGGAACATCATTCATGAATAACTAACTCATGTCACTTTTTCCCAAACCCCTTTAGCCACTTAGGTTTCTTGAACCCAGACCCGTCGCCGTCGCCTCTCGGCTTGGACGCGGGTATTGACGGGTTAGTAGTAGCGTTGCTAGGAGTTGCCTCCTCCTCGTCGGCAACCTCAGGAACTTCAGGGACGACGACTTTCTGCGCGTGACCGGCGGCGCTGTTCTTCAAGAAGGGCTGCTTCCTGATCTCAGCGGGGACCTTGTCGTCCCACATGAAATTCACCAGCGTGTTCGAGCTCAGGCGATATCCGCCGATGAGCCTGCTCGCGGGGCTGCTGTCGTCCCTGATCGCCGTCTTGCCGGGGGGGAGGACCAGCTTGAACGGCGCGGCGTCGTTGGCCATGATCTTCCTGATCTCGGAGTACAGCGTGGCGCCGGTATCGTCCGGGCCGAAGGGCCACTCGGCGGAGAAGTTGTCCGGGAAGCGGACCCTGATCTTGATGGACTTGACAGCTGCTACCCTGGCTGCTTGGGCGGCGGCCTTTTCTTCGAGTTCCTTGTCTGAGAGGAGGCGCTTGTTTTCGCCCGCGGTCTTGAGTAGCCTCTGGTGGGCCTGCGCGTGCTCGATGCGCGGCGCAAAGGCGTCGTCGGACTCGTCTCGCAAGGCTGCGGCTGGTGTACCTGAAGCAGGCGCAGAAAAGATGGTAACAGGGCGGTTATCAGAGGATGGGGGATCGACGTCCATGGCGTCTGTTTGGGGCGGTTGCGCCGCGGAAGAAGAATCTGTGCTCTCATTCTGAGCTGTTTTAGGTTCGTCCGCCTCCTGCTTGTCGGCTAAAGGAGCACCCGTTGCGCTTTCCGAGGGAGGGGCATCAGCTGATGGAGCCACCTCGGTATTCGTCGTGGGTTCGCTATTAGACTCTTGTGCCTTTTGCTGATTCGCATCTCCAGTCTTGAAGAATTGATTTATCTCTCCCATAGCATCCACCAGCGTCTTGTCAGTCTTCTGGAAAGACAGACGTATCAGGACACCTCCAGAATTGTATCCCAGCTGCGACAGGGTCTTCTGGAAGTCTGCAAAGGTCGACAGCGTCCTATTCTCGATCGTCAGGACCGGAGTCTCGTAATACAGCTGGCCACTACCTGCGGCCGCACCGTTATTCGTCTGCGCCACGCCCCTCCCCGTGATATTCAGGTTCTTCCCCTGGCTCGACTTGCCGCTCTCGAACTGGCGCAGCAGCTGCCATATCGTGAGATCACTCGGTAGCTTCTCCGTCACCCGGCCAGAGGGAGGAAACAGGTTTGACTCGGGAGGTGGGAATTGTAAGGCGACGTTGATGGCGGAGGGAGTGTTGGAGCGGACGATGAGTTCGAGTTTGGCTCCTGGTGGTAGACCTGAGGTTCGAAATGTCTGGGAGAGGTCCAGCTGCTTTTGCTTGTACTTGAACAGATATCTGTCGGAGGGGACCTTGAGCTTCTCGCAAGCTTGCTCTAAGACATCTGTCAGGTAGGTTCCAGGATTGACTTTAATGGTCACCTGTTTAAGGTCGGTTCCCACAACTTTGACGTTAGTCGCCATGTGTTGTAGGATTGGATTTCTGTTCTAGGCTGGCGACGTTCTTTTTGTATTGGAGATGCAGGTGATGTACTGTGGGATGGGCGTTTCTTTATTCCAGCTGAAATTGTTGAGACGACTTTGAGAAGCTTGAGTACATACAAGGACAGAGATATGTAGTGTAGGTAGGTATGAAGAAATACTGGAAGAAATTGGTTGTAGAATATGAAAGAATAGGCCTAGGTTAGGTACCTTCAGTGTCTCTCTGTCATGTGTACTCATGTGTACATAGTAAGTACATTTACTTCTTCTAGGTAACAGTACGATTACATCAGCCTCTCAGGCCCGCTTGGCGGTTTCCATCTGAATTGATCGGATGGAGGGGCAAGCGGAGCACCCGTCCTATGTTTGCTAGGTACCTAGGTACTTTGCTGCTCGGACTTGACCTAGTCCGATCTTTTGGTTTGGAGCTGAGCTGCCGCGCCAGACGTTGTTTGCCTTGCCGAAGCTAATGCTAACGTTAACGTCCTGGGTACCTTTGAGCTGCCATCACCACCAACTTGAAGCCCACCTACGGTTTATGCCCCATTGAGCTATTCCTCACCAGCTACTCTACTCGACGACGAAACATTATCTGCAAACCACCAAAACTCAAGTCGACCCCCTCTAATTATTACGGTTCATACCAAGTCTCGTCTCGTCGTCTTCGTTTTCTTTTTTATTTCTTAATAGCACACACACATTCGACGCCATGGTAAGCTCTATATATCCAAGCTCCCTCTCTCTCAAGGAAACAACCAAAGCTAACATATCGAAATGAATAGTCGTCACCCTTCTCTATAAGTGCGCACTCCTCCTTTCCTTCATACCAGTCCCAACCTCCAGTCTTTCAAATGGAAAACATAAAACTAATCGTTACAACTCCTCCCCAACAGACGGCGGCGCCTGCGTAGCCATGGTAGGCAAGGACTGCGTAGCCATAGCCTGCGACCTGCGCCTGGGCCTGCAAGCGCTCACGGTGTCGAACAACTTCCCCAAGATCTTCCAGTACGGCGACGTGTTCCTGGGGCTGACCGGCCTCGCGACGGACGTGTCGACGGTGTCGGACCTGTTCCGCTACAAGGTCAACATGTACCGCCTGCGCGAGGAACGCAACATCGCCCCGACCACCTTCGCCAACCTCGTCTCCTCCTCCCTCTACGAGCGCCGCTTCGGCCCCTACTTCGTCAGCCCCGTCGTCGCCGGCCTCGACCCCAAGACCGCCGCCCCCTTCATCTGCGGCTTCGACTCCATCGGCTGCATCGACTTCGCCAAGGACTTCATCGTCAGCGGCACCGCCTCCGAGCAGCTCTTCGGCATGTGCGAGAGCTTGTGGGAGCCTGACCTGGTGAGTTCTCACAAACTAACTAACTACAACAGCAATGAAGCTGCTTATTTTATTTATTATTTATTATTATTATATATATATATATATATATTCCCCCTAGCTTCTTTAAATGTACTACCGGAAGAAATAAGAAAAAACAGGCATACTAATACATGATTGATAAACATAGGCTCCCGAAGATCTATTCGAGACCATCTCCCAAGCTCTGCTCAGCGCCGTAGATCGGGATGCTCTGTCGGGCTGGGGTGCGCACGTGTACATCATCGAAAAGAACAAGGTCACCAAGCGATTATTGAAGGGCAGACAAGATTAAGAAGTACCTAAACTAAGAGGCAGACCATGGTTAGGTAGTTTGGGTGTTGTGTCATTATCCTAGATCTGCTAAATGTGTATCGGATAAGGTAGCTACCTATCTAACATAGTAATCCGAACAAGGTGGATTCGTCGTATCCCCTGTTAACTTCAAGAAAATACCTAAGGTATATGGAAACTAGAAAAATACATACATCTGCGGGAGTAGAGCCAATAGGACACGGTGAACAGAGGCAGGCAGGCATACGATAACAATGCTAAATGGCCCCTTAATATACGAATATCAAGGGCAGTAACCTTGCTTAAGGCGGCGAATGTCACAATGAAAAATCTCACACGACACTGTCCTTCCTCGTTCCATTCGTCTCATATATGCACTGCATTTCTTACACATTTCTATATTGCGCAGTTTTTATACGCCTAATGCAGTATGGCACGTCTACTCTAGTCTATGTAGAACTCGGATCTATATCTGCCTATGCCTCCTTAGCCTTCGCAACTTCATCCGTCGTCTTCTGAATGAAGAACTGCCTCTCGATGGCCTTGAGAATTTCATCGATGACACTATTACAAGTTAGTATCTTCTGTAACAAATGAAATACAGTAAAATGTGCTCAACTTACATAACTGGCGCGCTGATGATAAGCACCGCTTTCCATTCGTTCCAGTTCAGAGGCAGAATGGAAAATAGAGTTTGGAGGAAAGGCGTGTAGAGGAGTGCAAAGTGGAGCGCCATCGACAAAGCAATGGCGTAGACCAGCATCATGTTCTCCCAGAGGGGCAGAGTTAGCAAGGACTCGCTAGATGACAGAGCGTTCATGGCGTTCAACATCTCGATGACGACAAGAATCGAGAGTGATATGGTCGACGCCGCCTTGGACATATCGTTGCCGAACATTTCGCATCCGATCTCCGAGAATTCAGAAGAGCATCGGTGGAAATGAGAAAGCTGGTAGAAACTGATCTGAGGTCCCTCAGGGTTGTACATGAACCACCAAGCATATCCGGCAACGGTAGCAATACCAACGTAGGCGCCAATGACTAGATACCTGAAAAATAACCAGCCGCCAATGAGCGCTTCGTCTCTCTTTCGTGGCTGTCTCTTCATGATATCATGATCAGGAGGGTTGAAGGATAGGGCGGTGGCAGGAAGACCGTCGGTAACCAGGTTGACCCATAGTAGTTGGACAGGAATAAGGGCTTCCGGCATACCAAGGGCAGCAGTAAGGAAGATCGAGACGACCTCACCAATGTTCGAAGAGATAAGGTAACGGATGAACTGTTGTGTATTGTTGTAGATAGATCGGCCTTCCTCAATAGCAACTTCGATAGTAGCGAAGTTATCATCAGCAAGAACCATATCAGCAGCCAACTTAGAGACATCGGTGCCGGATCCCATCGCAACACCTATATCAGATTTCTTGAGGGCGGGAGCATCGTTAACACCGTCTCCGGTCATAGCTACAACCTCGCCGAGAGACTGGAGGAGATCGACAAGTTTCGATTTGTGACTGGGTTCCACACGTGAGAAGAGAGAGGCGTGCTTAGCTGCTTCCAGCTGTTCGCTTGGGCTCAAATTGTCAAATTCCCGACCAGTGTAACTCTTGCCCTTGAGGTCCTCGTATTCTCCAAAAACTCCGATTTGACGGCAGATACTCTCAGCAGTGTTGCGGTTGTCACCGGTGATAACGATAACCCTGATACCAGCATCCTTGCACTTCTTGATGGCGCCAAGAACCTCTGTTCGAGGAGGATCTAACATACCGACAAGACCTAGCAGAGTAAGGTTCTGTTCCAACTGGGCGTACTGAGCTGTCGACTTGGCATTTTGGAGTAGAGGGTTGGATCCAACATCATCTAAACTAGCAAGGGCAATAACTCGCAGTCCACGGTTACCATATTCGACGACCTCCTTCATGAGGAGATCGCGCAACTTGTTGTCAATACCAACACGTTTGCCATTAGCACCGACCAGAGTGAACGCACAGCGCTCGATAATGGATTCAGGTGCACCCTTGACGAGGAGCTTTTGCTGGTCACCGGCTTGGACAAGGACAGACATGCTTTTTCGGTCTCGGGAGAATTCATACGTAGAGAGTCGAGGGAATTTGGATTCGTACCAACCGCTAGCGTGGTGAACGCTGTCTTCAAGTCGCGAATTCGCCGGTGCGCATGGTCCAATCTTCTCAGCAAGAGCCCTCAAGGCCCCTTCAGTGGGCTCACCAACGTTAGAGAAAGTACCGGAGCGGGTATCGTACACGAGCCTAGCATCATTGCAAAGAGCAGCGACTTCGGTCATCTGACGGATTGTACTTGAGCTTTGGGCAAGATCCCTCACGACTTTGCCGTTATGCTTGATTTCTCCCTTTGGCGCAAAAGTAGTACCCTCGACGTCAAGTTCTTCTAGGTCGGTACCCTCTTCATTTATGTAGACGACCTTGCTCACACTCATCTGGTTCGTTGTAAGAGTGCCCGTCTTATCCGAGCAAATAACGCTGCAGCTTCCTAGAGTTTCAACAGATGGCAAGCTTCGGACAACAGCGTTCTTGGCGGCCATCTTGCGGGTACCCAGAGCCAAACATGTTGTAATAACAACAGCGAGACCTTCGGGGATTGCCGCAACACCAAGAGAAACGGCAATCTTCAAGTAGTAAATGGCACCCTTGGTCCAGTTTCCGTGGCTCGGGTCCGCGAAGTTAGGAATGTTGATCAGCCAAACGAGAACACAGATAACTGTAATAACCTTTGCCAGTGAGTCGCCGAAATCGTTGAGCTTCTGTTTAAGGGGAGTAGGCTCGGAGATCTGGGCCGCGATACTCTCGTGGATGTCGCCAATAGCAGTATTTGATCCAGTCAAAACTACGACCGCCTTAGCTCGACCAGTTACGACAGTTGTTCCCGAGAATAGCATATTGACCTGGTCCTGGAGGACCGCCTTCTCATCCTTCACAACCACAGCATCATCCTTGCCCACGCTTTCGCTTTCTCCGGTTAAGATAGCCTGGTCCACGGCGAAACTGTTGCTTTCGATCGCAATAACACGGCAGTCGGCAGGAATCCTGTCACCAACAGAAACCGAGACGATATCTCCAGGAACCAATTCGTCGGCCTTGATCCGCGAGACATGTCCATTATTCCTGACCACACTGGCGACGTTCGCGGAGTATTCTTGGAGCGCAGCGATCGCCTTTTCGGCGCTGCTTTCTTGGGAAACACCAACGACAGCATTTAGGACGAGGATAGTAAGAATCTTAAGAACCAGCTACGTTAGCTTCATGGGTCGCAAAGATACGAAGTGGGTGGGTAGGTAAATCTTACAACCAAAGGATCGACAAATGCGCTCCAGCCACTTTCTTCGTCTTCGAAGAGAGCCAAAACAAAGGAGACAGCCGCAGATCCCAAGAGTATTAATACCAATTGGTCTTTAAATTGCTCGAGAATAAGTTCCCACAATGGAGTTGGTGGTTCTTCAGGAATAGCTATATACCAAGTTAGCATACAGATTAGCATATATAAAATCAGATCGACCAGGTTGCCTCCCAGCCTCTCTCTGCGCAGCACAACGTACAATTTCTTCCATATTTATTTCGCAACTCGGCGATCTGTTCATCTGCGAGGCCAGCCTTTGGGTCTACATTGAAAGCGGCCAAGACCTCGTCTGTAGGTTTCGCGAAGGCGCTCTCCATAGCGGCCGACGACGGTAGCGAGACGACGCCGCAGTAAATCTTTTCCTGGTAAAAAAAGACTAAACAAATGCAACGAGGTACCTTTTTATTGCAAAAAAACAATCACTATCTATCAACGGGCATTCAAAAGTGAAAGCAAGAACCTCGATCGAGAACTTGAATCGATAGAGGGGTCGGCGATAGGGCGAAAGAGAGGTTTGCGAATGGGCCCTTTAAAGATGCCACATATCTTTTACGCTATAAGTAAAACCTGTTGAAAAGTCGCCACTAAAAAAAAATGGGAAAAGAGGCTACCAGAGTAGACGAAAGATGTGTCCGAAGTAGGTAACCGTATAAAACCGTATAAAAAAATGTATAGATTGTGGTGGAAAGAAATCGTCGCGGATGAGGTTGAATGTGTGGACCTTTTACTCGGCAACGTGTTCTCTATCAACTTTTGCATTTTAGCGATTGTTCTAGGTAGCTTCGATCACTGTTCGGCCCTGAATAAGCCCTGAATGACCCCTGGACGCGGCCCTGAAGCTGCAGAGCTGGTGGTCACCAGGTGCGAGCCCCAATCCAATCTGACGCTAGTAAGCCTGCCGCTAGCACTATCTTAGAGTCCCAAGATCGATTTCGATTGGACAGACTTCCATGACTTGCATCATAAGCTTGCAACCTAGTACATATCTACATGTACTTACCCATGTACCTACCTAAAATTGCAAGACTCAAAAGATAAAAACCTGGAGATAAACGCACCGGGGTCTAAATAGGTAGGTAAGTATGTGATAGGTACCTTAGGCAAGCATGACATGTATTTAAACGAAGTTTATATACGATTACCTAACCTAGGTATTCAGATTAATACATACCTAGGTACATAGGTATCTAATATAAGCTACCTAAACTCCCTCTGCCTACGAAGATCATGCAGAAAAAGGAATCCCCATATATTGGAAGTGATAGTAGTAGACTGCAATTCTTTGTCATATAACTGTCTATTTGGGGATTTGCTATCTAGAAAGCTGCAAATGCAGCCATGCATCTGAAATCAACGGCCATGAAAGGTGATCGACCCCCAACCCAGAGCGTGCGCAGCCGTCCTGCATCAGCCCGCACAAATAGCACCCTATGCGTTCCGAACTCAAAAGTATTACCATAACCACCGTTGTCCACCAGTCGTGTCCTCTTATCGTAACTCATTTACAAGTCATCATCCTCATCCTCACCGGGCAAGGGCTGCTGAGCAGCGGTGTTCATCTCCTCCTCGTACTGCTTGAGAAGAGCCTCGTCGACAACGGCAGTAGGGGGGGCCAGAGCAGGAGCAGCGACGAATTCCTAATTAAGTTAGTAAATTAGCTATATTGACATCAATGGAAGCAAGTGAACTTACCAGTTGAGGGTTGCCAACGAGCTTGCGGGCCAGCCATAGGAAGGGCTTCTCGAAGTTGTAGTTGGACTTGGCGGAGATGTCGTAGTACTGGAGGTTCTTCTTTCGGTGAAAGGTGATGGTCTTGGCCTTGACCTTGCGCTCCTTCACATCGACCTTGTTGCCGCACAGAACGATGGGGATGTTCTCGCAGACACGGACCAGATCACCTGTGATACAATTGTAAGCCAAGCACGGATAAAAAGAAGGCCGTATCTCTATTATACTTACGGTGCCAGTTGGGGACGTTCTTGTAGGTAATGCGGGAGGTAACATCGAACATGATGATACCGCATTGGCCGTTGATGTAGTAACCATCACGGAGACCACCGAATTTCTCCTGGCCAGCAGTGTCCCACACATCGAAGGTGATGTTGCCGAAGTTCTAAGTATCGTTAGATGTTTTGCGCCAGATAGAACGGTTGCGAAAGGGCGAGGCGATGATGGATCCGACTTACGGTCGTGAAGCCAAGGGGGTGGACCTCGACACCAAGAGTGGCCATATACTTCTTCTCGAATTCACCAGTCAAATGACGCTTGACGAAGGTGGTCTAATAATCACGGTCAGTAGCATGCTCGTCGACAATCAAGAGAAAAAGGCGGGGCAGATGATGCGCAGGTAGGCAGGAAGTAAACAGAACACAGCAGACCGACAGAGGTCGATAGGCGGCGAGATAGAATAGACGAAATAGAGCAGATGAATGTATTTACCTTTCCAGTACCACCATCGCCGACAAGGACGAGCTTGAAGGTGGGCGTCTCGGTAGCCATTGTGATATCTTCTGTTGATGTAAGGTAAACAGAAGACGGAAAAGACTAAGCTCGGCGTTAGCGGGGGCAATGACTTTAAATATTAGAAGGGAAAAAAAAAGTGTGTAGGATGGTAGTTTGAACCCTCGATGCGAATTGTTGGAAGATATATCAGGGAGCAGGCGGACGTACTTGATGTTATCGAGTGTGGAAGATGACGAAGGGATAGTATGGGGGTGATCGTAAAAACGGTCGTTGAAGTGATGAGCGGACTAATGTTTTTTAAAAGAGTTTCGAGAGGCGGCGGGACCTGGCAAGAAGATCTAATAAGGTTGGGTTTCCCTCAGGGAAAAAAAAAAAATCAAAAAAATCGGGCGCACGGTTGCGGGGCAGCACGTGATCTTCTGGGCATTAATAGAATGGGCGACAATGACGCACATTTGAGGTAGGAAAGGACCTTCCAGATGGATTACCTATTGATAGAGGATAGAGGTACTTAGGTAGTACTTAGGTAAATAATAAAAAATGCTGATTAAGGTACAAGGTTATGTCTTTCTATCAGTCGTGTACTTACGATTTAAATGTACGGTTGTCAGATTGCCAGATTGTCAGGAGCGGCCTGTCTGCATGGACTGTGGATGGAATTACATAAATATTTACTTACTTCTTGATTTGATAGGTGCCTTTTCTGGTTTCTCTCCCTTAACACTGCCTTAGGTACCTCCCATCCTTATCATTGTGAATCACTGACATTACAAAACATTTGTTATAAATCCGCCCTGTGGCGTCTCGTAAATTGAATGAGATTTGCGTTGCTATGTACCAACATATTTTGCAAAGTCATCTATCGCTCTCCGTAGCAACCATTCAATCCTTTTACGAGTGGTATCTTATAGGTCCGTTTAGAATTCTCGTTTCCGCGTCTCTGACTCATCTTAGCAGGCCGCACGCCTTATTTGAATTAAAACATGGAATAGAATGGCTACTTGCTGTACCTAGGTTAGGTAGTGATCTTAGGTATTTTTGGCTGGACATCAAGCAACTACCTAAGAGGTACCTAACGTACCAAGGGAATTGCGGCAAGCACGCCGTGTATTTAGGTAGCTTTTACCATTTTGGTAATACGATGATTTATGTTAGCAGCCCCATTGCAGAGAGGTAGGCTGGGCATCGTTTAGGTTAACCACAGTTCAAATCATACTTGTATGGCTGGCTGTTGGATGTCTTTTGGCATGATTACCTCCTATCTACCTAAGGTAGGAGGTAGGTATATATAGTTACATCCCTACTAACCCATTAACTCATAAGGAACGCCCTTAAATTGCCCGACACTGTCTCGGTAGAGTGAAAGAAAAAGATGGATATCGCATTATGCCACGTACGAGCATCCACATATAGGATAGGGCCGATAGTTTGATGCCGCTTGAAATGCCAAAGCCATTATGAAATTATTCATAGTGGCAGGATATGGCATCCCAACAGGCCTCTCCCTCCCCAATTTTGCCGTGGGGTTAAATTCAGCTGTAGCTCTTGCTTGCGGTTGGTGTCTACGCGGCGGGTCACTTTGACCAAGATCCTTTGCTGTGTTAATAATTAGTCTTATGACCTACCTCTGCCTTGACGCTTCGAGCTTGTACAGGGTTCGACTTACACCTTCGTTTCCTTGAACGCACTCTGCAACTTTCTTAAGGCCGTCGTGGTTTCTTTTATTAACGTAGCCGAAATTTCGGATTTCGTCTCCGGGTTTCAGGCCAGCCGACTCTGCCGGGCTACCTGCAACGACGCTATTCACTTTCGCAAAAGGCTCCTCTAAAGTTTCCGGGATCGAATCGCCTAGCATCTCGGCACGATCCGCCGAAGCGGGCACGGCATCGTCGGCATCTTGAATGCTCGCAAAGTGTTCGTGGAGATGTTTCTCTATCGTGTTGAGAAGGTCTTTGTAGTCGTTTTTTAAGTGGATGATTCGAGCTCGGGTGGTGCGTACTACAAGAGGGTTCAGCCTGAGTCTGCAAGCATCTCTCCCAGAGGGAGGAGTACTTACTTTGTGCGACGTCGATATCAGCACGAGGAAACCCGTCGGCGGTGGTCAAAGGAGTTTCCATATTGACGCCATGCTATATATAGATCAAGTCAGGGCCTATGTTACAGTGAGTATGGACAGCGGTCACTGACCGAGTCGAGCACACCACTCAGGGCTTTTAGTTCAGCTTCGATATCAAGTTTCTTAGCCTGAAGTTCAGCAAATGAGAGATGCTTTGCATTTCCATTTGACAGCGGGCGTGATGAGGGTCCCGCAGGAACCGTTGGTGCGTGGATGTTGTCCATTCTTAAGGGAAGGCCCAGGATAGTCCTAGAGAAATTAACTCATCATATGTTAGGCATTGGAAGAAGATATAGGTTTCTCCTTATGCACTCGGGCGTATACTTTGATGAGAACTAGTTACTAGGTAAGTAGTTGAAGTTGAAGTGAACCTTAGTTTAGGCCCGCAGGAAGAACGCGTCAACGTTGGAAGTGGGATGGCGGGGTTACCTAGGTAGGTACCTCCCTACCTAGTACTATTATCCCTAAAATATAGTTGGTCCGGGTAGGCGCATCATGTGCGGCATCTGTAAAGTTACATAATACATATAAGCACCTAGGTAGCCTTTACTTACCTACCTAACCTTGATTATTAGCAGTCACTACTTTGCATTAACATTCAAGGAGTATACCTAGGTCTTGGGTAATTCGCCTCTACAACAAAATTCCCGAGTCACGAGTGTAAGCTATAATTAAGCCCAAATAGACTCGTCTCACGTCTAGGTCAAAAAATGCATCAAGATATTTATCGCTGTATGGTCCCTAATAATAAAACCATACGGCCGGAAAGAGAACCTAACAGAGGTATAATATATATCGACGTAGCGAGGCTCTAATACATTGGTTACCTATGTGTAGTTTACACCTGTGACGTATTTGAGCATCCTAACAGATCACATGTAAGTATCCATTTCTGCTAACTACCATTGAAGTCTAACTTAAGGTAGATGTGCAGTTGGAATTAACAGAATATCTCTACATATAGATAGATGGGTAATAGCAATAAGCAGTGAAGGTGTGACTGCGAATATCATTTACTGCCTCCTGTTAGCCAGTTTGTCGTCAGAGACGGCTGCTATTATAAAAATGGTATCAGGCAAAGCATGTGCTTATTGCTTGCCTCTAGCCCCTTGCAGATCCAGTCTGCTGGGTACAGGCAGTAAACTGCCAGCGGCAACTTGCAGATTTGAAGCGTACAGTTCTAGCGAATCGTTTGCCTAATTGAGTTGTGATTTGCAGCATGACTTACACATTCAACCCCCGTCTTACTTCCCTAAATTCGTACTCGGTTCTCTCGGTAACCTTTGAAGGGCAGAATATATATAGTAATGTAGGATTCGATTTAAAAATAAGGCACTTGCACGTTGAATCCACGTAATTCTTGAAGATCAGAAATAATCTCCTAAACATTTCTCAACAATAAAACTCGGCACAACCCCCAAGATATTTTCCATAGGTAGGAATCGTCCAGGTCAGGCCAAAACTACTACTGAAAATTGCAAAATGCATACCGTTACACTGCTGGGGCTTTTGGCTGTGCCGGCCGCTTCGAAGGCCTTGATGTATGCTGTCCCTACGAGTCTCAAAGCCACCGACTGCATATTCCCGGCCAATTATACCGTTTCCAACTTCACAATCTACACGGACAGATTCGACAGCGCCAAAAACTGTACCTCATTCATTTTTGATGATCCGAGTACTGGTATTAATACCAGCTGCAGCCGTAACTCGACCTCGAAGCTTCACGGCTCCAACCGATGGCCGTGTGACGACTCAAACGTCGAATTCATTTACCAGACGACCGGTATAGCAGGTTTAACTCTGATCGAAGCTGCGTGTCCTGGGAAGTAAGTAGACGATGAGATGACCCCTGTGTCGGGTCACTATCCAACGCAATAGCAATAACAATAACAATACGAAGATGGCTAACGAGATGTAGTGTTCCTCAATTTGAGGCGGCTGGTCTCATCGCACCGGATATGGCATGCACGAATTCTACTACGGGAACTACCTGTGTAGCCAAGCAATCTCCCATTGTGGGAGATTTCGACAGCCTTCAACCCGTACCACCGTCTTCCAGCTGAGCGTCAGTAAGAGACGGACAGTCAAGGGGTAAAATGGGAAGTTGGTATTGTTTACCTAGGAGACGTAATTATCGCATGAATTTGTGGTTGGAGCCGAGGAAATATAATTATTTGTGAACGAGATGGATTGGACGTAGGGTTTAATCGGATATTCCTATATCAAACGGTATTCAAGGGTTAGATAAAAAAAAAAAAACCACTTGTTCAATGCTTAATTTGTTTAATTAATCGAGGCTCAATCAAGATTCTCACCACTTGTGTTAGTTTGAGAATTGACGTATTACCTATATTAGGACAATAGAGGAATAGCATGACTTCGTGCTTACATGTAGGTATATACCGGTTCTACTTACTATGCATGTAAATCCTATACCAGTAACGTCCTAGAACGGTACCTATACCCCGCGTTACCAACTGCTGGTACAGTACCTACCTAGCCTGGTACTGCCGGTATGCCGTTAAGAGATAGCAGCTTCCTATTGGTCACAATGCTCACCTACCTCGCCATTTCCCAGACATATTAAGAGCCGTGTATGCATTAAATTGGGCAGGTGAGCTCCAAAAGCAATAGCCAAATCGTCATGAAAACAAGGGAATGGACCTGAGGTCGTCCCGGTCGTCTCATTTATCAACTTCTTCCAACTTTATGCCTTTTGAACCATCTTTAACTTTAAAATAGCACGTGCCCGATTCCATGAATCAGACCCTGCTGAAAGTACTGCAAGTACTGAAAGCATTGGCGTCATGTTTATTGGGCCAGCACAACGTCAACCACGTACTTTAAACTTGCATCAATTTATATAATACCTAATACGCGACTCATCTTCTTATTCAATTTCCTCTTGTTGTTGACTTCAAGGCCTGCCTTCTCTAGGACATGGCTATCCTCAACATCGACCTATCAAGCAAAAGATCTTGATGTTACGGACTTTAAACCTTCACTAAACTTGCCTTGTAGCATGTTGTATACCATGTTAACTTCTTCGTGGTTATTGTACCTGGCAGCCACTATCGCGGCAGGAACTCCCGTGGGGGATCAGAACCCTCTTCGAGGACAGAATGATGCTACGACCCCTGGTCACATCTCAACTGGTCTCTTTGCATCGCTCGAGCGTCTCTCGCGCTTGGTCGACATAACGTACTGCGTCGGCACCACTGGTATCACACAGCCATTCTCCTGCGCGTCCCGATGCAAGGAATTCCCAACTCTAGAGCTTGTGACAACATGGAACACCGGGGTTTTGATGAGCGATAGCTGTGGCTATATTGCTGTAGATCACGGGACGACATCGATGCTGAGTGGCAACGACGGCGGCATCGCCGATACAAAGAAGCAGGGGGCAATCGTTGTCGCGTTTCGTGGTACCTACAGTATTACGAATACCATCATAGACCTGAGCACGATTCCTCAGGAATACGTCCCCTATCCATCGCCAGACCAAGGTGGATCTAAACCGCCTAAAGAACCAGAGCATACCTGCAAGAATTGCACGGTTCATATGGGGTTTTTGGCGTCCTGGAACATAGCTCGCGCCGTCGTTCTACCAGCACTTAAGCCATTGCTTGAGCAATACCCCTCCTACCCGATTTACCTTGTCGGTCACAGCCTCGGTGGCGCCGTTGCTGCCCTCGCCGCGTTGGAGCTCAAAGTCGTTTCTGGCCGGGATAACATCGTTGTAACAACTTTCGGCGAGCCGCGTGTTGGGAATGAAGGATTTGTTAAATACCTTGATTCTGTTTTCGATCTTGGCGGCAAAGGGGCGCAAAATGAAGCACAAACATATCGGCGCGTAACACATGTGGATGATCCCGTACCGTTGCTACCACTATCGGAATGGGGATACAGATCTCACGCCGGTGAACTTTTCATTACCAAATCCAGTCTACCTCCTGAACCTTCGGATATTCGGGTGTGCGTGGGGGACGAGGACTCTAAATGCATCGCTGGTTCGGTTGGGGAGCCGCTTAGGACGGTTGGCCAAGCGCTAGCTAAAGAACAAGGACAAGACATTGCCATGTGGACTGAAGGGCTCTGGGATATTCCTAGCCGGTTCAAATTGTGGCAACTGTTCTTCGCGCATCGAGATTACTTCTGGAGATTGGGTTTGTGTGTCCCCGGGGGAGATCCTATTGATTGGGACAGGGACAAATATCCTAATTTCACTACCAGTGACGAGCTATGAGCTATGAGTCACAAATGGGTAACACGCTTTGTTTAATCCGAAATCCGAGATGAGAATCGGGTTTATTCTAGCGCCTCAATTTGATACGCTGATGGAGCATAGGGAGTTAAAAATCGTTAATGCGACCAGGAAAAAAAAAGTTGACTAAAATTACCTCTATAGTCTGAAAGTAATGTCTAGTACATGTAACTTGTTGTAATTTTTAAATCTTTAACGCATAGACGGACCCTGATGAATAGGGGCAAACAGATAATTACAGTTGGATATGTCGAAATTGCGGTGCAGATAGGCACTTAGGTTAAGATTTAAAGGTTTATTAAGCGATGGATTTCCTGAGCCGCTTGATCTATGGGGTTACCAAGTACGGCAATGATCACAATTCCTGGTTCAGGGGTTACATGCGTATAATCAGACCTTGAAAATAGTATAGGCTGGAAAGATGTTCACATGTAATACCCATTATGAGGTTACGGAGTACGGTGAAGAAAACCCGACGGAGTGGGTTCAGAGGTCATGATGTCTTGGCATCAACAGTACGGTGAACTTTGAAGTTCTGTGTGTGGGATGGAGAATGTGTCGAACGGCTCGTGACAGGGCTATTTCGAACTGACCGCGCTTAACCGCGTGGGATTGACTTTCTCTGTGGGAGAGGAAAAAGGGAACTCGTGACTGGAGGAAAAGGGTGCCAGCTCAGCCAGGACCAACTAGCTTTAGGAAAGTGATGACAACGCATGGGACCGACGGACCACACGATGATAAGACCCTGTACTGGGGTCTGGGTCCTGGTATATTACAATAGTTTCTCCTATTCGTCTGCTGCCGTCTGATGCCCTTTAGGACTGATGCCTTCTAATAAGGATAGCACATAGAGAATAGAGGTAGTAGTGACTAGGACATCTTATACAAAACTAATAACATGATCACGAGTTGTCCTGTAATAGAACGGTAATGATTTGGGGGTGGCTTTTGCTGACTGATTGTGAGATACCTATTCGGGAGGTCTCGCTCGACGTTCGCGTCCCCCTTTTCTCGTCTCATTCCGTTGCCGACTCGCGCAAGAAACGCTGCGGCAGAAATGAGAGTCAGCATCTGCCAGAGATCATCGGTAGAACATTCTACGCGAAGTTGGCTGATATCTTTTTTTTTCTTGGGGGATGAGACAATCGCATCGTGCGTTTCTTCTTTTAATAGTAGATAATTTCCGTAGGTTGTTTATTGGGAATGCTTAGTTAGGTCAAACTTCTACGGATAGGAGGTCAGGTCACTGACAGGAGGCTAGGTATCTTATGAGGTATCTTTCATAGTTTTTTTTTTTCTCTTCCAAGTGGACCAGTTATTTTCCTTCTAAGGGTTGAGGCGGACGATAGTGGGGAAAAGGCAGGCTGCCTATCGTGTAATCTTGAATGAATTTAATACCAAAATAATATGAACGAGAGAGGGAACAAATAGAGAATCATTGGGGTTATTAATCATGCTAACGTCGATACTAATTTACAATAATTCTACGTTAGCGGATTAGCTCCCGTATGGTAGATTAGGTTAGGTTAGGTTAGGTAGGTTCTCTTGATGACTACCTCCTATGTATTATTCGCGGTCTTGATATTTATTATTGTTTGTTGATTTGTTGATGCACTGGAAGTATGTACCTAAGTATTTCATGTATAGGTGATGTTCCAACTGTATGGATGTACCTAGGTACTTGATAAGGCGTCAGATATCGAGAGAAGATTCCAGGCCGAACAAGGCAATGAGGGGCAAGTAAGCCCTGGAAAAGATAGACTGGAAAAGATAGAAAGGTACGGTAGCACAACCTTACTTCCATTTACTGGACCAGACGCTAGGTACCTATCTAAAGGTATTTAGTGGAAGTGAGTGGAACGTTAGGCACTTTGTGGTACCAAAGTACCATTTCTCGCATTTCTCGCACAAGCCAGGTGCCAAAAGTTGGAGACTCAGGCGCAATTTTGGAACCTTGGCAGCCCTGGCCGCATTTACTGATTTCTCCTCCCGCACCTTAAACCTCGTCGATTTTCAACATCCTTCAAACTTGACGTACCTGTAAACAATCCCGTCCTTTCCCTGTTCACCAAAACTTCTTCAATCCTGCACCCAAACACTTCATTCCTCAATTTTCAATCCTAATATTTTCTTCTTCTATTGCCTCTAGGCTCGTAATCTCTCCCTCAAACCGCCCAAGATGACTACTGAGGTAAGTTTTCAATACTTCGACTCCCCTTTCCCACTCCCCAAGTCTGCCTTGTCTTGGGCAACGCTGCTATTCGCCTCCGCCGCGCCCGCGCACCGCTGTGTAGCCTTGAGTTATATCCTTACTTTGCCATTCTATGGATGATGGATTGTGCTAACATTACTTTTTTTCCCTTGTAGCGTGAAAGGTTCGTACCGCACACCCTCCCTCCCCTCCCCTTCCCCGCCGTATCTTGTTCATACTTGATGCCGCCTTTTCGTGTACCGAGGGGAATGAAAGCCGCTAACCAGCATCATTTAACAGCAAGACTTTCCTGGCCCGCCTCTGCGAGCAGGCCGAGCGTTACGATGAGATGGTTACCTACATGAAGGAGGTTGCTAAGCTTGGTGGTGAGCTCTCCGTTGACGAGCGCAACCTTCTCTCCGTTGCCTACAAGAACGTGGTCGGTACCCGACGTGCCTCTTGGAGAATCATCTCGTCGATCGAGCAGAAGGAGGAGTCCAAGGGCTCTGACAAGCACGTCTCCACTATCCGCGACTACCGAAACAAGATCGAGACCGAGCTCGAGAAGGTTTGCCAAGATGTTTTGGACGTCCTGGACGAGAGCTTGATCCCTAACGCCGCCACCGGCGAGTCCAAGGTCTTCTATCACAAGATGTTCGTAACCTTTTCATTGCGACGTAGTTTCGTATGATAGCCACATACTAATGTTTGATTTGCCCCACATAGGAAGGGTGATTATCACCGCTACTTGGCCGAGTTCGCGTCTGGCGAGAAGCGAAAGGTCGCTGCTACTGCCGCCCACGAGGCTTACAAGGTGAGTTTTTAAGTTATGGCCCTTCTACTATAAAGGCTTTATCTAACCTTACGTCTCCCGTTTTTAGAGCGCCACCGACGTTGCACAGACTGAGCTCACCCCGACGCATCCCATCCGTCTCGGTCTTGCCCTCAACTTCTCCGTGTTCTACTACGAGATCCTCAACTCGCCCGATCGTGCTTGCCATCTCGCCAAGCAGGCCTTCGACGATGCTATCGCCGAGCTTGACTCGTTGTCTGAGGAGTCTTACCGTGACAGCACTCTTATCATGCAGCTGCTCCGTGACAACCTGACCCTGTGGACTTCGTCGGAGAGCGCCGAGGGCGAGGGTACAGGTGCCCAAGAGGCTGCTAAGGAAGACAAGCCCGCCGAGGAGGCTGAGAAGCCTAAGGAGGATGCCCCTGCTCCTACCGAGTCTTAGATTGCCTTTTATGGATGACCTCCTTGCCTCAACTGAACATGCATATTCTGTAATACTTCTGAAGGGCCAGAGTTCCGTCGATACCCATATTGGCAAAGATTTGTAGCATCGGTTGGGGAGGACGGTAAAAAAAAAGAGGGCGTCTGTTTTTGAGGCGGGAGCTAAATATGAGCAGAATGTCGGTCTTCACTCGAGGATACGTCAGTAAGAGGCTGCTTTTTAAAGTAGGGCCCGCTACTTGGCAATGCGATAACTTTTTCCACAACTATGGCTGTATTTCAACTACCTCTACCTGTATAGGGGCGGCGAGGGCTCGTTGGTGGTCGTGTGGACGGTTTCATACACGTTTCCCCTGTTTGTTTTTTTGTGGTTTTTTTGAGATCAGATATCTCACGTTTTTTTCTTTGATCATCACCCATTGCAACATCATCCCCTAAAGTCGACCTTGTACACCGGTCCTTTTACGTATTATCGGGAAAGATTAGGTAGTTTACGGGTCCGCTCTCGGGTGGGAATTGCGAAACGATCCATGCCTTGATTCATCGACCGGAGAGGCAAAGCTTAGCTCTGCTTTGCTTTGCATGTCAACGGCTCGGCTTGAACAGACTGCGATACTTAATTAGGCTGGATTTCTGCTTTGATGCATGTGTTTACTACTGCATTGATCAATTACCCCCGAATCCACATCCAACGCAATGCGTATGCCCCGATATCAGAAATTAAAAAAGCAAAAATTAACCCTGAAGTATACCAGGCCCTTTCGCATTTACCTAACTAGATCTCGTGTGCTTTGTAAAGCCTTGACTTGTTTCCCTTTAATTATAGTTGCTAGTAGATACGTGACTCGTGATTCGATAGTAATAGTACGTAATGGTAGGGCTGTATACCTACCTAGGTAGGTAGGAGGTATCTTTCTCGAGTTATTGTAGTAACCCCCTACCCCCTAGTAACAGCTCTAGTAATGTAGCTCGAGTTTTCGTCTTTAGTTGGACGACCATTCTTACATGTGCTTCACTATAGGTATGCCATACCCAGGTATTTTGTATAGGTACATGATTACCCATATAAGTAAAGCAAAGGGTTATTTGCTTGAAATACTATACCTATCACGAAAACTGGAACTTGACGGTTATTCCGACGGAGCTATGATTATAATACCTAGGTACCTAGTTTAGGTGCCTGTTACCTACAATACCAGAGGTACCTAAATGTTGGACATACAGTTGGCTTATCTCACGTGAAATACAGCGTTGCAGCTCACTGCCTACTGCGTATTTTAGGTGCTTTCAGCCTCACGAGTACAAGCCAATACAGCAGGACCTCCCCACCCAAGACTAGGTTCTCTTTTCCTATTGGAAAATATCTAAAAAGATAAGTGGCCCTTTCTCCACAACAGAATTTAAACCAATTTAATCCATCAATTCGCAGGGCTGATCCTGGGAAAAGCCGAAGGCCAACGTCACAGGGCCGACAGGGCCAACTTTCAACTTTCAACTTTCAACTATCAACTCTGCAATAACTCTCTCCAAAAGCGCATGTGCTTCATGCATTTAAACAAACTCGTAACTCAAAAACATATGGATGTCTCCTCGGACTTTGTTTTTTTACTTCTTCGCTCAACTGTTTAAATCTTAAACTTTCCATGGTAGCATGTGCTACTTTTCGATACTGTTGTTGTCGTCTTCCTTCTATCCTGCTGTCCTGTTAGTTCAGCATGGATCAGTATTCTTCCGCAACTCGAAATGTCGCTACAACTCCGTCGGCTGAGAAGTCCAGCCAGCTACTCCTCCGCGAGTATCCTCACCGAGCTATTGCCATTGCGACACCGACACATGCCCTGATCTTCCGATATAGCCCTACCACGAGCGAGGCAATCGCAAATGGCTCGCTCGCCTCCGTCCCGTCAGCACGGCCCCGGGCTGCCGGGGACGGCCCCGTGTCTAAGTGCATGGTCGAGTTCACTTCTAATACTAAGCAGCTGCTTAGCGAGTTTAGACCCCTTACTGCCCGACCGATCTACGGAACCTTAGGCCTTATATCTATAAACCAGGACGTATTCCTATGTGTAATCACTCAGGCGTTACGCGTTGCGACGGTGCGACCGGGGGAAACGGTCGAGAAGATTGCGAGTGTCGATTTCTTCTGCCTCAATAGCTCCGAGTACGATAATGTTGTGTCCCTAAACACGTACGATAGTGAACTATCGGACTCTATGGCACCGTATGGCCAAAACCTCGGTCGGCGGGATGGCGAAATAGAATATCCCTATCAGGAGTTACAGAAGCTGTTGAGCAATGGTAGTTTCTATTACAGTACAGACTTTGATCTGACCAACAGGCTTCAAGACAGGCCCATAGATTCGGACACGTTCGATATTGATAATTTTGACGATTCGTTTCTATGGAACTATTTCATGATTAGTCCTCTGGTTCAGTTTAGATCTCGGCTCTTGGCACATGAACGGGAAGCCCTCGATGCTTCGAGGATTTTAACATCCGCTATTAGAGGATTCTGTTCAACCATGACAATCCCTCAGAGCGCAGCGCCTCTGAGGTATGGCAGGTCTGGCCTCCCCTCCTTTCTCACGGTTATTTCCCGTCTCTCATGTAAGCGAGCTGGCACTCGCTTCAACAGTCGAGGTATCGACGATGATGGACACGTGGCCAACTTCGTCGAGACGGAAACCATTTATTGGAGTCCTTCTGGTGTTCTCTTTTCGTATGCGCAAGTCCGCGGCTCGGTACCAGTGTTCTGGGAGCAGACTCCAGGGCTCATTCCAGGTCAGCAGAAGATAACTATCACCCGTTCAGCTGACGGGACGCAACCAGCCTTTGACAAACACTTCGAGGATCTAGAACAATCCTATGGTGCAGTACACATTGTTAATCTGCTTAGCGCAACAAAACCGGGCGAGGCAGAGCTGACGCATCTATTTCACTATGGGTTGGAGCATTGCTCGCTTAGTCGTGCAGGTGAAAAGCAATCTGCTGACCATGCTCTACTACGAGAGACGGATTACGATTTCCATATGGAGACCAAGGCTGCGGGATACGAAGCTGCCCGAGAAATTCGTCGATATATCGACCATTCCGCCGACGGATTCGCGTATTACCTCGCCGAACTCACCGATGACATGGTCGATGCGAACGAACCGGCAGGCCACCAAAGAATGGTTGTCGTGCTTCAGCAAGAAGGAGTCTTCCGGACAAACTGTCTAGACTGCTTAGACAGGACCAATCTGATCCAGACGTTGATATCACAGATGGCTGTTGAATCTTTCTTAAATCACCGCGGAGAATACGCCGCTTCAGATTTCTGGGTGCGGCATTCTACTCTGTGGGCCGACAATGGTGACGCCCTTTCTAGGATATATGCTGGAACAGGGGCTCTCAAATCCTCTTTCACAAGACACGGTAAGATGTCTCTAGCTGGGGCGTTCGCGGACGTTCGAAAAAGCGCAACGAGGCTCTACATTAACAATTTTGCCGACAAGGCAAGGCAAAACACGATCGATATGCTCTTGGGACGATTGGTTGGCCAAGCTCCTGTGCATCTCTTCGACCCTATCAGCGACTTCGTATCTGGTGAACTCAGCAAGCGCGGTGCTGAGTATTCGTCAAATGAAAATATTACCATGTGAGTCTTGGGATACATTACTGCATCTTGATATCATTAAACTAACTGTACACAGGTGGGTCGGGACATTTAATCTAAACGGTCGTACTAATGGCATTGACGAGGATTTGTCTCCTTGGCTTTGCCCTCAGGAGCTCGGTTCGATGCAGCCTGAGATCATGGCTGTCGGTTTCCAGGAGATTGTAGAGTTGAGCGCGCAACAGATCATGAATAGCGATCCCCGTCGGAAGCAGTTATGGGAGAGAGCTATTAAGAGGACACTAAACAACCGTGCTAAGCAACTAGGAGGCGAGAGGTATGTTTTGCTTCGCAGTGGACAGCTCGTCGGCGCGGCCTTGTGTATCTTCGTAAAGGCATCATCGCTTCCTAAAATAAAGAATGTCGAGGGAAGTGTCAAGAAGACAGGAATGTCCGGAATAGCAGGAAACAAAGGCGCGGTTGCAATCAGGATGGAATATGCGAACACACAATTATGTTTTGTAACAGCCCACCTGGCTGCCGGATTCGCTAATTATGACGAGAGGAATAAGGATTACGCTACTATCCATCATGGATTACGATTCCAAAGAAATAGGCGTATTGACGATCATGGTAAGTCGATCGGTACCTATGAATATGGTACACTGGTTCTTATTAACATATTGTCTGTAGACACGGTCATCTGGCTTGGTGACTTTAATTACCGCATCGGACTATCACACGAAAGGGTTATGGATTTGATTCAGAAGAAGGACCTAGAGAGACTCTATGAAAATGACCAGGTATGACTATACCACTACACTAAAGGAACAGACAGTTGCTAATATTTCCCAGTTAAACCTCCAAATGGTTGCCGGTCTCGCCTTTCCATATTATTCAGAGGCTAGAATTACTTTCATGCCAACTTACAAATTTGACGTTGGAACCGACAGATATGATACATCGTAAGTATCTATAATATAACGGTAACTTCTATGAATTTGGCTAATAAGAGAATAGTGAAAAGGCCCGTATTCCTGCATGGACAGATCGTATCTTAAGGAAAGGTACTAATATAAGACAACTGTCGTATAACTGTGCCTCTTTGCGCTTCTCCGACCACCGTCCGGTATATGCTACGTTTCAATGTACGGTCAGCATTATAGACGAAGCACTTCGAGAACAGATCAGCCAGGAACTGTACGAGCGTCGCAAAGCTGAGGTTGGCCACACGGCTGGCAGTTTAATTAGTGACGACTCCGAAGACGATGAAGATCTTATCGGTTATGATCCCATCGAACCAGGTCTACCTCCAGCAAGCTCAGATCGACAAAAATGGTGGCTCGAGAACGGAATGAGGGCAAAGTCTACGGTTGGTCCGCCTAAGTCTAACAACGGCAATCGTGATAATTCCGCTATGATATTGAACCCTAACCGTCCCTCAAATCCATTTTCTCCAACCGAAGAACCTGACTGGGTTGCGATCCCCAGGTCTAATTCAAGACTTTCGTCATTTTCTAGCATCTCTAGTTCTCCGTATGAGCATATCAACCACTCCACACTTCTCTCGTCATCTGCAGCATCGAACTCTTCGCCTAGGAAGTTGCCGCCACCGTTCGACCCAGCAACATTGCCTGTTAAATTCGGCCAAGTCAGCTTGCTTGACGAGCAGATGCCCATGCATAGGAACGAGCCTCCGCCGCCGCCGCCGCCTAGAAGGCAGACGTCTACAGGCGTTGTACAGCCATCTCAGCCGTCCGCTTCGTTAATCGCACAGTCTATATTGCAGGAACCAACGTCTAACAGGTTGCAGCAGCCATTAATGCCGACGGCCTCCTCATCCCAAGCGTCAATCAAGTCTAAAGCGCCCCCGCCCGTAGCAAGGAAACCAGTTCACCTCATGTCTACCTCTCCAACAACTAGTCCAGTACTCCCCGAAACTGGAGGCTCCGGCTCGCCTGTAGAGCAGCAAACGCCGAAGCCGCCCATCCCACGCAAAACTTCCAATGCTGTCTCCAATTTGACAGCTAGACTCGAAGCTAGTAGATCTGGAGCATTGACGGGAGGAATGTATAAAACCGTGGCTCCTTCATCTCATCTAGAACCTATTACCTCTAATGGACATCCTGCTGGGACACCGGCCCGCGTTCCATTACCCGGGCTAGCCGCAATAGAACGCAAGCCTGCCTTGCCGACGCGCCCGCAACCACAGCCGCAACATGTGCAGCCGCCACGCCCGGAAACGAAGGAAACTACGGTTGATCTCCTGGGCGGCGATGACGGTGTTGACGTGAACGGATGGGATACGTTGAAGCCGAGCTAGTTAAATTTTTTTAAACCCCATCGCTTGTAGACTTGTACTGGGTTGTCAAATTTCAATACAGCATGGCGTTTGCGGCGTTGGGAGGATTATAGTTAGACTAGTATATAGAAGTCTCGACTATGAGACTACCTAAGATAAAAGTCTTGTCTTTTGTCTTTTTTCACTTATATGCCAGTTTGAGATTATTGTGATATTGTTAACTTGTTGGTAGTTATAGTGTAGTTATATATTATATTATATAGTAGGTAGAATACCGGTAACTACATGGAGATGTCAATAAAACAACCCCATATATCTCGTATAATTAAAGCTATTTGAATTTAAATCATTAGAGATTCTAGCTTATGACTATTATATAATAGTAAGATAATAAAATATCTGTTTAATTTTAGGTGGCTTCCATGTCTCTTGCCTTGTGTGTTAGGTACTCTCATTTCATCTACATGGGTAGTAGGTACCTTTCATGTTGCAATGGTAATTTCCGCCTGTTGCTACCGTATACCGAGTTTACCCCGTTGAATTCTACGTCATGCTAAGATAAGATAAAGTTCTAGGTTAAGCCTTCTGGGCCTACGCGTTACATCAATAGCTCTTGCACCACCTGGACAGTGGACACAACCTTGAATCTTCAAAGCTTTAACCCGGTAGGTTTTTTTTTGTTAGCATGAATTAGCAACAATTTCTACATTCATCTATACAAACAGTCCTTCTTTCAATCATGAATACCTACCTAACCTAAGGTAGTTTATAACCCGAGTAACGGAAATGCTTGCGGTCCCGGCTCTCCTATATCGACCAATTAAATTTGATGTACCGTTATGATATGCCGAGATATCGATCACTCGAAGTTTTGCGAGCGGGTTCACACAAGTCCGCGAGAAAGTTTGAAGCATCGACGGGGACAGACAAATCAGCTTTCGGAGTGTTTGGATCTCGGAATAAAGCGATATTCGAGACAAGATGTCGAACCCTTGCCTATCAGTATCGCAGTTGGTATGTGATAGAAAGATGCAGATGATCGAAGCCTGGGTTTCCGAAGTCGAAGCGAGCCAGATATACTGCGTATGCTCTAGGAGGAGAGTGTTACCTAAAATCGAAGAGCAAGCCGCCACCCCTGAATCACCAATAGATAGCGGGCTGTCATCCTTGACAGCCCATGCCAGAAAACCAGGACGTAGGGGCCCGCCGAAATGTGCCGTATGCCGCTTTCCCTTCGATGGCAATACCAAGTTTGAGAAGCTTAGGGAGTTTGGAGAGATGGGTCTCGTACGCTGCGGAAGTCCACGGTCCGTATACAGCCTCGACAAGGAGACCAAGAACAAATTGGGGCCTCAATCATCATTTCTTGCTTTTGGAACCCGTAAGAGACAAAGGCCAAAGCAGACGACTACAAAAGACAGCTCAATATCGGACTCGTTTGAAAATTTCAAAAGCCGGAGCAGAAGGAGCTTAACATCTTTTAGAACGAAATTTTTCGATTGGTTCGACAACGACCATACCATCCCAGAGGACCGCCCTCGAGCTACAGAAGCTTATGCTCAGTATAGGTGCCACGACACGCCCACAGCATCAATGGAGGACTTATGGAGTGGTGATGACAACTACAGAAAGCCTGAATTGACTCTTGATGAAACCGCAGCTCGTCTCCGGAGAGCCGCTCACCTCCTAAGCCGAATAAATCCATAGTAGGCGATAACGAACACTAGGAATCGCCGACAAGTTGGACGTATTAAACGTTACGTAGAAGAGTTAGAGACAGAGAGGGAGGGAGAGAGGTATTATGAAAAAGAAAAGGAGCATATTTGATTTTGAGGAGGCATGTTACTTTTTCTCCTAAGCGCTGGTTTTTCTCGGCATAGATATATTATTCATTGTAGTAGCATTGGGTCACTTCTGAGCGGCATAGGGACAGGCGTTAAGATATGGATATAACTGGCAGCATTTGTGTTTTCGAGTAGGAATACCGAATACCTATCAAAATCGGCCTAACAGTCGAGTTTTGGTTTATTAAAACAGAGACAGGAGTGCATATTGATATTCTAGTGCTCGGTGCTCAGTTAATCAACCACCTATATAGCTTACAATATCATACCGTGGATAAGGAACTTCCTACTAATGGGCTTCAAGCCGGTAGGTACCTATAATAAGTTACAATTAATTCACTTTGTTACCTGAAAGACACACATTATTTTGGTGTACTGTAGAACAGTTGGCATGAATGACAAGAAAAAGTGAACATATAAAATATAAGGTAGGCTGGCTAGGCTAGATACACATTTATACGGTAGAGACAGAGAGAATGAAAAACGAATTGAACAGCGCAGGCCTCAGATTTAAATATTTGAGATCATTTCCATTATGGATATCCCTCTTCCTATCATATATGTTTATATTGGGGTATCATCACCGGCCTGCCTGCTGCTTTGAAAACTTCCTAGCCAGAGAGCTAGAAATGGAATGACGAAGGGAAAAGCGTAGACCTACGAATAATGTCACACTCGTGATTATCATTACCTATGACTTCTTTATAGAGGCACATTAGTTCTCCTGAAGGGTTTATGGACGTTGAAACTCCCATGATAATAGCTCCACGAGGAAAGTTGGTCCTTATGACAATGGTTATTGAATATCAGGAAAAGAGAGGAACTTGAGCATATGTCGCGTTGAATAAAATTTCTGCAATATTTATTTTGTACGCTAAGAGCCGTGACCCCCACTGTTTAGTGGTGGAAAAACACAAAAAGCATGGAACAACCTTATCATCATAGTGCATAAGTAGTACATAGTATTGTACATTCCTTGTTAGTGCAGATTAGTGCAGATAGGTAGGTACCTAGGTAGTGAATGTCAATGCACAGACCACATGCAAGAAGATATCCAAATCTGCCAATGCTCCCAGACTTCATTTAGCTGCATATGCTTTTCCTTTCTACATACTACCAACTTTTCCTTCGCGATCATCATTGTTCGCCGATCTCGAGAATTTCATTGTGATCCCAACTCTGTCCCTCGTCGCGTCTTTCATTTCGGGAGATGATGAAACGTCACAATTACATTGCTTCTTTATTATAACCGTGTTATTTATAATCATTGCGATTTTTATTCGGTCCACGTCTTTTTCCATTTTCCAGCCTCGCGCCAAACTCGCATTTCTACTCGCCTCTCACCACCACCGCCACCACCACTACCACCTTCGCTGTGTTATTGAACTGGTCGCGTAACATCTCCTACAAACAGGAAACATGGCCGACTTTAATAACTTTGGCACTTCTGACGAGGAGAATGCCGAGATTAAGAAATTGACCCTTGAGGTGGCAAGTAACCCAAAATATTCCTACCCGCTTTGACCTTGGTGTAGTATTTCAACCATCGATTCTTCGCGACGTACTAACTATAAGCTAGGAAGCCGATACCGACAATTTCGAGTCGTGGGAGAAGCTCATCCGTGCTTGTGAGGCTCAAGAAGGAGGTCTCAACCGAAATTCAAGTCCCCAGGCACTAGCTACTCTTCGCGATGTCTACGATCGATTTCTCCTCAAGTTTCCTCTTCTCTTCGGGTACTGGAAGAAGTACGCTGATCTCGAATTTAATATTTCCGGTCCTGAATCTGCCGAAATGGTATTAACTTCCCTTTCCAATTATCTCGGTCGATTCTTGCGGGCTAAGTTGTGACTAGATTTACGAGCGTGGATGCGCGAGTATAACTAACTGTGTTGATTTATGGGCTTCATACTGTTCCTTCAAGATGGAGACCACTCATACCCCCCATTTGGTCAGAGAGTAAGTAAAACCGGACGTTTCCTACCCCATAACATTTACCACCGACAGAGCAAAAGCTGCATCGCGACCCTTCACACTATCGGAGCGTTTAATACACGACTGCACAACTGCTCAGTCGTTGACGGTGAGAGATGCCAACAGAATCCATAACATGTTGGATACTTTCTCACACATTCTGCCAGGCCGTGGTTCCCTACAATGTCATTGGTTTGACCTTGAACATCCTCGTCGCACTCTACACCCAGCGCCTCAAACGGATTGATTTGGAATCGGAATAGTTGCTTGCACAAATCCCTCCTCTTCTGTATTTGCCCTCCTGCCCGCCCTCACTCCCCACCCCCCCCTCTGCTTGTTTCTGTTTTTGCTGATCTTTCCCTTCAGGCTTTTCGAGCGAGCCGCCACTGCTGTCGGCCTCGACTTTCTGGCACATCCCTTCTGGGACAAGTACATTGAGTATGAAGAGAGACAGGAGGCTCACGATAAGATCTTTGCCATCTTGCAGCGAGTCATCCATATCCCGATGCACCAGTATGCTCGGTACTACGAGCGCTTCCGGCAACTTGCCCACAGCCGGCCTATCAAGGAGCTTGTACCGCCCGAGACGCTTGCCCGTTTCCGGGCGGAGGTAGAGGCTGAGAGTACTGCGTATGGTGCAATGCCACGAGCTGAACTGGAAATCGAGCGAGACATACGTGTCAAGATCGATTCTATGTTCTACGAGGTCTTCCAGAAGACCCAGGATGAAACAAATAAACGATGGACTTACGAATCGGAGATTAAACGGCCGTACTTCCACGTTACCGAGCTTGAAAGTTCGCAGCTAGCTAACTGGCGGAAATATCTCGACTTCGAAGAGAGCGAGGGTGACTTTGCCAGGACGACGTTTCTCTACGAGCGTTGTGTCGTTACTTGCGCCTTATACGACGAGTTCTGGTTGCGATATGCCAGGTGGATGTCGGCTCAGCCCGGGAAAGAGGAGGAAGTTCGTCATATCTATATGAGAGCTGCCACTCTTTTTGTACCTATCAGCCGTCCGGGCGTCCGGCTGCAGTTTGCTTACTTTGAGGAATCTTGTGGCCGCACTGGCGTCGCCCGAGATATCCACGAAGCTGTATTGATGCAGCTACCTGATTGTGTAGAGGCTATCGTGTCTTGGGCAAACCTCGAGAGACGACAAAACGGGCTCGATGCCGCGATTCAGGTCTATAAGGCTCAAATTGACGCGCCACACGTTAATATCTTCACGAAAGCCGTTCTTGTTACCCGGTGGGCTTTCCTCTTATGGAAGATCAAGGGGTCTGTCGAGGAAGCAAGAACCGTGTTCCTTAAGAACGTTCAGTGGTATGCTGACAGTCGTCATTTCTGGGAGAAGTGGCTTGAGTTTGAACTGGAGCAGCCGACGAACGCCGAGACGGAATCCCAGCATTCCGAACGTATCAAGCATATTTTTGATGAGCTATTAGCCAAGAGCCGAATATCATCGACGGCTAAGAAGGACTTGTTCTTGGTCTATCTTACCTATCTCCAAGAGAGAGGAGGCGCAGAAGCGATGAAAGAGTTCCTTACTATCGATCGTGAGATTTACGGGTATGTTCCTCTTTTTGAAGCTACGTCTACGCCGATATGCTAACTTTGAATGTAGTCCTACTTCGTTATCAGCACTTGATAAGCCGGCAATTAAAGAGAACGGCGCAGCAAGGGCACCCCTAGACGAGGCTACCAGAGCAAAGGCTGAGAGTAGATATCCTGCATATTACGAGTACTATATGGAACCCGAGTCCAACCCGCAAGGAGCTGCACCTTTCGAGTAAGCCCGAGTTATAATATAACTTCAGCTTGGACTCCTCGAGTGTTTAGGGAGGGGGGTATGTGTCCTAGCCTCGATGAGTAATGATATGATACTTTGGGGAGTAAGGCGGGAGCAAGGTGTTTGTATCATACTTGACTTTCCCCGTTGTGTAAGGATTAGTTATAATAAGGGGGAGACAAACTAACTATATGAAGTCCCTAATGGACTGGGATGAACAGGTAAAAGAGGGAAACTGGCGTGTGTATATTGGCCAGGAATATTCTACTCGAGGAGCTCACTGCACTCGAAAAGTTACTAGGCAGTAATTTGTACGCATGTCACTACTTTTTTTTTCGCGGTTGATTGAAATAAACAATTAATCCATCAGAGAGAGACGAGCGTTTTATATGTTTGCCAAGTTCAACCCAACTAACTGGAAGAATATCATAGTTAATTGATTACGTCACGTCTAATTTCAAGCCGTGTTCGAGAACTTTTCCACTGGTTCCGGTTGAGTCATGTATGAGTGAGATAGTTGGCCTAATTATTGAGTCATCCGTGAGAATTTGATATCCGATGACAGACTCGGCCTTTTTTTTTCTCTCGTGAATTGGCATGTAGAGTAAATACTAAGTATATGGTTGCTAATAAGGACGAGACGCTCTCTACCGAAAGCGCGAGCCGGTAATCGGAGATAAGACTGTGCTTAGCTTAGGTAAGCTAGGTGCTGGGGGGTTTTCTCGCCCTTCTCGGGTGCGGCGCCGTGCGGACAAGAGCGGACTACCTACCTAAGGTACAAGAGGTATCCATCCATTAGGTCCACTACGTCTAAGTACGTAACGTACCAGGTACTAGTGTAGGCACCTAAGTTAGATGCTCCGTTTTGCCCAGACAAGCCAGAAGTCCCCCAAGGGTTTTAAACTAGATTAGGTAGATATGTGGATATAAGTCAGGTATACGAGCCCAACTTTCTAAATATGGTAGTTGGTTAGTTGTTATAAAGCAGTTTAGCTTGATTGACTTGAAGGAAAAGAAAATGATTGAACGACTGATGAATAGCTTCCCTATTTTCTCTCTCTCTCCCTCGCTCTTTTTTCTTGTGGTTATGATCGTTCGATTATCAGCTTAGAGTATTTCGGGCCAATTGGATCTGATCTGTGTAAATGATACGTGGGGGATGGGCGGGATGGGCGGGGGACCCCTCCAGGTTGTATGTAAACCTTTTTTTTTTTTTCGACGTAGCTTTTTTATATTGCATAAAAAAAAAGACAGCTAAACAGCTTCAGACAAGAGTTGTGTTACATGAGCGTTGAGCATGCGCAGGTTGCATGCATGCGTGGCCTCGTGAATGCAGAGGTCCTATTCGCTACGTTATAAGTCAGCATCAGATGTTGCCGTCGGTTACCCTTCATCACTACATAGTACACTACCTAACCTACACACTATAATTTTAGACAGGCATGGCAAGTCCGCAAGGAGAAGAGAAAATGGGAAGTTACCTACCTCAAGTTACGTACCGTTTTAAGATCCATCTCTCTCTCTTCATGGGGAGGACCCACTTCAAGTAGAAGCCGAAAGAAGGGGAAACCAGGATGTCGCCACCCAATTAGACGGCTTAGAATTCTTTCTTACTAAACAATTCGGCCTGCTTTTCCTTAACGACGGGACACTTTGCCGTGCTCGGATTTCTTTTCCCTTGTAAGCCCTTATTAGATTAGAATTGGCCTCTCTGTCTCTGCCTCTCTCTCTTCCCTCACCGTCCCTCTTTCGTCGTTAAAGTATATATCAAACTCTTTTTGCTTTTTTATTTCTTTCTTTTTTTCATTTAACCAAAGTCTCCTTCCCTTGCTTAAACCTAATTGGTATTTCCTCTCTGCTGTGCATTAGGAAAGATATCAAAAGTAAGACATCCCACCTATATCCCCGCCAATATTTCTTTTTAGATATCCCGTATTGTCTAACACATGCCGGTGTAGATGTCGGCTGCAACTGTATCCCGCCAGATGGCCCGCGCCGCCCTGCGTGCCTCCGCCAGAAACACATTCGCTACGTCTTCCCGGCAAGCCTTCCGACAGCAGGGCCGACGATTTTACTCGTCAGAACCCCCCAAGACTTCCAGCTCGTCGACTCTGATCTACCTGACCGGTGCCGCCGTCGCAGGTGCTGCCGGTTACTACTTTTACACCTCGAACAACTCGGGCAGCGTCAAGGTGTTCTCCCCCACCAAGGACGACTACCAGAAGGTGTACAACGAGATCGCCAACCGTCTTGAGGAGAACGAGGAGTACGACGACGGCAGCTATGGCCCCGTTCTCGTTCGTCTTGCGTGGCACGCTAGCGGTACCTACGACAAGGAGACCGGTACCGGTGGCAGTAACGGTGCTACCATGAGATTCTCGCCCGAGGGTGACCACGGTGCGAACGCCGGTCTAAAGCATGCTCGGGACTTCCTCGAGCCCGTAAAAGGTATGTTATATCCCCCCTTTTTTTCAATGTCGGTTACCAGACGCGCTAACATATTTTTTATAGCCAAATTCCCCTGGATCAGCTACTCTGATCTCTGGATCATTGGCGGTATTGCCGCCATTCAGGAGATGCAGGGCCCCACTGTCCCGTTCCGACCTGGCCGTCAGGACGGAGATGCTGCGGCTTGCACGCCCGACGGACGTCTTCCCGACGGCGCCAAGGGAACCCCTCATCTCCGTGACATCTTCTACCGCATGGGTTTCAACGACCAAGAAATCGTTGCCCTCGCTGGTGCTCACGCCCTTGGCCGCTGCCACACCGACCGAAGCGGATACGACGGGCCGTGGACCTTCTCCCCTACCGTCCTAACCAACGACTACTTCCGCCTCCTTATCGAGGAGAAGTGGCAGCTGCGCAAGTGGGACGGCCCCAAGCAATACGAGGACGTCAAGACCAAGTCGCTCATGATGCTACCGGCTGACTACGCCCTCATCCAAGACAAGGCAACGAAGCCTTGGGTAGAGAAGTACGCCAAGGATAACGATCTCTTCTTCAAGGACTTCTCTGCCGCCGTCACCAAGCTGTTTGAGCTCGGTGTGCCTTTCAAGCAGGATACCGAGAAGATTATCTTCAAGCCTGTTAATGCCTAAATTTAATGATACCATCTGATAGAATTAGAAGGGGACGTATTAGAAAAAGATGTAGAGGAGGAGGATGATGAAGCTAGACCCAAACCCAGACCCAGAGCTACCTAGACCTAGATCAAAGAAATATACCTAGAAAGAGGTGTCGTGTCATGTCATAGCCATTGCCAAGAGAAGGGAGGAGATGAGAGAAAAACGAGAGAGAGAGAGAGACTGTGTGATACCTGCCCGGGATAGGGCTTGATTGAGTTATATACTTGTTTTCATTAGCCTAGTTGTCTGTTAGATTTTAACAAGCGAAGCTTAAGAGTTGTGTATATCAACGAAACATTCCCATCGCTGTATCCATGTGCTACGTATTGATATAAGGTATGATGTATTTACGTATGGTGCTTCTGTGGATGATTGAATTGGAGATGTTTTAATAGGTCGACGTAATAACTGCAAACGTACTATGTAATGGAGATCCTTTTCTTTTTCTTTTTCTTTTCTCCACTGCCATGTGCTGCATGTGGTCACTAGGCCTTAGGTACCTCTTAGTTTAGGTAGGTACCTCTCTCTTTTTTTTGGAGATGGAGTCGTTGTAGGTTGCCCCACGTTTTCCGATAAGTCTTTTACTACCTCATAGTATGTACTGTGCCTTCGTTATCCGCAAAAGTTCCTCCATAGTGCCTACGTCAAAAGTTCGATTTTAGCTCCATTCTTGGTGATTCTACAACTTTTAACCACTTACATCCCACTGGCACCACTAACCTAACTCCTTGGATAGGGGGTTGTACATACCTCCTGAGGTACCTAATTTATCTCCCAACTCATTCTTTTTTCTTTCTTTCTTCTTTTCCTTTTGCCCCCCCAAATGGCTTCGGCGCGCATCCCGGCCCTGCGCAACCTCCTCCTCGGCCGGCGACAGCTGCTGCTGTTGCAGCAGCGCCGCTGGGCCCAGGTCCACGACGTGCGCTTCGTCGCGACCACCCAGCCCGCGCGCAGCGTCGCCGAGAAGTACCGCGAGAAGCTTGACCGCAAGGCCCGCGAGGAAGGCCTGCGCGACATCGCCGAGCTGAAGGAGGCCTACAGGGACCGCATCCAGGAGCTCCGGAGGAAGGATACCGTCTCCGTCCCCGGCCTCGACGCCTTGCTTGCCGACGAACAACCCCCTGCTCCGTCGTCGTCGTCGCCGGCCGCGGATAAGGTCCAAGGGCGCGCTGGAGATGGGTCTGCTCGGACAACGCCGCCCGTCGGCGGTGCGGCGGCTGCGAGTACCTCCGGTGCAGGCGTCAAACCCCTCTCCGAGATCCTCGACCTGCCCAAGGCCCGCGCGCTCCCGGAGAAAGAGCTGTCCGCCGTATGGCGCCTCCGGCACGCGGCGTCGCCGAACTCGCTGTGCGCGGTGATCCCCCGGGCGACGTACCTGTCGATGGAGGCGACGGCGCGGCGGCACCCGTCGTTCGTGCTGCCGGTGCCGCGGGGCGCGGACGTCGGGGCGGAGATCCACTTCCTGCAGTGGGTATTCGACTCCTCTTCTACTTCCACCTCGGCATCCCGCACGGCCACCGTCCTGTTCACGCAGCTGGCCGAGTACAAGGCGCGCGGGGAGTGGGCGCAGCCGCACACGAGCATCACGCACTACGTCGACGCGGGGCTGGCGGGGGTGCTGATGGCGGGGAGCGTGGTGGACGGGCGCGGGGCGAGCGTCCAGGACGCCAAGTGGCTGGTGATGCTTCTGCAGAGGTTTTACGGCGGGGAGGGCAGGGGGGGCGAGAGGGATGGCGGGGAGAAGAGGAGGTTGCTGGAGGAGTTTGGGCGCGGAGATGGGAGGTTTAGCGTGGAGAGGTTGTTGGAGGAGAGCGAGAAGTTGGGTTGAGGAAGGAAAGGGGTGACGGTGACGGTGACGATAATGGATAAGCTGGGTCAAGAACGCAGCTACATACCTACCTAAGGTACCTAAGCTAAGGTATCTAGGTAGGTAGGTAGGTAAGTAAGAAAGCTGGGCTTGGGGAGGAACGGAGACGATACATTAGGTACCCCTTGGTATAAAGGCGAGGGGGGGAAAAATAACATGTATTTTGAAACTGGCTTAGATGACGGACAATGCTGCTCGTGGATAGACGAACAGGAAAAGAAAAGGAAAGGGCCTGTAGTCGGGCTCAACTGTACGATCATCTGTATAAATGCTATAACTTATACGCATATGGGTATTCTAAAATCTAGATATAGAAAATTCTACAGCTGAACTTCCATCCTACTCTTCCTCTTCTTTACGTCTTTCTCCATCCCATCCACATCTCCTTCTCTCCCTATTTATTATCCTTCTACCACCAACTTTATTAGTCTATAGGTACCTAAGGTACCTAATCTATAGCCACCCTCACCACCACCATCACAACTAACTTCTCATCATAACTTCGCCCCGTCAGCCCTCTGGTCCTCCTTCCTCGCCTGCTCCTTGAGCACCCTGCGCAGCAGCTTCCCGCTCGCGTTCTTGGGCACCTCGTCGAGGAAGCGCACGCCGCCGCGCAGCCGTTTGTGCTGGGCGACGCGCGCCTCGACCCAGGCGACGAGCTCCGCGGCCTTGGGCTCGGTGCGCGGCACGTTGGGGTGCAGGACGACGTACGCACGGGGCACCTCGGTCTCGCGCTCCTTGTCGTGCGCGGGCACCACGCACGCGTCCGCGACCTCGTCGTGTCCCAGGAGGACCGACTCGAGCTCCGCGGGCGCGACTTGGAAGCCCTCTGGAGAAAGGGTTAGTAGGAGTGATTACGAGAAGTGTGGGAAGGAGACGAGATGAGACGAGACGAGGAGAGAAGATGGGGTGTGAGAATAAGGAATGAGGTACGGAGGAAAAGGAAAGGAAAGAAACGAAAAGGGAAGGGAAGGGAAATAGATAGGTAGGTAACTTACTGTACTTGATCAACTCCTTCAACCGATCCGTGATATAGAAATTCCCCTTCTTATCCACATACCCGATATCCCCCGTCTTAAAGAACCCGTCCGGGCTAAACGTGTCGCTCTGCAACTCGGGCCGATTCCAATACCCGGGGAAGACATTGGGGCCGCGAAACCAGAGCTCGCCCTCGCCCTCGCCGGGCCCCCTCTCCTCGCCGGACTCGACGTCGACGACCTTGGCCTCGACGTTGGGCAGGAGCTTCCCGCAGGACCCGTTGTACCGCTTCCAGTCGACGAGGCTGCCCTTGGTCACGGCGGGCGCGGTCTCCGACAGCCCGTACCCCTGCATCACGGGGATGCCCAGCCGCGCCCACACCTGCTCCACGAGCTCGCGGCCCAGCGGCGCCGCCCCCGAGTTCACCCACTTGACGCTCGACAGGTCGTACCGCGCCACGGACGGGTGCTTGGCCAGCGCGAGGACCACGGGCGGCGGGATCGCCGCGAAGGTCACGCCGAAGTCTTGGATCGCCTGGCAGAACTTGTCGAGGTCGAATTTCGGCAGGATGATGGCTTGCAGGCCCATGAATATGCTGTGCAGGGCTATGCATGTGAGGCCCTATTTTGTGTAAGCTTTTCTTTTCTCTCTCTCTTTTTTTTTTTTCTTTTTTTCACTTACGTATACGTGGAAGAAAGGCAGCACCGCGATCTGCTTGTCGCCTTTCCCGTCGATCCCGCCGGAGTGGTATATGCCGTTAAACTTATCGCAATGCCCGAGCTGCGTGAGGTTGGCGGCGATGTTGTAGTGCGTCAGCATGACCCCCTTCGGCAGGCCCGTGGTCCCGGAGCTGTAAACGAGGAACGCGGTATCCTTCTTCGGGTCGAGGCGCGGGCGTAGCGACAACCCCAGCAGTCCCGAACCGCCGCCGCCGCGCAGCTCGGTGAAATGCTTGAACTTCCCCGTCGGGTCCCGCGCGTCGCCGAGCAGGATGATGCGGTCCTCGGGCAATCCGATGGTCTTGGCGGCCTCGAGCACGGTCGGCAGCATGGGCACCTGGGTGACGATTCCCACGACGCGGGAGTCCTTCATCTGGTAGGCGAGCTCCTTCGGCGTGTACGTCGGGTTCGCGGTCGAGCAGGCGCCGCCGGCCCAGTGCACGCCGAAGAACACGGGCGCGTAGTCGACGCTGTTGGGCGAGAAGAACCCCAGCACGTCCCCCTTCTTGAACCGCCATTGCGACCTGAGCCCCCGGCCGAACTCGAGCGCTGTGCTGCGCGCCTGCACCCACGTGTACGACCGCCGGGTGTCCGGGTCGATGTAGATCTCTACGAGGCCAGGGTTAGAGATGAATCTGCATCAGTTCTTATATGCTTCTATCCTGTATGTATAAATATACGTATAACTATACGTACTAGGTAACTATACATATATTGTTTACGGGTTATATTATATATAGTTCGGCGGGATAGGGAATAAGTAATAGGTAGCAAATATGTAGCAAATATAGCATTTATTCACCTTTATCTTCCGGAAACGGCCTGTCCTTCCTCTCGAACACGAGCTGCCACAAATCGGCCTCGGGGATCTGCAGCGGCGGGTGCAATGACTTGATGACCACCATGGTGATGATGATAGTGACCGTGATAGGAATAGGGATAGTGACGACGATGACAACGACGGGATATATAACGGAAGTAAGAAAGAATTAACAGTAAAAGTAGTAACAGCAGAACAAAAGACGGTCCGATTTATACTTATACATATACATATAAGGTAACTGTAACTGTAACTATTCGCACATGCGCAAAAAGCAAATGGTAAGTCAAGGTGAAGAAAGTTGAAGATACCTAGATCAGTGAACCCAGGCTCCCGCGGTTCAAGCTTCCGAGGTAGTTTAGTTATTAGTTAGGTCAATCCCCACACACACACATACCCACACAAAGGAACCGTGGGAAGCCGTGGAGCTTTTCTTCAACCGATATGGCCTCCCCATGACCACGCCAAATGAGTGGAGTCTGTTGGGGGTGAGAAAAAGGAAATAGTATGTACATAGTAATAACTTGGGCTTTATTTCAGACGGCTAGGATAGGTATGGGGACCCCCTGATCTTGTGGAGGAATCATAATCACTAATCCCAGATGAGGTAAGCTTCATTGTGCCGTTGCGGGGAATTTGGAGAACAGTATAAAGATATTCAGAGTAATCAAATAATATAAGTATAGACATTATATAACTATGCTCTATGTAACCTATCTGCTTTTTTATATACGTCAACTACCTACCTATATATACCTAACTAAGTAACTATAATTATATACCCATGTATCAATGATATAGCATTATCATATGGAGTCGCTTCCGTACCGTCATGCATTCATGTCAAAACGTGTATAAATCAAAAAGGGGGTATCGTGCTTCAACCAATAACTACGCGGAATCGCTGCTCGACTGCTCAGCATCCCCATTATCCACCCCGGCCTCTTCTGGTCGTACCCACGCCGCAACATCCTCACAGCCCTTCGGTATTCTGCATTTGTCTCTGACGTCGCACGTCTTCCATAAAACTTCCCGAATCTCCTTGAAAATCTGATCCACTGCGTCCATTGCCCAAATCACATCTAGGTGCTCATAGTCCGGCAAGATTTTGCTGTGCACCACTCGGACGTTCGGCTCTCTTCCTCTCTCGAACCGTCGCAACAGCTTCTGCCCATCTACAAGATTATCTTTTCCCGCTACCCAAAGTGCAAATGGACACACCTTTTCGTTATACCAGGCCGTGGCACCCTTGGGTTTCTTATGGTGCTCTCTATTCACGTTTTGCAGAATCGAGCTTCGCCGTGGGCTGGTTGTTTCGGCGAGAGGTCCGTCTGTCCCATCCTCATTCTCCTCGCTCCGCCATTCTTCTTTAGTAGAGAGAATACATTTGTGTCTGGCGAAGCATTCTCGACCTAACCACCAGCGCATCGACTCGGCACTCACATAAACAGGAGCAAACTGGAACATCCGGTCCCTTAAGCCACGGTCCCAACGGGTATCTGTCCAGTCGAACAAGAATGAGAACACTGTGTATCCAAGGCGTCCGTAGATACCGGAAGGTAGGATCGAGTGCATGGTCATCATGATAGGAATGAAGGCGTGAATGCCAAACATGACCCGAAAAAGACCCGGTGATATCACACGCATGAACTTGAAGTACATCTTGCCAATCAACGGCCCGGCATAGGCCGCTGGAGCGAGGGCACAGAACACGGTGAGCTTCTCTCCGAGCTCGGGGCGCTGTTCTTTAGCCAGGGCTACAAATGTTTCTGTCGTGCCTTGAGAGTGACAGATCAATCCGATCTTCTCAAATCCGGTCTCAAATAATACCCTCGAGACTAATGCTGATAGATCAAATACTCCCATCTGTCGAATATTCCAGCACCACATACGCGGGTCTGAATAATCCAGCAAAGCGTGTTTTGGGTGGAAACCGCATCGATTATTCCCCAGCCACACGTCGTAGCCCGACTTGCAAAGATAAAATGCCAACGAATCGTCGTCGTTGACACAGTACGCTCCTGAGCTTTGAAGCAACCCATGCATCAGGAGCACAGGAAACTTGGGCTTCCGGTTGGGGTCCTTTAAACGTTTCCTGTTGTCTCCCGTGAATAACTCCGGTCCTTGATAGGTCCGCTCCTGATCATCCAACCTGGTATATTCGCGGGGATCGTAGACGTGCCATAAATCAATGATAAATCCATCTTCGGTTTGCACATGGAATTCCTCAACATCTAAACCGACCCTCCGCGCATAATATCCCACGTCGCAGATAACGGGATCGGGTCCACCTTCGGTCGGAACGTAGCCTTCATTTCCTTGGGCATTCTCTTGGTCCGAAGTCCCCTGGCTTTGAGATTTCCGCCTCTTCCACGCCTTGTCTTGTTCCTTACGTATAGTCTGCCTTCGAATTTCCTCGTCGCGAAAGGGCCTTCCAGCGTCAGGGTCTCGGAATGTTATGTATTTCCAGACCGTATTGCATGCTCTAGGTATGCTCGTAAACAACGCACCGAGAACAATGACGCCAAGGAAAGCAGCACTGAGGAAAAATGATGTTGCACGAAAGGTCCAACATTGTAAATCGCGAAGTAGAGACGGCGGTCCATACAAAGGAAGAGGAGGAAAAAGCGGATTCGTATTTGTTGGTGGCATCGACCTCCGCAACGAACCCTCGGACGATTTCTGCGCGGCCTGGGCATTGTCGTATGTCCCTAGGCCAGAGACATTGCTTGCCGGTGGGAGGCTATCGCTGCTAATATGATCAGTCGGTTCTTTCTCTTTGGAAACACTGCTATCTAGCTCTTCTTTCAGTATATTTAGTTTATGCGCTTGCTCAAGTGGGACGGTAGGGAGTCGGTTCCCATCGGCTGTGACGATGACCGGATCCTGTGGCGTGACAAATTGAGCTTCGACAGCAACTGTATCCTGATGCTCGTTATTTTGGGTCGTTTGGAGTGAGAGTTTTTCTGCCTGTTGGGCGAATTCAGCAGCAGTCGCCGCGCCGGGCGACTGCGACCTGACTTGATGATTGTCGCTACTAAGTCCCATTGCGATTTATTTTGTAAATACTGGAATATATTCATCTAGCCTTGAATGTGATATGTGAAGTTTCTTTATGAACTTGTTAGACAGAAAAATAGGTTTGCTTCGAAGCCTAGGTGATTGAAAATTAAAGAAGAAAAAAAAGACGACTCGGGTGATCGACCGTTGCCAAAGTTAGTTGGAATTTAGTAGTGAGATTCAGGTAATCCGGTAATCTTCACTTCACAATAGGGTGTCAGCAGCGAAGCCGCGTCATGGTTTTCCTAGAGGGAATATTGTGAGCCGAACCCGGATTAGAATCCAAGGCAGTCAGCCACCGATGAAATGAAGATATCTCAAAGCAGGGAATTGGCGTGCTACTAGTGTAAATCGGTGAGTAGCATTACGATCAAAGGGGTCATGATAAAAATGGAATGTGATCCCCCCTATTACAGGGATTTAGAAGCGTAGAATTTTGCCAAGGGGCTTCCCGGAGATCAAGGAATACTACGTCAGAATGCAGATCGAAGCCCGACTTTGTTGTGTGCCTGTTGGCTGGTGGTTGATTCCGAACCACCGGAAACTAAATAAAATATGACTTTGGGCGATGAATGGTTCCCCTGAGAACGTCAAGTCGAGTTGTTGCAGATTCGTCAACAAAGACATGTGAAAGTGAAAAAAGAGAAGGGGGGGTATATCGTTTAGCGGTTGTAACGCTAGTAAGGGCGAATCAAATCGCCACTGTCTATGAGAGGCAAAAGAGAAGAGTTCCCAAACACATGAATCGACTCTGTGGTGAATGTCAAGTGGTGACGGTTGATGTTGACGGAGGAAACACTAGTAAAGTTAGCTCTTGCACGAAGAAACGAAAAGAGAAACTTCAAATAACCGTAACTACCCTATGCATTACTTAAGGTACTTCCTATATGAGCAGATGAGGTAGGTTCGAACTTCGAATTATAGACTTTGTGCCAAACAAGGAACCTGCGACCAGATACCTTAGGTACAATTGGAAGTCTTTACTACCTATACCCACATGCAAATAGGTTACCTAATGCCTATACTTTGAGTAACCAACCCAAGAAAAGATATTTGACTTACATCAGATGTGTTGCACCTAATTTGATGGCTTACCTTAGGTACCTCATGTACCTAAGCTAAGTACTTCGAATCTCATTGTGATAAGTCCCGACTTTCGAGCGAATACCTAGGTAGATAGGATCTTACCTAGGTATTTATACTCTATCAATTCTAGCATTTGCACTTCACTTTTACTACATACCTACCTCCTATATAAACTACATCAACTAACCATGTATGCTATGCGTTGTACAATCAACAGCTGATAATCGTACAAAATACCTGGACACCGCCTCTTTAATTGCAAACGACCTGTGGGTATCGATAACACCGTGCGCTTATCGAATTTGGGCAATGCCTCGGTCGAAATTATAGCAGGTGTACGCTACTATGTAAGCAAAGCCGAAATGGAACTGTCAATTGAAGGAAGGAAGAGTACACAACGGGTTGTACAACGCGAAAGGCAACACAAAAAGAAAGACCTTTCCTAGTACTACCTACCTTATAGTATACGATTAATAAATTAATAAATTACATGCATAACAAAAGTTGTCGTCCTATCGTTAGTTCAACTCGTTAAAAAAACAAAAACAAGAAACAAGAAAAAAAAAACCACCGACCTGTAATAAAATTACCCGTTCCTCTCTATGCGCGACACCTCGCGACTTGCGGGGCCCTGATCCGCCTAATGATTTCTATCACGGCGCACCGCTCCTTAACATTCTAGAAGCCATACGTCGCGACGATGGCTACTCCGACTCCAGATTCAGTTGCTCATAGAAAGCGAAGACGGAGAAGAAGACAGGACAAGCCTGCCATCTCAACAAAGCTAGTTCTAGATAGCCATGTAAAGGGAGATGTTGGCTTATTATCCAATAATGTGTTTACCGACCTGTTTCCTTACTTACAAACTGGTGAGTGTCTTGACGACATATTTGGGTTTTATCTTTATACACCTAGCTCTGTTGACTATATCGAAAGCTAACAAGAATTTGAATATATTACAGACTCTGGCGAAGATAAGACAGGCCAAACCCTCACTATCCAACATGTCGCCATCGCCCCATGGACACCGTCTCCGAATCCCCAACGGATAAATTGGACTATAGTCCCCATCGTCAAATCTACCTCCCTTGCTGATTCTACCGTCCAATTTTCCCCATCGTCCCTTGCCTTGCAAAGTTTCGCGACAACGTTGCAGCAGGTCGCTCCTTCGAAGCTTTCTAGTCATAATAAAGGCGGTATCGAAGTCCTAATCTTAGACGTAGCGACCCTCCCCCTAGATACCGTCTTCGTACACCTCGAAAGCGACTTGGTAAAGAGACTCGAAAATGGAGAAGGGAACTTCTTTAATGGTGATGCATCCGCCGAGAAGAAAGTTGTTACAGGGAATGACACTCCAACCGAACGCCTCGCTGCTGCGCTCCGTCTAGCTTTGGGGACACTGAAGATCGTCCATAATGGGGATCTATTCCCTTTACCCCTACCTCCGCATCCTGTTACACACGTTCCTCCAACGCCCGGCAAGGTAACACTTTGTGAGCCTGTAGCACAGGGTATTCTAGCGCCGACTACCAAGATTATCCTGACGAGGGGTCACGCTCAGTCGAAGCAAGCTCGAGGCAGTATTCCCTCACCACGAACTTTAAGTGCTGATCAGGATGGCGAGGACACTGCAACCGACCAGTTTTTTTCTGCCACTGAAGAGCGAGATAAGGCAGATGGTCCAAGCGAGACTTCTGATATCGTAACAGATATTGAGACGGAGATGTCAGAACCTGAAAATGAAGATGAACTCTCCGACGATTCCCTTGAAGATATTATATCCCTTCAAGTTCCATCGCTGCCATCCACCAATGCTAGTGGCGTCTCTAGCATGCAACCAGGAACGCCAATGACACTCGGGCGAGGAAGGATTGGCAACGGCATAAACACTCCCTCGGTCTTTTCCAGCTTTACTGCTACTACCGCTCGCCAGGATCGTCCTAGGGGTCGCCTGTTCAAGGCTCACGGTTTGATGAGCCAAATACCGTCCGAATTACTTTACCCTAAGCCCACAGCCGAAGATGATGATGAAGTAAGGGTGTATGTAGATATCGCCTCGCTTACTAGGATAGGGTGTTTTTCTGGAGATTGGGTCCGACTTGAAGCCTCCGAGGAGCCTCCTGCCAATGGAGTCGGCCTATTTGGCCTAGGCAGCTTCGGACAACCCGGGGAAGAAGAGCCGGTATGGAGACCAGCTAAAATTTACGGACTCCCGGAGGGTTACTCTCACAGGCCTATGACGAGAATTCCAAGCTCAAAATACGATGTAAACAACCGAAGGCCTTCGTTCTTTGATTCCCAAGTTCCAGCACATACCGGACCCAGCGCGTACATGTCGCCCCTCCTGCTGGCGAACCTAGAAAATGCGTCTTATGTTCGCTTATCTCCGCTGAAAAGAATAGCGCAGCCTTCAAAGCAAGGCCAATCGAAAACCAACGGCTCAATCCGCCCTCCATATGCTCGAGATGTCACTCTTCAGCAAATACGAACACCTGTCTCATCCGAGAAAGCTCTCCAGACAGCTATATTCGGTGGACTCAAGGATCACTTTGCACGAAGTATACGTGTAGTTAAAACGGGCGACTTGGTTGGAATTCCAATCGACACGCAGCTTGGACGTACGCTTCAGGAATCGACTATAACCGGTGACGGCATTGTCCTCGACGATGTCGTGGCTCTTACAGCTTCAAACAAGTCCGGTGCAGCAGCTACATTAAAGCCAGATGCCGTTGCCTGGTTCAAAATCGCCCATATAGAACGCCAGAAGACGGAACCCGTGGAAGAAGAGGATGAGGAAGACTTATGGGGTGGTGTAGCTTGTGTCGACAGTTCTTCGACTCAGATTGCCCAATCTGGTGGCACTACTAGCTGTCTTCCAGGGACGAAAGATAGTAATTGGCCTTATTATCTAGGTGTTGAAGAAGCTCCTCGGCCCACATCCACCGTCCTTTCTTCGGTCGTACAGCCGCAGGCAAGGTTCATCCTGCCCTTGAGGCGACGGTTAAGAGAGCTTTTGGCGGCTGCCACAAGTAAACGAGCTGTTCACCTCAAAATGCCCCCGGTAGCTATCCTCCTTGTATCAAATCAACGTCACATAGGCAAGGCTACTTTAGCCACTAATGCCTGTGCGGACATTGGGCTACATACATTTACTATTGACGCTTATGACGTGGTTAATGATAGTGGAGCTGGGGGGAGCGATGTCAAGACGGAAGGCCTCCTGAAAGCTCGAGTAGATCGTGCCATGAGCTGCGGCCCGGAGTGTTGTGCTCTTCTTATTCGACATATTGAGGCCCTTACGGCTGACAGGATGGTGGCTGCAATGAAGGAAGTACTTGGCGAAACTAGGGTACTAATCGCGACGACAACCGAGGTAGACAAGGTACCAGACGGAATTAGGGGACTCTTCACCCACGAACTGGAGATGAGCGCCCCTGATGAAGGCGAACGTGAAGATATTCTGCAATCTATAATACAAAACCGTGGAGTATCCTTAGCGCCTGAGGTTGAGCTGAGTGGCGTTGCTCTTAAAACGGCAGCTCTTGTTGCTGGTGATCTAGTTGATGTGGTCGAGCGTGCGATAGTCGCCCGTGACTTACGTCTAGAGCAGCTATCGGCAGAAGCTTCGAACGAGGATTTAACAGTCACCGTTCGCGACGTACAAGTGGCAGGAGGCTCAGCGGCAAGGTGCCTAACAAAGGCCGACTTCGATGTTGCTGTGGACGCGGCGCGGAAGAACTTCGCAGATGCGATTGGCGCGCCAAAGATTCCAAACGTCACCTGGGACGATGTCGGTGGTCTCAGTAATGTCAAAGAAGCGGTTATGGAGACGATTCAATTACCGTTGGAGAGGCCAGAGTTGTTCGCTAAGGGAATGAAGAAGCGTTCCGGCATCCTGTTCTACGGCCCACCCGGTACGGGTAAGACGCTATTAGCGAAAGCAATCGCTACTGAGTACAGCTTGAATTTCTTCAGTGTGAAGGGTCCTGAGTTGCTGAACATGTATATTGGAGAATCCGAGGCCAATGTCCGCCGCGTCTTCCAGCGAGCCCGAGATGCTAGACCCTGCGTCGTCTTCTTTGACGAACTTGATTCGGTCGCCCCGAAGCGAGGAAACCAGGGTGACAGTGGTGGCGTTATGGACCGTATCGTCTCCCAGCTTCTAGCAGAACTGGATGGCATGTCCGGGGGAGACGACGGAGGAGGCGGTGTCTTCGTTATCGGTGCCACGAACCGACCCGATCTGCTTGATCAAGCGTTGTTACGTCCCGGTAGATTTGACAAGATGCTCTACCTTGGCGTGTCCGATACGCACGAAAAGCAAATCACGATTATGGAAGCCCTGACAAGAAAGTATGTTGTAAATATAATCGTATTAACCCGACACGGGGAAACAACCCACAGTATCTATTACGTATGCTAACGTTGCCTATAGATTCACACTTCACCCATCCGTTTCGCTGCCAGCTGTCGCCGAGCACCTGCCCTTTACTTACACGGGTGCTGATTTCTATGCGTTGTGTAGTGACGCTATGCTTAAGGCCGTCACACGGCAAGCGTCTCTAGTAGACACAAAGATCCGGGCCATAAATGCAGTACGGCAGAAGGATGGACACGCTCCAATTTCCACGGCCAATTTCTTCGACCACCACGCCACAGCCGAGGACGTCGCAGTTATGGTTACAGAGCAAGACTTCCTCGACGCGAACCGGGAACTGATACCCAGTGTCAGCGCGGGCGAGCTCGCCCACTACGAGCAAGTCCGTGCCACCTTCGAGAACCAAGACTCGAAGCCATCCCAGAAACAACAACCACAACCGCCACAGCCGGAGGTAGCCGAGGCGCCCGCGACACCGGCCCGCAGGCCCAAGTCGCGGTCGATCTCGAGCAACAAGGGCAAAGGCAAAGCGACGACACCTACCAGCACGACCAGCAGCACCAATAACAGAAAGGGGAAAGGGAAGGCCCTCGCCAACGCCAGCGACGAGGAGAGCGAGGGAGAAGGGGAGAAGGAGGAGCCGGAGCAGGAGCAGGAAAACGGGTACGATGGCAGCAGCAGCAGCATGACGAATGGGAGGAGGAGGAGCACGAGTACGAGTACGAATAGGAGTAAAGGGAAAGGTAAAGCCGTAGCACAAGGACAAGACCAAGGACAGGTTTCACCTACCGCAGCTAAGTTTAATCACGGGACGGCGAGCGATGACGAGGGCCTTTACTGAAAATGGGGAAAAAATTATAGGGTGCCGTCAACAAGAAAGAAAACAAAAAGATGTTGCGAGGGGAAGGAAGAGGAAGCTGGAGAGTTATGAATCGATAGATTAATTGGCAGTGGTACCTAAGGTTAGGAGGTAGCTAAGTGGAAAAAAGATATGACTTCTGTTTACCTTAGGTTACCACCTAGGTACCTATAACTACCTAAGGTACCTCCTATAACTATTATATATAATATAATGATACAGGTTATTAATCTATAAAAAGAAAAAGAAAAACAGAAAAAAAAAAGACTCCTAATCCTCGATGCTGTAGTAATACATTATACCGGTGATAATACTAATAAAGTACCTAGGTACCTAACCTAGGTAGGTAGCCAGTCCCTGCCAAATTAATATAATCAATAGGACTTGATTTATTTATTTCCTGTCTTCTCTTCGCAAATTTGGTATCTAGGTAATTAGCACTCAACCCCTAATGCTCCTATGATCTGCTGAAAAAAATAAAAAAAATAAAAATAAACGCAGTATTAAGTAAGTGAAAAAAAAGCTGCTCGTCGGCCATCGTCGACGTATCGAATGCTATACCTGAGGCTGATGATGACTTATTATTTATTTCGTGCTCACGGCCGGGGCTTTACCCTTTCCCTTATCTCCCACCTCTTCCTCTGTCTCTTCTTCTTCGTCCTCCTCTTCCTTATCTTCCTTATCATCATCTTCCTCATCGTCTTCATTCTCCTCGTCTTCTTCCTCTTCCTCTTCACCTCCCTTCTTATCCACATGATTGGGATCCGCCGGGTCCTCGCTATCCTCCTCCTCGGAGCTCGCCGCCTCGGGGATCGTCTCGGCTTTCTCGATCTCGGCGATCTCCTCGGGGGACGCGTCGGCGACGATGGCGTCGTGGAGGAGCTCGCTTATGCTAGAGGCCGCGCCCGCGTCGTTAAGGAGCTCGCTTATGCTGGGGGTCGCGCCCGTGCCGTCCGCCTTCCAGGACCCGGTCGTCGGGCTCTGCAGCATCGGCCGCAATATGTCCTCGGGAGTGTCATCTCCGTGCCGCGATGACGTCGGCGACTGCAGGGCCTCTTCGACTGGTGATAGTCCCTTGTCATTGTCCGATATCTTGAGCTTGCTCAATTTCTCGGCTGCGGGGCGAGTGGATATACCGCCTCTAGGTTTTACCAGCGTGGAAGTAGCGGCCCTCGATGTTGTAGTAGTAGTCTTCGCCGTGGTAGTGGTAGTCCTTGGTATGGTGCTTGTAGTAGTCTTAGGCCTGATCGAAACTACTTTGGTCGTTTTGGAAGGAGTTGCTTTCGGAGTTGCTTTCGACGTCGATGTGGTTGACGTCGAAGATGAGGTTGATGTGGTTGCTCTGGACGGAGTTGCTTTCGAAGCGGTTGCTTTGGTGGTAGTAGTTACTTTGGGAGTGGCCGTTTTAGAAGTGATGGTCTTTGTAGGAGCCGTCTTGGATCCAGATGCCGTTGCGGTCGTTTTGGCTCTAGACGATGCCGTAGTAGTAGTAGTGGTGGTGGTGGCAGTTTTTCTCGCACTAGAACTTGTGCTGGCGGTGGCGGTAGATTTCTTAGTGTCCTTGGTATCTGTCTTCTTAACAACCTTGACTATTGTCTTCTTGACGTCTTTAGCGTCTACTTTCTTAACATCCTTCTTTTCTGCTCCCTTGGCATCCTTGCTGGCAGGCTTTTTGCTAGCCTTGGTCTCAGATTTCTCGGCCTCCTTATCATCTGCTTTCTCGGTGTCCTTGGTATTCTTGGTATCCTTGGTATCCAGACTCTCAGGAACCTCAGGCTCTGATTTCTCAGCAGTTTTACTTTCCGACTCCTTGGATTCTTTAGCATCCTCGGTATCTTTGTCATCTGACTTCTTCACGTCCTCGTTCTCCTTAGCGTCCTTATCCTTCTTCCCGTGGACCTTCGCACGCAAGCTCTCCAGATGCACCTGCTTCGCCCTCGCTGCGGCCTCCTCAGCAATACTACGGATGGGTTCGGCGGGGGCAGCTGCTTTGGCTCCTGCGCCGGCTTTACTTGTCGATGACGCTGCCGGTACTTTAGGTTTATTATTTTCGGGTAGCGGGGGCGCTTCGGGTGGTGGTGGTGGTGGTGGTGATGCGGAATCATCCGCTGCAGAGGTAGTCTTGGTAGTCTTCTTTACAACCTTCTTCTTAGGTTTAGGGGTAGGTTGTGGGGGTGCCTGGCTTATGGGCGGGATGGTAAAGTCGTCGTAGTAGATGGTGACATTTTGTTTCAACTCGCCGTATTCGTTCCACTCTTCAATCTCTACTAGATCCTACGCGACAACATGGTTAGTGATATATCCTCCAAAGTTGGTTGACATTCACAGTTGACTTACACCAAGAACCATACCCATCTGCACTAGACCGGGAAGCTTGCGCAGTCGTCCAGATGCATCCTTGCCAGCTCTTCGACCCCATAGCATTCGTGCCTTCTCATCAACTGCGATATCTATGGCTTTGAATGGCACCTTATTAGCTCTTAGGATAGTCTCCAATCGCGAAGTAGCTGTGACGATATGAGATGACCCGGCCGTGAGAGAAGTGTAGATATAAAGGGCGGGGTCGGTCGAGTACGTCGCGGCTGGTTTAGTTTCTGCCATCGTGTCGCAAATAATTTTGTCAAGTTTTTCTTTTTAGTTTTTAGTTTTTTTTTTATTCAAAAAAGAAGAGAAAAAAAAAGAAAGTGTGTATAAACGAAAGTGTGAAGAGAAGAAGAGAAATCAGCTTAGGTATTAGGTATGTTTTGGAAAGTTGGAGATGGGATGCTGCTCCTGGTTCGAGAATGCGAAGGGACGATTCCCCTGGATCAGATAACGATAGACAGCCTAAATCGCTAATTGATAGAAGTAATTATACCTATAATTAGGTACCATAATTAGGTACCATATGTACCTACACGATACCTTTACGAGGTTTAGGGCGTTTCACCCGTGCTTCTTAGTGCTTCTACCAGCCCTCCGTAGAAGCCGTTGGTGCACGACCTAATTTTTGATTGGGCGCTTGTACCTGAATATGACTTCATAGCATAATTGAATAAGGCTTTTAAGGCTTAACTGCATATGTGCAGCTGGAATCTCGCGATTCCTCTCTCTTACTAAACCTGCCAGGAGTGATGTACCTTTCAGCACCAACAGTTAATAAGCTTAGGTAGGTACCTAAAGTACAAATCGAAAACAGTTATTTGGATAAGTAATGATTTGCATATTAAATATTCACCTGCCTGTTATAATCCGTTTCGTACCTTCGGACCACTTACTAATAAGAATATTCATCAATAATCAGATTTATAAAAGTTTAGGAGGGTTTTGACGCTCAGTTGGACGTGTGAGATCATAGCATTAACGGAAGGAAGTCTTCATTCCATCAAGTCGTGGGATGCTAACGAGTACGTCCATTGGCGGATCAGACAATAATAACACGTCCTGGAACAGATAGAAGTCCCGCCCTCTCCGAAAATTTAACGCAAAGGTAGTGGCAGGGTGGGCATGTATAAGTGACAGCTGTCATAACAGTGAAAGATATGAGCGTCGATTAGAGGTTGGTATGAATCTTCGAAAACTACGACAGTCGGTCCTCTGTGAAATATATAGGATCCTTGCCTCGCTAGTCTTGAAGTCTCTTCATTGGCTAAAGGTTGGAACTACACGCGGAGTTTGAAACAAAACAGTGGCTAGCTGTCAACCGAGGCACTCGATTCAAGCCCCTATCCTCCAAGCTATATAATTCGTCACTAATTATTTCTGGCAGACAACTACCGAGTTTCACAACGTCGTTCTTACTTGGTTATGGCTGGGCATCCTTTTTTTTTTTTTTTTTTTTTTTTTTTTGGCTAAAGAGATCCACGAATAGGACAATATCATGCAAAATAGTGCAGGCGTAATCAAGTTCTTACTCTACTCCTTCATCCGACGCCGATGTGGACTCTATCCGAAGAACTAGATGCACAGAATCTATATCCCAGAAGAAACCAGGCAACAGCCTTTAGCAAGAAAGGTTCATAACGGTAGGAGTCGTTGATCCTAGACCGGTGTCGTTGCTAACATACGGTTTCTTCCTCACCGGTCACCTCTCGTCCTACTAGGGAGATAGAATAGTCCGCAGCGGTACCTATAATATACCTCACCTTTACAAAGAAAAGATACTATATAACATGCCGTCCTCTTACGCAGCTCTCCCACGTCACCGAAAGAAGCTTGTCGGTTCCATTCTTTTTGGATACCTGCCTAGGTAGGTATCTGCAGCAAGGGTCCCTGCTCGTACATCCGACGGGTTGCAGCGAGCAGGCCGACGAGGCTATGGTTTCTGACTAATGTGAATAATTCGGAATTGGTTCATACTATTGGCTGCTTGCATTAAACTATAGCCGTGGCTTGAGCCTCCGCCCACATATGGAGATGGTGATATGTCAAACGTTTGTCTTGTCTTGTCTTGTCTTGTTCGATATGAGCCCGCTCGCAGATCAACTCCTTCTCAATCAGAGTGCCGTCACTGCCAGCTGCTAATCTTGTTTTTCAAGCTCCGTCGTGTCTCAGCCTGAAGCCGCCCGTTTGAAAGTCAGGCCTGTTCCGCCTTTACCCAGGACCTACGGAAGTGAGTTTATCCCCCTTCTATAAATATGATATTAAGATATTAAATATTGCTACTGTTTAGAAAATTGTAGCCTTGTCCTAATCTACTTTCGTCACATATCATCATACACCGATGCAAATATATCGTCCTTCTACTCTCTTTATTGGCTTACATACCTCTTGAGAGTTACATTAGCACAACAGGAATATTGAAGCCCAAAATAACTGACTAGTAGCAGCTCGCAGGTGACCAGATTAATAGGTTTCCAATTCTAGTAACACCGTAATGAGCGGTGTATGGTCCAAGTTGTGACCTGCTCGGAAATGTCTCATACCGAAACGTAAGGCAGATAGCTCAACCAGCAAACACGCCTTGTACCAATCACTAAAACGCCGGTGCGGTAAGGTCCGTCATGAACCAGTAATTCTTCATTCTCAGCTAGCTTTAACCCAAGGGGGAGGGAGATGTATTAGTTGGAGAAAACACTCTGACTAACGACCAATCACCAAGAAAGTAACATTGCTTCTTCTTACTCATTACCTACTCTACCGTCCAATGGTATCGAAGCCCGACCCTAATGGTCTGATTCGGCGTCCCGACTGCTCGGGCAGGATGCGAACAGGTCGGCGGCCGTCGGCCCCACCCTCGTCTAAGCGGGCGAGCAAAAAGCAAAGGAGAAAAGCGTGGATGATATTTCCCGCTGCAGGATTTCCATGTGCCACCTACGTAGCTCACATACGTATGTACAGGGGGGGTGTGGTAGCTCTGCTGCACGTAACAGCTAATACGTGCATGATATGCGTGATGGTGTGTACGCCGTACCGTAAATCCGCACGCCACTAAGTTTTCAGCTTCGTTCGCTTAGGACGGAGGTCAGCATCCTGATTCCGGGGAACCAGGAATGATCACATAGGAGGTACCTAAAGTGAGAAAAAGAGAGAGGTAGGAAGGAAGAACATAAGCAATACCTAGGTCTTACATAGAGCAACATACCTACCTAGGTACCTAGGTAATCTTTCTACATCGAGACAGTCGCCGTAGGGGAAGACGGAAGTTGCTCCTGCTTGGTAAGACATGCGTTCGAAGGAGCCGCCTAGTCGGCCCCCTTCGCCAAAAACCCGTTCATCACGACAAGATGCTACTCTGTCCGAATTATTACTAGGGGTTTGTTGGGCTGAGCCTACTTGGGCTGCAGGGCTAGGTATTGGTAATGTAACCCACGTCAATAACTGGTTAACTAAGCCAAGTGTTGGGATGGGCAAGGGCTGAAGAAATTTTATTATTATTATCCAAACGGGTATTTCGTTCCGGCGATGCAACCGCATTTCCACGCCCGCCATGTGTTGCAAATCCGAGCGCTTGGGTCTGAGAAAACCCACCAAAAATAAAACCTGAAAGGTAAAAATGATCGCAATGAGGCTCCGGTCTTACCGGTTTCCCCAGTCCTCATTCTCGATTGCCGACTTTTGATTTTTTTCATTATAGCTTGTACTTTTTCTTAGAAACGGCTTGATTCAAATCGTGAAAGGAAAAGGGTGAGAAAGAAAGAAACTTACATAAGTCGGGCAATCCGGATCGGGAACCCGAGGTAATCGGTCGTTGAGACCGGAGGTGTAGACATGAAACAACCCGATGTTACTTCGAACGACGGGTTTAGGAGGGCTTGGACATGGGGAAAAGAACGGCTGGCTACCGCATGGATATAGACGTTGGGGCGGCGATAATACCGAAATATACCTACCTAACCTAACCAAGGTAGGTATTCCAAAGATTGTACGTACATGCTAACCCGGGTAGCGAGCTTCGAAATGACGAAGCGGCCACTCAACCAGGAAGAGATGAGTTTTGGTCGAGCGAGACAAGCCCTTCGGATGACGGGAGAGTCTAAGTCAGCCCGGCATATTATGATTATTACTATTTGATTTTTATTTTTTTTTTCTAAAGAAAGAAAGAAAAGGAAATCCTCCCGTATGGAGGCTTATGGTCTGTAGGGTTGATGTTTTCCCGAAGAGGAGGAGGATTGACCTCTCAGCATGGCTTGGAAGAAAAAAAATAAAAATAAAATAAAAGCCCCCGGGGTAGGGTAGGCGAGATAGGTAATAATAAGTCTGGTTTTGGGTTTGGTTTGGTTTGCTGGTGTTGCTTATAAAAAGGGCCGCGGGAATCCTCTGCCTGCGCACCTACGCAGGTTATTCCCGCTCCGTTGCCCTTATTGTTTTTTTTTTCTTCTCTTCTATTTTACTATATACCTAGGTTAGGTAGGTATATGAGTTGTGTGGTAAGACGTACGTTAGAGAGAACACGACTAGCAAACTACGTCTAATCCTTTAATTCCTTTCTGTTGGCGGGACGGGAAGAAGTTGCAAGGGTTGGTTTAACTACCTAACTACCTGGTTACCTTTCTTGAGTGATTTGTTTTCTCCGATTTCTCTCTCCTTGTATGTAAGTGGCTAATCCTTCCCCCTAGATATTCCTTAATATGATAGCTCACAAACTGACTGACTTAAATAGTACCTCTATCGATCAGGTGCTCGTGGTACGGAGAAGCAGCTGAGCAAAAGAGAGAGGGAGAGAAATAAAGAAAGAGAAGAGAAGAGAGGAGAAGAGAGGCCCGCGCGGCGATAAACCAATAACTAGCCCTTTCGTCTGATAAGTCGATCGTCTGTCTATTTATAAAAATAAACCCACCCGCAGCCGCCGCCATGGACCCCGTGCGTCATCGACTCGACCGTAGCTATGATCTCCGGTTACCAGAGCTCACGTACAGCCATGCGGTCCCCTCTTCCGATCACGATCACAGGGTGTTCCGTGCTGTCCAGGACCCGTTATCTCTTGGAGCTGGAACTGGAGCTGGAGCTAGAGCTGGATCGAGCCGTCGAGGACTAGGAATGGTACAACTCTCCCTGAAGTGGTGCGACCATCGGATTCGAGGCTGCCCGTTCGAGTGCGATTCGAAAAGAGCCTTATGCGAGAGATGTGAGGACAAACAGTGTGGTGTGATCCACGGTTAGGTGTCTGTTTTTTTTTTTTTTTTTGTTTTTTTGTTTTTTCCTTCATGGGCAATCTTATTAGAGATGGGAGGGAGGAATCACCGATCTAGACTGCTGGAGTTCTTATTAATTATTAGAGCGGATTTACTAATACTAGTACTACCTCCCAACTGTTTATTCACGCTGAGATAATAATTATATGGATGTGGTCATGTGTTAAGAAAAACAAGTGATAATATGCAAGGGGTGATGTTGTTTCTAGTGTGCGTTTTTTATATCAATTTTAACCCTTTTCTTCTTCCCTCTTACCGATCTCTACCTCATTATCGAATAGCTAAGGCTGTGTTGGGGTCTGTCAGCTTTCCAACCGGGCTGCGGGATGGAAAGCATGCAAAGCTTGAAGATTTCCCTAAAAGAGATAATCACCAAGAAGGTACCTCTCTATGCGCTCTAATTAACCTCAACAGAAATTCTTTCACCGGTGTGGGGAAAGGCAGCCCTCACATCCCCTGGGGTTAATTATTGTAACTGCTTTATACGAGCGGGGCCGAGTAAAATCGGCCTTGTCACCGAATCATCTTATTTCACCCGTCCGTGGTCAACTTCGGCTACGAGATTACTTCGTAGAGGTTAGTGTTTGAAACATAGTTCACTTATATTGGCTAGGTACTGTACAGCTCGGCTTATAATATGATTACAATATTGATATACTATTACTATACTATACTATTACAATCCAGCTCAGAAGTATAAGTATAACACCTCAGTTGACAGGCTTAACTTAACTACCTCTCAGCTCAGTTGTTTTTACCTCGGCAAGAGGCTGAAAAGAATTACATGGAAAGATCCTACTACAAGGTTCACTTCATAGAAACACATATAAAAATTATTTGGCAACGGAAAAGATATTTGTCATTGGTCGAGCCGGTCCCGTATAACCAAACACGATGCTCTCCAAGTTGGAATATGCGACACATAAAGAACCACCTAACTCCTCCGCATCCTCTCTCTCCCTCTCCCCTTTCTTAGTACTGCAACTCATGCGCAACGCAGCCACATAGCTTGCAAATATAGACATAGAGAAAAGCGCTGTAAACGCCTAGGGGTATTCGGCCGCAACCCGGGCCAGATTCTTTCCTAAACCGATATATTTCGCCGCCTCTCAAAATCCTCCAAACGTCCCTCCCCGAAGAATAAAATGGTATGTAAGTGGACCGAAGTGAAAATAAAAATTAATTTGTCCGAATGTATTTTTTTGTAGGCCGAGTGCTCAACCTTGCGGGAGCTAGGAACTTGGGGATTTTGCTTGCCCAAGTATAATTAACACAGCCCACACCTTCATCCCTAAACTTCCGCTTAGATCAGGAGAGCGGCACCCATCGCCACAACACCCATCAGCAGACCGGACCGGACGGACACCAAGCCAGCACCACCGGTAGGGACCGTGGAGGCGGAAGCTGACGGCACAGCAGGAGGCGTGCCAGCCGGCGTTGTGGCGACCACCGAAGTCAGCGTGAGGGACTCAGTAGGGATCACATGGCTAGAGGTAGCGTTATGGTAGCCAGTAGGTCCAACGTGATTAGTTGAGTTGGCGATGGGATAGAAGGTAGAAGAGACAATGGGCGAAGAAGAGGAGGAAGTGCTGCTGCTGGTGGTAGTAGTGGTGTTCAACGCGACAGAGCTCGTAGGGTACGCGGGAGGCGTCGAGATGGAAGACGAAGTCGTTGGGACAGAGCTAGTCGACGAGCTGTACAGCGGGCACGCGGTGTTGTCAGGGCTGCACTTGTTGATGGTGATCGTCGCCGTCATGTAAGACGTGGCGGTGGTGGTCTCCGCGACGGCAGACGCGACGGTGGCAGCCACTGCGATCAAAGATGAGGTACGCATCTTGACTATTGTTTTTGTTTTATTGTTGTTGACCGGGTATTAATTTTAATATCCTCTCTCCCTCGAGATCGCCGAAGTGTGGAAATATTCCAATTGTCCCAAGATTAAAATATAAGCTATGTTGTGTGTACTTATAAAAATCACTGGATTCCGAAGAATGTTATATCACAGGCGCGTGTTGATCCTGTCTTTGACGATCGGGGATTGTACCTTTATGTATGTACTTCGTGAAGTCGTTCTTGTATTAAAGGAATGGATATATAACCAGATGAGATATTTAAAGGAGTGTGGGTTGCAAAAAATGCAAATTATAATCGCAATTACGAAGGTGAGGGAACGAAGTCGGTGCTGAAGCTGACGGTGACCTTAAAAGGGTAGAAAGAAGGGGAACAGGCGATGGGAGTGGATTCTGGCGGCGAGCCTTTTTTTTATTGGAACATGGGGGTGGAAGTTTTTTTTTTTTTTTGCTGCAAAGGCTTTGTAGGGACAAGGGCCAAGGCTGTCTATTCAACCAATAATATGTTAGAGACATCGGACCATTAGACGGCTAGATCAAATCAGGGCGCACTACCTTCAGATTAAGGTGGATCTACAAACGTCTCCCGGGTAGGAAACAAGGGGGGAGCTATAGACAACGGCCCCCTTGCCGGGGTAACGCGCGGACAACTGACAAACAGCCTTAATTGCGATAAAGGACAGTCTACTATCATTGGAGCCCCATGGGTTACTAGACCAGGAACCAAGCGTCTTAGCGAGCCCGCTTGCGATACCCTTTGTAGAAGTAGATCATCCAAGCTAATGCAAAAACAAACTAGTCAGTTTCTTTTTAGCCAATAATACACTAGTCTACCACAGCAGTTGACTTGTACTACCTAGGTAGTTATGTAGGTAGGTAAGGAATAGGAAATCGTAGGAGGTACAGAATAAGGTACGTATGCGGGATTAGGTTAGGTAAGAGGTAAACTACCTTGGTACATGTGTTGTTGCATTCTTAATTCTAGTTTATTATGAAGTTCAACTTTACTCGAATTGTTTGTCTCCTATTCTCAAATGTTCATACAACAGTTGAAAAGTCTTTATTACCACTATCCGATGGCAAACAAGACAGGTATTAAATCACATTCAAGTACTTACTTAAAGAGAATAATCATATTTTGAATATCTCCCATTGGTTCGCATCAATAATTTTCTTTTTCTTTTTCCGACGTTGCAAACAATAAACCCTGCGTGGCATGATTCCGGCGGTTTTCATGATTCGCACAGCTCATCCCTTAGAAATCTAACCGAGGCATCTTGCTTTCTCTTCCTTTCCTTTGGGACATCTATTTTAAAATATACCCTTCCTAAAATATACACACATTTGTCTTTGTTTTCTATTTAACCCTTCAATTTCTCTTATCCCCCCATCCCCATCCCCATCCCGTTTGCCATAGTACTATCCAGCCATCATAACAACTTACACTACCATCGACCCATTGTCATCCCCACCCGAATCAAACGACTCGATCGCGCGCATTACACTAGATGACAAAATGACCAATTCTCCACTAGCCACTAGCCTCGCCCCTCCTAGATGAAAGGAGAACCCGTCGTCCGGTCTCTGCTTTTTTTTCTTTCGTTTTTTTCGAACGACGGTAGTGCCGACCAAGCGGTCATAGCCACCGCATTAGGTTACTATGTTATATGTGACTTCGGCATGAAATTTATAGGGGCAATTCAGACCAGACGTCCAAGCTCTGACGACATCCGCGATAGTGACACGTGAGAATTCCGACTTTTATAGCTTAAAGCTAGGTACCTAAGCATCAACTGAGATCCTACCTAATAAAAAAGGGGATGAATTAAAGGTACCTGTTTTAGACTTCAACGTCTACTACCTATTACTACTACTACTATTACTACTATCTCCTTAGGCAACAGCGCATATGTGCCTGATACTAACTAATGCGAAAAGACGTGTTGCGCTCTTAGTGATAACTAGGGCCTCGGCCGCCCCACCCTGCGTTGTGAATAAACGGGTTATTCTGGTAGTATCTAAGAGAATTTCTCTTCCCCGGATCACCATTGCCGTCGTAGTTGCTGTCGTCGTCGTTGTTGTTATTGTAGTAATAGTCATCATCTCGGGCCGGAAAAGGGGCACTACCCTGTGGTGGTGGTGCTCGTTGTGGTTTTTGCTGTTCCCAGCCGCGGGGGTCTGCATGGTATTGGGCAGCCCACGGTGGAGATGATGCCGGGGCGTACGCATGGAAGTGGTTGTGGTTCTGGCCGTCTTGCTCGGGGCGGTCAGCGCGCACGCCCGCCTCACCGAGAATCTGGTTCAGACATTCCAAAACTGACCGCCTGAGTTTTCGGTGGTCGGGGACGTGTCGTGCCTCCCCAGAAGACGTGTACAGCAGGTCGTCAAGGGTGCTGCTGGTCTGCCGTCCATGGTATGATGTCGTCTTCTTTTTCTTGCTTGAACTTCTTCTACTGCTACTACTACTAGTACCACTCCTGCTGCTGCCACTACTACTACTGCCGCTACTATTGCCGCTCTTAGATGACGATTTCTTCTGCTTAGCCTCCTGCTCCGCCTGTCGGAACCACTGATAGTAATAGTTCCACGCCTCCTGCATGTCCTGGTGTCTCTGCCGCGCCCGTTCTTTATCCCTCGCGTCTTCCTCCAGCATCGTCCGGACTTTTATGATCTCGGCGGCGCATTGATCCTGCTTGGTGCTGTGCTCGAGATAGTGCTGATCAATCGCGCGATGGGTCTGTCGAAGCGCGTCATCCACGCCCTTGACAGCTGCGTGGGCGTGGTGAACATCATCACGGGTCCGCTCGAGGGTGTCCTGAGCGCTTCCGGCGACCGCGACCCCGCCGCCAACGAGGCCCTTCAGCTCCTCTACCTTCTTCCCGAGCTCATCGGCCGCGCCCAGCGCGCGGTCGAGCGCCTCTCCCGGCGGGGCCCACGCGCCACGCGCCGCGTGGCCGGCTTCGTCTTGAAGATACTGCTCCACGCCGTATGGGAGGTAATTGAGGTAGGGCTGGTACATCATCGCGGCCGCTCCTCCTACACCCGCCGCTTCCTGATGAAGTGCCTCGCCCGCTGCTTCGTACGCAACGTCGTGGACCACCTCACCGCCGACTGCCCGCCGCAGACTCGCCTGCTTCTTTGCCTTCTTGTGCCGGGGCTTGGGAGCTGGATAATGGAAGAAGCACATCACTCGCAGTCACGCTCACACTCGCAGTCACGTCGCTAAGAAGGCTGGGATATGCGAGATGATGGGATTCATGCATTCATTTATTTATTCATTGGCACGTCTGAGAAAGTACTCTACCTCGTTTTTTTTTTTTATAGTCGTCCGCATTTAAGAGAAATCATCTCCATGATTTATCTCGATTGTTTGCGGATGAATCACCCTGGACGATTAATTCTACGCTCCATCAAACCGGAAGAAAAAGACATCTTAAACACCTCCCACCGCCATTTCGACACCCCTCTGCATTGTTGGATGTAGGATCCCGAAGTGCCACATTCACATGGCCCTTTGGGTTGGTCTATGCAGGTTTTACACGCCGCAGTTTCCAATAGCGACATGGTGCTTTTTGAGGCCTACTTCACTTGTTCGCTTATCATTATTTCCCCGAACGACATTCTGGCACTTGAACCGAAACAGCATCCCATACAAAGTGACAATCAGAGCGTATAATTCTTTGTCGCCAGCTATAGGAAGCCATCCAATCACTTTATCCTTTTCGCGACCTTGAACCAACGAGGTCGCATTTACAAACGGGGCGGTTGGGAAGATAGGAGCGGCATTCTGCTCATTGTTCTCGTCAATGAACAAGCCAACCATACCCTTTGCTCCTTTTTTCTGTTCTTTCGGGGAGCCCGAAACGCGTTACGTGAGAGTCCTGAGATATGTCTTGATGCAAGCAGGTGTCTCTGGAAGGGCATAGCTGATGTGACATGGAGAGACGATGCTTCAGCTCATAGCTGGAAGAGTATATACAATTTCCAAGTTTCGGTTTTCATTCATTTCCGGGTCTGGGCTACGGCATGGAAAGGGAACGGAGTTTTAGGTATAGAAATGATTAAAAGTTACCTAGAGTTCAGGGACAAACGAAGTCCTGACATAACGGCAACGTATGCATATAGGTACTATAGATTTGGAAACAGATGTTTTGCAATGAGTAAATGGACATACATATTCTCAATCCCATCTTCTTCCCCTGAGCGGGACCCCTTAACCTCTTTGATTTCGTTACACTCACTATACGTACTCCATAGGGTGGTTGAGCTGTGCCTCGTGCCGGTACCTTTCAAACAAAGGAGCAGCCACTCCTAGAAGACAAAGAACGAATACCCAAGTGTGGAAGTATAATATCATTCCCAATTATTATTCTTAGCGCATAACTATTCGAATGTAGTAATAAAGGTTGTCAGGGTCCGGTAGAAAGAGTCGTTGTTGCACGAGAAGAGAAGAATAAACAATGAAAAGTCTCTCTCTCCGTCTTCCTTAGGTATACACAAACGATGGCCCACTAGGGGTCTACCTACTCGTGGCGTGACAAAGGTAGTTGCTGAATAGCACTTATTCTAGGAGAGGCGCTCCCAGAAAGAAGAGGAGGGGGGTTCGCATAATAAAGGTCAACTGATATGACACCCCTTGGCCATGATACACTCCTTGTACTGGGGAGGCAGGCACATTCTCTGCCATAACGAGCGCCATGTAGATAGGTACCCTAACAAAATAACACCCACCGCCTCAGAGTTGTGAAGTTATTTACTTGGTGATTTTATTCCGGTATTTAGAAGGCTACTTCTGTAACATAGGCTCTTCCTCGACAAGATCGTAGTTTCCAAAGTATCTCCCTTCATAGAAATATCAAGGTGGTTTAAATAACAGTATATATTTCTCTTACACATCAACCAACGCACCAGGAACTTGCGTCATTTACATTTCCATATATGCGGTAGGTTTTCAAAGATGAAATGTAGGTAGGTAAGAATCTTGAAGGGCCAATGACTCGTAAATTCTTGAACCATGAGTTCGTCTGCTATGTGCGCAAGTCCATAATCCACCGCACGCCCAAGGCGCCAGAAAAGGGGGGATAAATGGTGGAGAATATGTACAGGTCGAAGAAGAAGAAGAAAAGAAGACAAAAATTCTCAATGCCAACGCCCCCTACTATCCACCAGGACGGAACTCCTGCTAGGTAATTGGTATCACCTCTCTGTACCCCCCTGGTATCCTACCGAATGAATCGCAAAGTAAATCATAGAACGCCTTGCTAGAACCCCTGGGTATTGCCGCCCGTCCTTCTCCCCCTTACTGTTAACGCCGTCGTCAAAACTGCCCCTAAAAGGAAAGACCATGACAAAATCAGCCCTGATCCCTTGAGTGTGATGTGTGAGTGGCTTTACGCCGTGAATCGTCTCTGAATAGCGCCGTTATACTTCGTCGCGGAGCCCTCTGAGTACACCTTGACGGAGTTAATCAACCAGTACGACTCCTTGAATGCTTCCGGGTTTTGTGCTACAAAGTCCTGGCACGACGGGGCCTTTGAAGCGCAGACAGGGTCGTTGCTGAATGCCTTTCCAGCCCAGTCGCCACACATGGTCGTGTCGAAGACGATTTGGTGTTCCTTGAAGTGGCTCGGGATATCACAGCCCTTGCCGGAGAATGAAGCCTGAGGTTTTCCCCAAGTGCTGGGGTTAGGTTGTCCCGCCGCAATATCTTGAGGGATGTTACCGTTTCTTGGGAAGAAGAAGATGTTGATGGCGGACGAAGTCCACTCTACGGCAAAGATACCGCCGCCGATCTCGTTGAAGCCATCTGCAAATGTTTGTGTGTCGTGACTCGAAGTTCCACAGCCGATTCCTGGGGCACTGCAGTCGCCCTGCGAGAACGTGCATCCAGGGCCGGTGTGAAGAGTATATGTGCTGTTTGTGTCGAGGTTCACTCCCTCAATGATGTCGACCTCCCCATTGAATGGCCAATTTTGGCCAACAGTCCAGAACGCCGGCCACTATAGTATAGGTTAGAAACCATGTCCATTTTTAGAATTTAATACTGAAGGTCGGGAATTGAAGGCACAGTTAAAGAGCGAAAATTACTTACAGTTCCACACTGGGAAGCTGGCTGGTGAGCGATATCAGCAATAATAAGACCGGTAGTATAGGATTTCTTAGAGTTGACTCGAACGGACCCACGACCGCCAACTGGGTTCCTGGTAGTGTAGTCAACGCCGAGGTAGACAGCATCATTTGCTAAGCCGGCGAGCGACTTGGCATTGGCCTCAATTGCTGTCTGGTATCTGACAAACCCGTTCGTCGGGTCAGGGAGACCGAAGAACTCGAAGCCCTGGAAAAAGTTTGTTTGGTCATAGGAATCTTGAATCGTATAGGCAGCATGTGTTGCTGCAGCTCCGAGGGTCAGCGCGCTGCCAAGGCGCGAAACTAGGTTTGTGAATAACATCTTATCTACGTTATTGTTCTTGTCGAAAATGAATGTGAACGGTATCCCGAGATGTGTCTCTTGTAGAGATCGTAAGGAATGGAGGAAAAGCACTTGCGCCGGGCAAGGTCACAACGTATAGTGAGTGAGCTGTGTCGGTATTGAAAACCAGAACCTTTGAATTTAAATAAGGGCTTTAAATAAGTGATAAGAGAAAGTCGAGTCTCAAAGGTGGCAGTTATAAAGTTCAAAATGAACGTGTTGTGACCAGACAATCACGCGGCTTGACGTTTCGTTGTTATACGTTGACACACGTGGAGTCGAGGACAAAGGCAAGCGCAATAAAGGTGCACATACTTTTGATGGTCTGTAACGGGCGGATTGAGTCCGGTAAATGTAGATTTGAGGAGAGAGAAAAATTGGGCAGTCAGTTATAGCCCCATAAGGAACGACAGCTGGCCGAGTTGAAGAATGATAGAGTATGCCTAACCGGAATGTGTTAGCCACAAGAGAAAATAACTTTGGCGGCGGCAACAGAATATAAGACTTGGAAAGTTTCAAGAGAAGGTCGGCGAAAAAATAAAACATAAAAAAATGAAATAAAAAGAATATAGCTAGATGTTTCCCCCAGCCGTAGATAAATTTAGCAGGTGCTTTTGACGCTTATAACCTTCCTAAGGAATCTAAGATATATACCTTCTTAGGAATTAACTGATATATTACTGTCATGATCATCAATTCGTGCAGGTTGAGCATGTGGGATGGCTTCGGTAATTGAGCATCTCACTCTCGAACAGGGTCAACATTATTCAACATCAACCGGGCTGACAGGATTCAGGCCGTCCATCGTTCAATTGGTGAAACGGGCCTTCTTAGAAACGCGTAGACATGAAGCTAGCATGGGAACCTGGGTTCACATCTCTGGACCGTCTGGTAGAATGAATTGTTGGTTGGAGGATATGCCAACCGAACTTAGAGTGTATTAGAAACATTAGGTTACATGGAGCCTCAGGAGAACAATTGTCCAGAATGTGACAGTAACGTCCAAATAACGGTATATAGAAAGGTTAAGATCTCCCGTAGAGTCCAGCTAAGCTCCGTTGTGCCGCCGGCCTTTTTTGTGGTGGAGGAGGAGAATTTCCAAGTTGGGCAGGTTTAAAAGCTCCTCAGCCAATGGTTGGCATGGTACCTGTCGAACCTGGGAAGTTACCTACTAGGTACCGACCGCCACATCCTTGGCAAGCGCGACCAGCCCCTTATCCTTATGTCTTGCATGCGCTTCGTCGAGGTAAACCCCAATCTCGATAAAAATGTACCATTTACTAAAAAATAATATGGCAATGTTACCTCTTTGCACAACTACCTAGGTAGGTTCCTAAGGTGTCGGCGTCTACGCGCCACAACTGTTGATTGGCATTCGCACCCGGCCTACATGTAGTTTTTGAAACACCACGACGAAACAAATTGCCGCTCGAAACGGCCTGTTTCCTCTAGACACGTCCTTGGATATCAAAATGACTACTACGCATTTCGACCCCCACCTCCGAGTCCGCCTCGGGGGATCTACGAAACCCCCAGAAACAAAATACTACACTATGCTGGGCTATATAACTAAGTTAAGGTTTTAATGTTGTATGTTGGGAACTATTTTATGACCAGTTATTCCAATATAATGGGATAGGCTTTATGATAATCATATGAATGTACGGGGCTGAAGATGACTTCAGCCAGTTTTTAATATTATCTAAGGTTAGACGTCTACACTACAGCCTAATAACTACCCCTTATCCATCGATAGCCTTCGAATAAAGCTTAAACCTACTTGTCGGCTGCTATATTAGAACTTAGGTTGAACGATAGTGATAACCCCGGATGTAGATCATCAGCTTTCCTTAGAATGCATGAATCAGAATCCCATGAACGTCTATTTCGAGAAGACAGTAAAACAACGCATTGAATTCATATATATCTGCGAGGGATCTCCCTCGAACTTCAGTGCTACCTTGAGAAGATCCTGCAAAGCATATTTCACGTCCCACTACGTCTTTCCTGGCTCCCGAGATCCCCAAACTCTATCGAAATTGGCTACGAAATCGGCTGTGAGGTGATTAGCCCTATCAAATCTGACCCCTGATGAAAATAAGACGAAATTCATCGGCTAGCCGAAAGAAAGCTGTCGAATTTTATTCCTAATGTTTATTCCGGCTTGAGGTCAGGGACGGGCTGTCGATGCTGTCAGATTTATACCGAATAACTTATAGGGGGGTACTGCAACTCACGCATCTGCGGACACTCTCACGGAATTCGCAAACTTTCTTATGAACAGACCAGTCAATTCGCTGGCAAGTAGCATTGCAGTAACGAGCCATCTTACAACGACTGCATCGAAGGTTGACATCCCGTTCGCCGCAATGCATGCAGACTTTGCTGACCATCTCCGACGCGGGAGTCTCGTCCGAAGAGAAGCTTTTGTAGAAATATAATTAGTAGCTTCGTGCTTGACTCGCATTTTGAAATGGGGCATGGCCTGATCAGTATCAGGCAAGAGATAGGCAGGAATGAAAACTTCACTTACCCTAAACCGCTATACCAGAATTCGTCACCGAGATCGTACTTGCGTGGACCTCGCTGCAGAGAATCCCTCGTGTCGATAAGGCCCTTCGAGCCCGTCTCCCAGGGGGTCCCATCGTTCTTGTACTCGTCGAGCGCCGTGACGAACTGCAACTGCTGCTCGAGGGTCGTGAGGAAAGGTCGAAGAACCCTGAGCATACTTAAGTAGCGGGGTTCGATGATAACGCCGAGCTCCATGGCCAGCATTGCGAAGATGATTGCGACGCGGTCGCGCTTGTGGTAGCTGGTGGTCGGTTTGAAGTCAGGTGACAGGATCTTTTCCAGCTTTTGGGTGAATAGGCCTTCGTTTAATTTCTTGATCGTCTCGGTCCGGCCCTCCTCCTCGGTCGGGTATATGAGATCGCAGTCGCACATGTCGCAGAGGTCATTGGCGATGTCGTAGTCATCGTCAGACTGCATTAGACCTTTTCCCCAGGCCACCATCTTGGCTAGAGTTTGGAATATCAGATACGAATACGGTATAGGTGATGCAGGAGATGGCGTGGGAAGTGTGTAAAGGGTGTCAAGTGTGGGTGGTACGGGAGGTATGGGGTCGCCGATGGAGATAACGATGTAAATTTAAGTGGCTTAAATTCATCGAAGAAGGTTGAACGGAGGGAACTGGCACATGCCCAAAGACAAGCAGGTTACCTGAGGCAGGTGTGATTTCTACTATAAATCGTTTTGGAAAGTGCCGTTTGTTCTTACCAGGTACCTAGGTTAGGTAGAGGGTATATATTGTATTGCGGCTTCCTTATACGTACTTCCCTTCTGAGTCAAATTCATATTTTCTCCTTCAAAATTCACATTCTGTAACTGCCTCCTTAATATATGCAGTTACCTGATAGCCAGTATATCTGATGGCCCCGTTCACAGCTAAGTTCACGAAATACATATATCAACTTGTTACCTACCTAGATTGCTAGTAAATACAAACCTGAGTTGTACACATAGGTAAAGAGGTAGGAACACCAAATAAATATCCACATCAACATAATCTACGTTCAAACCTGCGTTAGTAGGTGACAGGAGAGTGGCCTTGGGGGTTAAAGCATCATGGTGCGAACAACTTAAATATCCAATATCATTGAATCTTCTCATAGAACGTCAAAGGATGACATACATTACATATCAATACAGATGCACATGACCCCCAGTCTCTTTACTCCAGGTCATTTCATCCACACCAACGGGTTGACTGAACCATTTCTCCCAATGGTCCACCCTCCATGATAAAAAGCCGAGGATGGAACACGACAGCCCACTGGGTAAACCCCGAAGACTTGAGCATGCCCTTCCGATTGCAACGCAAATTGGGTATATTGCGCAACAAGTAAAAGCCGTTCATTGCGCCACGAACGGGGAGATGTCAAGATGTCCTAGGCGGGGAACAAAATAGTATAATAATTTAAAAGAAGAGAAGTGTAAAATCATGGGATTCAGTGGTCCGAACTAGGAACCATGTTGGGATTGGGTAATGCCGGGTCCAGAAGGTAGTTATCCTATACTGTAACGCCTATCAGTTAGTGAACTGCTGGTCATATCCAAGCTGTCGGCTGCGAATTGAGTTTACAAGAAATAAATATACGCACACTTGACTTTCTGGCCTGTCAGCTTTTCCCAAATGACAGCAACTAGGTCCTCCTTAAATCGCTCCCAGGGGTTTCGATTCAGATAGTAGCTGAGCTCGCGGAAGTTATACATTTCTCCCCAACAATCGCGACCCCATTCGCAACCGGCCATGTTAACAAGGAAATCTCGGTCGGCCTGGTTATAGTGAATGCGGGAGTCGTTTCCATTATCCGAGCACGCGCCGGTCGGGAAGCTGTTGATATGTCGTTGTGGAAGGAAGGCCGTATGGCTTCGAATCCAAGGTTGATTTATGTATAATTGTTCCAATGCATCTTGTTCTTTATGTTCCCACTCCATGTGCTTTTGCTCGTATGCTACCGGGTCCCACCATATATCCAGTAGACGATCGGTCCACTCGCTGCGTCGGATGAAGAATGAACCCAGATTAAATCCCGAACAGTCCTGGGAAAGTATTAGGTTTATGGAGTCAACATTCCCGTCTCCTACCGGGCTTAGTGACTCCGGATCTAGATAATTAGCTTGGGGGGGATGGGAAATGTTGAGAGGGTTGAACTCGTTTATGTCCCGGTAGATGTGCTTTTCTAAATTGTTGAAAATGTGATTTTGAAGTGAATAGGAGGGTTCCATGACGAACGTATTCAGGTCCAACCACCAAATCCTCCGACACGTTAGCCTAACAAGAAAAACTTGGGCGCACTGGGTTTACTTACCATTCGGCTTTTGGGTATTTCCTAAAACTGTTCCTGATACTGTCCACCTTCTCCCAACTTTCTCGCCATTCGTGCGCGTACCGCTTTTTGGTGCTCATATCAACAATTTCGAGATCGTAACCCCATCTTGCGACATACTTTCGTTTGTTCCTCACACTATCCCTTTCGATAGCCCACTCACGCGCGCCCTTCCATTCCATCACACCGCCGCCAATGTTTGCGGCAAGTATGATGACGAACTTTTCTCCGCCTCCTAGCCAGCCTGTTCTTCTCCAATAATACCACAAGGCTGAAAATATGATCAGCTACCGGCGCGGGGCAAAAATTACGGCTAAGACTTACGAGTGATATAGAACAGAATATAGCACAAGAGTAGCAATAGCGCTATAGCTGCGCGTATCTTCCCTTTCCTACTCATTCGCGTGACCGCAGCTATTATTCTTCCAAGGACGGGGATCTTCCACCTGCCTCGTCCAAGCTTTTCTTTTTCTGCATATCTATCGTCCGTTGCCACGTTGAAGGACGGCAGGCTACTGGAGATGCGTCGCATATGTCGGGTGAAGAAACCCTGATTATGTGTGGAAAAGGATGGATAGCCAGCAACACCTTGGCTCTTGAGCCTCGCAGATTCCCATGTTACGCTACCGCCGTTGGGTCCCGAGAACGATGCTTTGGCTGGGCTGGATCGGCCGCTGTTGATATTCAGGCCGGGAGAAGACCACCCCCCTCCGGGGACGGGAGAGGGACTTCTGCTTAATGACATCGGAAAATTAGGTGTGCCTGCAACATAAACGCTGTTAATAGGGTTGTTACATCGGACCAGAGGCGCAGGCAGTCAACATACCAGGTACCGGACTCAATGTTGGTTGCAAGTACTGGGCCTGTTGGCCCAGACGCAAAGGAGGAACGCGATTATTGCCAGGCGCGGAAACCGAGTCGCTCCCTGCGAAAGATTGTCTCCGACGGTGGGCGATCGCAGGGCGGTCGCTGGAAGATGAAGAGGTGACTTCGTGATCGGGGTCGACGTGAGCCAGATTCACAGTCCTTTCTGTCGCAGTCCTCAAGTTGAGAGGCTGTCAACAGGCAAAGACAGATATGGGCTAGATAAAAGTCCAAGGTGGCTGAAGCCACATTCAAGGATGCGGATAATAAAAGTGAATGTCTCAGGGAAGACAACACGGTGACAGGACAATTGGCCTTGTCCCGATCACGATTGGGTCTCTCTCGGAGGAGAATTTACCTGTTCTGGCAAAAAAAAAAAAGTACAAAACAGATTAACCTGTTAATACTTTAAATCGACGAATTTAAGAAAACAACGGTGTTCAATGCTGTCGTTCCATAGTTCCTTCTCCTATGTGCAAGGATTATAGATAAAATGCAGTAAACCAAATCTGGTAGCCTGTAATACCTAGAACAATCCAATCCTTTTTTTTTCTCCTTCCAGATTGTCCTTTCCTCCTGCGCGACATTGATTAGATACAAGAGGTACATGAAATTTATAGCGTAGGACGTGGAGTGGATCCCCCAAGAGTCGCCATTTCGAACGACTGCCAAAGAGGAGGTCAGTTGCCCTTATCAAAGGTACTATGACCTGCGTTTGTTCTTAGTGCAGCTATCTAAGTCTATTGTCTATAATGAATGTATATCCCCAAATTAAATGCTGTAAAGTACTTAACATGATGCTCATATTGTGATATTACATGCCTACATTTAGAATGTCACCAACATCGAAGAAGTGCGCCACCGTCTAATGTTAGTCCTTATTACCTATGATTTGACTTGCTGAACAGCGTGCATGCATGCAATTCGGGACACTACGCATGAAAACCCGTCCAATTAAACCCTGCGTGTCGCTGCATCCACATCCCACATCACAGAAGGATTCCCATACTTAAGAACCCTTACCTAAGGGAAGGCAATTACAATAAGATGAATACCTAGTTTGTTTGGGATGCACCTCATGAAAGCTTCCAAGTTCTTCTGTGTGATTGTGATACAAGATGACGCGCCTCAGATTCAATTTAGAAGCTACCTATTATTTATTCACCCTGGGATAGATGAACTCTTATACATAGTACTGTTTTTAAGATTTTCAGGGTCTAATAATCTAAAAAGTGTAATTCAGATTAAGGTGGTACCTACAGTAGTAAATGAATCTCTGCTCCTATGTATGAAAGTGCAAACCTTAAAGACTGGAATCCGACAAATCAAGCTACAGACCTCATTCATTACTATTACCTAGATACGTCCTGGTATAAAGGGGCATGCCTTTGAAGAAGGCATCGTCGTTCGTTCTAGACCTTTTATATACGAGAATTCTAGGTACCTATATAAGAATGCAACTATGATTCTACCCGAACTTCACACCAGCATAATTAGGGCACTTATTGTGTAGTTTTGATTGGCTGCTCCGCCTATTGTTCGCGACCCGCCAAGGTAACCATGTATGGAGTTGAATCAATCAATTCTACCCTACTGTTGCCACTGTTAAGTTAGTAGATGCTCCGGTCTACTGACTAAATACTTAGAGATGGGGACACTACTCGTTGTGCTATGTAATATTCAATCTGGTGGTTTTGCTGTATGATAGATGAGGCCACGTATACGAGAGTTCTCTTGAAAGCTGGCACTCGTAAGTATTTAGTAAGATTGTTAAGACTCATACACGTTGGTAGCTGCATTTATGAAGGTAGTTGATAGGCTTTTAACTGTCCGAGAAATAAAGAACCATACTTTCTCACCGGCGTATTTCGCGGATATTAACAATTGATGATCCAGTAGCCGCTGAGATATCTTGCTAGTAGCTATCTTAGTATGTGTTGCCATTTACTAGAGATACTATCATCCATACTAACTTTTTAGCAACACTTTTAATTTAATGAGGAATTGAATTCGGTTGATTCAAGTATAAATACATACCTACCTGTGGGAAAACTAACAAAATGGCACGCTTCAATGCTTTCGGGGCGACCCCGCGTGGTTGTTGGACCTCCTTCTTAATCAATCGTGGGGGGAATTCTGCAATTCGAGAATGGGCCTTCATTAACCACCTCTCACGAACGAGTTACACGTCGACAGCAACTATCGAAAGCAGCGGATACTGTTGGCTGATACTGAGCTGCCTCAGGTCTAAATATCGTTAAGACACATTTCAATATCGCCGCTTGCCACGATGGCCTTCGAGACACGTACTTGTATGTATGCCTGCCTGTATGTCTGTCTGTCTGTCTGGTCTCAGCTGTATTGTACACCCCGATCGAAACATACCTAAAGAGGAGCGATAAAAATCGAATGCCAATGATACGGCCTCCGTGTCACTGATATAAATACATGTGGCATCTTGGGTATGAGTAAACGAATATCCTCGGGATACACCACTGCGAATCGGGTGCTACACAACTATATAGACGAACGGAGAGAGGTCTTATAGAATAATCTAGGTTACCTGATAGTCAGTCAGCTGCTCGGCTAACGGGCAGCCTACTGTATGGTGCAGCTATGCTTATGCCTTCTTTATGCTTGTTAGTGTGTGTGGGCGGAACAGAGTGGCTAACCCTGCAGCATATTGACGTGGCAGCCCGTATTAATGTTCAAGATCGATTTGTCGATAGATGGTTGCAATTGGGTTGATAGCAACCAGTGGTAGGACAGTATTTTCGGTGCGACCCACGTGATAGGATTATTACCGAATCCCCCCTCGCCTCGAAACAGCTGAAGGTCTCCATCCAACTTTTTAAATTATTATGCGACAAGAAGTGGGAAGCGGCGAAGAGGAGAGAGGGAAAAAAAAGGAAACCCTCCCAGCCACCGCTTCAATCAACACCTCAGTAGGTACATTAGGTAACTTTTAAGAGTGTTAGCCGCCTTATATGGGGCTAACTATTTATTTTTTCTGGGGCAGTTAGCACTTACAACACTTTACATAGTATTGTACCTACTGCTTCTGCTACAGTACCATTACTAGTACCTACGTGCATCCTTCAGCTCGGGCTTTAAATCATTTCCCAACCCTTGATACCGGGCTGTTTCCTACTACATAGTATGTATACGTCCCCACAGCTGAAAGTCAGCATCTAAACAAAACATCGTTAATACTCGATTTTTAAGACCGTCGCGACGGTATACCTTACCTTAATTAATATACACTCTTTTTTTCCACAATTATTATTATAGAGTGTTTTTTCTGAATGGACTCGACTAAACGTAACGAGTCTAATCCTATAAGATGATGACCCGAGAGCATCATCGCCGGCGGAGTCCCGAATCCTCTCGCCGCCGGCGCAAAGAGCGGCGCGATTCTAGAGAGCAACTCCAGAATCAACAAATAGCACTACCCGCACCGCCTCCGGAAGAGCGAAACGAGCTTATAACATATCGGTCGCGTGCGCCCTCGCCTCTTTCCTCCTCATCCTCCACCTCATCCTCCTTAGTAAATATCTCCCGTCCCTCTAGGAGATTTGGCCTTGGCGCGTTCTTCGGCGGTGGTAGTGGTAGCGGACGGAAGCAACATCGTGTAAAAAAGAAGCGTAGTCGTTTTCTCCGGTTCGGGAATTCCTCCTCTTCGTCCGTAGGCTCGGATCTTGCCTACGGAAAGGGCTATGTCGAACGGCGGCGGAGTCGTGAAATTAGCCCCCCTAGTAGTAGTGCTGGTAGGCCTCGTCCGCGACGCGATCAGACGGACGAAGAAATACTTGAATTGGGAAGACAGTTTGCCGAGATTGCTAGAAAACAAAATGCCGAAGACCTAAAAGCAGCTGGGAGGAGCCGGCCGTCGGCGCTGGTTGGTGCTGCCACAGCCCTGAGTCAGTTCCGCCGAACAAATAGCGGGAACTCTAACAAGGGGGTTGGAAGCTCTAAACCGCGGCTAGATGATTCCTCAGACGATTCGGAGTGGGAGTCCGCTTCTGAAGACGAGTCGTCGTCTAGCGAGTTTGACTCTGGCCTTGCATATGGCTCCTCGGGACTCAGCCTGCCTAATACTATTAACCACCCTATTCCTAGTCAGAGTACCCCTAGTTCTTCCCGTTCTCCTCTTCCCTCACAAATTTATGGGCCCCCTCTTCGCCGGAAATCTTCAGTGGTTGATCCGAGACTATTCGGGCCTGTGAACTCGCTTCATGGCTTCGTTGATGCCCCTTGTGGGTTTGAAACGATTGACCGATCTACGATTGTGGGATCTCCTCGACCGTATGAACCCTCAAGGTCCCCTAGCGAAGCTGTGACTACTAACCGTCCGTTACAACTGGTATATCCGGTTGCGACATCTGATCCGAGTCGCGTTGATTATGACCGTGGTTCTGTTGTGTCCAGCCAACAGGACTTGTCCAACTTGTCTCGACCTGCGCCAGTACCCCTACAACAGCCGAGGCCAATAGCACCCGTGTCTATATCAGTTTTCGAATCGGTGGAAACAGAATCCAAGAAAACAGAGCGTGCATCGTCTAAAAAGGTACCTGAAAGTACTGCTACTACTGATTCGGCTGCGGGTGCATCAGAAAGTGTGTCACTGAGTTCTGGTCGTAAATATGATCACGATCAGCACGATAGGAATCATGACCGACATGTTACGCGCCCGTCAAAGCGTTCGGATGCTAGCGTCCAGGCTGAGAAGGATGAAAAGCGTAAGAGCCGTCATGACTCCCCTCCTGTTGCTCGTGATAATCCCGCGGAGACACGTGGACGGCCACTTTTCGGATCCGACCCAAAATCTGAAAGAGACAGTAACTGGGAGAAGGTTGTGCCTGAAATAAAGCAGAAATTTGAAAATGAGTGGCGTCGCCGTGATGAGCATGGTACCGATGTCTATGATTACGATCCACCACGCAACAAGCATAAACATACTCAACAGGATGGACTGAAGACCGGCGATAGAGAGGCTCACCAAGAGGAACGCCGCAATGGAGACCGTGTTAGTCGCTCTGGCGTGGAAAGCTACAAACCTGTGAATGGCCCCGAGAATCCTACCCGAAAGGCTCCGATCGATATATTTCAGTTTCAAGTAGCCGATGATGCTTTCTCGACTCCCCCTTACACGACATCAAAGCGACCTTTGACACCGAATGTGATAACTGTAGATCGCGAACCTAATTTCTCATCACCGGAAGACCATTCATCCCCAGAACGACTAAGTCGGAGAGATTCTTACGAGCGGCAACTTCATGACGCAGTTGAAATATACGAAGCTGCTGAGCATGCGACCGCTCCTGTAAGCGAGGTTGCGTTCGCTGCCGCCGCTGCAACTGTAATGGCTGAAGATCGCCGTGGACATAGTCATGAGAAAGATGTTGTCCAAGAAAACGCCAACCGCTATTACCGGGAAGTAGAACTTGCGCGAAAAATCAAGGATGCAGAGACTCGAGATGCAGGGACTTCGGTAGTCGGCAAATGGAAGGAGGATCAGCAACCGACGATTGTTGATGTCGTATCACCCCCAGAAATGGACCACCCGAAGAAGAAGAGCCCCTACGACGGACCCGACGCTGATGTCCGCATTGATAATATCCTTGAACATCCTAAAGAGCTTTCTCGTTTCCTAGTGCCAGATATTAAGAGTCACACCAAGGTACCCATATTCACGGCTAGAGATCCTTCTGCTGAGCGCGAGCGTCCAATGCTTAATGTTGTGAGGCCCACGCCTATTCCCACACCAATTCCCATACCGATTCCAGAGGAACAGCGACGCCCTGAGGAGCCTCTTCCTAAACCTGTTAAGAAGATTGATATCCTCCCGCCCAAGGTTGTACCTGCTGTAGTTACCGAATCTCAGAGCGAAGCAGCCGTGGCACCATCAGGTGCAAAATCTGTTAGTTGGGGAAAGAACCAGACAAAACGCTACGTCGTAGAGAGTCCGGAAAGAGGAGATGACCCGTATTCGGGTACAAAGATTGTTATGCCCGCTGAAACTCCAAAAAGTCGGACCGGGAAAAGGAGCGGTTGGGGATTGGGATTCATCGCAGCAACTCTTGGTGGTGGTAGCAATAAAAAGGCGTCTTCAAGTACACCAGAGCAGATTGCTAGCGTTGAAGCGACCGAACTTAGAAAGGCTTCAAGGAACGAAGACGAACCTCCAAATCGTAGAGCTTCGGTTCCATTCAAGAGCACGTATGATAGCCCACCTGTCCCTGGTCCGAAACCATCGAACCTTAAAGGCGCTCGGAAGTCAGGTTCCTTTCAAGAAGACCCAGCTTTTACAGCAAATATAGCTGCCGCCCTCGAAAGCAGTGGGTTTGATCCTAAGATTGTCATTGACGATGCAAATTTTCATAAGCGCGATTCGCCGCCTGGGTCGGACGACTTTGGCGCGTACCGAACACCGTTCGTCGAGTCGGTGACCGACTTAGGGATATTTGACACCCAAAAGACTGCCGCTTCGCAGAGTGATCGGGAACGTGGCTTCGTCGTCGGAGAAGTTGATACACCATCCGAGGAGAGGGATATTCCAACTGATAAATCGCGAATTCTTTCCGAGCTTAACAGGGCAGAGCAGCGCAAACAGGATAAGGCCCCTGACCGTGGCGGTGTCGAGAAGCCCGAGCTTATTGCCGATAATAGCAAGGCTGCAGAGCTCTCGAGATCTTTCACGGAGGATGAATGGGATGTGCCCTCAAGCAAGCTTAGTAAAAAGGTGGGGAAGAGACGCGAGAAAGCGACAAGAGTCCAATCATCGGACGATACTCTAGTCGACAAGACGCCCCGAAACGAGCAGGAACTAAAGGCAGAATTTATTGTCGAAGGGGAAGACACCTCATCCAAGAGAAGACCAAACAAGACCAAAAAGCCCGTGGTTGTCCAAGAGGATTCGAGACAATCTGATACTGTAGAGAGTTCTGATATCCCAGTCCCAGTCGACGTTTCTCATATTGTACGAGATATCAATGCCGTACAGCTTGGCACGTCAGGTCGTCTGGACGAAAACAACAAGGGTTTTATACGCGACTTGGAGAAATATAGCTCACCTTCAATTTCTACAGCGAAACCCGAGGCCTCGACGCACGAGTCCAAGGAGCCTGTTAAAGTGGACGATGTATTTTTTACGCCTGATGGCGAATCCGGCATATCAAGAAAGGACAATAGGAGGTCTAGGCCAGACTTAGGTGAATCTTTCTCGAGGACGGTCCTGCCAACGGAGCTTTCGACGGCAAGTTCTTATGGAATAGTCGATACCGCGGACAGTATTATCTCAACTGATGATGAGTGGGAAATACCGAAAAAGAGCGAAGGGGGGTTGAAGCGTGACAATGGAGCATATAATTCACCGCTTCATTCTGTTCCAAAGTCGGAAGCTTCTCCAGACCGTGCTCAAAAGGTAAACCTTGCTTCTTTACCTGGAAGTGACGATTCATTGAGAAAGGGTAAAAAGAGCAAACGTGGCTCTGTCGATGATACATTTGCGTTCCCGGCAGTCCGTGGCGTTGAAGATTGGGATTCGCCCAACAAGCTACAGAATGAATCCACCCAAGACTCAAGTGTCCGTGACTCCTCGTCACAGGCGGAGCCTCCTGTTGAATACCTCTACGATAGCCCAAAGGAGATGACCGAATCTTCCAGTGATGTTCGTAGTGAGAAGACAGCTGCGACAGAGGACGAGCTCGATATGGCGAGAAAGGCGAAGAAATCTACGCGAAGCTCGATTTCGTACGAAGATCAGCCCTCGACGTATCAATCTGCAGCCCCATTTGAAGGCTCTGTGGAAACTTCCAAGAGATCAAAACCAGATTCTTATCCTAATCCATCTAAGATCTTAGATCGGGATGCCAGCCCTGCAGTTTCGAATCAGTCTCGTCATGACGATAATCAAACGGCTGATAACTATAGGAGGGATGAGAAGGTAGACGATACCAAAACCATAACTTCCACCTCGAAGAGTGCGGGTAAAAAGAGCCGAAAAGGCTCTAAGTCGGAAGGTGATAAGAAAGGTAGCGGGAGTACGAGCTTTTTCGGCCGCTTAAAATCTTCAATCGGGATAGCAGAAGAAAAGCAGCATTTACCTAAAGTGGATGAGGACAAAAATGATCCTTTTTTAGGTAATGCCGACATCCCTGGCGTAGGTGTCGGCTCGATGGGTGACGTTACTGTATCACAAGAGTCCCAGTCGAAAGCCACCAGTGCTCCTGTGGATGAAAAAGCCCAAATAAACCCCTCCACTCCTGAGAGACAATCAACTTTACCACGACAAGTAGAGCCTATCGACCCAGAGATTGTCCCGCGAGAATTTCGACCTGCTATAGATCCCAAGCATGGCGATCTTTTACCCTTACCTCCAAGTCGTCCTAGGTCTCCTATTTCCAAGCTTGGCGATAATTTTCCACCACTACCGGATAGCCGTCCTGAGACACCCGAGCATGAACGACATGTACGCGAGACTCCTACTCATACTCGCCGTCGCAGCACCCTCGAAACGCCAAAGACGCCCAGCCAAAGCGCGATACCTATCCAATTCTTTCGCCCGGGACATAGGCATACGCCGAGTAATGGAAGATCTTCACCGTCTATCTCGCCAGTTACTGCTACCGTAGAATTTGGAGGCGAATCGAAGAATCGTTCTCGCCCGACGTCCTGGGAAGCCTCTCGGGATTTCAAGCCCCTCCTCCTTCTCCAGAAGGCGTTACGTGGATCGGTCGACCTATCAAGCTCCCCCGAAAGAGAATATTTACCTTCAGAAGTTGAAATTCGCGAGCGAGGGTCGCCGTCGTCAGCCCCCGTATTCATGGAATCTCCCGATCGTGGCCATCCCTTCCGCGAAAATATCTTTTCTAAACCATTGTCGTCACCAGTTGGAATACCTGTAGAAAAACCGGAAAGTTCGCATGCAGCTGAAAGGGCCTATCAACTTGGTGAAAGCCCCTTCAGCAAACCCCTCAACGAAGCTTCATCACAGCGTGATACTAGAGCAGAGGGTTCCCACTTGTCGCCTCTCCCTGAAGAGGCAGACTTGAAAGCTGGCGAGGATTCTCGTAGTCCTTTCAGTTCACCGGCTCTCCCAGTAGCTCCAGGTGATGGGGCTCAGGGCAATTCTGCTAAGGGCCTTAAAGACAACTTGGATGATACTGCTATTCCAAAAGGAGTCGCGACGCCTGATATACGGGAACCAGAAACTACGACCACGCCTGATAATCATACCTCAAGCCAGGCCACCAAAGCTGTTACTATGGAAACGCCACAAGAATTCCTCCCTGCTTCGGACTTGCTTTCTGGAACTAAGACACCAGATTCGACCGATACCTTCGATACTGCTCTAAGTAACGCAGATGATCGTGGGCTCCCAGAATACAACGTTTCAATAGATAAGGCCCGAGACAACGATCAATTACAGCAGAGAACGTTAAGCTACATCGATGAATTATCCGTGCATCCCGCTATAGAAACTACTCCGCTCCAAGGAGAACATATTAGCGGTGTCGTACATGAGCGAATTTCCCCCGCGGAGCATGTTGAACCCACGCCGGTTGATATCTCTACGAAGGGCATACCCGAGGCCCCAGAACAAGACGTGGACGATAACGAATCTATTGAAACAGTGTTACCTGAGTACTCTATTTCAGAACCACGCCGGGAACAACCTTCAATTGACGTGCAGGAGGAGTTGCCTACAGACCAGGTTGACGATGAGGTTCCAGTCGACAGTAATCGGACTCCCATTGAGCAGCCAACTTTGGTCGAAGAGAAACCTGTTGCTGTTGAAGAACTCAAGTCTAGTCACGAGAAGCCAATTACACGAGGGTCGGAGGCCGCTAAGGTTGAAATAAACAATCCTAGGATTGAGCTACGCGCAGAGCCACAGCCAGAGGCAACATCAGAGCCATCTCCTATTCCATTAGAGTCGTCTGTCGTTGAAAAGTCTAATGCACCGGAAAATGAGGTTGCTCTTCTGCCGGAAGTGCCTCCTGTTGAGATCGGGACTCCTTCGATCGAACCCGAGCGTAGTGTGGTTGAGCCAAAAGCTCCCATGAACGACCTAGAGACATCATCTACTGGACCCAGAATGGCTTCGGAACTAGGAGTATCAAGCAGGGAACCTAAAGTCGTAGAGATTGAGTCTCACGCTGGAGAAACTCATGTCGAAGAACCAATTACTTCTGCCGTACAAAAGGATATCCCTGTCACCGAAGATGAGCCAATCGAGGTGGAATCAGAAGCACCTAGCACTGGATTAGGGCCGGTTGTCAAGCCAGAATCGACTATTTCCCAGAGCGACCCGGCTACCATAGGACGCGAAACTTCTACTTTCCAGACAGAGCCTGTCGTAACTGAAAGAGAATCGGCCCCGATTGCTACTGGACTAGAGAAGCCCGAGCAACTTGCGCCAGTCCCGGAGCTTTCCTCTAACCCCTCTAACGAACATGAGACGAAGGGCGAGGGTGCACAACAACCAGTATCCGAGAATGAGCAGACCGAACATACTTCCCCTGTTGAAAAGCAGGCTAAAAGAGTCGAGGAGTTAACTCAGGAGACCAATGCAGATAGCCATCACGCGTTTCCCGTCGACCAACAAACCTCCGGCCAGGATCGAGCAGAAACTACTCCACAGGAATTACGTGACAACCAACTGAAGCTGCCCGAACAAACTCTGTTACCCGTAGAGACGTCCGAGGAGGAGGGACAGAAGATGCAAGTTATAGCCCCTGAGCCGAAGGTTCGAGCTGTCGATGAACAGATCCCAGCTCGAGAAGAAGAGAGCCAGCCTGTTTCCCAATCGCCGCCTCTCCCAGCAATACAAACTGAAGACCAGCAACCTAACACTCCTGCAGAAGGGTCTGTGGAAGCACCGACTAGTCCACAAGCTAAGCAGCAACTAAATCTATTTCCTGTGAATGAGTTGACTAGCGAACCGGTACTTGAAGAACCTAAGAGATCTAGCGAAGCCGATTACAACGACGAGGAGACATCGCGAGAAATACCTACTTTAATGCAGCCGGTGGAGCCTATACTAAGCAACCCTAAGATTGACAGCCATGACGATCTCCAATCTACGCTTCCTGCTCTTGGACAAGATGAGCAATCACAATCGATATCGAATCCATCTTCAGAAGAGGTTGAATCGCCCAGCGATACCACAAAACCTAAGGGTTCCATTGCGGATGGAGAACATGATGTGCGACCTAGTTTGGCTGAAACTGGACTGCCACAACCGGCCGAACAGAAGCCAAGCGGCTTGGCGTTGTTGGAGGATACCAACGTGGATGAATCACCAATGCAGCTCGATTCACTTGGCGGTGAAGATAGCAGGGATCAGCAGGGACCTGCGTCAACCGATCCACTGGAAGCTTTATCCTCGAGCCCCAACTGGAACGAGAGCTCAGAAAAGAAGCAAGACAAATCACCTGTATCACCTCAAGCGGCGGAGGAACCCTCGGGTTTAAGCCTGGAAACCGACAACGCCCGACCACCGAGTCTAATTAATGAAGTATCTGGCGAAGAGGCACGGGAAACAACTCAACCGCAGGATGAACCCAGCAACAAGAAGAGGGAAAGCAAGGAAGTCGAGATCAGCCAAGCGACGTCGAAAATAGTTGATACTTCTAAGACGATTGTACCTTACCCGGAACCGGCGGCTCAAGAAGCACCCTTAGAAGCTGATGCTCATGAGCCTCAAACCGTTAGTGATATTCCTGAAAAGCCACCCCAAGACCGCGACATTGAATCAGCTGCCCCGATTGTTGAGGAGCAGTCGACCATACCTCAACCAATTATAGAGGATATGCAGGAGCCAGTTGTGGCACAGGCTGAACCAATTGACGATGATGTCTCGCCTGGATTAGATAGCTCTGGCAAAGAATCCCAAGAGAAGAGCGAGGAAGGTCGATTAAGTCAATTGGGTACCACTGACGCTATTGATGCACCTGCATTGGGTGGGGAACTAGAATCTGAGAGATCTGTGGGGGAGCCGGCGATTGTGGAGATAGAGGCTGATAGCAAACCCTCCTCTCAACCTCTCGCTCACGAAGTTGACTTAACAGCTGTCACTGAGGTAGAGAACCAAGCATCCGAGTCCCAGTCTATCCCCAACAAGGAAGAAGTTGAAGCAAAGCGTGGATCTAACCAAATTGAGACCATCACTAACGATACTCCCCAGGAAACACCGGAAATTCTGGATGCGCGGGATGATGCGAGCAAGGAAGTAACCCCGCTAACTCAATTTAACGTTGGTAGACTTAGCGACGACACGCAGGCTACTCAAGCCAAAGGAGACACTGACGGGCCGACGACAATTAACCAGCTGGAGACGGATAATAAATCCGAAAACGCCTCTGTTAACACCAGTGAAACCCCGGCATCTATTATCTTGCCAGAAATATCCACCAAACCAGATTTTAATTCCGAGGATATTATACAAGCCGGCAGAAATTTTGGTTTAGATCCAACCCCATCTGGCATCGAAAGACCTGAGAAGGAAAAACTCGAAGGCGCTCAATTACCTGGAGCACTTAAACGAGGATCCATGGAAGTCCCGATGGAACCTGTCGGCGATACCCCTACGCCTGACACAACCTTCAATCCTGACTGGAGCTCTATTGAGATACCGCCCCTGCCGGATTTCTTATCGAAATCTGAGGATCAGCCTCATGACGCATCGGAGGTTCAACAAGAACAATCTCATGATCAGCCAGTAGACCCATTGGATCAGCTTATCCAGCACATTGAAGCTAAGGCGCGATCAGAAGTCCCTAGCTATATCCAAGGCCGGCCGACGTCAGGAGAAATCGACGCTTCTGCAAGTGCCGAGCAGCCAATACCTCAGAAAGCCGACGAGGAGTCGATAGAAGCCCGAAACAGACTTTTGGTGGACAACAGATCAAACGATGGGCTTGGCAGTGTTCAAGAACCCTTAGGTGAAGTTGTACCAGCAGTGCAGGAGCCTGTCAATGACAATATACCCGCTGAAGTGGACAACGTCCAGGAGCCTCCCACCCAGGATGAATCCCAAGCTTTACCCATCCCAGCAACTCCACGAACTCCCCTCGCAGAAGCTACTCCTACAGCAGTCCCCGAGCCCCAGGAGAGGATTGAACAGCCTGTAGAAAATATGACAAATGACAGCAATTTAGCTACATCTCGAGTTGCGCCACCTATTTCAGAAGATGGCCAGTCGAATCTCCTTACAGAGCACGCTGCCATAAGCGATTCGCAAGTTGAGTCTAGCCTATTAACCGAGAATATAACCCAAGCTACTTTGAACGTACTGCCAACGATTACGGAAGAACTTGAGAGTGAAGGTCAAGACGCGCTTGATACCCAAGCAGGAGCAGCAGCACCGGTGGATGAGCCAAGTACAGAGGTCCCTCCCTCAGATCTCGTTGAAACACCATCGACTATACCGCAAGACCAGACTAATTTAGGTGAAGTCACGCCGGAAGTCCCAACCATAGTCGAGCCGGAGGAGCTGGTGTCTCAGCCGCATAGATATGACCCACAGAGCCCTACAAATGAGGATAAGGGAATAGAGAAGGAAAGCCAAGTACAAGAACATGAACCCGAAGCGTCCCCCTTACCGACGGAACCTACGACCGAACAGCCGCAAACCCCTATTCTTAAGAGCAAGCCACCGCAAGATGTAATGCCTTTGGATTTACCCTTGGTGAAAGAAACTAAGACGGAGCCGCGCCTGACTGAGCAAAACGCGCCTGACCTACCCGATTTACCTACCCCCGGAACGAGCAAGACCGCGGTCAGCATGTTAGATATCTCTCCTTCCCCAACGAGAGAGCCCGAGCCACGACCGTCTGATGTTACGGGTACAACGAGAGAGCCCGAGCCAAGACCATCGGATGTTACGGGCACAACCGTCCATTCTCAAGACTCTGGGCAGGAACCAGGAGTTAATACAGACAAGGCAGGTGACGATGTGCTGATAACCAGGCCTGAGATCGCCCCAAGTGGAGAAGTTACAAATGTCCAGGACCAGGAGAAAACTCGACAAACCAATGATCTAACTGAAAACTCTATGCTAGAGGAAGAACCCGTGGCTGAGCCTGTACGCGACGACGAAGGCGACGAAGGCGTGGAAAGCGTTCTCACGCCCAGGCCAAAAGAAAGGAAAGAAATCGAAGAACGAGGAAGCCAGTCATTCCTAGATGATATGGCGTCTGTACCAAGCCAAGAATCCGCCGAATCTGTCCCAAGCATGCCAGAAGCCGTCGACGAAGCAATCAATTCTGCAAAGACCTCTGTACCTATAGTCAGCGAAGAGCTTTCTCTCCCGCCCCCTGACAAAGTGGACGAGCCCACCGAGACCGCAATTGCCGCAGCTCAAGAGGATATCTCCAGCTCGCCTACACACAACCAATTTACCGCAGCTGATGTTGAGGAAATTGTGGAGCCAGAGCCTAAGAACCCCGAAAGCGTCGAAGATAAGGAAGGTGAAGAAAATAAACTAACCCTCCTAGATAACCACCTATCCGAGAAAGTCCTAGAGCAAGAAGCAGAGGGAGGTCCAACGGCTCCTATAGGTGAAGATGAATCTCAGGTCTTAGCTCCTACAGAAGCTTCAGAGGAAGAAGCGCTGGATGAACCTATCTCTCCGAAAAAGAGTAAAAAGGGAAAGAAAGCTAAAAGAAGGAACGCTCATGATGAGAATGCCTCTCAAGTCGAACCGGGTCAAGCATCTGTGGATACAATAGGCAATGATGAACAGATGGAGAGTGGCACTTCTCAAAGTCACAAAGATGCGGACGTTATTGACCTTGGCCCTACTGGAAATAAGGAGGACGTAGAAGTAAAGGATGTTGTTCGTTCAGATGATGTACAGTCACAAGAACAAAATCAAGCGAAATTGGAGTCTGCAGCTCAACCAGACATAAGTGAGATGACAGAAACTGAAAACTTGGCTGTCGAGAGCTTGAAGGACGAGACCATTGACGAGGTAGTTCCTACTAAAAAGGCCAAAAAGAACAAGAAAAAGAAGCGCGCAAGTCCGCGGGGAGAAGAGACGATTTCCCAACAAGAGCTATCTCAACCCACCACCGATCTAATGGCTACTACATCCGCAGTTGACCAGGTCAATACAGAACTATTCTCTATTCCAGAAAATTCGGCCAGTTATGACGTCGTGGATCTAAAGCTTGATCATAATGCTGATAAAGAAAAGCAACCAAGCGCCCAGGAGCCAGAACTTGAAGCCAAAATGCCAACCGAACCAGAATCGGGTTCCACACCTCAGCAGCTAGAGTCATCTATGGATCTCAGTTCTACCGATGTGGCTCCCATGAACACGGAGGATCCGGTTCCCATTGAGGAAAACCACTTGACCAGGTTGCTTGAAGTCCCGGCTGGGTCCACCGCTATTGAGGCCACAGTTGCGAACATACAGGATGATAGACCTTCCACTGAAGATGGTATATCTGCGATGGCGCCACTTGAGACCGCCCAGGAGCAGGTCGAAACAATTACGTTACCAGACTCTAACATTCCTCTAACGGATCAAACCCCTACTGAAGATACTGACATTGTTCCTCCTTCCGATGAGCCCAATACCGAGGGTTCCGCTCAGGCAGAGGCCGTCCTGCCAGAGACTCTCATCAACCAGGAGTTGGAAGAACAAACCGATGTTCTCTCGAGTTCACCGCGTGAAGAGTTGGTGCCTCAGGAGCTAGTCCACTCAGATGAAAAGCGCGAGGAAGCTGTAGACCCTATCATTTCCGAAACCCCAGCTGAGGCTGTACATCCTGAAGAACTTTCCAGGTCCAGAGAATATTTGCAACCAGCAGAATCTACCCAAGTAGAAGAAGTCGCAATGTCAGGAGAGCACACGCAAACTGAGAATCTACCAACGGAAGAGCTTGTGCAACCAGAGGAGCCAACTACTTCGGAAGAACAGTTAGAGCAGGCACCGCCTAAGGTAGAAGAGCTTGCCCAACCGGGCGAACCCGAGCAATTAGTTCCCTCTCCAGAAGATCCTTTGGAGACCGATGAGCCGGCACAGCAAGAACCTGCAGAGCTAGAACCTGTTGAGCCGGAGCCTATCAAGCCAGAACCTGTACAACCAGAATCTGTTGAGCCAGAACCTGTACAGTCCAAAACTGTCGAGCCAGAACTTGTACAGCCAGGACCTGTACAGCCAGATGAGTCCTCACAGCGTTTAGAACAGAAGTTGCTGACTCAAGCACAAGAACCTACACGGCTAGCAAGCTCTGCGAACCCTGTCGAGGAATCCACTATTACCTCAGATGAAGCTGAGTCCACGCCGACAAAAATGCCTAAGAAAAGCAAGGAAAAGAAGAAAGCCATCCAAGTTGAACTAGAGCCAGAGCCAGAACAAGAACAAGCACAAGAACCAGCAGAGGCAAGCACGCAAATAGTTGAGCCTCAAATTCCTGAGGAGTTGCCAAAGCGATCTGCAGAGCAACCCGTGGACCAACGCGCCGAACAACGGATGAGCTGGGGTTTCTTTGGAGGATTTGCTGATTCATTCAAGAGTCTTCTAAGTATACAAGAACCTACGACCTCGAAGAATGATGAAAATACCGAGGACCCCTTTAAATCGCTTACGAAGTCAAAGCCTGAGACAGAGGATAAAGGAACGATCCAACTTGAAACGGCACCTACACCGAAATCCGTACTCTCATTAGAACGGGAAGGACGACCATCTTGGCTTGAGTCATTACAGGAATCCCAGCAATTTGATACCGATAATACATCGGCAGCCGCCACAGATCCTATGCCCGAAGACGTCCTATCCGAAGTGGCTATAAGCAAGGAATCCAAGAAAAAGGATAAGGAAGTAAGCCAAGCCAGTGAGGAGCCCGAGCTTAAAACCGAGATCCCTCTAGAACCTCAAGCGCAGCCAGTTCTCTTTGAAGAATCTCCCGTGCAAGAAATCCAGGGACGAACCGATGCTTTGCCTATAGTAGAACAGCCGCCAATCACGAAGGGGGAAAAGAAGCGTAAAGCAGACCTTTCTCAGTCCCCCGGTAGCAAAATGTCTAAGAAGGAAAGGCGAAAAATGAAGAAATTGGCCGCTCTAGCCGCTGAGCTGTTCCAAACCGAGCCTGACTTGAAGGTCAGTAACGAGCAGGTAGCGCCCAAAACTGCACCTGGTCCCTCAGAGCAAACTCTAGAGCCCGCAAATCCGGATTCAGAAGTAAAAAATGACTCTATTACGAGCTCCATAGACACCACATCATCGAACACCCCAGAAGCGGACTTGCAGACACCAGTAATAGAGACTGCATCCTCGATTCAACCAATTCAAGAACGGACAGAAGGTCAGACCGAAGAAAAAGGTGAAAATATAGGCGCCCTCTTAGGCCAAGAAGAAAACTTGATTTCTAGCTCCGAGCAGGCTCTCATAGCCCCTGAGGTGGAAAATACAACCAAGGATGCACCCGCGAATAGGACTGCCGATGTTATAGGTGAGGCCACACCCGACGTACAAGAGTCGAAGGGGATTTCGCCCGACATTCCTATAGAGACTTCGGAGAAAGGAGAAGAGGCACAAACACTCAGTACTCCCGAAATAAATATTGAAATCCCAAATTCCGACCCGCAGCCGCAAAGTTTGCCGGATACCGAAAAGGAGGATGAGACGACAGTCAGTACAGGAACCTCAGTAAACGTAGAGCAGTCACCTAGGAAGTCAAATGAAGTTCCGGAACGTATTAAGACGCCCAAGATAAGTACCGCCAAACATCTAGATTTGCCCGCCTATCAACAATTCGACACCGACCCCTCTCCGTCTTCCCCTCTTAGCCGCAAGAAGTCAAGGAAGGACAAGAAGAAGAAGAGACTTAGTGCTCAAGCCGGATCAGAAGTAAGCTCGGAAACTCAAACGCCTGCAAGCCAAGAACAAAATACAGGCAAAGATTCGAGCGACATCACAAAGGAACCCAACGTTTCGGAACTGGAAAGGACAATGGTAAATGAGGGTGAGTGGTTAGAATCCCCAAATAATTCCCCGCAAGACAAGACACGCCGCAAAGCGTCGGGCACTTCTACTCCTCTAGAGTCCATGGAAGATGCACTGGCAAACGCTTCTCCGGATACAGTGGGAAAAGAGAACGCCCCGAGAAGACTGACTCTAGAAAATACCTCAGAAGTCGAAGGGCAAGGTTCTAAAGCAAAGGACGTCGAAGAAATCCCCCCCAAGCCGAAAGACCAAGATCAAAATGCTGAAAACATCAATATCAGTCCCCCTGACAAGACCAGCGTAGAAGTTTCGGAAATTACTCAACCGCCGTGGCTCGTATCGGAGCGTGATTCTGACACAGGGCCTCTTAGCGAAACCAGACAAGATACCTTAGAACACGTCGAGTTACCAGGGCCTGTCACCCCTCCTCGGACACCGTCGACCGTCTCCGCATACGCGGTCAACGTCGACCTCTCACCGGCTCAACTCAGTAGTCATGTAGAACACGAGCGTCCATTCGATCAGTCACCGCAGCCTGGCAAGAGAATTAGAACTCGTCTATCCAGCAGCAATGCAACAACTGGGCTCTTTTCGACTCGGCCCAAATCTTCTCAAGGCACCGAGAGCTCAGGGTACGAAGCCCGGGGGCTACTACCACCCGTAGGGTTATACACCACAAAATCCAGCGACAATGATGTCGCGTCGCACGGTATTATTCCTGCTCAAGGGAGTGCAGCCTCGTATCTTGAACCTCAGTTAATTCCAACGACTGCAATCCCACACAACGTCGAAGCGAATAGTGGTGTCAAACAGATTAGCACTCCTGGTCTACTTCCGGTACTTGCACCACGGAGGGAGATTGCTGCTTCGTATTCTGCTGCACAACCTTCAAGTGACAATATACTAACTGACGCGACTCAGAAGTTGGTTGGCGATGCATCACCGGTAGCAATAAGCCATGATATTTCTACTTTACCCTTAGAGCCGCAGTTAAGTCGATCAGAGTCTAAGCGTAAAGAGGAGAGGGCCCTTCCAATTCAGCCCGAGGCTCGGCAGCGCAGCCATATTGAAGACATGAACACACCAGCGCGTAAGATTGCGGCTATCCTTATGGAAGCACACCTTAATTCGTCTAAAAAGAACAAGGAGATGCTTAAGGATGTAGACCCCACAGTTCCGGAACGCATTGCTACAACATCTTCTACTGGGGAGGCTACACATTCAACTGAAAAGTATGCCAGCATGAAAACGCCAGACACACAAGACATACTTGATAACCGTGCAGTTCCAAAAGTCCTCAAGTCTGAAGTACTAGAGGAAAAGCACATGAATGTCAATGCAAGCGATATGGAAGCCGAGCGAAACACAGGGGCAGTTATACAGACGGAGATACCGTCCTCTAAACTCAAGGACATACCGTTAACAAGAGGTCTTCCTGTGCAGGGTAGTGCCGCTGAGGAGGATACCGAGAGCCCAGTAGTAGGAGGACAAGTGCAACAAAGCCTACCGGAGCCTCGCACTCCTATTCATGGCAGTCCAACATTGAGAGAGCCACCTACTACTGAAATCATCAAAAGGCTGGACGATCTGGACACATCAGAGCACGCTAGGGAGCCTTCGGTGTCAACATTAGAGCGCAAAATTGATGAAGTATCGCCAAAGCCACCAAGTTCAAGATCTCTAATTCAAGACTACGGAAATACCGGCCGCAATTCTCCCCGCATCCTACCTCCGGTAAAGGAGGAAACGCGTGAAGAACTACAGGATGAAGGAGGAAATCGAGGTCACAACATTACAAGGAAGTCGCCAATTGTCACAGAGCTGAATAGGGACAGTGGATTTGTAACAGATTCACCAAATTCGATACGACGAAGCTCATGGGATGATTTGAGTCAACGGGATAGTGCTGTGCATTTGCGGGATTGGCCTGAAAACCCGCCCACGCCTACACCTACGCGCAGAAAAACGGGATTATTGGAAAACGAAAGCAGCGAGATTCGGACACGGCAACCAAATGAGAGAAGAAGCAAAAAGCTAGGATTAGGAAATGAAGCGCCAAAGTTAAGCACGCCAATTGCTCGCAGTCAAGATGAGATGCAAGATGGTATGGAGCCAAGGAAAACGCGATTAGCAAAATCGCAAGATGATGGGAAAAGAAGTGTATCAGAAAGTATAAGCCGAGGGTCGACGCCAGGGATAGAAAATCATCAACCAAGGCGGTCTGCATCTAACACGAGCATTTCGCGGTTGAGGACACCTGAACCGCAGCAGTTTCGGCCTGAAAGTCCAGGCGGCAGAAATTTCCGATCAGGCTCCAACACCCCGCCGCTCGCGCTCAGACGCATCGGTAAGCGAATGAGCGGTGACCTTCGATCACTTGGCTCCAACCTCTCCAATAACAGCAATGGTTCGAGAGAAAATCTCCACCAGGACCACCAGACTCATCTACACCAAACCATCACCACCACATCCACATCCACATCCACACCTACACCCACTACACCCGTGGCTAATGAGGGACGTGTGCGAGCCAAGGATATGACCGACGTATATGTAAGTGATAGTTACTAATAGCAACCGTGCTTTCTTCTTCATGTTCTTCTACTACCCCCCCTGGTTACTTTTTTTTTTTTTATACGTGTCTCCATTTATACACGGTGGTATCCATTCATTGCGTTGTATCCATCCGTAGTATCCATCAAGCACGTCTTAAAGCAAATCATTCGAAAACCCCCTATCGAGCCATGACCACCGCTACTTTATATACTAACCCCGATTTGCAGGATGGTTACGGCGAAGGCCGCATCGGATCCCCACGATCCCCGACCCGACCACAGAGTATGCGTCGCCGACAGAGCATACAGGTTCTGGAACTCGAATCAAGAGTCGAACAATTAGTAGCAGAAAATCGCGCGCTTGCCGATGCAAAGGCCCACGCCGAACAGAACCTATCTCATCGGACCGCCTCCGCCATTACCGAGCGCGATGCCGAAATCGAAAGTCTCAAGGCTTCTCTCGAATGGCTGCGAAAAGAAGTCACTCGATTGACTGAGGTCAACGAAGGTCTTCACAGCGCCAACAACGTACTTGCTTTTCAACAAAATGAGAAGTACAACCGCCTCGAATCGCAACACGCGTCGGCAGCGAAAGAACTCGAAGACTCTCGCATAGCTCAGAATAATTACGATAGGACAATACAAGAAAAAGACAGCGAGATTCAGGAGTTGCGCGCCCAACTTGAGGTTACCAAACAGCAAGTTAAGGAAATGCAACGGCAAATACTTGCCCAAAGACCTCACGACGCCGACTTCCTTCGTCTTAAAGATGAAGATCATTTTGACCATCGCTGCCAACAATTGTGTCAACACGTGCAGCAATGGGTTCTTCGCTTCTCCAAGTTCTCGGATATGCGTGCTTGTCGGTTGACAAGCGAAATCAACGACGAAAAGATCATTGACCGATTGGACAACGCAGTCTTAGATGGCTCTGATGTCGATGAATATCTCAACGACCGAGTGAGACGTCGTGACATATTTATGTCTATGACTATGAGTATGATTTGGGAATTTGTCTTTACTCGTTACCTTTTTGGAATGGACAGGGAACACCGACAGAAGCTCAAGTCTCTCGAGAAGCTTCTCTTAGAAGTCGGACCACCTGCTGCTGTCCGCCAGTGGCGTGCCATAACGCTGACGCTGCTATCCAAGAGGCCAGCGTTTGGTGATCAGCGCAACCAGGACACCGAGGCCGTCGTACAGGCCATCTTCCAGACCTTATGCATGATCCTCCCGCCTCCGTCCAATTTGGAGGCGCAAATACAATCCCAGCTCCGCCGTGTCATGCGCGAAGCTGTTGATCTTTCAATAGAGATGCGTACACAGCGTGCGGAATACATGATGCTACCGCCATTACAACCTGAGTACGACGCCAATGGCGATCTAGTGCGAACCGTTGCTTTCAACGCAGCGCTCATGAACGAGCGGTCCGGAGACACCATCTCTAATGAGCAGTACGAAGCCCAACATGCCATCGTTCGCACCGTGCTCTTCCCACTTGTAGTTAAGAAGGGCGATGACAACGGTGTTGGAGACGAAGAAGTTGTCATCTGCCCTGCACAGGTGCTTGTCGCCAAACCCCCGCGTCGCGCCACCATCCGCATCGTCACACCCACGTCCGAATCAGGCAGCATCCCGCTGTCGCGAGGCGCAACGCCTTCCGCAGCTGCACCTAGCACCGTCAGCCTGCAGATGAAGGACGCCCCCCTACCCATCCCAACTCCCCCACAAGAGGCCGAGTACCTCGAAGGCGGCATCTAGAGAATGGCGACTTCCTCGCGGATACACGGAGCAGTAGTAACGGCGTCGCGGGCTGACAACAAAAAGAATAATAGTAATAATCATAAACGAAGGGGATAAAGCCCAGGGGGAAGAAAGATACGCTTGAATGAGGGATGCTCGAGATTTCAAGATCTTTTCTCTCTCTTTCTCTCTCACCGCTTCTAATGTCCGTCACGGTTTTTGTCTTTTCCTACGGGTTTACAAAAACGGGGGTTGCCTCTTTTTACAATTTGCGTTTGCATTTTTTTTAAAAAAAAAAATTTCTCTCTCTGGTAAAGGGAAACTGGCGGTGATACCTTGGTTTAGGCGTTACTTGCTTGGCCTTAGCATGCATGAATGACTCTTTCTTTTCACCTCTATTTCCCGCTCTCAAAATACCTATTCTGCATGAAATGAGATTTTTTCTTTTTCTTCTTCCTCCAAAATATTCCCCTCTCCCCTTTCTCTAAATCATACGGATTTTAGATGGAGTTTTCGCAGAAAAATGGAAGAAATTGTTTACCTACCTATTTAACGAGTCACGACCTTGATGGTTTTTTTAATAATTACCCCTCTCTATTACGAACACTTTTTTTTTTCTCTGCTACGTTCATCATATGAAGATGACTGATGGATTGTTTGTATGTGTATTTATACCAGAAAGAGAATTTATGACCACCACTACTTCAATTTTACGTATCGCCAAATTATTGTGTGCCTTATGACGGTTCGTAGTGTTATATCTGCATAGGAGGTAAGTTAAGTACCTCATATTTAGAATAGGTAAAGGCAACGTAAAATATAGTATGAAAATGTGACTTGGGAGATTTAATTGGAGTATAATATATAGCTGCTCCTTTATCACATATTTAGAATTAAACAAGCATAGACAACTATACTTCTCACAAGTTGAGGATACATTTTTCTTTTCTCTTCTTTCTTTTCTTTTTCTTTTTCTTTTTCTAATAAAGAGTTTCCCTCTGAAGCGAGTGCAAAGTTTCTAACACAATGATATATCTCCAGTCCCCCGTGTCTCGTTAGGTATTTGTTTGTTGCCCTCCAGCTCCCGAACCGATATACAAAAAAAGAAGCAAAAAATACAAGTGACCGCTTTGCTCCTGCTACTACTACTACTACTACGAATTGCTTCATATCATCGTCTAGTTCGAAGATGAAGAGGGGAGAAAAAAGAAGAATAGAGAAACCCAAGTTGTTGTCCTATTCCTATCAAGTACTCCAACCTGCAACACCAAAATTCGGGTCGTTGAATCCGTGTATGCTTAGCCCGCCCGTTTGCGGATCATTAGGAAATAGTGAGTTGATCGTATCCTGAAGCCCTCATGGTTAGCATGACCGCTGAAGGTAGTTCAAGGGGTCAAGCGACCGAGGCAGCTGAGAGACTTACCCAATCAATATTATCCATGATATTACCACTTTGACCTATCCCCGCCCCACTTCTCGTCCCTGGTGTGGCGATCCGCTGGCCCCCGTGCTCTATGCTCGAGCTATCGCTCCCGGGACTTGCGTGATTTGGTGGTAAGCTCCACAATGCCTGCCCATCCGATACGCCAGCAAACACCATCTGTGATTGTGGCCCCGAAGGCCCAGCCGGCATCGGTGGGGTATATCCCGGCTCAACCTTCGGTATGTCCGGAGCCATTCCCACCGCCGACATGTGTGGGTGATTTTGCAGAGGCGGCGACGGCCTTGAGGTACCCGCGACGACATTTTGTCCAGGGATAGCCTGCGAGAGGCTCGTGGGCCCACGCATCTTTCGCATGCGCATGTATACTGCTGTCTTGTTTTGTATCTCGGAAAGGAGCTGAACAGCCTTAGCTTCGGGTGGAAGCCTGCGGTCCATGCCAAAAACGTAGTCTAAGCACGACCATATCCGGTCGGCATCGCGAGACTGCGGCCTGAAATAAACTTCGGTCGCTAATAACAGCGCGATTTGATATTGAAAATAAGCACCAAGATACCACGCCCAATCTTTAAAATTAGAGTTTGTCTCGAGCTGGATTGCGAGCTCGACGATCATGATGCCAGAGGTAATAAGAAGTTGGTTCAGTCGCGGCGGCATTGGGTTGGCAGCATTTGAGTGATATGGGTGCAAGATCATGACGTGAAGGCGGTATGTCAACAGATACATGACGCACTTCGCATACCTTTGAATCGGCTGTGTAACATCTAGAAGACGATCATATTTCTCTGACATCCTCCGTCTGAAGTTTTCGATCTTGGTGAGCACAGCTGTTAACGTAGTTCGGCGGGTCTCGAGTCTCCGCCTATCGAGCCATATGACACGCATTATTTCGTTAATTTCGAAACGTATCAATGCCAGAGTATTGTTAGTCCATGTGTCTGACGGCTCTGGCGCCCGTATAGCGTGTGTAAGCTCTTCATCATTGCAGTTTAGAGGCAATTTCGTATCGTAGTCTTCTTTCCTAATCACCGGCTTCGGTCCTTGGGCTTCACAAGTGCGTATATCAAGGAAGCATAATTGGTGCCATATCAAACGCCGAACGTGCGTTTCAAGAGGTGTAAGGCCGTATGCTTCACCGTCGCGATGTAAACCCATGCATTCAGCCATCCTTACTGCCGCACCAACAAGTACTGAATGAGCCCGTGATACTTCACCCCTGCAAAGGGGAATCTGTCAGAAGGTCAGTGAGGTGAGCCACGTAAATTCCTCGAAAGTGGATGGGACTAACCATATACATAATAAACGCCTGCATCGTTTCTACCTTGGTAGTCCGTAAAAAGTTAGCCTTACTTAACGCAGTTTCGGTGCCCATCTTGAGGCTGGAAACCCAGCTTGCTCTGGGATATCCGGCGAACTCGGGCGTATTCTCATCTATGCTAATGGCTCCGCTAAACATAGCCCCGAAGATTACAGCTTGCATCGAAGGTCGGGGTTCATATCCTGCATTAATTTCCTCCCAGAATGTTGAATAGGTAGCCTCTAACGTCGGCCTGTGAGCGCAAGGAGCTATGGGATGAACGCAAGTAAAATACTGCTTCATTAACTGATCTGCAGCGGCCCTGTACGGTAAAAATTGGAGAATAGACGGCGGCTCTCCCAACTGACCGAAAAAGAAGCCAGAAGTAGGTACTATATATTGATCTCCTGGCTTTAGGAATGCGGGTAGGTCTTCGGTCCCAGACGTCTGCCCTCCATGCTGCAGATGTTGCGGGCCCGAAAGTTGCGAGCCCGAGATGCCCGCCGAGATCTAAAAGTTATTTTGTAAGTATCTCAGCCTTACGAGTCCTAGCATGCGTTACATACTTCTTCAGATATTCTAGGTCGCGAGAGACCGCCTATCCTTTCGGTGATGCGCATCTTTCCGATCTGGATCCCCAGGTCTATCATATCACCCGCCCCATCGGCATCATCTTCATACGTAACATCTAGAGCTGCAAGAGGCGTAGCTTCTAGATCGCCCTCTTCGCCGTCCTCACCTGCAACATCGTCGGCAATACTTCGCTGCTGTAGCATGCTCTTCGACGTAGTAAACTTTGCGACATCGCGCTCGAGTTCTCGCTCGAGAGTTCCCTGCTTCTCCTTGATTTCAGCTAAGCGCATTTGGCTAGCTTCGTCTAGTCGTGGGCCTATATATAGACATTCTCGAGCAGCCTTACTGCAGTTTGTGCAGGATGGGCTCGTTTTGGAACATTTTAACTTTCTTCTTCGACATTCTAGACAACTTTTATTGACGGAGCGCGAGAAACAAACGTTGATTCCCAGGCTATATTATTGAAAAATTTGCCCGAAAACCAAGTTTGTTTCTAGGATACTCCGTGTATGTGGGTTAGCATCCGCGCTTGGTATTAGTTTAAGGGGGATATAAGGAGAAAATTAGACATGTTAGGGATAAATAGTATATATATCTGGATTGCGTTTTGGCTCTTTTTTCTTTTTTTTTTTGGATTTTTCTTGTCTGTATTCTTTATACTGAGACTATAGGAAGGTATAGGGATCCTAGACACAAAAGGGTATAATCATACCTATTAATCATACGGTTGCGCCGGCGGATTGGCTTCGCCTGCCAGGCGGCGCGCGAATCCGGATCTAAGCCGGCCACGTGGTCGGTTTGGTCCATAGCTGAAGAAAGGTGTTATGGTGGGAAAGCGGCCGGAGTTGGTGCGGGATTGTAAAGATCTACTTGAGCCCTGCTAATGCGCCGACGCCGCCCTGTGGATCGTCGCCTCGATCTCATAGGTCCATCTAACCCCCCAGATTTCATGTCAGATCTCTCCCAGAATGCCGGGGATTTTTGGTATCGGGTAATTGGGCGCCGAAACCAATTTATTTGCTTCTCGGGGCTCGACGGATGTTTCGTAGGATTATCTTCGATACAAGACGATACAAGACGATAAAGGTACGGACGTAAAAACAAATCAAGTCGTCTATTTAGGTGTGGCGAGTCGAAGGTCTATTATATGAAATCAGAACAGAACCCGATTCAGTTATCGGCATCTGCACCCACACCTCTTTTACTATTGGGACGAGCTAGACAGATTCTGCATGTTGAAGAGGGGGGGGGGGGGGGGGGGGTAATAATATACCGGTGCCTTGGACTCCCTTACGTGCGATCAACAGTTCATGAACCGAACCGGCAGCGTTATATGTGCCTTCCGTCGCCGCTGCGGTATCTGGCGCATGGCGGAACCGCCCACGAATAAACGGTAGGGTATATCAAGCGAGTTCGGGAGGCAAAGAGAGAAAGAGAGGGATAGATAGATAGATAATGTTATGTAAGAGAAAGCGGACCGAACAGTACTGTTTATTCTAGTATAGCTTAGCTCTTGAGGCGAATAAGATGAAAATGGAGAATATATTAAAAAGATGGGGAAGAATTACTAGCTACCTCCTAACAGAGGTATAATAGAGAGAGTATATGCACCCCTGGCACCTAAAGATTAGGTAGGCGCGCGAGTTTGGTGTGGATCATTTTACATAACCTTGCGCCCACTTTAAAAGCTCTGGTACTAGGTGAGAGTGTATTGTACCTAACCTTACTTAAGGGTAATATTACGCACTTGCCTATTATATCGTACTTGCCTGGTATTCTTCTATACACCGAAGCATTGAGACACAGGCTTGCATACCTACCTGGTAATATAGTGATGCGGGTGAGTTAAAGTTAGGTACCTGAAATAGTAATGCACTTGTATTCTTAGCACATGCTAGCACTACCTAGCGCATGGGTGATAGATACACTAAACGAATATCCATAGCGGGGTACAGGCGTACTTACTAGGGGGCAAGCTAGGTAGTCCAGGTAGCTCTCCCAGCAACTCGGGAAACGTATCCCCGAATAAACAATAAACGGAGAAAGAGCTCAAAGCTCAAGAAGAGAGAAAAACATCAAGGAACAACCTTCTATATAAAAGTCAAGCCTAACCATTTACGGCCGCCAATCAACAACCTCGTCGCTCTTTTAGACCCCTTCACCCCATTCTCGTTTCTGCATCTGGTCTGTCGCATATTAACTACTTAAATAGTGCGCTTTGGCATTAAATCCAGCCTCGCTCGGCGGCGCCGGCCGGTCTTTCGAACCTTCGAACCTTCGAACCTATCTACCTGGTTGTAAGTAACAAGCCTACCTAAACAATACCTAAGGTACATACAAGTATATACCCAGGTTAGGTACTTAGGTAGGTAGTTATATTAGGTACCTTGGGATCTGGTTATATAACTCATATCGATGCAGGTACTCCCTTTTATCGTATGTTGTAACTCTAACTTCCCAACTCCCTAACTCCCCCTGCCCAACCCCAGCGTTTTAAACCCTCAAGGAGGCTGACGCCCAAGTCCGACAATGCCCCTGTGCTCCTTAAGACATTTCCAGCTGCCGTGTAACCGATGACAATGTAATAACAAGCTCAACTCTTTCTAACAGAAACTTTAACCTGCCATGAATACCAATCACCACCCTCCTCTCCTCTCGTTTGAACAAGCGAACCCAGCCGGAATCAGTTCATACTGTAATGCATTACGTAGTTCGCACGACATCTTGCTTGTCATACTATTGAAAAATATATATTTATTTTCCCCCAGCTATATATCGACTATACTACCTAGGTATGTACATAGTATGCTGATCACATACCCTGGCGCGTATCCACACATCACACACACACACACTAGGTATCCCAAGTAGGTATCCCAAGACCGTGGTTCGGTTTTTATCACACCCGGCTTTCGTCTAGTAGGTACATTACTAGACGGCCAGGACTTGTGCCCCTCCTCCTTTTTTTTCTGCGTTTTGCTTTTTCAAGCCACCCTGGCTTCGGCCGGCGCCTCATCCGGCATCCATACGGCGACGCCAGGCATTGATTCTTCTCCATTCCTTTAGAGCCAAACCAAGCTTCAACATCCTGTCGCGACCGATATGCCTATCTGCCAGGGATAGGAACCACCGTAGTCGGGTGATTCTGCCAGGCTTCCCTTCTGCAAGGTCCCTTGTGATGTTGTGGAGTAACGCCCGCAGGGCAGGCTCTGTTACCACCAGGCCACGCTTCTTTTGAAGGTAGGTGATGCAATTCGAGATAAAAGTAAAAGATTGCTTAGACGATATGTTCTCTAAGATAGCAAACGTCATTGCTGCTCTAGTTGCCGCTATCGTTGCTTTTCGTAGTTGACGTATCGTAGGGAACCTGAGAGGTCCTTGAACATGCTTTCCCGGAAGTTGCTTTACCCGCAGAGCACTTAAAATTTTGTAGGGCCTGAATGATCGGTTTTTGGAGAGAGTTATCAAAGTCGCCGTCGCTAAGCTCGTATACGAGGAGCCCCGAGGAGCTCCCATTCTTTTTTCATCCACTCTACTTTCCCTATAGAGGTTTAAGATGTTTATAGCTAGAACTGGATCGCCCACCCCAATAGCAATGTTGGCTAAAGGACTTGCCTCGCACTTGATAAAGATTCGGGCGCCTTTCGCAAATTTCATAACGTCTTGCTCTCGGCCAAGTTTATAGAGAAACTTACAAAAGCCTTTTGCCAACCCGAATTGATCCGTCTCCCATAATTCCATACCGAAGTGACCATAGGCTTCCGAATCTTCCACGTTATATTTCTGGACGCAGTTATACATTCTATCGCGACATTTAAGCGAAGAGCGATGCATAGCCAAATACATTTCACAAATCTCTCTGTTCGAAAGAGATTTTACGCGTTTGCCAGCTTCGAGAATACAAGCTGTCTTTGCCAGATAACCGTCGTCTACACTTGGTAGCCGGGCTAAGAGTTGTAGCCAGCCCATACGTATCCGAGGGAAGTATAAATTTGTCGTTTTTCTAAGCATTAACAAGTGCTTAGTACCATCTTCAAGTATGTGGAGATGATCGGTTGAGTTAAGCTTTCTCAGGGATGCAGCCATTTTGTTGGCTTGCCGACTGATACTCGAACGGTCCGTATGAAGACTTGAGGCGATCAAAAAGGTGCGTATATTAGCTAACACGCCTGTCGACACGTCATTCAAATGATTCTCCGGTATATAGTCCATGGCTTTACGAAAGAGGCGCACGGTATTGATCGTTAACTCTGAAATTCTTTGTAATATATCGCACCAAATAAGGTCATTGAAACGGCTTTGCTCGTCTACCCCATGATTAGAGAGACCTGCGACAGTTGCATCAAGCAACTCCAGCTTAATTCGGTCCATGGTCCATTCAAAAGATTGCTCGGTGCCCGTTCGTGACGTATTGATTCCCTGTTGGATGCCATCCAATACGGTGCGAATAGTATCGCCAGAATAAGGACTACCAGCAAGGTAATTACGCCAGCTATGACAGAACTTTTTGAAATTTGGTCTTGTCGCAGCTGTTTCCATAGATACCAAATCCCGAAAAACGAGATCTAGACCGGCATCGACGATTTGCGTCGGCAGAGTCTGAGCATCCCAGCCCATATTCGGTGACAATTGGGTCCCAGCCTCTTCAATCGCAGTCTGAGAAAACCAGTTCAGCATGGTTCGTACGAAGGGCCGCTCGCGTGCTCTCGCGTCTCGGCGTTGTTGAAGTCGCTCGTGAGGCAGCAATGGCGGCTTCCAATGCCATTGCGTCAAGTCTGCCAAATTCTCGAGCCCCCACAAAGGTGAACCAGAGCGCATTTGGCCCAGATTGAGTTCTCCCATATGTCTTTTCCCCATGCGCCTTCGGTTCTCCATCGGTCCAGGAACAGAGGAGCCATAACGAACGATTGTCCTTGAGTTCATGCAGTAACGATCAAATACGGCGGCGAGAAGGGCGTCGGGGATCCATATGCTATCGTTCTGGGAACGTATGCGACGGTTGGCGGCTCGACGACATTGCGAAACCAAGACGGGAGACATGGGCGGAGGGAAAATAAAGGAAAAGGATGGGACGTATAGACCCTCCTTTCAATCATGAGTACCTAAAGTTGGATAGGTGTGGTCAAAACATTTCGAAGCGGAGAGTGACGGTTAAATCTATTCCATTGGTGGTTCTTCTAGTGCAGCCAGCTGGCGCGATTGGGCGCCAATGAGGCTATATCGACATCGAATTGCAAAAAAAATGAAAATAAAAATAAAAAGGCTTGTGAAAGAATTGAGGTTGAAAGTTGGAGCTTAGGGAAATAATTGAAAGAAGCTTATTGGACAAATTCAAGCTTCATGTCCCCACTATTACCTAGCATGCTGTACGTTTTATCCGTATTCCCCGATGATGTATGGGCGGGCTGGCTGGGTTAGGTGGCTAGGTACCTAAGGTACCTAGCTGGGCAGCTAGGCGAGCTCCTTACATAAGGCATTACAGGGGCACATCCCACCATCGGAGCTAGCAAATCGTGGGCAGCCGTGGGGTCAAGCGAGACGGGGAGGGACGGGCAACTTTTACAATACACCTACATTACCTCAAGACTTCCTCCCTACATACTATGTATAACATATAACGAATAACAAATAACACTCTCTTACTCCTCCAATTAAATCCTGACCGCATTCGTCAAAGGACCATGACTCAACTAGATTTCGCGCCGTTAGCCAATGACCTAATCCTAAGGACAGCCAGAGGTTTGTATTATTTTCTTCTTTTATTTACCATCGCTATCTCCAAAGCCATACTAATCCGAGTTGTTGTCAAAATCTAGGTGAGGATGTAGAGCGCGCGCCGATATGGATTATGCGTCAAGGTATGCAAAACGTAGCTAGCCCGGATATAAGGACGTTCAATTGCTGATGGCCTCGTCAGCTGGCCGGTATCTACCCGAATACCACGAAGCCAAAGGTAATCGCGACTTTTTCGAATGCTGTCGCGATCCCGAAGTCGCTTCGACCCTGACTCTTCAGCCCATCGAGCGGTTCGCCGGTCTACTAGACGCCTCCATCATCTTCTCCGATATCCTCGTCGTACCGCAGGCTCTTGGAATGGTGGTGGAAATGGTCGACAAGAAGGGACCGCACTTCCCGGATCCACTCCAATCGCCTGACGATGGCCAATACTCTAAGGTCCTCAACAAAAACGTGGATGTCGCGGCTGAGCTAGATTACGTGTATAAGGCGATAACTTTGACGAGGAAGAAGCTGAACGGCCGTGTACCGTTAATTGGGTTCTGCGGTGCTCCCTGGACTCTCTTTTGCTATATGGTCGAAGGAGGCGGTACAAAGCTGTTCATCCAAAGCAAGAAGTGGATTTACCGATACCCCGAGGAGTCTAAGGCCTTGCTGCAAAAGATCTCGGAGGTCTGCGTCGAGTATCTGGCGCTGCAAGTCAAGGCGGGCGCTCAGCTCATTCAAGTCTTCGATTCGTGGGCAGGAGAGCTCTCGCCTTCGACATTCAAGAAATTCAGCGAACCCTACCTAGCTTATATCTCGCAGAACCTGCCAAAGAGGCTAGCCGAACTGGGCTTGGAACGTGTGCCTATGATCGTTTTCCCCAAGGGAGCCAATTTTGCGTTAGACTCGGTTTGCGATCTAGGCTACGACGTCGTCGGTCTGGACTGGCAGATCGACCCCGCCGAAGCCGTCAAGATCCGGGGAAACCGGCGGATAGTCTTCCAGGGGAATGCGGACCCGGGAGTGTTATACGGGACAAAAGCGTCGATAACTGAGACGGTAGAAGAAATGGTTAAAGGGTTTGGAGGTGGCAAGAAGGGTTGGATTGCGAATCTCGGCCACGGCATTACGCCGTTGGTGAACCCGGAGGATCTTAAGTTCTATCTACAAGAAATCCAACGCTTAACTAGTAGGTAACGAATACCTATCTTCAAAATCTACCGCATTTCCAGCTAGTCTATCTGGGGTTTTCTATAAAATTCTATCGATCTGGGAAGCTCGCGTCTAAATCTATTCCACTCCTAGTTGATGTCAGAATGCTATCCAGGGCAAGAGTGAATACCTAAGATAAACCAGTGATGTCGACGAAAATATTTAACTTACCATGAGACTGACCACGCAATCTTTCCACCCAAACTCTTACAAACCCTTTGGCTCTTCGGGTTATCTGGAGCAACATCGGCCCAGCAATGCTCATCGTCATCGTACTCCTTCAAGCGCTCGCGCAGGATCTTAACAGCAGCCGCCTTTGCAAAGCCCCTGCCGCGCCACTCCTCCTCGCAGTGCAAGTTGCTCAGCGAAGAGTCGGGCCCCAGCAAGACCCACGCGATAGGCGTGCCGTCGCTCTTGTACACGGCCATGCTAGGCAGCAATACGATAGTTCGTCTGTGCGATGTTTAGTTTCGCCCCGTACAAAAATCTCAACCGTACCTAAGGCACCAAGATCATACATAGCCTCGGAAAAAAGAAAAGAAAGAGGAGAAAGGAGGAGAAAAAAAAAGTAACATACTCCTTCCGCGGAATGCTCGTCCGCGACAACATAAGCGGGATATCCTCCCTGCGAACGGGCCTCCACTCCATCCCCATCCCCTCCTCCTCCCCTTCCTCGAGCGGGCTCGGCACATCCGGCAGCGCGCCCAGCCGGAACATCCACTTGTCGAACACGGCCACGTAGCCGAACGCGACCCCGCGGTTCGCCAGCGCCACCCTCGTCGCCTCGCTCAGCGTCCCCGCCAGGATCCGCGCCGGCCGCAGGCCCAGCCCCTCTTGCCGCTGCGCCGCCGCGTGCGCCGTCCCCGGCGTGTAGAAGGCCTCGCGCAGCGCTTTGACCTCGCGCAGCAGTTGGTATGCGCACTCGGCCGCCGCCGCAACCTTTTCTTCTTGGTCTTGGTCTTGGTGGCTTGGGCTAGGGTGGGTGGTGGTGCCAGCACCTAGGGCCTCGACGCTCGAGTACAGCCATATCTCGGTCTCGGGCCCCCGCGATAGGTCCAGGTACGCGGCGGCGAAGGGCGCGCTGTGGTGGTGGTGGTGTTGGTAGTGGTCCCGCGGCGAAAGGCCCGACGCGGAGGCGAATAGGATGCGCGCGTGCTCCGTGATGCCGCCCGGGAACCGTGTGAAACTCAGGCGCCGGAGAAGCGGTAGCGCGTAGGGGCGGTGGTGCGTCCGCAAGAGGGTGATGAGGTCTTCAGGGGGCTGCGTGTATACGGTTACAGACACGGGGGTGTGTGCAGCCATCTTGTCGATTTTGATTTTTTTTTTTTTTAAAAAAAAAAGAAACTTAAAAACTTTCCTCTCTCTTCTGCTTCTAAACCTCCCCTTTATCCCTTTTTATCTATTTATTTATTTATCATCGCCAAGTTTATCTAAGTTAGGTAGGTCCTCACTTAATCTAGAAAATGGAGAAGACGAGTTAGGGAAATAGCATGTAAGTGGAGAAAAGGAGTCAGGTTAGTATAGAATCGGGACAAGCCAATACTACGGTCATGGGCTCATTTTGAGGCGAAGTCACCGGGCCTTCCATATTTGTCGGTGCCTTCCGCCGGCATCGCGGGCCTCGTCGTGACTCACGAATAAATTCCGCAGTCGGAACGGGAAAACGGGAATTGCCTATAACGCCGCTCGGATTGTTATTACGAATACCTACATCTCAATACCACGTTGAAACTATACCTTGTTTTTCCCGCCGCGTAGACGCCTCTGGATATCGTGATCCATGTCGGCTTCGCAAAATGCTTTTCGGGCGAGTTATAAACACATAAGACACACGAGTTAGAAAGTTAATAGGGGTAGGTTATAAACAACCGTGGTGTGATCTTACTATATCGAAACTACCGGTGCATGGCAGGTAGGTAGTCAATATACATAGCAACCAACTTATTCAGGGGTAGTAATGATAGCATACCTATCAGCAAACTTCATTCGCCCCTTACTTCTCAAGCCCACATGTGTGTATTCAACGCCATCCTCACACAAAATTACACCTTATGGAGAGGGAGGCTCTAAACTACCTGGTAGTACTTGACCCGACAACTTGGCGAGTCGCCGACATGTACTACTACCCTGAGAAAGAGACTTGCCGCAAGTTAACTGGCTAACCTAGCCGTTTTTCTGCGCTCGGGAAGTCATGCGTGGTACCTATTTAAGCTAATGCAGCGTATGATAAAAGGATTCGCTATAGGCTCCCTCTTGCGCTAGGTATCGCACCAACCAATATATATTTGTAAGAGCCTCAATCTTTCTACCCCGAAGAGAGCGTTGATTCGATACTGAGAATGTAAGACGGAAGGAAATGGTCCAATGGGACTCGTGTATTCAGAGAGAGCACTCTATGTTTATATAAGTAACACGAGAACGTAAGCCAAATAATGCATGTGATAGCTTTAATAACGACCAATTACATTATATCAAGAAATTGGGTAGTAAAGAGGCTGACTGTACCTACTGCGTCGACATCTACCTATTGTCGTGTATAGACCTTCATACAATGTATGAAAGAGCCGCTCAATATTATGCTTGCCTACCTAGCTCGTAGGTTTCGCTATCGTCATTTACCCCTGACTCTGTATGATTATGATCGCCGATGCTCTTAGCATCACAACCGTTATCCGTTCGCGCAAACCCGATGACCTTGCCACTTCCATTCCATTCCATAACATACCTACCTAAGCCTTAAGGTAGGTTGTTAACGTAACATGACCAACTGGTAAACCCGTAACTCCATGCTCACCCACACCGGCACCATCCTCTTAAAGGTATACGGGAATAAGAAAGCAACACGAAGCAAAGCGAAAAACTTTTTGAACACACCACCACGAATACGCCTTTCACCCCCCCGTCTCCGTCTCAACCCCATCGATAGGTTCAGGCGTCCAGATCCCATTTGAACGCCTCTTCTGAGATTTCCCCTCCTTCTTCCCCTTCCTTCTCAAGGCCGCCTAGACCTTCTTGAAGAACTCCTTGGCCTTAGCCGCCAGCCCGTTCGCCCCGTTGGCGTGGTGGTTCTTGCCGTTGTGGTGGTGCTCCTCCGTCGTCGATCCCTCGAGACTCGTCTTGGACGCTTCGGCCTCCTCGCTGTTGGGTCTCACCACGTTGGCTGCCCCGCCGCGTCCGACGTGCGTTGCGCCCTGGCTCGCTCGTCGCTCGATACTTGGGCCATGAGATAGATCATGTTAGCTTTTCTCCGTTTCATTAAGTTCGCCTATCTTAGGCACCCAATCTATTTCCCAACAGAATAGGGACATAATAATAATAAAAAAGTGTTAGGTAGGTAGGTAGTAGGTAGTTACAAACTTACGGGCCGACGTCCTGGCGTGCTCGCGTCTCGACGGGGTCTGTATTCGGCGCCATGTTACCGGAGCCGCCGCGGCCGGTAGTGACAATAGAAGTTTTCAGAGTCGGAGTCTCGAGGTCAGCCGGTTGGATTTTGGGGGACTTGGAAGCGTCGGCGATGTTACCGGCGCCGCCCCGCCCAGTCGATGTCATATGTCCCGTCATATTAACTATTCAAAGCTCAACCCGTGGGAGAACCTAACTGATAGGTACAGAAAGAGTTTCGCTATTTTCCTATTTTTTGGTATGAGATTTGTATGTAAGTAGGACAAAGAGGAACCTCGGGAGCGTCTATGTTAAGAAAATTGATAGTTGAATCCAAGAAAAAAAACTAAAAAACTAGCTCTTTAGGAATTGCGCGATCTTGGCTGGGTAACAAGCAACAAGCAACAACCTGTCGGAACAACTTTTTGCGATATTGAACAAGAAAAGTTTTCGACGGCATGTAAGGTTTCTCTTTATATTACCATTACCTTATTTATTTATCTATTATATTTATACCAGACTTTCCTTCTTTATGCGCTCGGCAACTTGGAAAACCTGGGCGTTAGCTACTAACTTTTCAATCACAAGACTCGACAAAAAAAAAAGAAAGGCCCTTACATGCTATGACTGACCAGAAAGTCGGAAAGGTATCACCGAGAAAGAAAAAAAAAATAGGTAATACACTACCTAAGGTTAGGTTAGTTAGGTACCTAACCTACCTCCTAAGGTAATACCTACCAGAAGCAAGAACCCATCTAGGTACTTTTCTCCACTACCCGACGCAATGGTGTAACTAAGACGTAATAGAAACTGTCGGGTGATCCAGCCAGCGCCTGCTTGTCTATCACGCAACTTACATCAACTTCCATACATGCTTTGTATGCTTTTAACAGAGTCTCCTAAAACCTAGAAGTCCACTAAAGGTAACAGGTCGTTAATTGTCAGGTTACACACTATACTAGGTAGCTGTCTCTTGGCTTCTGTAATAGTCGGGAATGTCTATTCCCTACCTTAATATATTTGTTATTTCCTTATACACTAGTTGTATTACCTCCGCATGGGCTGGTTATTGGTAAAGTATGTACATAGTAATGTGTAATATATGTGCCTCTAAACCAGCCCGGAAGGATTTAACGCATAGCAGCCAAGTCAGCCTTAGCCGTAGCCTTAGCCGTACGCATACCTTAGGTAGGCTGGTAAGCTGCCTATCTAGCAAGATCTGCAGGTTATTAGTTCGAATCTAACCGTCTGGCGTCTCGCCTTACCGGAAATACCGGGAATACGGGGTGTTTTTGTTCTTTTCCCCAGATTAAATCAATTATATATTTTTCTTTTTCTTGTGACGAACCTACACTCAGGTCCGTTAGAGTGTAGTAACAAGGGTCTTGATTTTAGGTAAACAGTAACAATACGGATCAGGTGTCAATAAAACGTTAAAAATGTTCGTTAAGAAAGCTTAAAATCCTTCCCCTTATATGAGTTAGATATAAGATTTAGATTAATAACTAAAAAAACGTAAATAAATATCTAAATATATAATAATTTTAAATATCTTATAAACCTTTTTTTTATTTAATGTTTTAAAGGTATTATAATATGGTTAATTTGAATAATTTAATTAATTTAATTAAATTAATTAAATTAATTAAATTAATCAAATCATATAAGGGTTAATCTATAATTGGGGTTTATCCGTTCCCTTAGGACATCCCCGCTCCTGTTACCTAAATTAATACGTTTTCTAATAAATATTAATTTATAATATTATTCTCTTTTTCCTATATTCTTCGTCCTCGAAGTTTTTAATTTAATAAATTTCTTTACTTTATTCTTTATTTTTATTAAATTAACTAATTATAATAATATTAAAATGCGTTTTTAAATCGTTTATTAAAGCTTATTGCTTAAATTAATATTAAGTTCTTAAGTCTCGTACTATTTACATTAAAACCTTTAATCTTTCCGAAATATTATATTTTAATTATAATTGCTTCAAGGAAATATCGTATTTTTTCGTGATTAATCTTTTATCTTATAACCATTATATCTAATAAATAAATTATATTAATTATAATATAATAAAAACAAATTCTATTAACTGTTTTACCTTTAAACTTTTTCGTTTAAAAAAGGAACGTAACAAAATTAAAGATAAATTAATTAAATTAAATAAGGAATTTTAGAAGTATTAAAAAAGGATATTATTTTTTTAAAAGAAAATTAATAAGCACTTAAATCTCCTTTATTATCTAAAATATTAAAAAGATATAATTAAGGATAAAGCCTTTTATATTTTTTAATATAAAGAAAAGTTAAATTATTTAAAATGTAAAAAAGAAGTTACAGATTTAAGTGCCTTTAATCAAATTAGTCAAGCTAATCCATTTAAGCCTTTTAATTCTTCCGGAAACAACCCCAATAAGGCCGTTACTTTTTAAAATAGTTTTAATTTAAGAATAAATCTGTCATTATTTATAAGCAATTAAGATTTTCTTAGTAAAACGCTTTTATAAACTCCTAAACGTTTTTAAGGTACTTAATTAATTCTTAAATATTTTCTTTTAATAAATAATTTTTCTATTTAATTAAATATTTAATTTAATTTCTAAATCGTTTAAAGTTTAATACCCTCTTAATTTTATATTTTTAATTAGTTTTAACATCTAAAATAATCTATATTAACACATTTTTAAGTACTTTTTTTAATAAGGAAATATAAAATACTAAATATAACTTCGTTTTTATTAATAATAATAATTTATAATTAATTTTTAAAATAACTTTTTCAATTTTAAAAGATTTAAATTTTTTATAATCTAATTTATTATTTAATCTTTTAATTTTAATATTTTATTATAATAAATAAATCTTATTTCCCCTCTTAAAAATTAGTCTTTCAATCTTATATTAATCATTATATTTCTTTATTCTTATTTATAAGAATTTAAGCTTATTTATTAAATATTTTTACATAATAATAACTTATTCCGTTATAATTTTTACCTTAAGGATAAATATTTCTTTTATATTAATTAATTCCGTAATAATAAAATCATAATTAATATTTACTTTAAATAAAAATATTTTTATATTTTCGTTTATAAAATTATTATATGTAATTTCTACTTATAATAATAATTCTACTTAATTATTTTATATTTTATTAACGTACGTACGAAAATATTATTTTAATATTTAATTTAAACGCTCCGTTTATCCGTTTAATTATGGGTAATATATTATTAACAATTTCTATTTTACACCCATTCTTATTATTAAGTTAATTCAAAATTTAAATATAAATAACTTATCTTTATTTAAAATAATATATTTTAATAATCCATATTTATTAATTATATATTTAAAAAATATATAAATTAAGTTTTTAACTATATTAAATTTTTTATATAATATAAAATATCTATATTTCGTTAATCTATTAACCATTACCTATATACTATTATATGATATATTAATTATAAATTCTTTTAATAATAATAACTTAATAATAAAGTCCTATGCAATAGTTTTCCATACTTTATCCGGGATTTCCGTGGGTTACGTAAGCTCATATAGCTTATATTTAATTACCTTCGTTTTATTACACATGTTACAGTCGTTAATTACTTCCTTAATTACTTTAAATAGGCCTAAGAAGTTATAATCTCTCGTAATTCGTTATATAATTCGAAAGATTTCTTAATATCTGTGTAATAAATATTTATAATATTTTTTAATAAACTTATGTTATAAGGTCTTTAATATATATACTTTACCTAAATAAGTAATTATTCCTTTTCTTATTTTAATATCTAGGGGTAATTCTTCTGCTAGTAATGCTTTTTAAATATATATTATCTAAGTATTATCTTTTTCTGTAAAATATAATATTAATAAAATAAATGCTCCTTATTTGTTTAATATAAATATTACTTTTTCTTTTATTATATTTTTTATGTTAACGCTATTAAGTTTATTAAATATATTTACTTACATATTTATTTTTCCTATAATGTAAATTATTTTAAAGTTGAAATTACTAAGGTATTTTATTTATTTTTAAACTTTAAATCTTAATTTCTAAATAATTATTAATGTTTTAAAATTATTATAATTAAATAGTACTATAACTAATTCCTTAGTTCCACTAAGTTAATATCTTCATTTTTTAAATGTTATAACAATAGTAAATAATTTTTTATTATAGGTTTAATAACGTATTTAAACTTCTTTAAAGGTTTTAAATAAATATACCATTAAATACCATATCTTATTGTTTTTAAATTGTTTTAAAACTGCATTTATAATTGTATTTAATCCGTCCGTATAAATTCTTTTCAACTAGTTTAACTTAGGTAATCTCATTATCGGATCGTTAGTAATGGCTTTTTATATTTTTTTAAAAATTTTATTTATTTTTGGCATTTATTAAAAAGTTCTTTCTTTTCCCCGTATAATAATTATAATAAAATCTATAATTTTACTAAAGTCCTTTATTAACCATTTATTATAATTAATAAATCCGTGAAATTATTATATAATAATAATATTATCTAATATTAACTAATTTTATATTATTATAATTTTTAAATCTTATATTTTAATTTATTTAAATATAATTATATATCTTAAATAATTAATCTTTTATGTGTAAAATTCGCTTTTCTTTAAATTTATTAAAAAGTTAGCCTTATTTAAAGCTTTTAACACTTTGTCCACATATTTTTTATATTAATTAAAGGTGTTGAAAAAGATTAGAATATCGTTTAAATAAATAAAAACTGTTCTTTTTAAAAACTTCCGTAATACAGTTTCAATCATTCTTTAAAATATTGCTAACGCATTTGTTAGTCCAAATAATATAATTAAATATTTATAATAATTAAAAGGAATTTGTATTGCTATTTTCTATTTATTATCTTTAGCTATTCAAATTAAATAAAATACCTCTTTAAGGTCTAACATTATAAACTATTTTACATTTTTTATTATTTTTATTAAACTATTAATATTAAGTAAAAAATAGTTATTTTATTTGGTAATAAAGTTAAAATATCGATAATTATATATATTTTAATATATTATATTTCTATTATTATTTAATCTTAATATTCCATCTTTATTTTTCTTAGGTATTAAAAAAATTAAACTCCCTATTAGTAAATTTAATTTTTATATATATTTTTTTTCAAGTTTTCGTTCGATAATTTTTATTAATACTTTTTATTCGTTTACACTTAATAAATATACCCTATTTAATTTAAATAATTATCCTTTTTTAAAATCTATTTTATAATCGTAAGGTCCGTAATCCGGGACTCCTATATTAATATTTAGTTTTTCAGCAAATAATTTTAAGTATTTCTTCTAATATTTTTTAAATATATTGGTAAATTTATTATATATTACCTTAATTTTTCTTTTTATTATTTTCTATTATTTCATTTCCTTAATTAATTTTGCAAGTCGTAATATATATAAAAGTATTACTTTATAAGCTTCTTTAAAAGCTGTAAATATATGCCTTTTTATTATTGTACTAAGTTTATTTAAGTTAACCTCTTTTTAATACTTAGGTTTATAACTTTTTATATTTAGTTTTAATAATAATTACTTAATAGTATTTTTCTGCTAATTTATTTTAAGGTTATTAATTTCTAATTAAAGTTTTCTTAAAACCATATCGTATTAAATGTCCACGATATTGAAGGAGATCAAATAGTCTTTTTATTAAATCCGGACCGGGAGATTTATAATTTCTCGCTTAATTTAT